ATAAATCAAAACAAATTCATATGAAAATTAAATAGTTTCATGTTTTCAGTAAAAGCTCCATGTTTTTTATCGCATATTTTTATTGCGTATTTTTTATCGCATATTTCTATCAAGGACCTATTGGTATTATCTAATAGATACATTGAATAGTACCAACACTGAATACATTTGAGTATTACCTTGTTTTAGATAACATTTATATTCCTTTGGGGAATATATTTCTATATCTTTATGTTCACACTACTGATAATCATTATTATTATTATTATTTAAAAAAAAACACCAAGTAAATAAAGAAATCCTCCTTAACATTATAATCACACTTTGTTTTCTTTCGCTTCACAAAGTATCCTGAAAGTCATATAAGTATATAAGAACTACTATTAAGAAAATAATAGCATGTTTTTATTAAGCTATTTTTTTTTATTTAGGCTATTCAGTTTTACATATATATGCAATATCTCTTGTGAACTACAAACATAATATTCTTTCTTACTCTTGATCAATAAAAACATTGTTATTATAATGTATATTCACATATCTTAGCTAGCATGACTTATTCTTTACATAATTATGTCTAGAGGCAAAATTTTAATCATATAAATGTATTAGTAAAGTTATAGATAAATAATAAAGCTGTTAAACCTTTCTTTCGGACACTGTAGTATGTATATACTGTTACAGTTTATATTGCTTTGGAATCATATTAAAATCATTAAAAAAATTATTTAAAGGATTATTGTAGATATTTTACAGCTACTGTAGATCTCTAATAGTATGCATTCATACTCTTTCTTTTCTCTTTCTCTCTGATAAAGACATTACTCTTTGATACAGAGTCTAGTTGGCGAGTTCTTTTTTTTCTTTACTCGACCCTTCTGCTTTTACATTATTTTCAATATACAATATCTATAACTATTTTAACAAAAAAAATGTAATGATGCTTATACCCTATCAAACTAGCTACATATTTTGAATTATATTTAATGCTAGTATAGCCCATCTAATAAAATCAGAACAATAATATGTTTTCTAAGAACAAAGCACAGAATATAACAGGTAAGAATCCCTCCATATCTCCATATGTATATACATTTATTATTCTTCTCTTGTCTTTTACTTGCTGTTTTACTTTTGTGCACTTTTCTTGATAAATCATCAAGACTGATCATATCATATCAATAAAAACAGCAGCAGCAGCAGCAACTAAATCACCAATATCAACAAGTCTTCTGATTAGTTTCCAATATTTTCTTAATATTTTTTTCTGAAATGCATATATTCAATTAAACAAGTTTAAGTTAAACGAGAACAAAAGAGAAAAAAAATAGTAGACAATTGGAACTTTGATTTAAATCTTTGACTCATGATAAACAATAAATGAGAATAATCAAAATAAAAACGTAAAATAGAGTAAGAAAGAAAAATATAATTTCTAGCCAAAATTTTACATGGATTCAATATATTAAGTACTCCTGCGAAATAAAGACAGAACTGTATATCTTTTAACTACTATCTTATCTTTTCTTATAGTCTGTACTTCTTGTATATAAATATTATCTTTGTTGCTGTAAATATATTGAATATTGCAAATACACTTAATACTATTGCCCTATTTATATGCTATTCTTAATATATTTTACATATCGTCAAGAACAAACAAAAAATTGCCGGAAATTGTTCTCCAGTAAGACTTTTGAGCAGAAGAAAGAACGCCATTAAAAACATGATAGTAGTCAATATTTGGCGAGAAACGGAGGTCACAGAAATATAATGTCGAATGATTCCAGATAAATTAGTAGGAGAGTGGTGAGACGTGCTGTGTATGTTGGTGTGGTGTAAGAAGTTTGTAAAAAAACATTTAGAAAAGGAAAAAGGGGATTATCAGATAAATATTCATAGTCTTTGTAACAAATAAAAGTGTTCTTCAGATAAATACCCAGAGAAAAGAAAGAAAAAGAAAATATAAGTGTGCAAAAGTTGTTTTTTATTGAGTTGATTTATTTGGGAATATATAGTTTTTCTGAGTTAAGCTGATAGCATGTTATTGAGAAAATTGAATAGTTTGGATAATACTAATTGTGTTGGTAATTGAATATGGGTACTTGTCCGAAACCAACAGTGCCACCAGCTTGTCTATAAATACTTAGGCTCTACCAGTATAAGATATTAAATTGATTTAAAGTACATAATCTATACAAGCCTTGAAATATTGTTAAGATGTAAATAATATACTCCAAGTCTTAATATCTTAAGATAACTTTAAATGTAAATATTTCAGTAAACTTCTGAAGTTGATCTTACTGACTGTATTATTATATTATCTGTTAATGTATATATATTTAATCATCAAAAAAAATAAAATTAATATAGACTATCCTAACACATCTCTCTATTTATTTTCTTATTATTTTCAAGAGAATAGACTGATATCCACAATATATAGGCTAAAATGATATTATAGTAGATCAGTATATATTATCTTCTCTTACGCATTTGAGTAATCTATCACACAAACCACTCAAGTTTCAATTGCCATGAAATTTATATGATTAAAATTTTGCCTCTAGACATAATTATGTAAAGAATAAGTCATGCTAGCTAAGATATGTGAATATACATTATAATAACAATGTTTTTATTGATCAAGAGTAAGAAAGAATATTATGTTTGTAGTTCACAAGAGATATTGCATATATATGTAAAACTGAATAGCCTAAATAAAAAAAAATAGCTTAATAAAAACATGCTATTATTTTCTTAATAGTAGTTCTTATATACTTATATGACTTTCAGGATACTTTGTGAAGCGAAAGAAAACAAAGTGTGATTATAATGTTAAGGAGGATTTCTTTATTTACTTGGTGTTTTTTTTTAAATAATAATAATAATAATGATTATCAGTAGTGTGAACATAAAGATATAGAAATATATTCCCCAAAGGAATATAAATGTTATCTAAAACAAGGTAATACTCAAATGTATTCAGTGTTGGTACTATTCAATGTATCTATTAGATAATACCAATAGGTCCTTGATAGAAATATGCGATAAAAAATACGCAATAAAAATATGCGATAAAAAACATGGAGCTTTTACTGAAAACATGAAACTATTTAATTTTCATATGAATTTGTTTTGATTTATCCAAAATAGACATTTTACGCCTTCCGTGCTGCGCCATCCCCATTTTTTTTTCATATAAGAATCGATACAATTCTCAATTTCCTGTTATCCCTCCTCTTCCTCCTGGTTTCCTTTCGGTGGTCCTTGGTTTCTGACACGGTAAGAAAATTGTCTTTAAATGCCTATATCTTTCTATCCGTATAAGGTCCATACTGATATTTATTATGAAAACGCACCCCAGACGCGGTTTCTAGCTAAGTTCCAAAAATGATGTCCAGTCTAATAGCAGGTAAAGTATTATACAGACACATACACACTTTGACACGGTCAATATACTAACTACAGCACAGTGTTTTCTTGTGCATGTTTTTTTTTTCTGTCTTCTATGCCCAGCGTCCATTCCACTGTAGCCACGGAGAGGTCCTTCACGTCAAGTTCATGTACCAGGTAAGTAAATACACACACAGATGCTTTGACACGATCACCACACTAACTATGATTTGATGTTTTCTTTCTTTCGTCACAGTGTCCAGTGTCCAGTGCCGTTTTGCTTTTAAGCACAAGTACTTTTTTAAACCCTACGCAGTTATCTGCTAGGTAAGCAAACACACACACGCTTTGACACGATCAATACACTAACTATGATTCGATATTTCTTTTATTTTATCACAGTGTCCAGTGTCCCGTCCCGTCTTGCTTTTTAGCACAAGTACTTTTCAAGCCTTCCGCTGCTGTTTACTAGGTAAGTAAACGCGTACATACACACACACTTTGACACGATCAACACGCTAACTATGATTTGATGTTTTCTTTTTTTCTATTGCAGTTTCTAGTTCTGTTTAGCTGTTAACCACCATTCTTTTGATGGTGCCTTCATACCATGTATGGTCCACTGAGTGGTAAGTCAATATATACATACTTTGACTCAATTAACATACTCACTTTATACTTTTATATTACTTTATTCTCTTGATAGTGTTCAAAGTATGCTTATGGAGAGGTGTACCGAGAACCAGCTCAGTATTTTACACCCTTCGCAGTTAACAGCTAGGTAAGTAAACGCGCACACGCGCACACACTTTGACACAATAAGTATATTAACCTTATACTCGATTTTTATTTATATCTCTACTCTTGGAGTGGTCACTGAGTACCTCGTATTCTATCGGTCACGATATATCAAAAGGAATATACGTAAACATTTTCATGCAAAATGTGTATATCATGGTCTTTAACAGTGAGTCTCCGGGCTCTTTTCCAACTCGCTCATTGTAGACGCCTTATTTATAAGGCTTGTCTTAATATGAGATTCTGGTTTTTTTATTGAACGCACTGCACTCTTTGGCGTCTAGTCATTGAGTTCGCTCAAGGTACCATGGCCTAAAATTGGTCCGTACTTTGAGCGATTCTACCTGCATTTACTGCAGTGGAAAAGAAACCAAAAGGGATTCCGTCTTGGACTTTATTGTTTGAGATGGAGAAGCTCCAATGTTTGAACCGGAGTAGTCTTTTGACTGCTCTGGATTGTGAACTAGTGAACTGCTTTTCCAGGCATACCAACAAGTCAGTAGCCTTCACTCCCTGGAAAAGGTTACTGGAGGGTGCAATCCCCTCACCTTGTCTTGAGTTCTTGTCTTTGTGTTAAGTAGCTTCCGATGAGTCGGGTTGTTTTACAAACTCCCTAATCCTGGTGAAAAGTTTCATCGAAGGCTAAATATACTTATAAAAAACCAACTGAACACAAGTACCGTAAGGGAAAGTAGCTCTTAGTGTAGAGCATACTGGACGTTAAAGACCTTCCTGAGCCACTCATATGAAGGCGAAAGCCGGATGAAATCCACGTCAGTTTTTTCTGTGTTGTGCGGCACATAACATGGAGAAGACTGAGGAACGCAGAGGTAGCTTTATGCTATTTTCTTAGGACGTTGGATATTGGCTCTCCAGATTTTGTCCTTTGGGGCATGTCAAGATTGTCACAGAAAGGTGCAAGTATAAGGGTGTATCACCTGGATGCGTAGAGTTTTTTAAATTCGTTGAGCACCTGGACGTGAGGTAATACAGGTAGATTCCAGCAGAATCGACAGATTACCCAGTACAATCGCCTGTATTTTACTGCTTCCTGTTGAAATGATCCCTGTGCTTTTCAAGTCCCTCATTGCTTAGACTTTGATACTTGTAACCCACGCTCTGGTAAACAGAACTGGACATGAGGGACGAACCCGAAGCAAAGTTAAGGTGCCTAAGTAAATGCTATGCTGTTCACTTGGGTGTCTCAGACACCTGTCCCGAGCAGTTTGGCATTAAAGCATTTCACCGATACTTTGCCGTCATGGTAAATTTGATGCCATGCCGAGTAGGCAGGAATGAGGGTTGTTGAGAAGCTTGGGTGTAAACTTGAGTGGATCGGCCTTCAAGCGCAGGTCTTGACAAAAAAATCTTTATTTTTTTACTTTTTGGGATAAATCGGATACACTTGAAAAACAGATAAATGAATATTTTTATACAATATTCAGTATTGGAATCTGTTCGATTTTTTTTTATTTTTTCTCACAAGCAAGGTATGTATATGTATATATAGACTCGTACCAACAATGGTCATCATACTTATTAAGTTCTAATATATCAATAATACAACTTCTTTAGCAATCTTGGTTTAGCCGATCTTCTTTCACTTGACAACTCATGTCTGAATATAAATACAAAGGTATAGTTTTTCTTTTAAAAAAAAATCAATAGCTTGATGATGTTTCATTAACTTTCTTCATCTCATGTATGCAATTAAGCATTGGCACGCAATCAGGCATTGACATGCAATTAGGAATTGCCACGCAATTAGGCATTGACATGCACTTAACATTACAAACACCAACCCGAGTGTTGTTTTATTCCGTATAGGTAATAACCGCCACCTCCTTAAAAGTTTCTGAAGATTAACTTCTTTTTTTTCTTTTTCACTCTTTTGGTGGAATATTTTTATGAGATCTCTATAGAGCTAAAATATGGACTACTTGGCCGCCTTACTATTACTATAAAATTATGACATTTCTTCCACTCTTATGCAATATTAAACTTGTGACAGGGAGCATTATCTTCTTAGTAGATATATTCGCTATTCTTATATTCATTGAGAGCTTAGATGAGTAGACGATTTCTCATTTTTATTAGCTCATCGCGTGTGTCTTTGAACTTTCATATAACCCAGACATATCCTATCTTTCTAAATCTTTCTTTGTATCAATTATGTAAACAAATTACTCAAGTCGTGGCGGGAAGAAGAATATAATTCTTATAGCTGGTGAAGAAATCAATTAAAAGGCACAAGAATTTTAACAATCAACCCCAGCAATATTTATCTATTTCTATTTCTCTCTTTTCTTCATTATGAATTATCCAAAGAAGCATAGTTTATCCCAACAGCTTAGTAATAGCTTAGCAATATCTTGCTAATAATCTTATCTTTCTTTATTAATTACCGAAATATCCATATAAACATCGAAATATGAAAGTAATAAAGACCATTTTTACACATCACTTTTATTTTATTTTCATTTTTTTTTAGAGAACAAGCTGCCAAATACCAACATTTGGGCCAAGGATTTGATCGAGGAGATCGATATATATTCTCTTTTTCTTTTAACCCGCCTGGACCACTTTATCATATAAGCCAATACTGCCCGTATCACCTTTTCAGATGTAAATAATAATGATTCAGAAATTATGTGAAATATGCCCAGGTTGCAAAACCATGCTTTTCTCATAATACATGTATTATTATAGCATTAGCTAATAATAGGGGGTTTCACCAGTTCTGGGTGCTTGGCTGTTGAATGTAGCGGTAAGTTAAGCGCCATTAAATAATAACTAATATTGAAAGAAAGAAAAAACTATCGAGTACCATTAATGTCTCTTGGTTGGTATGTTTTCTTTCATAACGTCAAAATTCATATATACAATACGCTTGATTAGAGTACCATAAATATATTATCCCTTCCCAAATTCTCCGCGAGTAAGTTGGACCTTTATAATTTGGTATCAAAGTAACTACCTTTATATAGATTGATTATGTCTTATTTTTGACTTTGCTTCTATATAAACTTTGCCATCAATTGTACATAAAGTACAAATTTTTGCAAATTTTGGCCAAATCACGACATTTAGAGTATCTAACTATTTTTTTTAGATGCTCGGATACTCAGCTTTCATTTTTTAAAGATTCATTACAGCCAATCATTTTTAACATTAAGCTGCTGTTACGTTCAACAGCCAAGCATCCAGGACTAGTGAAATACCCTATTATAAGCAAATCATAAAGAAAATAGAGAAATAATTCATTTAAGCCGTGTAGATAGCTACTAATCCGAAAAAGTATTAATATTTTTTAGCTCGTTATATAACTCCAAATGGTTTACATTCTACCTTAGTAAAGCTAAAATATTATTAAACTCTTTATTAGGGGGGTTCAACAATTATAAACCTTTTATATTTATAAGTCTGGGTATAAAATACATATATGTTTGGTTTAAATTAAACTAAAAGCGTAAAGCTTACAAGAAAAAGTTCTTAAGTTGGGCTTTAAAACTTATTCTTTTCATCTATCAGTAACCATCAAAGCTATCACCCATTACTGAAGAATTATTTAGATTCAACTGTATAAATATAAAAAGTCTATTCTCTGTTAAATTTTCTTGATGTTAATAAGCTTCCAGACTTTGGCCTCAGGAAAACATATCAAAATATAATGTAATAAAGGCAATGCTTACGTTAAAAATATTTCTATGATAATCATTATATAATAGAGAAATGAGGTTAAATAGAGTTGTGTAAAAGAATAAATGAGTGATTTAACAAGGTATAAGGGTCTTTGAGTCTCCTTTTGTTTACTAAACCTATTTGACTAGATTGACTCAGTGCTTTTACTAAATAGATTATCCGTTTGTTTTGGTAAGATTAACTTGCAAAAATGATGCAAATATGCACGACAGAATATGTATTTTGTCAAGTTGAATATCTGTTTTGATTTACACTTGTTTTTTGCTTTTATTTAACTCTGGCTCAAGGTATATTCGATATGGCTAATTAGCTTTTTTAATCGGCTGTAATATCGTCCTTCTTCATCATCAAATTCACCTGTATCTATTTTCTGTATTATATCATATATATAGTCGAGTATAAATTGTGCCGCCGCTTTATCGTACCCTTTGGTCATTCTGTTTACATGTTCAGCATTAGTTTAACTGAATATTGAGCAAAATATTCTACATAAGTGTATATTAAGAATAAAAGAACCTACTTTGTTTTCGTAGCTTCAAAATTTATTTCATCGCTGCTTGATCCAAGAATATTATTAACCTATTTGCGTAGAGTAATCGTTAAAGATGAGCGTTTTATGTCTGTTTATACACATCGACACTATTTATGACTACTTACCATTAATGTACAATGTATACTGTCCCATACTTCTTTGGTTGATATTAAGATAGAAGAAGCAATACTCATGCCTACTAAAATGTTCCCGCTGAATATTTCTTCCCAATGAATCAAGATGACTTTTAGAGCATCATCTGGCTGCCTTGTATGGAAGCCTAATAACAAACAATATACAAAAACGTATATCAGCTATTAATAATTGGACTATAATATCAAGTAGTAGTAATGCATACCTTTTAATGAGATTATCCAATGTTTCAAACATTCTACAGTATCATCGACTCGGTCGTCATCCGAAGGACACATCAGCCAGCCCAAGTAACTTGAAATCATATCCATCTATACAAAAAAATCAGCAATCTAATTTTTTCTTAAAATAAAAAAGCAAACCGATATTTTCTTTACCTTTGAGTCCCAAACATCTTGGTTTAAGCACCATGATATCAAACACATTGTACATTTTTGTAAGAAATCTGGGAACATGAGTGCAAGAACCCATGCCTCATTTCTACGTACTTCTATATCTTCGAACGTTCCTGTGTAGGTATATATTGTTAATTTATCCAATATAGTACCACATTGTGAAGAAATATGTTGGATAAAGAGTTGTTCAGAGGAGCTATTCTGTAATGTTTCCGCCGCAACTTTTAGATCATATGGGAAGTATGTGAATGCATCCTGCGATAAAATAGTATCAACATCCTATTATTTTTCAGCGTTATTGCTATTGCTATTATTACTTTATAAGTTGGCGTGAATGTACTTGAATGTTTTTGATCGCTGAATTTTGTTTCAACAAGTGTGGGGAGTAGACTGATAACGTGTTGCCACATCCGCACTAATCTCCAATCAGAGAAGCGTATAACCCATTTTGCTACTTTATTATGGGCTATTGAGACTAGGTGGGGATTATTTTGTAATAACTGGACCATAGTTGTTCTCTCCAATTGTTTGTGTAATTGATATTTGGAAGTATATGATTTGATCGTGGCTAGCTCTTGAAAGAAATCCAGAAGCTCATACTCCATAATATGTCTTTGATGTTTCCAAACTCTGTTCAGTTTCTCTTTTTTTTATTAGCGGGAAATAGTAATAATAATAATAATGTACGCATGCATTTATATGTATATTAGAATGTTACTATACTAAAAGCCGTATTTTTTTTTGTATAAAATTATATGTATGTACACAAGATGCAACTTTACCTTGCTATTAGTTCTGGTGTCCAGCTTCGATACAATTTCCACAGTCTATCTTTGGGGTTCCCTAATAACCGAGACACAAACCGACCTGAGAATATACAGGGAGTTGTATCAAAGTGCAAAGCATAGTCATCGTAATATGTATCGGGAATGTGTGTATTAGGTTTAGATTGTTCGATGTTTCCCCAATACAATTTTTTCTGCTCCGTATCCATCAAAATAGTGCCGCAGTTAATCAGTACTTCGATCAATACCGATGTAGCGTTTTGTTCCAATAGCGCTAAAGATAGGTCCATAAGCCCACTCACAATTTGTGGCTATATTTAGTTAGCATATCATATCATGAAATAGTGTTTCTAGGCTGCTTACAGTTAGTGAACCATCTAGGAAACGCTTGTTTATATTTGATATTATTTGTTTGATCTGGTTTTGGGTAGCATCGTCTTCTTTTGGTGAAAGTGTGTCGCCTACATTCATCATATGGCTAGACTCCACATGAGAAGGGACTGTCAGTGGTGAGCGTACCAGTCGTCTTATACGATCAATACACCATGTGGCTGAACTTGTCATATTTTGCAAGTATTAATATATAAGTTCGTATTATCATTTGTTAGCAAGGCATTTTTAAAATGCTCAAGTTATAATATAATGTGGCCTACCTGCTCTGTAAACTTGATGTATCAAATTGGCTGTATCTTTGAAGACATTGTATAGTTGCCTTTGCAATCTTGCTATCAAGACATAGAAAAGGATGAATCTATTAATTAAAAGAAAAAAATTACTAATGGAATTAATTATATGGATTGGAATCGTGAAATTTTAGTCTTTCTTTTTACCGATGCCGCAGTTAAAATTGGTCCTAATTGTGGATAAGCAGATGTTGATTCTTTTGTTGATTTGAACTCTCCCAATTTCTACAGGAATAACCATGCTTATTAGGATTAAGTTTTATGTTTTATTTTTTTGTTTAGTAGGTTTACCTCTGCAAGTTCTGTCAAAAAATCGAGAATAAAATATTGTTCGTCCATCAAATGCATAAGATCCGCATGGCTGTACCTCGGCAAACCATCATGCTGATCATGATCTTGTAGTGGTTCAAGTGCTCGTTTGAAACGATCCCAGTCCATTTAAAAAAAAATACTTCTTTTTATATGTATAGACAATAAAATATATATATATATGAGCATACACACATACACACACACATATATATATATATAATTATCTCTGTATTTCTATTTCTATATTTCTCTATCTCTCTTTGTGTGCAGCCGTATTATAACTATTCAATATCTTGTTCTTTGGACTGTCAAAAAGTATAAGTTTGGAAAGCAAAGTCACAGCCGTTACTTAATTTCCAATATGACTGACTGTATTAGGAACTGTAGCAATACAAGTTGCACTGTGTATAAAAATGAAATTCAGTATTACTATCCTTTTAAATTATTAGTATTATTATTCGTTTTTTTATATTTTTTATTATTATTTTTTGATACAAAAAAGCTTGTAAGCCTGTTATATATGTATTTATATGTATATATTGAAAGGATATTGAAAATGGGCGTTCTAACGTAACGAGAAAGAAGTATGATGCGTGTACAACCTCGTCCTACTTGGTTTCTTTTGTGGGTAGCAATACCAAAAGACACGAGTGAGAAACCATCCCCGCCTTAAAACCCCCGTTTTTGGAATAGCCAAGGAAGAAGAGATATATATATATTTTGAGAGGACAAACAAGTTTCCTTTTTCCTCGGTACCATTGTCCTCTTGTGCCCTGGTCGCGCAAGTGCCACCCCTATTTCCCCACACTTACACACATCATGCAGCTGTCTCTTTGACAGTACCACATGCTGTAGGCCCTGCATTGTGTGCAATGGATGACATTACATAAAAGAGACAGGTGTATTATGTAGATTTGTACGCGTGCAAGTGTGCCATGTACAACTTGTACTCTGCATCTAATTCTAGGTGCTGTTTATGGAAACATTAGAAATCATTCTTTTTTTGGTTTTTATGTAAAATAGATAAAGTATATTATTAATAAGAGTGGATATAAATTTTGTAGTAGAGAAATAAGAAGGGTAAAAGAAGAAGAAAAAACAAGCATGAAATAGAAGAGTATATAAACCGACAATTACATAGTTTGAGTGTGCGTTTGGGTGTTTGTATGTAGAAAAGTAAATAAAGAATTATAGTTGCAAAGAAAAGAAATAAAAGCACAATCAAACAACCTCATCATCTATTCCCTCGTCTTCTTCTTTCCGTCCTTTCCTCCTTTTGTTCTCTTGTTGTTTTGTTTTGTTTTTTTTTTTTGGTTTGCAAAATTTGTAGTGTCTTCATTACAAGTTTTGAATGAGGAAAATAATAATAGAATTATGAAAGGCGATGACAAGTTACATAGAAATCGTAAGGGTAAAAAGTAGAGTAAAGTAGAGTAAGAATAGTATAAAAATAAAATGAAAATGGGAGTGTAGAGAAGAAAAAGAGTTGACAGAGATAGATTAGATTAGACAGATTCTTTTTTGTAGGCTTTCTTTTTTGGCTTCTATGGTGTTTGCTGGTTCACGATATTTGGGACAGCGCTGTATTTGCGAGAACCATACGGTGTTGGTGGTGCACTTGAAGCTGAATAGAGACCAGGTTGATGAGATCCAGAAGACAAAGGTGGGGGTCCTTGGGAGAAATAAGGGTTCTGCTGCTGTTGTTGTTGCTGTTGCTGTTGAGGATGCTGCTGCTGCTGCTGTTGTTGTTGTTGCTGCTGCTGAGAGTGTTGAGTATGTTCATGAGTGACTGGAGAATGAGCAGCGCCTGAAGGGTGGAAACGAGCACGAGCCCATTCATTAGGATCCATAGGCATATGCATATGAACACCTGAATGTTGCTGTTGTTGAGAATGAGGAGGTTGTTGTCCCGGTTGACCAGCTTGCGGCTGTTGTTGAGACGGAGGTTGTTGAGGTTGATTGGACTGTTGAGGATTAGGGTGAGGGAGATGAGGAGGGTGGGTCAGCTTGCCATCCTCAGAAGGGTGAATGGGTTGGCCAGCATATTCACCAGTGTAAAGGTCCGGAGATGAAGACTCTGAAGACGAAGGATCAGACATGCTTGGAACCATATAAGGATGTTGGGGATGGTGCTGCTGCTGCTGCTGCGGGTGGGGAGGATAAGGCGCAGAGGTGGGTGGAGTATGTTGTGGTGGTCCAGTAGGAGTAGGAGGAGCGCTGTTCATCATCATTGGCTGGAGGGGTGCGTGAATAGGGTTGAAATGCGAGTATCCCGGGTAGGCAGAATAAGAATACGATGATCCGTACTCTCCTGGCATCATGGTGGGTGGTGTCATTGGGGGACGCAAGAAAGGAGCATTGAAGCGTTCATCCTGCTGGGCAGGTGGCTGCTGGGGTGTCCCAGATGAGATAGGCATATTTGGATCAAATCTTTCTTGATTGTCCGAATAGTGCCCAGGACTTCTTCCACGGACTACAAGAGGAGCAGACTGGCAAGATGCAACCTTGATACGTTTACCATCGTCAGTTTCAACGTAAAGATCAACAAGGCAAACATAATACTGCTGTGCGGCCCGCCTTTTGCCGTTGTTTGCTGTCGCGGTTTTGAATTGGATACGCTCAAAGGTAACGATGTTCTGATTAGTACCAACCGAGCTCATACTGAGGTTTCCACCAGGGATGATTGGTTTTGGCAGAGGTGTCGTTTGAGGACCCTTGTCGCGTTTTGGTGTATGCTGAACGAGTTCGATCTTCTTGTCACTGTTTGAAACGCGTGCCGAGACATTCAGAAGGAATCGGCGGACAGGGTAAAAGGCGCCGTCGGCTTGGACAAGACACTGTGTCTCGTGGTCGGCGTAATAGTGGGCAACGCCATGAATGGTAAACGCACTACTGACTTGGAAATAGTTACGACGGTAACAGGTCCAATCGTTGTCAGCCAAAAAGAAGCCACGGTCCATCTTAGACTGGATCCGGATATTGAGTCTAAGAGTTTGGTACGCACATTAATAATAATAAAAAAGAGTGAATATCTTCTGGCCAGGGTGCAATAGTTTGTTGGGCAGTAGGGGGGGAATCGGTCTTTTTCGTTTTACTTACAGGGTATTTCTGTCTAACGCATAGAGATTATCAAACGGTTTTGTGGAACTGAAAAATGGACCCAATTCAGCGGAGAACAAAGACTCATTCCTGCCTCGCTTCCGAGTGATAGATGGGTGGGGATAGGGTGTGGCATGGAAAGAAGATGTTGAATAGGCAACATGGGACTTCTTGACCGGTGAACTTTCTGGACCATTAGTGTGTGCTGGGCGAGGAGTTCCTGGTTGTGAGAGGGCCATCATACTAAATATCAAGTTAGATTATTATTATTATTATTATTATTATTGAAAGAAAGTAAACAAGAAAAGAAAGTAAGAAAAGAAGGTAATAAAAGAAAAATTGTAGAACCTTACCCAGGTAACCTTGGATCCGACTCGGGCTTGACGAGTGGGAGATAATTGGATGAGGGTGGTTGTTGGTGGCTATATAAAGTACAAATAAGAAGGGTGAGTGGGACAAGGTTTGGGACAGGAAGTCTGGGTCTTTCTGTGTTGCTCATAAGAAAAAAATAGTTCTTCATATGATCTTCCTGCTATTCACTCTGCCCAACGTTGCACAGGTACGGTGATAAGTGCTTCAAAAAAAAATATGATTGTTAACTTACAGAGGAGGATGCATTGGGCCACCCTGAGGGAATGACTGGGCATAAGGATGGTCCAGGGCAGGTGAATAGTGTTGGATATGGTGAGGTTGTGGGTGTGTGGGCGCGCCTTCAGCCAGGGAGGGGCTCTGCAAATGCCAATCCTTTTCGTGTACGGACGAGTTCATGATAAAATAAAATTGGTATAAATTTGAATTTGGAACAGATCAACTGGCAAAATTCGAGGTAAAAATCGTTAAATTAAATACGACTTTGACAACTAAGTAAGAAAAAATAATATATATTAAATAATAAAGGTCTCTTTTATCCAGGCAATCAAGCAAAGGATGAGAAGTAGGAAAGGGAAGGAAAGCTCGAAATAGTTCTGAAAACGAAATTATCTTTTTTTATGGGTTACCAACAGCCTGTCGGGTAATGAAAACACCGTGAATAAGGTTGAGAAACAGAAAGAAATGGTTGGCTACTCAGTAAAATGATTTATGAATAACGGGAAATGGGATGAGAAAGGGGCAGCTGACGAGCGAATGAATTGAAAGTCGCAATATCACGGTTTCCTTTAACTTTTTACCTTATTAACCCTCGAGTAGAAATACTTAATAACCACAGCTATATCACTTTGAAGAGATCGCCGTCAAGTGGAACAAGCCAACTTGAGTACGACTTTTACTCTAATATTGATCCAGGACGTGCGCTTGTTTTTGGTCGGGTTTGCCACAACGTGTACACGATCTCCAGTTGGCAAACTTGTACGACTAACTGATGAAAAAGATTCATGCTTTTTTGTCTTGTGCCTGTTTGTTGTTGTTGTTTTTTGCTGTATATATATATTCTTTTAACAAAATGTATATATGAAAATAATTAATCATCTTAAAATAATAAAGTAAATAAAAAAAATCTCATGGTGATAATAATAATAAAAAAATAATGCTTAAAATAAAATATATATATTGATTGCATAGCAACAAATTATGTTTATGTATTTATTTTATTTTATATTATATTATATATTATATTATTTATATTATATTATATTATATTATTTATTTATTTTAATAAATCTATATAATTTTTTTTTCTAAAAAAAGTTTATGTTTCAGTTGCCTGGCAACAAATGAAGAAAAAAAAGGTATAAAGCAAAAAATGCAATATGTACTTATATCATCAAGATACATCAATACCAATATACATATTTGTATTGTTCTTCTTCTTTTTCTGCCTCTTTACCTCTCTCGCCACTTTTGTCTGTTTATGTGTGGAAAAACTGGCAAAACTGGGTTGACTGATAGGTGGGCTGGTAATAAAACAGAATTAGTCTTACCTTAACTTGAGCCTATCTAGCCAAACTGTGCCGAATAAAGCAAAAGCCGCCAAACCTGGCTATTCTAAGCCTCTTTCAATCCTAAAACAGAATACCTTTGGGATTTATCTCCTTTTTTTATTTTACCTCAGTAGGGAGTGAGTCAATTATAAGATATATATATCCTAAAGGAAGTAAAGAAGAACAAAAGTAAAAGGAAGAGGATACAGGAAAGTAAAAAATCAAATGCACGATATGCAAGATCCTTGTAGTCTGTGCATACTCGTACAGCAAGCGTTTTGTCCCCCTCACCATTAGGTAACCTTCAACGTAACAAATCCAGGCAAAGATCATCTTCAGGACCATCTCTCGGGCGCGTACAACCCCTAAAGCACAGACCGTTTAACTTTTTTCTTATTCACAGGTAAGCATAAAGTCAAGCATGGTTGGCCAAAATCAACCAGTACATCTGTACACACACACATACACATATATATATATATACTTGCAGAAAGGCAATAAATAAAAAAAGAAAATAAAAATATGGTTATTTCCACAACAAAATCAAGCGCGGTGATTTTAGACTTCTCCTCCGAATAAAGTCCCTACTCCCCCCACTTCTTTTCCCTTTTCCCTTCACCGTGTCAGGCTCAAGGTTAATTAAGCCAGACGGTGTGGCCCGGGTATATATTGTATCTCCGATTTTCCTCTATCAATTTATTTATTTATTTGTTTTTATTTATTTATTTTATCTCATGCTGTGAATATATAGATAAAGGGAATTCATAGGGATTTAAGCTAATATAATAATTTCAAAAGACATCATTTTGGGATCCAATTGCTTTCATTAACCTACACGTATTCGTATTAAATAAGTGTTGTATTGAGAGTTTGACTACTATCTTTGGCTGTTACAACTCTATTTCTACACACGCGTTTTTTCGCAATTTCTTAAACCTTTTTTTTTAAGAAAGTAAATAAATATATATCTATATATCTATTATACATATATATTTATTGCTATATTTATTTTGGAGGGAAACTCAGAGATATAAAGTTTGTTTTTATTTTTCATTTTTATAAATAAACTCTAAATGCAGCCACGCTTTTGAGATAAAATACATTCTCTCCGGGAAGTAAATTCGCCCAATGGCGAGAACAAAAATCCAGGTTGTACTAAAAATCAATTCACCTTAATGGAAAGTACATTCGCCTTTTGGTGAGAGCAAAATTGGTGTTGTATGAAATGTAAATCCACCATGGCTGACAAATCAAATGTCCTGCTGTCAAGAATATTTTTAGCACATCAAGTCATGGAATATTTGGATATATAAGAGCACTCCAAAATGCTCGTCTTCATTTTGCTTCTTTTTCACAATTACACCGGAAATCATACATAATGAACATTCAATTATTATTTGAAGACGGGAAAGGTTCTGTTATCGACAAATATGGCCGACCTGAACCAATGGATTATACTATTGATGAGGAGCAATTTCGTCTTGAAACATTGAGCTCTCCTACACAATATTTCGCACAATTTCCTCTGGAGAGTGAGAATAAAGTAGAGATAATGCAGATGAAAAAGGAGACAAAGGCTAGTAATAGTTGTTATGAGAGAAATATCAATGAAGCAAAATTATGCACGCTATTATTACCAGGGCAAAGTGAGGTTTTTCAAACTACTACAAAACAGCTCGGGATTCACATTCGCACGGCACAAAAATGGAGTAAACAGTACGAGAAGGATTCTGATAGTATTTTTGAGAAACACAAGAATTTTTATTCACGAATGCATCGGTTAGAATCCTTCAGCCGTCCTCGACGAAGTAATGAATAAAACAGATATCCACAGAATTAAAAGTATCCAAAACTTCTTTGTTTGATTTTGTAAAACAACATTGCAATTTATCTCTCGAAAAAGCTCGTCTTCAGCCTATAGACCGAAATAGCGACGAAAAGATTTTAGGGCGCTTGGATTTGGGTTCGTAAGTGAAAAAAAAAACAGACATGGACTTTACGAGAAATTGTGTCTTTCTTGACGGATCTGCTTTTAATATTAATTTGGAACGTAGTGTGGCGTGGTCACAGAAAGGCACATCGGCCGTGGTCACAGCTCCCAAAAGACGTGCAACAACAACCATTCTGGGCGCGATTTCTGCTGAAGGCCTAATCAAATGCAGCCTTAGATTTCCTCAGTCTTCATCTAATAAAAAGAGAAAATGGGGAGACGGTGTTGAGCATATGAGCAAAGGAACGGTTACCGGATATTATGTCAGCTTTCTGAAGGCGACAATGGATGAAATGGGCTATTATCCACACATTAAAGGTCACTACCTCATGAAAGATAGCTCTTATCCGTACATCAAAGTACATAGCCAAATACGTAGAATCTCGCGGTTACGGCTGCGCTTACTTGTCTCCTTATTCTCCTGGACTCAATTAAATCGAGCAATTTCGGTCAGTGGTAAAAAGTAAAGTAAAACGCAACAAGTTTTTTGAGAAGGAAACTTTAATGACTCGGATCAGTGAAGCTTTTAATAGCATGAGGCTAAGCAACTTTAAAAGAATTGTTAAAAATTATCACAAATGCTTGGACAAGTGTCGTAATTGACATTGTCTCGTGTTTCATTATTGTAATAAACTCCTCCATGCGGCTTTGGCGGGGCAGGATGCGAGCAGAACTGGGATACATGCTGTGAACAGAGCATGAGGATGTGGGCCAATATCAACAGCCGAGGATGAGATACTCTTTAATCAACAAGACATAACTTCCCAACAGCGTGTAAAAGCAATAGTAAGATACGAAAATTGTAATTGAGGTGTGCTAGCAATTATGTGCCTGGTTCTGTATATGGGCCATTTTTTGTTAGAAGATTTGGAATGAATAATGAACGTAAAATCTGATTGACTACTGATATCGTACTGACTTGTTTTCCTGGAACGTCTGTTGGCTGAATGGGGGTATCTCTTTCATGAAAATGGATGTTACAATCCAGATGTAGTATCGTCGCATCGGCTTCAATAGGTAGTTTATTGCACATTTGAATAATGTCGCTTTTGTAAAAGAAACTATGCACCTGCATTTCATGTTTCGTGTTCTTTGCTGAGAGATAAAGAGCTACCGGCCCACAGTCCAAGGATATAGACGTGTGATAAGTTTTTTTTTGCTGCATTGGTTTTCAACACGCGCAGACTGCTTTGTTTCATTGTAAATAAATTGTGCTTCCAACTTTTTGAAGATTCAGCATTGCTTTTGTTGTTGTCCTGAAGCACTGGTTCCATACTGCCTTGATGTTCCTTTGCAACACAAGATTTTTTGCTTGTAGGGAGCTTTGTGCTCAAGATGCTTGGCGAGTTTTTATTTATGCAAAGCTAAAGCGGATGTCACGGCTTTTGTTGTGTATTTTCTAAAGTGAGAGACGGTGAGAACCCAAGAAAGCACATCCAGTAGCCATGTCTTTGCAAAGAGATAGAACAAATTTGAAGGCTTCTTGGTTCTACTAGGGAGATAGACCTAAAGTAAAATAGGAAACAATGGGGAGACAAACGGAAAAATACGCTGGAATGCAGCGAATAATGAGAAGAGATAGCATACAGATTGACCTAGAGGGTGGGTTGAAAGAGTGACCAAGAGGATAGGTGAGAACATATAGGGGGGGGGGGGGGGGGGGGGGGGGTTGCATATTGACTAACTCTTCACACTATCTTCCCCAACCAAAGTGAGATATGTGCGAAAGAGCCGTGAGCTTGAAAAACTTCACTTTGCCCTGGTAATAATAGCGTGCATAATTTTGCTTCATTGATATTTCTCTCATAACAACTATTACTAGCCTTTGTCTCCTTTTTCATCTGCATTATCTCTGCTTTATTCTCACTCTCCAGAGGAAATTGTGCGAAATATTGTGTAGGAGAGCTCAATGTTTCAAGACGAAATTGCTCCTCATCAATAGTATAATTCATTGGTTCAGGTCGGCCATATTTGTCGATAACAGAACCTTTCCCGTCTTCAAATAATAATTGAATGTTCATTATGTATGATTTCCGGTGTAATTGTGAAAAAGAAGCAAAATGAAGACGAGCATTTTGGAGTGCTCTTATATATCCAAATATTCCATGACTTGATGTGCTAAAAATATTCTTGACAGCAGGACATTTGATTTGTCAGCCATAGTGGATTTACTTCCCGGAAAGAGTTTATTCAAAGGCAAGATGTATGTTTTAAATAAAACAAAAGATAAAGGTATATAAACTTGCTGTGTGTGTATATGTATTGTATAGATTGTCTATGGTTATAATAAAAATAAATAAATACATATATAGATAAAAAAGTATATATATATAATATAATATAATATAATATAATATAATATAATATATGACCAAAAGAGCTCACAAAAGATTGTTATTATCAAAATAAAGAAATCTATGTATGTGGTACATTAAATACGATCAAATAGCGAAACCATCGTTCGATGACAATATCTGTTTCATTCAAAAAGGCTATACCTTTATAGAATATATGATTTGTAAACGTATAAAGATATCGTCCATGTTATATTCCTTTATATACATACACTATATACATACACTATATACATATGCATACATGTATATCAATATTAAATATTAAATATTTATATAAAGTACAAGGATTTAATACTTCATTTTGTCAATTACAATACACTTTTTTTTCAGTTTTGTAAAACCTTTCTTTATTCATTTATTTTTGGATATGTATACAACAAAGGCGCTTGTTTTACAGTGTATTCCAAGTTATTCCGTATCGAAACTGGTGTAACTGGTGTAACTGGTACGACAAACGTATATGGAAGCGAATCATTCAGGCATGGTGAATAAAAGATAAATGAAAACAAAAATTAATCTAGATACACAGAATCAATCAATTGCCCATTATAATACCTCATGGGAAAATAGAATGACCCAATTGATTTTTCACCCCCCAATCTCCTGTGACTAAACACATTTTTACTAGAGAACAATCCACTTTATACGAGAGCTTAATTGCGTCTATATAGTGATCACATTGTAGCTGTCAAAGTGATTCTTTTTTCTTTTCTTTTTCAAAACGAGTAAAAATAATAATAGTAATAATGGTGATATCATATCAAGATAATCTTATTATCAAGGCTTAAAAAGAAGATGAAAAATAACAAGGTGAAGAAGTACAAAAGGCTAATTATCTTTTTTAAAATATAGTGTATTTTGTGACCTGACAAATATCAAAAAATGTGTATATCTTGATGTTTGCACTAATTGCACTCAAAAGCACCGTTTACGCTCACAGTAATATAACAAACCTTTTGATTGACTCCAATTCAAACTGATGAATTTTCTTTCTTTCTTTTACCTCGTGTAGATTACTATTAGGTCTTTTTATTTTTTTCCCTTTAATATACGTATATTAAAGATCGTATTGTACTTATATTAAAAAAAAATGCATCAATTTTCATCTCATAAATCACAGCTTTGGAACATCCGCCCTACATATGATTCAACCGTGATTTAATAAGTTGGAAAATTAGAGATTTCCGGAAGATCTAAATATGTTATATTATATCTTACATAGAATATTGCGCAGTGGGGTAAGGGTCATGCCTGGGGTTTGGAGATATAGTAAAATTCAAATATTCTCACCAGCTTGAAACAATTTTTTTTTCTGTGAACCAAACTAGGTTGGACAAATGTCTTGCTTAAAGAAACTCAATTCCCCGGCGTTAGGATATTAGTTAATCAAACGTAACACGACTTACTTTGTTACATTGCTGTGAATATTATTGTGATAATTTGTCCTACTTTGCTATTGTGCAAATTGATGAGCAAACTAATTTTTTTTTCTCTTTTGTATAATATTGTCTCAAAAAAAAAAATAGACTGGTAACCAAGGTAAATTCCATAAGTAAATAAAAATATCAAGTGAAAAGATGAAAATTAAACACTTCTTTTAGAAGTTGAGGGTATTTGAAATTTATTATCATTCAAAGCGTATTCGCTTGATAAATATGAAATATGAGTGCATTGAATTGCGTGATATAAAAAAAAATATAAAACAGATGAATGAAGAATAATAATTAGAAGAGGAAAAATCAAAGGGAAACATAAACAGAAAGCAATAAAGATAAAGAAGTAAAGAAGGAAAGAAGAATATTAAAAGAATAATATAATAGCACAATAAACATGCTCGTGCGTATGTAGTATAGTGTAGTGTAGCGTAGTTTGTGGTGAATGTGTATGTGTGTATAGGTATGTGTGTGTGTGTGTATAGATGAGATTGTTGTTTGTTTGTTTGTTTGTTTGTTTGTTTGTTTTTTACAGAATCGTACGTCGTGGAGTAACAAACTTAAAATTCTTGTTGTTTGCCTTTGTCATCTTAACCTCAACTTGGTTACCCATTCCATCAACAGTCACCAAGAATCTGTTGCCTTCTTTAATACCATGTCCGAATCCAACAGGAGATCCACCTCGGTTATAGGGAGTAGACTGGGATTCCCGTAAAGGACCGGGAGATCCTGCGCCACCTCCACCGCGAATCGTTGTAATCGTACCTGGCGACGCAGCCCGGCTTGTACGCAAATATACTTCACCCAATAATCCACCACGTTCAGACCCTGACGAAGATGCCCGAGGAACAAAGTTTCCCCCTTCCAACAAGGCATGGTCTCTCAAAAACTGTGAGAGCTCAACCCAGCCACCGCCTACACGCACCATAACCATTCTACTGCGCAAGATACGACAGTATGCCAACTTTGGATTCACAGTACCGAACCAATAACGGCCCACCTCACCTGGAACCATCTCGACCTTAATTTTGTAAGGCGAGTCATTTACAATCAAACCAAGCGCCACATCAAGGTCATTCTTAGGATCGGCCACATATGCTTCTGGTTTAGGTACATTGGGTTGTGGTTTTGGAGTACCGACAGAAAGTTGAGCAACACGGCGAGCAGTCGGGGACACATTTCCATTGCCTGCTCCTGTAGTGATAGTGTTCTTTCGGGCACGCGTGTTTCCAGTTGAGGCCATATAGCGTGGCGTAGAATGCATTACCTGAGGCTTCACTCGCTCGTTATTACGAATGATCTGATTAGTACGCTTGTCAGCAACACGTTGGCCGCGATCTTGGAGACTTCCACCGGTACTGGCAGCATTCGGGCTCTGGCTACCAGAACGGCCATTCATTATACGATTAGGGACTGGTGTACCAGGGCGTTTTGCTTGAAGGGTACGTTTATGAAGGTCAGGCATCGTAAACGGATCAGCCAAAGGTCCAATGCAAGCTAGGAGTTCGGATTTCTTAGATACAGCCAGGGCTTGCAGATCCTTCCATTTATTGGCCATCTCCTCAAGACAATGGACAACACGCCGATCATTCAAAAGGCTTTCACCTGCTTCTTTTGCTTCATCCATCAACCCATTAATCTTGGGCTCGTAGTAACGGTATCTTGTGTCGAGATCAATCAAAATTGCCTGCAAATCTGCTCTGCTCAAAACGCCATCTACTACACGCGCACCCTCAGGAGATGCACGATCCACAACCTCAGCCACGGCTAACAAGAGCACCTCAAGTTCTTCCACAACTGTCAAAAACCCTTCCATCTTTTCAGCCTCGGCAATAGCTTCTCGTTTGGCTTTCATCATATCGGTCAATCCGCCAACTGCCTCAATAATCTCTGCGCGTTGACCAGAAAATATGTCTTCGTTCTCGGCACTAATTCCAAGCATCCGATCAAGTTCAGCAATTGCTACCTGAAGGCGTAGCTCAATGTCACGATCCAGACTATCAAGCTCAGCTTTGGCTTGGACTGTCTCTTGCTCGGTTGGAAGCATCGACAGAGAGCACGTCTGTATGACCTTGAGATCTGTATTGTCTCCCATCTCACTTGGCTTGAGGTGACAGACGCGGACTGCGCTTGCTCTGTCCTTAGCTTCACCAATCAGGGTCATGATCTCCTTCACTTTACGAGCAATATCCACTCTATGCTGAGAGTGTTCAATCGTCTGTCTAGTTTCCCCAAGTTGTTGTCCCAATGAATTCCAGGCATCCATAACTCGTGCTTCCCGGATGGCAATGGCTTCCTGAATAAGTTCTCCTGACAGTCCAAAATCATCTTCCAGGTGTTTCAAACCGTCCTTGGTTGGTCCCAAGATTTTAGGTGCCATGGCTTTAAAGCCTGTTACAATAGGCTGCATGTCATGCATCTTGTGCTCCAGATTGTCCAATCCAGCCAAAAGTTCGTTTTCATCTGTGATACAAACATCAGTAGGCAGTTGAGAGATTGCATTGCTGCAGTGACTGATCCAGGATAAAAGTTCTCCTGCTGTCTTGGCATGCATTTGCATTTTTCGTACAAATCCGGCCTGCCGCTTTTCGGATGCCAGCACACTGACCAGTTTTACTATATCGCTTTCAATCGTTTCCAGCGGGGATTTTACAGCAGATTCGCCATAACCCTGTTTTCTCAATTTGCGTGCATCTTCCAAAGCTTCTTTAAGTAGTTGACGCAGTTCGGTGATCCTGGCTTCGGATCCGGCCGAGGCACCCATGGTGGCACGAATAAGCTGCTCAATCTCAAGACGTTCCATAGTTTCAAATCTACGCTGTTTCATTAGTTCCATACGTTTTTCAATCGCATCATGTTCTTCTTGGACTGCATCTTTGAGCTTCTTAGCACGCTCCAAGAAATCGCCAAAGGCAACTGCGTTATTAGCATTTTTCTTTAGATCATTGAGACGGGTAACAATGTCCTGGGCCTTGTTCAAAAGAGCGGCGTGGCGATCGCGAGCACAGGAGTAATTTGCTGTCTGGACAGCATCCTCTTTGCGGTTTGCAGACGTGATTCTTTTTCCAGCCTCACCGAGCATGTGAACTGCCCGTGACAGCTTTTTCTCAATTCGTTCAAGGTCAGCGTTGCTCCAGCCTGCCTTTGCCAGATGTGCGATTTCTTGGGTGAGACCATGAAGGCATTCTTCATCTACAATACTCATACGTCGCTGACGATCGTACCATTGTCCTACAGCCTCAGTAAAATTCTCGAAACTGTCCATGTCGTTAGCTAACTGGGCCCAGTCCTTTTCGAGTTCCTTTTGGACTCTTGCGGCTTCCTCTCGGTCCTCTGTCTTTTCGGGAGTCATGCTTTCAAATCTGGTACAGATGTCTTGGTAGTGTCGTTGTTGATCGACGTATGCTGTCTTGAGAGACTGGAGAGCACTGTTAAGCATCTCAAAGCGCTGGCGATCTTGTTCTTCGCTCTGACCAGTCATAAATCCGCAAGTCTGTTTGAGGCCTGGAATAGATGCCCGTGTTTGAGAAATAAAAGCCTTTAGAGCTTTGGCACGCTCAACATAAGTATTTCCATCTTCCATCTTTTGTCTCAGTGCCTTGAGCTCTTCTTCGTGTTCATCTAGTGTGTGTCGCAGGCCATCAAATTTGTCTGTGAGGCGTCGTGATTCAAGTTTAAGTTCGTCTCGGTCGACTGATACACTGCCAACTTGATCGGCTGTTTCCAACAAGGTCTGGATGCGGATCAACAGATCAGCAGCCTCGTTTTCTTTTTCTTCTTCCAGAACTTGGACAAGTTTGTGATGTTCTTTTTCAAGTTTTCGGACATCGTCAATGCTAATAGTGTTTGGATCTACACCATCCACGGATGCGTTTTTGATCTCAGCTGAACGGCTGTCCACCCACAAACATAATCTGTCCACTCCCTGAACTAATTCTTTGCCTTCGCGGTGTAGCTCAAGGCTGTAGCAAAGAGAGTTAAGTTGGCTATCAAGTTCCTCAGCCAGATCAATGAGCTCGGCGCGTTTTGAATCCATGACCTGACGGATTACATTGTTTGATTGCTCGTTTTCTAGGCGATCGAGATCGAGAACTGGTTCTGGGTAGACAACACGACTAGTTGCCGTTGCGAGTTGGAGAATCCGCTCATGAATTGCCTGTACTTTTGCGGTCAGCTCATTTTCTCCACCGTGAGTTTCTTCAGCTGCGGCGAGTTCGAGTGTGATCTGATGTGCGTCGGCCTTGAGAATATCTATCTGATATATTGAATCCATCACGCTCAAACGCTGTTCTACAACCTGTCGTGCAAACGCAGTCCGCTTTAACAAATTATCAAACAGAGCTTCGCTGTGCAGCTGTCGGTGACTAATATGGTCAGGTAAGGTTTCGTTGACTATGTCTTCAAGATCTTCATAGAGATTGATTGTACGACTAAATTGGCCCTGGTCAAATTCGTTCATTCTTTGTTCTAACGACAAGAGGTTCTGAATGATGAGATCTCGTAGACGTTCTTTGGCTGCTAGTCGGTCAGTTTTCTCTTGATCAGTCTCGTCTGTTGCACAGTCGTCTTCTTCCGCTTGCCAGCGAGCACTTTTTGTCAAGAAATCATACACTTGTGCGTCAGTTGTCGTGAGCCAGTCCATAGTCCCCACGTGCTCTTTTTCCCATGCAACACGCCGCGTGAGGGCTTGGAGATCGAGGCTCTTTCGTCTGAGAGAATGCATGAGTTTGTCTAGGGCCTTGAGAGTGGTGAGCGTTATGTCTATAGTGGTAGTGTCTGCCGGACTGAGGTCCTTGTCAGCCCGCCCTGCGCCTGTGAGGTCTTTGACATGGGATCTGAGCCTAGCCATGTCTTCGGCATCAAAATGTTCGATTTCATCTTCGAGTACGCTGTGTTGGGCGTTTAGTGAGTTAACGACCTCGTTTGTGGCCGGCGTGTCCGGACCAGCCATTGCATCAGGAACGGTGGTTTCTCCTAGACGTTCGATACGGATCTGAATCCATTGTCTGATACGTTCTGCTTCTGCGAACCAGACTCGGACCTCTTCAACCCAAGTACAAACTAGATCATTTTTCTTGGTGATAGCTTCAAAACGGGCTTTGTATGCATCGTCGTCACTACCTAGGCCTTCGTCCAGAAGATCGGCATAGTCTACCCCTAATTCTTTTAATCGTTCTGACGTGCGTTTAACCCTTGTTTCGAGTTCCTGAATGTCGGTATCTGTAGTTATGGCCTTGACCATCTTGGTTTGAACAACATCCAACTCCGCACGAATCTCCGAGCAAGAACGAGCAAACAAAAATCCACGGCGGAAGCGTGCGAGTTGGTCGTCGTTTGTGTCCATGGACGCAACAAGTGCCTGGTACTGTTTATCGATTTCTTCTAAACGAGACAAGACACTCTGGTGCTCTTGCCATTCTGGCTCGAGTGATTCGTCGACGTACTGACGTAGAGCTGCCATGGACTCTTCTATAAATGGTAAAGATGTCCGACAGGCTCTGACGTTAGTTTCATATGCACTCAAGTCTTCCCTGGCTGCCCTGAGTGGATGCAGTACGCGCGTGTGCCCGACATCTTCTCCGTCGTTTGACCGAACCGGACTGGAAATCTCGCCATCCTCAGAGGCCAGCTCGAAGCTGTCCATAGTAGCCGAACTGGACATTGCATAGTTGGAGCGTGTGGGGACAACCCTGTCGAGACGACTCTGTAGGCGAGTGATCTTTTCAGAGAGAGTTGTGGCGCGCGATTCAAATTCTTTTAGTGGATCAGGAACTTGGCGCTCGCCTGTCTTTGTGGTAGTGGTTTTTGTGAGTTTAAACTGTTGTACAGAAAATGTGGATGTGCGAGTGGTTGAAGTGAAAGGTTCGTCTGGGGTGTCTGTGGTTGTTGAGCTAAGAGAGGGAGTTGATGGAGTTGATGCCGAAGAGTTTTGATTATTATTATTATTATTTTGTTGTTGTTGAAGTGGCGGTGAGGACGGTCGTCTTTTTCTTTGTTGTTTGTTTGAAAACCCACCGTCTGCGTTTATTTCACGCCATCGAGCAAGATCGGCTTTCCTCCGCTCCTCCGCTGCTGGGGAAGGGGGACGTGTCTGGACGGCTCGCAAGAATTCGATGAGGTAGGCTGCAATGGTTTGTTCGTCAAGCTGTTCAGGGTCTGCTAGTACGACTGGATCTATGACCAGAGGCACACCTAAATTTGTGTAGGCGAGTTGAAAGGCTGTCGAAAGAGTGTGAATAGCCTGAGATGTGGTATGAGTGGTGCTGTCAAGCCGGCAAAAATGTTGAAGGTCCGGGACAAGGCTTGGGTTGTGATAATGAACGAGGGCAAGAAAGGATCGACCATCTTGCCACCGGATAGATGGTATCAATGAGGCATCAATGTAATTTTTTAAAATCGTGCTCGTCCATGCAGAGAGGAGTGGCTGAAGGTCTACGAGCGCAGCAATTGGAGGAATATGAGCAGAAGAAATCTACATGGTTACATAAATTGTTAATATTGATATTAATATATATATATATTGTGAGTATACTATATAAATGTTTAAAGATATTGATTTTTTTTTGCTGGTTGGTTGGTTGGTTGGTTGATTAATTGATTGATTGATTATTGGCAAAAAAGAAAGGAAGAAGGAAAGAAAGAAAATAAGCTGCGTACGTGAGGGTATTGTGTGCAAAGCGTTGGTTGTAAAATGGACAAGAGGCGGGCGATGTGTTGAAGGTGAAGAAAGGAGAGGAGTGCTTTAAGGGTATCAGGATGTGCAAGGTCTGTGGGAGTAATGACAGGCTCCTGGAGGCCTAGCCAGGTTTGAATAGCGTCTGCTGCTTGTTGGAGTGTGTCCATCTGTTCATGAGAATTGTCATCTAATCTTCCACCTAATGCTAACACGAGGGATAACAAGGTGTCTCCATTGGATATCTGGGCAAGAGAAGCCACTGGTGGGCTTAGGAGAGTGTTGACCCAGAGTAATATTGTCTTTTCTCTACATGCGCGCGCTGTCAATGGTAGACTATGCAATGCGAAGAATCTAGATTCTGTTGATTCTTTTGGGAGTTCGCTTGCATGAGACTCCATCGCAAGGTTCATGGGGTTTATATGCTGAGATTTATAGAAAAAGTATAAATAAATAACGAGGTCACTCCAAAGTATTATATATGAATATTTATATATTTATATATTTATATATAAATATAAATATAAATATAAATATAAATATAAATATATTTATGTATGTATGTATGTATGTATGTATGTATGTATGTGTGTGGTTTATATGCGCTTATGTATATATATATGTGTGTGTGTGTGTGCGTAAAATAGGACAAATTATTTCCCAAATTCAAAAAAAAATATGAATAAATAAGGGGTTACAACTGATATATAAAAGTAAAAGAAGTAGTAAGAGTAGAAGAAGTACAAAAAGAAGAAGAAGAAGAAGAAATTACAGCAAAGGAATACGAAAACCAAAAATGAAAAGAAAAGAAAAGAAAGCAAGACCAGCTAATATAAAGTAATATAATAATAATATTTGAATTTATATTTGATTATTATTATTTTATTATTTATTTTTGTTAAATAGCTTTCCTAACCTTTTGTATTCGAGAGGAGAAGAAAAGGAGGTAAAGGAAATGATTGTGTTTTATTGTTATTTATTTGTTTATTTATTTTCTATGCTGATTGGCAAAAAGATACTAATAATTGTTTTTTTAATATGCGTATGTTTGGGTGTAAATATATAAATTTATGTAAAAGAAAGCAAAACCTAAATGTGTGTATTCTGCACACATCTTTATCGACATATGTCTATGATCTCAAAGGAGTGAAAGGGGGTACAGACCTTCTAGGCTTCAAAGATGTGCTACAAGCACATGAATTAGCCAAGCACGTTCTCTATTCGCTCACAGTACACTCTCCCCCCCAATCTAACAAGAGTCGTCCTTAGGACCTTGCACGCCACTTCCGAGCCGAACCCGGACTTTGTACTCAGTAACCTTCTTTATATGGAAAGCCAAGTCGTTACTCATAAGAAATATTTACATACATATATATATTGTTTGAGATTAAGGCACCAAGTCTGAAACAGTCTAGTATATAAAGTGTATAGATAACTTAACAACCCCTCCTGTTGTGCCAATTAATAGCATTCTCTTCCCTTGTATATGTTTATCTATCTCTATATTGCTCGTAACAAATTTGTATATTTAAACGAATCATCAGACTTGAAGGTGATATTAATCTAATAATAATGATCAACAGGGTCACACAATCAAGGGAAGTTGTGCACTAGAGAGAGTAAATTTTGATACTTATAGGACCTTTTGTTAGTTCCAAATAAATCAAAATGATATCATTTCATTATTATTCTTATTATTATATGCAGATGTATATATATATATATACACACGTACACGTACACGCACACGCACTACAAGTATAATGGTAATGGCAATGGCAATAGTAGTAGTAGTAATATTAATTGTGGTTGTAATAGCAACAGCAACAGCAACAGCAACATCAGCAACAGTAATAGTAATAAAGAATAGTGTTTCAATATTATTCCTTTTTTTTCTTTTTTTTAATCATGTAGCGTTTCAAAAATGAAATTTATACTCTTGTCCGACTTTCTCTCGGCATGAACTGTGCGTGTGTATGTGTAAATAGATAAATATAAATATAAATATACAGCGGTAGATTCATAATTTTATATACAAATATGGGATTGACAGATTAACATGGTTTTGCCCTCATTACACATAATCATTTTATTATTATTTTTATTATTTAAAAAAAGAAGTTTTGATTACTTACACGCGACAGGAAGGGTTGTGATAATATCGGTCCAATAATAGGCAATCTCTTCAAGAACCCAAACACAACCGGGAAAAAGTCACTATACAAAACATAAAGACAATAATAATTTATATCAGTATCAATTTGTTTATTCTTTCTTTTGTGCGCACAGAGGTTACAACATACCCAAACAGGTTGAGAATACCAAACACCTCAAGCAAGAAGCCAAAGAATGGAAACTTTATCAGGACCAAGAAAATACCACCCAATAAACAGGCTGATCCGCGCAATTTTTCACGTCGAGTGAAAAACACAACTGTGTTCTTGGGACCAATGATAGCTCCAATTCCGCTCAGAAACAGGACCTGTTGGTTGGATATTATACAATACATTTATAGTTGTGCGTTTTGTGGTAGTGGTGTACGATGGTGTAAGTAGATTGCATCATCTCATTGTCAACACTTACATTGCCAATTGCCAACAGACCACCATCAAAGAACATCATCACGCCCAAGAGCATAAAGAACAAGCCAAACGCTGTAAGGCCGACACCAATCTCTATTAACTTGTGTTGATAAGTCCTATTGACTCTGTGTATTGTTTTGCATTCTTTATTTCGTTTCTTATTTTTGCTTTTGCTTTTATTTTTGCTTTTTTGCTTTTTATTTTATTTTATTTTATTTCCTATTACTTTGACTATCGCTTAACCACATGACCAATAAAATAGAAGAAGGGAACAAAAAAAAATCCAAGGGACGAGAGGACTTGTTCTCCCTTGGTTTGGCCCCGCGTCCCAAGAGGAGTTGCATTTCAAAGTAAGAAAAAATATATATATAAAAAAAAATCCCGTTCACAGTCACTAGATATTACCCACAAAGATATATTATTTATATAATTTCATATACCAATATAAAAAAAAGGCAAAGTAAGGCAAAGCAAACCGTATCAATATCGTCATCGTCATCATCATCACCTTTATCACTATAGCCATCACCCAAAGTATAGTAATGCTTATAAAAGCATATATATATATATATATAATTTTGAAATAAAGAAATATCACAATCAATTTCTTTCACTAATTAAGCAACAATGAAGCCAGCTCTTGTTTTCTTTCTTTCTTTATTATATATAAGGATATTGAGTGTAATACAGCACTAACTTCTTTTACTGTCACAATATACTGCTTTTTATATATACACACACGCAAAAAGTCTACTACACAAATCATACAAACACACACCATGACAACCAAAGATAAAATCGCACTGTAGGAATATTACATTCTTGTGTAAATTTAATTGAAATCCATTTCTTCACAGTCACGTACTTTTCTATACTTCTTTAAAATCCAAAAATAATAATAATAGTAGTAACAATAAGTCGTACAAGATTTATATATATATAGATAGATATAGATATAGATAGATATAGATACAGATACATATACATATAATATCTTTTGGCTCGATGGAAGACCGTGGCCTTGACGCTTATTCATGGGTTACCTTGGTTATATTCCTGTTATCAATTGTACCAGTCATTCGACCTTTCAAAATCCCATTCTTTCGTCAGACTCATATTCGTCTCAATCTCGCCACTTCTCCTCCTCTTGGGGTGCTTATCTTACTCATCATCAGAGCCATTCCCATTACGACTGTTAGAGATGGGTGTATTGGTTCAATGGGAATTCAGCCTTATGCGATCCTTATCTTATTCTATTCTCTTGTGCGTACATGAGCTATATATATAACTGTATGTGTACTAAATATATATGTATATGTATATGTATGCATGTGCATATATATGTTTTTTTTTTGTTTTGTTTTTTGTTTTCGTAGGCATATATTTGCATTTCTCTCGATTTAACAGGTTTATTTCAGTACCTTGCCTTTTGGGTGTCTCGGAAGGCTGGAAATCGAGGAATATTGGCATTCACACTCTTTTTTTGCCTCACCAGCCTAATGAGTGGTCTGACAAGTAATGATGTGGTGATCTTGACTGGAACAGTATTCTTATCGTATTTTACCCGAGTGTCTGGTATCAATCCCACAGCATTTCTAGTGAGTGAATTCACAACAGCGAATATTGGTAATGTACTTAATAAAAAACTAAAAAAAAAAAGAAATAAATAAAGAAGAGCAGAAAAGAAGTTGAGAATATATAAAAGAGAGAAAGAGAGATAAAAGAGAGTAAAATTCAAAGCACAATAATAATAATAATAATAATAATAAAAGACCTTTCTTTTTAATATATATATATATATATCAAACACCTAAAAGAAAAAAGAAGGAATAGATGAATGAAATGTACAATTGTGCACAGTTTTGCACACAATGAACTCAATTCATCTTTACAGCATCCATGGCGTTGTACATTGGCAATCCCACAAATGTGATTGTGTCGGAAGCCTACGATATAAGCTTTATTGAATACTCAGCCTGGATGTTACTTCCGACAGTAGTGACACTTTTGCTGGCATATTGTGTCTTGCGCGTGATGTTTAACAATCCAGTCTATCTTCCACGCCAGATCGTTGCACCTGATGCGAGCCCAAACAGCGTTCTGTTGGATCCAAAGGGGGCTGTGTTTGGCACGGTTCTGCTGGCCTGCTGTCTTGCTACACTGGTCGGCACTTCCTTTGCTGGAGTTTCGGTGTGGATGGTGACACTTCCTTTTGCTGTGGTAACATTAGTGAGAGATTTCTTGTATGACCTTGGAAGCATCAAGTGGATGCACAGTAATAATGGGCTTTCGACGGTGACCGGTAGTATCGACATCGACATCGACATCAGCACCAGTAGTACAGTTAATAACGGCACGATTGACAGCATCGACAGGACACGTAGAAGCAGCCGGGGTAGCCTAAGCAACCGAAGTATCGGTCTTCAGTCACTGCCTGCTACAAGGGCCGAGACAGCTCCTCGAGAGACAGTTGGTTTGCATCGGTCGTTCCAGCGCAGACTTGGACAACGGATCAAGAGACTTGGGTACCGCTGGCCGACTGTATTTGCGGTTATACAAAGAATGCCCTGGGCAATCTTGCCATTTAGTCTGGGGATGTTTGTGCTTGTCGAGGGACTGTCTTTGGTTGGATGGGTGGGGGTTCTGGCCAAAGGGTTGGTGGTGTTTACTTTAAACTATGTGACGGCAGTCTATGGAGTGACATTTGTGTCGATTGTAGCTTGTCAGCTGCTGAACAACCTACCCATGACCATCTTGTTAACAAGAATAATCCAGCATCCAAATTTCAGTTCCAGAGTCACATCCCCAGTTATTATGCAAGGTGTTCTGTTGGGACTTATTGTAGGAAGCAACCTGGGTGCATGTCTGACGCTTGTAGGAAGTCTTGCTGGTATTATGTAAGTACAATTACAAAACAAAACAAAAAAAAAGACCAATTGTTAATATTTTCTTGGTTGGGTTGATCTAGGTTTGATCACATCTTGAAGAGCAAGAATATCCATGTACTTGGCTACCGTAATTTCCTTGGTTGGAATTTGATTTTATTACCTGTTCTTGCCTTGGGTGCAAGTAGTGTAATTATTGGAGAGTTGTGGTTTATCTATCAAAGGAGTTAAGGCTTTTAATCTCTCTCTCTCTCTCTTTTTCCCGTGGCTGAATATTTTTGCTTTAATAATTTAATTAAAAAAAAAGCAAATATATATATATATATTTATATTATGATGATTATGCTGATTATTTGTTTAATATTAAGAGAGTGAAATCCAAGTGGTTGGGGATATTCAAGTTTCCCCAATGTGTGGAGTCGGTCATTAAATAATGTTTTAGATTTTTTTTTCAACTTGTATTTCTATAAAAGATGGGGGACCAAAATTACTCCCCCCTCCTTTGAATACCTTTTATATAAATATATTTTATATTATTTTATTTTTGAAAAAAAAAATCTTTCTTCTTTCTTCTTCTTCTTCTTTTTCTTTTTCAACTACTTCTTTAATACCAATTGGCAACGATTTACTCTTACAAATACCGATAATACTGTAAAGAAAGTCATTCTGCCATGACAAATCCTATGATAGAAGGCCATCTTTTGATGATGGGAACACACGCACCAAATGCTTTGTGGGGAGGACATCTTGAACTGTCTCTGCTTTGGTCAGGTAATGACAACAGATGATAACTATATAGTCAAATAAGAGGTGGTGTAGAATCATTGACTAACGGATTGGTAAATGGATTAGTATTCTCAAAATGTAAAAAGAATGTACAAGGACTACGTATCGAAAACATCTCTTGGCGGTTGTGGTATCGACAAGCAGTTCTTCGTAGACCAAAGGCACCCCATCAACCTATTCCACTCCCAGACAGCCTTCCTTTGCTCACCCGGACGCGCTCTCTTCCAACCTTTCCATCCCAGCCAACACCAAATAATATCAGCCATGATTGGATTGGCAAACAAGCACAAGCACAAGCAACACCATCATCGTCATCATCATCATCATCATCATTATCATCATTACCGCCACCATTATCACTATCATTATCATTATCACTATCATCAGCACCAGTACCACCAGTGCCGGAATTAGCATCACCACAAACAAAAACAAAAACAAAAACACAAGCACAAGCACAAATACAGACACAAAAAGAAGATACAGAAGAGTTTGGACAAGGTGCGCCGTCGCCGATAAGATCAAAATTCTACATTGACCAGTCAGACGATGTGGAATCTTTGGACAGCTACATGACCAGTAGTGACGAAGACGATGATTTGTACTATTATTACAGCAATAGCAACATCAATAATGATCTTAATAATAATAAGAAGAAGGAGGATGAGGACGAGGATAAGAATGATAAGAACGAAGATTATTATTATTGGCAAATGAGTGAGGATGGTTATGGTGGTTGTGCATATTCTTCGGAGAGCTCTTTGTGCGTATCCGACCTGCAGCAAACAGATTACACATTTGAGAAACAGACGGTCAAGGCTACTGAATCTATTTCACTCTTATCGGCCATGCTGCAAGATGATGAACAGAACTACAATAACAACAATAACAACAATAACAACAACAGTAACAACCACAATCAAAATCAAAATCATAACCTCCTCCACCTTTACAACCAGCAACAACAACACGACCATTCCAAGTCTACTGTGATGGATACTGCAATGGGTAATACAATGGGACTGCGACGATGTCAAGCACGATATCAACATTTATCTGAATGGTTCATGGCAAATCCTACTTCTACTTCTACTTCTACTACTTTATAGATTCTTGTTTTTCTTTACTTTATCTTATTATACCCTCATTACACCAAAAAATACTATGTTTTTTTTTTCTTTATTTCTTTATTTATTTATATAAAAAGAAAGACAGACAGACAGACAGACAGAAAGAAAGAAATATACTGCATCATCTCTTCTAATACAATAAACAAGAAAGGCCCTTTTTTTTGTACACAATGTTTGGCATTATCATAGATCAGGAGAGCATGCAGCTTACATTGATAGACCATTTGTAACTTAACTTAGTAAGCCAATAAAGCAATTGCATATCGTTTTCGTTTTAGTTTTATATATGTGTATGTGCGTGTGTTACCAAAATAGAGATACAGATCCAGAGACGGACACGGAGAGAAACAAAAGAGGGGATGTAGGGTGCAAAGTGGAGTGCGATAGAATAGAGTTCAAGAGGTAAATTAAACGGGTAAACGCAAAAAAAAACAAACAAAAAGAAAACAAATCAATTAATAAGGTAAATGAGAATAAGAGACATCAAGAGCCTTGGTTATCAAGTGCTTTGTTAAAAAAAATTCGATTTAGTCAAATAGCTTGTTTTATTAGAAAGAGAAAGAAGATATTGATAATTGGTAATAAAAGGTTCTAGGCCAACCTACTATAGAATTTATAAATCTTTTGTTATTGTTTTATGATTATGATTGTGATTGTGATTATTATATTTGTATTTGCATTTGAAACGTCAAGCTGATTCTTGTAGATCCTAAAGACACAATCGTACCAAAGACACCCTAAAGAGAAAACAAAAATTTGTATTTACTTATCAGTAATTAAAGATAAAGACGATCGTTAATAGCTATTAAAAATAACACATACAATTAAAGTGTCCCTGCATAGGATTTTGATATCCACGTCTTGGTATCTATATATACGTATAAAGATAACACTAATACTGATAACAAAGAGCCTTTTTCTTTTGTGTGTATCTTTGCGTTAAAAAAAAATCAAGGGTGCAGATTTGTAAACGGCCGTGAGATATAGAGTTACTCAGCATTAGAAATTAATAAAACGAAAAAAAAAAAGATATTTTATTTATATTTATTACTCCTTACTTTTCTTTCACATTCAATACCATGCCTTGAGTTGTCAAAAATTCTTATATAGAGGCATTGCTTGTTTTTATTTCTTTTCTTTTGTTGTAAAAACAAGCATCTTCTCCTCAGTAGAGCTCAAAGTCATCTTGAACATTCCTCAATTGACGATTAGATGAATCATTAAAGAGATATTAAACGGAGTATTACTGATAAATATTGTTCTTTGTTTTGAGTCTAAGAGTGAGATGCATTTGAGGGCTATGGGATGCTATTACCAAAGTAGCTTGGCACATGTTGATGTAAAATAAAAGAATAATAATAGAGAGTTTGTAGAGAAACGGTCAGTAACTATATTTGTGTAACCGTCTTTGGTTCTTATGCTCCAGTGGCCAGGACAAATATGACAGTTGGACAGATGAAGAATAGGTTGGGTTTTGGTGGCAATAGCCAGAGCAATAGCCAGAGTCGGAGCCAGATCTAGTATGACAGCTGAGGATTGGGGTTACAAGTGATTTGGTCAGATGCTTCCCGGCCTATAGTAAAGGGCAATGATCCTGACCCAACCATAATCCACGATCAGTAAAACCTGGAGAATGTTTCTAGCAAATAAACAAAGATATACAAGTTATAATATTAAAGCTTGGAAAGGGCTTTTCTTTTCTTTTCTTTTCTTTTTTATTCTTTTAATGACCAAGGGTTTTAAACCTTTTGTGGATCTTGTTTGATCAAAATAGCCTTTTATTTTTATTTTGTCGACTGTTTGGTATCAACAAGGATAATTTAATAAAGTACTTATATAATATGCTTACAACTTTGTTTTCAAGAAGACGGACCTGAATAAACAATACTAAAGGAAGATCAAAATATATAAATACAAAAAAGGTCTGGCAGAATTAAGACTGTAAATTTGGTACTCGTGGTAGGAAACGTTAAATAATTGATCTATAGACTTTATTGGAATACAAGTCCTAACTAGACCATTATAGTGAATAATTAAAAGAGAAGGATTGCTATAACTTTCCAAAGACTTTCTTATTATTTATTTTGCAGTAAAGAAGATCCTCTCTCTCTCTTTAGTTTATCTTTGATTATTACCATTCATTTAATGTACACAGAGAGAGAGAGAGAGTTACAAGTTATTGTCTTTATTACTGATATTGATATTGGTATTAAAAATTGCCATTATCATTATCCAGTCATTATTAATATCAGTATTAATATAGGGTTTCTTTTACTTTCAAAAAGGTAAACTCAAAATGTTTAAATATCTCTGCTTTATCCAGTTGTAGGATAAAAGGAAATACGACTCCGATATGATTATTATAGATAGAAATATATATATATATAAAATATATAAAAAATATATTAGAAAAACCAATATAAGGGGGGTTTTAAAAATTAAAAATAAAATAGAGGTGTTTAGAGAGTATAAAAGGAACGGAACGAATGGGAAATATGACAAACAAACCAAGAGGTAAAGAAGTATGTTTGTAAAGAGACAGTGTGTAAGAGAGCGAGGGTTACTCTGATTCTTGTCCCTGTATCTAGTAAAGATGATGTCTTTTTTTTTCTTTTTTCTTTTTTGTGTCTAGTAATTAATAGAACAGCAAAGTCTCCAAAAGTTTACAGAGGGCGTGGGGCAAAATGTATGACAAAAGGATTTAACAACATTCCTCCAGTACACAGCAACACAGCATACCAGCCAAACTAAGCACAAAAAATAAATAAATAAATAAATAAATAAATATATATTGATTGGTTGATTGATTGATTTATATATTACCAGGCAGTACAACAGCCATCATCCTGTCTCTGTGGTGGTGCTTGCTGAACATAAATTGTCTGAGGAGGAGGACTAAAAGACATCAAATAGAAGAAAGCATATCGAATTGTTATTAAAAGAGTGATAACAATATCAGGATTACTTACGTTGGCTGGTAGAAACCACCACCTTGTTGTGGAGGGTAGTATCCCTGCTGAGGTTGTTGTTGAGGATAATAACCTTGCTGAGGAGGTTGGTAGTAAGGACCGTTCTGCTGAGGAGCGTAAGACATTGGAATAGACGGTAGTTATGGTGGTGATGAGGTTGGTTGAAGGGGTAGAAAAAAGAAAAAAGAAAAAAAAAAGGGTAAGAGAAGAAGAGGTGAATTTGACAGTCCGAGCGTTCGAATAGGATTTATACTGGCGGCAAATATAATATTTATCAGATTTATTTTATAACTAAGAAAAATAAATAAAATGCTTGGCTTGGCTTGATTATTCTTATTTTATTATTTTATTTATTTATTTAAACTATATGATTTATAGATCAAAAAAACAACAACAACAAATGGCTTATTTTTGATCTTATATTGATAAATACACTTGTTATAGTCATCATTTGGGTTAATTATATCCACAAGTTGCTAAGCAATTATTTAACTATTCAGGTGCGTCTATCTATCTATATTTGTACATAAACAAGTACCTCTTTACTCATTTGACTTTTTTCTTTTTCTTTTTTCTAGACCCAGAGATCAATATATATATACATATATATATATATTATCTTGTAATTCATAATAACAGCAATAATACAAATTTATATCAATTGTCCGTTCAGGGCAATCCTGATCTTCGTAAAAAAAAAAAGTATCTCAACAAGGCAATACATAGCGTGGCTAATCGGGAAATCTGATAGAATAGACTGCCAAAAGTATATATATACACAAAGAATCAAAGTGAAAAAAAAAAAACCAAAAGTGTGAGTAGAATGAGTGAAGAAGAAATAAAGGAGAAAAATAGCCCGAAGAACTATCCTGGCTGACTTATATTTTTGTGCCCGTTGTAATCCAAACCCAGACAAGTCAGAACAAAAAAAAAAGATAGGTGGGAAAGTCTGTCTCTAAATTAATACTACACACACCCATCCCACCAGCAAACTACAACAATTTTTTTTTTCTTTTCTCAGTAACCATGTCGGAGAATAAAAATACCCACAACATCTACTCTAAATGGAAATTAAAATGAATGAAAAAAATCAGGGGGAGAAATAGATCAATTATTGAAAATATACATATATATAATTGTTTCAAAATTTAGAGAGCATAAAGACTGGTTACAAATTTTATTTATTTATCTCGAATTAATTATTTTTCTTTCTACATCTTTTGCTCCCACATTTTTCTTTGAAGCATGGAAGACAACTTTACCCAAAAGACTGCTGACAAGACAACCTTCATGTGCACAATCTGTACAAGCCATAATATCTTTAAACCACTGCACAGACTTTGAAACCATTACGGACAAACCATCCTAATAAAACAAAAGAGTATGAGAACTCTTTTCAAAAAAAAAAAAGGTAAACTTAAATACAACAAATATCATATTGAAGTTACCTCGACACTAAACCTGCAATTTCTGATGGTCCTTTTTTTTAAAAAAAAAAAAAAAAAACTAATTCCATTACCATTACCACCAACAACCTGAAGGGCTATAATGAATCGACTCTAATGGAATCAATGTTCGAATTTCCCGGTACATTTATGGAAATGAGGCATATGATTAAGAAGAAAAAGGTAATAATCACGTTTCATTGTAAGTAAAGATGACTAATGTCATAGTAAAATAAATAATAACCAGGGTTTTGTTGTTGTTACTGTTGAGCAGTTATCAATCAAATTTTGACCTACCCGATGAAAACTCTTAAGCAATTTGACGAAAAAAAAAACACACACACACGAACACGAACACCAAAATAGACTATGATAGCCTGGATCATATTCCTAGAATTTTCTCATACTTTCGGCTCGTTTGGGATAAGCTATAAACCCCTCCTTCTTATTTGATGCCTTGTCTTCCGGTTGAACCCACTGTGGGCCAGAAGAAAGACCAAAGTCCTTCTTGCCCGAGTTCGCCAATGCCGATTCCTGGCCAGCACTACATCTCGATGGGTACAAGGAGTCTCTTAGACTCAAAGCCTTTGATCCATCCTTACCAAAGGGCATGCCTGTCGAAACCCTTTACATAATTCCTCTTGGTCCCAACTAAATAAATACTTGTGGATCTTCTTCTGTAAACAAAATATGTTGACCGCAAGTGAAAATAAAAGTCTCCAGGAAGCTCTAGACTCTTAAAAAGCATGTAAGAGTTACAGCCGAACATTCAGGAACAAGCTTCGCCACACTGGTTCCTTTGTTGGACGCGATTTCAAGGAATTGATTCAAGTCTTGCATCCATTAGGCCGCCTGTCGTCTTTGGTGTACATGCGTGTAATCGACTGGTGCTTCGACTAATTATATTGCCCAGATAAAACACGCTGTCACTGATGTAACGGATCTGCTTTTTCAATTGGATGTCCAGCTTCTCCGGGAAGGATTTCCTAAGCAAGACTCCACGTTCAAGCCAAAAGTCCACCTTCTGCATCATATCACTGATATAATTGGTCTTTTTTTTTGGTTCTGTGCTGCAATACGAAACTGAAAATGGCGAACAATTTAACAAGTTCATCCGCGAGCATTTGTTTAAGACCAACCGCCATTCCATCTCTCGAGACGTCACTACAAGATTCGGAAACCAATTCACCTGTCGGCATCTTTGCAATGGCGGATCGTATGTCGTGGAGAGACCAGCTGGTAATGGAACAAGATCTGTGAGAAGTTCAATTGGTGATTTTGTCAAGCTGGCCCCTGTCAATTTCCCAGGCTTTAATCTCCATTTCTTTGGTTCTCGTGTCAACAGTGACAATTCCGGGTTGTTGACTCTCACTTTGTGTGATACACTTGGAGGTGTTTTTCAATCAAATGGTCAATTCTTCCTTGGTCAGATAAAGATCGGTCAACCAAGAGACTCTGCAGACAGAATGAGGAAGGCGTTCTTTATGCAAAAGTATCAAATTGTTCCGAGCAGCAATGTAAATTGCATTATACCCCAGCCGTAGTAATAGACAATTACAACAACATTGTGGTTCTGCCTCTTGGAGGCCTGGTCGAAGTCAACAAAGATGACATCAACATAGTTCAAGCTGTTGATATTCACTTGTTCGTCGGGTCTTCCAATAACCAAAAGTTCCTCAATGTTGCAAAATTCGGCATGTTCTGGTGGATGTTGATGAACATTGCAAAAATTTATTAAAAAAAAGTATTTTTTTTTCCAATGGGTTTTGACCAATAAAGTATTATTATTACTATTATTATTTTTCCTCTCCTTTTCGAATAATTTGGTTCATATTATGGTGAACAATACGAACTTCTGGTTTAAAAATTACATTCATGAGACACAGGGACGTAGATGAATAATGTATATATTTTGCAAGGATATAATAGATAGGATCAAGAATTGTCAATATTTTTGAGCCAATTAAGCTTTTTTTTAATTTTATTTTTGATAAAAAATATTCAGGTACATAATGCAGCAGAAAATTTTGGGCTTCAAAAATAATACACTCTACCGTAAGTATTTTAAAGACTAGTCTGTTCGTTTAGCTAAAATATACATCAAACGACATTTTCCGCCAGGAAAAAGATTAGTATGGAAATAAAAAGTATTGACTTGGTGTGGTGCAACGTTGTCAGAAAAATAATAATAAATGAGAGTTTCCAACAAGCTCATAAGGCATTATCATCATCATCATCATCATACTAGAAAGACAGGATGAAATTAGAGATCATGTGATTTAGCCCTTCTAATCGGTCACGTGTTCTCTAATTTACTTGCTATTTCTCACTAAAATAAAATGTAAAAACCTATACTACTTGGTAATTGTGTGCCGTACACTATTACCAGTAGGGAACAGTTACATAGAACTTAACGTAGCCAAATGCCCCCCCCCCCCCCCCGGAGGGGGGAGCAAAGCTCCTAGTATATTTATATTAAAGGGATAAATTACTGTGATAACGCTCGGGTCTACCCAACAATAAGGAGATGTAGTAAAATATGTATAGAAAGGACAAATATATCAACAAGTATGCGTATAACTATCGCGAAGGGTGATTATAAGACAGTGACAATGGAATAGATGTATAAACAAGATAATAAGGGATTTGATAAATAAGATAAGAACAGATAAGGATAAGTATTTTAATATTATTCCATCTGAAGGCTTTTATACCAGAGAAATCTGTACTATTTTACTATAAAGCTCTTCTCAAGCAGTACCAGTGGTAAAATAAAATGAACAGGGGTATGCCTTGTGCAAGGGAGTTGAAGTAAATCATGAAAAGAGCGTCATACTTCTTGCAGGATATTTGTGGCCTGAGCAGAACCAAAAGAACACACACCGTGTCAGAAATGTCTACAGCAAAAAAATAAATAAATATCTAACTGATCGACTTATTCCGTCTCGAGTTCTTATACTGCTCTGGAATCTTCTGGTTTACAAACTTCTTTTATTGTTTCTCTGCTTCATTTATGGAAAATATACCTTTCTTTCTTTTTTGAAGTAGTTTGTAATATTTGCTAAAGATCCCAGTACTTAAAGCGCGTACTGGAACTATTTGATCCCAATGTTTTCAATCATATTTTTAGCACAATTTGATTTTCTTTCTCTTTGATGAATTTAAATATCTGGAACTTTCAAATAAGAATATCGATCCTCCAAAGGTACAAAATTACTGGAATACCAATGACTAAGTATTGAATTTCTAGAATACCAAAAATAAATAAATAAGCAAGTCGCGTAAATTCTCGACCAAAGATTCCTCCCTAATGAGGGGTTTGTTCTCGGGCTCTCTTGTCATGCCTTGTCAAATACTCTTTAAGTATTATTATTATTACTTTTTTCATTTTCCCCTTTATATGTAGGAGATTTCTTTTTTTTTAAAAAAAAAATATCTCGGTTCATTTATTCTGTAGCTCTCATTGGGACTCCTTACATGCCATAGCACGCGAGACCTAGAAAAACTTGCAATAAGATAAAATACTTTCACCTTATAGACGAAAGTCGAAATACGGAGGTTTAAATTCTGACATATATTACAGTGAAACTCTGTCAATGGTAATGATAGGAGAAACTAATCCGTGTTCTCCCATAAATGGTGATTAAAAAGGTGTTAATTAATAATCAACCCTTTAAACCCCAGTTCTAAATCCCTTATAAATAGCCAACACAAAACTATAAAACAAAAGAAAACCTTAATCATCAAAACATGGCTCCTACTATCCTTGTCGTTGGCGCTACCGGTAACACTGGCAAAAGTGTTATCCATACTCTCCCCGCACTATTGGAATCCAAGAATACCAAGTATCGAATTCTTGGTCTGACCCGCTCCTTAGACAGTCCCATTTCCAAGAAACTCGCCAAAATATCTAATGTGGAGATGCAAGAGAAAGATTGGACTACAATCGATGCAGATTGGCTTAAGGAACAAGAAGTGGTCAGGGTTTTCATAGCTCCGCATAATTTGCCACATCAATTCGTAGACGAATCTGCATTCTACATTGCCTTACTACAAGCCGGAGTCCAATACGTAGTGAAGATCTCAACAGCCTTAAAATTCATAGGCCCTGTCAGTCCTGTATTCTACGGTCGCTCACATTGGGCAATCGAAACCTTGCTGTCTCAGCCAGATTTCAAGAATTTGCAATGGACATCTCTCCGACCAAGTATCTTTACTGCTTCCTACCTCCCTAGCTCTGTAGAGTGGATCAAGAGCTACCGAAAAACTGGAAATCAAGACACATTGAAGCTCATTCTGAATGCCGATGCTCCTGTGGCACTGATTAATCCAGATGATATCGGCAACACTGCAGCCCACCTTCTTGCGCTTGATGACCCCACTCCACACAACCAAGCCAAATATGCTCTTAGTGGTCCTGAAGACGTTACCGGAAAACGGCTAGTGGAAGCAGTTGAACAGATAGCTGGTGTGAAAGTGCAGGATGTCAAGTACAAGGACATTGGGTTTCTTGATGAGCTCGTTGCTTCTGGTGGATACCCAAAGAAGGTTCTGACTTCAATTATTGCAGGCTGCGAGCTTGCTTGGAATGGCCAGTTCTCTCTCTCTGAATGCCCAACCAGCAAAGAAATCCTTGAACTCGCTCCTCCCAAGAGCACGATTATGGATTGTTTGCATAGCATGTTAGAAGAAGAGTAACTAATAAATAAAAGTGATTATACATTGACTTTTGTTTTTATTTTCTGGTTTATTTTTGAAAAGGCATTATACAATGATACGAAATACAGAAATAAATTTCTAAAAGCATTCACAGCGGTTTACTTAAATAAATGTTTTTTTAGCTGAATATTCTTCAGTAATATTTAACGAATATCCAAGTTTGCTATCTCAAAATCGTTCAAACAATAAAAGACAAATGAGTCCTCAGGCTTAAACGAACCGCTTTGGGTGCTTCTTTTACATATGAACATAAAACGTGGCTAGGAGAGCCAATGCCACGCATTTGAAGTCAGAGTGGAGAATAATGCCATTTACATGTTAGGCACAACACACACGCATTTTTATTTTTACTATTTTTTTTTTTTCAATTATCGATATTAAAATTTTCATTAACCGACGACTTATCTTTTTCTTTATACCCTACCAGATCTTATTTTTTTGTGAGCCGACGAAATCCACCGCACTGACTGTGTACATATATATACGATACAGACTCGTGGGCTTTGTTGTATTTGGAGAAATCTTGCCCAAAACTAAGCATATATTAAGTACTATCTACGCACACACACGCACATAAACGCATAAACACACACACACACACACGTATATATATATATATATATATATATATAGCTGTGTATAACAAGGGTTTATTTGAGCCACGTCTACGTCACCTACAACGAATACGAACCTACAAAGCTTGTACAATTTCTTGTCTCATTGCGTCTTGACTTGTAATATATACTTTCAGACCTTCATCTAACATTCCTGCTAGAAATTAAAAAAAAATTAAAAAAAATAAAAAATTAAAAGAAGAAAAAGAAGAAAGGAACTCTTTCACCTCCCTTTCTACTAAAAAAGATAAAAGACAGAAGAAGAAGTAGTAGTAGACAAAAAAAAATGTCCAATCCACGATCTACATCCCACCAACGTAGAGCATCTATTCAACTTACAAACGTCTACCCCGAAAAGAGCCCTCATCTCGGTCGCCTCGGAAGTATTTCTCCACCACCACCGAATGAATTAGTTTCGGTACCATTAGTGTCATCCAAGCAACGCCATGGGTCAATGTGGCTCAGCATTAAACTCAAGTGTCAACAGTGGATTTACCGCATCGATTCATTTTTAGATCCTGCAGGAGGACCATTGTTACCTCACGACAAACATGGTGTGGCATTTGGAGGAACCCAAAAAAAATCCAAGATCATGTCATTGTATCGGTCAAAACTTGTTCGATTCTTACTCCTAGTCTACTGTGTATTCTCGGTGTTCCTGACTATTAACCACAGCTGGCATTGGTTAAGATCTGGGCCAGTATTGGATTCAAGATTTGGAGAAAACTGGGTAGCCCAACGTACTTATAATCAAGGTATATACATATATTTAATTAATGAGTAACGAAAAAAAAAGACAATCAATTAAGTGTAATATATTGATGAAATTGGATCTACCAAATAACAATAATAGACGATACATATTCGGTGGTGGACGGCATGTCACATGGCTTAAAGATGGCCAAATTACTGTCAAAGTCTTATTATGAAGCTGCAGAAGCTGTCGAGCCTTACTGGCTCAAGGCATCCAAAGTACCTTTTGAAGAAGATGTTTCAATCATCACCACAGTCACACCTGGTACCTGGACTGAATTAGTTCGTTTAGTGGAACACTGGCAAGGTAAGATAAAAGAAACAAAGAGATTGAGAAAGGAGGGAGGCAGAAAAGGGAAAATTATCTTAATATCACCAAAAGAGTCATTTAAACTCACAATAATTGACAAAAAAAAATCCTCTCCTTTTGTTATTCTTATTCTTATAATCTGTATATATATATATATATATATGTGTGTGTGTGTGTGTGTGTGTGTGTGGGTGGGTGTGTGGGTGTGTGGGTGTGTAGGTCCTGTATCAGCTACATTGCAGGTAAAGGATGACAAGGATGGCTTACAGGAAATGAGCAAGATTCGTGCTGCATACAATGAAAATCCCAAACTCGCCACCCGTCTGGATATACATTTGTCTCGCCACGGGGGCCGTCAACCATCCGTCCTATTGTCCCGTAATGCCGAACGAAATCTTGCGCGTTTGTTTGCACGCACAGAATTTATTGTGGAGATGCCCAATTCAATGGTCCCAGGCACCAATCTCCGCAAGACCCTCGAAGCCAATCAAGCGACATTTGTAAAGGTACTTCGGGAAGGCGACGTGCTTGTGGTTCCTACCTTTGGGTTCCCTCGGTACGACAAGGAGAGCTACACCGTGCCTCACCACAAGGCTCGTTTACTGGAATTAGTTGAGGAAGAGGAGATGATCATGATAGACAAACACTGGAAGACCAATCAAGGACCTACAAATATGACACATTGGAAGGATGCAGATATACTTTATTTAGTTGAAAAGTATGAGTTTCACTATGAGCCAGTTGTGATTGAAAGCAAGACAGTTCAGCCATGGTGAGGAATACAAGCAGAGCCAAAAAAAAAGAGTGAGAGGGGGGGATATGAATAAGAAGAGAAACCTCTTTTTTTTCTTTTTTGTCGTTGATGTAATTAATAGTTTCTCTTATTCTCTTTTAGGTGCGCCGAAAGATTCCTTGACAGTAGATCGGCATGTCGGTTCTCTAGTTATTTGACAGGTGCAAAATTCTGGGTACTTCCTGACGATTTCGTAGTCCAATTACCTGAGAATAAGGATAGTGTATTGACCGATTTCGATGTAAGTTTTCTCTTGAGCTATATTTATATCAAAAGAAAGAAGATAGTCTTTGAAATGCATATTGGGATGATGTACTTAGCTTTATGTTTAGAATGTGATTGAGAGTCGCCTGTATGCCAAATTCTATTGGGAGAAGTGTGTACATTATGCAAGGCAACTTGACGCACTCGGTCTCTGGAGGGGATCCAGATCACAGCACATCAGAACTCAGTGCTCACGTGTAATTCAAAACTGGGGCAAAGGATTGATAGGCAAAGCAGAATAGACAAAAAATGAAGAAAAAGAAACCTTAAAGAGATAGAAAGAAAAGAATAATAATAATAATAATATTAATCTAAAAAAAAATTATACAAATTACAAAATACATACAAGCATATTAAAGAAGTATATATATATATATAATATTGAACCAAAAGAAAGAATATACATATATATCTTCTAAAAGGTTATAAGATAGTACACCATGTATGCATGTGTAGTGTGTGTAGTGTGATATTCATTTCTTTCTTTATTTTCTATTGCGTAAAGTATTAACCGATTTATATTCTTTACATGCATATATATGTATACAAGTACATATACATGCACATGCACAGCTACATATACATATACATATACATATATAAAGTCTTATTATTGACAGTTCCTCCTTTAATCTCTTATTTTCATTCTCTTCTCCAACTATTTAATACTCTTCATGTCAAACATGCATCATTACGATGCCCCTCACAGTCATGGGGCCATTGACAGCAACCCCTCTTTTACCCCTTCTTTTAATGACTCAAACAATGACAATCGCTTGCCATCAGTGGCAGATCCGCATTCTGCAGATGTCTACCGGGATCATCCCATGTTGGCCACTCAACCCAAAACTTCTTGTGAGCCAATAGGCTATGATGAGAGAGAAGACCGGTTCGCTTCACTATTTATTTATATATTTTACCATACATTCATATATATATATATATATATACTTACAAAGCTCCAAAATGTTATAGAATATACGAGTTGATTGTCTGCCAACAACCGCTCCATGCGCGTATGTGTGGATTTGGTGAAAAAGACCGACGTCCAATCGACCCTCCGCCTATTGTTCAATTGGTTGTACAGCAGGGTGGCAGTAGAGGTCCAGTAGATGTCCAGTAAGTAAATGCTACTTATATATATATATATAAGCTAAAATATATGTAGAACACTTCAGGCACCATTCTTTGTGCTCCATGTTACTCTTTGGTCTGACGATCGTAAAGAAGAGCGAAATATCATTTCGAACCCACCCAAATGCACCAGAGTTCTTATGGGCTCACTTGTCAGCTCACCTAGTCTATTAAAGAACACGGAAGGAGAACAAGGGCTGTATTTTGCATTCCCCGATCTTAGTATTCGTACCGAGGGGCGTTATACGCTTCGGTTTAGTCTAATGAAATTAGTGAGGTAAAGAAGCAGATTAGAAGAGAAATGGAATCGTTTTCTTTGGATCTTTGGTTTTATTTTTTTCACATCTATTGACATTTCAGATACACCTTATTTTGGCTGCGTATGTTTGTGTATACATTTTGTAGCTCTGATTTTCAGACCAATGCCAAATCAAAAATCATTGCTCAAGTTTTTTCAGATCCATTTACGGTCTATTCTGCTAAAAAGGTACGAGTAAAGTAGTATTATTACACAATAACAGAAAAGAGAACAAAGAATGAGATGGTCTTCTCTTTCTTTCTTTTGATTTAGCTACTAATCATCTTAATCAACTTTCATTTTTTTCTGGACACTCGTATATCTATAACAGTTTCCTGGGATGACAGGTAAAAATGAAATATATATATAAAAGGGGGTAGATACTTAAAGAATAACATTTACCATAGAGTATACCATATTAAAATATTAATCAATATTACTTTATTTCTGTATAATAGAATCTACTGAACTATCAAAGACATTCGCTAAACAAGGCCTCAAAATACCCATTCGAAATGATGGTAAGTTATTATATTTAATCTCTCTTTCTCTCTAACACCAAGAAATTCAATTCGTCTTTTATATATACATATTTGTGTTTGTGTTTGTGCTTATAAACATATCATTTTGTCTTTATATAGTGAGAACAAAAAGAACAGATTAATATGTATGTATGTATGTGTGTGTGTGTGTGTGTGTTTGTTTATATAAGTGTACATATACTATAAACTGGCAAAAATATATACACAACATTGATTTTGAATTAATATATAAAAATGACTCTTAAAAAAAAGGAGAATATCTTGTGAGCAAATGTGATATACTCTTTATTAGAATACGGGTTACAAGCTGTCAAGACTTACACATTATTAGTCATTTATTTATTTATTTATTTATTCTGTTAAGAAAATAAAAATAAATATAACTATAAAAAAATCTTGCTGCGGAAAATAATGTAGTTACTGACACTTTCTGATTTTACTCAGGGTGGCTTATCCAAACCTCCAAATTGACGAGTGAGAGGCGAAGAGTATATAAGAGAAACAGAGGGGAAGGATTGGGAGGGGTGGTTTCTGAGAAGGAGAATCAAATAATAAAACCCACATTTTTTTTTCTATTTTATTCTTTTCTTCTTTTTTACTTTTTGTACTGAATTCAACAATGTCAGCTCCCATTGAGCAAAAACTTGCTGCCATGAGCGTCAAGGCCGAGGCACCTGCTGCTGCTGCTGCTGCCCCTGCTGCTGATGCCGCCAAGAAGGTTGACAAGAAGGCTGCTAAGAAGCCTAAGGCTGCCAAGGCTACTGGCGATTCCGAGTATCCTCTCGAGGTACGGCTTTTATTTATATTTATTCATTTATTTAGTTAATTAAACTTTATATATACGTATTTCTTAATACACTTTCCAAATTTTAAACTATATATATATATTATATGCACACTGTAAAACATGAAAAGTAGTAGTAACATCTATAACATTTTTTTTGTATTAGTATGAGCCTAAGCCCGAGTACCTTGCTCATCGTATTGCCATGTTTGACCGTCTCAAGGCCAAGAGTGATGCCGACATCAAGTGTAAGTAATAAATAAACCATACTTGTATTTTTACTTGTCTGTCCGTTAGTGTGTCAGTGTGTCAGTGTGCCAGTGTGTTTGCTTTGTTGAATAGTAAACCACTTTTTTTCCTTTATTTTTTTATTTGTTTATTTATTAACGCGTATTATTTGTGTTGTCAAAAAAAATTATTAGTGAAGCCCCGTGTTCCCATCACAATCACTCTTCCCGATGGTACTGTCAAAGAAGGTACTGCCTGGGAAACCACTCCTATGAATATTGCTGCCGGTATTGCCAAGTCTCTTTCCGAGCGTGTCGTGATCTCAAAGGTCAACGGCGAGTTGTGGGATTTGGAGCGTCCTATTGAAGAGAGCTGCAAGCTTGAATTGATTGATTTCGAGAACCCCGAAGGCAAGCGTGTCTTCTGGCACTCTAGCGCCCACATGATGGGCGAGGCTTGCGAGAGACATTATGGCTGTCACTTGTGTATTGGTCCCCCGTTGGAAGATGGTTTCTACTACGAGATGGGTGTCAAGGATCGGTAAGTCGTAATATATATATATATATGAGGGAATGAGAATGAGAATAGGAGTGGGGATATAAGTGCTATAAAAATTGAACATTGTAATAATAACATTATTATTACAATGTGTGTAGCGCTGTTACCCAGCAGGATTATGCTAGCCTTGAAAAGTTGGTTGGTACAATCACAAAGGAGAAGCAGCCCTTTGAGCGTCTTGTGATGACCAAGGAAGAATTGCTTGAGATGTTCAAGCACAACCCTTACAAGGTCCACATCATCAAGGACAAGATCCCCGACAACACCTCTACTACAGTCTACCGCTGCGGTCCCCTTATCGATTTGTGCCTCGGTCCTCACTTGCCCCACACTGGTCGCGTCAAGGCCTTGACTATCACCAAGAACTCTTCTTCTTACTTCTTGGGTGATGCCAAGAACGATTCTCTCCAGCGTATCTACGGTATTTCTTTCCCTGATAAGAAGCAAATGACTGAGTACAAGAAGTTCTTGGAAGAGGCCTCCAAGCGTGATCATCGTAAGATCGGCAAGGTAAAGTGTGTTGTCTAATTTCATAAGAGAAAGAGAGAGAAAAGATATTGGAAATCACAAAAATTCTAAATCTATTGTGTCTGTGTGTACCTTTATTTATCTATTTATTTATTTTTTTAAAAAAAGGAACAAGAGCTTTTCTTCTTCCATGAGTTGTCTCCCGGTTCTGCATTCATGCTTCCCCACGGTACCCGTGTCTACAATGCTTTGATGGATATGATCAAGGTATGTTTTGAGAGAGAGAGAGAGAGAGGGGGGGGGGCAAATCAACAATATAATATAATATATGCATATAAAGTGGTTGTGCAGTGTAGTGTGTAATGTTACTTACACAACCTTTTTTTTTAAAAAAAAAATGTACCGAATAAATAGGGTGAATACACCCAGAGAGGCTTCACTGAGGTTATTACTCCCAATATGTTCAACCTCAAGCTCTGGAACCAGTCCGGCCACGCTGCCAAGTATAAGGAGAACATGTTCTGCTTTGAGGTTGACAAGGAAGAGTTTGCCTTGAAGCCCATGAACTGCCCTGGGCATTGTTTGATGTTCGGCCACAAGGAGAGAAGTTACCGTGAGTTGCCTATCCGTCTGGCTGATTTCGGTGTTCTCCACCGTAATGAATTCTCAGGTGCCTTGTCTGGCTTGACCCGCGTCCGTCGTTTCCAGCAGGATGATGCTCACATTTTCTGTCGTCAAGATCAGGTAAGAAATCAAATGAAGAAAAAGAAGAAAAAGAGATTTTAAGTTGGGGATGGTTATGATAACTTTTTTTTTTGTATTATTTAGATCGCTCAAGAGATGGCTAGCTGTTTCGACTTTTTGCACCATGTGTATGGTATCTTTGGCTTCGACTTCCATCTCAAACTCTCGACTCGCCCCGAGAACTTTATTGGTGAAATCAGTGTGTGGGACAATGCTGAAAAGGTAAAGAAAAGATGGATGGATATTTGAGCAAAAATGTACCCAAAAGATTGAAATCAAAGTTTATTCACACAACTTTATCTTTTTGTTATACGTAGACATTGGAGGCTTCTTTGAACGAGTTTGCTAACAAGCACGGAGCTACCTGGGAGCTTAACCCTGGAGATGGTGCATTCTATGGCCCCAAGGTCGACATTGTCATTTCTGATGCTCTTCGCCGTAAGCACCAGTGCGCCACTATCCAGCTCGATTTCCAGTTGCCAGAGCGCTTCAAATTGGAGTTCCGCACTGATAACACCGAGACCGAGCTCAACTTTGCCCGCCCTGTGATCATCCATCGTGCCATTCTTGGATCTGTGGAGCGTATGATGGGTATTTTGATTGAGCACTTTGCTGGCAAGTTCCCCTTCTGGTTGTCCCCTCGCCAGGTCAATGTTATCCCTGTGGCTGCTGCATTCTTTGACTACGCTCAGGAAATTGTTGATAGATTGTCTTCTCTTGGTATCTATGCTGATGCTGATTTGTCAGACAACACTCTCAACAAGAAGGTCAGAAACAGTGAGCTTGCTCAGTACAACTTTATCTTTGGTAAGTTTTTTCTTTTTTATTATTATTATTATTACTTGTGTGCATGGTTATATTTATATGTATTTTATAGTTGTCGGAGCTGAGGAAGCCAACACTCGATCAGTCAATGTGCGTAACAGAGACGACGTTGGCACCAAGGCCAAGGGTCAGACCATTCCATTGGACAAGGTTATTGAGTCGGTTGTCAACCTCAAGAAGAACAAGACTCTTGAGAACAAGATCTAAGTAAAATAAAAATAAATTAAAAGATATAATAATTTTTTGTAACAAATATATATATAAATAAATAAAATAAAATAATTAAAATAAATATACAAACATAATTTATTTTTTGATGGTGTCATATTGTGATTTCTTTTTTTTTCTTTTGTTTTTGTTCTCTTTATACTACATCAATTTATACTATTTATTTTATTGATTACACAAAAGTATTTTTTATGAGTAACTTAATCAACCGATGTAACCATGGTTACAGTGAACATCAATATTTGTTTCGTGTGTTGACTGACAAAAAATGTCAAAAAAAGACATCAAAATTGAATGCAATTGAATTGAATCGAATGGAATAGAATGGAACAAGAGGGAATCATTCTTGTATAAATAAGGAGACTTTATTTCTAGGAATAAAGGTCAATGTTCTGACTTTGGGTTGGCTGCAGGCAATGCAAGCTCAACCCTATTTTTATAAGAAAAATAAAGTAATAGTTGTCATTAAGCATCAGTCTGCAAAGCCTATAATAAAGTTCGCATATAAATGTCTAAAATACAGAAAAATATTCTGTAGTCAATATACTATCACTATAATTAACAAAGAGAGAGAGAGAGAGAAGGGGGGAAGGGGATCAATGGTGGCGGTTTCTTATACATGATATATATATATATATATATAAAGCATACTTTTATTGTGGTTTAACAAAATATCGTACCTTTTTCCATCGATTTGAATTGATTTATTTTATATACATGAATATTCCCAAATCAACTTATTTTACAATACAGCAAAGAAATTATGTGTGTAATGCCAACAAACTATCGACACACAAGCACAAACGTAAACATCCTTAACCTCACCCCCCTCTCTCTCTATCTCTTTTACTATCTTTAAACCCAACTATAAGATAAAGATTCAAAAAGAAGAAGAAGAAGAAGAATAAATAACATTCTTTTCCCTCCTTCGCCCTTTTCTCCTTTTTCTCCTTTCTTGTTAGTTTTGGTAAAAAAAAAAGGGCCAAAATAATAATAAAAGAGGTGTCTAAACTAAGGAAACCGAATTTTTCGATAGCAATAATTATGTACTCATCTTCTTGTATCTTACATGAAAGACGCACACACTATAGACACTACAAACAACTCCTTGTTATTTTCTATTATGTAAATATATATATAAAAAGAAGGGGGAAAAAGAGATAGAATGGAAGGAGTTCAAGTTTAAAGAACTTAAACGTACTTTGTTATATATTCTCCTATCATTCATATCATCATCTTATCTTGCGACATTGAAAAATACAAGACAAGTACTGGTTGGTTTGTCCTTTAAATTCTTTTTTTTTAAAGAAAAAGAAGTAAAACATAAAACCATTTAGATTCCATTTGTTAGATACTTTGTACATAAAAGAAGACAAGTAGGTAAAGGACCTCGTGTAATATTTATATTTCTTTCCTACCATGTGGGAAATGTAACACGGATGTCGTACCAAAGTCAAAGGAGTATATAAGCCATCATTGTTGGAGCTTATTTGTTTTTTTTTCTGTTCTCTAGGATCCGCACCTCCACACCCATTATACGCTATATACACTTTATCAAATATCATTTACGCCCCAACCATCTCTTCTTCTTCTTCTTTTATTTTTTTTAATTTATATATAATAAATATCTATTATATATATATATATATATTCTTTACTGCTCTTTAAAGATTAATATACCAATCTTTAAAGACATTTACTTACACATATATCTATCTATATATATATATATATAATATATATAATTTATATATAATTTATATATAAAGATATAAAGATATATACTTTTATAGTTGTATCAATATATTACCAATAGCAATATAGTTTGTGTAAAAAATATATATAAAAAACATATATATTCTATACACAAAAAAAATACAAAAGAAAAAAGAAAAAAAAAAACGATACATAAATCCTTGTAAAAAAAAAAAAAAACTTCTTTTTTTTTTCCCTTCACAACTATGGCCGATATTGCACTAGAGCACGCACCTCAGCACCCTACAGCTCAGTTGTCGCCCTCACCACCGCCACCACAACCTGTACCAGTCGCCTTGGCTCCCGAGGTACTTGACCGACTCCGTCAACTCCAACAGGCTGATAGTCCTGTCAGTGTCAATGAGATCCTCAAGGCTGCCAATCTTTCTCATCTCGCCCAGCCATCTCCATCAAAGTCACTCGATGGCCGCATCTCACAAATGACAGTTCCTCATCTCCAGAAATCAACATCTACTCTCACACTGGCCGAACGACGACGCATTCCAACCTCGCCAGAGAAACTAAAGGTCTATGCACACATGGCAGCTCACACTCGCACTCTCTCGAACGATAGCAGCGACTCAAATAATGATCGTTTTCGACGCCTGGAAGCCGAAAATGCCAAACTACCACCTCAGGTAAAAAAAAAAATACAAAATAAATAAATAAATTATTAGTTAATTAGTTAATTAGTTAATTAGTTTTGGTAATTAATTAATACCATTGTAATAATTGAAACACACTATGTATCTCTGTATATATCTATCTAGAGGATATTAATATTAATATTAATATCACTAATCACTAATATAAACATATACAATTAACGCTATCATTATTATTAATATCTTTAGGACTCTGAAGAATATTTGTTGGCTCGTTTGGAGCGTCAAAATGCTCTTTTGAATGCTGACCCTAAATCTGTCTGTATCGAATCCAACCGTCTCAAGGCAGATTTCTCTACTCTACGAACCCTCGTCTCCGATAACACGTTCTCACCCACACGTATCGAGGATACCGAGGCTCTGTTGAACCGGAGCTCTATCAAACACACACTCGAATCCACAGACTACGATGTGTCTGATTGGGATTTCTGGCAGTGTGTGGTCGACGATTTCCCTGTAGCTGCTGCTAAATTACCCCACCTGCTGGCTGCCAAATTACGTTACGGCGGGATTCCTCATCGTCTCAGAGGTGTGGTGTGGCAAGCCATGGCACGTTCCTCGGCCACAAACTTGGAATCGATGTATGATAGTCTGGTTCTCGAAGAGACCCAGAGCCCATCCCCTTACGAACGAGTCATCAAGCGTGACCTCTCCCGCACCTTCCCTCACATCGAAATGTTCAAAGCTGACGGAGGAGAGGGCCAGCAAGCCATGGGCCGTCTGCTCAAGGCCTACAGTGTCTACGATGCCCATGTGGGCTACTGTCAAGGACTGGCCTTCTTGGTTGGACCTCTATTGATGGTGGTAAAGTATCTTTATCTGTTTCTTCTTTTTCATTCCACATGCAATGCAATGTTATTTTTTCTGTATTGACTCTGTGTGTGTGTGTGCGCGCGCTTTGTATCTATATGCATATGCATATAAAATAAACCCAAAATTTAACTCTACTCAACTAAAATCAAATCAAAATAGATGCCAGAAAAGCAAGCATTTTGTGTATTTGTGAGGTAAATAAGAAAACACATACGCACGAAATTTTAACAAAAAAAAAGAAAATTTCTTTATCCTACCTATGTACTGAATTACATCTTTATTCATTCGTTCTTATAGATTGATGGAGACCTATGATATGCGTACAATGTTTACTCTCAACATGGAAGGTCTTCACCTTCGTCTGCATCAATTCCAGACTTTGCTATCCCAAAGATGTCCTCGTCTTGATGCTCATCTTACCCAGCACTCAATTCACCCGGCCATGTATGCCTCGCAGTGGTACCTAACCCTCTTCGCCTACTCACTGCCCTTGCCACTAGTCCTGCGTATCTATGATCTTGCTCTGGCCGAAGGTGCTGTCGAGACCATCACACGTGTGGCCATTGCCCTCATGGTCAAGAACGAGGAGCACTTGCTTGACATTGACGACTTTGAAGAACTCATGATCTACCTTTCATCTCGTAAGCTCTACGAAGAAGCTTACGATGTCAACATCGATACCGTCATCGCAGATACTATGTCTCTCAGTGCATTGATCTCAAAGGCCAAGATGGACAGCATTGCAGAAACCCATGATCGCGAACTCGCCCAAGAAAAAGACAGAGCACACCAGGTGCTTGCTGTCCGATTTGGCGGTTGGGGTGCAAACAAGTCCAAGAACAGCAATAACAATAACGGTTACAATAGTGAGAAGAAGAGTTCTGGCCGTCGTGAGTCTTGGTTCAACTGGGGTAACGATTCAGCTGCTGGCCCTACCCCGATTCCCACTCCCACCACACCAACTATTTCTCAAGTTACCTCTTCGTTCCCCTGCTCCCCTGTCATGCAACGCCACCTCTCTTCTCCAAATATCCCTGTTTCTGCAGTTGCAGCAGCTGCAACTGAAAAACCTCAAGACCGCACTGTCCCTCTCCTGCACCAGCAGATTGAAGATCTTGTCGTTGCGTTGTCTCAGCTCCAAAAGGAGCACTCGGTCCTCTCAGAAGATCTCATGACCGTCAAGATGCGCGAAATGGACCAGGAAGCCGAGCACGCTCAGGTCCTTAAGCTCAACGACACTCTTGTTAGACGTGTCAAGAAATACAAGGCCAAGCTCGCCATGGCCAAATTACCAGAACATCATCAGCACCAGAACCAGAACCAGAACCAGATGATGAGCCCGGTTGACACACCCACCAGTGTGTTTGATCCTGTCTACCAGGCACGAATTGAGGAGGTTGCCAGACTTCAAGAACTCGAACAGGACGGACAGTTCCGCTCGTTTGTCGAGTCCCTTCGTCTGACAGGAGACTTTGGAGCCCTTATTGCCGGTGCTCTCTCGGTTGACCCCAATGACCCCAACATTATGAACCAAAAGAACATTCTCGAGAACCACGCTGATCTCGACGATCAGGGACAACAGACCAAGAGACACTCGGCTGCTTCTACCCGTTCTTCTTTAGGCTCTCAGGGCAGTCGCTGTGCCAGCAGTGATGATACTGCAGCCACAACTGTTGCTGACGACATGAGTGATAATGAAACTGAAAAAGAAGACGAAGAAGTAGAAGTAAACGAAAAGAATTTACGTGATAATCATAATAGGATCAGTAGAGTCCAATCTGGTACTCATATAAGCCGACATGAGGAAAGTGAAATTAAGCAGCGTAGCCACACTGAAGAAGAAGATAGCATGATGCGCAATGTCACAGCTGAGCTGGTGTCCTTTAAGTTGGCCAACTTTGAGATGGGACAAAAGTACGAACATTTATGCCACACCTATGAAGAATGCAAGCAGAAACTCCAGGTTGCTCAAGACGGCCAACGATCGATGGTTGAGAAAGTGATGGATCTGCAGAATGAGGTCGAAGCACATCAGATTGACAAGGAGGAGCTATATGCTGAGCGTGACGAATTGATCAAAGAAAACGAAGAACTGGCTGAATTGACTGCAGTGGCCAAGAAGACGTCTACTGAGCTGCAGGTCGAGAAACTTTCGCTGGCCAAGGATGTCGAGGCACTCGAGAGACGTGTTAAAGAGCTTGAAGAAGAGAAGCGTGAATACCTTATGCCTCGTGGATCGTTTACTGAAGAAGTATTTGCTGCTCACCGTACACTATTCAAGACCCAAGACGATTCAGCAGCCGGAAATTCAGGATCATCATCAAATTCGTCGTCGTTAGCAAATCAGCCCAGTCGCAGACACACTCTGCAGATGGGTTGGAACAATGACCACAACACAAACAACAATGGCCAGAATGGAGAATACCAGAAGATGTATATTGAGAGCGAATTGAGATGCCGTGAGCTTGAGAAGCTGTTGGCCGAAGCCAAGTTTAAGATTGTCGAGCACGAGACTTCGACGGTTGGGCCGATTTCTCCTCGGGCTTCTTTCCAACAGCGACGTGCGTCGTCTGTTCAGATCAAGCGCAATTCGGCTGCTTCGTTGTCGATGCTGGCTTATCGGGGATCGTCCCCAACATCTCCACGTGAATTCGGTATGGGTGGAAATCATGAGCGTACGCATAGCAACAGCTTCTCGATAGTTGAGCCTAGCCGAGCTTCGTCAGACAGCATGACCTCAACCCACTCGACTGCTTCGCATAGCAGCAGTCCAAACAGCAACAACAATAGCAAGAAGAGATCGAGTGTCTATTCACGCCTTTGGACAGCATTTGGCACATCAGCTAATGGATCTCCTGCCTCTAGTGTTGGCCTGAAGAGTCCAATAGAAGAATCGTCTGGTTGTTTGTATGAAGAGCCCGAACGTGCTTAAAAGCAAAAAGGGAAGGAACCTCTCCCCCCCAAAAAAAAAAGAAAAAAAAAGAGAGAGAGATTCAAAAATTCAAACTGGTTGATTTGAAACAAATAATTCTCTACATTACTATTATTACTATTATTACTATTATTACTTAACACACACACACATATATATATATATATATATTCCCCCTCTTCAACCAAGTTTCTACCACATTACCCTTACTTACCCTTATTAACCCTTAACCCTTACCCTTTTAAACATTCCCAATTTTTCTGAATTCTTGAATTTTTCTTATGTCTTCTTTCTCTACAGGCCTTTTTCTTTATTTATTTATCTTTTGTGCCTCCAAGTATATTTTCCTTTAAATTACCATTGATGAATAACGATGGTAACAGAGGCTAGAGAAAGATGTACAAACAAGTTTTCCACCTACTATTTTCTGTCTGATATTCTCTAAATTTTTTTTTCTCTTCATATTATTATTACTAGTATTTATTATCATTCAAAAAGGAAAGAAAAAAAAAAGAATAGAAAATTTAATAGAAAAACTGATCTATTTTTCTATTCGATCCTCTCTATTATTAATCTTTCCTCTTCTTCTTCATATGCCCTCTTTACTTCTTCCCTTTTCCACCCTTTATTTTATTCTCTTATTTCATTTCATTTTATTCTTTACTATTAATGTTACCATTATTCTTCTTATCTCTTTTACGTCCACATTTCTTCTATCACATTATTTATATATATATATATATATATATATATATATATATATAAACATGTATATAAAATATATAAATGTATTTTATGTTTTATTATCTTTACTGTCTCTTGCTTGTTTGACCACTGATTGATTTGATTTAATAAGCGTATATTTATATTGTTCTTCTGTACACTAGATAACGGGTTTAATAAAAAGTATAAAAAAAAAAGAAAGAGCAGGAATAAGAGAAATTAGTAAAATGTATAAAGAATTTCTGTTTTTTTTTTGGAAAAAATTGTAAAAACTGTACAATCTGTAGCCTGTAATATGTAATATGTAATGTGTGATGTGTGATGTGTGATGTGTGATGTGTGATGTGTACCGTGTACCGTGTACCGTGTACTTTGTACTGTGTGCTTTGTACTGTGTACTGTGGGTGAAATGGGAGGATTCGGATAATGTTTAAAAAAGAAAATGGCTGCAAAAACTCGGGAGGGTTTTTTTTTTATCTTTTGGTTTTGTTGTAAATGCCATTTCTTCCCTGTATTTCACAACTGGTTATTCTCACATTCAAATATGAATTTCGCTTTTTTTTTTACGTTTTTGCGTTTTTACGTTTTGCTTTGTACTTTTTAGAGATATAATATAATATAATATACAATAAAATAGAATAGGATATAGGTATTGCCTAAACTATTGAAAACTGGCCAAAATTACCCTTGATTTCTTATGTCCCTCTCTTGCCGGATAGACCGACAGCAATTGTCTATACAATTGATGTTACTCAATGTGTTTAATTGAGAGAGTTATACACACATTTCTGTACACAGATATATCAATAGTTTTTGTCTCTCTTTTTTGTGTGTCTTTCTGTCTGTGTTCAACCTGTTGTTGTTTTTGGAAATAAAAATACGAAATACAAAATACAAATCAAGAAAGAAAAGATGCGTTAGATAAATAGATAGATAAATAAATAAATAAATAAATAGTATATTTTATACCCTGATTTATTAATTTTTAGGTTCTAATCAATCGAGTGGCGAGATCAAGATACACACACACACACACACACATATATATATATATATGTATGTATGTATGCGTGCATGCATAAAGATGTTTAATTAAAGAGTAATAATAATAATAATAATAATAATAATAATAATAATAATAATAATAATATTGAATAACACTATTTTCTTCTGCACCATAATTTCATAGTCATAATCGTAATCACTGTAAGGTACTATATTCTCAATCTTTAACTACAAGAAAATCAAGTGTGGGATTCATTTTATAATATATTCACACACACGCATTAACCATAGCCTTTCAAACACAAAGTCCAAGTAGGAAAAAATACGCGTGAAATGAAAGGAAATAATCCTATGAGCTTCTTCTTCTTCTAATTTAAATAGCATATTCCAAAACCTTCAGACAGTCTAATTATATATACTGTTTGATAAGAGTATGTATGGGAACAATTAAAACAAGGTGATCACGGTGCTTTCTAAGGTCGGGTTACTTTGTGGTTTCATAACCACTTGAGCACTAAGCTTTTATTTACTCTTTTATTAGTATTGATCGTGTGTCATGTAAGTGATCAATTTTGATCTTATTGGAGGAATTCTTACTCTTTCCTTATTGCCTTCCTTTCTTCATTTCCTTTCTTTTTCTTAATCAATGAAAATCCTGTATTTCAAATAAACTGTTTTCAGAACTGTCTTGGGATTTTAACTTTTTATTTATATATTTATACAAGCATATGTGATGTATGCTATATGATTGGACAGCCAAAACGCCAGCAGATAATATATATATATGCGGTTATAGCTAAACTAACTATGCAAACTTGATTGTCAAATTGTTAATTTTGATTTTGATTTTGATTTTGATTTTGATTTTGATTTTGATTTTGATTTTGATTTTGATCTTGCTCTTGACCTTGACCTTGATCTTAATCTATATATATATATATATATATAATCATGCAATAATATAAAGACAGTTTATGTATTTCTTTATCTTTACTCGTGTCTATTTCTACAGTCAAAAATACTTATTTAATTAACCAAGGTAATCTAATGATTGTCTAATATATGTATATATATATATACACAGTTCTTTCTATTAAAAAGAAATAATAAAACTTCCCCCAAAGAAAATAAAATATAAAAAAAAAGTGCTCTATTTGACTTGTCCCACGATTGATTTAATGATGGTCCGGTAACCCTTTACCTTTTTCTTATACCACGATTACTGGTATCCAGTTATCATCATTAAGGACGATAAGCTCAACCATTGGCTCAGATTGTGTCGTTTCTAAATCTACATAGACAGAAAAAGGAATAATTATATACAAGTAGCTTTGCGTATAAAGTAAATATAAATAAATATATTTGGTGTGTGAATTTTTAATAAATCAACCCAAATTTTGTTAGTGAAGCATTAAAGCATACAGGGCCCGTGTACTACCGGGCCATGATCGTTTCCCTTTTTTTTGTGTGTGTGTGTGTATGGTTTTGTACGGGTTATTTTGTGTTCAATATATATATAAAGAGGTATTCTTAACTAGGAGTTACACAAAAGATCCAGAAATGAATTTATGTTTCCTTTGTGTAAAGGTGGATGATTTGTAAGTGTATAGGAAGATTTTATATATAAAGATGTTACACCTTTCTCTCTCTTTAGGTTTTATAACTCCGTAAGCTACATATAGAACGCCAATAAAAGGAAATCCCGGAAGATTGAGAAATCACAATTGCAATCATGAAATGTCAAGTAGTATTCTATATATTTTATGTGTACAATATGTATACATGTATGTAATTTTATCTTGGCATTTCAGTGCCTTTAAAAAAAGGGCCCAAAAATTAGCAGAATAAAAATGATTGGCTAGAAATAGATAATGATGAATAATGGATCTTATATTATTATCTTTAAAAGAAAAAGAAAAAAAAAGATGTGAAAATATATACATGTACAAAAGAGTATAGACAAGAAGAAAACAAAAGTAAAGGAAAATAGAGAAAGATATATATATATATATATATATATATATATTAGGACATATCTTCATCTTCTTCGTCTTGATCGCCCATCTCATTCAAGACCCAGCCAACTTTCCAGGGCTGACCACAGGACCAGTACTTTGGAACACACACAAATCCTTCGATGTCTTCGTCCGGATCAACCTTTCCATCAGGTCGAGAGCGCCTCATCTGGTCAATGAACTGGATTGCTTTGCGTTTCTCCTCTTTACAAAACACCCATCGACAATGTCGGCAAACACATCCATTGCTCTTGTTATAACTATTGATAATTATTGATCATTGATTATTAATCAATTAGTCTATTGATTGATACTAGAAATTTTTGACAATTACTGCAATCTATGGTTCCTTACCGAAGGCCACATTTATTGCAGAGATACACAAAGGGTTTACCCTTGTCTTTGAAAACCGAACTTGCAGGAAATGGCCATCCAAATGCCTTTCGCATACAGCCATCCGATGCCTCATGACATGCTTGGCAAGGTCCCTTGACACGCGTAGGTCTACCGGAAGACACACCTCCACATCCACCTCCATTTCCACTTCCACTTCCTGCTGACTGAGGTTTGTGATGGTCTTGGTCTTGGTTTTGATTTTGGTTTTGATTTTGGTTTTGATTTTGATTCGGATGATTCGGATGATTGTGATTATTGTGATTATTGGCGGTATAATTTACGGCATGTTGCTTTGGCTGCGCAACTGTGGCTTCAATAATACCACAGGGGGCTTTGCCATTGTGTGCTTGGAGTGTCACAGACTGGCGGTTGTGATGGTGATTGTGGTGGTAATTGGGAATCTTCATCTTAACATCTTTTTCATCGTCCTTTTCGTTTTCGTTTTCATTATCGTTATCGTTATCGTTATAATCATAATCATTATCATTATCAGAATCATCATCTACATTTTCTTCCTCTTCTTCGTCTTCGTCTTCGTCTTCGTCTTCCTCGTCTTCGTCTTCGTCTTCCTCGTCTTCCTCGTCTTCTTCTTCCTCGTCTTCTTGGCATTCTTCAACTTCTACTATTGATCTTGATTGACTCATGACTGAGGATCTCTTGGCAAGTGATTTTGGGATCTCGATACGGGTTGGTGTACGCACAGCTCTTTTCCTTTTTTGTAGAGGTTTGTGAATTTGTGGCAAATGTGACTCTATTTGATATTGGTGTTTCTGTTGTCGACGAGCCAAAACAACTTTCTTACGAAGGGCTGACAGGATTGATTCACCACCAATTAGCCTTGGGGTACATGAAAGTAATTGGTGATGCTGATGCTGATGCTGATTCTGATGCTGATAATGCTGATTATGATTAATATGTTGATGCTGATGCTGATGCTGATGCTGATGCTGATGCTTATTATTATGATTATTATTGGTATGATTATTTAATTGAGTTTGACTTTGGTGATAGTTGTTGATGTTGGTTGTTGGTAAGGAATTGACATCAAGCTGGAAAACGATGCTATCTGTGGTGGGGGTAGTAAAGTATGGATTATGAACTATGGAGGGGGATCTGTGGGGCACAGACTTTCGGCGGGAAGACAGGGACCGGTTGTGTAGGTCAGATCGACGATCGAGGAGAGAGTATAGAGGTGATTGGGCGGCAAACGGAGACAGGAGAATTGGATTGTCTTCGTCGTCTTCACTGTCATGCAGTAATTCGGGTGGTGAATTCATCGAGGCTGGAGAAGGGGGTGACTTTTCATAGTCGTAAGGAGGTGTGGCGGGTGAGAGATGCATGGCCTCTTTAGATGAATATCGTTGACTGAGATGACTCATGTATATAAGCTTGATGGATATTTTGAAATTTCTTGATTGATCAATTGATCGTTTGATCGTTTGATTGGTTGATTGGTTGATTGATTGACTATCGTTGAACTTAATAAAGAAGTAGATAGTAAGACACGTAAAGAGATAGAGAGCAAGCTTATGTGTGTCAGGTATGTATGTATGTATGTATATTAGAGATAGAGAGAAGGGGGTTGAAAGAGATAGAGAGAATTGATCCAAGTAATAAAAAAAAAAGAGAGAGAACAAGAAGCAAAAATGATCTTGTTTTTATAGCCTGAGGAAAAAAATAATCCAAAAATCAAAAAAAAAAAATCAAAATTAAGATTACTATTACTATTACTGATACGCCACGGTCCATAAAATACCCCACCCATTCAGATCAAGGTTTCTTATTTTTTTTAATTATTTTCTGCTAAGCATTTTATGTACACACACACATATTTATATATATAAATAAATGTATATAATACTAATACTAATACTAATACTAATACCAATACTAATACCAATAATAATATTCGGATGAACAATAAGGCCTTTTATGAACTAAAATATTGAAAAGGTAAATCTTTACCGTGTCTATTTTTTGTACCTTTTAGTATTACTATTATTTCCTCTTTCTTACTTTCTCTTTATCTTTATCTTCGTTTGTCCTTATTCTTCTGTAACACCTGAATACGCGTATATTACTATATATTTCTGCTGGTTTGGCTTAATGCACAAAACTGAAATATATATATAAATATATATAAATATTGCTGGTCGGATCAATTTGCATTCCATCTCAATCAAATAGCCTTTATTTATTTATTTTTGTACATTTATATGTTATACGTAAATCTATATATCTCGATCTCACCTTTGAATAAAACGCCGTCAATAGCCCGCTCAGTACAAACTAGACTATGCTGGACTAGACTAGACTAGACTGGATCAGATCAAATCAGATCTGCAGGATCAAATAGCAAAGTAGAATAATAGCAAATGGTAAAGTAAATATAGAAATAAATAAAATGTTGTGATAGTGTAATAATGATACTTTGTATCGATTACAGTTTTTTTTCTCTCTTTTTTGATTTGAGTGAATTGTGAGAGCTGAGTGAATTTAAGCGAGCTTGTGCGTATATGAGTAATTGTGTGAGAGATGGGTAATTGAGTTTATCACCAGATAAAACCGCTTGATTTTTAACCGTTTTCCCCGTATCACACCGCCGTCTTCCGCATCTCCCTTTTGGTTCTAATATATATTATTATTATCAATTTGTATACCTACATGATATTCACCAAAAGCCAAAAATCTAATAGTTGTACATCACCTATTGTAACCTGACCAGCCCTACCTTACCCTACCTTACCCTACCCTACCCTGTCTTGTCTTGTCTTGTCTTCTTTTGTCTTCTTTTGTCCTGCCCTACCCTTGCCCTACCTTGCCCTTTCCTGCCTTTTGTTTTTCTTGTCCTGCCCTGTCTTGTCTTTTCTTGTCTTGTCCTGCCCCGATTAAATCAAATCAAATCAAATCAAATCAGATCAGATCAGATCAGATCAAGGCCTACAAAAGCAGACCCACCTAATACTTTGCATTACCTACATATAATAATATATTTTTTATTTTACTTTATTGTACTTTTACTTCTTTCTTTTTTGAATTAAACTTTAGGCGGTTAATCATTATCACCGAGAATCCGCAAGATACCAACGTTCAAGATGGTCCGTCATTTTATCCGTCGCGTGTTGCCACGTTGCAAATTACTTGATCTTTTTATTTTATTTTATGTAGCTTTATAATATATACTTTTGACGCAATGAATCTGCCATAGTCGTACTAAAAGCATAAATAAGGACTCGCAAGTGTCTTTGGGCTGTTTAAAATAGCCACATATAATTCTGTCTTCAAGATAATGCTTTATATAAATATATAAAAAAGGAATTCAAATGACAGTTTAGAAAGCAAGAGGTAGATAGTCAGAAAATTAAAAAAAGAGAGAAATCTTACAAGTATCTTGTTTGTTTTTATTCTCCTTTATCTTCGTCTTCGTCTTCACCACTATCGTCCTCGTCTTCTTTTTTTTTTCATATCTTTAAGTTTATTCTAGCCCTTTTTTTTTAAAAAAAAAAAGTTTCTTTCAAAAAAGGCAATATATTTTATATTGGTTTTTTAGCTGTAAGTTTTATTTCTTATTGGCGGAGAATAATTCTTATTTTGTCGGAGCCTAATGATTGTTTCGGAAATTGAATAATCTTTTGCGTATAGCTTATTTACTTGGAGAAATGGCTTAACAAAAATACAAAGCAATTAAAAGAAAAGAAAGAAAGAAAGGATTGGCTCATAATATTAAATACCATATATCATGTATATATAGCTATATATGAATGTCTTGCTTGATTTATACGATCTTCAAATGTTATGGCTTTAATTGGTTCAACAATTCTTGTCTTTAAACCATCATTTGTATTCAACCAATCTTTCCTAATACACCCTTCTCTCTCTCTCTCTTTTCTTGACCTTGGACAAGCCTAATTCAATAAGGTTTAAGAATAGTGAGTGAAATAGTAGGTGTGTAGCTTTACATACACTTAGTAAATTACTCTTCTCTTTGTATATATCAACAGTTTCTATTGATTTACACGTTAAAAACCTGTCTGTCTCATCACTGAAAACAGAAGCCTTTTTATTAATTTATATTTTGATCGAAAACGTCAATTAGTATACATATCCTGTCTACCAAAGTACTAACTTATGCATATATAGCTAATAACTGTAACAAAATGAAAATTTTCTTAAAAAAAAAGCTGTTTAACGCTGTGGGCTATTTGAAACAACTTTAGCAGGTTTGTTTTTACTTAATCTTGTATGATGACTGGAGAATTACTATGGTTAAATCATAAAGTTTCGCTTGATATTCGCATAAATGATTGCTTTTCGCACTTTAGGCATGGTGCAAGTCCCAGGATCCAGACTCCTCATTGTTTGGTGTCTATTTGCATGACCTATGAAACCGAAATTCTGCTAACTGTTATTGAGTTATCCATATATATATATCATTGCAATGAGCATGAATATGGACATGAATCTAGAAAGAAAATGCTTTGAATGACCCATAAATTGTATTTGCATGAGAGATTCTTTAATATGGTAATAGTTCAAGACATCGTCTCGGGGTGGTCAAAAGCAATTATATATTTAGTTTCTCAGCCCAGTGTAAAAGAGACTTCGAAAAGCAAAATTATCAGATTGATGCTGAGGTGTACCCCCAGATTCGATCAAAGTATCACAAATATCGTCACAAGTTTTTTTTTAGCATTATAACACGCACACACAAACACATAAATATTATGTAAATTTACCTTGGCAAACTTGTTTTTGATACTATTTGTTTTTTTTTAAGAAAAAAGTACAGAAAATATAGAATATTTTATGCAGCTTTGTTAAACTTGATCCAGTAATTGTGTCATTTTTGGTTCATCTCCAACGTTCCTCGGCTTCTCGCCCATACTCGTTTATCTTTGTCTGTTCCATACTCTCTTCATATTGTAATCGCGTCAATCATTGTTCACACACGTACCGACAGAGAGATACACATTTGGTATGTAGATTGCATTAATGCCACTTGACTATACCTTTTCTCTCCCTAAAGTTTACTGTTGTCAAGGTAGTGGCTGCCGTCCAAAATAACAATAATAATAATGATGATGTACATGATACAACCATTTGCTAAAGAGGCTATTACTCTCTACCCTTTTTATACAAACTCCTTTTTCATGCATTATTCACATAGTTCTTTTCTCTCATTTTTTTGACACGTTTTAAACTTCACACATTGTATGTCATTGCCGTTATAATTGATACAAGTATACATATATACAAAGCTATACACCTGCTATTATATCTTCAAATTTTGAACCTTATAAACCTTTTTTTTTCGTCCGAGATCAAGAGTGTATTAGGAAAAATTGGTTTAATACAAATGGTAGTCTAAAGGCAAGAATTGTTTAATCAACCAAAGTCATGTCATTTAACGATTTTTCAAGGCAAAAAGTTATCTTTCTTTATGTAAATATGCATATATTGAAAGACTATATCTGATAAATTTGAATTAATGCTCTAAGAAACCCAGGTAAATAAGCTTATACGTAAAATCAAAATCACCATGTATGCACAGTAAAAATAATAAAAGTATTGAGGATGTTCAATAGACGACACATAAAATGGGTCGCCGAATTAATATGTAGTAGTCAGATATATAGAAAACACTCTCCGAAAATTTACAGTTTACAGCCAATATGTTGATCGAAAGAACGAAAAAAAAAATCAGATAAAAAAAAGAGAAAGCAAAAAAAAAAAATAAAAAAAATAAAAAAGGAAAAAGAAAGAAGGAAAAAAATAAAGAGAGAAAGAGGAAGGTAGAGGAAGAAATATTAACCTGTCGCGGATAACCGGACAAATTATGGACCGATAAGGAAGCAAAAGAACATTTCACACTCCATTTTCTAAAGGGCTATATTTTTATTATATACAAAAGATCTGATAGAGAATCAAGATTGGATCCGGATCAGAATTGTTTATTTTAGAGGCAAGAGAATGGCAGTAATAGTCAATTGAACGAATTCTGGATAAATGTATATGTGTATGTATATGTATGAATGTTGAAATAATATAGTAATAATTATTAGAAAATAGGAGATAGTAGCAAGATCAAGCCTACTTTAATTAAGACTCAAAAAAAAACAAGAACTGGAATGTGTCTAGCATAATATCCAGTAAGGGTTCAGATATTCTTGCTTATTTACCTTCTTGATCTTAATACCATATTTATAATAAAAAAGATTACAGTAAAGTGATACAACAGAGATACACACAAGCCAAAAGGTAATATTTGCGTCGATTCACAAAACAAGGTGCTTTTATAGGAATACGACGCATGTATTAGTAATCTTATTAATTTTGTTTATGTAAAAGTGAATATTTTATTTTTTGAATATTAAAGTTCATATTTTACATAAACATTCATTCATACTTACATATAATATACTATAATCTTGTATTTGTATTACTAAGAAGAAAAAACAAATGTACAATACAGATCGCTCTGGCTGTATCAAGTAGATATATTGCTAATAAAGAAGAATATATATGTATGTGTGTTTATAGACAGATAGACAAGTAAAGAGAAGGAGACAGAAAGTTAGGAGAAGGAAAGGGGGAGGTGGGGACCGATCCCTGAACCGTGTACAGAAAAACTATAATATATATATATATTCTGTCAGTGTTATATTGACTGATCTAATGGTGACCGGTGCCTTAATATATATATATATATATTATTAATTCAAGATATCTTGGAATTACAAACAAAAAATCAATAAAGAAGAAAAGGAAGAAAAAAGGCGTATGAAGATCAGGCTCAAAAAATGATTGTAATAATGGTAGAAATATCAGTGTATGGTTTTTAAATTTAAATATATATATATATATAAAGGCTTTAAGGAGATTAATGTTTTGTCAGCCAAAACTCTCTTATTTTTATAAATTTTATTTTATTTTATTTTCCTTATCTTAATCTTATTCTTCTACTTATTATAATATAATATATAAGTATATGTCTTTGATCGCTTTCAAGTTCAATATTTCTCTCTCTCTCTCAAATTGATCCAGATATGCATTATTTGCTGAAAGTGAATGTCGCGCCAAGATGTCACATTTTGTATATCTTGTATTAGAAATCCTCTAATTTTGCTATACTGTTTTCAAAAACATAGTGCAAACTTACTTTTGATACACTAAATAGAAATTCTGTTCCTATTATTTTTTTGCTCTAAATTCCTGTGTGCGTATTTTCTGTCTTGATATTAAACTTACTTGTAACTGTGTAAATAAGCTAGTTAATAAGATTAGATTTTCTTTTCTTTTCTAAATGGTTTGCAGTAAAAGTTTATTTTATAGTGCAATATATACACATTTTCAATGATTCTTAAAAACGCAAAGTACAAAGTGAACACAGGCAAGTTGAAAGCAAATTATACATTTTAGCTGTGATAATATTGCTTTTACTAAAAAAAAAATAACGAAATTTGATCATTATTCCAATTATTTTATCACAAATGTTAATCTGTTAATTGAAGTTTTGGCTTCCTTAACATATACACATACATGTACACATATGTACATTTGCATATACACATATATATACTACAAATAACTCCTTATTATAATAATAAAATATAATAAATATTTTTATATAGACATACAAGTTTTGTCCATTGGTATATGTTACGCAAATATCGGGGTAAGTGTATGGTGACTGTATTAAACTAATGTATACATAAATGGAAATTCCTCTTTTATAGACACATAATTCAGAAAATCGTAGTAGTAATAATAATAATCTATTTTCAGTCCCCATGATAAAGCTCGCGGTTCATTACCTATAAAAAAATATCTATGGACGTATTTTTTACGTCAAGAATTAGAGCATGCTTTAATATTAAAATATTAATAGTAAAGAAGAACAACAGGATTTCTTTAATTATAATATATCAATATACCAATATATCAATATAACAGCCGATATACCAATCAATATATCAATAACAGCCTTACGTCTATTATTCTCCTTCTTTCTACCTCTGAAATCAATTTACAGAATCGATCTCTCCTGCCAAAACTACTAAAGGTCAAAAATTTGGTTTCAATTTCTTTTTCTTTTCTAGTTTCAATGTCATAATTATGGTTATGATTATGGTTATGATTTTTGATTTGATTTGAAACATGCACCTGTTTACCCAATGGGCGTGTTTTATGCCCTGAAGCAGGTCAGGGCAAGATGGTAAAACGAAGCTCAGCCACTCTTTTTGTCCTTTTCTTTTTGGATTCTTATATATATATATTATATTTTATGATTTATTTTGGCTCAGCAGTTTTTAGCTTTTGTATATATATATATCTACATATATATTCCTAGACACCTTATACTCAAATGCTCACACACTCACGCACACAACAGCAATTGTGGATTGCGTGACTGAAATGAATATAGTGAATGAAACTAAAAATAATATTGTGTGTGTAGACGAAATGATATCTGATGACGTACCCAGGTTTTTGTCTTTTTTTTTGTTTTGTTTTGTTATTTTTTTTGTAGGCACAAGTCATTTAGCACACATATAAATATATTTATATACATTTCGGCTCTCGGTTACGATTTGGATTCTTCGGCTGACATTGAAAATAAACAAAAGTTGTGTGTGTCTGTGTAGTGTGCAATGTGTATATTTGTATATATTTTTTTATAATTCTTTTTCCCGCTCGTTTCAAACGATACACCAAACAATCATCCCTTCCGTTCTCCTTCCTCTTCCTCTTCTTCTATTCATCTTAGTTGAATACCTCATTTCATTTAGTTTAATAAAAAAAAAACATAGAAATCTAAGGAAATACCTATATATATATATATATATATATATTTAAATTATGCCACAACTGTCTTCCCCAGGGGCATCTTCCTCATCCTCATCAATTGAGGCCGCGCCTCCACTTCCAAGACACATGGACAGCTCTCCCATCCCAACCCACCAACCGATGCATCACCTTAACAACAACAACAACAATAACTATAATGCTCAGTCTGCAAATACCTCTGCGGCCTCACTACCAACCCAAAACGCCTCAAGCCCTTATTTGTCTAGTTCAACCCGCTCCCCTCCTGGAACACGTCCGAATTCGATGATGAACCTTTCGATTGCCGGAAGTACTAGCAACAACGATCAACTGCTTGATCACTCACATCTCAAGCCTGGAAGTAAAGCCTCTCTTTTATCTTACAACCAGACCATCAACATGTACAGAGAAAACGCCAAAAAGACAAACAGCCCAGATATCCAGTGTGACTTTGCAATCTTCATGGTTGAGGCCGCAAAGTCTATCGTCGACGATGACACCACTCGCTCAGAGTACCTTGCAGAAGCAGAAAAGCTGTTAAAACAACTGTCTGCACGTGGCCATGCAGAGTCTCAGTACTATCTTGGAAACCTCTATGCTTCAGGATTGTTGAGTAAAAAGGGTAAGAACGATTTTGACAAGGCGTTTCCTTTGTTTGTCCAGGCTTCCAAACATAGCCATGCCGATGCTGCTTTTAGGTAAGCGAATGTATATATATATATATATATATAATAGTCATTAAGTTTGAGTTGGGCTGGTATGGGCTGGGTCGGTTTGGTTTGGTTTGGTTTGGCTTGGTCTAAAATATATACATGTATGTGTGTTTGTGTATGTATACAGAACTGCCAAATGCTATGAAGATTCTCTAGGCTGTCGCAAGGATAGTTCAAAAGCACTCCAATTCTACAGGTACAAATGGGAATAATTATAGAATGATATTATGTGTTGCACTAGTTTATCATAATATGGTGCAATAAAAAAAGAAAAGAAAGAAAGGAAAAATAACGCGTTTGGTCTATGTATATTTCTTGTTATTTTCCTTTCTTTATTCTACTCTTTTCTGGGCATCGATAGAAAGGCAGCCGCACTCAGTCATCCTGGTGCCATGTATCGATTGGGTTTGGCAGAGATTAATGGAGAGCTCGGGATTTCGAAGAATCCAAGAGACGGTGTAAAGTGGTTAAAGAGAGCAGAAGAAGGTGCTACATCAGAATACCCGCATGCTATCCACGAATTGGGTCAATTGCATGAAAAGGGTATTCCAAATATCGTGTTTGTTGATCTGGATTATGCCGTGTCTCTTTATGCCCAAGGCGCTGAGCTAGGCTACGCACCTTCTGCTTTCAGACTTGGTGAGTGTTATGAGTATGGAAAACTCAACTGCAAGCAAGACCCAGCCCTATCGATCCACTACTACACAATTGCTGCTCAGCAGGGCCACAGAGAAGCATGTTTTGCTTTGACGGCCTGGTATCTTGTCGGATCACCCCACGTACTTCCTCAATCTGATGAAGAAGCCTATCTGTGGGCAAAAAGAGCAGCAGAAAAGGAACTTCCAAAGGCAGAGTACGCAGTTGGATACTTTACAGAATCTGGTATTGGTACCCAGAAGAATCCTGTTGAGGCCATGGAGTGGTATAAAAAGGCAGCAGAGCATGGTGATAAGCGTGCAATTCAAAGATTGCAAGGAAAACCGAGCGATCAAAAGACAAGTAAAAAGAAGGACGGCAAGGATGAGGACTGCACTATCATGTAAACACACAGAAACACAGAGTGAAAAGACACTCAAACAACAAAACAACAACAAAAACAACAACAACGGGGATAAATGAGGCTATTTTTCCTTCCGACCCTTTTTTTCATTTCATTTTTCTTTTGTTTCTGTTATCATTGTAAAGCCATTATTCCTACTATACACACACTACACACACATTACACACAGAATCACCCCTACCACTCCTACTGTCACTGCCACCATCACTACTACCATTACTACACACACACACACAACGTTATATATCGAATTCATTTTTTTTGTTATTTCTAAAAAAGAATAGCAACAAGCAAAATCAAAAAAAAAATATATAGATAGATAGGAAGAAATAGATAGTGTCTTGGTTTAAAGTAGCCAGTGTTCATAAGAAGACTCTCACTTACTCTCCTATTGATTTATTTTGTATTTTTTGTACAAAGCAAAGATAATATATATATGTGGCTTTCATGCTGGTGTACTCTCATTCTCACTCCCTATATGTACAAACTATGGTATACAATATATTGCAATACATTGCTATTATGTGCTGTATTGTACTGGGCTGTACTGTGCTTTGACTTTTTGATTTTTACTATTATTTAGAAACGCCCGATAATTATTCTAGTGCTCTTTTTAGTTTGAGTTTTTGATCTGGCTGTAAAAATAATAATATTTAGCTTGTACTAATAGTAACACTTGCTTTTATAACTGAATATATACATATACATACATACATATATGTATATATATATTATTTAAAAAGAAACTGTCTGTATGATGCTGGTATTGGTATAGCCATATATATATGTGTGTGTATGATATTGATGAACTTACATTTAACATACTACTACAGAATGATAATAGAAAATAAAGAAAAAAGATAACACAAAAAACAACACCAAAGCTCGAACTAAACGTTTAGCCACTGTACCTTGAATTAAAACACAAGTAGTGCTTTAATATAGGCATGTAGTTTGATTGGCTTATTTGATGGACAATATGTTTTTGATTAATCAAGGGCCCTATCCAATAAGGGACGTGTTTTTAGCTGAAACAAATTCGATCTTCTTTTTTTTTTAAAAAAAAATGTAAATCCTTATGTGAGCCAATCATCTTTCTTTATCATATATGTGCATGTGACAATAATAATATTTTCTGTCACTTTTGTAATCTAGTACCAATAAAGGTAATTGTGATAGATTTTTATTGCTCTGTACATATATAGTAATTTCATTTTTTCCAAACCTTCAAGCCAAACCAAACCAAACCACAAAATAAAAAATAAAAAATAAAATTAAGGCTTACTAAGATTTTGTCGTTTTTGACTTTTGTGAACCTTCTTTTTTTTTAGTGGTGCAATGTCTTTACGTGTGTGTAATTCTCTTTTGTCAATCCCACTCTCTCGACGACTTTTTAGCAGTTCGACTATCAGAATGGCTCCTCAACATCACAAGGTTACCATTATTGGTTCTGGTCCTGCCGGTAAAAAAAAGAGATATAAAACTATAAATGCAAATACAGGCACATATACATACATACATACATACAGACAGACAGATAGAAAAAATAGCTCTTACAATTAAGAATACAAAAGACAAGAATATACTCTTAGGAATTTCTTGATTTTTTGCTTGTTTCTTTACTCATTAGTATCTCTCTCTCTCTCTCTATTTATTTATTCATTTATTTATTTATGTATACGCAATATACATATATTTTAGGTCATACTGCTGCTATTTACTTGGCACGCGCCAACCTTGCTCCAACAATGTTCGAAGGAATGATGGCAAATGGATTCGCACCTGGAGGGCAACTGACCACCACAACCGACGTAGAAAATTTTCCTGGATTCCCAAATGGTGTGATGGGTGGAGAGTTGATGGACAAGATGCGTGAGCAGTCTGTTCGGTGTGGTACTGTGATTGAAACCGAGACTATCACAAAACTCGACTGTTCTTCGCGTCCTTTCAAGATTTGGCGTGAGGGAACCGAGACTAACTCGGCCTCAGAACCCTCGGATACCAGCGACGCAGTTGTGATTGCAACTGGAGCGTCTGCTAAACGTATGAACTTGCCCGGCGAGGACAAGTACTGGCAAAGCGGAATTTCGGCATGTGCTGTATGTGACGGAGCAGTTCCAATTTTTAGAAACAAGCCTTTGGTGGTAATTGGAGGAGGAGACTCGGCAGCAGAAGAGGCAATCTATCTTACAAAATGTAAAGTGTTCAAAGAAAGAATATGCTTTGGGATTTAGAAAAAAGGAGAGGGAGAGGGTTTGAAAGAAAGGGATGGATTATATTACAAGCTGTTTTACTTCTCAAAAAATGGAAAGAGAGAGAAAGATGGAAAAGAAAGGAGAAAACGCATATTTCTATTTGGCCCTTTCACTTATTTACATATTTGTTGAACTATTCATAGATGGCTCCCAGGTTCATGTTCTTGTACGTCGTGACAAGCTGCGTGCTTCCAAAGTTATGGCCGCTCGCTTATTGAAGCACCCCAAGGTCATAGTTCACTTTAACACTTCTCCCACAGGTGCACTTGGAGACGGAAGTCTCTTGACTGCCGTGACTACCAAAAACACCTTGACCGGAGAAGAGGGCCAGATTGAGGCCAATGGTCTGTTTTATGCAATTGGACACGTACCTGCCACAGAGCTCATTAAAGGGCAGGTGGATCTTGATAACGATGGTTACATTAAGGTCATACCTGGCTCATCAGAAACCAATATTCCTGGTCTGTTTGCCGCAGGAGATGTGCAGGATAAACGATACCGCCAGGCAGTCACAAGTGCCGGATCAGGATGTATGGCTGCTCTAGATGCAGAGAGATTCTTGAGTGAACTTGAGGAGAGTCAGAGTGAAACCAACACTGGCAGTCAAAGTCAATTGGACTTGGACATGAAATTCAAACCAAAATCAAACTTGTAAATATTACTAATCAATTAATAAATAAATAAATAGAAGTCATCAATCTCAATTGCTATAAATCCTGATTTTCACACATACAGCATAGATATGATTAAGGATGAGCAAAAAAAAGAGTGTATAAATCTTTCATTCATCTATTTTACTTGGTGACATGATCGCCATAATATAGATAGGCATGTGTGTTTTGTGTACCTTTTATTTATTGTGTATGTATTTCTTTTTGTAACACGATGTCAATCTGGGTAAAGAACTATTGGTGTAAATATGATGAGTCGACTATCCTTTATTGAGACTAAACACATACCAACAAAGGATTTCAGATAATTACTCTTATTCATCAAAGAAAAAGGATCAGTCCATGGAACAAAATATAAATATAGATATAAAGCAAAAAGCTTATTAAAGAGACTAATTTACCATTCTTGTCCCAACTCGGTTCAATTGACCAGCTCTTGGCTGAAGTTGGGAGGTAGGAAATAATACGAGAAAAATATTGTATCCCAATCCCAATCCCAATCCCAAATCGCGCAACTCATATAAAGAAGATGCATGATGTGCCGGACAATATGATCAATTCAATAAATACAATGGATAAATTATTAAACATTATATACTTTTATTTCAAAGTTAAAACAGTTGAGCCGGGAAAAGAAGCTTAGAAAATTTATCACTCTTATGCTTTAACAGAGGTTAAAATATTCCCCCGAAAAAACAAGATGTAGTTAGTAACCAAGGTTACCTACACTAAGAATTTAACAGTGACATATAAGATACAGGTGACCTCGGTGACAACGATCTGGAAAATCTTGTTTTTATTAACATTTTCTTTAGGTCCTTCTTCGTTGACAGTGAGCACTGTACGTCACTTTGGACACCTCCATCTTTTAATAGTCTTCATCTACACATATCATTTAACCTAAAATTGTAATATAAATTTTGACTGACCGGAAGTAAAAGACTCGAAACTAATTCTACTCTCATGTTTTTAGACTTGATACTCATGGAGTCCACGGATAATTTGACAAGAAAAGGGCGTGTACTCTACACAAGATCAAAACGCATATCAATGATATCAAGTTTTGAAAGTAAAGTATTTACAATATCCAAATACTCCTAGTCGTTTATAGAGAAGACAAGCCAAATTCACTTGAAGAATATCAAACCATTGTTTCCGCTCAACTCTCAGACCTTACCATTCAGACATTGGTTTACGGCACTATGAATTAAAATACAGTGCACGGACCGTATAAACTCACCCCAATCTCTATGCCTGGTCGCATAAAAAGAAAAGCCATCTCCCAAGAATTTCTGCAAAGATATAATCAAAGATGGGACCAAGTACTCTGTGTATTGTTACGGACAACATAAAGAAACTGGGACAAGAAATGTCTCCAAGCTGCACCAATAAATGAGCAGAGTTTCCCACAATCATTTACCTGTGCTTATAGTAAAGCGTACACATCAATGTTAAGCTCGGGACCTTGACTACCTTGATTACGGTGCTTCTAAGACTATGCACATAAAAAGCTACGTCTGCATAATGAAAAGTCTATAGCTAACAGCTACAGATACAGTTCCGATATCACCCCAAATAGACATTTGTTAATGAAATTTGCAAAATCATGATACTCAGGCATGTGTCTCCTTCTTAAGCTCGCTAGAAAGCACCCTAGCCTAATATTGTATATACATATATTATCTTATCAAAATCTCGTGGCTCATACTGGGATAGCAAGAGTCTGATTTTACTACCATGACTCTGAAAATTTGGCTGTTTGCTCAAAAAGTAGCATCATAAGCACATCTATCATGTTTTAATTTGGCTACAGTGCCTTTAACAAACAAGTCCCGCGAGTCTTTTTGTGTGTGTTTTTTTTCTTTTCTTTTCTTTTGCGCCACGTATAAAATTAAAGTAACAAAAGACCAACCCCAGCGCCAAATGTTTAAATACGGTACAGTTGATGGAATATATGCTGTGCCACAACAAGACTCGTATATATGTATGTATTAACTTTGAATTGGTCACAGTTTGTCCATAGTAGAAGACTATGTCAATGCTGCACAAATGACGGAAAGAAACCTTTTTCCCCTTGTATTCAACCCAATTAATGTATGACAGGTATTTGTGGAGCATTAAAAGTCACATGGTTCCTGGATTATCTTTTCCCTTACTTCATTTGCTAAAAAAGAAATCCCAGCACCACAACTACCACCAACCTAGTGCCAGAACTTTTGGATCAGGTTTGTATATATGGATTGAGACCTTTGATCGACGGGCAGGAGGCTCTTCTTGTGTCTAGTTACCCTCTTCACTAGATCCGGATGAATTTCCGTTCAATAAAGATCAGCGTTTTGTACACCGCATAATATTAAAAAAAAAAGAGACAACAAGCAGCCTACATAGCCCCGAGTTCACTAAGGCTTTAGTTTTTAGATGGCCCAGGTGGAACTGGAAAAAACTTTTTTTAAAAAAAAGAAAGATAAGTTAACAATGCAAGATTGTTCTCACGGTGGTAATCAGTAGACTTATTGCTTTTCTATCAGATGGTGGAAGAATAGCGCATCACAGGTTCAAAATCCTTTTTTTTTGTCGTTGAAATTTTCATCTATTTCATCTGTTTTATTTAGGCCAGTTCCAAATTTACCATATTGCCCAGAAAAATCGACTTCATCATCTGGGAACAAAGGTATTAATGGTAAGTAAAGGAGTACTCTTAATGCCGTAATATGCTCTATTTCAGATATTAAGGATACTGTCGATCAGTTGGTTGCTCGAGAATGTTCCATTCGGTTGAAAGTTTTCATTTTGGTATTTGGTGATAGATTTGGCCAGGCTCTTCCAGTAACTTCTGGGGCAGGAAGATCCTAGATCGTTTCACAGTATGCCAGCATAGTACACACCTGAATACACGCCAAACCACTGAAGTTAAGAAAGAGAGTAGTAAAGTAAAAATAAATAAAAATAAGACGTGCATTTTTTACAGGTAGGTTCGTCTCAGAGCAACAGAGCGACTTAAATAATTTGTGGTCTTTTCCTTACACTTCAGTAGCGGTGTTGATCTAATAAATAATAAGCTATAGACTGCAGACTGTTCCTGTTCCTATTATCTCACACACGCTTGTTCAAGGCTGTAGCTTACAGCACACGTGTAGGTTGTTCCATCATTACACCAAAGTACTCGGACGTCAAAACCATCCGTGATATTATCTTAAGGGAGTTTTTTTTTGTAGAGGCTAAATAATTTTAAAAGCATTAACTCACGTTATTGTAAAGATGATCTATTAGGATATACCAATTGAACTACTCGATTCTCTAGATCATATATCCTAGATCCTAGATCCTAGATCCTAGATCCCTACTACCGCACTATTTGTACCTCAATAAATAGTATTCCTATCATTCTTCTCAGAAACCTTGAGCGTCAAGAATGTTCTTTGCAGCTGTACCTACCTGATGTGCAACATTTTTTTTAGATATATTTTGCAGGTATGCCATCGTAGGCTGTTGTAACAGAAACATATGTTGTAAGTATAGTCCTCATGTAATAAAAATAGAATAAATACAACTGGATTCAGTTGATCAAATTACATTATTTGAGGACTCAATACTACCGATTTTACTTTATTCGTTCATATATAACTTGCCTTTGACATTAATATTTAACTGCACTTCCCATAACAAGTCTTTTGTACATGATTAGTTTTGTTTGATATGTTCTTGGGATCACATAATTTTGTTTTATTATTATTATTAAGATTCTGATTGACAAATCAACACAACCACAGCACAATATTACATACCCACAAAAATGAATAATATATAAAAAAACGCTAATCCTACCGGGCCAACATTTTCTGATGAGACACGACATTTATATCTAACTGGGCTAATTAATAAAAATACAGTACCTGTCCGGGGTCTGGTTTCTTTTTTTTTTCTAATCTTTCAGGGCAAAATAGCATATACTGAAAAATACAGTATATTCGTAGCAAAATAGCCATTTGCGCCCTAAATTTAGACGTGGCCATAAAAAATAGTAATTAGTCATAAATACACTTTATCAATAGCCAGTTATGCAGAAGATTATAAGGAGTTGCTGTCATTAGATTGTAACCCAAACGTGTTTGCTATTTTACTTTTTTTATCAGTCTTCTTACGCGTGTGATGTCTTTCCCTTTCTTTCACATATATATTATCAGAAAATAGCCCAATGTTTGTTATTAAAAAAAGCTAGAACCAGTATGAAATCACCAACTTAAGTTACCAAATAGTCGCGCCAGAAGCAAAGGATGAAGAACCTGTCCTTCTCAAGTCAAAAAAAGGTATAATGAAATAAAAAGACAAATATTTTACACTTCTGTTTACCCTTTCCTCCAAAAATAGAGTCATAATGCAAGGATCATTTCAGAATGGGCATAACTTGTGGTCCAGGAGAATCAAAACGTTGTCTCCCACCAGGAAACGCTATCTGTCTAGAATTAGCGCTTTTTTCTGAAACATTTAGCAAATATATATAAAAGTATGACTATCCACCTAAAAAAAAAGTAGTCTCAATTGACAGTACGCCTAATTATTCAATTTGGTCTCTTTAACATGTCCTGTCAGTGTCTCTGTGTTATAACCATTAGCCGCACGTCCAATATATCTCTTTTTGATACGCTTTGGAACTCGCAAGCTAACATGAGTTAAGTCATTTGCGGATATTGTACTTAAAACTGATGCTGCGTTTGCTTTCATTGTAGGCACTGTAACTATTATGGGAGTGCCTTTCTTTGACCAAGCCATACCCCGTTTCAAATTAACGTAAAAGGCTGATTCGTCAAGAAAGAACACGATTTGGTATAAAATCCTGGTCAGTTTTCTGCCACTTTTGGACCCAGTCGTATCTTTGTTTAATAGTTCCCTCACTGTGCCTGCTTAATCGACAGATTAAACCGAGTTGTTATAAAGCTGTAAACAGTACTACGAGAAACGTTGAGACCTTCAAAGCTTTGTTTCAAACTTTCTACCACTTCATTGACAGCGGCAGAATGGTTCTCATCGATATAATTTAAAAGAAACTGTTTATGCTCTTCCCCAAGGATACAACGCCGACCTGGCTTATTTTTCTTCTCAAAGATGTTTTTAGGGTCCTCGTAATAACGTTTGTCCCATCTCTGTGCTGTTTAGATATGAATACCTAATTGCCTTGTAGTAGTAGAAACTTTCAAACATTTGCTAAAAAAAAATGAAAGAATCTAGTCTTTTCTTCATCAGAGTAAACCGTATAGCGTCGCTTGTTGCATTACAGGGTTAAGTCCTTCCAAAGGGTTATTCATTAGGAACTGAGTACGAGAACTTGTTGTTTCAATAGCGAATAGCTCCTCGCCAATAACAACATCCATTGGCTCAACGCCATTCTCATCAGCAACGTGCCCTTGTCCGTCTTCATAAAGAAAATCGCATGCCCATCTTGAATATCTGTAAAATAAATTATAAATAGGAAGAAGAAAGTAATCATTGTTGAACGCACAATTTTTTGCACGACATTAAACTTAAAATCAGCGACTTTACTTTTCTGAAGTGACTGTATATATACACACATTTATTTTTGGAGACAAAGAAAGATGACTTGAAAATAAACCAGCAAAATATTGTATCGATCATACTATCTACATATATATGTAAGCTCTTTATTTGGCATGTCAATTTGAATTTTTATCATATTTAAATATAAAGTAAATAAATGAGTATTTGAGTGGCACGACATTTTGCTGGAAAATCAGGTACTAATTTGTTTTCTGTAAATCAAAATGTTTTTTGTTGTCATGGCAAAAAAATGAAATAAAAATAGATAGATAATAACAGGTCAAGGAAAATTGTATATCTCTTCATTGATTATATATATATATATATATATATATATTTGATGGAGAAAAGTTAGATGAGCATGAAAGGCACGTTCATGAGCTATATAATCTTTCTTTCTCCCATGTGATGAGAAAATAAGTAATCTATACTATTGAACTGATGTTGTACTCGTACATATTAAAGAGCCTAATTATAAACCCACAATAAAAACACAAAATAAGAATATCAAATAATATATAATAAAATGTATTGTTTGTATATAATTTCTTCGTTCCCAGCCGCATGCATACACAATTAGTATATATATATATAAAAATTAAATATATATATATTTCTTTTTTATTATTTTCCTTTATATTTCATTTTATTTCTTTAATATTTTTTTTTTTTGCTTTGTTTTTTTTCCTTTCAAAAAATAATAATTTTAATAATAATACATATTTCATCTATACACAATATACACTCAACTCCTATATCTTAATCTACCATGAAAACACTCAGTCTATTTGTATTGTGCGTCTGGACCCTCAACGCATCAGCATCTTCTTGGCAAGTCCTTGGAGACACTCATAATTCAAACAATCTCAAAGAAGCCACCGAGTTGCTGGACAGCTTGGCTGCCCCAAAACTATTACTACCACCATCATCACAACAACAACAACAAGAAGAGCAACAATCATCATTACAATTACAATTATCATTATCATCATCACAGCCACTATCTGATTCTTCTCTATCTGATCCTTCTTTATCTGATGGCCTGCCCCAAAGAAAAAACAACCCACCAAAAGATTTCTTTCAGGACGATGATAATTTACTGGTGTACTACATGAAAGACACAACCGTCAAGGATGATATTCCCAATCTAATTGACCAGGAAGAAGACCAAGTGTACGCCCTTCGAGACTATGAAGGAGAGGGCGAAGACGAAGGAGACGAAATCGGCGAAGAAATCCTGTTTGAAGAAGAAGACGAAGGAGAAGGAGACGAAGATGAAGAAAATGAAGAGGACGAAAACCAAGACATTCCACCAATATTCAAGAACAAAGACAATATTGATTTTGAGGATCTATACGCAGCTACAGTATTCACAGACACCTCATTATCATCCTCTGATTCTTCTTCTGATTCCCCTGTACCTGATTCTCCATGGCCAGTGGATTTGTCATTAAAAGACGAACCATATTCCACAAAAGGCGAGAATGAAATTGAGCTTTCTCAAGCTGTGGTGCCTCTCACACTCCCAGAAGATACTCCGACAGACTCAGACTCTATCCAATCCCACCACCCCTACGATACAGCAATATCAACCCCACTCTCCACTTCTTCTTCTAATTTAGATGGACCCGTGGCTCAATATGACAGCGCTGGTCATCCAATAACAGAACACGAAAGTGAAATTGAAAGAATTCTCGAATCGGCTTCTGTTGATGACTCAGAACATTATGAAGAAGGAGGAGAAGAGGACGACGAAGCCGACGAAGACGAAGACGAAGACACACCATATGCAGATGACGCTTTCCCACTAATTTATGACATTCCCGAAACCTCTACAGCCACAACCACAACTCCCAACTCTTATGAGCCAAACCCCCATGTCTACAAACCTCTCTTCCCCTACGATGTCTGGGTGTGGGGTACATGTTTCATCGCTTTATTATGCATAGTGGTTTACCGTGAAACCAAGCGAAATGTGAGTATTACTTGAAATAATAATTTTGTGTGATGGATTGTGCGTGTGAAGTAGTGCTAGTAATCATCATCACACTATACTTCTTTTTCTGACTTTTTTTTGTGTATGTGTGTTTGACTCATCAGGGAACCACAGAACACTGGCGTCACAAGTCTGACAAAGAAGAAGAAAAGCTCCCTGTATGTTGTTGTTTTTGTTGTTGCTATGGTGAATTGCAAAATTTTCTTTAATTGCTCAGCAAACTAACGTATATTATTTTATCTTTTGCTTCTACTACTGTTTGTTTTTGTCGTTGTCGTTGATTTTGTACGAACATTTTAGCTTCATGTCAAAGGTAAAACTTTATAACAAAACTATAGATAAAGTTTCATGCTTCTTTTTTAGATTGTTTTTATTTTATTTATATATATTCTTCTTTACAAAAAAGAAAACAAACAAATATTAACATATATGACTTATCTTTATTTGTGCCTATAGATTTGTCCCACCAACCTGTTCCATTCTCTGGGGTAGTGGTCATTGACCAAGCAAAGTCTGGATCTATCGATATGCCCACAAATAAAGGCCGACGAGCATCACTTGGCCACACACACATCATTAAACATCAACAAAGACCAGTATCCAGTCATGTACGGCATATGTCTCTAGGCAGCAACAGTCTAGTAGGTCGTGATCACAAGCAGGCTTTGTGGAACGATTGGAAAGTTGTAGAGGAAGAAGATGGAGAAAACGGGTGGTAAAATAAAATAAACTATGAGCCTACATAAATAAAATATAAAATATAAATATATAAAATAAAATAATATAATCTGTACAATCCAATTACCATATATAAAAACAGGGCAAAATTTCGCTCATTAAAATAAATATATATATACATATTCTCTCTCACACTCACAACACACACACACGCACACACACGCACACACACGCGCATGTGTTATGTGTGCATGTGTGTATGTGTGTATTATCATGTAAAATAAGCTAAAAAATTAAGCCGTCATAATATAGTATAGTAAAAGGCTTACAAGTAAAGTGGTATAAAATCGGCAAAAGCGGGCCAAAATGAGTATTAATAATATTAATAATAAATTTATAACCATGGCTACTGCGGTAGCCGTGGCAACATAAAAATAAATGCACAGCAGCAGCAATAACTGCCCGTTTACCCTTTTATTTATTTATTTACTTATATATTTACTTATATATTTATCTTTGTGGAAATACAAACCAATGGCATGGCTCTAGCTAACATTGGATATTACTAAAAAGGTGTACAATTGAGATTCATTAAAAAAAAATCAACGGAGAAAATAAGAAAAGGGGGCTGTAGTAAGCCAAGCAAAGGAAAGGCAAGCAAAGGAAAGGCAAGCAAACCCGGGTTAAGTTCAGCCAAGATAAGCTATACACTAAGCTACACTAGGCTGAGCTTAGCTATGCTAGGCTAAGTTAAGATGAGCTAAGCTAAATTACTGGTATTCACAGGGCTTTATAGATGTAAACCTTGCTTGTTTTATCACCAAAGATATCTTTCTTCTTCTTTATATTTGTAAGTAATCCGGTCAGGCGGATTATCCAAGCTGAGCATGTATAATTTTTATTGTTTATATATATATTTATTTATTTCTCCACTTGGTGATACATGAACACAAACCTAAGAACGAAACAAAGAATATACCTCTCTTTCCTTCCTTCCCTTCTTCTCTTCTCTTTCTTTCTCTTTCTTTCTTTTTTTATTCAACTAAACTAACTATACAATATGTGCTGTTTTTTTCACTGCTAAAATACACTTCTTTTGTTACTGTCTTGCTGCTTTATGTTATAGTATTCAGATTCTGATCTGTGGAGTAAATAAGTAAATAAAATAAACTAAATGTATTATATATCTTTTTTGTAACACTTGAATTAATTCAGTCCAAAAAAAGAAAAAAGAAACGTCGGTCTTTAAAGAACATACACAGCTGTTTACAATGCCAGCATAAAATCTAAGCACACGACATTGATTTCTAGTGTTACACCCTTTTTTTTGTAAGCCCAAGAATTTCTGGTAGAGTGATGTAATTATGTGATGGCTAATGGAATTCCATTATTCTTGTTGCGCGTTTCTTTGTAATTCATTCATTAATTCCAGGCACACTATTATATATATTTATATATATATTACAAAGAAAGAAAGTCCCCTACACCATAAAACCCTCATATTTACTAACAATAATAATACAAAATATCACTGCGCAAAAGTATTTCTCCTGTTATTTTCAGCTTGACGCCCAAGGTAATAATAGGTTTTACCTTTACTGATTGATTTCTTTATTTTTTGTGCAAAGATCCACAGGTTTAAAAAGTGAGATGATAAAACCTCTGCACTAAAAGGTCAATAGGGTGGGGACAAGTATTGTCTTTTTATTTAATTTTTCATTTTTATGTGTGTGATTGTATTTCTTAAAGAAATGATTGGATGTATATCAAATGGGTATAAGTCGTAACTGTGTATACATATATAGAATAATATAGAATAGATCAAATGCTCTTTGACTTTACCACAGCTTGCAGAAATCTGGATCAAGAAAACAATAACATAGGAAAGACAAAGGACAAAAATAAGAAGAAGAAGAAGTGCCTTGGGGATGGGAGAGGGCGACCCTGTGGTGATGGAAAAACAAATGTGGGCACAAATGATAACTGAATGTGGGATGATAATTTACCAAACTATTGTCACTGTATAAAGTGAAGGATATGTAATATAAAAAAAAACAGAATAAGTGCAGAAATATCGACATTTTTCCGTCTTTATATCTCTTCTATATTCTGGAAAAATAATTGGGTTCTACGTTTAATATTTTCAAATGTTCCTTGATATTTTTGCAATAAAACCAAGATCAACAATGAAGCAACCAAAAGAATACTGGGAGTTTCAATATATTTATGGAAAAGAAGAATGTACTAGGGCCATACTTTTGTGCCATTTTTACACTTTGGTCACTACTGCCATTATCCTCAAATTTACTTATGAGCATATAAGAAAAGAAACAAACAAACAGACAAATATGGTTGGAGAAGTTTTCAACAATACTATCATAATCCATATTCTAAAAGAATATATAATGAATTTTAAGCCCATAAAACAAAGGTATGCATGCATAAGACGTTTTTACTTCTGAAACCAAGCGCCTAGAATTATTGTATCTTCATGGGACCCATATTTTGCCACACATACGAGTATATGAGAAAGTGAAACCACTATTAACATAAAATAAAATGACAATTAAATAATTTTTAGCTTCCAATGATGCATGGCTATTATCTCAACGGCTGCAGGATCAAATGATAATTATATACTGAAGTATCGACATCTTAATTGTCTTTCTATGATATATAAATACATAAACAAATGCACATATTTGCACTGTATTATTATCATAATACTTTCATAATTACCAAGTAATCTTTTTTTAAAGAGATCCTTAAATAGTTTTTGACTTGAGCTACCTTTTTCTTACAACTCCTTTGTATTATGTGAGTCAAGCAATCTTTACGACATAATGAGGATCATGTTTTTATTTTTTTATTTTTTACATATAACAATTTAATTCGACCATTACTTCTTTACAGGTAATAGCCAGTAAGCTTAATTAATCAATACTAATTTAGAATAATTGAATGCTACCTGATTAGAAACCAAAAATTAAAAGCTAAAATTAAAAGAAAAAAGCATTGCCCTTCTTTGTAAGTATTTTGGGTTTTCATATTTCCCTGCAGATGCTCATCACAAAATGATACTCTATCTGAGTTCAAACACTATTCTTTTTTATATCCAAATGTAGTGGAATTAGTAATATTTCCTTTTGCGTACACATCGGCTATACGAATCCTGCCGTCTTTCGAATCTTTGGTATCTCTACGAATACTTTCATCATCTTTGATTAGACAAGCACTATTCAACTTGCATTAACTTTCTGTACATATTTTATTGATAGAGTAAAACTCCAAATTTTAGTTAAATTTTATGTTTCAGGTGTTCTCCTAAAAACAAAAGAGTGGATATCGAAACATGGCCTTTTAGTGTAAACCAGCGGGAATTTTATAATGACAAACATTTTTTTTTCGATATTAGAAAATAAGGGATATTTATGAATATTGAGGAAAATCTATACAAAATAAAGTTGTAGATATGAATTTTAGTGTGTCAAATTAGAGTTACTTAGAGTTACTTGATAGCTTAAACACCAATATATGGATATGGAATGGCATTTCCTAAGTAGGATTTACTATTGAATGGAAATAAAGCTGTTTTGCAAACAGGTCTTGATTCCAATGGTACATTTGGAAATATATAAAGCTCTGATAATTTACTCTACTACTAATAAATATACAATTTCAATATATGCTAGAAGATTTTTTTAGTGTCTAAATGTAGGATCTGTTTCTCAACATTTCTCTTGTTTCTTTATATATGTACCACAGCCCCAACCACTACACTTAATATTTTCTTTCATAAGCCTTTTACAAGAAAGTATGGGGAGGTTTTACTTTTGAAATAACAATAAAAAGCATATTACACATACCTCTTTGCACTGTGATTAGGTATAAGCATATGATTATGTTTGGGCTTTCACAGTAAGCTGCAGTATTATCTTAACCGAATAGCCATTGCAAGAAAAGGAAAAGGAATTTACAACGGCAGAATTAAAGTCTGCAGAGCGCCGGCCTATATCTATTGTGCGGTTCTTGGAGTATATTCTTTATTATTATTTAAGTAATGCACACTTGACGATAATTAGCTTTAGGCATCCTAAAAAGCGTACATGTTATCAGAATTAGATGTACTGAAAACTCTAATAATTTGTTAATCTCAATCGATCGCGAAATAATTGATGATATTTATTCACTTTTATCTTATGTTCTGTCATCGCTATTAAGAAGAATAAGCAAATATGCAGTAAAATTTGAATATTCTGGATGTCATGATCTTGCGAGTGTTTGTATTATATAACAGTCAGATAAGTATTATTCCCGGTATCAATTTACCCTTAGATGGTTGATTGGACTATTATCTCTGACTTTTGGAAATAAATAACCAAATGAATAATAAAGAAAATCTATACTCGGTGAGCGCAATTTTACTGCGTTATATAACCCGGAAAAACAAATAAGATAATTTACTGTTTCGTTGGAAACTCTGGAATATGCTATAGCGAGCAATTGGTTAATGGTAAACCGATCGCTGAATAATACACCCAGATTTGTGCTTCTACAGCTATCTCAAATATGGAGAATTGGCTGTCAGTTTTTTCTAAACCCCTCCCAATCTCGATAGAGAAAATTGCACTAAATAATTTAAATTTAGATCTACTTCTTTTACATATCAAAAAACATATATAAAGCATGGTCTTATATATTGCTGCCGTTAATTTTATTTTTATATAACGGAGTATGGTGTGCAATACTCGAGGAATATTATAAGCCACCTTGAGTACGCGGATACATATCAGGCATTTTTAAATTCTTGTATAAAGCCCAAGGGCGGGAGTGAACAGTCATAAACGCGCACGGAAATATCCTGTACCAATGAAGAAGTATAATATTACACAAATTAATTTAGCTATTGATATACATGTGCTCTTAAGACATGAAAATTGTAAGCAACCCTTTGCAATCTACTTCATTACGTTTATCAGCTTATTTGGCCTTTTTTTTTTTACTTATATATATATATTTTTTGAAAAAAAACAAACAAATTAGGCAAAATATTGACATATCAAAAGATAACATTTTGATCTTTGTAATAATGGCTAGTGTGGTTCATACAAAGTTAATGTGGATCTACACAATTCCTTATTTGTAAATAAGATTGATGGGAATCTATGAAATTGTGAATCGCCTCTTTTATATCATATTAGAAAGAAAGAAAATAAGTCAGGATTCATCAGAACCTACCGAGTTTATGTTTTTGTATTGCCTGATTCTATCCATGTAAATAAGAATAGAAAGATACTATTGCTATTGAAGCAACTTTCAAGAGCATATATGATCCAAAATTGGAGTTTTTGGCTTATTTGGAAAGTTTACGCACGTGTAGCCTTGTGTGGTAGCACGTCAAGATGTAAAGTATTAATAAAAGCTCCACTAGAATATTATGTTACTTGAGACAACCACACAGTGGAAACCACTCCACAGACATACGTTTTCAGTCGATTCCACCACCTTTTTTTTGGAATGCTCTGAAGCATGATATTCACTGCTTGAATTTAAAAAAACTAACATGGTTACATTGGTGATATGTAGAGTAACATTTGCAGATATCTTCAAATGGCTGTATTCACTTACTCGCATATATACATACTCTTTCTATTTTGAATATATCCATACAATTCTTTCCTGACCGTAAATAGTGTGGTGTGTTAAACAAATCAAAGTCATTATGTGTGTGTGTGTGTATTGAAAAGGCTCACTAGATCTTTCAGTTCCTCGAGGTCATGTATTAATGGTGATCCTGTTGGTCTAGGCTTATTGTGGATTCTGATATGAAGTTAAAAGTCTTTATTTGAATTATTGTGTAGCGTCTGATATTAAAGATATGTCAGCTTCTTTTTGCCCACTTGGGTATTCCTAACCAATATTCCTTCTTAATTCAGGTTTATTTATGTAAAAGAAAATCTCCCGATTTCGGAAAAGCCATTTATTTCCTACTAATCTCCCCTGTTAAGTTTAGAATACTTCTTTAAACCAAGTACAACGCTTAGTATGAATAAAAGAACTATATTCTCGCAGACATGGTCAAAGTGGGCATCTTATATCAAGCCAAACACACACACACACACACACACACACACACATATATATATATATATATACATGAATACTTGTTTTGAAGTTTGAATATCAAAAAGTAAAAGTAAATGATGTCTGATTAAAATATAAGTATATATATATATTAATCTTTAATATATCTCGAATAGAATTCCCGACAGAAACGCACAGCCCTCCAAAGAATCTCACTCAATTTCCACGAGATAGGAAATGAGTTTGATTATATTTTTCTTCTTTTCTGCGGAACTCTAATAAGACAGGACCTATAAATTGGAGCCAGTCTTGAGTTTGTTTGTTAAGTTCAATCCCAATCCCCATCTCTTTTTCTCTTTCTTTCTTCTTTTCTTCTTTTCTCAAACAGCAGCAGTTCAATCGACTAAATTACCTTACAGAGCCTATAATATAATAAAAGCTTAATAATAATGTCAGCACTCGTCTACACACCCAAGGAAGACCTTATTCCTATCGTCAACAACCTTCGCCAGCAATTTAACACGGGTTAGTCTTGTAGACCGCGATTTAATAGCTCTACTGTCCTTTGATATCTGACCATGTTTGTTGACATTTCAAGGCATTACAAAGAATATCACTTTCCGCAAACAGCAGCTCAAAAACCTTATTCGCTTTGCCGAAGAGAATAGCGAGGCTATTGAGGCAGCCTTGTGGAAGGATTTGCGCAAGCATAAGATGGAGTGTGGTGTCGGTGAAATTTCTCCTATTGTCGATGACTGCCACTTTTTGATCAAAGTAAAAAAAGCTCAATATATACATATAATGATTATTATGATAGTTTATCATTTATGCTAATCATATCTATATCTATATCAATTTTAACTATAGAACTTGGACAAATTCAGCAGCCCTACTTACACCAAGAAGCGATTCTTAATGAACGCAGCCGATAAAACTTACATTCGTAAAGAAGCCAAGGGTGTTGTCCTTGTCATTGGTAAGGAGTCTAGAGCACCTTAAATAGAGAGCAAAGAATATTGGACCAATTTTATTTTTCTATTTTCTAACACAATATACCATTCTGATAGGTGCATGGAACTATCCTGTAACTATAACCCTATTTTATTCTATTGTTATTAAATAAGAGCCATGCATTTGACTGACTTTTTCAATTGTAAATGTGTGTGTGTGTATGCTTTAATAGATCAATCTCCTACTTATGCCCGTTGTTGGTGCTATTGCTGCAGGAAACTGTGTTCTGATAAAGGTATATATACATTTACAAAAATAAAACCTAAAATAAATAAAAAAAACTTTACTCACCTCACGACCGTAATATATATATATATATATATATATAAATTTCATTACACTTAGCCTTCCGAGGTTTCTCAACACACTGCCGAATTGATCGCTCGTGTCTTGCCTAAATACCTTGACGAGCGCGTCTACACTGTCGTAAATGGCGGTGTTGATGAAACAACAATTTTGCTTGGTAAAATTAACTACAAACAAAAATAAAATAAAAAATCGTTAGACAGTTAATACATCTTTACTAATAAGATTTCAATAGAGCAAAAATTTGATCATATCTTCTACACTGGTAACGGAATGGTAGGAAAGATTGTCATGACCGCCGCTGCCAAGCACCTTACTCCAGTCACTCTTGAATTGGGAGGAAAATCGTAAGATTTAGCTTTGACTCGTTTCCATTTTTGGATAAGCAAAGAGAAAAAGAGAAACGAGAATATTTAATAGACTACTTACCAATCTTCACATTTTTATTTATTTGATTACATATGTAGACCTGCCATTATTGCACCCGATGCTGATCTTGCTGTCTCGGTCAATCGTCTTATATGGGGAAAGTTCTTCAATAACGGACAGGTGAAAGACCAAGAGAGATAATACACACCAACCATGTTTATACACTAGCTTCATCTAAGCCATAGAAATAAACAAAATACCCACGCTAAAGATGTTAACCTTTATTTTCTTGTTTTGTTTAGACATGTGTTGCACCTGATTACGTATTGATTACAAAAGATCGTGTCGAACCTTTTATTGAGGCCGTGCGCAAAACCTTGATCGAGTATTATGGAGATGAACCTCAAAAGTCGGGATCTTACGGCCGTATTGTCAGCAACCGTCAATTTGATCGCCTCAAGGGTTTACTCGATCATTTTGATCAAAAGTCTATTGTTATTGGCGGACAGACCGACAGGGATGATCTTTTTATTGCACCAACTATCATTTCTCCTGTATCTCCCAACGATGCTCACATCATGCAACAGGAGATCTTTGGTAAGTCTTTGGCTGTACAGATAAATATGTGAACAAGAAGCAGGAGTCAGACTATAAACTAATGTGTTTCCAATCACAACAACCAAAAACAATAAAGGTCCTATCCTTCCCATCATCCCTGTTGAAGATATGGATGAAGCTATTGAAGTAGTAAACACAAGGTAAAGAAAAAAAAAGGATTTTAGTTTATATTTTAGTTTATATTCCTTTCAAATATACATATATTGACAAGAGTTATATGATATACATATGTGTAATAGAGATCATCCTCTTGCTATGTACATCTTCTCATCAAAGGCATCGACATACAATAAGAGTAAGTACTTTCTGTTCATTGTTGCAACCTCCCCCTCAACTTCTTTGAAAGCTGGATATACACATATTAATAATATATTAACTTTCTATAAATAGTTCTTGACAGAACAAGCTCTGGCGGTGTACTTGTTAACGACACTTTGATGCATCTCCAAGAGCTTTCTTTGCCATTTGGTGGTGTTGGTCCTTCTGGTACTGGTGGATACCACGGAAAGGCTTCTTTTGATATCTTTACCCATGAGCGTTCGACTATGGTCAAATCTGCTGCCATGGAGAGCCTCAACTCCACAAGATATCCTCCTTATACAAACGACAAGTACAAACTCTTGTCATTCATGGTCTATGGTTTCCCAGCCTCAATTGGTGCCAAGATCAAGACTTTCTTTGCTGTATTGGTTGTCAGTTACAGAATCTTCTTAGGGAAGGAATCCGAGTAGACGGATTTTCTTTTTCCTCCCGATTTATTCAATTTTATTCCTTATTTTATTTTATTCTATTTTATTTTATAATATACATATACATATAAAAAATATTATTATCCTTCATTCAAAAAAAACTTTAAGACAACATCTTTATATTGTATAACATTAACGATTATTATGTTTATTAAATGTATTCCATACTTGGGCCAATCTCTTTATTTATATATTTGTATATTATTCATTATTTGGCAGTAATCAATAAGTATTTTATATACTACTGCTTAATGCCTTGTAGTAAAGTAAGAAAAAAAAATAGTACAGAAATTCAAATCATATTCGAGAGGCTTCAATGAATATATTTATCATTAAATCTCAAAAGCTTATACAAAGTGAATTGGAATAACTGACAGACCCATACCATTGACCGTAAGAATGTCTATATTCTACCAAATTAAAAGCATAACTTACTTAGCACTCTTTATCTCTATAGTGTAATTTAATTAGGTCAGGTATTTCGGTAGAGGACACAACTCGATATCTTTTCGTTATTGCCCGAAAAGGAAGAAACCCTTAATGTTTCCATGGCGGAGCGAGAACAAGGATTGACCAAAGTCAAAAGGTTGCCCACATTGTAGTACAGAAAGCGATGGGAAGTATCTAAAACCGCACAAGAAGATCATAAGCTGTGGTTAAAGACATTGCCGACAAAAATACCAGATTTAAGGGTCAGAATCGGATCAAGTGCACAAATCTTACGGCGAGGAGAACAAGGAGAGAGAGAGAGAGATTTTGTCTAATACTGTATTTAACAATTTATAGCTTAGCTAGCAGATAAAAATGCTCTTCAGATAATGAGTGTCTGGATAATGAAACAAAAATTTAAAATAATATAACCAAATCTGCCTTTACTCTATTATCTAATACACAGACTATCATAAACATAATTGCTTATTTATTATTATTATCACCATAACACAGGGTACACAATAATAACTATCATTCTAAGGGCATAAGTATATTTTACTTACACATCTCTAACACTATATTAATTCTCAATTGAGAGACTACAAATATTACGATTCAGAAACATTACCCAAACTCTCTGACTGATCTGACTGGAGAAGTATCAGATCAATAGGTCTTTACAGAGGAATAACACCCCTGGAAGATGACTCACTGTAATAAGTATCACTTAGGCACATATTGCAATTCGAATACAAAATATATATATATATAAATACGACTAGTTCATTCCATGTAGAAGAACAATCGAATTCTTATTATTTTTTACTTTTTGTTTGAGATACAACACTACGTAAGTTCTTACGAATTATTTTGCCTTTATTCGTATTATTTTCTTTACAACATCGTGTAACCACATGAAGAGAAAGTGATGATTAGTAGCAAGTCAATAAGAGATCTATTTATTATAGGAAAATTTCGATATGTGTATGCTAAGAAGAAGGATCGATTTGTGTGTAATAGGGAACTCACAAATCCCGAAAGCAATAATTTGGGACGAAATGTCCAATTTTTTCTGGGACACTCTCGTCCAATTTACACTGCTTTCGAGTTTTTTTAACAGACATTTTTTTGCTTTTATTTTAAAGAACGTCAATCGTCACTTGAACTACTTTAACGGAGTTGAGTTTCACGAGTTCCTTTTCTGTGAAGAGGACCAAAGTAAATGGAGTCTTCCATCTATTTTACACATCTCTTGAATCCTTTCATCGCTGACGTGTACCCCTTTAAAAAAAACTAAAGGAAAAAATTCGTGACTATTTTCATATGCATGTGACTACTAGAGCTAAAGACCATGAAAAAAAAAGGCAAAAAGTAAACAAAAAAGGACGCAAAAAACAGAAAAAGACGAGCGACAACGATGCGAAACCTTATTTACCATCAACAACTACAATTCTGTTAATGCTAATAGCTCATTAGCTTATATATAACTCTCATCATGTTCTTGCAGAAATGAGTTTGTCAGAACATTGCGCATTAAAGATCAATTTTCTATTTTTCTCATTCAACCTGACGCCCGATGTTGATTCGCGCATCCTTTTCAGCCACTCATGATAGAAAGCAAGAGTTTTTAGGGTAAAAAACAGAAGGCACACGCGTTTAAAAATTGTTAAACTCTTGAACGTACTTGTTATATATATGTACAGTCAATGTCTGATTGATTTCTTAGAAATATAAAAAAGTTTTGACTGTTACAAGAATAATATCTAAATCTTTATATGATACCAAAAAGCGTGTATACTTTTTAATAGTGAACAATACAAGACACATTAAAACACAAGAGAAAAGGTTTTTAAAGAATATTGACTTTATTTTATAGGATTTAGTAAAGACTTTTAGAAGGAAATCACTGTGTCAAGATACCTGCTTTACACGCTTGATAGTTATCTTCTTTTTTTGAACCTGGATCTCTCCAAGCCGTTTTCACATCGGGGTTTATTATATTCTGCATGAAAGTACTTTGGTTTATATTACCGTATATATATTGTTTGCAGACCTTCAAAGCACAAAGTTCCAAGAGAACACAAATAGGCACTAAATAGATCAGATATTGTAGTAATAGCATTCACAGATCCTCAAAATATAATTATTCAAAAGTACTTTAAATATAAAAAGGGGTTGTTTATGCGATGGTCAGAATAAATGCATCTATTTTTTATGGGCTTTGAGATCGTATTTTGTGGATCAATTGAGGTTTGCAATGGTGCCCAGATCGTTTTGAGGTTGGTTAGATTACTTTACATGATATAAATCTACATTGAGGCTTCATTATTATAGCTATTACAATTCTAAGCATATTTATTTAATTACATAATTACAAATTGAATATTATCATGTTTACTGGTGAAATGAAAGTATTTAATAAAAAAAAAGAACATTTTGATCAAAATAGCAAATTAAATGCAAAAAATTAGCTATAAATCTAGATTGGTTAAGCCAAGTTTTTTTTATATGCACAAGCAACCTGGTGGAGTACATCAAGATCCACTATTTAAACGTTATTTGACTTTGATTACTCAAATATTGATCAAAACATCCCATTTTCTACTCTAAAAAAGTATTTACTAATAAAAGTATGTATATTTGCACCACAGATAGATGTGTGATCCCAAAGTTCTCTCAGGCTACATACCTAGAAAAAAATCGAAAACGTGTGCTCTGTTTTACTGAGTAAAGTTGCTTAACAAGTTAATTGAAGCCGGACAGTGTTTGCCTGACCAACAGCAGGCAAATATTCACCGAGATATCGGTATATTTAAAGATCTCAATATCAATATTTACACCATGAGACGATGTTATTATATTTCTGATAGTAAAAGTGTAAGTTAAATATACCAGCTCTAACAAAATATCTAAATTTTAATTATTTTATAACCAAAAAACAGGAGCCAGCCGTTTTTGTTGAATCAAGGACATACATTAACTTTTTTTATAAGTTTAGTAACAACAGCATCCAATAAATAGTTCTAAGTGTAAAGGAATTTGCCGATAGAAACATTGAAAAGGTTGAAATTTTCAAGATAAGATGTTTACTTGGCTAGTATTCTATACAACTCTGGATATATGATTGCCTAAATGTCTCTATTATTATTATTATTATTATTATTATTATACTATGCTATACAAAGTAAAATGGCATAGAATGTTAAGTGGAGTTGGCTCGTACTAGTTTCATCAATTACAATGGAATTATTCGTGGAGTGATTGAGGGCTCTGAAAAAAAAACTGATATTCTTAAAGCTTAGTATATATATATAAGGCCAATCATCTATTACAATCATACGGCTAAATAGCATACCTTAAATACAAATTAATAGATAGATGGAATGGACGGGGATTATTGACTGGCAAGATCTTAAACCCTATTTCGTAAAATTATTTACACAATATCTCAGGTTAAAGTCTGCTATTACTACTGTTAATATTTATAAAGGAAATAAAAGCTGGAGATTTATATAGAACATATAGCTTTGTGCACCATTAGGAGGTTGTGTAATGCAAGATAATATATGTATATAAATCTGTGCAAACCCTAGCGTACGAGATGAATAAAATATATTACTATTACTATCGTACTATTGTTGTTGTTATTTGAGTGTGTGCAAAGGGTTAATATAAATGGTGTATAATCACCTTTAAGTATATATGTTACCTCTATCAAGTAAGGTAGCGTATGAGTCTATTAAAATCCATATCTTTATTTTTGTTGGGTACCATGGGTTACATCTAGAATAGGGTTCAAAATTCATGTATAAATATGAACTAAATGAAAGAAAGCAAAAAGAAGAAACTTGCCTTAGTGTATCTGGAGATAAAAAATATTTTTTATATCAACAAACGGTAACAATAAGAAAAAAGCAGTTCAGTTGTGTAAGTAATACTACCGTGTTGCCAAGACTATAGTAAATAAAATAAAAAGAAGAAGCAAAAGCTACCGTATTATAGGTTCACATAAATAACCAGTAGAAAGTTAATATGCTAGTCCATATATGATTTAGGTAATGATAATAAGCATGTATCTCTATCTATATCAATCTCTTTGGGGTCAGGGACATCTCTTCTGGTACGACATCTCTTCTGGTACTACACCTGTCCTACATACATAGATACCTACCTACATATCTACTTAATTGCCTACTTACCGTGGCCTGTGTTGTAAAAGAAATGAGTGCAGATATTAATGTGAATGTGAATAATGGGTATGGGTATGGGCGTGGGCGTGGGTGTGGGTATTGATATTTATTAGTGTAATTTTTGAAGTGGTACTTATTCGTAGATACCAAAAATAAAAAGCAAAAATAATTAAATTGCATTTTATTATATTAGGTTCTTGTAATTGACTTGGAATAAGCTCAATGAAATAAAAAAAGTGGTTACTTTATAAACAAACTTCTTGGTTGTAGAGAGTAAGAGAAAAAAATATGGATTTTTAGAATTCAAATATATATATATGTATATATAAATCCTTCTTTTTTTGTATTCATGTTGTACAATACAAGCAACTTCACAGGTTGTGCGCTCATGACACACACACACATATATATATACATTGAGTCGTGGTAGATCTCACAAGATGTATGATACTGTATTGAATGAAGAAGACCAGGCTTGAATGATGTATGTGTATACACACATTGTAGCTAAACCATTGGGGCTACTTGTGGTCACAAAATTTAATTCAATTATCACAAGTACAAGTACTCTAGAGCCTGTGTATGTATGTATGTATGTATGTATGTATGCATATATATTCATTACAAGTAAAATATTGTTTTATTAGTAGTGTACAAATAATTCATAAGATGCTTATGTACATCTAATTCAAAGATAAAAGGTACTGATAATCTAGACTTTTATTATTGTTAATATTTGTAATTTATCAAATCAGACTTCTTTGTACTGTCTAAATAAATTATACCCCAGACTAACTGCAAAACGTACGTCTTTGAGCGGGTACTACAGCTTACTTGCTTTTAATTTTTATATATATATGTGTGTGTGCATATATAGAGCTATATAAAAACATAAATGTAATCTGTCTATCATCCAAGAAGCTGTAACCACCCCCTCTCAGAGCAAACAATTCATTCTTAACAATGAATCTTGTTCTAATGTTGATTTATTATGAACATCAATTAGCTTAAACTTACTAGATAGCTTTATTAGATTAATTGCAAAGTATCTGTATATATGTTCTATGTAAAATCTATATATTACTGGTCCTAACAGTACAATGGTAATCTAATCTAATTGAAGTACTATTATAGTTTGTATAGAGATAGTATGTATGTAAATTTGTCTCCCATCCCTCCTTCGCTCCCTCCCCTTTACAATACTTGGTTTTTATTATTATGTCTAATATATTCATGTGTCAATTATATGTATGCTGGCTGTACTTTTGGCACAAATGTAATCCACTTCAATATACTTTCTAATGTCCGACATCTAACGCCAAAAAAAAAACTCAAAGAAAAAGAAAGGAAAATCATGGAGATGTCCACTTTAATGGAGTGCATTGTACAACCCAATCTATAAAAGGGCTTTATTCTGTTTTAGTTTATCAGTAAAATAGAATTCTTATTATCGGTATAATAGCCAAGTTTAATACTAAACAGGAATCTTAATATATATAATTATTGAACAAAAGGAACAAAGAACAAGCAAGATTTTATAAAAGATTTTTTTGTTATATTTAAATAGCACAACATTAGTGAGGTGAGCTAATACATATACATATACATGTATCTATATAACTTTTATCATTGTGTATTTTGGCATAAATGTGCACAGAAGTACAAACAGCAAAACATGCGCTAATTGCCCATAAAAATCCTCTTCTCACAAGCAAGCAAACAGACAAACAAAAAAAGATCAACAAATAAAACATACTATTACTATTTCTAACAGAATTTTGTCTCTTTTTTTTATTATTATTTTTTATTCATTTATTTATTTATGGATTAATAATTAATGTTAAGAAAAACTAATAAAGAGAAAAGAAGTGTCTGATATTTGAATCTATACAAAATGCTATTTTTTTATGCAACTTTTTTTTTGGGTGGAAAAAGGATGAGTGGAATAGGTTAAATATGAGGTGAAATAGAATAAGATAATATAAGATAGAATAGAATGATAAGAGAGAGAGAGAAGTAGAGGTGGAGGTAAAGGTAGAGATCAGGTTAGGTTGTAGAATAAGGAGAGGAAAGGCTTGTGCCCCATTAGAAAAATAATATAAAAAAAGGGGGTGAGGGAGGAGGGATACAAACTATGTATAAGAAAAAGAGCGTCTTGTAGAAGGAGTGGTTGTATAGGTGCATGAGTTTAGGCTGATATGGCCAGAAAAACAAAGATAGAGAGGGACAGGGTTAAAGGAAAGGAAGTAAGTAATAAGAAAGAGAAGGCGAGGAGGAGAAATAAGAAGAATAAACGGTACAAGATTTTACTCTTCCTCTTCCTCCTCTTCTTCAATAATCATTTTGGAAGACATGCGATCACGCATATCATTTTCACTCATTCCATAAGCACTTAGTCGGGTTCTTGGTGCGAAATCAAAACGTCTAGCATTGACTGGTTCCTCATGGGAGAGTGAAATTGGTGTAGAAACTGATGACAGTGGTGGTGCGTTTAAGGATTTAACACTAGCTCCAAGATTATTAGAGAGATGGTTGATGGGAGGGTGGTGGTGTTCTTCGGGAGAGCTGGGAGGTGAAATGAGTGCCTGGATTGGTGGTGGTGTTTTTGGTGATGATGATGGCTGAGGAATTTCCAGCGGGAGAGGTTTAGCGAGACGTTCACGTTCAGAGATCATTCCGATGGACACTTTGTTAGGTGGAGATGGAGGAGGTGATATTTCGGTTTCGCGAAGATGTGTTGTTGCTGTTGAGCGGTATGATGCATAGCATTGTTGAGACATGTCAAACTCAGTGGCACGGTAAGGTACGGCTGTGGTAGAGAGATGGATGTCTGTGGTAACTATTGAGAGGGTGTCGGTCACTGCGCCAGCTGTACGTGCGGCAGGTGGCATGGTTGGTCCACCACCAATTCCTCTTTGTTGTTGGCTGGAAGTCATCATCATCTTATTATTGTTAGTACCAGTATTCTTATATGAAGTTCGTGCCTGTAACAGGGGCAAGGGTTGAGGCACGTGGACTGGACTGGTGGCGCTGTATACTAGCTGGTCAAGCTCATTTACTGGAGGGGTCGACAACTGAAGCATTTTTCTACGTTGTTTTTGACTACCTGTTCGATAAATTGGAGGGGAAGAAGAGATGGGCTGTACAGGAGATGTGGGGTTGTATGAAGAAGGTGCGGTATCAAAGTCACGGTAACTTGATGATGAGGATGATGAGGATGAGTTGTTTGATGGTTGATTTTTCAGGTAAAGTGGTGATGATGGTTGCTGGTGTTCTTTGGGCGCAAACCATGATCTAACTGAGCTGAACCAGCCAGACTTATCAGCCGAGTGTCGTTCAGATCCAAAGCCATAGATCGATGACGCAGGAAGGCAAGGGATCGTATGACTTAGTTTTTCGTTGCACTCTTCGTCTTGTTGGGTATTAATGTTATGGTTATTGTGATTGTCATTATTATCATATTTGGGTTTCCGGCAAGATAGTGTGGCATCGACCTTCATGGCAACTGCTGCCATCTCAGCTTGCTTTGTGTATTCGTCTGTTTTTCTTTTTTCTAAGGTTTTACTGTCTATGCGGTGTAAGAGCATCTGCCAAACGGTACCGAGGGTGTCGCATGTTCCCGAACGCATGCTCTTTACAACATCAGAATCAAATCCGGCAGCTTTGAGTGAAGCAACGAGTTGTTGTTCTATCCTGGTCAACGGAGCTTCTTCTACTACTACCGATCTCGGGCGTGCATCACGATACAGTAAAGATCCAGACATTGGGGATAGACCCGAAGATCCGAAAGACATGGGTCTAATAGTAGTACTGTTATTATTGTTAGTAGCAGATGTGGTTGTAAAACCACTACTACTAAATGGTCTAGTAGTCTGCTGTCTGATTCGTTCTTCTGCGTGGCTCAAGGGGTAACTGCAATGAGCCTGAGATTGGAACCGGCCAGCTTCTGTTGAGGTTGATGTTGGGGTAAATCGTCTGTCTGAAAAGGTTGACGGTTTGGAGTGTGTGCTGATATAACTTTCATGACTAGAGGTCTCTGTCAAAGTTTCGTCTTCATCTTCATCCTCTTCTAACATGTCGAGGTTGCGTCTCTGGGGGGCAGAAAATATTGAATCTATGTCGGAGTGGCTGGAGTTGCGAGTTGACAGACTGTCGTTGTCGTGATCATCGTCATCTAAAGCCATGTGGAGCCACGGATGATTTGCCACCTGATCGATGGTTGGTCTTTCGAGAGGATCGAGTTGGAGTAGACGTTGGATTAAATCGGCAGCCTCTATAGACACAAAAGAATAGTCCAATCGGGTTAGTGTTGGACTAGGTGAATTCAAATTGAGATTTACCAGGTGAGAAGTAGGAGGGTATTTCGTAGTCAACATTTCGGATCTTGCGCTGTATTATGATCTCAGAGTCGTCGTCAAAAGGAAGTTCACCTGCCAGCAGTGTAAAGAGAATGACGCCTAGAGACCAGACATCGGTTGCTATAGAGAAATATTAAATGTTAGTTTTGTTTTTGTTTGTTTTTTTGTTTGTTTGTTGTTATGGTTACAAATGTGTAATGGGTGATTTGTAAAATATACTTTACCTGGACCGGTGTATTTCTGACACATGATGACCTCTATGTATTTATTTTTTTCATGCGAATAATCGTGGTTTAAAAGGATATAAGAAGAAGAAAATAATAATTAATCATAAGAACCAAGAAAGACTTTGGCGTTCTATTTTAGTGTCTTTTTTTTATATCTATTTATTTATTTTTACCTGGCGCAGAATAAGCTAAGCTGCCGCAAAAAGTTTCTAAAAACTGGTTATTCTCTGCGTAACGAGCAAAGCCGAAATCACATAGCTTGGCGTTATTGTCAGCATCTAGTAGGATGTTCTCCAGTTTCAAATCTCTAAATAATAAGAGTAGCGAAAAATGAAACAAAAATATAAGTACAAAAGTATATATATATATAATATGCAGATATTGATTATAGAATAGAATAGAATAGACAATGTAATTTAATGTAATATAATGATTGACTTTCTGCTTACCTGTGAACAATGCCTTGTTGGTGACATGCTCGTACGGCACTTGTGATTTGATTGAACATTTTTTGTGCTCTGTACTCCGAGAATCGACCAGACGATGTGAGGGCATCAAACAATTCGCCATTGGGACAATATTCGGAAATAAGATGAATTGTGGATTCAGTTGAAATAACTTCGTAGAGCGTCACTATACTAGGGTGTCGTAGTTGGCGATGGTGGTGGATTTCTCTAGCCATTAGAGGCGCGTGTTGCTTGTCGATCTTTTTGATGGCGACCTGCTGTCCGGTCAGTTTATGAATACCTAATTTAACTTTTCCATAGGCTCCCTAAAATAATAATAATAATAATTAACACTATTATTACAAAAATGCCAAATCCAAAAAGATGGGTTTTTATATACTATTACTCTTTTTACTCTCTTTTAAAATCCAAGAAGAGTATTGTGTAATTGTATGATATAAAAGGGGACATTTTTACTATTATATTGTAGAGTTCTTACCGTGCCAATGGTTTCTCCTATCGAATAGCATCCAACAGACGTCATCTTGTGAGAGGATAGCTCCTTAAGCAGGTCATTATAGTCTGCAGCCAACTACACCATAATTAAAGACAAACAAAGCAAAAACGCACAAAACAACCGAAAAAAACACACGCACAAATATATAGAAATAAACAAATTTAATCAAAAAATCAAAAATCAAAAAATCAAAAAGTATAAAGCGTTTGGAGGGTTTTAATTTTAATCAGTATTTTTTTTTAAAAAAAATATATAATTCGCAGTCCGGTTTTGTAATAAAATAGAATAGCAGACTATTTTATTTAACAATGAGAGTTTTCTTATATTTATGTAATGTAGTATAGTATTCAGCTTATTTTTTTTATCTATTTAAATTACCTTTGCTTTCTGGTTGCGCGCTACTGAACGGGAAGTTGTGAGCATGGTAAATAAGAAATTAAGTGTACAAGGAGTGGAAAGGGTTGTAATAAAGAAAATTAAGTGTTAAAGTGCGGAATGGCGGATGGTTGTAATGAGAGTAATTCAGTCTTGATTGCGTGTCATGGACTGAGGGAATAAGTAGGTTTGTCTCTCTAAATGGAAGGAAGGAAGGAAGGAGAGAGAAAGAGAGAAAAAGTTTAATATAAAATTAAAATCAAATCAAATAAATGAAGAGAGAGAGAGGTGAATAAAGAGAGAGAAAGACAAAGGAAAGAAAGGAAAAAGAAAAAAAAAAGAATTAAAGGGAAAGTGAAAGCGAAAGAGAAGTCGACTTTGAAATGGTCTGGTCGTTAAGGAGGTTATCAATTATTATTACCATTACTATTACTATTACTATTATGTCTTTTTTTTTTGTTTTTATTTCTTCTTCTTCTTTTTGCTGTTGAATGTTGAAAAAAGGAAGGTCAATGCCCACTAGGAATACCATATAAAGAATAGGCACCGTTTCACGGAGTCTCTCATAGTAACAAAGTGCCTCTGATCTTGTGATGCCGCGCGCTCGGAGAATCAATCATTTATATAGTTTTTGTATTTTTTGTATTTTTGTCTTTTTTAGCTCAACGAGGCAAGGATGCAATAAAAGGCACTCTTTAGATGAACATCAGCCTCATCGTAACACACTCCCGATCATTATCATTAATTGAATAGCAACTATAATAGAACAGAGCCAATACTTTTTTTTTGTCTGCTTTTTTTTTACATTTTACATTTTACTTTCTTTTGATTTATGAAACGTATTTAAGCTCTAGTAAAAATAAAGGAAGAAGAAACAGAAAAGCTTAATAATCTGGCTTGATTTGATTTGATTTTTTATTAAATATTTTTGTTCATTGATAAATTTCATATCAAATACATGCCCATTCATATGTATATATATATATATATATATATATAACATATTCAAAATGTAAAATAAAATACAATAAAAGAAAATGATATTAATAACATAGACACGTGACCCAGTACTCCAAAGGTTGATTCAGACAACCACAAAAACTATCACCTGAAAAAGTTCATGCCTAAATCCATGCCATAAAAAAACAAGGAAAAGAAACCAATAGCAATAGCAGCAACAACAACAACAACAACAACAACAACAACAACAGAAGCAAAATGAGCAATATAAAGGTCGACGGCTAAACTTTCTTTTCCTTTTTTACATGTGTATTACTTCATTCATTCATTTTTATATTTTTACATATATATAAATAAACAGGTTGTTTTAAAATAGTGCATGTATCAATGGTCTATATGTTTAAACACCAAGACCTATATATACTGTTGTTACCCTTGGTTTGTTCATAAAGCAAAATGTGCAGTCCTGATGATCAGTATAGATATACAAATCAATAAGTGAATATGATTATCATTAAGGTCCGGAGCTTTTTGTTTTTGGTTATTGGAGTATATACTTATTATTTAACTAATAGATTTATTTGGGGTATTTATTCTTTGAGGCCGTTATTAAAGTAAAGCGGGAAGGCTAAATGCACAATGACTGTAAAAAAATAAATAAAAAAAAATTAAGGAATCTCGGAGAGCTAAAACCAAAAAATAAATAATTCAGTAATGATCAGAGCCGATAATGAATACGCTGACAGAAGCAGGCCTTCTTTCTTTGGTTATTTGAGTGCCAGACGGTTTGAGCCAAACGTTGTTCCGTGTTGTACTGTACTGTGATTCGCTATACTATGCTATGTTGCGGTGTGATGTGGTGTGGTGTGGTGCGGTGTGCTGTGTTGTGATGTTCTGTACTGTAGTGTGCTATGTTGTGTTGTGTTTTGGTGTGGTATAATTTTTACCAACCATACATATATACACACATATATATATACTATCTTTTTCTTTTACATAACCTTCAACTGCGCCATGTATAATTTATAATGTGTATATAAAAACTAGAATATATCTGTGTTCAATACATTGACAGATTGTGTGTATTTGAATCTTATTAAGCATAATCTGCTGTACATTCAACTTTCAATATAACCTGATTTATTGACAACTTTTATATTGAATAATCAATTCGATTTGAGATTAGTATATATATATATAAAGAACAATAATAATAACAATGTTCCTAAACGACATGGTGTATTTGTTTTTTGACGTATATTTGATCTTTGACGAGTCTATAATATATGGAATTGTTAGCTTGTTAGCTTATATATCATCAAATTTGTCAAGAAACAACAAACAGAAATATAATTAGACCATCCAATTAACGACTATTTTCTTAATGACAGAGCTAATTATACCTTTTTAATATGTATACACATTTGATTTTGAGTGTCGATTTAAGCAAAAAATCAATATTAATATTAATAACCAAACAATTTCTATTTTCATTAAACAAAGAGTGAGTATATTAGCAATTAATCAAAAGATAAAGAGAAAGAGGAAACATTAGGAACAAGTGTCTTCAGATTTTACTTGCACTGATATTTACTTACCAATAATACTATAAAGAGAAAAGAAAAGAAAAGAAAAAGATATCCGCATGCTTTGTAGCAAAAACATTATCCCTTTATTAATTCATTAGCTAGTTACTTGGTTACTTGGTTGCTTGGTTGCTTGGTTGCTTGGTTGCTTGGTTACTTATTGTTTTTTGGTTGGTATTTTTTTTTTGTATTTTGGTTCAATAATTATGCCCTGATCATCTAAAATTATCTCGTGATAATCAACAGTTTTGGTTACCATGACAAAGTTGATGCCACGAGTTGAGGCAAAAATAATAATAATATATAGATAAAATATAACTATAAAAAATTTGATTATTGCTACCATGGGCAGCAAAACTTAAACTATATATAAGTATTCATATATGAATATATGAATATTGTTATAACAACCCATTTTCATTACATAGCATTATATTTCATTTCATTTTATTTTATTTTTATTTAATAATAGTAAAAAAAAGAGAGACTTTATATATACGTCTTCTCTTTGGATTGGTGCCTGGTCTTGCTTTTGATTTTGATATTGGTCTTGTTCTCTTGTCAGCTATCTTTAATTTTTAGTTTCTAGCCTCCTGTATTTAGACCTAAATCTTGGTCTTGGTCCTGGTCCTGGTCTTTTTCTTTTCTTTTTGGGGGGAGGATTATATTACAACCCTGTTTCAAAATACGAAATATTTAAATATTTGTAGTTTTGGGTGCACTGATGAAAATCGTGCTCGCTTTTAATATTCCAAAAAACGACTGTCACATTTATACAAATTCGTAACCTTGACTTCGTGCCAATATTTCCTTTTTGTCAAGAAAATTAAAATAAAGGGGGGAGAGAGGAGAGAGAAAAAGAAAGAATCAGAAAGTGGACATTCGACATTTTGGCATTTACCAAAAAATAATCAAATAATAATTGTAACAATAAAGAAAAAATATGTCTGTCCACCATTTGCTTCGACTTGGTAGAATTGCTGTCTGCCAACCAAGACATCGATTGATCCATTCAACAGCATGTCTGCATTCCTCAAAGGGAAACAACAACCCCGATCCAACAAATACCAACTCTACCGCAAACACACCGCCATTCATCAGTAATGAGTCGATTCCCGAAACAGCACTCGAATCAACCGAAATCGCACAGACAAAGGAAGAAAACAATTTAGTTTCCCCAAAGAAACAAGGAGCCAGCAAACCATCCGAACTTGGTACAACCACAAAAGGACGAAAGACAACTAGAAAGAACAGACGACCCCTTTCAACTATACCAGGTAATATATATATATATATAATAAAAAAATTAAATATAAATAAATAAAATCGGCTCGACTGCGGAACAAATAGAATAAGAATATACATATGTACACACCCATACATACATACATACGTATATTTGATTTTCTGATAGGTCGCAATAGAATCTTTTCTGGCAGCAAATTGTCTTTCAAACGCAGAGATAGTCAATACTCCTATTGATCCAATCTACAATAAAATTGTCGAGGATCATGTTTGGGATGAACTGACAATGTGTACTCGGGCCAGCTTGGCACCCAAAAGCCTAGTTTCCTCAATTGATCACACAGACCATATTTTGATCAATGTTCCTTTGAAAGGGGCAACCTATCTACAAGATGCCATGGCACGAAGATTAGCTGGAGAAGTTGGAGCAGATTTGATAATTATCGACAATCAAGATTTTATTAGATTGGCAAAAGCGGATCAAGGTGGTGGTAAGTCTTTTCTTTAAAATATAAATGAAATAATAATATTAATGCAAGAGGAAGGAAAAGAAGAAGAGGGGGGGGGGGGGGGGGTTGAGTAATATTAATTATAATAAATAAAGTTATCTACACATATGTATGCATACATGTGTGTGTGTGTATGTGAGTGGGCTTATAAGATAAACGCATAAGAAAGAAAGAAAAAGAAGGGGAGAAAACTTGCACTGATCCATAAATGATTAGCTTTCACTGTGTTACCAATGATGACATCGGCGAGCAATCGATCCAAATCTTACCTGACCGTCATGCAGAATCCGCTTGATAAAGCTATAAAGCAGTCTGAAGAAGAAAAATCAGAAAATGAAGACCACCTGAGTACAGAAGGAGCTCTAGAGGCAATCAAGAATGCACTATGGAAAAGAAACGAAAAGGTGTGGGCAGTCCCTAAAGAAGATATCGATACAGAAGACTCTACACAAGAGGAATCAAAAGGATCAGAAGAACATGTTAAGATGGTCTCAAAAATCATGACTGAATTCCAGAATAGAGCTACGTCTTTATTCCAACGTATCATTCTTAGCTCGCCCGAACAAAAGAAAACTAAAGAAGTAGGCGCCGGAGGGGCAGAAAGCCATAGCAAGCTAGAAGCACCCAAAATCGTCTATCTACGTGATTATTTGGACATGAACGAACCTTTTGTCGCAATAATGCTTGCGGCTCTTTTGGTGGCTGTGGATGATTTACGGGAAAAAAGACATCGGGTCATGTTCTTGGCTGGACACTCGATTTCATTACAGCAACGAATGGATCCAGACACAGATATGGACAATCTATTGATGGGAAAGAACCTTCCCTTGATGGCCGGAATGAGAGGTTTCACTGTACTTCCTCCAGCCAACGACTTTGAAAAAATGACATTGTGGAACACACAGCTCAAGATAGATGAAGCCAAGAGAATAGGAGAAATTAATGCAAGACATATCTTGGATATACACGGCCACAAGCAGGTTACAGGGCTTCAGTCACTCCAGGGAACTATCCCCGAGCTTATCAAGGCTCTCTCGGGGTTAGAGGGCATTACTAAAGAGGTGTGGCCAATGGAAGATGTCGATCGACGTGTGACAACCGCTATTGGTAGTGCACTTGCCCAGAAAAAGGAAATAGTGGAATTAGAAGACTTCAGGAAAGCGCATATGATTATCCAGAAGAGTGTTACATTGCAAGGCAAGGTCGCTAAACTGATGAAACGTCAGAAAGCACGCACACAGAATGACGGTCAAATTGATTTGGTGGATCTCAAAGAACAGTGTGATGAGTATGAGTCGAGACTGGTGTCGCGTATTGTTGATCCATGTAAGCTTTTTTTTTCTTCGTTTTTGTTTTGTTTGTTTTGTTTTGTTTGTTTTGTTTTGTTTGTTTTGATGTATTTGGGCTGACTGTTATCATTTTGTTTATATTTGCTTCAAAGCTAAAGTGCAGTGCACCTTTAAAGACGTCCGAGCACCTCCTCTCACTATCGAAACACTTCAGACACTTATTAGCTTACCATTGGTCAGGCCTGATTTGTTCCAACATGGAATCCTGAAACGTAACTTCATCTCAGGTGTCTTATTGTTTGGCCCACCCGGAACAGGCAAAGTAAGGCACTAATATTTTCTAAATCTCTAAAATGTATGATTGTAGTATCAATAACTTATTAGCCACAACTTGATATTCTTTGTGCCTAGACAATGCTGGCTAAGGCAGTAGCGAAAGAGAGTGGTAGCCGGATGTTGGAAATCCAATCAAGCGACATGTAAGTAAACTAAACCATATTATGTTATAATGTATTATCGACTGTGTTTCTAAGGTCTGGCTGTTAGTTATGATATGTACGTCGGCGAAGGAGAGAAGAATGTCAAGGTAAAAGATGAGCCCAACTATATAAAATATAAAAAAAAATACAAATACACACACGCACGCATACATATACATATATATATATATATATATATATATACATTATTTCAAATTAGAAATATTTATTAAGTAACCTAGACAACAGGCCATCTTTTCATTAGCCCGGAAATTGGCGCCTTGTGTGGTGTTTATAGACGAAGTGGATAGTATTATGCGTAAAAGACGATCCGATACCAATTCTGGTCTTCACCGGGAGATAATAAATCAGTTTATGGTGGAATGGGATGGATTATCGAGTGACAACCAAGGAGTAATGGTTATGGCGGCCACTAACCGGCCATTTGACCTTGACGACGCTGTGTTACGAAGAATGCCCCGTCGCGTACTTGGTAACAAAATTTTATTATTATTATTATTATTAGTAGTTTGTTGTTATGGTTACATGAATTTTGAAGAAAACAACAAAAAATATTAAAAAAAAAAGAAACTAAATGACATTTGCACAGTTGATTTACCAAAGGAAGATGACCGCGCCGATATTCTGCGTATGCTTTTGCAAGATGAACAGCACGATGTGTCGTTAGCGGAGCTTGCCAAGAGAACGGAACACTACTCGGGGTCGGATCTGAAAAACATGTGTGTTACGGCAGCTTTGAAGGCAGTACAACAGGAAGTGTTGACAAAGGAAAAGCAAGTCCTGGGGTGGAGTCACTTTGAAGAAGCACTCAAGATGGTTCCTGCAAGTTCGAGCGAGAAGATGGAGTCTGTGGTTGAGATTCGAGAATGGGCCGCTGTTTATGGTGATGGCGACAAGAAGAAGAAGAGACCAAACATTGGGTTTGCCTAAGCTGTCATGTGGAATTCACAGAGCAACTGATAGACTTATTTGTACCTAAATAAGAAGACGGGCTATGGAATAAGTCTACCCTTTTTTTATGCTTTTTTATGCTTTTCTTTTCTTTTTTTTTCTTACTTTTCCCTTTTTTTATATACATAGTTTTATTTTATTTTATAATATATTATTATTATAATGTGTTATTTGCACAGAAAATTAGAAGTGAACAATTTATTTTTATTTTCGTAGCCTTTGACCTCCTTAATATTTCTTCTTCTTATTCTCCTCTTCTGCTTCTGCTTCTTCTTCTGCTTCTTCTACTTATTTTGCCTCTTCTCAACACCTGCTATTAATATTATTTTAGCGTGTTTTATTACTATCATATAATTTCTATTACTATTATTTTTGTATACACATCAGAAAAAATATATACATAATCTTTGTGTATCTGGTATATTACTATCAAATATATATATATATATATACACATTTTATAATGGTACAGATTTCTTTTATTAACGTCAACTCAATACAGTCTTCCTAACAATTCCTTTATTCAATAGAATACACCTCCTCCAGAAAGGTCAAAGCCAATATCATCTTCTCCCTCATTAAACACATATGAAGCACCCCACACACGCCCACGTCGTCACACTGTCGCACGGCCAGAATCAGCACTAGGATTGCTGTCTGGACCAGCTGCGGACGACGATGAAGATCAACAGGAAACCTTTGACCGGATATCTGACATCCTTTCTACACTTATCCAAGAAGCAAACGAAGCTGTCCATGGTATAGAAAGCGAACGGGCACGGCTAATCAAGTCTAATAATTCCATCGTACCCTCAAAGTTGCCACGGCCCAAGCGGACTCGCACTCCCAGCTTTCATGCGCGTGACTTGCCAGAGTACTCTATCCCAATCTCACCAATCTCACCTGCACCCTCACCCATCCCCGGCACTTTCTCCAAGCGACACTCGCGTTCCATGTCAGCCAGACCCCTGTCCTGCCCTGCATTAGCTGTCCGGAGATCAGCAACGCCTCGGTTATCCAAAAGGATTTCTTCACCGTTAATTCAGCAACAAGACCCTCTTGCCGAGTCCTTCAAGAGACTTGACTCTTCCATGGCTCTCGTAGACTCTCTCTCCCGAGACCTAGCTTCTCCAGTGACTCAGCAACCACAATCTTCATTACCACTCGACCCACGCTTCTCGGGTCTTTTGCTACTACCCCTTCTTCACATCCCTCACGCCCTGATTTCCATGGCCTTTGACTCTCTTCCTTCCCAACGCCATTCGTCACCGACCAGTCTTACAAGCATGCTCACATGGGCCTTTTTTTTTGTGCTTGCAAATCTTATGGTCGATCGTCTAGTCGTTTCTACAGCTGCGCCTATTCTTTGGTTATCTGTTCGTACTCGCCGTCTTTCTCTCCCCGGCTCCTTCCAACCATCCACATTTCCTAGTATCCTTCCTCCAACATCAACATCAACATCAACATCAATATCAGCATCAGCATCACGATCACGATCACTAGCAGCACCATCAACTTCATCATTTATATCGTCATCATCAACAACAACGAACATATCCTCAGATTGTCACTGCGATACAGAGCGTACACGAAAACGACGCATGTCCCGCCGCCCCAGTCATACTATTAGTACCAAAACACACAAAAAGACCTATTCGGTTCAAGGTCCTCTACCGTCACCAATCGAAACACATGTCGCCATTCGTCGCACTACCCCACAGACTTCCTGGTCCGTTTCCACCGAACCAAAACCTCGTATTACCCGACGTTGCTCTTTCTAACCTGTTACTTTCTTGTTGTTGTTGTTGTTATTGTTATAATCTTTAAATAAACTTTTGAAAAAATAAATAAAAGACCTACACTTACACCTACACACATAAATAAAGAAATGCATATCAGTAAAGGCAAATAATAATATATGATCCTTTATTATTATTTACATTTTTATATATAATTAATAACAATAGTATTTGATTGTTAAAAAGAAAATTGCTTAATTTGTATTTTTTTTTGGAAAAAAAAAGAGAAAAAGTAGATGCTTAATGTGGTGACTGTCCTTTTTCTGAACACATGAATATTTACAAAGAAAATGAATGGAATGTATGGGGGGATAAGAGGGGGATTTGCAAAGGTAAATAAAATATAGTAATAAAGTACTAATAATAAAGATAATAATAATGAATGGTGCAAGAAATAATAATAGCCAGGCAATATAAGTATGCACATGCATGTATAAAGTATCAAGGCTATTTGGTATCTTCTTTTGGCTACTTTATATATATATAAAAATGATGATGATGATGCTGATAATGATGATTATGAGAGAATAAGAGCCTGCTTTGGTTTTTGATGGTTTGGATAATAAATAGAGAGTCGTTGAATGGAAAATATGACATATAGAATATACACCCGGTATTGGTTTTCTTCTTCTTTTGGTGATTTTGTTGTTGTCGTTTTGTGATTTTTGTTTTGTTTTGTTTTGTTTTGTTTTGTGCGGAAACAAGGCTATTTTGTCCTTATCTCAATCTGTGAAGCCATGCACAAAGTCATTGATAACTTCCCACGCACCATCTTCCAGAGACTCATGCGATTCTGGTGGTGTTGCAAGTGAGTATCCAAAGTTTCCAGAATGGTGATGGTGCATTGAAGAATTCATCATGCTAGAAGTAGTACTGTTGTTCTGGTTGCTGCTGTTGCTCACCGACGGACTGAGACTGGTGCCGCTGAGGACTGATTTATGGCCGAAGCAAACGTACCAATTGAGGTGGGATTGATACTTTTGGCACTCGTCGAGAACTTCCTTGATACTTTCGGGGTTGATTTCTTGGAAAGGAGAAAGGGATGTTGGTGTAGAAGGAGGAGAAGAGAGGGGTGACACAGCTACGCGACTTGAGCGACGGGCAGAAGGACTAAGTGAGCGCAGGAGACAGCCAATGTTTTGTGCATGCAACTCGCCAAGCTGACCACCCCAGCCAAGGGGAATGGCCACACGCTGTTGCTGGATGTCGACAAATCCACTACCAGAAGGTTTGGTCATTGCAAAGGTTGAGAGCTGGTGACTCAAGTGAACATCAATGTTGTGCGTCTGCATATTGTTATGAACTATAAAATGCAAGGTTAAACATTCATGTACAAAACAAATAAACAAACAAATAGATAAATGACCTTCTTTTTAGTTTTTTTTTAGAAAAGAAAGAAGAAAGAAGAAGCTTACATATTTGGTTGATAAGAGTCTCTGAAATTGGACCAGGTCTTTGGATACGATATTCAACATCAAGTATTTCAAAGTAACCTCCTGGCTTGAGTATGCGTGACATTTCTGTCAGTGTGTGCGTGAGATTGTCTCTGGTCATGCAAATAAGCATTGCACGCATATAAACATAGTCGAAACTATTGTCTTTGAATGGAAGTGGGCCGCTGAAGATATCATGTTGTTGAAAATGAGCGTTGTTGGGTTTAATTGCTGTGGGGAACATTGGGCACAAATCGATACCATGGAAATCTGATTAAGAAGAAGAAAAGGTTTAATTTTTGAAAATGAAAATTATCATCTATTGTACTTACCAGCATTTGGATATTCTGTTGCCATCTCAAGAACCCTTGATTTTTTTTTCAATAATAGTAATAATAAAGATTAGCAAACAAATACACTATAAATAATGTCAATGGTAATCATTCTCACCATGTACCAGGACCGCAGCCAATGTCAAGCACACTTGGCCGTTGTTTCTCCAGATAGCCCATTTGTAACACACTAGTGACTGGGGCCATAAAGTTTCCTTCAAACGCATGTTTCAATAAGAAATGCTAATAGTAACAATAAGGTTTGTTTTATATATCAGTTTTTAGCTTGTTTTTTGTAGTCGTGTAATGTAGTGTAATGTAAAGTAGTGTAAGTGTAGGGCAGTGTAGTTTAGTTTAGTATTGTCTATTACTTCTTAATTTTTTTTCGGCGATAGATATATGAAACAATTGAAAATAATCCCAATTGATTTGATAGGATTGTATTGGTCAAGAACCAAAACTTACCATTACTATTAGACGATCTGACTCATCGTCATCAAATGGTAGTACATATGTTGTCTTGGGTTGGTTGATATAACGCCTTCCCTCAATTTGGCTGGACTCTATTCGCTGGGATGCATCCAAGGATCTCAAGTCATTATTACTATTATTTATCGCATCATTGTCTTCATTTATGGCAGACATTGGGGTTGATTGACTAGCTGATCTATGCGGGGTGTTTGGAGTCAAAGAAAGATCGTCCGTAGAAAGCGTGTTTGAAGCCTTTGAGTTTGAGCTTGTTGTTGTGCTTCGACTGAATGTACTCGAGTTCGCAGAAGATGCCTTTCTAGAGCTCGATGGTCGAATTGATGTTGGTGCTGGGGAAGGAGTCATGGCCGCAGCCTCGAAAAATGAATTCATCGATGGACGAACGGTACGAGGTGGATTGACTGGTAAAGTGCCAAGTTCAAAGAATGCAGCACTATAGGGTGCCGCTTTCTTTAGTCGTTTCTGTGTCTCGGGGGAAAGACTAGAAGTGACAGCATCTGAGATAGGCATAGAGTCTGTATTTCCCATAGAAAACAAGCAACAAGACAGATGAGAGAAAGAGCCGTAGAAATCTATAATTTTTTTATATTCCCTTTCATATATTTATATTTATATTGGTGTATTTGTGTATTCAAAAATATATATATATAAAATAAAATAAAATAAAAACTTTCAGGGCCAAAATATTATACAGAATATACAACATACATATATAATAAAAAAATAGCAATAGTAATAGTAATAGTAATAGTAATTGGGTTATAAATCAAAAGAGCGCATATGCTCTATATTTGATCTCACACTTTGCCAATCATTGACCAGACCAATGTTACGTACAGATTAGCCCTTTCTCTCTCTCTCTTTTTTTTCCTTTGACCTTGCACATAGAGCTTAATATGGCTCTGTACATTCTGCCGCTTCCTGTTATAGTATCTTTACTGATTGTACAGCCGTCTTTATTTGGGTTATCATCGATAGCGTGCATATATATACGACTTGTAGAGCTAATGATATATATATATATATATAATAGAAAAAGAAGAAGAGAGGCTTGAGAATAAAGATTATTATTATTAAAAGGCAATTCATTTCATTTTATATCATTTTGTATTTTAGAGTATAAAAATAATAGCAATAGTAGCAATAGTAAAAGAAGAAAGAAAAAGTCCGTTTAAAATAATCGAACCTTTATAATATTATATATATATATGGAAGATCTACACATTATACTAAACTTCTGTTTTTTTTTATTACCGTCCTTATTTTTCCCTTCTTCTTACATTATCATTAATGTCATTCCATGAGTCACCCTATTGAGCAAGAAGTACAAAATAAGGGTTCCCTTTATTTTGTACTTCCAATTTAAAGTATAGATAAGCAGCTATATCTTTCACAAAATACTTTTTGTTTAAATAACCGCCACTGTTAATCTTCCTTCCTCTTTCTCTTTTTTTATTTTTTTTCTGGTTCAATGGATCTACTGGAAGAAGGTACAGATACAGATACAGGTACATATACAGATGCAGATGATGTGCTTGTGTGCTTGTGTGCTTGTGTGCTTGTGTGCTTGTGTATAATGCCTTTAGTGTTCTAGACGATTCTACTTGTTATAGTAATTATGGCAATTTAAAGAAGTCAACCTGGGTGAATGATCCTGATATTAGTACTGACATTAATGCCAATAATATCTTGGTTTAATATCAATATCAGTGTCTACATCAGTACTATGAATAAACTGCCCCCTCCTTTAATTTTTGTGTATTGAAATTCACAATTTCATTTTATTTTATTTTTCAAATATGTTAGATCGTTAGTCATATCACAGTCTATAGCAGTCATACGCAGAGATCATCAGCCATCCTCTCTTCCCTCCCTCTCTCTTTCTTTCTCTTTTCCTTTTCTTTAAATTAACTGGTAAAGAATTATATCTCTAGCTTAGCAAGCTGAGTCAATTAATGTCAATACATATGCTCATATGTATAAAATTATATACAAATACAAATACAAATAGCATATAAGCATTCTCTAAAATATGTGGTACAAAATTGTGTTGTATAATCACTCGATCCACTATTTTCCCCGATAATATATATATATATATATATATTTATTGAAATGCAGAGAAATTAATGTAATGTAAAATCATAGAATATAAAGATGAATCACCATGGAAACGCCAAGTATGCAACTTATATATATATACATATATGTACATATAACTAGTCGTCCGATTGGCGAGACTTTCCTTTAGGAGGCGTGCCAATCGATTCATAAACTGTCGCCGATGATCCCTGGCTTTGCATCGTTTCATCGTAGTTATAGATACCCGGAGAGTCAATTGGCCGGGAAATATCTGTTGGAAGCGAGGTTCGGTAACTTCTGGCTAGAGTGTAGGTACTATTTCTTGGCGATATTCTTATTGCTCCTTGTCTTCTAATATCCCTCTCATCTCTTTCGTCCGCAGCATTCAAGCTGGCATAAAGCGAATCTTCCTTTGCATTCTTTCTTCTGGCCGCCAAGAGTACAATAGCCGTAGCAACAATACCTATTATTGTCCCACAAGATATAAATACGCCTCCGAGAGTTGTATGCTTATCACCCCCACTGAGTGGAACTGGAACTAGGTTAGGGTTTCTTTCTTGGTAGTGTGGAGTCCAATCAGATTTGAAATAATCAGTCCATTTCATGTCTTCTAATTCAAGAACATAAAAATCATCTGTTGGAATACCAGCCTCATTGACGCCAAATAAGATAAACATAGACGAATTTCCATACAATACGGCTATAAGTAGTCATCGTATTAATGTTAATATTATTATCTTTAAAAGTAAAAAAAAATGGATGTACATATATAAATAGATGCGAAGATTTTAAAATAAATGGCTATATTCTATCAGATCCTTATTGTATAATGTACCTGAATGTCCGTAACGGGGACCAGCACCAGATGTAACAGGAAGCGGTATTTGAGTCCACAAAAGCTGTACTGTGTCTAACTGATACACATAATCTTTCACTGGAAAAGAGCTATCTATTATTGTTATTATGTTGTTGTTGTTGTTGTTTTTGTGGGTGTTGTATAATAATGATAGGGCTGTAGGTTAGAATACGTGTGTAGCTATAATACAGCAATATCTGTAAAATTCTTACTGATTCCCAATCCACCATAAATCAACACCATATCGGTATCTGGTACTATAAAAATCAAGTCCACCCGGTCAGTCAAACCTAATGATCGATGTGTACAAATCCAAAAAAGAAAAGAAAAGAAAAGAAAACAGAAAGCAAAATTACCTAGAACAGCCGTGTGGAGTGTTCTGGGCGAAGGAGTTGGACCAATGGCTTGTTTCACTAACCAGGAAGCATCAACTGTATCATATATCAGAATGTCATTCATAGACACTGTGCCGAGGCCTTGGCCAACTATGGTAGATGTGGTATTGACTACTGCTGACTGCACTGTTTGCCCTCCAATATAAAATATCGATCTTCCGTCTCTTCCCATCGTGGCAGACCCATAAACACGTGCATATGCTCCTAAAGGAAATGCACTAGTAGACATAGTTGACCATTCGTCGAACTTTGTGCATTGATTTATCGTAAGATAGATTACAATTAAGCTCAAAATATTTCGAAAATCACAATCAGCAATACTTACAGAAGGCGAAAGCAGTTTTGGGCTGTATGTATCTGTAGTGATACCCCTATTTGATAAACCCGTAAGATAACCTCTGTTACAGGGATAAACAATTTAGCTTCCATCATCAATAGCATTATCATTCTCATAAAAAAAGAACACAAGTGGTTATACAACAAGCAAATAAATCAAAATTAGCTTTATTTACCCTAAACCTCCCCAGAACAGAATACCACTGTCTAGTTGAAGTACTCCTGTCTGTCCAAATCTAAAAAGCATGGTTAGAAATTATAGTTACGTATTTTAAGAAAAATCGATACTGATATTGATAAGTACCTCTGTATTATTCCTGTAGTATTAACTGAGGTCCATGTATCTGTACTTGCATTGTAAACAGTAGTTGGATTGATAAGAGATGATCCATTGTTGTAGCCAATACCCCCACTGATCACATAACTTTGGCTGCTGGGTTGTGGTACGATAGAAAAGTAAGAATTTGGCTCCAGTAAAAAACTGGTCAAGTTATTCAATGATTTCCACTTGGAAAGCGATTCCGGAATACCAAATGAATGTCTCAAATCAAGCGAAAAGTGTTCAGCTAGAGATGTAGGATGTCCTTGACCAGCTATGTACATCGCGCCACCATAGCAGTACAAAGCGCCATCTAGTAAAGCACAGCCTGTATAGGCAAAGAAGTGGGTACCAAAAAAAACCAAAAGAAAAAAATGTGTGTAAAAAACCAAGAAAAAAAAAACACTAAAATCAGCATTGGACCCAATTGTCATATTTGGTATCTATGTGTTACCTCCTGCATATCTTGCTTTTGGTCGGAAGGCAACAGCCGTTCGTAAAAGACCATTTAAAAGCAATAGAAAAATAATGCTTGTTAAAGAGGTTCTCATGGTTATTATACAAAGAATAGATGAAGAGAAAAGAGAGAGAAAGAGAGAAGAGAACTGATTGAACAGAAATAGCTTTATTCAAGTTTATTTGATTCATCTTATTTGTTTAATTATATATATATATATATATATCTAAACATGTCAGTAGTATGGCTTTGTAGCCAATTCCTATTCTTGCTATTAAAAAAAAACAGTAAAAGCTAAGAGGCGTATAGTTTGAGGCTAAAGTTATTGTTTTCTTACTTGGCATGCACACTTTTTGGTTTGGTTTCATTGAGCTTATGACATTCTATGTATGTAGCTTTAAATTGAAACAAAAATAAATTTAAATAAATAGATAAACATTGAGTGTTATATCAAGACCATTTCAAGCTTATTACATACAATAGTTCTTTTTCCTTTCTTTTTTCTTGAATTTGATAATACAAAACCATTGGCTTGTTTTTCACTATATGTTTTTTTTTCGTCTTTGTCTGTTTGATAATAGAATACCTGTCATTTGTCTTGTAAGGATCAAACGAGGCTTATTGTACAACCTTTATTTATTTATTTTTATACGTTCCTGTTGAAGGCGAGTATAACAAAAAAAAACAAATTATGTAGACAGGGCTGACGAGTTTAATCTATTTTGGATGTTGAAAATGGTATTTTGGAAATCATGTTGCATAGCCTTGTGAGGCTAAGAAAATTAATAGCCAATATCATGAAATATGTTACTGGGCCCGACACAGCTGTACTTTTTATACATGGGTTAGTATCTTTAAAAATCATCAGTTCAATCATCCCACCATGTTGATCAATAAATATAGAAGCACTATATTCACTCTACAGACATTTAAAACCAGGCTTTCTTCAAAAGAGTCCATTACTCAATTGATCTATAATCTTACAATGGAACATAAACTATCAAAAATATCAAGTATCTCCATAAGACATTTTATAATTTTTCTTTTACACACACACACATATAAGAGTTTGGATAAATGAAACTACTTACTATGTAAAGAGGTAAAATACATACTCATTCAAGCATTAATATACGACTAACTATTAATCATGAACAAATAAAGATATAATCTTGTAATAGATATGAAAGCAATATTAAAATCATTGTGGTGTGGTATTTTATATTTAATGTACCAGAGCCAAATACAATTAAAAAAAAGAAAAAAAAAGAAGAAACTTTACTAGCTGTAGACTCAAAGCTGAAACAGGCTGGTACTTTTGTACTTGTATATCACAAATTTCAACATTCCTTTTTTTCTTAAAAAAAACAAGGAATTTCAAACAGGTATTTTAGCAATTTGTTATCGGTAAGAACTAATATATAGATATGTTTATACTCTAAAGATAAATAGAATGTACAACATAGAACTAAGGCATTATATATGTATTTTTTCAAGCCCTGTTTCTTTTGAACAAATATACTATCTTGAGGTAATTATTGCTTATGCCTATGGAACACACCACTGGTAGCCTGTTCAGGTAGGGTGTCTCATGTGAGAAAATCACTCAAAGAGCAAGATTTATTGACTTGACCATAGCGTCATTTATCTCTAGCTAACTGTTTGATTTTACAACTTGTGATCACATACAGAGACCAGATTCAAGACAGAACTTGTCAATCAAATGCATATATATATACAGCATAGATCTTCGGTTTATATAGCTGCCTTTCTTTATACTTATCGTTATATATTACCTTCACCACGAGGTCAACAATTCATTTTTAAATCGAAGTATTTTTTATATACCTGTATATCTTTCTTTTTTATTTGAGAATAAAATAAAATCTTGTTAGCTGCTTTAAAAAAAATACAGCTGGATATTATATCCTCTACGGATACAAGTCCCTGGTTCAAAGCATTTATCAAAGTACTTCCTAGCTCTCTTACTCAAACCCAGAAGAATTATTAATTGTACATCTTCTGTTTTCTTCGCAAGGATGTACAAGTACAAGTACAAGTACAAATATCATAATATTGTATAACCTTGGACAATGTGTTTGTGTGTAATCCATGCAGAGAAACAAGATTAAGAGTATTTTTTTAAAAGAGAGACCAAGTACACAAGGTAAAGAATCTAGTAATGCCTTGATTTTGTATGATTTGTATATAGAATAGTACTATTTGATACACCCATAGATGCTTTGATAGAAATACAAGTATGTTTCAAATAAAATAAACAGATAAACATCCACTTCTATATTGTAATCTTGTAATCTCTTTCACTCGTATGCTTTTTTTAGTACGATATCACAAGCGCTAATGTTAAGTATCCAGGGAGTGACAGTATATTTCAAACTTCCCAAGAATATAGACATTTTGATTTTTCATAATAATCTATAAGAGAAAAGAATGATTCAAAAGAATTGTACAATAATGAAGTTGCAAAATTATATACTAATTTATATCGAATTCTATAAATTGAGGAAGAGGAATGAGAAAAAGAATTATACTAGATCAAGTAGATCAAGTAGATCAAATTAATATTGTTCTGGATGATAAATAAGTAAATAAAAGCAAAGTATCTTTACCAGAACACACAAAATCATATGTAGGTTGTTCTGTGAAATGTCTTGAGGGCGATGTTATGTTTCACAGCTACGGAACGTTTCACAATAGCAATCGTTCTGTTTTATATATCTTTTATTTTCAAATACTGTCATGTTGACTTTGTAGGCTGTATTAAATGAAGCTATCTTTTACTAAAAGCAATAATAGTACGTACTGCAGAATATATAATTAAATACCAAATCCTACCTTAGTTACCTTTGAATTAATACCCGCATTTAAAAGGCTTGTGTTATCTCAGGCTTGTATACCAAAGATAAAAAGCAAAAAAGAAAAAGAAAATCAGATTCTGTTAAGTTAACCAATCATAATAAATACCGAAAATAGTGGCCGTTACATTTTGTATCTTCAAGAAGGTTCATTAGACCAGAACCCTCGGGTAACTAATAGGCATATTAAGTAATCAATGTGATCACTGCAATCTTCGCAAGGTCTGTGTCTATAAGTAACATAACCATATACTCCAGATCTACCGAAGATAGTTATCCCTAAAGTAATTATATATATATATATATATATATTACTTGATAAGGTACATTATTCCCGGTGTGTCCATTATACCCGGTAAATGAGCATGAGTACAGCCGGTACAATGGATATTGTCACCAATGAATAGTGTCGTTGAAGCCTCTGATTTATCACTCCCAAAGAAAATAAAGACAATATTATATTAGATAGTATACCCTGATTGTGTGAACGACCTTATTTTGTTTCTATTTTGTCAATACACTCATAATCAGTCCAATGATTTACTTGACTGCAAAAGCAATATACACTGATTATTAGGGATTTATCAAAAGCACGCCAAACCCCGTTAAATGTATAAATATGATATTAATAGTATTACTACTATAATAGAAAACCATCATCCCGGGCACGCCAATTTGTGCCAAGAATTATAGGATATGTTGATATTGAAAGAACATGAAAACTTGTCAGCTCAAAGTGTTTTCCCACAAACAATTTGACAGATAAAGTTTCTCTTGTAATAGCTCCACCATCAAGTTCACGGCCATCGTCAACATAAATAGACAAAGGGATATCTTTATTTCTTGTGGGTATCTTACGTTTCTTGACTAATAAAGCTATAGTGAGTATCTGAATCAACGAGTACTCGAGTGCTTGATTGATTCATTGTTGAATGCCAAGTATACAAGGGGGGATAATATGGTTTTCAGATGTGGTCAGGAGTTCACAGACAGGAGGATTTAGTGGAAGGGAAAAGGCCACATGAACAGCTCTGACATCCTTTGACAACTTCATAATGCATACGTTTTATTTTATATAATTCATATATAGCTCTACACTTCTTTCCATGAGTAAAATACCTGTAATACGTCAAGCAATAAAATATATTAAACTGCCTTTCTTTCTTTCGAACTCTTCCTGTCCACTTTGGCTTTGGTCTATTTGTCTTGTCTTGTTAAAGCACCTAGCACCTTTTGCAGTCTTTCTTCTTTGTCCTGTCCTACTTAGGACTTACAAGAAGGATGGTTCATTGTTTTCATCCTTACTGAGACATCACGTTCAGATATTTTACCTGACGTAGGTGACATGAACGCTCACTGACGGAACAGATTTAGCAGAACATCGGCGGATCATATGACCAGATTAACCACAATACAAACATAAACCTTGATTACGACAACAATCTTTTTTAATTTGGGACAAGGAGTCTCTTGGAGTTACTCAGAGAGCATCGATTTCCATTAGTACCAGACCACTGGATTAGCTAAGGATTGATGATGCCGTAAGGACTGGTGCTTATGAAATACAACAGTGACGTAAAATATAGACGTAGACATTTTGATCGTCTTATGCGATGTTCTTGAAAACAGTTGTCAATTCTGTTTCTAATTTCGACATGCTCATTCATAGTCACTCGTCTTTTATTTCTTTGTTTAGTGCCCTGTAAAAGGCAACACACAGGACAGGCTCGTTTAATGAGACATTTGCAGCAATTCGAAAAAATTGCTCAACCAAGATTTCTACACATTGTCGTCCTTGTCCATTGGTCCTTGCTTTCGACAACCCAGAAACATCCAGAAATGCAGAACGCAAACTGATGGATGTCTTGGATAAAAATTAGTATGGAAAGCTTGAATATAGTACTCCAAGGAAAACAAAATAAATTAACTCCAGTTTTGTAGTTAATCTTGCGAAAAACATAGTAGCAATATTGACAAGACACCATGCACTCATCAACCAATTAAAGGAAGATCGATATAATATAATTGTGTATTGTAGAAAATCTACAATCCCAAGTATCAATAGAGCAGCCCTCCTTCAGATAATGGCTGTCATACTCCACCAACGGCCACTTGCTGACAAGATGTCTGTTTCGCCTTGCAGCAGTGCAAAGAAAAGCTTCTTCGAGCGAGATTTACAAAAGTATGACTCGTTCGGATAGCTGAAGCAAGTCGATGGCGATACACAAGGTAATAAACTAAATAATAATATGATCAAGCAGATTTTAAACAAGCAATTATTCTTTAGACTTTTTGTCTTTTATTAAAGACAGTAAAAAAGTCTGTGTGGTAGCCACCAACTATGCTGGGCTCACAACAAATATGGATCTCAAAAATTATTTGTGGCAGGTGTATGATAGATTTGGTCAGCCGTCAGCCAACAACCCTTTTCCTTTTTATTTTAATCACATTTCCATATCGGTTAAATATTTACAATCACAGTCACATCTTTAGTATTTAAAAGAAGCTCAACACAATTCAATAAAGACATCCTTTTACTTTTGTTTAACTTTTATTCTTGCCTCATTTCTAAAGACTGTCGGTTCCTTTGAGATCTGGAGGAATTACACCTTATTCAATTGCTTATCTGGCTCTATACACTACAACCTGCATCGCAATACTTGACAAAGGTAAGTAGGCAAACAGTATGAAATCTGAAATAAAAATTGAACATTTTTTTTTGTAGATTCCCCTAATTTTTAAAAATAATATTATCAGCCCGTACTTTTATGAAAGCCAATTTAAAACCTTTGACACTAAGCAACTTATGAACAATGTAAAAGACCTAAGACTATTTGTCGCCCTGGCCCTAAGCAGCGAAGCAAATAAGCGATCTTGCTGATTTGAAGGTTATAATGGCTACTATTTGTGTCAATAAATACATGCATTATTAAAGCTTTTATATATTTATTTAAAGAGCTTTCTATCAAGTGTGAGAATAGTATATACCTTGTATTTTAAGAGTTCAGAATATATTTTTTCGCTACAAAGTAATATAGGTTGAAATGTATTCTTGTCGTAGCAAATGTTGACATCTTTAAAGCTCTCCATTTTTTAAAAGCCTTTTCACGTTAGATTCAATGTATTTATGACAAAAAAAAAGAGAAATATGATCCGAGCCTTTTTTTTTGAAAGGGTTCCAAACCCAAGTAAAAATATTAAGTAGAATAATAATTAAGAGAATATGAGAATAAAAGGTTAAAAGGTTAAGCAGTGAATGAAAGCCACGCTACACTTTGGATACAATAAATTAACTAGTATGTGTATATGTGCCGGATCATATCATCAGTCTCCCTGTGGCTTTACTGGCTCCATCATGATACGAGGAATATCAGGCTTATTGTCTAAAGAGTAAATGGCCGTCAGTTTACCACAAGATAACAATGGATTCAAAGCGTTTTTTTTTCTTTTACAAGCTTTTAATTGTTAATATTAACCGAGATTTTTTAAACTTACTATCAACAACTAATATATTTGACTCGTTTATTCTTCTTTCAATGTCAATGTTTTCTGTCTGAATTCCACTGGTAGGATTGAGAGGTGGCTTGATACTAGAGACATTAACCTCTTCATAAATAGTATCCTTTTTATCAGCCTCCTTTCTCCTCAAGAACCAGAAAAGTATACCAGCTATAGCAATTGCAGCCACCTATCAAATAGTATTATTTAATGAATGAATCTGTACGCTTTTGGGTATTCTCTTCGTTTATCTCTTTCTGAAAAATAAAAGAAGATAAAACAATCTCTTTTGAAACAGTACTTACACAGCCAACTACAATTCCTGCAATAGCACCTCCACTGATGCCGTCTTTAGTTGTGCCAGACTTTGAGCCTGTGGTAGTTGATGATCCTGAACCGGTCGACTTTGTTGAATTTGTTGATGGAGATTCAAGAAATGAATTTGGTGTAAATGCAGTTTTCCACGTAAAGCTCTGAATATTGCTCGTGTCTAGGATATGGTAGTCATTTTTATTTGTATTACTTCTATCGACACCGAATATAATGAATAGATCACCGTTAGGGTGTAATACAGCTATAGAATAAATAACGACATCAAGTAAGTAATTGTCGTTCCTTTATTCTTTAGCTTAGAAATCACACCGACAGATTAAAGCATATAGTCATTGTTACCAGAATGTCCAAAGCGCGGACCTGCTCCGTTTTCAGACGAGATGTTTGCGACTGACCAAGAGTTAGACAAAGTGTCAAATAAATATGCATAATCTTCACAAGGATAAGTTATCGCTTTAAAGCGAAATGAAAAATGTTATATGTGAAATAGATCATGTAAGCAAGCTGATCAAACGATATAAATTGATTAATATTCTGTGTACGCCCTACCTGCACTAAGATGTGTAACTCCGCCATAGATGAGAAAACTTGTGGAATTTGGTACTTTATGATAACGTCCATTCTGGTATTAGGACTTGTGTGAAATATATATATATGTTTATATAAACTTACACAAAGTGGCAGTCATCATAGTCCTGTTGGAAGGAATTATATCCGGAACAACTGTTACTGTTGACCATATAGATGTGTCGGTATTGTACAACGAAATAGTTCTGAAGGAACTTGCGTAGGTTGTAAAGTTTGCAGCAGCTGGATCAGAAAATCCCTCCCACCCGCCAAAATGGTAAATAGTCTTCTCATCAGGTCCCAGAACAGATTGTCCTGATCCAGGCATTTTCATACCATCACCCAAAGGAGTAGTAAATGTAAAAAACACTGAAGGATTCTGGAATTATAATACAAAAAATTTAGAGAAAATATCAACTTGAAGGAATAATTCCCGTAAATACGTCGTCCTTTTCTCTTTTACATATAAAGGTCTAGAATACATACTGTGGCATCAAATGAATAGAATATTGGGTTTATATTTGTGTTTTGGACGCCAGTAGTACTGATATATAGAGTATTGGTTTTAAATAAGTCGGGTAAACCTGAATAAGTATATCTAGAGACATTCAAAAGAATAATAATAGATATTGTCATGTATATTACCTTCGTCCACCCCAGAAAAGAGCCTTGTTAGTGCGGTTAAGATACACTCCAAAACCTTCATAGCTATTTGGTGTTTTATTTGAAGAACAAATAAATAAGAGTTCGTAAGCCAACAGTACTTTATTCTGTAAAAATCTACCTTACTTTTGTTGTACCGCAGTTTGATTGTAACCTGTCCACTTTTGTGTTTTTGCGTCAAATACAACTGTATTGTTGGATAGAGTCACGTAATTCATACAGTTTCCTCCACCAAAGATTATGTAGCGATCATCTGGAAGAATTGTCGAGGCTGCATTGCAACTTTTTTCCAACTCGAATCCATCACTGCTAATTGAAATATCTTTCCACGCGTCATAAGCAAAGTTATCCAACTCGAGACTTTTTGAGAGATCCAGATACAAATGTTCGGGGTAATCGGCTGTGAAAAGTCCATTGTTGTTGTGGCCACCGCCAAAGCAATATATTGCATTTCTGACAAACTGACATACTGACCAAATCAATTGGTTTATATATATTACAGCATATAAAACGAATAAACGTATTTAGAAAACTTTGGTATCATATTTGTATATACATATATAAAAGATACCTTGACTAGTTCTTCCAGCAGGGGTATATCCTGATACTGAGATAATGCTCAGAGATAGGAGAATAAGTCTCAGCATGGAGAAAAAGTATAGAATAAATAGAAGTATCAGATAAAAGAGAGTGAACCGAAAAGCAACTACTTTCTCTGATTTGATTTGATTTGATTTGATATGGTTTGGCTTGGTTTGGTTTTTATTGTATATTATGTCTGGTTTCTTTTACTTGTGTAATAGTCACCTAATATGTTTTGTTACTGGTAATACTACGTCCTACGTTACTATATATAACATATTTGTATATCATTTACCAATATCTAATAGTACTTTTCGCACGAGACATATAAAAAATAAGAATACAAGGCTATATACGAAAGAATCATTGAGCTGAAGTATTATTATGTATGTACAATCATATATTCTTAAATAAAATAAAGAAAGGCTTTAATATTATAATAAACAGAGGGTTTATAGATTTTGTTATTATGGAATATCGACTTTTTCTTTTTGCTTTTGCTTATGGGAGGTAACGTATTCAACAAAATGGATGAGTTAGAGGCGACCTATGGAAAACAGATTGAAATAAATAAATAAATTAATAAATAATTAGCACCAAGATTTTCCAATTGGAATCAGTGGCTAGAATTTAAGCTTAGCCTTTTCTCCGAAGGAGTTTACACATATTCAACTGTCCAAATCAAGAAGGGCGGTTATAAGATAATAAGCATTGGTTGATAGAGGTTTTTACTTTAAAGCTTTAGAGAATTAAATATGAAGAGTTGTTTCCCTGGTAGCATATATGTAATACATACCAGCATATACAGAATATATAAATTTATACATTGATGCAATCAAGTTTAGCACGCTAACTGATTTGTGGTTTGTCAATCTTTCCTATTAAAAAGATACAACACATTATATAATTGACATAATAGGTTAGCAAAATAAAAGCACACACACACACACACGCCTTGTGTTCTTTTGCCACCTTGCTTCAAAGTTTGTACATACTCTTTTAATCTAAACCAAATTATGTACAATATCACTGAACTGATAGTATAATAGGCTTACACCAAGTATGTTTACTTTCAAGGTTAATATGATTGTTAAATCTCGAATTTTCTGACGGATATCAAAGTTCTTAGAAAGGGCATTGTACTTAAAACAAGCAAATAATTTACAAATCAAACAAATCAATCAATTCTTGTCAAAGACAAGCTGCTTTAGATTGTAAAGTGTGATGTTCACAAAAAGTAAGACCTAGTCATTGGGTATTAGTTATTGATTTATTGATATTAATAATAAAATATGGTTCTTTTGAAGCTTATTAACCATAGTATTTTTGTTTTCAAACCCTACTCATCAATATAAATTTTTAAGCTTTAAATACACATACACCTGTTTCAAAATCAGACCTTTGAACTTGAAGCTTTAATTCACTTTATTCTATACGTTTTTTTTTACTATACATGTTGAGTCTTTGTTTTATCTTTTTATTTTATTTTTACGGTGTTTATGACAATGACAATGATGATTATGTACTTTGGCTTCTCTTGCTCAAGAAGTTACCCAGTGGTGATTGTTCAAAGGCTGTATTTCTCAAGAAGGATAGAGCCTCATCCATCTTGTTGGGTCCGTACTCAATGGGTGCTCGCTTTTGCTCAATGTAGTTCTTATGTGTCTCGAGCTATAAGAGTATATTCAGTTAATAAAATATAAATATATCCGTAACTATATTTTGTAGGTGGGATTGTATATTTATGTTTTTACCTTTTCAATCAAAACTCTAAGCGACTTTGTGAAACGTGTTCCCTTCATTTTGTTCTGCTGTTCCTTGAGCTATAGATTGTAATTCCAATGTATGAGTACATGTATTTTTGGTTTATATGATTTTTTTTTTAAAAAAAGAAGAAAGCCCTCATATACCTTATCAATAGCTGGAATTGCAAGCTCAGGGAAAGCAATAGAAAGACCAAAACAGGCAAAAAAGTCAATCAGACTGTCGTAAAGAACCTTATATACAGCATCCTAAAAACATAAATCAAGAAAAGGTTAATGAAGCTCAGAATAGTGCGTAAATATATATATATATATATATATATGCGTGTGTGTGTGCGGATCATATTTTAAATGTTTACCTGGTAAACCTTGGTGTTCATATATGTTTTTGGAGTCTTGAGGTAAAGTTCCCACTCAAATGGCTCGACCTCAGAATTATCAACTCGTGTCTTGAAAATTTCGTGGCCAAAGATATCGAAAAGAAGAGGTGCGAGGGGAATGTAGTATCCTGTGGAATCGCACATACCAATCAAAGAGCGAATGATATGGATACGTAATGGAAGAAATTGTGCTGTAGGATTTAATCTAAACAACATATATTATATTAATTTTTCTTTCTTTCTTCCTTTCTTCCTTTCTCTTGAATTTAGCTGAAACGAATAACTTACCGAAGTGTGTGGAGAGACATATCTACTAACGGCTGCACCATTGCCTGCATAGGGGATGATGAACCAGTCTCAGGATCGCATGTTGCACCAATAACTGCTGCCCAAAAGTCAAGACAGCTAACAAACTGCCAAGTGTAGATTGTCTTGAAGCTTTCTACTGTCTGTGCCTTTTTTGCTTTTTTAAGATGTGTTGCGAGCTGTCTGATATAGACGTCGGCATGCTGAAGACTGATTTTAGGGTCAACAGTAAAGACATCAGCACCTTCCTCGATCATCTGCTGAATCAACGGTAAGCTTGTTTCATTGATTTTGGTGGCGTGCTTTGCAAAGGTCAAGTAAACACCCTTAAGAGTTAATGGGAGATAGGATCGCTTTTCAAGATCAACGGCTGTAGCCGCAAAATTGCGAATTGCCTTGAAACATTGTGCGCGAGTATCTGAAGATAATGCAACATCAGACCAACGGTCCAAGAGAACTCTGAGATATTCGCGTGCTGTCTTTGGGAAACATCCAAAATATGGCGCACAAGGGTCCAAATGTTTGACGAAATAACCAACCATATCATCCTGATCCAAATCTCTGAGAAATCTGACGCTGTTGTTAAGGAACAAGTGAATGACTCTCTCGAGCTTAGGCCAGTCTCTAGTCTTTGCAGGATGCTTCACTTTTTTGTTGATGAGGATGTGTTGGCTGAAAAAGGGATAGGCGGCAGAGATGGTCTTCTTGACGAGCTTGTTATATACTGTGTCAAGGTGAGTATATGTGTGTATATATCCCATATTATTCACTATTCATTTTATGCTTCAAATTACCCTTGTTACTGTTAACTCTATATGTGTACTGTATCTCGGTATCCTCGTCAGATCTGGCGATTGCTCTAAAGGCCATCAGCATCTTCTTGAAAGCCTCAGGAGACTTTTTATCGGCAGCAGCTGACCATTCTTCCAACATCTCTCTCGTAACGACCTGTGAATCGTCTTCTTCCATATCGTCATTTTCTTCATCTTCATCTTCTGACTCTGATTCTTCTGATTCTTCAAACTCGTCATTCATTTCTTCTTCGTCAGAGTTATCGGCATCTTCATCGTCTTGAGCATCCATATCTACATCGGTATTCTCGACTTCCTTAAATGCATCCAGCGCGTTCAAATCTTGTTCCTGTCAAACGCATAATATCATATAAGATAACTGAGCATATTTTTTTTATTGTGTTGTATTACTTCATCAGCCTCCAAATCAAGAAGTTCTTCACCGTTAATAGAAAATTCACAGAAATAGTCTTCGACGTTGACTTCGGGTTCACTACAAAGTTGAATTAGTTTTTTTTTCTTTTTGCTTTAAATAATTTCACATATATACCAACCTCTTGGCTTCTTCTTCTTCGACAGGCTTTTCTTTATCTTCTTCAGTGGTTTCTATAATAAATAAACAGCGATGAGAGGTGATTCGGTACATTATCGATGATTGCTTTTGTGCATAAATGTTATCTACCTTTGGTTTCCTTGCCGTATTCCTTTCCTCGACGGTTTTTACGTTGGGCCAATTGTTGCTTGTATTTGTTGTTTTTCTTTCTACGCTCAATTGTCGGCTTAAGTTTGTTCTTTTGGAACTTGATCGTCGCCTTCTTTGCTTTTGCCATTCTTAAATGTAGATCGGAAACGTTTTTTTTGAAGGAATCAGAGAACCATTTTTTAAACCCTTATTCTCGGTGCCTTAAAGACTGCTTTAACTTTAGTGGCTTAGTTTAAAGAAGTGGGTCTCCTGAATGCTGTGTGATTTAGGATGGCCGTTTATGGAATAGGAGCAGCTCCCTATAGGGAACCACTGGCAGTTTGCCCCTTTTCTTTATATTTTTTGTATCTGTACTTATATTGGATAGTGCTTTTTTATCAGGCAATAGAAAAGAAAGAAAAAAAAGCAATAAAAATATTTGTTCTGACTTGTCAGATTGAAATACCTTTCTTTCCATTCTTCTCTTACTTAAACACTATGACTGTATGTACCGACCTTGAGCCATTATTCTTACGAGAAGCACACCTTTCCGCAATGCAGTTACAATACAAGCAAATAAAGTGTAGACTGAATGATACTTCACTTGGACCACAGCAACCTTTGAATCAAACTCGGTCGCTCAAAGAGATATTTGGTTTGGATGTTAGCCATTTTGGACGGTGGACTTCTCCAGTTGACAACACAAGCTCTTCAGAATCATCACAATCCAACCTACAAGCTCGTATGAACAGCGACAAAAATCTGGACAGACTTGTTTCGTTTTATCTGTAATCATCAAAGAAATCCTCGGATATCACATGTGTCCTACCAACGATTTCGGTCCCACCACATCCTTGCTATACTTCTAAAAAGAAAAAAAAGAGAACCAACTGACGATAATTGTGATTTAGCTATCGAAGAATTTGACTCTATTGTTGTATTTTGGCTGTACATAAATATATTATACGTGCTTGATCATTCGAATAAGGATTATAGACATTCCTCAAAGAACAGAATATCCATATTTTATATATCAACACAATTTTTACAATACTTAAAACCTGGGGGGACGATCACCTCAAAATAGCAAAATTTGGAAATTCGTTGTTGTTGTATGTATTTCCCCTCCTTGTTTGGTTTGACTTTTTTGTTTATTTGTTGTGGTATATTCAGGAAATCATTTATTCGGCATGTGTCCAATTGAGACTTGTTCTTTTTAAGAGCAAGAGCTTCATATACATCAGCAAGAATAATTTTTAAAGCGTCAAGAATATTGTAGACAACACTGTGAAAAACATTATAGAACAATAATCCGGATTATTAGCGTTATTATTACAATATATAAAAATACAGGTTCAAAGCATGTATTTTTGTTGTTGTTGTTGTTGTTGTTGTTGTTGTATTGACGCATATCAAATTCTATAGCACATTTTGAATCTTTTAAGCAAACAAAGAGCGCCCTGAACAGTTTGGTCTGCTCTCATCGAAATGGAGTAAATAATTACGCATTTAACTCTTATTCTTATTTTATTTTATTTTTCATGCAAGTATAATTGTGTTCAAGTTAAACGGCTCATTTAATAAGTCTAATTTACACATCTACAAGACCTATTTTTTTAATACTTTGTGACTCGACGACAAACCTCATTTAATTAAAGAAGGCATAAGGAATGCAACGTCATTGTGTATAATTTACATAAAAATGACCTGGGGATTTCATGAGGAAATATGATGCCCACAATGAATCGTATGTCATTAGTTACTAGTGATTGCATCTAATAAAATAAGACTATGATTGTTACCTATCAAAAACAATATTTTCTTTTTTAAAAAAAAGTAACATGGCCTATTAAAATGATTATGATCAAAACAATTACGATATAGTATGAATATTAATACTAATACTAAAAGCCTTTAGTTACAAGACCTAGGTGTGGCATCGTATTTTTATTCTCAAGAAACGAAAGGGCTAGATTTACAATAAAATCCTGTGACTTTACAAGGTATATCAGCACAATAATATCAGTACAGTGCACATAAAACAATAAAGGAAATTCGTGGGCTTTAGAATCAGATGAGAACAAGTTATCGAATGTCTGTTATTTGTAACAAATAAGAAATTTCAAATAGTTTGGCTTCGTTTGACATTATCCCCGAATAATTATGCAAATCAACCTTTGTCCTCTCGTTTCATTTTATACGATAGTTCTAAATGAACAAAACCTTTAAAGAATAAGGTTAAAATCAACGAGAGACTCATTTTCTACTATAAAAAAATATAACTTAAAAAAGCTAACCCAAAGATACGAATGAAAAAGTAATATTACTATCCGGAATATAAAGTATATATTAGATAGTCCACCCGCCATGCGCTTTGTACAGCTAATATATGTGTCACTCATAACGCCTGTTATTGTACTTGATATATAGATATATGCCATTAGTTTAAAAAATGAATGGAGGGAAAGAGGGTTGCTCAATAGTGCTTAGGTGACCTTTATCATCGATAAATTCATAATAAGGTGCATATTATCAGTCTGACCTGGGATGCATTACAATATTGCTCATTCAATAATCTTATATTAACAAAGTGTACTCACTGGTAGGATCAATGCTTATATAATAGTAACATATTTCAAATTCTTAAAAGACGTTATATAATGGTTATAGAGTTGATTTTTGTGATGTTGGAGTATCAGGATGTCTTTGAATTCTTTTCTGATCATACTCTGGATACACAAAGCCAAAGGTTTCGATTATCGTTGGCTTAAACGTACCAAAGGTCTGTAAGATATGGTATCAACCATAGAGTACCTACATAAAAATATTTCAGCTAGAGTCGTTGCAAAAAAAAACAGGAATTTGGATAATATTACGAACCAAAGATAAAGAGATAGGCCCAGCACTTGTTATCTATCTTATTTAGTTTGACCTTTTCATTCACTCTAGTTGTGTCGCATAACCTGATTAGAGTAGACAACCTTAAATTATATATATCCGATCTTCTTATTCTTCTTCTTGAGTGCTATCTAATAACATTTTTTTTTGTAAAACAAGAAAAAGAAAGACTTCCTATTCATTCTGAATGTTGTAGTAAAGTGTCAGATAAGGTATTGGTACTTTCTTATATGCAATTGAATTCTGATAGCCTTGGTTAGAAATCTAAATGACCCAAGAGTGTTGCCATAGCTAAAGCATTGCATTCAAGTGCATGATATGTATATGTAATTATTTACATTAAGACTTTTCCTACCTATTGTTTGGTGAATGAAACAGCTCAGAAGTCGTACGCTGACTTGGATAGACCTAGACCTAGTTTGGAACCACAGACGTTTCTGATTGGCTCGATAAGTGGAGTAGTTAAGCATATCAAAGGCTGGGAAGCCAGTTGTTTAGTCATTTTGAAAGCCCACGCGGGTATGTTTATCATCAGTACGACCCTGATTACCTTGTTCACCTTATTCGCACGGTAATGGTAAAACTTCTTGGGTTCCACAAATGAGGGTTGATTTGTCAAAAGCCGTCCTATGGGAAGGTCGGTGTTTGTCTATTTAGGAATACTTACTAAACTGCCTGCAATTATCATCCCAGTGCTTGGCTTAACCATGTCCTCCTTAGGTTGGTAACGATCGGATTGTTTACTTCTAAGCACTTCTTGCATTAAGTAGTCTAAAGAAACGTACAGTATTAGACTGCTTCTTCATGTAGCTCTGAGAAAAATGGCTTTCAAAGGGTCAAGGGTCATAATTATGTACAATATATTGAGAAATGAGCAAATACCGCAGATATTGGCCTTCATAGTCGGGGCTTTTACCCAGTCTCCTGTGGAGGGGGTAGTCTGAGGCTAGTAATGACAAATACCAACAAACCTTCTTGTATAGCCTCATACTACTCGTCCAAAACTGCAACACACTTGGACCACTGACTTGCCATCTATCAGAAATCTCCCAATTGGTCTCGATTTGTCACCGAAATAAAAAAAAACAAATGTATATATATATGACCACCTGCTGTCACTCCATCCACTTCACATTGCTTGAACTTCTTGCACCTTATACACATTCCCTTCTACAATCATGTCCAGTCTCAAGGAAATAAATCCCATCTCCACCAATACTGAGAATTCTCGTTTCCATCCCTTGGATCAACTCACTGGTGATGAGATCATGACCGTTGCCGAGATTGTTCGCAAGGGTGTACCCAATCTCAACATCGTCTTTAACACTATTACCCTCAAGGAACCCAAGAAGGAGCTCATGATGTCCTACCTCGGATGGGACACCACTAAACCCCGCATTACCAAGATTGAGCGTGAGGCCCTTGTAGTTGCCCTCGAGAAGCCTTCCATGAAGTGTTATGAAGCCCTCGTTTCCCTTGACAATGGTCAGCTCAAGAGATTTGAGCACATCCCTGACGTCCAGCCTATTCTTACCATGGACGAGATGTTTGAAGTCGAAGAGCTCGTTGCCAAAGATCCCCGCGTTCAAGCTGAATGCCGCGAACTCGGCATTGAAGACATGTCTTGTGTGTTCTCGGATCCTTGGGCTATTGCTCGTCATGTCACCTACAAAGGCCGTTCCAAGCGTATGATGCAGGCCTTGATGTACATGCGCACCTGTGAGGATGACAACCAATATGCACACCCTCTTGACTTTGTTCCAATTATCGGTAGGTTTCCATAATCTAGAATTTTGTGAGACCAACGTGGCCTAACTTTTCCTTAATAGATCTTGGCCTGATGAAAGTGGTTGACATTGAGAGAATTAAGCCCAGAGACAGCAAATTCACTCGTCCTACCATCCCCCTCGAAAAACACAATTTCTTGCCTGAGTTTGTTGGAGAAGAGAACTTCAGAAAGGATATCAAGCCCATCATCGTCCAGCAGCCAGAGGGCGTTTCTTTCAAGGTCAAGGGTACTGAAATCGACTGGCAGAAATGGAACATGAAGATCTCTATGAACTACCGTGAAGGTCTTGTTATCCACAATGTGAGCTACCAGGATGGTGCCGAGAAACGTCCTCTTTTCTATCGTATTTCGCTTTCCGAGATGGTTGTTCCTTACGCCGATCCTTTCACTCCTCACAACCGTAAGCATGCCTTTGATGTTGGAGAGTATGGTCTTGGTCTCTGTACCAACACCCTCACCCTCGGTTGCGACTGTCTTGGCTCCATCTACTACTTCGATGCCACCTTTAACGACCACAACGGAAAGCCTTTCCACGTTCCTAACGCTATCTGCCTTCATGAAGAAGATGCTGGTATTCTCTTCAAGCACACCGATTACAGAAATGGCCGTGCCCACGCTGTCCGTTCTCGCCGTCTTGTAATCTCTCAGATTGTTACTGGTAAGGATTTTTGTTTGGAATATATATGGTTAGAAATATATAACTGACAAAAAACTATATTTTAGTTGCCAACTACGATTATGGTCTGTACTACTACTTCTACCAAGATGGAAGCTTCCAATATGAGGTCAAGGCAACCGGTGAGCTCAACACTCACGTTCTTGCCGAAGATGAGACTCCCGGACCTTATGGTGTTATGGTTGCTCCTCAGATCAACGCCCAGTACCACCAGCATTTCTTTACCATGCGCATTGATCCCATGGTTGATGGTGCCAACAATTCGATTTGCAAGGTTGATACTCAACGTGTTCCTCATGCTACAGGCCATCCAAACAACATGTATGGCAACGGTTTTTACTCTGAGTCTACCATTCTGAAGGATACTGCCGAAGGCCAGCAGACTGCCAACTATGAGACTGCACGCTTCTGGAAGATTATCAACGAGAATCGTATTCATCCTTACAGCAAGGGACCTGTTGGCTGGAAGATTGTATCTAACCATCACACTCCTTTGTTTGCCCAAGATGACTCGGTTGTGGGTCAGCGCGCTGGGTTTGCTAAGAAGGCTCTATGGGTTACCCCTTATAATGAGAACCAGATCTTTGCTGGTGGTTTCTACTGTAATCAGTCTGACGGTGATGACAATGTTGAGCATTGGGTCAAGGATGTCCAGAGCATTCAGAACAAAGATATTGTTCTATGGTATACATTTGGTGTTACCCATCTTCCCCGTGTTGAGGACTTTCCTGTCATGCCCGTAGAAATGTGTGGTTTCTCCATGAAGCCCTGCAACTTCTTCATGGCCAATCCTGGAATTGACGTTCCTCCTACAAACAAGGGTATCAACCACTCCAAGCTTGCAAGCAAAGAGAAGGAGAATAAGGCCGCCTGCTGCACCAAGTTATAAAAATCATACTCATTAGCATTTTGCCTTAAAGTCACTGGGTGACCTGTACAAATTACACTTTTCTTTATTTCTTTTATTCTATTATTTCATTTGTTATAACCTAGTATTTAACTCTTAGAGTCGCAAAATATAGACACCAAGTTCTTAATTGCCCTAATAAAACAAACAAAAGAGTTCTTTACTTTCAAACTTATTAAGATGTTTTTTCTTTACTATAATTCTCAGTATTAACAGTGTCGAATTAAGGAAACCAAAATTATGTTACGCTTTTATTTTATTTTATTTTGCATGGATAAAGTCACGAGTATCTTCTAAAGTATTATTGTACTTTGTTTCCTATTACAGTTTTTAAGAGATGACAGAGGAGGACTTCTTACAAAAACTGTGGAAGGTTACTAATGAATTAGCCAGTCAGCATCAGACAAATCAAGATTTTGCAGGAAGTCTCTCATCACAATTACAAGATCTTAAGGTTAATATGCTAACTACAATTCAGTACGAATATAACATCTAACAAGTATGATTAGCAAAGAGCAGTAAGCACCAGTAATAACGGACAAGGTAAAAATATGGGTGAAAGAATTGCTTTATGAAGAAGTAGTTTTGCTAAAATGTTATCGATTTTTTTAACATAAGAGCAGGCAGAATCCACTACTACCGTTCCTATCGATCGTATACATTCCCCATTGCCTTCTCATGTAGCCAATGACCTCTCGACATCAGAAAGGCAACCCAAAGATCTCATCTCTGACAATTATAAGCTGATGCAAAAATACCAGGCAGTTTTGAATCGAAACCAATATCTAGAAAGTGAATGCAGTAACCTGCAATCATTGGTGAAAGACTATGAAACCAATATAGAGGCAGTTACTATTAAGTTACGATCTCATGCAGTAAGGAAAACAAGATATAAATAATAAGGAAGTTGACTATAATTTGTTTCTTTTTTTTTTCTTGATGTAGAATGCAACAACTGAGGGACAGTCGAAACTGAGAAGAGAATATGAAGCTTTGTTAGATGCTGAAAAGGTAAGAGTATCTATGGATCAGACTTTAATCCAAATTGATTTCTTTTCTTTTGAATATTCCATAGGGTACAACCGCTGCCCTTTTCATAGAAAATACAACGTTGCAGAGCAGGTTACATAAGCTGGCATCTATGTTGCGATCACTTCACGATGACGGCGTGAATGACGAACGGGAAGCATTGATCACACAGCTAACAGCCGAGAACCAAGGTCTTCGCGATATGCTACATCTACCTTTGATTCCTCAGGCAGAAATCCCAGATCAGACATCACAGTTAATGAAAGACATGGGAACAAAAGAGGAGAGAGTACGAGTAGTTTCTGAGAGCGGAATTAGTGGACCGAGTAATGTAGTTGAAGAATATTTTGTAAACGATGATGAATAAAACTCACATTTTCTGTCTACACATTGTTGCTTTAGTATGTATACTCCCGTATACTTTAATCGTTTATTACTATTTTTTAACAACATACAATATAGATGATTAACGTATAGGTATATGACTAATTGCTTGAGCTCTTCCTTTCTCATTCTGCCTTCCCCACCATCGAATTGCACTCATTGCCTCTATTCTCCAGAGACTGTCACTAAGAATATCCTTGGTCATAATATGTCTCAAAGCCTCCAAAGGAGCACTCTGTCCTTTTTCGTACGCTTCCTTGTATTTCTTTACTAGGTTGATGCTGATGTTGTTCAGGCTCGCGATATCTTTCTCGGCCATGTTTTTGTCCAACATCTCAAGAACTGTCCATATCCTTCCTTTCTTCAACAGCCATGGCTGCTGTACGTAACGATAGGGTATACCGACAAACCAAAGGCATTTGTCGTAGGGCGTGTTGGCTTTCCAAGTTCTTAAGCCTACTCGGCAGGATGCATAGATAGTACCCATGAGAAGAGGTCTATCAAGCTTTCGTCTTTTTGCAGGGGCTTGCATGCTGGTATCTTGATTTTCTTTCTTGACTAGATAGAGGCAGGTATCGGTTGCCCAGCAGTTGGCTGGTTTATCTTTCCATTTCTCTGAGACAAACGCTTTGAGACTTGTATGCCCATGTACTTGCAATATCTCATCTACAACGAGACTAGGCCCTTCCACAAGTCTGTCCGTCTCTTGTTCCTTTATGGCTCGGATAATCATACCACCTTTGGTATCGTTATCTGGATTACCCATCGTAATGTCAACTCCTTTACGACTACCGCCTTTGAAACCATCTGTCTTTCCAATACGATGGAAGTACCAATTGCTGAAAGTCTTTTGAAGGGGATGGTTGTGGCAGTGTGGATCCTCGTGGCCCAGTTCAGAGGTATTCAAATACATTTCTACCTCAAGAATATCATATCGCTTATCTCCGATGTAGAGATCATAGTCAAGCAGAATCTTTCGGGCAAGTGAGTCGAAATGAGTTCGGTAATGGTCTGCTGGATCAGATGAAGCAGGGGGTAGAGGAATACAGAAAAGGGAGTTGAGGGGCATTGTCACCAACTTTCATTCGAGTAAAGACCAGTGTTTTGAGTTATTTGACGTAACTCGTGACTATTTTGACTAGTTCGGTACACAGGCGGTTCATTTGGGATGGGGATCTCATGGTGAGCTCATAATCATTGCAACCCATTTCTTAAAAGCTTTTCTAAAAGCTATGGAAGCTAATAACGTAATAGTACTAAAAAATATTTTAGAGAGTTGGTTTTGCCCTTAAAAATAATAAAACAATAAAAAAGGTCCAAGCAATCTATAGTGATTGCTGAGCAAGTGAGTGACGAAAGGGTTTCCCTCTTCCTTTTATGAAATGTTCTTGCGTTGGCCCAGGCTAAAAAGGCAAACTATTCTTGTTAAACTCCGGTTTTTTTTGGTCATCTTTTGCAGGCTATTTCTCTTTTCCTCTTTTGCCTTTTCTCTCTTTTTTTTTTTCTAATCGATTGAAACCTATCTGGTTCCTGGACCCTTTCAATAGATAAACTTGTCTTTTTTCTCAAATTTTTCCTTTATTTTAATTCTACACCCAGAATTCAAAGCAATTTCCATTCTCTTTTAATCGCATTCTCATTGAAAGTCTTTTTGTCTTTTTTTTGTTTGTTTAAATCGAGATTTGACGCACACATACAATGAGCTATCCAGACGTGAAGCAATCGACCTTCAATGACCTGAACATGGCCAATGGTCTGTTTGGAACTCTTCCTCAAAAGACAGCTCCAATAATACCTGACCACTGTGTCGACAATACTCGACTTGTACCTTCTTCGTCTCATTCTAACGCTCAAAAGATAGACTGGGAGCATGCTTACACCAAAGATATGCTCGAAAAAGCTGCAAAGAACGAGTGTAGCTTACTTAATATGTCTATGACGGATGGAAAATGTCGATTATCTGGCCCAAGGCCGTCTATGACGCTTTGGGATGAGAGACCTTATGATGGATTAGACCTTCCACAAAAATCGAGCATTTCATCTAAAGAAGAAAGCAAAGTCTTTTTTCGATCAAAAGAACCCGAGTTTGTGCCAGAAGGTACGCACTGAGAGTTTAATATTGTCTCCCGAGCACAATATTGATCTCTACCCTCTTCTCAACCTAGTGCAGAACAGAAACAAGGGGAAAATGCAACCAAGCTCTCAGAACATCTCCCACCAGCCACACCGCATTACATTCACAAATAGTCAAGCCTGTGAAACCAATCGAATACACAGAATGCACGATACTGTTCGTCCACCACCAATTAACACATCTGCAATTGTTTACGGGGCTCTCATTTCCGTGGTTGCTCAAGAGTTTCAACAAAGAATCATTCAAGGCGATCGTGTCAAAAATGGAATTGAATACAAGAACGCATTCGATGGAAAGGAAGCCGTCGTAAGTGATTTCTCACATGTATTTATATTGCGTTGTTATGTTCCTTAATGGTGTGCAACAAACGCTAGGACAAACTAGCTTTAATCCTCAATACAACCGATCGACGATTGGCCCTAGGTATCGGTCGGGCCTTGGGTGCCCAACGGTTTTTTCATGATGTCAATTATGAGAGTCGCCTAGTAGATTCAACATTAGAGATTTATCAATTTGATGATTACGTACTACACTATGCCAACAAAACAGATGGTCATATAAGTGGTAATGGCTCCGTGATAACTTCCCCTGGTACAATGACAACTGCAAGCAGTATATTTAGCGAAAGCCTTCGAGACGATGAGTCCGTTACAATTTTTCATGATGCTCAAATGGACCTCGAAACCACAGAGTTCCCGACAGGCGTTTTTACCGGACTTACACACTGTTTTGTACCTACGTGTGATCTTAACCAGACGAATGTACCCTGCTATAGTTACACATGTCCAAAAAGAGCGGACCAGGCATGTACTAAATAATCTGAACATGGGCCCTTGCTTTGAATAGAAGCCTATCCGAGATTGCTAAATGAAACTTGTATTTATTGTCACTATAGAACAATCGTCATTACAGTGTGGATACCCCACTCACGATCTCAACTACCCACAAATACTTGCAAACCGAGGCACAGCAATTATGGACTGACAATGTGTCGCCAGATATTCGTGCCTCTGTTTCAAATAGCGAACGTAAACGCCAGGAGACTATCTTTGAATTAATTTACACAGAAGAAAATTTCTCTAGTGATTTGGATTATATGAATGAGGTAAGCTAGTGAACAATTATATGTGTACATAAGCACATGCACGTACTTATAATACATTTTCTGCTTTGGTAGTTGTGGATAGAACCTTTGCGTGACGGAAACGTTATTCCAGCCTCTCGTCGCGACACCTTCATCGATAAGGTGTTCTCGAATTTACTCTCAATTCGGAATATCAGTCGAAAGCTTGTCAATGTGCTTCTGGAACGACAAAATGAGTACCCCATTGTTTCACAGATCGGCGACATCATGCTAAAGTTCGCAGTGGACTTTGAACCTTTTATTTACTATGGAGCGAGACAGCATGAAGCGAAATTCGTGTTCGAACAGGAACGCTACATCAATCCAGCCCTGAGAATCTTTGCAGAAGTGAGAAAATGCAATATATATTTTGTGGAATTGAATATTTTAAGCTTTACCTTATTATTATTATTGCTAAGTATTTATTTATTTATTTATTTATTTATTTTTAAAAAAATAGACAACAGAGCGCAACCCATCATCTAAGAAACTCGAGTTAAACGGTTATCTTACCAAACCTACTACTCGTTTGGGCAGATATACTCTTTTATTAAATGAAATTTTGAAACATACTCCAGAAGGCCACCCTGATCGAATACAAATACCAAATGCTGTAGATACCATTCGACAGTTTCTCGGGCGTGTGAATGTAGAAACCGGAAAAGCAAAAAATAAATTTGATCTCGAACGAATACATAAGCACCTTACATTTAAAAACAAAGCCGACGCAATGGTGAGTACCTTTTATTTATTCAATTTATATTATTATCAGTATTTAAGACAATGAGTGGTTTTAGGATTTAAAATTGCTTGAAGAGGATCGGCACATCATCAAACAAGGCGTACTTCGCAAGACGAGCAATCTAGAGTCTACAGAATACCAGGCAATTCTACTCGATAACTATTTGGTGATTTCAAAAATAAAGATAGTACATGGCCGCGAATGCCATATTGTCCGCAAACGAGTAAGTAATATATATATATATGCCCTTAAAATACATATTTTGCTTTTAATGATAGAAATTGTAACAACAAAATCTCATATAATTATTTGATAGCCGATCCCATTGGAACTTCTCGAAGTATCAGTACCTCAATCGTGTGCTCTTACACATAGAAGCGGCAGTATACTATCCTATATTCCAACTGTCGAATCACAGAGATCCTCTGCTGTTATCGGAAGTTTGAGGCTGGCCGGAAACACTTCTATAACTGCTAGCAGAATAGGGCACCCGATTGTATTTAAACGTATGGGTCGCAGAATGTCCGAGACATTTACCCTTTACGCACCTTCCGTAGCCACTCGAAAACCTTGGTTAGAGCATATCCAATCACAACGAGAAATAAAAAATCAGAGACAGCCTGTATTTGATATACATCCTATCATTCCGGAACGAACGTTCTATGTCAACTCCAAGATCAACCACATTGTCACTTTTAGTAAGTATAGAGTTATTTTCTCTTTTTAAATCTAATATATCCAACAATTTTTTTTAGAAAATGGGCAGTTTTATGTTCTTGCTACAGACAATGGTGTCTACCTTGGACGTGTAGTGAGTCAGAGCCCACCCCGCCAAGTATTAAATCTAGAAAGGGTTACTCAAGTTAACGTTCTCGAGAGTGATAAATTATTGATGGTGCTGGCAGACAAAGTATTATGGGAATATCCTTTGGCAGTACTAAGTGATACATCCAAAGTACAATTACCGGGTCTCAAATTAGAGACCCAAGTTCCTTTTTTTCATGTTGGATACTGCCTCGATAAAACATTAATTTGCGTACCTCAAGTATCTCCGCTAAGCACGACCATTACTCTTTATGAACCATCAAGTTCACCGGAAAAGAAGTCTGGGTCCTTTCTTGGTATATTCGGGAAAACAAAAAAAGTTTCAGTAAAAACACGACTGAGGATATTCAGGAAGACCTATGTTCCAAGTGAAGCCTGGGCTTTGGAATTGACCCCTAATAATCTATTAATTACCTGCAAACGTGGAATTGTCATAGTTGATATGCATACAAACAAGATCGATTGTGAGTTTCGTTCTCCCGTTTTTAATATTTTCTCTTTCGTTTCTGGTACTGATTATAATCCTCATGCACTAGATTTACTTGATCCAAATGATAAAAACTTAAATTTTATTACATCAAGAGAAAAAGATGAATCACGGTTAAATATCGGTATAGATGTAAAGCATATATCTCTTTTTTGCAATCATTTAAAAGAATATATTGTATGCTACGACGGTAAGAGAAATGTGTTAAACCAAGTCAATAACTAGAATACTTACTTTTTTTGGTTACCTTAGAATATGCTTTTTATATCGATAAGAAGGGTAGGCGCAAATATCCAAATTTCTTGATCGAGTGGGAGGGGACACCCGATACATTTGCATACTCATATCCATATTTGATCGCATTCGAGCCTTCATTTATTGAAATACGCAACATAATTACGGTTAGTAATTCACTAGAAAATCTACTTTGTTCGTAGACTAATATCCAATTCAGGGCAATCTTGAACAAATTATCCGAGGAAAAAACTTTCTCTGTCTGAGCAATGGTCATAAAACCGAAGTACCTTTTATTTTTGGTGTAATGACCGATCCTGTAAAAGATGCTTATCATTCTATATTCCAGTTAAAACTGGTATCAGAGGACAAAACTCCTCCTCTGTTGTAAACATTATTAAGCCATCCCTCCTTATATTTATACCCTTTGTTACTTTTTCTTCTTCTTTATTAATTACATGCTTTTATTTTTACCGATATATAGCCGGAACTCAATATACTATTTCAATCACTATATCAACTGCCATTCATTCTATACAAACCCACCTCTATCAATACTCTAAGTTATATGTGCTATTAGTAAACTGTACCCGTTCTAACTGATATCTTTTATATATTTCTTTATATTCAATTTTATGTACAACACAAATATCATCTCACTTTATTTTTATTTCTTTATTTCTTTTTTATTATTAGTGTGCGCACATATATATATATATATGTACTTGTTCCCTTTGGTGTATGTATAAATATTACTTTTAACAGTGAGTTTAGCCATCTGTCTTTGTTTTTTTGATCTATTTGACGTGAAAATGTACATGTAAACAACCCTGATGTTGATAGCTTTTGAAAAACTTCTTATAATCTTGTTTATTATTATTATTATAGATAGTGTGGAGGGACTGAAAAGTTCAAAAAAAAAGTTCAGACCACTCTGCCTGACTAGTCTTATTCTATTGCCAATTTGATTGAGAAGAATATAATGCTTTTCGTGGAAGAGATGTACTACAATATGAAAAGTCTAGAAATCACCGTAATAAAATATTTTCACCTGATAGAAGAGATGCTACTATGAGCACTTCATTTTATCTAATATGTATTTGAACTTTTTTTTTTTTTAGCTTTTTAGTCTGTCCACACCAATTATATTCTACATCTGTATTATCTAAAATATATACAAAAGTCTAATTAGCAAAGATATCTTATCCAAGAGGATGACAGCCGCTCCTGGCTGTAGGCAAATGTCAATTTTAGTATCTGATTTTATCTCTGACATTTCAATTGCATACTATCCGAAAACCAATGTGACCATAAAGGTCATCAGATGCACTTGAGTTACACTGGATCGAGTAGCCATATTCAATGACATGTCATTTTTCCAAGACAACACTCATGATTTTGACCATATTTCTCTAGTTACTGTCGCCATGCATCACATAAATTCTCTCCATTTTCAACATTCCATGATCTTAATTCAACCATGTGTTCCACATATGATCTATAGTTTTTGTTGTTGTTAATAAGGAGCAAATTAGAGAATCTGCAGCAACTGCTTGTAAGCAAAAGCTTTGCAATTATTTTGCCTGCTATTCACTCTTTACTATTACTAATTATTATTCAATTGATAAAAAGTTAGTTTTATAAAGAATATTGAAAGGGATTGTGGTGCTCTAATAAAATAAAAATAAAATAGAGTTTTTGAGAAGTAAACTCAAAAGTAACGGTCGCAGACACCATATATTTACTTTATAGTAATGTATTCATAGTATATATATATATAAACGCAGGGAAGGTTTTGGAGAGCTGTAAAAGCGTTATTGTAGATGTGGTTATAATGAAGTAGTAGTTTGTAAATCCTTTAACTTCACTCAAAATATGGCTGATATTCTTGAAAGAATGTTAATTCGAAGAACAATATCTTGCTCATATGTAAAGATCTTCATATACTTTACGATTTCATATATATATATTACAATTCAATTATGTGCAAGTACTAGACTGCTTCCTTTTTTTTTAATGCAGGAAGCGCTCCACTATAAACCCAATTTTTTATATAAATATGTATATAATATTTCTCTATATTTGACTTTTAATTTTTTTTACATAAGCTATAATGATAGAAAGGCGAAATCCGTCATTTTTAGATATCATCTAATTTCTGCAACTGACGCAGAACAGTACGACACAGTGAAGCAGAACAATGGAAGCCATGTGGGAAAGGGAGTGCCCTTGGCCCGTCTTCCTCCGCCCAGGAGTGATCCGACACATACCATGGATTGTCTTGTTCATCAGAACACATGTCTTTTGAAAATATCCATTGATCAAGTGTCTCTAGTAACTTATCAAACTGCGCAAAAGGCGCAAATACCAATTGTTGAGTTACTTTGATGGCTTGATTTACGGTGTATGGGGCAAGTGGTGAAAGGTAGGGTTGCGGAACAACCAATCTTTCTGTCTTCTTATTTCCCAAGGTAGAGTAGAAGATCGAATGGTATGCTGCATCTGACACACACAACGTTGATGCGTCTGTGAAGCGAATATCCAATGCATGCCTATCAAGAATTCGTCGTATCATGCCGTTCTGAAAATAATGGTAAGACTTACATTGAGGAATATACAATCCGGACAGAATCAACAGCTCGCGGGATAACAGATATTTTTCCAATTTCTCCATTCTGTGTACATGCCACCTCTATTTCTTCCAAGCCTGCCATCAAAGGGAGAGTTTGGAAAAGTACCTTGGTAGTAAAGTTACATAAATATATAATACTTATGGTCTCATTGTATTGATAATAAGTTAAGTTCTTACTTGTATAAAATAAATCAAGTCCAGTTTCTCATTAAGAATATTTTGAAGATACGTCGCCACTCGTATATGGGGATTCCTGCTTAATGAAAGCCGGAGAATTACTGGACTAGGTTTTTTCGATTGTTGTGTTGGCATAGTAAGATCGATAAGATATTGCCTTGGGCGCCCCTTTTCAGGAGAGTCCCATCGAATAGAGCATATAAACGCTTTTGCATAAATAAACCTGAGTTCCTGTGTATCAAACGGTTCAAACTTCAAGTCTTCCTTGTACTTTTTAAGCCATCTTGAAGGAACTATTTAAACTGGTTAATATATAGCCTCCATTACACATTCACATATTTTAATTTACTTTGTCTGGCCAGGTTTGTCATCATAAATATTCTTTCCCAATCTATTAAGAATCGATCTACGCACATATCAATCTGTGCGTAGGTAAACGACATTACACCAGTTGTCTTGTCAAGAGAGATGTGATCTGGTTTCTTGAGTAAGTTTAAGTAATTTATAAAAACTCTTAATAAACTTACCATTAATGTAAAAGGACTTGAGTGGAACACGCTTCCAATTGAATCTATCTTGAAACACTACATGGCAGTCTCCTCGCCGCCCTGTTGTCCATCTTCCAGACGCTCGTATCAGAATATCATTATGCATTTGAGACAGTTGCTTTTCTGCCCAAGGTGTTATCTTAAGCGTACTATCTTTTGATGGCGCAGTGTTTGAAATATCCACATTGCCTTGAGCACAAACTGTGAATAAATCTTTCTGAGGAACACATATGACCTCCATATGATCTACACCAGGATGGTTCATAACCTGAACATCGGCATCAGACAGACACTTGAGAAGAGGTCGCATTCGATAATTAAGAGCCCCCCTGTGCTGTTGTAGTTGAAATTCGATTTTCTTGTTGGTTATAAAGGCCCTAAAAGCCAAAAAGGCATTAGGTAAATATAGACTAGATATTCCATTCCCTTACCGACAGAGTGAATCCAATTTAGCCATAAATCGTAGGTTTATCGACAAACTAGATAATTGTCAGTATTTACTATTTATAAATAAAAGCAAGATATATTGAATGGTCATTTACTTGTCAATCTCGCGAGAGTTTTTGGCGGATGCTGTCAATAATTCGTCTAAAGAAGTCAAGGTTTTTCGACGCTTCAATATTTTTGTCTGATTTTTTACTAACTGTTCCCGCCTCCGTTTGCGTGTTTCATTATTCACATCACTGTCAATATCATTATCTTCATAAAATTGTTCGCTCCAGATATCTTTATAGTCAATATGAATAAGATCTGTAATGGTTTGATAGAGACCGTTCTGATCGTATACTTTTCTATATCCGTATAAATAAATAAGCATCATAAGAACCATCTTGTCCAGTCATTTCTTTCTTTTTCTCTTTCTTTCTCCTTTTTTTTTCTACTTACGAAAGACAGCATAACCATGCTTGAAATTCATCATTAACAATAGCAACTACGAAATACCAGTCCTCGAATTGTAAGAATTGGAGGAATATACAGTGTGTTGGATATATTTGTTTGCTGGTGTTGGATTTTGTGTCGGTCGAAGTGATTTTTTTGGGGGAGTAGTGGATGTCTGGTTCGGGTTGTTTAGGGCTTGACATGGGAGGAATGTCACTGAATAATTTGGCAATATCGTCTGGCCGCAAATTCATTTGTGCTGGATGGTAAGGCTGGAGTCTCAATTGTTTCGCCAGCGAGACAATTTCACGAACAACAATTTCTGATCGTAGCCAAAGCAGATGCTGTGCTGTATTGATGGGATCGTTGTTTATCTTTTCTTCAAGATTCTTCAATTTGACTAAAATATCGTTATTAATCTTAAGCCCATTATATCTCTACAGGCGGATCTCTTACCATCACCTTCGCCGTAACCGTGTCCAACTTCACATATTCTGACAAGACCGGTACGAGTATCAACATCAATACTGATGTATCTCTCATGACGATAGCGCACTATTAATGTCGAATCTTCTGCCTTTGGTTGTTCATCTGTTGTCTCCTAATGTTAATATCGTACTATAGTTATAAAATATTAGCCTGCATATACCTTCAAGCTTAACGTCACCAATTGGAACATCATCGTTTGTTTCTATAGCCAAATGAAGCCCGTTTTCTTCCAAGAATTTTTCTTGATATTTAAGGACTTTTCTGATTTTCTCAATAATGCATTCTCCGTGGTAACGAGTAACATGTAGCAAAAGGCGTTCTGCGCTGAGATCAGTAGGGTTCTACATAACATTAATTAGTCTATGAAACCAAGTTGGTTTGATACGCACAAATAAGACGTCTTTTGTATGCAAGTCGGTACAGTCGCCCCATTTAAGATCGAGTTGTGTTTTGGGGTATTTAAGGGCTGAGACAACCTTGGGCCGATCCGAAGCATTTATGTCAGCCAGCGCTACAGAAGCACCAATTCCAGCTTTCTGTATCAATCCTTTGAATTCATCTCGAATGGTCGCTACCATATAGTCATTTTGTGATAATTTTCCCCGTCGTTTTTCATCTTCGTTACTCATCATAATTTCTATTACGGTGCTTTTTGCTTGACTTTCTTCGACTGTTGTGAATGGTTGTGGGCATGCCCAATGGGCTGCTGGTGAGCCCCCTCCCCAGTAAGACAGAGTTAGTTTGGTACGAGCTGAGTCCATATGTACTTTGAGTTGATTAACCCATCTTGTTCTAGCTAACATAGCTGCCTGCATATAGACAATCTCGAGTTGCATATTAAGACAGAACATGTGGAGATAGTCGTACAAATTAACGATCGGAAAGAAAAGCGGTGGTTTTTGTTCAATTGTCTCTACAGGTGCGTCTTCCGTTGGTTTTGGTGGTAATGGTGTAGGTGGAGCCAATTGTCTTTGTGCGTTACTTCGAAGATGTTGTTGTTGCATGTCATTAAATGAAATATCGACATCTGTTGTAAAAGTCAATACCCAACTAACTACTCAATATATATTCTCTCACCTGCTGCTCCTCCTCCACCTTCCGCTGTTTGTACCAAAACATCCAGAGACACAATCCACCATTGCCGAGCATTACTAGGTCCCATTAATGTGAGTGATACCTTGAATTCATTCTCAATTGAGAAGTAGATCCGTCCATTTTCTTATCAGAGAAATGTCAGCAATGTTTGATATTGTCCACAAAACTCTTACTGCTCACCTATCCGATGGTCCAACATAGGAGATGGTAGTACTTCTGTTGTCAGCAATCTCACACGGATAACATCATTCATTTTCTGGAAGGTTTCCAGCACTTCTTCATCCGTTAGACATGCGGGAGGAACCATATCCTGATATGGTGTTAAAAATCTCTCTGTCGTTTTTATTTTGTTGATCTACCTTTATTTTTGTTGGCATTCGCTGGTAAGTACCAGTTGTTAGAACATCGACGGCAGTCTTCACATCATAATTGCGTGTTCTTGCTGCCGGCAATTCGACATGAATTTTGTGTAAGTAATCAGACGTATCTTGGAAAATCTTGTTTTGGTTAGCTAGATGGGCCATGATGTTCTAAAAAGTTATTCAAAAGATCCTGTCAGTTGAGAAGTGAATGTGAAGATTGTGCGTCTACCTGACACATTTGGATATCATTCGCATTTTCAGCCCATTTGACGAGGACTGATAACTTTAGAAACTGCTTTCGTGCAAATGTAGCAAAATTTAGAATCTGCCGTTTTCGCTCAACATCGGACATGGAAGGTAGTCTAAAAGGGAAGATGAGGACGATGCTGAGCCTGGAGAACGCGTTTCTTACGTATCCGTCAGGGTCATGAGATCAGCATGCGATTTTCGAACCATTTTTCCAATGAGCACCCTCAGGGGAACCATGCTGGCCATTTCAACAGGAAGGACCACTTTATCTGCATGGTCAATTTGTGTCTGTTCAGAATGCGGCAGAATCTCTGTGAGAACTTCAGCCTTCTTGCCATTTTTGTGGTCCTGTTTTACATGGCCATTGGTTTCTGTCGTTTCCTGATTGTGCTTGGTTTGCGAGATCGTCTGCATAACTATACAATCCTATGGAACACGGCTCGAAAGACCATTAAGTCGCTCAAAAAACAGGTCATTGCTGCTGCCTTGAGATTTCTGATTGGTCGTGACGTAATGGATACTTTCACGCATTTGACCTTTATCCCTATTTGAGTTGACGTTTATGCGTGGCTTTGATCTATCAACAGGTAATGCAATTCATTCATATTTTTAGATAAAAATTAAATAGTCTTTACTACAGCTAAACCATCATACACACACACACACACACACACACACGTAGATATATATATACATTCTACATGAAAATAAAATGCTTTTAAATAGAATTCCTAATTTCCCTTCATTAATTATCTCTTCTTTTAAATAATATATATTTATATATATATACAATGAAATTAGATAATTAATATCTTGAGCACCAGCAGAACTTTAGGCATTAAATTATATAATAAACTTCATCGTTTTCTTATATTATAATTATATTACATTTTGAGGGTAGCTTTTAATATATCAAAAAAAAATAAACTTAATCTGATAAGTTACTAAACAAAAAGAAGCTTTTGCATATTTTATTGACAACAAGACAAGGTGAACAATACAAACTCATAAAGATACAAACCAGTAAATATCAGAGGTTGCATGTTTGTCCATTGTATATACACAGCAAAATACTCACTGCTTTATTTGTACACTTCTGGTGTCACAGCACATAAAAAAGAAGGTTTGGAGTTTTTCGCGATAATTGTAACACGAAAATTTAAATATTGCAATCAATCATATGAAGATCGTAATAAATAAAATAAACGCGTTTTTTTAAATCTCACTCTATTCTGAACAGACACAAACTGACCTCACTCGGGAATCGCAGTAAAAACCCCGTCACGTTTTCGTACCTTAACTTAACATGTCTTGTCTTGTTTTCTTTGATCGTCCTCTCACACATGTCTAGATTGATCTTACAAAGCAAACCTCTTTTCAGAAGCCTTGTACGCCTACCAACAGGTCGATACACAAAGATACGTCCTACTTATGCTTTCTCCACCACAACCTCCTGGAAAGGAAACAACACCACTAGACAGGTCACAGGTGAATGCGCACATACCACGCCTAACGATCCAGGTTTAAAGAAACGGAAAGCCGATATGATCGAATTTCTCTACCAGAACCACCAACGTCCTGTCCCAACTGGAAAAAAAGATATAGTTTTGACCAACTGTCCTCATTGTATCAAGATCCGCAAGAACAGCTTTGCAGCTTATTTAGATCTCGCCAAAAGCACTTATAATTGCAAGACATGCGGTACTCGTGGATCGTGGCAGGAATACACACGAACACTCAAAAAGAAATTGACAAGCAACCAAACTGAGCCCCAGTTAATCTCAGCTTCTAATGTCTTTGGATCGCACCACTCTCAGTTTTCTCGACCAATAGAACAAGTAGAGGCATACCCCGAGCGACTTGCGCAAGATACAGACGTACTAGAATGGTTACATACAACTTATAAAATTAAACCAGAAGTACTTCGTACCTATGGTGTAGGTCTTGCTAATTATGTCGACCCAGATACGCGTCTGAGAGAGATTCAGGAAAACAAGGAGGTACAAGAATCTCTTTGTCTTACCTTTCCCCAGACTACTTTGACATATAACCCAGAGGCGCCTGAAGATGAATCGTCGCCAGAAGGCACTTTTAAATTAGACACAATACGCATCAAAGCATCATCGCTCGATACACCTTCAGAAACTTTGGCATACGATCCCCCTGTGCCAAATCGCTCTATATCTGCAGGTCTATTTGGTTACAAGACTGTAACATTCGAATCAGACTCCGTCATTATTACTCGAAGAGAACTCGATGCGATGGCTATTTTTCAGGAAACAGGTATACCTAGTGTTTCGTTGCCTAGCTCAAATTACCAGCTTGAAGAGTCTGTTCTTCCTTTACTTGAGCGATTCTCCAAGCTATATGTATGGCTGGATGATGATGTAGACGGGCAGCTGGCTGCTGATCGATTTGCAAATAAACTCGGAGACTCTCGGTGCATGATTGTGAGCACCAGAATTAATTCACCACATGGTCCTGTAAATGCACATGGGGCATTACTAGAGGGAGAAGATCTTAGAAGTATACTAGGATCTGCTCGTCAAATTAAGCACGATGAAATCATGGATTTCAGTGATCTTCGCGAGGAAGTATACAGTGAGATCATGAATCCTGAACAAACTCGAGGTGTACAATCCAAAGATCTTCCTGGATGGAACTCACTCTTGAAGGGGCATCGTTCGGGGGAACTGACGATTCTGACAGGCCCAACAGGATCTGGAAAGACGACAATCATTAGTCAATTGAGTCTGGATTATTGTCAGAGTGGCGTGCCTACTCTATGGGGATCGTTTGAAATTCTCAATAAGCGATTAGCCAAACGAATGCTCTATCAATACTCGGGCAAGGATCTTAGCACGGCTCCTCAAGAAATCGATGCATGGGCAAATAAATTTGAACAGGTAAAACATTTCATTTATTCTAGTCAATTTTATTTTCTCTCTATTTTTTTTTGGTGGTTTACTTACATGCTGTAAACAAAAGTTGCCTTTATATTTCTTAAAATTCTTTAGTAGTACTGCTATCAAGGATGTATTGAAGGCGTGTAGCCATGCAGTATATGCTCATGATGTCAGACACATTATCCTAGACAACCTCCAGTTTATGCTTTCCCAACAAGGTCGGTCTAGTCTAGATCGATGGGAATTACAGGACGAGGCAATTGCAGAGTTGCGACGATTTGCAACACAACAGGATGTCCATATCACTCTTGTAGTCCATCCACGAAAAGATATTGGCGAGCAACTAGATATCAACTCAGTATTCGGCAGTGCAAAAGTAACACAAGAAGCTGACAATGTGGTCATTATTCAAAAGCCTCTGAAGGCCGATGGATATCGAACCTTGGATGTCAAGAAAAATAGGTAACGCTTTAATAATCTGTATACATGTTCTAACGGACTGTTATAGATACGATGGTACACTTGGTGCTATGCCTTATGTATTTATGAAAGATTCATTAAAGGTAAAGAGAGAGAAAAAAGAGAAGGCCGTTTATTATGTTGTATTATCCATATTTATCTCTCTTTTGATAGATCCGATGCCTTAATGACAAAGAGACCGCTAAACCCAAACGTATTTCTAAACCTCGTTATCCTAAAAGTACATATCCATCGGCTGTAAATAGAGCTGATCATGCCGAATACCCATTATCAACAGAAGAGATTGCTGGTCAAATATATTAAGTAATTGCTACAAATCACAATAGTTGATGGGTTATTTTTTTTTCTTGTATTTATTTATGAACAAAAGATACAAACTACATTAATATACATTTATTTATCAATCCAGTGTTGGTTTAGAAAGAGATTATTCGTTTTTATTAATATTACAAAGAGAGGGGGGGAAAGGGAGGGAATTAAATACAAGATCTTATTTGATTAACAAAGTTTTAATATGAACAAGCCCGTCTCCATGCACCACGCATCCTCTGCTTTCATATTTTTCTAACCATTTGCGTGCCTTGTTAAGATGACCTCGCCTGTAAGCCATGTAAACAAAATACCATGTCGTCCGTTCATCCATCATCACACCTTTAGACTCGAACCATTCTACCATCTTCTCCGCCTCTATCCATTCGCTGTTAAATACTCCTAAACCACGCACCATGATATTGAGGGTAGATGTTGACAGAGGCACCTTTGTCTTTGTTGCCATCTCTAGTAGTCGGTAGGGTTCGTGAGGTATACTACGTCCAATTTTCGATTTATTGTTGATATGATGGATAAAGTAACCATCAATCATGATATTGTACAAGATTGTGTGTGAAGATTCAGCTGCAGAAGTCTTGACTGCCTTATCATTCACCAGCATAAGATCAAACATACTCTGGGCTGCGCTGACGTTCACAGATCCAGATTTCAAGAGTCCGTAGAGTAATACTGATCGAAGAACCTGGTTAGGATATATTTTACGGTCAAGCATGTGTCGATAGATGTCTAGTATAGATTGCATATCGATCAATTCGGGAGAAGGGGCACCGCGAATATATCCATGTATTAACGTTGTGAAGCTGACGAGATCGGGTTCAGGAATTGATCGATCGTAATTATTATTTTCCATCGAATACAGTAATTTACGAGCTGAAGACATGTCGCCTTTTAACGTTAAAGCGTGGATCAATAGATTATAAGCGTACACACTTAAATCCCGTTCGCTTTCAAACATCGTCCGAAGGAGTCCAAGAGCTGTATTGATTTTTTTGAGTCGAAGTAAGACGGCGATGCTGGAGTTTAGGACGTACTCTGGATCTTTTGAAGGCGGTATACGTGCAGCAATACGATCAAATGCAGACACCACACGGGGTTCTTCGTGTTCTGTTACTGCTGCTAGAATTATGCGTAGAGTAATGGAGTTCGGCATGGAATTTTCTTCTAAGCGATCCACCCACTTATCTAAAATTGACCATTTCTTGTTCTGGCATACATACGACAGAAATGTATTGTAGGTTGCGATCGTGGGTTGGATCTTCCGTAGAATCATATTTTCATAAATCTCTGTCGCTCCTTCGATATCTAATGTTACGAGTTTTGCTCGGATCCAGATATTGAAAGAGGCAGTGTCTGGGATACAATTCAAACTTTTCATTTTCTCAAAAATCGCGTCGACGTGTTGGAGTTGTTTTTGCTTTAATGCAGTGTCCATTGCGGTGTTACAGAATCGTGTATTGGATTCCGAGGTGAGATTTGATGGGATATTCAGAAGAAGGTCGAGTTCAAGCGATTCGCGGTAAGCTTGCATCAAAATATTGAATAAATAAGCCTGTATCCGTTCTTCGGTGGACTTGTGAAGTATCTCTTTGATTTTGTCGATTTTCCAAAAAGAAGTCGCTTCCTTGAGTCCTCTTTGAATTCGCCGCCTGGCACCTGTGCCCTCTTTGTCTTTTGTGGAAAGGTATTGTGAGTATGGTTCGAATAAAGCAAGAATTTCGTCGACAGAGAGTTTTGATATCCTCTCATAGACCTTTCGTTGGTCTTCACGGGGATATACAGGTGCATTAGGGTTTGGGTTCAGGACAAGAGAGAGGGCGCTAGCGAGGTCGTTGTTATTTATATGATTATAAAGGGCGGGAATGTCTGGAAGTGGTGGTTTTTTTCGAGTGACCTTTAACGGTTGTTCGGTTGTCTTGTCTGTCGATTCTTGTTGCGCAAGTTCTTTTGTGAATAAGCCATGAAGATCTATAGGAAAGTCTAGTTTTTCGAGTGGTTCTCGTTCGTTATTTGTGTCGAGTGGTGATTCTATTGATGTTGTGTAGGTTGAAAGAAGGCGTTGGGGTATCCAGCAAGGGCGATGTGATCTAAGTAGGGGTTGAATCAAGCATGGAGATTTTACAGGGCGTGCTCTCGTCCTCAACGCCGGCTGTGTCGACAAAGGTCTGGATCGCCGTAAGAGTACGAGAAGAGATTGTGTGTTTCTTGAAGCATTACATTTGCTGGGAAAAAGGCATGTACCAACCACCATCCCGTTCTCATACCGTGGTTATCCTGGCCATAGCCTCCCTTGAGTTTCCTTTTTCTGTCACTTCGGGCCACGATCAGTTGTCAAGCCACAGGAAATCGCTATAAACACCTCTTTCGAAGACCACCCCTCCCCACCTTGCAATGAAATGACGTGAATATCAATTTTAAGCCCAGTTTTATTATAAGATTCTTGTGCAGAAAGGGTATGAGAGAGCTTCACATAATGCAAGCAATTTAGTTTGTTTCTAATTTTTGCACAAGCTTTTATTATTATTATTATTATTATTATTTTTGTTTGATACACAAGATTTGGGTTTATTTTTAAGGATTTAGTGTGAGAAATATATTTCTTATAATATTTTTTTAACACTTAAAAATATTGTTAGTTTAATATATTTTAATGTATTTTTTACTTTTATTATATGAAAGAAAAAGATTGATTCTACAGATAGTGATCATGATAATGAAAGAATGTAAACAAAATAAAGAGAAAAAGGAAAGAACTTATTTGCAATGAGTATAAATCTAAAAAGGACAGATGTAATGGGCTAAATATATAAATGATCTTCCTTTTGTTGCTTTGTGCAAAGAGAGAGAGAGAGAGAGAGAGAGAGAGAAGAACTTGAGGAGATCCAAATTCTTTGGTTCTTTTTTAGAAGAAGAATGAAGAAGAAGAAGAAAGATATAATGGTTTAAAGGTAAAAAGGGGTCTGTGAGTATGTGATTCTTTGTTGGCTTTGCTTAATCGCGACGGACAAAGCTTTTGATTGCCCTCCAGATGGCAAACCAGTCCATCATAACTGGGCTGCAGATCAGGAGCGAGAACCCGAAAGCAAGCATGAGAGTCTCAAAACCGGAAGAGGCCATGACAGCACCTGCAAGCACAGGGCCAATGAACATGCCGATCGAATAAGCCATATTGTACAATGCATACACTAAACAAGTGTACAAAGTCAGTCAAGAGAATCCTGCTATAGATGTATATATTGGCAAACTTTGTATTTTATTTTACCTTGTGCATAAGCAGCGCCACCCTACAAGACACAAAGATAAAGATAGAGTGATAAAGTTTTCCTGTTAGATAAATTTACCAATGACAACACTCCTTTTTATTTCAAAAGTGGCATTTACCATATCATGCACTGTTTCGCCCATCTCAGGTAGGACTGGCGTAAGAGTGACAGGGCTAGAGAGACCAAAAATCATCAATGGAGGAATAATCATATAAATAGATTCAAAGTGCAGGGCAACCAGAGGGGATGCAACGGCCATCAAAATCATGCCAGTGGCAGAAATAACCTGGCGACCAATCTATGATCATAGAATTTTTTTGCTTGTCAGCATTTTGTGTATCCAACGATGGGGCTAAATTACCTTATCTGACAGATGGCCGATAAGAGGAGCAAGGAAAGCTGGAACTACCATTGTAACAAAGATCACTAGATACAAGAGAACTTAGTTTTTGATGTTGAAAATTTAGTTTTACGTTACGTACATCCAATTGTCGACGCGGAGGCATTGTAGGTCAATTGAAGGTGGATAGGAAGGGCAGGTTCAATTCCAGCAAACACGGAGGCACTCACAACCACACAAAGCAAACAAGACATAATACGCCAGTTCTTCAACAAAAGCCACATCGTCACCTTTGGCTTCTTGGCCTGGGGAAGGAGTGGTGTTTCTTCGTTGTTTGTAAATGATCCCTCTGCCTCGATATCTTCCTGGGCTCTCGACACCTTGACCGAAGTTTTTTCACTGTGCTTCTTGTGCAGAGGCTCCGCAATCCACACAATTGCAAAGAAATTTATAACAGCAAATCCAGCACAAAAAGTGAAGGGTGCACTAAATCCACCGTACTCATATAAAAATCCACCGGCAGCAGGTCCGATAGCAAACCCTACTGTGTGCGCAGTCAGCACAGTTCCCATCACGACACCTAATTTTTTCGTAGGGAAAACGTCTGCGAGCATTCCTAACCCAATAGTCCTACAGGATGAATTGATAAATTATTATTGGTTCCCACCTATATAGAATTATGTTTATATATACATATATATATACATATGTACATGTACATATATGTATATATTTGGTGTCTACATTTTTATGATCACTTACCAAGATGCACCTCCTGCAACACCTTGGGCAACTCTGGCAAGTACTAGAAGAACATATGTATCTGCAATAGCAAATGCGAGAGTGGATACGACAAGTCCAAGCATACCAGCCATCATTGGATAACGTCTGTTCTGATACTTGTCAGATAAAATAGCAAATACTGGTGTAGCTAGCAATAGTCCAAATGCTATCTCGTTTATCAGAGAGAGAGAGAAAAAAAAATTGTTAGTGTGACAAAGATAAAGTAAAGGTTTTCTTGTATGATTATTATGATTTCTTTATTTTTTTACCATAGCATCCAAATAAGAAGCCAACCATGGTAGAATTGCCCTTCAGACGATCGATTACAAGCATCGGAAGGCAGGGAATTACGACGCCATATACGAGCATGTCACTATGGATAGGATTTACATTATAAGCTAAAGAATAAATAGTGTATAAAATGATAGACTTACATAAAGAGCGTCAGTGCAACCACACAGGCAACGCTAATACGTGACCTGCGTGCTCTGTACCAAGCAGACCCCGATGGCTCGGCCATGATTTGATTTATAGGGCTTGTTGGATTGGTGACTGTGGGTATTCCAGTCATACCAGAACTATATTGAAAGACAATGAAATCGAAAGGAAAGTGAAAGAGAACGCTGTGAGTGGAAAGCTGTTTATCTACAGTAGGTTTTTTTTTTGCTTTTTTTTTTTTTAAATTTTTCGTGTCCGTTTTGTACTGAGGTGCAAAAGGAGACTGGTTGCGGTAAATAAAAAGGCTGTATACGGCGATTGAAATACTAACCTCCAAAAAGCTGTCAACCTTGTGAACCCATTTAACCTTATCACTACGCCTGGCCTCTATTGTTATTTTCTCCTCTTTTTCTCATGCTTTCTTCTTCTATTAAACAAGCCCTGAGGCGCATATCACCCACCCAGTCGGCACGATTGCATACTTCGAGAACGCTATTCTCGCCGCTTACCCCTCTTACTTGCGTTAAACACCCTGAGCTCAAGAGAAGCTCAGTGTATAAAGAGGTTCATATTCAATAATAATAATAATTATATGTTTTTTTTGATAATATTTCATCTAACAAAGCTTTCCCATCTAGTTACAAGAGGAAGATGTAGACTACTTTAGAACAGTCCTTTCACCTAACAATATCCTTTACCACCCTCAACCTGAAACACCAGAACAATCCATCCTTGCCCACCACAATGTGGACTGGTTCAATCTCTACCGTGGTACCTCTTCGTACGTCTCAAATTTAATTGTGTCGCTTATGCATTTCCAATTACTCACGCAACTCACGGGGTCATTAGGCTATGTCTATTTCCCACAAGTACCGACCAAGTGTCTCGTATCTTGCGCTATTGCAACGATAACCAGCTTGCTGTTGTACCTCAAGGAGGAAATACTGGAGTTAGTGGAGGTGCCGTTCCTGTGTTTGATGAAATCATTGTCAACATGTCCAAGATGAACACCGTCCGGTCTTTCGACAGTATTTCTGGAGTAGCTGTTGTAGATGCTGGTGTCATTCTTGAAGTTCTTGATCAGTATCTCGAACCCAAGGGACACATGGTACCCCTAGATCTCGGTGCTAAGGGATCCTGTCAGCTGGGCGGAAACGTGAGTACTAATGCAGGCGGCTTACGTTTGATGCGTTATGGAAATCTTCATGGAAATGTTCTAGGTCTTGAAGTCGTAAGTAACAACACTTTTGTCTCACAGATCCCTGTGTAGCCTTAACTCATCGTTTGATCGCTTTAGGTATTGGCTGACGGCACTATTCTCCACAACCTCTCGACACTCCGCAAGGATAATACCGGGTATGATTTGAAGCAGATGTTTATTGGTGCCGAGGGAACTCTTGGATTAGTAACTGGTGTTGCCCTGTCCACTCCAAGACGTGCAAAGGTAAAAGAAATTAAATAATGAATTGATTTATTGAAAATTTGATGAATTATAAATTCTTTCATAATAACAATCATACTAATACTAATAATAATCATCATTTCTGGTTTTTGGTTTTTACTGTAAATGCTTCCAGTCCACACATGTAGCCATGGTTGGTTTAACTTCATTTGAGCACGTTCAAAAGGCATTTGTGATGGCCAAAGAAGATCTGTCTGAGATTTTGTCGGGTAAGAATTTACCATTTTTTGTTCAAAAATCAAACCTTATTTATACTGAGTTTGTGAAAAATAGCTTTTGAATTCTGGGATCATGATTCAGTTGGTATGGTCAAGCAAGAGATGATGCAAGACACAGCTTACCCGATCCAAGGCAAACATGCTTTCTATGCCTTGCTCGAAACTCAAGGAAGTCGTGATGAGCATGACGAGGAAGTAAGCTTAGAATATACATATATGTATTATATCTGGTTCTTACAGCCAATATTCATACCACTGACCAGCTCTAATAAATTATTATGTACTAGAAACTCAATGATTATCTTGAACGTCTAATGGAGAGCGATATCGCAGCGGATGGTGTGATTGCTCAAGATAATACGCAAGTAAAGACCCTGTGGAGTTGGAGAGAAAAGATTCCTGAGTCAATGGCTAAAGCAGGAGTGGCTATGACTTACGATGTATCCATGGAGGTTCCTCTTCTGTACAAAATGGTTGAAGATGCTAAAAAGCACTTTGGTGAAAAAGGCTTGCTGGGCCCTGGAAAATTATATTCAAACTTGCTAGGCTTTGGCCACGTCGGAGATGGAGTAAGATCAACGTAAATGTAACATGATCAAGGCTAACATCTCCTAAACTAGAACTTGCATATCATGGCCAACGTGAACAACTTTGGCCATAAAGCCCAGGCTGACATGGATGAATTTGTGTTCAAGTGGGCTAGTAAGCTACCAAACCATATAAACTGATATATAGTGTTTTTAAATACTAATCAAATCAATACATTGTAGTTAAGCACAATGGATCAATTACAGCAGAACATGGAGTTGGTATTTCGAAAGTGGGCTACATGAATGATTGCAAGTCAGACATACAACTGAGCTTAATGCGCGCTATAAAGACTGTATTGGATCCAAAGGGAATCATGAACCCTTACAAGGTCATCCCCGAAAAGAGCAACAAACAGTAGCTTATGAACACATGGTACCCAAAAAACATACAAATTATATTTTCTTAATAGAATAGCTAAATAAATGAATCGATCAAAAGGCTATATGTCTGTCTTATTCAGAAGGAAGCCAAATACACCGGAAGTTTCCAACAACCAACGAGTCTTTTAAGAATAAGAATTAGGAATAGTAATAATAATGGCCTTTCTCATCATCACTGTATTATCTTGCCCTTTCTTTGTAATTGAATAAACAATCAAATTTTCGTTGGTCTGTAGATCACTTATATGACCTAATAGCATGATAGACATGACTTTACTAAATAAAGCTTTTTTTGTAAAAGTTGTACAAGGTTTCATTTTATGTTTTACATTTTAACTTGATACAGTATTCAGCGTCTTTACCCTCTAAAGATTAATCTTAGAGTACTACCAGCCAAGTTCCAAGCAGTTGTTTATTGTCAAACCAAGGTTTATTTTGTTTTATTTTTCGTTCTTAATATTTGATAAGGCCAAAATTAGCTGTTTTCTGGTTGTATTTCCAACAAGGTTATTATGTTCAAGTACTTGGATTTATGATTCATGTTATTATGATTTTATTTTAAATTCTATAATCTGGTGATATAAGTCTGACGAGTTTATTTCTTTAATTTCAACCGTTCATTAATAGGCCTTAAATATAGAGCCAAAACCAATATAACAAAAAAAAACAAATTACATAAAATTACCAAGAAACAAACTAAAAAAAAAAGAATATTGATTTATGTGAATATTTAAAATAGTTTATTTTACTATTAAGTTCTTTAAGCATCACCCTATAGCATTTATGTCAATTCAAATGAGTGAGCATGCCATCTCTATTGCATAATTTGTGCAATAGTAAGGCGCGCAGAGTCTATCCTAATCCTTGACTTTTGTATTCACTGACTATTTTATTTTTGGTGCAAGATACTGTGAAGGTAAATTGAATAAGCGTACTCCAAAATTCGTTTCCAAGTACTTTAGGGACCTTTTATTGCATTGGTTTAAATACGTACATGCTCTTAAAACATAACAAAACAAAGTTACTATAAATACTTGAGTTTTAGATGGTACTACAATGATTCTAGGTTTTTTATTCAGCTACTTTTTTTTAAAAGAAAAAAAAGAAAAATAACTAGAGCATACACTCAATATAAAATACACTATTTTTCTAGAGAAATTTTATGTTTCATTAAATGCCTGGTATACCATATTTCCCTTAATTAATAAGAATTCTCTGATTTTCCCTTGTCTTGAGTAAGTACCATCCCCTATATTATGTTTTTTTTTTGTATTCTAGCACCATTTTCTAAATTTACCGCCTAATATTGAAAGTATACCCACAGAAACCATGTGGTATAGTCAGTAGCCTTCTGCAAATTCAAACAAAAAAGCTTACATAGATATTTATATATATAAAATAGAAAGGAAAATATATTAAAACACACACACACGCAGGCAAATACAACAGGAATAGATTATAATTTTTCTCAAAGCATGACATCTGTTATTTATGCCACATACTAATTAAATTTATAGCAATGATTAAAAAAATAAATAAATACTAAAAGAGAACATCTCACAATCGAGCAAAGCAATACTGTACTAAAGCTGATAGATATGAACAAAAAGCTGATAATAGCGCACATATATAAAAGATATATAGCTTTCTCTTATTTATTTATATAAAAAAAAACAGTGGCTATTAATATATCTGGAGAGTATTTCTTATAGAGCAGATATTTGATGACTGTGATAAACAATTAATAAATAAACTATATTTGTTTATGATATAGTGAGTTCAAGCTACAATTATTCCTGCCGAATATGACTCGTGATATATAAATGTAAAAAGTACGGACAGCTTGCTTCACATTGAAGCATGTTTTCAAGGTCAATATATTAAGCTATGTTTCTATATTTTTACCAGTGTGTTATAATAATGTAAAGGCTATAGTTCATATACTTTATATAAATGTAGTGCAGAATAATATATCTTTGGATATTTAGAACTAAATAATCGTGTACATTTTCTATTTATCAGGACATTTTGTCCAATCATATTCTATAGCAGGAATGTGTGGCAAAGAACATTGATTTATAGACAGCTTTATAGTAGTTTATCTGTAATTTTTTTTTGATATTTTTGTAATATTGAATACGTTCAGCATGTATGGGAACTACTATCATAAAATTATTGTAAAAAAAAATTAAAATTCATGCATTTTCAAGGGAGACAAGGCCAAGCTAATGATCGATGCTTTAAAATGTGCTAGCTTTTTGGTTGTTCATATGCATGGCTTTATGTCAAATACCTCAAACAACAACAGAATATATCGCTAACCTTACTGATAAAACCAACTTTTGCAATACGCAGTTAATTTTAATGATGTGCCTAAATGTCTGTACGTCTGCAATATAGAGAAAAAAGAAAGTAACAAAGTCATTGTAAGCACTATGTAAATATTGAAGGACAAGACATTTATAAAATGCATTTACGGAATATAGAAATCATTTTTATTGGCCTAATCATTCTTAAAGATTAGTGTTAGAACCTAAAATATAGATTTGAGCAATTTAATAAAATATATTTCATTGTATTCCAAGAAACATCTATAAAAATATCAAAAAACCTGACGATTTGTAGGTGCTTATGCTTTTCTTTCTTCCAAAAGTCCATTTTACAGCTCCCACTATTTTCGCAGTATTTAATTGATCAAATATTGATTTATATATATATAACGTCTAATTTAACTTTATATATTTGAAGAAAGTGGTTTTATGAATCTAATACAAGAGATATATAAAAGGGAGTATCCTCCTCTCTTTCTTTTAGCTGATTTTTGTTTTTATTTGAAAATTTATTTGAAAGGAAAAATATTATAATATTCAACTTTCAATAAAAGTAAGGACATTATATAGAGGTAATGATTCATAATTCATTGCTTTGGTTTGTATAAACATATCTATATCTATTTTTTAAAATACTTTGAACGTTAATGCATATATAGATAGATAGATGTCTGCCCATTCAGCTCAAACAACCATTTACTATTTTGAGACACTTCCGTAACTTGTGTAAAAAAATACTTGAATTAGTTGATGGAATTATATGAGCTCCAGGTGTATTATCTCGTGAAATAAAGCATAGTACAAGCGTTTGCCCTTTAAGCTGCTTTCTCTTTGTATATAGTTATATTCTCGTCTGTCTTTGTATTTATTTTTATTTTTACTGCTGATTATGTTTTTAATATATATAAAGCCATGTGAATAAATTGAATTGAATTCAATAATCATAATAATCGATAAATGCTTAAAACACTGTGTAATAAGCTCACAGCTTGAAAGGAACTTGTAAAATCTCACAAAATTAAAGACCTTTGACTTGAAATATATATATCTTTACATGATTTGCTTAATAAGACGTGATATTCGAGATCAAAAATATTGTGCTGTTTATCGGCGGTTGTTGAAAATAAATATCTGATCCAGGTACTTGACAGATGTACCAGAAAAAATCCCAAGATTTGCTTGGCAAGATCAATTCTTATTTTTTTTTATAAATAAATGTCCGCTATAAAATTGTCCCAGCCAAGCTTTATATTTTATTTTTTATTTTTAAAAAATAAGGTCTTCACTTGGCACATACTTGTATGCTTTATAAGACAGTATATGATACATAATATTATTAAGAATCTAGTCAAATATACGGAAGAGCTATGTAAATATTAAAGGTATTTATTAGTGAGAATAACATGACGATATAAAAATCAAATAAAATATTATTATTTTTTGTTTTTGTTAAAGATCAAAAGTGAAGAAATGCTTGATCTTTATGCAAGTGGAGTTTAGCTTTCATAATTCCATTTTAGGAATTACTTGATTAAATACATCTTATCATAATTTTCTTATAGAATTCTTTCTTTTTTTTTAAAAATTTTATTTTTGGATTTATTTAGATTTAATATAGATGTTTTATTTTTATATTTTCAAATCATATTATCTAAAAGTAGGATATATGTAACAGCTGCAACTCATCAATAATATATTCCATTGATCAATTGCTACAGTCAGAACCCCGATTACCACTGAATAATATTGTCCGATAAATGTAACCTATGTAAAGATCAATTTAATGTAATTGAAAGAACACGGACCATAAAATAAAATAAAATAAAATAAAGTAAGAATATATACTTATAAGTTTGATACAATCTATCAAGTATATTACTATTATTGATTTTAATGCTGACAATAAACTTAGAGCTGTATCTTGAAAATACAATTAAAAATTATAACCCAAAAGTCGAATATTTACAAACAGAACAAAACTGGAAAATAGCTGTTTTCTTTTTCTTTTTAGCTCTTGAAAACCAACAATAAATAATTATGTATTTTAATAGCTTTGTTGTTTAGTATTGTATATTTACTAAATGTCTAAAGCAATGTCTTTCTCTATTTATTTTACTTTAATAAGATGTTTCAATACTACATAATTAAATATAAGTTAAACACCATGATAGTATTTAAAGTAGAATATTACATATAATACAGATTTTATTATTTAGAAATAGAAAATCCAATAAAACTGATTCTAAAAAGTAAAAACGAGCCCGTGAGGTTCAGGTGTATATGCGTATGTTTGTGTTATAATTATGTATATATATTATCTATACCATTAATAGCATCGTTCCTAGAACTCTTTAATAAACAAGCATTACATAAACGTGTGTTGAATTATAGTTTTTTTTATTTTAGAAAATAGCTTTAAAATAGAGCTATACATGCCACAAATTTTACGAAAGCTATTCATGTTAGATACGTAAAAAATAATAATATAATAATCGCGTTCTTGGTTAAGACATTTCGGATCGTGTATTGTATTGTATTGCACATAACTTAGTTAACAATTTCAAAACAAATCCTGGTATTCTTTAACTAAATTTATATTTATCTTTATCTTTATGTTTATACTTTACAAATATCACCGATTGGCCAGAGCGTCCGAATCCATATTTTCCCCCTCTCTGTCCAAAATTATTTGCTTATTCCAAGTTAAAGTCAAATATTGTATAAATAGCCGACCATTTTTTTTCGAGCTTCATTTTTTATACAAAACATCTTACCACATCTTCCTTTCAACATAAAAAAAAACAATAATTCCATTGATAAATTCTCTTATTTTTTCTCTACACGCTCATTCTCACAATGACAATCTCGGATTATGACCGACTATCGTCGTCAACAAACCAAACCTTTCAAGGGGAAACAATCACCCCTTTTCTATCAGTTGATATCAATGATAAAAGAACTTTGGGAGAAACCGAGTTTCGATCTGAAAATTTCTCGATTCAGAATGTCAACGAAGAAGAATCAAACACCAAAAAGAAGAATAAGAAAGAAAGGGAGCCTAGGGTCGGCTTCTGGTCAATATTTCGATACTCAACTCCTCTCGACAAGTTTATGATTTCAATCGCTTTTATCTGCTCTATCATGCTCGGTGCAGTTCAGCCATTGTCCATTGCTGTTCTCGGCGCATTCTTAAAAAAACTCCAGGTGGCCGCAGAAAACAATGAAAATATCCTGGATGCTACTGTTGGACAAATTCTTATTTTCGCATACCTTGGCGCTTTCATCACATTTGCTGCCTATACTGCCAACACACTCTGGGTCATAAGTGGTGAAAATCAAGCCCGTCGCATTCGCCAACTATATGTCCATGCAATTATTCGTCAAGACATGGCTTGGTTTGATAAGGCTGGTGAAGGCTCGCTTAACACCCGTCTTACCGTCGATACCCAGATGATCCAAGAAGGCATTTCTGAAAAGTTTGGCTTGTATGTTACATCTATTGCCCAGTGCTTTGTTGGATTCTGTGCCTCTTTTGCCATCGGTTGGAGACTTGCTATTGTCATGCTTGCCCCTATGCCGCTTATTGTTGGCGTTAGTATCATATCTGGCTCGCTTACCACTAAGTACACTCTCAAAACTCAGAACAGTTATGCTGAGGCTGGCTCAATTGCTGAACAAGTCTTTTCTGGTGTTCGCACAGTCTATTCTTACTCTCTTCAAGGCCGGTTCTCTGATTTGTATAATCTCAAGCTCGATAAAGCCATGCAGACCGGTATCAAGCGAGGATTCGTCTCTAGTATTGGCTTGGGCTCATCTATGTTCATTCTTTTTGCTACTTACTCCCTTTCATTTTGGTACGGCGCGAAACTCGTCTTTGATGGTGTCATTGGTGCTGCTTTTGTCCTTATGGTGTTCTTCTGTATGATTATGGGCGCCATGTCCATCACTCAGATTCCTCCTAGTCTAGCCGTCATCTCTGCTGCTCGTGGCGCGGCTTTCAAGATATTTATGACTATTGAACGCGTTCCTGACATTGATTCTGATTCGACCGAAGGTAGCAAGCCCCATAAAGTCATCGGCAATCTTGAGTTCCGAAATGTTCAATTCACTTATCCCACTCGCCCTGATGTTCCTATTCTGAAGTCCCTCAACCTCAAGATTCGTTCGGGACAGACTGTTGCTTTTGTTGGGCCCTCTGGTTCCGGAAAATCAACTAGTATTCAGCTCATTCAGCGCTTTTATGATCCTCTCGGTGGTCAAGTCTTTCTCGATGGCCAGGATCTCAAGTCTTACAATGTTGCATGGTTACGCTCTCAGATCGGTGTTGTCAGTCAGGAACCCGTGTTATTCAATATGTCAATCTTTCAAAATCTGCTGATGGGGTATTCTCGAGAAGTCCCCAAAGAAGAAGTAATCGATGCCTGTAAACAAGCCAACTGTCACTCTTTCATTTCAGAATTACCCCAAGGTTACAACACTCTTGTTGGTGAACACGGTGGTATGCTTTCTGGCGGCCAAAAACAGCGCATTGCTATCGCTCGTGCCATTATCAAGAACCCTTCAATACTGTTACTTGATGAAGTAAGTAAAATAACAATAGTACTCTTATTATTAAACACTATAACTAAAACTGGTTTATTTTAATTTTAGGCCACTTCTGCTCTTGATACCCAGTCTGAGCGTCTAGTCCAAAAAGCTCTTGATGCCGCCTCCGCCAACCGTACCACCATTATTATTGCACATCGTCTCTCTACTATCTGCAACGCCGACTTAATTGTTGTTATGCAACATGGTGATCTTATTGAGCAAGGAACTCATAATCAGCTGCTTTCACTTGGTGGTGTTTACTCGGAACTTGTTGCAAAGCAACAGATTGAAACTTCCAGAGCCGAAGATGCAGTAGAAGATGACGACAAAGACGACATAATTGTCCATAGTAATATATCGGAACTCAACAATGAGTACCATTCTAACAAAGATATCGATGTTCAATTTAAACGCTCTCAATCCATGCGCCTCTCCAAGTTTAATACTGCTACATCTGTTGACGCCTTTGAAATGAAACGTCTTAAAGAAAAAGGGATTAAGGAGGCTTCCAAGCAACAATCTGCGCCTGTTAGTAGAGTAATTCGTATGATGCGTCCAGAATGGCATCTGATGGCAGCCGGCGTCTGTGGTTCCGCAATTGCCGGTGCTGTATTTCCTTGTTTTGCACTCGTTTTTTCATTTACTATTTCAGCTATCACATTCCACGGTAAAGAGGCTTCTTCACCGTTCCAGGGTACCAATCTGTACTCATTTATTTTTCTTGTTATTGGTATTGCCGCCTTCTTTGGATTTGCCGCCCAGACATTCTTCTTTGAGCTTTCTGGAGAACGCTTCACAAAACGCTTCCGTGGTGAGATATTCCAGACTCTGATGCGCCAAGATATTGGTTTCTATGATAGCCCGGATAATAGTCTCGGTACGTTGACATCAAAGCTTGCTATCGATGCCAAGAATGTAAACGAAATGGTCACCAAGTCATGGGGTGATATTACCCAGATCATTACTACCGGTATTACCGGTAAGTTTTATTGTAGTCAAAGATTTGAAGAAAAACGTAATATTAACATTCTTAATTTATACTTTAAAGGATTTGCTATTGCTTTCTCGCAAAGCTGGCTTTTGACTTTGGTTGTACTGTGTATAACTCCTTTTATTATGGGCTCAACTGCCTATGAGGCAAGAATCAATCGTGGCTTTGAAGACAAGTCCAAGAAAGCCAATGAGCAGAGTGGTGAAGTCGCCGGCGAAGCCATTAAAGAAATCCGTACAGTTGTTGCTCTTAATAAACAAGCTTACTTTGAAGACAAGTACTACAAGGCTACTGAGTATCCTCACACACTCGCTAGACGTAAGGCATGGACTTCCTCAATTGGTTTTGGCCTTCAGCAGGGTATTGTTTTATTCACATATGCGGTGGCTTTCTATACTGGTATCCGTCTGATGTCCGAAGGCAAAATTGACTTCACTAATATGTTTGGAACTACAATGACTATTATTACTACCGCACAAGTTATCGGCCGTGCCAGTGTCTTCACCTCCATATTCGCAAAGGCCAAGTACTCTGCCATTGCTGCCTTTGAAATCATTGACCGTGTTCCTTCTATTGACCCTGAACTGGAAGGAATTGAACCCCACTCTTCCCAAATTTCTGGTGATATTGCATTTGAGAACATCACTTTCCGTTACCCAGCTCGTCCTGACATTTCTATTTTTAATGGTGACTTCAATTTTACTGGAAAGGCAGGTCATACTATTGCACTTGTTGGGCCTTCCGGCTGTGGAAAATCTACTACTATCGGTATGCTTCAGCGTTGGTACGATCCTATCTCTGGTACTGTTCGTCTTGATGAAAGCAATGTCAATAAGTATTCTGTTGGTAACCTCCGAAGTCATATGGCTCTGGTTGGTCAGGAGCCTGTTCTGTTTGATATGACCATTGGTGAAAACATCCGTTTTGGCGTCGATTCTAATAAGAGCGTTACTCAAGACATGGTCGAGGATGCCTGTCGTGCTGCAAATATTCACAAGTTTATCATCAGCCTTCCGCTCGGATATGACACTCGAGTTGGCGACAAAGGCTCTCAATTGTCTGGTGGCCAGAAACAACGTATTTCAATCGCACGTGCGTTGATTCGCAAGCCTCGTGTGTTACTTTTGGATGAAGCAACTTCCGCTTTGGATTCAGAATCAGAAAAACTTGTTCAAACGGCTATTGATAATATTTTGGAAGAAGGTGGTCGCACTACTATTACTATTGCTCATCGTCTGTCTACAATTCAAAGGGCTGACCTCATCTGTGTCATTAAAGGTGGTCGTGTTGTTGAACAAGGAACACACTGGGAATTGCTCAAACTGAATGGTGTCTATAATTCTCTTGTACGCCAGCAATCTCTTAATGCAAACTAGGATATCAATATTACAATAAAGGAATATATACCTTCTACTACTTATATTTTGACTTTTCATATTCTTATACACATTGTCTACACATTATTTTATTTTATTTCAAGAAAACAAACTGCTTTTTATAATACGAATTGTCGAATCTATAACATTTGTATTGGCAAAATTAACAAAATGTTAAGTTTATATTTATGGTTACAAAATTATTCCCAGCTATTTCTGCATTTTCATAGAATATTGACCCCATTTTATTAGTTGGTACTATTAAGTATAAGCATCTACAGAATATAATTAAATATCTAATATAATGATTTAATCCCAATCCATTCTGATACTTCATTTGGTTCACTCTACCATTCATAAATATACACTAATTTCTAATCTTTAATAAAGTTCTTACAAAAAATTGTGTGGAAAATATATATAAAAAGCTGAAAAATTATAAAAAGATCATAGACAGATTACAAGTACATAAGCTCGTCTTGACAGTTATGCATATTAGTTTTTTGGCCTACAAATTTTAAGGAACCACCATACTGTGGTTCAAGGAGTTTAATTTTTTTTAAGTATTCTTTATTGGTAGAGCCGTCGCGCTTGTCGCGCGATGGAGTTTAAATTATAGCAACCTCTTTGTAAAATTCTCGTGTGACTTTTAGATTATTTATGAGTGACGTCAGAGCTTTATTATTCAGTATAACAACCAACTTGTAAACTAGCATAAGCATTATGAGCACCTTTAGTAAAGCGAATGCTTCTCCTTCAAGGCTCCAAACACCTGGTTGTTGCTGCCATCCCTTTTGCATCTTATTTGCTTGAGGCTCAACCAATAGGCTTGGAGTTACTTGCCGGAGTCAAAAGGGCACATCCTCTAAGCAAGCATCGGTGCTTGTTATGGTGGGCAGCCGAGGTATGCATTCATGATTTTTTAGGCAAGGTTTGTGATCTCCACCTTTAGTAAAGCGAAGGCTTCTCCTTCAAGCTCCCAATTACCTGGTTGGCGCTGCCATCCCTCTTGCATCTTATTTGCTTGAGGCTCAACCAATAGGCTTGGGTTAGTTTGTTGGAGTCAAAAGGGAATATCCTCTAAGCATATATTATTACATGTTATGGTGGGCAGCCGAGGTATTCTGGAGTCACCCTTGCCAAAAATATATAAAGTAAGTTATTGGCTTTAGATATATAAAGTCCTTTTGATAAAAAGTATATTAATTATTATCTTTCTTTTCAAATATATGGTGCAATCGATAACCTCACGTCCGAGAGTTGTTAGCCATTAAACAAAGTATATAAATAAAACACTCACTTTTTCTTTATTTCTTTTTCAAAATATGGAAATAAAATTTGATTTATCATCCTACTCATTTACTGTAATGATGAAAACAAGTGTGCTTCAAAAAAGACCGTGCTTCTTTTCACCGAGCTGGCAATATCAATATAACACCAAGTATATACATTTGTCAAAGAAAGACCTTGCCAACATTACGGCCGTAACAATATTTCTTTTTATATTATCAAAAGTTCCAGAAAAGTAATAAAGGATATCGATCTTCCTTTACTTACAAGATATATTAGACAATCTAAAAAGTATATAATGAGAAATAAAAGACAAATGGTCTATTTCACTACATTTTCCATTTTTGTAGGAAGGAGCGCTTATCGTTGTGAGCGTATATTAAAGCATTTCATCATTAAAAAATATATCTGCTAACGTTTCTTACAGTTAGTATATTTTGGGATTATAAAAACAATTTCCCAAAGCTTCTATCCTAACAAGCTAGATGTACGAAGCATATTTCGTACTGAATCCGTTAGAGCCACTGGAAGTAATTGGTTGCACTCGGCTTGGAATGTTTTCTCGACCACTTGCTGTCCAAGTAAACCTATCTGTTTATTTTTATGAATACCAAGAACAAATATAATTACACTACTTACATAAAGCTGTGCCATCAGTTCAAAGACCTTAATCCACATTGGCATTTCCTGCCAACGACTAGGTAATTTTGCGCTTCTGAGTTCTAAAAAGAGCCATTTGTCTTTATCATATAGAGATGCTTGGGTAAGAGTGAGTGTCTTGACAATGCATTGGACACCATATACTTCTTGTTTTTTAGCAGTAGAGAATGAGGCATCTCGATTATCCATTATTTTGGCTCTCAATGCATCAGTACAAAGTCTGACGAGCTTTAATGAGTCGCCTAAGACATGATCTATATTTTCTGTGCTTGTTCCTCCTGATGATTCCATGAATATCTTTTCTTCTTGGGAAGCTGTTTGGCCCAGTCCATCCATATACCTTCGCTCTCCTTGTTGCCATACTCCCGGAACCAATGAACTAGCCATATGACTATTTGACATCTTTTCGCACCTATTGAATTTGTCAGATCTCCCCAAAGGTACCATATAATCGCTCTATTACCAGTCAAAAACTACAATGTTGTCCGTACAGCCTAAATATTTAAATAAAGGTATAACTCTTTCGCACCAGAATGTTCGTTCTCCATCTCCTTGTGGGATATTTTGTAAGCAGGTACCCCAAAAATCGGTCAAAGTCAAGCATATAAATTGAAATAGGTTTCGTTCTTGTGTATTCCAATGACTTGCTTTGTTGAATTCTATCCACAGTTTGGTTGGGAACCCTTCTTGTTCATATTGTAAGATTTCTTTGAGAATATTGAATAAAGTGGGGAACTTGCTTAGTGCTGCGCATGAGAACTGATCAGAGCGAGTACTCTCAAGAATATTGATAATATCTGGCGGAAGAAGTGAGGTAGGTGTGCTGTTCATGGCTATGATGCAGCTGGATTGTAGTCGATATACTTCTGCATGAGTCCACTTTGGCTTGTGAGGAGAAAATTGATCTCTAGAAGGTCTCTTGATAAAGTTGGACTCTGTACAGCCACTTGAAGTCTGTAATATTTTTAGTAACTGTAATTGCTATAACTAATTATTGTTTTTACCTCATTAAGCCACCAATCTTCTTCAACTTCTTTCAGTTCTTCATTGCATATTTTCTTTTCGCTGCATAAGCCTTCTGTTAAAAACTTAAATAAGCAATATTTAAAACAGTGTAATTTTGGTACCTACCTTTTTTCGAGTCAAGATCCGTGTCTTTTCTTAGATTTTTAGTGCTACAGGCTACATGTTTGTCCATATTTTACTTTTAGATTTATACAAAGCTTGGGTGTAAATACATACCTTCATTGGTTGCTTCCATATCATGTTTAATGTCCTCTCGTAATGTATCAAGACAACTTTCAGTCACGTCAACCGACAAGATTTTGCTTTTTTCTATGATATTTTTGCGTTTTTTGACATATTCGCTTTCATTAAGTTCAACTCGCATGCCTCGATAACTATCTATAAATTGTCGTTCAAACTGCTTCGTAGTCAGATACAAAGTACAGCGACTAGCGAAAGTAGCAACAGGCTTTGGAATGCTAGATGTGTTTGCGATCTCTTCAAAGCAATTAGAAAGTAACTGAAGACAATCCTTTGGCCCTGTACTTCTGATTCTATGTTCCGGCAGATTTCTAACAATCTGACCCGGATTAACCCAATCCTGGGCAAATAAGTTTCCTAGCAATCCTCCAGTTTTCCTGATTACAACAGGATCCAGACGATAATGAGCATATTTTGGAACACTTCTCGGTTTAGTAATCCTTGATGATTTTTGTAAATGATTATCTTTTGGCATGATTGAATGGCCAAATTCAGGTTGTTTTGAATCGCTCTATTTATTCCACAGCGTTACTTTTAAAGCCAAAACGCGGTAATCGGAGGAGAAAGTCTTTTTCTTGCGCACACGCCCGCAAAAACAGAACCTTTACAGATTCAAACGTAAGGGTGGCACTCTTGTTGATACAGTAAAGACTATAAGATTTTTATATAATCAGTATGCTTAATACACATAAATTCTTGCTTTTATTTATTTATTTATTTATTTTGGCAACCCTTTAGGTATGTTTACCTGGGTAATTTTTATCTCTAATCTACGTTTTGACTCATGACAACTTTCCCATTATGTTTCCTTATCTATGGGGTATAAAAGCCCAGAGCTTTCATCAACAGCCTAGAGCCTAGAATGATATATCATTATAAACAAGGCAAATATATCTTATTTGTATATCCCAATTAATTGAGGATTGAGAAAAAAAACCCCATGCTCATATACTTTAGGAAATGCCGGGTCTTTTAATGTATATGGATTAAATACTATAAGCATACATGTTTGTAAAATATTTGCTGTAAGCTGTGTGTACCCAAGGATACACAATCTTACTGTATTTGTGGTTGCGCCTACTTTGAGTAACATGGATCTTTTGTTTATGACAACCAGAAAACTGTTTTCTGATCTCTTCTCCTATTTTTCGAAAAAAAGGAGGCAGTATATAGCCTCACTGGCTCCCTCAACCGAAAGCAAAGTGAAGAAAAGCAATTAAAAAAGATTCTTTGCAGCAATATTTTATAGCTATTTGACAAATGTGCGTCACTATTATTGATAGAAAGTTTAATGAAAAACACATTATGATTATTAATCTTTGATTCACACAATATACTAGAGCATGCTCATTTTGCTTTCTTTAATGGATTTTGCTTTGTGTAAAATGTTATAAGTAGTAGCTCATTATTTTCAATGTACTCTAAAGACTAAGGAGTGTGTTTCCTATATTAAATTCAATCTAATATTAGTATTATTTATTCACCAACAATATTCTTGTGTTTCATTAATTGAGGTAAAGAGGATGTATTTAGCCAAAGCCGTTAGAGCATCTTCAGAGTATTTTCAGCAGTGAGTTAACTTTTAATTTATCTAAAGCCAAACACCGCCACTTTAACTAAATATTTAAATTTAAAGTAAAAGTGAAGTTAAAGTCAACTGCTGGAGATGCTCTTACACATAGTAATGTTCTTTCCAAGAAATAAAGTCATCATTTGCCTACTTTAATATCCATATCTTTCTTATTGAAATTTCGTCTATACACTGTTTAATATACTGTTTTATAAAAAGCTTATTTAAATAATTAGATATCCAAATAACGAAATATTACCTTTCTATTTCTCCAGCATGTTGATCGACATACTATTTCACTGTACAGTTTTTTTTTTTATTTTTATTTTTTAATTCTTTTACAGACTCAGTACATACGCCTATCATACACGTGTCTTTTAGGCGCGATATTAAAACCACACAATACAAAAAAAGCGCGTCGCGATTAGAAAATATATTCATTCAATAATCATTATCAGCATTGACCACATGGCAGACACACGCAAACGAACACGAGACGATTACTATGGTTCTGATGATGATGAACTCATCTTAGCAGACTCACAAGATGATGATCCCGAGGAAGTTGTTGGATTTGACACTTTTTTTAACAAAAAACAATCTACACACATCGCACCTCTTTTGGATACTGAAAATCCAGATCGACCTCAATTATTTAAACCTGTCAAAAAAACAGCCGATCCAAGTGTCACATGGGCTATCCCGGATACTTGTCTCGAAGTAGAGGAACTTCTCTATCCAGATTCACCTGAAGATTCAAATCGTTTATTAGATGCCATGGATATTGATGACGATGATTTGGAGAACAATTTTAGATTTGAAGATAAAACGGCTTCTGAGACACCAAAAAGAAATGAGTTTTCCGGACAAACATTGGGATTGACACTCAAACCCATCAATTCTACTCCATCAATTCAACAAAACGAATACAGCAAACCACCTACCAGCGGTAGTTATATCAGAGCTACTTGTCCGCGAACAGGAAAATCATTATACTTCCCTAAGGTTGTACGGGCTACTCGTCGTAGCACTACAGTGGAGAGTATCAAAAAAATCACAGGTGCATCGAATTTACTGGAAAAACCTATATGGAAAATGAGAGAAAACATTAGCAGGGATTATCAGATGCGATTACAACAATTGGAAAGGTAACTTGGATCATTTTGTAATAAGTATATTAAGTAGATCAATAGAGAAGAGAGAGAAGAGATCGCAGAGGCCTCTCAGAGGTTGAAGAAGAAAAAGAAGAAGGCACATAGGCTGGACACATATGATTTGTGGGTTGAGAAATACAAGCCTAGAGGGTTTTTGGATCTTCTTGGAGATCAGGTAAATAAAATCAATAAATATGAAATTTGGTACATTTTATTTATGTATATATGTATATATATATATAATAGAGAGTAAACCGTGAGGTTCTGGCGTGGGTTAAGCAGTGGGACTTTTGTGTTTTCAATCGAATGCCCCCACAGGAGACTCAAAGAGACAAACTCATTAAAAAGTACAAAACTACTTTTGGAAACACTCCTCGGTTTGGAAATAAAATGAATGAGACTGAAAAGGTAAAGGACTAGAATACGATATTGTTTAAGAAAGAAACTCTAATTTTAAGGGTTGGAAATAGCCTAAGGATTCTTTGTTACGTCCAGAGAGAAAGGTAAGGAACCGTGGGATTAGCTTGGAAATCAAATTTAGCTACTTAATAAAGATATTTAGATTATGCTGATATCGGGCCCTCCTGGTTTTGGAAAAACTACTTTGGCTCATGTTATTGGCAAGCACACTGGATATAACATTATCGAAATCAACGCAAGGTAGGATTGTATGTTTATTTTACTATCCTTTTTTGATTGCTTTTTATACAAATATTCAAACCAAAAAAAAATAGTGATGATCGTACCGGTGAAGTTGTTCGGTCAAAAATCAAATCTGCCCTGGAGATGCAGGCAATTATAAGAACAAAAGATGCGACGAGTTCAACAGAACAAACCATGAAGATGCAACAAAAACCAAACATGCTGATCATTGACGAGATTGACGGTGCAAGTAGTGGCGGAGGATCAGAGGTAGGTGAAATATAGAACTACATAAATGAGGAACTTGTTGTCTCTGTAGACTGACTACTTCACAGAGTTTTATTAAAGAACTTGTTAATCTTGCTACTACAAGCTTAACAAAAGATGAAAATCCGGGATCGCGAAAAGGTATTAAATGCATTATTGAGTCTCATTTTTTTTTAAATATTTAATCTATTTTAGGGAAAGGAAAGCAAAGTGGACCTTTACTACGTCCTATTATCTGTATTTGCAATGACCCGTAATGTATTATATTTAAAGGAAAGGGCTATAGCTGACCTTTCTGATCCATTTTAGTTATGCAGCTGTTCTTCGCCCTCTTCGTGCCATTGCGCAGAATGTTGTCTTCAGACCAATTCCTTCGTTAACTATTGCAAAGCGTCTGCAGGAGATTTGTGAATCCGAAGGCCTACAAAGTGATCTGAGAACTCTTTGTATGCTTACGGATACTACAAATGGTGATATTAGAAGTTGCTTAAACACTCTTCAGGTAATAAAATATACATATAGGAGGCGTATGTTGGCGGGATATACTAAATCTGGGCTATTTAGTTTATTCGAGGAAAGAACACCGTATTTTCGCGCGATATGATGGACAAATCAGGATTTGGACAAAAAGACATGGGAAAGTCTCTTTTTTCAGTCTGGGAAGATCTTTTTTCTGCACCCACTGGTGCCAAATTAAGAGCAAATAGCGAAATTGGTAAGAATGGTTTCAAGAAAGTCGCATCTTATTAATTTACGTGATTATACAGAGACTGAACGTTATATTGGGCGCATCATTAGATCAGTTGCAACCAATGGCGAATACGAAAAGATCATGCAAGGTAGGTTTATTGATAGATATTGCCACTATAAAATTCTTTAAATGTTCATTCTTTTTTTTAGGTTGCTTTGAGGCCTACCCGAATATGCAATTTCATGATGTGGCACTTAAGAAGTGCCTGAAAATGAGTGAATGGCTTGATTTCTATGATACTGTGAATCATTATGTCAATGACCAACATGAGTATGGACTGTATGGGTACATGGCATACCCAGCCGTAAATTTCCACCGCTTTTTTGCCGGGTCAACTGTACAGAAACACCGTGTTGAATATCCTCGCATGGACTATGAGGTAAGAAATTAAAATTATGTAAATTAACATGGTTGAACACATATTTATTTTTATTATTATTTTTGTAGGCATTTGTGGCCAAGAAAACATATGAAAATCTTTTCTCCGTTTTCATGGCTGGAATCCACCCTAGTCAACAACGGTTCATGAACAGGAATAGTGTTATCATGGACCTTATACCTCGACTTATGCGTATCATTTCTCCAGAAATAAGACCTGTAGGTTATCATTTGTGTGTGTACGTGTATGTAAGCTAATGATATTGTACACTATTTTCATGACCAGGTTAATAAACAGGTTATCAGACCTGCAGAGAAAATCGTACTAGCTAAAGTGACGGACATGATGATCGAATATGGTTTGACATTTGTTCAGGACAAGACGGAAGAGGGTCATCTGGTTTACAAGCTTGACCCGTAAGTTGTACCAAGGATGTATATGAATCCAATCTACTAACTCTATTTTATAACAGACCTGTTGAGCAAATGATGAATTTTGTGGGTGCTTCATCCAAAAGTGTTTTGCCGAATAAATACGCTGTTCGTCAACTAATCTCCCAAGAGGTAAGTTTTCTGAATAAAAACATTCATTTAGAATTTTGTTTAATTAGTATGAGAATTAGATTGAAATTGAGCTTGTGAGACGCCGTACAGAGGCTGCCGATATACGTGCAGGTGGGCCTAAGTTACGGAAAAATTTTAGAACGGTGGATGCTAGGTAAGATACCCGAATTACTGGCACCTGAACCATATTAACTTATTTGTGGACAAAAGTGCTGTCGTTGAGAAACTGGCAGAAGTTGTAGCTGAAAAGGTTAGTTTCTTCTTATAATTAAAAACGTGTCATTGGAGAACCTTTACTAAACATTTATTATATATTTTATTAAGATTCCTACGGACTTCTTTGGCCGTCCTATAATCCCAAAGCAGACCCAAGAGGATGGAAATGAAATGCAAGGTATGTGCACCTATTACAGAGATTTGAAAATCTTATTACTGCATGTAGTCGACGAACCCAAGGTTCCGATAGTTGCCTACCGTTACCATGAGGGATTCTCTAATGCTGTTAAAAAACCGATGACAGTACAAATGTTCTTGTAAATACCAATAATAATAATAATAATACAGTGTGCGTTATCAATATTCCACTTTAATTCTTTGTAAAAAATATATATAATACCAAACAAATGGTTTTATCAAAGCGAATAATTGTGGGCCACAACAGCTTAGGTCAATACTTTAAATTGTCGAAATCTTGATTTTCTAAAAGTGGATCTTTTTCACCGTGTTCTTTATTTTTTTGGATGCCTTTTTATTTCTTTGAGTGCGTGGCCCTGGTCCATTTAACCAATACTTGTGCTACTTTCATCTGGTACAACATCATCTGGAGGTCTGATCGAGAGACACATTTCACAAGCAAAAACCTTTTCGTAATTTTGAAACGTACATGTAGGACAGCTCCATTCAACTGTCAAATCTATCATTATTTTCTTCTTTACTGGGTGGTTTTGGTCGCGTTTTCTTTTTGTTGATTCGACTTGATCTTGTTTACGCTTCTCTGCGGCTCTGGCTGCCATTATAGATGGTGACACATCCTGATGTTGAATGCCTCCAAGACAGATACCTCCGACTGGCAGCATTATACCTTGAAGACGCCTTCTTTTCTCCGCTGCAGTTGCTGCCCGATATTTAACTTGGTGGGACAAAGGGTTTTGTCCAGTTCCTACGCGGTTGCCCATGGAATAGAACCCTTGTCCGGTGTATCCCGTCCGAATAAGCTCATCTAGCTCCTGATTCAATTCCTCTAACATTTTGTAAAACGTAGCATCGTGTGGAGCCCTAACTGTACATGGATTCAGCCATACTGCGCTTATCTTATCTTTATCACTTACCAATATGTACAAGTCTATAAATTCATAAAAGAAAATTAACGTTTCTTTTTTTTTGGTATATTGGCCTTTGTATACTTCTTACTCGTGTAACATAGTTCCCAATATGTCTTCATAGTCAAGGAAGAGTTTATCATCATAATGGAGACGTAGTCGTAGATTGATTGTATGGCCTCTGTTAACGTTTGTCCCTACATATTTTATGATCAATAATTTATTGAATATCAAGTAATAAAGTCTATATCTACTCACCAAGCAGGTTTGGATTCGAGGGAAAGAACTCTTGAAGATGTGTGACTTTCCAGGCTCGCTTGGTCAAGATCGGTTCTACCTGAGATGTGATGAGGAATTGAATGGCATTAGCTAATCTACCTGTGATGCAACTCTTTTGAGGATGTCTAATGCTTGATCCTCTTTTGGTTTCTTGAGTGCCTTGTAGATCATTCCAAGCGACCAAGCAAGCACAAGCACGTTCCCTGTATTGTGTTTGAACGGTTTTTTTTAGGCGGGGACCTCAGCGGACAACAAATATATATAATATAAAAAAAAGGTGAATAAACCCCGCCATAAGTTTTGTCCATGCTTCGATTTCGCCTTATCTTATATAAATATATACTAGGCCTATATATGATTCTGATCTTTCTCTTTCTCTCTTTTCCTTACCTATAGCCTGCGAAATTATGGAGAGAAGGCCATCCAATGATCCACGCTCGGGGCCGTCATCTCCTAGAGACATAATCTCACCTCGACAACTCTCTCAAGATCTACCTTCGCGTTCTTACTATTCTTCGCACTTGAATTTTGATGCTGGTAAATCTTTGGTTTATATTCAAGAACAAAACATTCAAATCTAATCATTTACCCGCATTTCTCAGCAGGAACAAGCCCCCAGTACTCTGCCTCACTAGAATCCATTAGAGCACAGTCTCTTGCTTTAGGAAAATTAGGCTTGGACGACGACGAGACGGTGGCAGACACTAGCTCTTGCGATCCGCGGCAGCCTATTATAAAAGAAAACAACAGCAACCTATCAATGCTTCTGAAACAACAAATAATGACACCATCCGATCTTCTGGAAGAAAGACGTCCGCTTCTCAAAATACCCTCGGAGCAGAACCACTATCCAGAGTATCAATCTATCCCGATCGGTTCAATTGCATCTCAAAATGGACACGAAGAGCATGGAAAGAGAAGAGAAAGTGGTCCCAGATCCCAACACACTGCTTGGGAATCATGTCTCTATAAGCTGGATTCCGTGATAGATAATATGTCTAAGAAAGGCGCATGGATGAATTTAATCAAAAGACCAATCGAATGTATACCCGCAGTTATTCTTGGTCTTTTACTCAATCTTTTAGATGCTATATCTTATGGTAACTTGTTTATCACAGGCTGAATATCGAAATGATACTAAAAAAGATGTACAGGCATGATTACTTTTCCATTGAACAACCCAATATTTGCTGCTTTTGGTCCTGATGGAATTTCCATGTTTTTCGTTAGGTAAAACAATATTCTGATTGTCATTGAATTTTAGTCATATTAACGTGCTTGGTTTCAGTTGCATTGTTTCTCAGCTTGTATATTCATGTGGCGGAAGTGCATTTCCAGGTGGAAATGGCAGGTAAGAAACATCTTTATTTTATTTCTATTTTGCAAAAATGAATACTTGTATAAAAAAAACTGAACAAAAATCGTCTCTTATGTCTATAGTATGATGATCGAAGGTAAGATAGAAAAACCAATGCCTTTTTTTGTATGTGTATTAAGCGATTCCTTATACTCTATAGTCGTTCCTTTTCTCCACATCATGTAAGTTTTGCAGATAGTAGAACAAGATAAGATATGAACCTCATCCCTATCTCTTGTGGTATTTTAGTGCTGAGAAGATTGTAGAAACAGTCGGGGCAGATAATAATCAAAGAGTTATCTCGACCACGGTAGTTGCGTTTGCCTTGAGTAGTATCATGACTGGGTTAGCATTCTTCTTGTTGGGTGCACTCAAGTTAGGCTCCTTGATTGGCTTCTTCCCTCGTCATATCTTGGTCGGTACAATTGGCGGCGTTGGTTGGTTTTTAGTGGCTACAGGTATTGAAGTATCAGGCCGTTTAGACGAAAATCTCGAATACACTATCCCCATGTTTAAAAAGATATTCTTCGACACGCATGTCCTTTCCCTCTGGGCATCTGCACTTGGTGCTGCTCTGCTTTTGCGTGCGATCCAGCACCGTATCACAAGCCCGCTGGTAGTTCCTGGGTTCTTTATAGTACTTCCAATTGTTTTCTTCTTGGTGGTGTTTTTGGGAGGATTTGATGTGAATGAGGTGCGCGATGCGGGTTGGATATTTCCTCTTGTGGAGAGTAATCTACCATTTTGGCACTTTTATACCTATTATGATTTTACCGAGGTGGACTGGGCGGCTGTGGCACAAACAGTTCCTGCTATGCTTGCCTTGACTTTCTTCGGTAATATAATAACCCAAAATCTGCCATTTTCACAATTCTCATATGTTACTTCACTTCTTACTTTAGGTGTCCTTCACGTCCCGATCAATGTCCCTGCTCTTGGCGTTTCTACAAACCGAGATGGTATAGATGTCAATAGAGAGTTGGTTGCACACGGTGTGTCAAACGCTTTATCAGGATGCCTGGGAACTGTACAAAGTATGTGTGTGTTATGTGTGTGTGTGTGTGTGTGTATTTGAACTATTAAACGGTCTTATCTAATCTATAGATGTTAGATTATCTTGTATACACCAATAGTCTACTGTTTATCCGCACAGGAGGAGATAGCAGATTGGCAGGTCTAATGCTTGCTGCGGCCACGACAACCTTGTGGATGGTCGGCCCTTGGATAGTCGGATACATTCCTGTCATGGTCGTTGGAAGTCTTATTTTCCATCTGGGATTAGATCTTCTTAAAGAGGCTTTAATTGATACATGGCACGCTGTGCATTATCTCGAATATCTCACCATATGTGCTATTGTTGCATGTATGGCCGTTCTTGGTTTTGTTGAGGGTATTCTTGTCGGAATCATTATGGCCTGTATCTTCTTTGTGTTGCAAAATTCTCGGCGCACAGAAACAATCCGGGCCACATATACTGGCCAATTAATGCGATCCACCGTAAGGCGTCTTTATCGTCAGCAGAAATTCCTTGGAGAGGTGGGTGGTCAGATTCAGGTGGTCAAGATCCAAGGGTATCTTTTCTTTGGCACAATCAACCAAGTTGAAAGCGCTATTCGCGGAATGCTTGATGAATCTGTTTGGAAAGAGAACCCAATTCGCTTCCTAGTTCTCGATCTTCAACTGGTCCAAGGCCTTGATTTTAGTGCAGCCGAGGCATTTGTACGAATCCGTCGCCTTCTGCGCTCACGCCAGGTGTTTATGATTCTTTGTAACGTCGCACGCCAATCTGATGTCGAAAAGGCTTTGGTAAAGTCTGGAATGTGGGACGACGAAAACAATGTGGATAGTGAAAGGGATTTGGTTTGTTTCGAACACCTCAACGAAGCTCTTGAGTGGTGTGAGAATATTCTCTTACAGTCATATTTTGCAAAGCGACCTCAGCACCGCTTACCAGGTACATTATTTTATTTTTATTCTTTTGGTGGATGTGAGTCGTTAGTTTATTTATAGCAATTTACTTAATTTCCGTAAATAGTGCCTGTGTCTACATCGCACAATGACAATACCATGCAGGTTGATCACAGTCCTTCGAATGCTTCACCTCGTCACAATATGCTCAAGCAAGCTGTTCAACATGTATTCAAAGGTAATTACAATATAAATGTAAATATAAGCGTATATCTTGCTTTTTTTTGACACGCATGCTCCATTATCTAGATTGGCATGGACCTCATACGCATCTCAATATGTCTCAGCCCACACTTATTCTTGTACAAGCGCTCGGTGAATTGAGTGACGAGGCTTTGCCGGTCGAGTTCTTCCATAAGCTCGGCACATACTTTGTAAAGACGACTTACGCAAATGGACAGGCAGTCTGGAACGAAGGAGATGTATGCGATAATCTAATGGTGCTGGAACAAGGATCATTGCGTAGCTTGATGAGAGTATCACCACATCAAGAAGTCACAGTCGAGACAATCTTGCCTGGGACGGTTGTTGGAGAACTTGGCTTCATAACTTCTAGTCAATCACGTACCCGTGCATTGATGGCTGACCAGGATTCTACACTCTGGACGCTTACAAGAGAGTCTTTTGAGACGATGCTTAAAGATGATCCACAAATGGCCAACCAGCTAATTACTCTTACACTTTATTTCTCTTCGGATCGTCTTGATATCATGACCCGTTATGCATTCCATTTGAATTGATTATTTTCCTAACAAGTCTGACAGCATATCTTCATTTTTAGCTTATACTTTATGCCAAAATTTCCCTTAACCCATAATTCAAGAAAATTACCAATCATTGTACTCATATTAAAAAAATAAAAATAAAATAAAAGATTCTTTTGATTTATAATGTCAATATATAAAACATCATTATCCCATGTCTTCATTGGATGTTTTCAATCGATTTCATAAGGACTTTCCACTATATTGTTCAGATATTTATTGATTAAGTACGCTTTTAAAACCCTAAAAAAAAGGATTGATATAATTAAATTTTTTGCCTTAGTCTTGGTATTGCCTTTTTTTTTTATTAATCAGGGTTTGATAAGAAATACATTAATATCTCTAAGCTATTTATCTATGACAAGATGACCTTTTTGATTTCTGCTAATCAAAAACCTCCTTTGCATATTATACAAGACACAATAATTACAGTACTTTTGATAAACATGAACATTGTTTAGAAAAAAAAAGAAAGGAAAACACTACATGACATGTCAATAACCAACTAGGAATCCGCATAAATCATTTTAAAAAGATTGGGGCTTTGAGAATATAAATATGTCTATGATGATAATCTTCAAGTGGACTAGAAATATTCTGGGCGGTACCAAGTTTATATCTCTATCATGATAATAAAGATATATCATAGCCTATTTTTTCTAGTTTAGTGCTGTTATAGTATGGTTAAAAAAAAAGACGATTTTAGTAAGAAACTTTTGCAAGATTTTTCGGATTTAAGGGTGGTTTTAAGGTTGGATTTTTGATCAAGCACTATGTTTTCTCCCCTCTCTCTATATACATATGTTTCAATTTCACTATTTTTTGTTGATATTATTGTAGTTCAAAGGTAAAGTCACATTTTTAAATATCCCACTTTTATCCCACCCTGTTGTTTTATTTTTACAACCAATACAAAGCACTTTTTCCCACCATCCCCAACGCGGTATAAAATACAGCTCCAAGGACACACCCGTAAACACCCATTTTTCCCCCGTACTGTTAGCTATGATGATCCATAAATTAATGTTTGAAACGAGGATGAATTTGTTTTTGTCCAACAGTATAGTAAACATTCACCAGAACATTGCATATTTGACACAAGTCAGCATATAAAACGATGAATAAAGCCCTTTTTGTATGATTTATTCATATTCAATTAAATAGTGCTGTCAAACCAGAGATGTGGGGAAACCCCACGGTAAGAAAAGAAAAGAAAAGAAAATAATTAGCAATTGAAGCCTAGATGATCCAATAAGATCAGAATTTGTCATAGAAGCCCAGACTTATAATTACTAATAATTCTGTATTTCTTAGTGTTTCAGTTGGATAAATGACTATAGTATAAATGTTTAGCTTATATGCTTTTTCGGCTTTTATTGTTGTCATTTAAACCTCTTTTTAGACGTGATTTTTACGGTGCTTACTATCTATTCATAAGTCTCTTTTATCATAAATCTGGTAAGCATGATCAGACAGAAAAAGAAGGAAGGAAAGAAGGAAAGAACAATGTATGGTTTGGAAACAAGAGAATCTACGTTGTCTATTCCGAGATGAAGGCCGTAAACCCGACTTCATTGTACTTGGGAGAATTGTATTTAGGTAGCTAAACCCAGCGTCTTTAATTGAAATCACTTGTTGCACCATCAAGTTTGGGAAGTCTCGCTTGATCAGAGACATCAATTGAGATTGTTTGCCCTTTTTTTTGTGTGAGGTTTATTCTTTAATATATATATATATATCAAAGTCTGATAACTCGAGCTCCAATTTCAAACAGAAACCCATTGTACCCATGTCACAATACTCAGCCTTATCCTCGGCTTTATTGTTGGGAATATATATGTGTGTTTGTGATGTAAGATCAGTTAATAGCCTTTCTTTATTTAAATTCAAGGTTCTAATTGTTGTAAAATAGGTACTGAAAGCAGATTTTTTGGTGTTTCCAGAGTTAAAGTTGGTACGCCTGGTTATCTTGGATGTTGTAGCCAGTACTTAGTGTTGGATCCCAGATGCCAGTGCAAAAGCTCAAGGGACAAAAATGCCCAAAAGATGGTCACAGCAACGCCAAAAAGAAAAAGTGTACCTCTGATTTAGGAAAGTGTTTTTTGGAAATTCAGAGTAACAAGGGCAGTGTTTCAGAATCCCCCTGACTTGACTGAGCCTTGGGGGGGTCTCACTGAGAATGATACGAAGCCAGCTTGTCTTGAAACTCCAAGGCAGATAATTTAGGAGTGAAATTTAAAAATAAAATAAAAAGACATGTAAGTATATATATATCTTTGTAAATAAACGTCTCTAGAGTGACATACTTGATAGGTCATTTTGACCATGAGAAATTAAATGACAGTATTGACGGTTGTATCAGACTTGTCAATTGTACGCAGTCTTGATAGGCATAAATAACTCTAGTCCGTCCTACATAGAGCGATGCTATGTTTAGTCAGTTTTTTCTTTTACACGCATTGGAATCCAAAGTTGTGATGATGAAACGCATTCCAAGATCATGTCAAGTGAAGCTGGGTCGATATGAATACACAGATTCCTACTGTCTATATTCCTGATTTTCTGTTCGGTCGCAAAGAATAACGCATATACTCTATAAATATAAATCATGGTTTATTATTATTCAACAATGAAGATCTTGTTGTTCATCCCAATAACACACGAGAGTCCTGTGGAAACACAAGCGAATATATATGATACTTTTGTTACATTTTTAGGATCTGATACTGGAGTAGTGGGGAATATGTATTTCCAGCCGCCGCAAGTGAGCTGACAAAAAAGAATATAAAAAGACTAAATCACTAGCATAACATATGATGAGACCTTTGGCTTCTCTAAGAAAGGCTTGGATATTTTCCACATCTGATTTATACATGCAGCTTTCTGGGGCTCTTAAAGCTATCAAACGACCTCTTTATTTATTTTCGTGTTTATTTATTTGTTTATTCATTTATCTATTATGTGAGTCATTACCAAGCTAAGCTTTTGTATAAAAAGTTAAATCAATAACAAGAAAGGGCTTATTTGTGGGTTTCTGTGCGACATTGCGTCTCATAAAAAACACAACAATAGGATTTCCATAATGAAGTTATTCATGCGAGTTGAGTTACTAAACATGTCCATTTTCAGCTTACAATTTTATATTCTATATTTTGACAGATGTCCCCAATTCTGCTATACTATTTTTTTTGCTGCTATTTGCTGTATATTAAGTTGAGATGATTTGTAAAGCTTAATTGCTTTTTTTTTTCAAGTCTGTGATAATAAAAGAAGAGGTCTTGGTCTTTTAAATGTGCCGAGTCCCTTTGGGATTTCTAGGTCTGATCACATTAGGATTTAATATTGTTTATTAGTAAGCTGTTACACCTAAGCTGATAAGCAATCATTGTGAATCATGTATTGACCAAAGATACTTGTCAATATCTAGTCGGATAATGATTACCATTGTACAATGCATAACTTACCAGGCTGAGTCTATGCATTGTCTACAGCTATCATTCTATATCTTTTATTTAGTCTATTATTGTTTTTGTATTATTGAAATGGGTGCAACCCAAACCTTGGAGGCACATATTTATTTATTTATTTATTTAATGTTCTGTAAGAGAATCTTGTTAGGCTTTTGATGGGAACACTATTGATAAACTAAATTTGTGGTAAATTGAATCAACACAATACATTTAATACCCCCCTTTTTTTCTTGTACCACACAGATACTATGATTTCAACATTGTTTTCAAGGACTGATATTAACTTGGTTGATTTGCTGCAGAAATTGAATCGATAAAAGAAAAGAAAAGAAAAAAGATTTAATATTTATTTATTTTTTCAAAAGAAACTCACCTTATCTTGAGATTCCTAACATATACATACACAAGCTAGTACTAAAGATAATACCATCTCACATGTTTCAAAATTATAAAAATAAATAAAAAGCAGCTGTTGATAGACTATGAACCAAAGACAATAATACTCTTTTAACATTCCAGCGAATAGTCTGTGCACGATCGATAACAAAAAAGAAAGGGCATCGATTGTGACCGCATGTACTACAGTGTGCAGAGCGTGAATCAAATACGGGTCCATTGAAGTATTCCTCTTCTTCGTCTTTCCCCCCGGACTACTGATGAATATAAGCGTGGGCTTACAAAAGAGGTTTGAATGTATGCAACAAGCAGTGATGCCATGCTTTTGGGTGAACCAGATAGACAAAGGAGAGATCAGATGATTTGAACCTAGAAAACAATGACCACCGCACACTTGTACATACTCTCAAGCACAAAACGTAAACAAACTCACACAGGCATTTTTGGCCATATTAATCAGAGTAATTTCGGGGTTCCAGGAACGGCCCCTAGTGTGGTATTTAACTGGGTATCATGATTTGTGTAAAGTTTCTTGTGTGTGTATGTGTGTGTGTGTGTTCACGGCCCTTTTGCTGAGTACTTTTTTTTTCCTTCTTCTTTTCTTTTGGAGCCGTAGTATCTATATTTGCTATTGATCCGCAGGAGGCCTTTCTCTCCTTTCTTGTGAACCAATATTTTGCATTCCTCGTCTTTACAAGTAGATTCTGTAGAAATTCATATAGACTTTGTTGCACTCAAACAAAATAAAATTTCATCTGATGTTTTACAGGCAGAATAAATTATTGTCGTTTGCTTCTTCTTTTTTTTTTCTTTTTCTTTTTTTTTTGCATATAGCGGTCTTAAGAAAACCTACGATTATTTGTTTTTTTTGTTAGTAACATTTTTATTATGAGCCACTAAAAATAAAAAATAAAACCTATAAAATTGCACAAGTCGATTTAATTACGTTTTGCACAATACCGATCGTTAAGACTTGCTTGTTAATCTTTTTTGGTTTTGGGCTTTATCAAATTTAAACCTCTCACTCATACTATTGCACGTGCAATTCAATTTAACAGCATTGTCTTGTTCTTTTCCCTTCGAGCCACGCGTTATTGTGAATCACATATCATTAAGATAATCTACGAGTAATTAGGAGGATCGGTTGGAATGAGTACTAGAACTATCAAAAATAAAACGAGTGACTTGTTAGTAAGACGACAGACCGTATAAAGGAGTATATATTTATATTTACAAGGATATTAAGGGGGAGTTAAGAGCCAGAGAATGGCAGGAGTACACTAGTTGAAGAAACGGACCGTCAAGAGGATTGACAGAAGAGACAGGAGGACATGTGTTACCGTTTTCCTAGGTTTATCATGTAACCCCAAGGTTTGCTCGCTTCTTATTTGTGTGTCATTTTCACGAGGGAATACTCGCCTTACCGTGCCTGGAAGGACTCTTGTGACAGAGAAGGCTGCTGTTCTATCTGCATTTGTTTCATTCTTGTGTTTCGTCTTCAAAAAAGAAGGGATGACGGAGGAGTTTACAAGTGCTTGGCTGATTGAAGAAATTACTACTTGCTTCGTCAGTCTTGGCTCTTTCTCCCCCTCTAACCTTTTCTCTTTCTTTTTTTTTTCTTTTTTTTTTTCATTAAAAAAAACTATATATTCACCTATTTTTCTTTTTTTGGATCCATGATTGCCCAGCGTATTATGTTACCTGACGGACAAAGCCTGGCAGACTTTGATAACCGCCACTCGACCACTCGTGTAGGCTCCAATCCACGCCGTGAGTCACTCTATCAATCTTCCAGGCAGCCGGGAAATATTTCGAACCAACGAACTTCAGTCTCAATTTCACAGTCTGTGAGTGATGGAGAGTCCTCTGGCCTATGGGTCAGTCATCCCCCAGCTCAGAATAACACCGTACTCCAGTTGAAAAGCTCATTAATCGAACAAGCGACGGCAAGACTAAGACGACGACTCCTCGAAGAAGATCTTTTGGGTGTCGTGAACCAAGTCGACGATCTACAAAGTCAGCTCGACACACTCCGCGCAGAAGCAGCTGCAACCTTGGACGCAGTGAAGAAAACCAAGGACCAGCCGGCTGATGATTCCGGTCTTGATAGTAACATGTCCGGCCAGGACTACCAAATGAAGATATTCGAAAGTCGCGCCGAGATGTTCAAGACGAGTCTGACGATCTTGAAGACGAACCAGCACGTGAAAGACTCTGACGAACCAATCAAAATGACTCCTTCAACTTCATTTACTTCAACACTGTCCAAGATGTCCTCCTTGTTCAGTCGCGCCAAGCGTAGATTATCTGTAGCAGCCAGCCAAAGTGAAGCAGAAGACGATGTGCCCCGTATGCAGCAACCTGCAGAAGAGGAGACCATGATTGCATGTGATCCGATGGCAGCCGATGATGAAGCACAACAACGGCGACACCGACGACGCAGACGGGTCAGACATTGTCGTGAACGTTATCTCGAATTGATGCAATCGTACGACCAGGACTTGGAACAGTCCGAGTCGCAAGCTAACGAACAACGGCTAACCGAAGATATTGCCAGCGAGTCTCTATCGTTCTCTGGCCACGCGAGCCAGGATATCGAGGCCGAGTACCTCCGTCTTTTGGCAGCCAATGTCCCTGCCACGCCCTACTCAGACTCTAGCTCTATCGTCTCTGATTCCCTTCTTGATCAGATCGGCCAAAATTACCCGAAATCATATCCTGTCGCCTTATCGGTCGTCTCTTCGACCCTAACCGATGTCACGCCTTCAAGCTCTTTACTTTTACCTTTACCTTTACCTTCACCTTTACCCTTGACTATACCGCCACCCATATCGATGGCACCCTTTTTACCTTTTACAGAAACAACTGATCCCAACCTCGACCACTGGTTGTCCGAGCAAGAGGCCCAGCACATCTACAGTTCTCCTTTGAACATATACCCCCCTACACCAAATGCCCTTAATAATAATTACAGCAACAACAACAACAACAATAATAATAATAATATACAAGCACCTGAACGCAATGCATTTGACGAGACCCTAAGCTATCTTGATCACCCAAGCTTTAATGCCTATGATATCAATCTCCTCGAAGACCTTTATGAGATCGTTAATGACCCAACTCTATCACCTACACCAGAAGAGCCACTAAAGGATAAGCCATTTTTCGATCAATCCCACGTATTACAATGGTTACAGCTGCTATTGCCGTCCTGGCTGGTCTTGACCGCACAAGCAGGCTGGAAGTGGTACAAGTTTTTTAATGTTCTTGGACTTGCACTCATTATCAGCCTTTTCAATGGTCCAGACGAATTTAATTCCCCATCCTTTAAATCAGATCAATAAGATTTTTTTCTCTCTATTCTCTTTATATATACATATATATTTAACTTATTATAAATCATAAAACAAGCCATAGAAAACCACAACCTTTAACATCAGCATCAATAAATCCTCTCATATGAACCGCAGCCTTTGTCGGAGGCGACGTCGGAAATTAAATAATTTTTCTTGAGAATATCTTCTTTCAAACCATCCATCCACCCTTCTCCTCCTCTCTCCCATCGTCTTTGAACTTGACGTAAAATGGTAAGAGATAGATCAGCATACATACACATCTATCCATACATACATCCATCCATCCATCCATCCATATACACATCCATCAATACATCCATGTATCATTAAACTAATCATCTTCTTTATCATATAATTGATTCCATGTCATCCACCAAATTAGTCGCACAGGTAAGAAAATTCTCTACATTGAGATCAACTATTTTTTTTCAGATTCCAATTGAAACATTCAACTAATATTTTATTTTATTCTTGTATAGAAAATTCGAGGGTACATTATAAGCACTTACCGACCGAGTGAAGATCAAGTGTACTTACATGATTCTGTTTTTTGTTTTGTTTTAATTAGCTCCCCGTCACGGTCACTTGGGTTTCTCCCCTCGCAAGAGAACCAGATCCCACCGCGGTAGAGTCAAGGCTTACCCCAAGGATGACTCCAAGAAGCCCGTCCACCTTACCGCCTTCTTGGGTTACAAGGCTGGTATGACCCACATTGTCCGCGATCTCGAGCGTCCCGGATCCAAGATGAACAAGAAGGAGATCGTCGAGGCCGTCACCGTCATCGAAGCTCCCCCCATGGTCATCATCGGTGTTGTCGGTTACGTCGAGACTCCCCGTGGTCTCCGCTCCTTGACCACCGTCTGGGCCGAGCACTTGTCTGAGGAGGCCAAGCGTCGCTTCTACAAGAACTGGTACCGCTCCAAGAAGAAGGCTTTCACCAAGTACGCCAAGAAGTACTCTGAGGGAGCCAAGGATGTCACCCGTGAACTCGAGCGCATCAAGAAGTACTGCTCCGTCGTCCGTGTCATTGCCCACACCCAGGTTGGCAAGGCCAGACTCGGCCAGAAGAAGGCTCACCTTTCCGAGATCCAGCTCAACGGTGGTAACGTCTCCCAGAAGGTTGACTGGGCTCGCGAGCACTTTGAGAAGGAGGTTACTGTTGGCTCTATCTTCGAGCAGGATGAGATGATTGATGTTATCGGTACCACCAAGGGTCACGGTTTCGAGGGTGTTACCCACCGTTGGGGTACTAAGAAGCTTCCTCGCAAGACCCATCGTGGTCTCCGCAAGGTCGCCTGTATTGGTGCCTGGCATCCTTCCCGTGTCATGTACTCCGTTCCCCGTGCTGGTCAGCGCGGTTACCATCGCCGTACTGAGATGAACAAGAAGATCTACCGCATTGCCACCGGTTCCGACAAGAAGTCCGGTTCTACCGAGTACGATGTCACCGAGAAGGTCATCACCCCCATGGGTGGTTTCCCCCACTACGGTGAGGTCAACGAGGACTTCGTCATCCTCAAGGGTTCCGTCTCTGGTGCCAAGAAGAGAGTCTTGACCCTCCGCAAGTCCTTGACCGTCCACACCAAGCGTTCCGCTCTCGAGAAGGTTACCCTCAAGTTCATCGATACTTCTTCCAAGTTCGGTCACGGTCGTTTCCAGACCCCCGCCGAGAAGGCTCAGTTCTTGGGTCCCCTCAAGAAGGATCTTTAATTGTGTCGTTGATACGTTTAATAATAATAAATATGAGAAATATCATACTGTACAAAGCATAGTAAAGCAAACAAGCATTCATCATTTTTTAAATCTTAAGACTTTAAAAAAAACATATTGCATAAGTGTTTGTGAAATGATAAATTTAGAGTCATTTTTGGTAGTAGCATTTGGAGTTAATGGTTTAGTGTAATTTTTAATTTTTTTTAAAGGAAAGAACAACAAATATCAAATGTACACATACACAAGGAAATTTAGGACCAATACTTTTTTTCTATTATTTTATTTTATTTTGTAATCCAGCCGAACAGGCCATTTGGTAAGTGCGATTTTAATTAAGGTTGCAGGATATATGGGCCCCTTTTTTCGAGTTGGAAACACGTCAGCTTTACTGTCCGCCAAGGCGTTTGACACTATTTTTTCCCACCTCGCCGCTCTTCGTTTCTCTTCCCTTCTTTCACAGGAACAACCAGCTGCTAAGAATCCAAAAGAAAATCAAAGCAAAGATGTTGAGCTCACTACAACACCCGGATCTGTTTGGTCCCAAGAACGATGGCCACTCAGATACCTCTTCAAACAATTCGCCTATTACTCCTAATGCACACCCAAAGCCTTTTACAGCAGAACTTGCTTGGCCTACGACTGTAAACTGCAGTATATCTGATCCTATACGTCCATTACTCAGTATGCCTGCAACGAACTATGGTTATGGCTGGGGATCACACCATTCGTCTATCTGGACGGACCACCCGCTTGTGTCTCCCCTTCCAGACCTTGACACCACTTTCCCTACTCTAGATCAAAACAAGCCCAATTTGATAGATGGTCGTTATCCGCAGCGACGAAAAGAAGACAGCGCACTTTATGCAGCCTTGCCTTCCATTTGGGCTACTTCTGATCCTGGATGGGAACAACAGCAACAGCAACAACCACAACCACAACAACATCAGAATCAGAATCAGTATCAGAATCAGCAACAACAGTATCAGCAACAACAACAGCAGCAACAGCAGCAACGTCGTTTTTCTGTAGCTGAGCCCCGTATTGATTATTGGTCTTCTTTGGCAAAGGAAATAAGGTAAACTATTGTGAGAATGTTATATCCACGGAATATAAAACACCAATGTGATACAATATTAATCCGGTTGTCTAAGCAGGCCATTTGAGGAAATGTCAAGTGGTTTAGTGGGACGTCGCCACTCAGTTGCAGGACCCTATGTGACCGCACAAGACCACCCGATGCTCACAGACGACTACATCCGTCAACGCCAGGTTCTCAATAAAGACCTGTTGGAACACATTGATGAGTACTTTGGGCCTCGAACACTTCCTGGGATCAACTCGCCCGAATCCGCAACCCAGTCTATGGGAAAGGGTGTCCTTCTCCAAAACTTCAAAGATTCCAGCTCACTCTATCGTGTCGAGTTCAAAGCCGGACGAACCGAGATGTGCTACGTGATGGAAGGGCCGCAGTCGCCAAAGGTAGGCGATCTCGTCATTGTTGAGGCAGATCGCGGTCGTGATCTTGGGACGGTTATTGCCGACAGCCTCACTCCTGATGAGGTGCTTGCTACACTTAGTGAGACAACCGAGGACGACAAATTCCTGCATCCCAAAGATGTGCATGTCAAACGTCTTTATCGTATCGCTACTCCAAATGAAATCAATACTCTGAGTCTTAAGGAACAAGATGAAGCCAAGGCGCTTGCTGTGTGTCAAACCAAGCTCAAGCAAAAAAACATGGCTATGGAAGTTGTCAATGCAGAATATCAATGGTAACAATAGCATACAATATTTTTCTCCTTCTATCTCTATCTCTATCTCTCTCTCTCTCTCTCTCTTTTGCTTTATTTTTATTGTACAAAAGTGGGCTGTTTGTTCAACATTTGCTAATTATATTGGTTAATAGGGATCGACGCAAGCTGACCTTTTATTTCGTGGCTGAACAGCGAATCGACTTTCGTGAGTTGGTTCGTGAACTATTCAAGATTTACAAGACACGAATCTGGATGTGTGCTGTCAAGACGACCGAGTCTAACGAGTAAAGAACAAGAACAAGATCAAAACACATTACACACTACACATTACACACTACACACTACACTTTAAACTTCGAACCTCATATACACAACCACAACCATAACCACAACCACAACCACATGCACTCTCTGTACCTCTTGTATCTCTTGTATACACCTTCTCACCCCAACCCCCACCTTTAACTTTGAGATTTCTACCCTGCACACCTACATATATCATATATATATACACCCACACAAAAAAAACAGACTAAGAAAAAAAAATATCGATTGCCTTATGATACAGGTTTTCTAGAACTTATCCCTTCCCCTCAATCCATATTACCCCTCTTTGTTTCATCAAACTAGAATTACCTGACTAGAATTAAAAATACAAATTAAATTCTGCAATACCAAAATACACACACACACACACACACAATATATATATATTATATATTATATTATTATATATAAAATAAGAAGAAAAAGAAAAGAAAACGTGATGTTTGATTCTTTTGATTATCATCTATTTTCTGTACAAGATCAATGAATCAATAGATAAACCATAGCAAAGAAGGCTTTGAATTCATTTCACAAGTTGTGGGTAAAGTGCCTGTGCCTGTGCCTGTGAAATGATTTTGATGTTCCATATTTGATTTCTTGTGATCAAATATTATTTCTGACCACTGAGAAGGGTGAACACCGTGCCTAGGACAATTATACTGATCTGATTTAGTTTTGTAATGATCATTTTTATTTTCTTTATTTAAAAATAAAAAAGAAAAAGACTACAAAAACATACATCATGACGGGGCATCCAATAACCACAGAGCTCACATGTAGCTGGACACTGGACAGGCAGATGAAAAGGGCTTGGTTTCATAATAAATTAAGAAATGAAGGAAAGAAGGAAAGAAGGAAGGAAATAAGGATTTTGAAATTTGTAGATATATTTAATAGCTATCATAGAATATGCATGGTAAGTTCCTAACATATATCTTCTCTTGTTGTTTGTATGTATTTTCTTTTTTTTTAAAAAAATAATAATAATACAAATATTGTGATGGGAGGTTGGTTATCTTATATGTGCGTTCATGTAAATTGTTTATCAGCCTGCATGATTGTGCAAGAAAATTAGCTACATGTCCAACCATTACTTTATTTACTAGCTGACTGATATTTGATACATGTCTTTCGAGTATATCTATCAATCTATGCTGTATATCAACATCAGTTTAAGAAGAATTGCATGCCAGACATTGTTTGCCTAGTAGTAGTAGTAGTGGTAGTTGTTGTTTTTGTTGTTGTTTTTTTTAGGCTAGTCTGCAGATGAAAAATAATAAGAATAATAATAATAAAATAAGAAGAGGAGGAAGGGAAAGAAATTATGATATCAATGTCAATGTTAATGTCAATAATATTAGTTGTAGTAATAGTAGTAATAGTAGTAGTAGTATTAGTGGTAATGATTGTAATGTTAAGAAAGAAAATGTTAATGCTTTTTTGTTCACTCTTTCTCGAGGTTCCTTAGCCTTAGGACACTTCTCACATCAGCTGTAAACCTTAGTGCGTCAAGAATCGGCAATAGATCCAAAAGACATTCGTCGTTGGGGTTGGCTATCCACCCTGGTAATGAAATCCCGTTCTCTGAAATCAAGCAAACAAATACATATACATACACACATACATAAAAGAGAGGTACATATATACAAAAGCACCACTTACAAGTCAGCCTTTTTTTTTTGTTAAAAAAAAGAAGATTTTTTATTTACTTAATTTAATTTTATTTTTTATATTATTTAATGTGATAACTTGCCTTGAAAAAGACCAAATGCAGCAGGGCTATTGTCTACCAAACAGACCTTTGATAGATCAGGCTCGGCAAGAGAGATATCCTTGAGAAAGTTACCGTCCTGAATAATACATGCCTGTGTTGAATTTGATTTCCAAAAAAAGAAAAGAAAATAAAGAGATCCAAAGGTTTAGTGCTCCGCCTACCCCTTTTCTTGGTCTTCCCCAAATCTAAAATAAATAAATATAATAGAGAAATATATATATATATATATACTTGCCTGTCGAAAGTATCTTTGAGAAATGACAGTCTGGCTCTGGTCCAGCCAGTCAATTACAGGGTTTGCATACTCGGCCATTGAGGCAGTATATATTACAACCTTATACCATTGGCTGATCTACAGTCCAAATATTTAAAGATATTTATACATGTTAATCTATCAGAGTCGCTTCTATCCCTTCCCGAATTCCCTAAACTTCCATATTTTCTCACAGACTTTACCGTCTTGAGAAAGAAGTCCACGTGCGGCCGTTTGTAGACCTCATAGAGCAGACTCTGGCGATCGCTCTGGACCTCAATCGTCTTCCGTTTCACCGAGCCATTGATACTACAGCCTGACTCGGGGGAACCCAGTCGAACCGAGTGTACCAAGGTCTCATCGAGATCTAGTACCAATGTCTTGCCTTTGTAATATTGTAAAGCTGCTCGGTTGACGGTCGCAGGCCGGCTATTGGTATAAGTAAGTGCAAGAGGCCGGAAATAGAAAAATTGACGGAAGTATTCGTATGCAAGCGATATAAAGTGTAAAATAGACCCAAGAAACAATCGGTCTCTCTTCCTCAGCCGTAACTGGCTACCATTGTTTTGAGACGGCATTGCTGGTGTAGGTGATGACTTTAGAATGCTCATTAAGGAAGAGGAGGAAAGAATAAAGAGACCTGTCCAATTAATCGGTTTAATGGGTAACCTATTCCCCACCCCCCGGGGTGGATTGGTTATCGAGAAGAGCCGTCACTTGACCAACGCGGGGTTCTTATTCAACATTTCTACAAACTCTTTGGGGGGGGGGGGGGGGACACCGTTAGTGTACAATAATCATCACAAGTAACAAGAAATAAAGCGAAGGGGAGAATTAGAGAGAAAGGAAGAAGTTGGGTTTTGGGGATTCGATAGCCTGGGAAAATATATATTTATATATATAATTTTATTTTATTTTATATATACAAAAAAAAAATTTAAATATCATTGAACCATCAACCCTTGACATGTTTCAAAATACAAAATTATTTCTAAGCAATTAAATATCGACCAAGTGACAGCCAATGTGGAACCCTTGAATTATTGCACAAAGTAATGGGTTCTTATTATATTGCCTCTTTTTTCTTCAGTCTAGGATTTAATAATAGCCAAATCATTTAAACTTCTTTTTCTTTTAATTGATTTGAATGATAATATTATTTTTTATTTTGAAACAAAATCGATTGCGAATTTGCTAAAGACCACCACAAATGGCCCAAAGAAATAAAATGAACTTTACTTACATACATACATATATAGTATTTGGCAAGGCGGCTGCAAAGAATCTTGTCAAGTTGGTGCAAAGAAATTCATTTGGTCTTCAAAACGCAAAAAGAAAAAATTCTTTAAGAGGAAAACAACTTGCAGAACAACATTTATAAACCCACAGCTATTTGGGCTCTATGTCATATACCCCACCCCATAAACTAAATTGGATGAACAAACTTAAACCATGGTTAGTGTAATATCTTGAGAGGCACACCAATAGAGCAGATGATTAAGGTAAGAGTAGTACATAGTCGGACAAGTTTCAATTCATTGTATTATACACTTATTTAAATACACTTGTATATCAGAAGCAATGGTGAATGACACTGATCATTAAACATAATGTTTTATTAGTTAAAGTAGTGGCTCAAATTTAAGGTGATACCATGACCACAGGAACCAGGATTTTGGGTATTAGTTTTACAACAAAAAAAGTGTAATTTTGTGATCTCATTGAATGTTCTTCAAGATCAAGAGAGTAAAATAAGAAAATTATGAGTCAAAATATGAAATGAATGTAAAATATTTAAATGGTTGCAATGTAACGGTAATGAAGAATATTGGCTATCAAACTTGTTTTGCACTCATTAGATAACAAATTTGAAAACAATGCTATACATTTTGGGATTAATAATAGCTTTAAGTCTACTCATAACGTTTGGCTATATATTGAAATATGAGCCTTAACTCATACAAAAAAAAACCTTCTATACAATTTATTAGTATCTATCAGTTGAAAGCTATATGCTTGAAACAAACTGCAAGAATGATTTTGGTTGATTAAACTAATAGTGATGTGTTGTTTTGGAAGAATAGCATTATAGATAAATATTATAGAGAGCCTACAACGAGTTCAGAAGACAAGAAATAGATACGGCGAAATTAATTTGCGCAAAGGATTAAAGAGAATTTAACAAAGTAGCTATGATACTTTCTACAAGAAACAGCGGCAAATGTGGCCCATAATAGCACACACTGTGCCAGCAGCTGTACGAGCCACTATCCTTAAATTTGTAGCGTAATTTATTACTGCTTTTTTTTGTTATAATAATATCAAATGTAAAGCTATTAGATAAAAGAAGCATTGCATCTCAATGGAAATGGTTTATATTAAACCAAAAATAATAAGAAAATTAAGGAATACAAATTAAATCTGTCATGTAGAAACATGCCTGGTATAATTACTTTTCAAGTCAATGAGAATCAAAAGCTGAAGTAAATACATATGCATAGCCCAAGATTACAACTTCTAGAATAATCTCAGTTTTACCAAAATACATTTTGGCTGTACACCCAATCTTATCTCCTTTTTTGACATTCGGCAAAGTAGGTATTTCAACAGCAAATTTAGCTACTGGGCAAACACCCGGAGAAGTAACATGTCTTGGAGTTTCTTGACTGCAATCGTAGGCAAACATGTCTGGATACATTTATGTTAATGTTTATAGCTTTCAACTATACATTATGCTTGAAGCCAGCTTACCTAAGTTCAAAATACCAGGATAGTATATACAAAATTGCTTTGTAAAACATTGATTTGTATCTATGGATTCTCCCTTTGAAACGAATACAGAAAAGTAATCCTGGCATACTACTTGTCCATTAACCAAATAGCACCTTTTATCTGCATCCAGTACATAATTAAAGATTGTATTGGTTTGGAGCCCATATGTACGTCGTAGTATTCGATGTGAGATTCTACTAGGGTCGACTCCAAATATCACTGCACCTCGCGTTACAGCCATTTCCCCCCGATTCGGTATATATATCGATCCAACCGTGCTTTTGAAAAGGTCTGTGATACGATTGCTCAAGTAGTTTGACTGTCCAAATCCACCAACCAAAATTATTGCATCGATTTTCGTTTGAGATTGGTTTATCTGACCAGATATCAGACTTAAGACTTGATCAACAACTGGATCAAATACTTCTTCTCGAAGTTGTTTAGCTGTAACTTGTAAATAGCCTTCATGTATACCAACCCTGGACATGTTATGGCCTCCCATATTCAATATTGCGGGTACACTGAAGTATACATCTTCGTTTTCAAATTCAGGCTATATTGATATGTTTAGCCACATTAGAAAAAGTATATCTTTTTTTTTACTACTTTTATTATACCTTTTTTGAAGAAACAAATTCCTTTATTATAAGCTCTATGGTTCTTTTGTTGTCATCAGCATGAGAGCCAAAGCGTCTTTTGAGTATATCTCGCATACGGTTGTCCAAAAAAGTAGATCCGCAGGGACCTCCTGAGCCTTTTGTAATCTCACGAAGGCTTTTTATGCCTGCGTATTCTTCTATTTGAAATACAATCAAATCGACGGTGCCGCCACCAGCATCGCATACCATAAAGCGCTTTCCGTGTGTGAGATTAAAGTGTTTACATATTTTCTCACAGTACAGTGCAGCTGCTTCCGGCTCGCTGGTAAGCATCAATCGGCCTGGGTGATCGCTTCGGTCGACAATACCAGCAAGAATGGCTGCTTCTCTCATGGTAGCCTTGGCTTTATCATCCCATATTGCCGGAACTGTAAGGCAATACCTGAACTTGGAAGTACCATAAAGTGTACATAGTTCCCTTTTTAACTGTTTGTGAACATATGCATGGAATTCACGGAGATAGTCCGAAATCACTTTTTTTAAGCACAACGGTAAGACAAACATCATTGTTGTGTAAAGTGTACAGCCTCAAATACCTTGTACAGCAGTCAAGCCATGCGGAAGAATATTAGTCGATTCGTTGTTGGTATCAAGAAGTAGTTTGAAGCCGGTGATCAAATGTCCAGTACTATTATGCATATTTGCTTTAAGAATAGCCTCATGTCCCCATGCAATTGGTTTGCTGGTATAGCTTTCATAGTATATCGCTGTTGGTACTTTGGGATAGTAAAAACCGTCAGACTTGGGCCTGCAGTCATATGTTAGTATACTAAGTAGGATTTAGCAAATGTCCTTATGAGCATACCATACAGTTATATCCGAAATTTCTTTAATATTGTCACCAAACAAGTATGAGCACCCGGAATATGCTGTTCCAAAGTCTGCAGCTACTGTATTAGAGAGGCACCGAAGTAAAGTGTGTACGGGTATTACCTATTCCAATCACGCAATTATAGTAATCACAATTAAGCTCCAAAAAGCTTTTTAACATTTATAAGTAAAAATTAAAAGAGAAAAGATGTAAAAGAAGAATAATAATAATGGCTCATTTGTGCGCTTTATATATATTTGATTTTAGTTATACAGGATAGACATGTAAAGAGGTTCTATTTTATTATTTCTAAAAAGGATGATCCCTAGTTTTTTTTTGATAGCTCAGATAAACTTTAGTTGACTATGTATGTTTGACAAATCTTGAGACATACATTGCCATTGGTTTAATGACACTAAAAACTAAACAATATTTACGGTACTTGTGAAAAATAAAGAATTAAAACAAGGTTGTGGAAGATGGCTGAGGCGTTGTTGTGCGAGTGTTGCAAAGGAGCCCATTTTATTTTTGTTTATAGCATCAAATAGCCGCTTTGAGCCAGATGAAAATAATTATTCACACAGCCACACTAATCAACTCATAATAATTCGGTTTACTATATATTGTATTTTGCACTAATGAGCTATTGATCCTGGGAAGGACAGTGAGATTTGTTTATTTACTTGGCCTTTAGTGCGTCTCAATACCAATATAAATCAAAGTGTATGAAAAAAAACTGTGACGTTAAATTTACCGGTTCTAATTTGAGGTAATTGATGACTATAAAATCTATCATTTTTAGCATTCGCTTTAAAAACAAAAGGGTATAAATTTGGGAATCTCAGTGAATTTTTTTTTGAAAAGATCTAGATGCTATGGTAAGTAAATCACAAGTTAAAGTTCAAAAAATAACATAGGTAGTGAACTTTCTTTATGCTCGACAGATGGCAAGAAAAAAAAACTGATTAATGTCGACTTTATGTTCATTATCGATATTCAAATGTATGTATACCGAGATATGCACTTTAATTCACAGCAGAAAAAAGAAATTATAAGAGGATTACTTTTACAAATCTTTTTTGGATACCACCAGTTATAAGAATACAGCAAAATATCACTTTTAGTTAGACATACTACAAATATACAACTCATCGATGTATTGCAACAGTGTGCAGCAAGATTGGTCAAAGTTTAAAGAGTTGTCCATGTGCATCCCGTTTTGTATAAGCAGCTCGTTGTATAACCTCCCGCTGATCCCAGCTGCAAACCATGTTCATTTGATGCGTTAGATGCATAAAATGTAACAACTTTTTTTTGGATTTCTTTTTTATACAAAGAGCATGATAGATAATATATCCATTGACGATGTTGGCTGGTAACTGTGCAAGTCTTAAAATCTGGAATTGGTAAAGTTTTCAGCCAAGACTGTACCACCAAGGTAGTAGTTTATGAAATGATACTTTATATTTGACTACTATAGACCAGTTCTTCTTTGACCAAGACATGCAACATTTTACATAAAGATAATTGTATACATATATACACAAAGAGTCTTTTAATTAGCTGCTCAGTTTCTTTTTTTTTTCTGTTCATTTGAATAGCTGATCCAGATGTTTTTGGGACCTTTTCTTTAGTATTCCCGTTTACAGGTTACAGGTTATGGCTGCACCTATTTAAGTCTTTTCATAAATAAACAGTGCTTTTTAAATAAATTTAAGTTATGTAAGTCCTTGTTCCAGTTGCTTCATCACTTGTTTTTTATTTATTCATTTATTTTAAAAGACGACAGACGAATTTTCGTCAGTGCACTCCATAACTGCTTATTCGTTCGCTTGTTATTTTTTATTAAGAAAAAATAGATGATTATTTTCTGTATTGTTTGATCCCATAATTATGGCGTGCAACTGTAGAAACTTTATTACTGTAACAGCAGAGACACTTAAATATTAAACAATAACTTGAAGAATCTCATTTTATCTTGATCGGCGGTTTTCTTTTTCTTTTTCTTATTATAATATCTACGAAACCCTTCAAGTTATTATTTTGTATGTTTTTGCATGAATTTCTGCTGTCTCATTCTTCTCCCTTGCGAAGACAACATATACAAGATATCTTCATATTCATATAGAAGAACTCGAGATTTCAATAATCTATACATTGATTATCGATTCACTTTTCGTCTACGGCATCTCTTATATCCTCCCACACTATATATATACATGTTACAATTAAATTCTCATTGTGATGAAAGAATAAGAAAGGTCTGAACACAACAAATGACAAGCTCCCTTATTTATATGATTCAAACAATAATAGTGATCAAGAAAAATGCCGAGAATTGTACGACATGGGATACTGGAAATGCGACATCTGATTTGTCAGACTAGCGACACATTTATTTTTAGAAGTGGCGACATTCACTTTCGAGTGTGTGCGCCATCAAATACCCCTCCCACCTGGTGAAACTTATTTCTTTTTACCACTTTCTGGAAGGAGTATGTACAAATATACATATATATATATTGTTTAATTATTTAATTATTTTTTCTTTTCTTTTGGATAATTTGTTTTTCGGAAACCGGCTTAATAGAAGCACCGAGTACGGGTATTGTGATTAGGGGTACAGTACTGATATATATATATACATATACATATACACAAGCATACGCAGCAATAATGATAAACAACTCTTTGCTCAGCAGTATTACATTTTTTACATGGCAACAGAGTAGTTACCATAGCAACCTGCGGATGTGTAACCATCAGACCCCTCTCCTTCCCCCCCCCCCCTTTTTTTTTTCCTCCTCCCCCACTTCCTTCCACCAATCTGATTTAAATTTTTACCTTTTTGTGTGTTTGAGAGATAGAAAGAAAGACATAATGAGTTTGAGTTTGAGTTTGAGTTTTGTTGTAAGGATGGTTGTCTTGGTTACCTGTCGATCCCTACTTACTTTCTGTATTGTTTATTTAAATATATATATGTATATATAATATTTAAAGATATTTACTGAACGAGCTTATATGTATATATTTATACATATGTTTTTTTTTTCATAGTTGCACGAGAATGATCATAAAGAGAGAAATGCTCGTGAAACACATCAGTTGAATATTTTAAGCACTGTCTCTGTTTCTCTTTAGACAAGTGATGTATCCAATAGTTTTATGAACAATATCATCTTGTGTACTACTACGTTTATTGATGTTCTTTTTGCTGTTATCATTGTTATCCAAGGTTCTAACCGGGAAAACTTTCAATTGCCATCTCTATCTTGCCATCAACAAGAAATACAACTAAAGACAAGAAATTAAGCAAGTAAGAATATATATATATATATATATATTATGTATATTGTGTATATAACACTAAACTAAACTAAACCACACTAAACTAAACTAATATAAACTGTCGCAGCTGGCTAAGGTTTTTTATTTTTATTTTTATTTTTATTTTTATTTTATTTTATTCTATTCATTTGGTTTAAAGTCCCGATGTACAGATAAAACCCACCAAGCCCTTCCCCTCCCCCTCCCCCCATTGTCTTTCCTCACACTTTATTTTATTTTCCTTGTAATGCCATTAGCTCATTTCTTCATTTCCAAGAATCGCAAGGTCAACTTTGAAATCAGCATCTTAATACGCGATCTTAAGAATGTACCGTTAGTCAGTGGCCTTTACCATATACGGTGGCGAATGAAGCATGCATCTCACACAAACGGATCTACTCAGAGGTTAGGACTAGATTTACATATATTCTCTCTTTCTCTCTCTCTCTCGTTATATATATATATATGTGTGTGTCTATATATGTTTATGTCCCTGCCTAGATCTATATAATACAATATGATAATAATTTACTTTATTTTATTTTATTTTTATTAATTTTTAAAATAAATATATAAATGATTAAATGTGGTTTTGTAGGGCACCTATAAAAGATCATAGTATTTACTGGAATCATCCTATAAGCACTATGGTACAATTGGTTATTGATAAACACCATGTCCTGAGCCCATGCGAGTTTAAACTCGAGATCTACCAAGAGATCGGGAGTGGTAAAGACGCAGAGATGATTGGAAGTCTCACTGTCAATTTAGCCGAATATGCCACCACTGGTCTAACCACTCGCCGCTACCTTCTTGAGCAATGTAAATTCAACTCCACTCTCAAGGTAAGAAGAAGAAAAAATTGCATTACCAATAAAAATAAATAAATCACTTGTGCCTTGCATTTATATATATATATATACTGTTATTTCTAGCTTTCTATACAAATGACGCAGAAATCAGACGTTGACACAGAGTTCGTGGCGTAAGTTTCTTGATTTATTAAGACCAAGAGAAATGGTAACTTTGACTTTGACTAATTGTGTATATATTAACTATCACTAGGCCGCCGTTACGGAAACAGCAGATATTTACTGATATACCGACTATGATCAATAAAGATGAAAAGCAGAGATCAATGGTGTTTTACGAAAATAAAATAGGTAAATTACACATTTTAATTAGTAACAAAAAATGTATTTTTTTTTCTTTAAAAAAAAAGAGAGAGAGAGACTTTTATACATATTAATAAATAATTATACGTTAATTTTATCTTAATTTCAGCACGGCCTTCACGCCCACCTCCACCTACTCTCAAAAAATCACATTCTGCAATGTCCCTTGTAAGTCTCTGGTGCTTTAAATATACATCATAGAAATAAAATACTTGTGCAATTCATGTTAAACTTTTTTCTTCTTCTTCTTCTTCTTGTCTTCAAGCCCCGTTTCTGTAGGCAGACCGAATTTCAGAATGATACTGAAGAGCAATCCCCGACCGACCTCGTTGAGCAACTGTTTATGGGAAAGCAACCCGACATCAATGCATTTTCTTAGTACCCCCCCCCCCCCCCTGTTTTCATTACTTTTTCTGTACTACTTTATACATATTTTCTCTTCTTTTTTTTGTCATTTGGCTTTTTATATATATATATATATACACACACACACACACACCTACATACATATACATACACATACACATACACATACACATACACATACACATACACATACACATACACATACACATACACATACACATACACATACACACACATTTACATTTACACATACATTTACATATACATACAGATATACATACAAGCACGCACGCACGCACGTACCAATACATAAATACATACATACATCATACGTACATTCACAAATTCATTCAAAATCTATTAATGTGTGTGTGTGTGTGTGTGTTTTTTTCTTCTTCTTTTTCAATTCATTTGGGCATCCTATATTTTACCTTTATATTTTTTGGTATTGTCTGTTGCATACAATTCGCGGTCTTTAAAATAGACAAAATGAATGGGAATATTATGAAAAAGTTGGAGCTTGTGTTTGCCCACAAAATCGACATTCAAACTATGTCAGAAATCTGATCTTAATAAACTTGCTTAGAATACACACAGATATATATATATAAGCTATCAAATTTTTGGCATTACTTGATTTTACAAATGAAAGAATAACCATTTAGCTTTGACGTTTGTCAGCTACATTTAATAATATAGATTATACATACTGCACTAAAGCCCCATTTAGAACAGAGAAATATATTCTGAATTACAAAAGGACTACAAAAAATAAATAGATAAATTCAGATCCAAGAAATTGCATAATATAATATACAATATGTATCTTGAAAATGACGGCACAAATAATATAGCTATAACATATATACATTTCCAAAGCCCTTTTTTTCTTCTTCTTCTCTATCTAGCTAGCTAGCTTTCTTTCTTCCTTTTTTTTTAAATTTTAAATAAATCAATTTTAATTAATAATGTCATCTATTGCTGAAAGAGGTGCTGCTAACTTGAAAACCATGTACGCTCGTATGGGTAAATCAATCGAGGCCAATGAGAAGCTTGTTAGTTCAATGGCTTCCAAAGTATCATTATGGTTTGTATAGATATTTCTTGTCATCAGTATATTTATATAATAATGATAATAGTAATAATACCATCACCATATTAACAAAACAAAAATAGTCACACAGATATTACCAAACTTAAAGTGGATGCAATTGGTAAATATATAAGCTGATAAAGTTGATTAAAATATATACATATATATCTTCTTCTTTTTTTAATAATACTGTATGATAACCATGCATTTACTATTCTTATATAAAATATATATATAAAAGTAAATGCTGCAAACGAAACATTACTTGGAGGAGGAGGAGGTAAGTTAATCTTAAATATATATACATTTTTACAAGCAACAATGACAAAATTACTTATTAAATATATATGTGTATTGCTTGTAGTTGATGGCGCAATTCACAGGTAAATAAATTCTTCAAATATATATATATGTATTATTATTAGTATTATTATGACAGAATCATAATGTAATCATAAAAAAGGGCTGACTTTGGTTTGTAGAGCAGCCGGACCCCGCCTTGTGGAAGAATGCTCTACGCTGGGTGGCTGTAGAGAAGGAGTGAGTCCAAAAAGAATACAGATATAAAAACCAAAAGGTTGACTAGATGAATAACATATTGAATCTTTCCTGCAATCAAAAAAAAGGAGGCAAAGATTACTGCCGGTAAATTTACTTATATATATATTGAAATTGTATTTTCAAGCATTAATATTAACTCACATAATCTAATATATATAATATTCAAGGTTACAATTTACCTTCTAAACGTAAGTAATATTCTATATATATATTCAACAACAAAAAAATATATAATATTTAAATAAATAAATAGATGTGATCCACACAGTCGGTCCTCAGTCAGAAAAACCAGATGTTCTGGCAAACTGTTATTTGAATAGTTTGAAACTCTTGGAGCAAAACAATCTTCGGTCGATCGCATTTCCTTGTATCGCGACTGGGGTTTATGGCTATGACAACGAAAAGGCAGCAAATGTAGCTCTGTGGACTACTCGAAAGTTTATCCAAGACAGAATGACGGCAGGCAAAGATCCAGTAAGTTTATTTTTGACACATTGACAAAATGATAAAAACAACAACAACAACAAAAGAATTTAATTGAAATTGAAATTGAAATTGGAATTGAAATATAAAGGTGGACAAGATCATATTTGACCTCTTTAACCAAAAAGACATTGCGATTTACAAAGGTAAGAAACATTATGATCCATTACTCTCACAAGAATATATATATGTGTGTGTGTGTGTGTGTGTATGTGTAAATCGTGTAAACTCATTCATTACTGTATATATCACCACTATTACCACTACCACTACCACTACCACTATCATCGACAATATCCGAAAACAAAAACGAAAAAAAAAGATCTTTTGCCAGTCTATTTTCCGGCTGCTTCTACTACCATTGAAAATTCATAAAAGAAAAGAAAAAATAGATTGTGATAACCAATAGAAAAAAATACAATGGAAATATAACATTTGGTTTCCTGATTTCAAAAAAATAAAATAAAGAAATATATATCTTTTGATCTCTTTTTTTTTTTTGGTTTTCCACACTGAGTCCCCTCTTTATATTTTTATTTTTATTTATTTTTATTTTCTTAATCCTTGCTCTTCTTCAATGTCTCCTCTACAGCGGGCTTCAGTAGTAATAGTAATAGCAGTAAGAAAACAAAAAGTCAATTAATTGTCCTCTCTTCAAGTATACATGCTCTTCATCCTTTCTATCTATCTATCTCTTTGGTTATTAAGAAAGCCCTGACTTACAGTGGATCGAGTAGAGTACATGCTCTCAACATCCTTCTTGACATCCGAAAAGGTCTTCTTGCCTTGTTCAACCTTGGCAGACACCTGGCTTTCTACATTAGATGTCTCACCCTTGACCTTGTCGAGACCGGACTGGAACTGGCTGGCAAGGGAGCTGGCATTGCTGTCAACTGCACCTCTGAGCTGAGCAAGAACACCCTCGACTTCCTGGCGGACCTCGTGGACGACCTGGTCAACAGAGTGGTGGACTGACTGGAGCTCAGGGTATCTTTGTTCCAAACGCTCGGCCTGGACACCGATGTTGTGGGTGGTCTTGGGCAACAGGTAGACGGCAGCACCGTAGGCAAGTGCACTTGAGGTCAAGAAGCGAACGACAACGTTGTGCTTGCGAGCAATGATTGTACCAGCCAAGGCAGCAACACCGACGTACAGGGCGTTGGGAAGAACGTCTTCATCGGTGACGGTTTCACGAACAGTAGCTACATCAATAATATTATTATTAAGTTCAATACAATCCAACACAATCCAATCCAATCCAATATTAATTCCATTAACATATATATATGTTCTTATACTCTTGGACTCGCATGGCAATAATAAGTATAATAATAGTCTAGATTATCTAACCTTTGACGTCGTTTTCAAAGTTCTTCAACTTTTGGTGAAGAGAATCTACATGACCCTACAAATATAATAAAATATAATCCAATATTGATATTGATATTGATATCGAGATATTAATATATTGATATATCGTGCGTGTGTGTGTGCGTGTGTGCGTTCGTGCGTGCGTGTGCTTGTGCGTTTATGCGTGTGTGCGTTCGTGTATATTTTTATGCATTTTTTTTTGTTTGGTGTCAAATGGTATCCATCAACTCTAATCGTCCTCACCTTGCCCTCTTCGATTGTGTTGTTGGCGTACTTTTGAGCATAAGCGACGTGTTCCTCGAGCTTTGTGGGAGACTCGACAATAATAACCTTTGGCTTGGGCTCATCGTAAATGCTAAGCTATCATATGAAATGGTACATACATATACATAAGCAAAGAAGAAGAAGAAATGAATAGGTTAATTATTAAATAAAAAAACATATGTTATATAAGTTTAAATTCAATTTAGTTCAATTCAAATCGATTTGCTTTGATTTGCTTCAATACATTCCCCCCAGCCCATACACCCACATAACCACCTATCAACCTGTCCACATATCTAGACATATAGATATATAATACTATCGAATTATATATATATATATATATATATATGATATAACTATGCTAAAATATAAAAATACATCTATAGATATATATAAATAAAATGTTAACCTTTTTCTCCTCGGCATAAACAGTAGAGGGCATGGAAGATGCCACAACAGCACTTGTAGCAGCGGCAGTTACCAACTACAAGGGGACATGATAATAAAAATAAAAATAATAAAAAATAATAATAATAGACAGATTCATTTTGAATGTGATGAGTTCTTCTTCTGCTGTCTCTCATTCTCTTTTTGTACCGTTTCTTTGAAGAACACTTCTTACAGATCGTCTCAGTACGGGCGAGAACATTTGCACAAGGAAGAGAAGAGGGTGAAATAATAAGCAGTAAAATATAATATAATATATATATATAAAAAACTGACTAAGGACTACCTTGCCCGAATAAAAAAAAAAAATCCCCTGCGACTGAGGACAACGTCACATCTTTTTTTTTCTTGTGGTTAATGTCGGACATTTAAGTATTAAAGGGGGGTGGGGGAAAGTGGAAGTGAAAGTGAGTTTAATTGAATTAAAGGAAAGACAACGTTTTTTTTTTGTTAATTTTTATTATTATTAATAGAGTAGTTCGAAGTTAATACGTCTATTAAATCAACAAAAACGTTGTACGAATGAAAGACCTTTACGACTATACACTTGCTCATGCGGGTCTATATACCCGCGCTATGCATGCTACACCTATTAAATGCTCAAAGGATCTACTACGAGTCAATAAGAATAATACTTCGTTTTCTCTCATTTGATACCAAATTCAGACTTGATAGGAACACGATTTGTAAAGACGAAAAGATGAGAAGAACGTCAAGGGTTAGATTGATATTAATTTCTAGATATTGTCCGAATGTGCGTAGAGTACATTACTTTATTTCCTTCTTTCTTTAGGAGAGAATCGCAATTCCCAATCCCCAAATGACATCTTTCTTTTCAACAGATAAAAGGCTAAAAGGGACTTATCAAACAATTATAAACAAGTAATTAAAGAAAGAAAGAAAGTCCACATGCACGTATGTGAGAGAGCTGACTTGCTACAAAATGCTGTATACGCTTATACAAAAAAAAAAGAGTCTTTGCAGAACGACTAAAATTGGGATTTATTGATTTTTACCTTTTACTATTTAAAACCAAAGCCAAATTGATAAACTATCGAAAGGAGAGAGAAAGATACTATATACTTTTCTTTTTTTTTTTGATAGCAACATTGTTCAGTAATGTTAGACTAAATGCGTAATAAGTAAATTCATATTATTATCGACAACTATATCTGATTTTGTTGTATCTATAATATGACATTAATCATTGCTCGAATAAATTATAAAATGATATAGCCTTTTGTAGATTGTACTGTGTATTTGATATAATAGTTGGCCAATAGCTTAAAAACGAAACAATATCTTGCCCAACTTGCTCTGATAGGTCTATAAACGTTGCCTTTAAAGCCTCTTGGTATCCTGGTTGTAAAAATTGTTTCCAGTTCATTAAACTTTACTGATCAGATCAAAACACTGTAATTTTGTCTCAAAACCTATCTATATATTTTCTTTATTCTTCCTCTTGGTGAGCATTAGTTTCCCATTTATCCAAAAAAGGTGAATAGATTGTCTGAATTGCAATTTTGATTCGCCCAAAAGAAAACTAATACAGTCTGTGTTTGAAGTAAAAACAGTGTATTTTGTAATTTATTTTAAGTGGCGCCTCCCAATAAAATAATTTTCTCAACAAATCACTGCCAAAATGTGAGATGCCGACATAAATTACCTGAGTTTGACGTGAATTTCAGAGACCAAAAAAAGAAAAAAAGAAAAAAAGAAAAGACCAGATTTTTTCAATCTCAACATCATCTCTTTAACCCCTGACCCCTCTAACTTCTTTTTATATATATATATATATTTTTTAATTTTTTGCACCCTCATTCTCACCTCACTTTTCATCCTCAATTCTTCTATAGCTTTTCTTTTCCTTTTTAAGTAATTTTTAGTTTATTTTTCATTATTTCATTATTTCATTATTTCATTGCTCTTTTATATTTTTCTTTTCTTTCTTTCTCTTTCTTTCTTTCTTTCTTTCCTTCCTTCTTTCTTCTTTGGCTTTCTATATTTCTTGTCTTATTAGACATAGATTAATTTTTATATATATATATAGAACATATATATATATATATATAAATTTGTAGCTTCCTATTATGGATCCCAATGAATTTGCCGCAATGTCCCTTCAGGACTCTTCTCCTGATGAACAACAACAAAAACAGCGACACCAGCAACAACAACAACAATCTCCTTCCTCTTCCTCTTCGTCCTCTTTTTCTCCTATTCAACCTTCTCGTCCAATTCCGCCATCAATTGCCAGTGCACCAAATGCTATTCCAATGTCGTCGCGTCCTCAGCGGTCTGTACTGCCACCGATGAGCAGAACAGGAACCGCTCCTCCGATGAATGGCCGGTCTCCTTTACCTCCAATGAGCGGACGTTCGCCCTTACCTCCGATGAGTGGAAGAACTCCTCCGGGACCAATGCGCGGGAGACCTGGAAGGCCTGGTGGTCTTAATGGTGGTGGTGCTGGTGGAAGACCGGCTCTCAATCTATCTCAACTTGGCTTAACACCAAAACCAGAACAGACACCATTTGCCAACTTTTCAAAATACGTGCAAGTAACCAAATTATTATTATTATTATTATTATTATTATTATGTTTTAAAGCCAAACAACAACAACAACAACAACAACAACAACAACAACAAACCCCCCTTTTTTCCCCTCTTTTATTTATTCATTTATCTTTTATCATCAAACTCAATCACATTGATTTGTTTATGTAAAAAAAAAAGAAGAAGAAGAAGAAGTATCTAGATGTATATTGATATTGATATGAATATTAATATCTATATTATTTTAGTGATCCGTCTGGAAAACTCAATTTTGCTGGCAAGGCAATCATTCACGCAGACGGTGTTGATTTCAGTAACGGCAGCAGCTTTACCATCAAGATGGACGATCTGAAACTTCAAGAAGAACTTGGAAAGGGTCAATATGGCACAGTACAAAAGGTACGTAGCTGTAGCGTTGTATTTCTTACAAATACACAATAATTTCTATTTTTGGGTACACAAGTATTAGATATATTTAGATATATATATTATTATGATTATGTATTCAAGTGTGTGTGTGTGCGTAAAAAAAAAGATTATATAAGACATGTCTAATAATATTATTATTATATATATGAATATCAGGTGTCTCATCAAGTGACCAACGTTGTCATGGCAATGAAGGTAAGTAAAAAAAAAATTAAATAGATAGATAAAGTAGATAAATTTGTATACAATATGTAATTGGTGTATATAATAGTAATAATAATTATGTGAATGAATGAAAGGATATTAATTAATATATATATTTCTTTAAAAAAAAAAAAAGGAAATTCGGTTAGAATTGGATGAAACAAAATTGCACCAGATTTTGATGGAGCTGGATATTTTGCACAAGAGTACAAGCGACTACATTGTAGAGTTTTATGGCGCGTTCTTTATTGAATCGTGTGTTTATTATTGCATGGAGTACATGGATGCCGGTTCACTCGACAAACTCTATGGCGATGGTGTTCCAGAAGATGTTTTGTCAAAGATTACACATTCGGTATGAATCACCATTTCAATTTTTTCAATTATTTGATTAATTTTTTTTTTTGGTTATTAGATGGTGAAAGGACTTCGATTTCTCAAAGATGACCTGTCTATCATTCACAGAGGTAACAATACACATGTATACATTATGGATAAATGAAGAAAGTTTAGTATTAAGAGTAGTAGTAACATCAGAAATAAGCAACGCAAACTTCTTTTTGTAAAAACTGAAAAAAAAAAGACTCATGATTTCATCTTTCTATCTATTTATATATATTATCAAAAGACGTCAAGCCTACCAATGTACTAGTCAACTTGGCAGGTCAGGTTAAATTGTGTGATTTTGGTGTATCTGGACAGTTGGACAAGTCTTTGGCAAAAACCAATATTGGTTGCCAGAGTTACATGGCTGTAAGTTGAATTTCTCTCTATTTGTCTAATTCTAACATTGTATATTTTATATCATTTTATTATTATTTTTTATTTTATTTTAGCCTGAACGTATCAAGGCCGCCAATACATATACTGTTTCGTCAGATGTGTGGTCCCTGGGTCTGTCGTTGGTTGAAATGGCCGGTGGAAAGTACCCTTACACCTATGACAACATGTTTGCCCAACTAAAGGCCATTGTTGATGAAGAACCCCCCACACTACCGGAAGAGTTTACACCAGATGCCAAAGACTTTATATCAGCCTGGTAAGGTTTCACTAAACAAAAAAGCAAAATAGAGACATAGAAAAGATATATATATATATATATATATATATATTTGTGTGTGTGTGTGTGTAATTGGGCTGGACTAGACTAGACTGGATAGGATAGGATAGGATAGGACAAGTGTTACGGATTTCTTTACCTATCAAAAGAATAATAATAATATACTTATTTATTCAATTATATGCATGTATGTATAAATATTTAATAGTCTGCGTAAGGATCCTCAGAAGCGACCAACTTATGGCGAGTTGCTTGAACATCCGTTTATTACAAAGTATCAGGATGTAGATGTAGATATGGCTGCGTGGGCTCAGCAAGCATTGGCAACGCGAAAGGCAAGAGATCTTGAAGCCAGACAGAAATCTGTAGCCAAGCCCAATGTTTCTTAATTTGATTTTTTTTTATTTTTCTTTTTTTTTTTTACTTACTTACTTACTTACTTACTGTCTGTCTTTATTTCTAACCCACAAATACAACCTTTTTCATTCACTCCTTTTATATATGTATACAATACACACTACAAACACACCATATAAATATATATATATACGCACCCACTATTCTCTTCTTTCTCTCTTATAAATACATGTAATATTTATGACCAGTCATATATACATATAGTGAATGGGAAAAAAGTATCAATGTTTATGACATTTTAGAAAAATCAAAATTACTATAAAGCATATAAATATATATGCTTTGTATTTTTATATATATAAATAAAGTTCATATTCCGAAAGCGGGATCTATGGTCTTGTGTTTCAAAACAATATATATTTATATTATAATAATGATATCTAAAGAAGTTATTGTAAGGAAGTATTATTATTACTACTAATAATAATAATAGTTCATGTCAAATAAATAAAATAAATAAATATATATTTTTTTTTGGTCAAGAAGTATAATATATATATACAAATATTTAAAGTGTCATTTCTTTCTTTTTCTTTTTTTGATCACGTCACCACAATATAAGTAAGAGAAAAGAAAGGAAGGAAAAAAGTTATCCTGTACATCCCACATCATTTAATTTTTTATTTTTTTTTATTTCGCGGTTGTCCCGTTTCCGTACAAAAAAATAAAAAGGAAAGTCACACAAGCTTGGTTTCTATTTCTTTCTTTCTCTCTCTCTTCTTTTTTTTTTTTTTTTTTTAATTATCACCACCCCCTTTTTTATTTTATTTTATTTTATTTCTCTTCTTTTTATTTCTCGACACTTTAATATACATATCATTTGTTACTATGGCAAGCCCTGAATTCAGTAGTCCTCTTAGAAAATACAAGCTTGTATTTCTTGGTGAACAGAGTGGTAAAGAATACATCTATGCTATTAATATATATTCTTGTATTCACTTACACGACATGTCATATATATATATATATATATCTATATAAAATAGTTGGAAAGACTTCTTTGATCACCCGGTTTATGTATGACACCTTTGACAACACTTATCAAGTAATACAGACAAACATACGCTCTAAATACAATATACCTAAATATCTAATTTTCATATTTATATATACTTATTTATGAATAGGCTACTATTGGAATCGATTTTCTGTCAAAGACAATGTACCTAGAAGACAAGACTGTTCGATTGCAACTATGGGATACAGCAGGACAGGTAATATAGATAATAGGAATAATAATAAGAAAAGATTGGTTATCGGTATAGTTATTGATGTAAATGTATCTTAGGAACGTTTCCGTAGTTTGATCCCTAGTTACATCCGTGATTCATCAGTAGCCGTGATTGTTTATGACATTTCTAGTGAGTAATACTTGTGTGGTAGTAATAATATCTAACGACATGTATGTATATTTTAATAATAAAACATAAGACCGGGATTCTTTCCTCAATACGTCAAAGTGGATCGACGATGTTCGGGCTGAGCGTGGTAACGAGGCTATTGTTGTATTGGTTGGTAACAAGACAGATCTCAACGAAAAGCGGTAAATTTGATTTGATTTGATTTGATTTGACTTGAGATTGATTATAATACCAACATACTTATACTTTATTGTATTCTTATCAAGTGAGGTGACAGCTGATGAAGGTGAGAAGAGAGCCAAGGAATTGAATGTCATGTTTATTGAGACAAGTGCAAAGGCTGGACACAATGTAAGCTTTTATTCATTATAGTTATAAGATATAATTTGAGAAAATAAAAATAAAAAGATTTCTTTCTTTCTTTCTTTCTCTTTGTCTTATGCATGTTATTGGTTAAAATAGGTCAAGACTCTTTTCCGCAAGATTGCACAAGCCTTGCCTGGTATTCACCAAGGCACCAATGACACCAAGGAACAGAGTAAGTGAAATTATTTATATTACTTTTGTTGTATTCTTGTCTAATAAGAATATTTTTATTGTAGTGCAAAAAGTCAACTTGAGCAACTCGAATACTGAAGCCAGTGGTTGTGCTTGTTAAACAAAAACAAATATCCTCTTATTATATCGTTGCTATACTTCTTTTTACTACTACTACTACTACTACCTGAAGATGTTGTTGTTGTCGTTGTTGTTGTTAATTATATAAAAAAAAAGAAAAAAAAAGGGGAGGAAAGAAGAAGAAGAAGAAGAAGATGATGATGATGATTTTTTTTTAAAAAAAAGGGTTTATTTTAATATTAACAACAACAACAACAGCAACAGCAGCAGCAGCAGCAGCATTAGTAGAAAAACAAAAACAACAGCAACAATAGCAACACAATAATTTCTTATATATATACTATATTACACTATACTACACTATACTGCACTGCATTGCACTACACTACATTGCATTACACTAATCATATACATACATTTTATATATATATAGATGTATGTTATGTTATGTGATGTGATGTGATGTGATGTGATGTTGTGTGTGTGTGTGTGTGTGTGTATCTTTGTCTCTATATCTTTGTCTCTATCTTTCTATATCTACCTCTTTTCTATAATGTTTCTTTATATTTCATATCAAACTATCTATTAAACTATCTACCTGTATCTCTCTTTATGTGCCTATTAATTCTTACATACACTTCTCCTCTTTATCTTCTTGTTCCTCCTGCTTAACTACTTCTTTATTAACAAATAAAACAATAATATAATCTAATCTAATTTACCTTGCCTGTGCATAAAATTAAATATAATAATTATTAAATATTATATTTTTAATATCTAATTATGATACAATTATCCAAAACAAGACAAGACAATAGAATAAATAGTAGTAGTAGTAGTAGTAGTAGTAGTAGTAGTAGTAGTAGTTACAGGATATCTCTATACATCTAATTTATTTATTTTTTGTATGTAATAATCATAACAAAATCTCACCTCATTTTTCATTTGCCCCTTTTTAATTCTCTCTTTATTCTTGTCCCCTCTTTCGACCCCCTTTATTTCATATGTATTTTTTTTTTACCCTTTTATTTTATCTATTTAATTTCATATATATCATATTAGAAATAAGAATTCTTCTATTTTGTGATGATAATGATATGTCTGTGTAGTGTGTCAAGTATGTCTGTGCGTGCTAAATCAAATATATATATATATATATATAAAAGAGAGAGAGAGAGAGTGTATGTGTGCACATTTTATTTATTTATTTAAAAAAATAAAAATAAAGAAATGATCTTGCGATTTGACCGAAAGATTATTTGGGGTATAAGTGGCCGTGTAACAAAAGTCTGTAAAAAAATAATAAAAAAGATGTGAAAAAGTTAAGAAATAATGTCTTTCATTTTTCGCATATTATTATTTTTTAGAGGCATTTGTTTATAAGAAAAAAGAAAGAAGGGAAAAAAAAAAGCGCAAAATGGTATAAAAGATGTGAAGTGTAGTGAAGTGTGTGATTTGAAAAAAAAGAAAAAAAAAAAGGTTTGATAGATAGATAGGTAGATAAATATAATTATTATATAAATAAATAAATAATTATACATAAAAGAAAGAGAGAGAGAGAGAGAGAGAGAGAAAAAGGAAGCGTACAAAATAAAATAAAATAAAATAAAAATTTAGGGTGCCTAATAATAATAATAATAATTAAGAGAGAGAAAAAAATACAAAATAATAAAAAAAAATATGTATATAAAATATAAAGAAAGAAAGAAAAAATACAAGAATTAAAGCAAAAATAAAAATAAAATAGAAAATATCAAGAAAAATATATATAAAAAAATAAAATAAAAGAAAGCGTAATTTTTTTTTCAACACTACAAAAAACCAACGAAAATGAATACCAAGATTCTTTTTTTGATAATAATGATGTTGATGATGATGTGTTTGGTGCTAATTGGCTTTTTTTTTTCTTTTTTTTTTTTCTTTCTTGTTTCGTCTTTTTTTTTTTTTTTTTTGCTTTGCTTTGGTTTTTTTTTTTGATTTTCTGGGGTTTGAGATGGTGGGGAAGAAATAAAGAAAGAAAAGGCGTGTATAAGAAAAGAAGAAGGAGAAAAAGGGGAAGAGGGTGAAGAGGAGAAGAAGAAGAAGAAGAAGAAGAAGAGGGTGAAGAAGAAGAGGGGTTAAAGATTTTTGGTTTTGGTTTTGGTTTGGTTTTGGATATCGATTGGTTTTGTACAAGTTTTATACTCCCAAATAAAAAGTAAATAAATAAAATGTGCTTTGCTTCTTGTCTTGTCTTGTCTTCTCTTGTCTTGTTTTGGTGATTCTTTGTGCGCCTTTTGTGCCTTGTGCCTTGTGCCTTGTGTATATGCTTTGTGCTTGTGTGTGTGTGTGTGTATATATATATATATATATATTTGTGCCATGAAATCAAATCAAATCAAATCAAATCAAATATAATAAAAAATAAAAATAAAAATAAAAAGTCATCCATTTTTGTTGGTTTTCGAGCCTTTGCTTATTTTAGGATTTTGCGGCCTGAAACAGCTCGGCCTGGGCAACCGCATCCCGATGGAGTGCTTGACCAAGTTGGTGCATTTGCCGATTGTTGCAAGTGAGCCAGTGGAGATCGGCTTTGAGGCCATTCATCTGCAGGGCCTGGAGGTTGATGAATGTCTTGGCTCGCTGCAGTTCTTTCCAGGTTCGCTCCCACTCGGCTGCTTCGTCGGCCTCAAGTCCTGCCTGGCGGGTGCGCAATTGCTGGTTGACCTGGTCCATGTGCAACCGGTATTTTTGAAATCGGGTCTCGAGACGCTTGCGAACCATGTGATCGGCCTCAAGCGCCAGTCGCTGCTCGCCAATCGTCCACAGATGTCGGGCAATCTCTTGCTCGTCTGCGGCCACACGGAGCTCGAGTCCGCTTATGGTTTGAACTTGTTGACCACAGGTGTGCTGCAGCTTATCATGTGTCTGTGTGAGTAGCGCATGCTCTGCTCGGTACTGCTCAACTGCCCTGCCATGCTCCTCCCGCTCACCGGCCGCAAGCTCTTCAAGCTCACCGTGCTCCGTTCGCAAATTCTCCAGGCTCGTCCGGAGCTCAGCCGCCTGGGCCTCTTCGGCTGCCAGGCTGGTCTTGGTCTGCTCTAGTGCGGTCGAGGTTTCTTCCAAGGACTCGATCGTCTCGTCAAGCGCCGTCGTCGTCTCATTGAGATTTCCAGTCGTCTCCTCGAGCTGGCCCATCGTCTGCTCCAATTTGGCCGTCGTCTGCTCCAATTTGGCCGTCGTGTCTACCAAACTGGCCGTGGTCGTCCTCAGGTCTGTCTGGAGCTCTTCAACTCTGGCCTGCAGATCGCTGTTCTGGGCTTCTTTTGACTCGAGTTTCTCGGCCGTCTGGTGGAGCTTATCGGCCGTCAGGGTCAGTTGGTCGGATGTCTGTCCAAACTTGGTCTCTAGCTCTCCAATCGTCTCAATCAAACCGGCGTTCTCGGTTTGCTTTGTGTCCAACTGGTCGGCTGTCTGGCTGAGCTTTGCGGCCGTTTCATCAAGTATGGCCGTGGTCTGGTCAAGGTTGGTCTGCAAGCCTTTGATGGTCTGTTGGTGTGTGGTGTTTTGGGTCGTCTGGGTCTCGAGCTCATCTCTGGTGTTTGCCAGACACTCGGTCTGTTTGAACAGCTCGTCCGTAGTCTGGTCGAGCTTGTCGGTCGTCTGCTCAAGTCCACTCTCGAGCGCATCGATTGTGTGCTGCAGGCAGGTGCACTCGTCCTGCTTCTTTTGCAAGCTCTCGGTGGTCCGGACCAGATGCTCGGTTGTCTGGTGAAGCTGCTCAGTCGTCTGGCCAAGCTGGCTCTCTAGGGTCTGTACGGTATGCTGGAGCCGAGTGATGTCGGCCTGGCGCTGGTTCAGCAATCGAGCGGTCTGTTCGAGTTCTAGTCGCAAGGTCTGCAGAGCCTCCTGGCTGGCTTCATCGGCCAGCCGTGCATTCGTCTTTGTTTCGTCGACGATGGTCTCGAGCGACTTGATTGTAGAGAGGTGGCTGGCTACCTGGCTGCGTAGTTCGCTAATGATCTTTTGGTTGTCCTGGACTATTGCCTCGTGGCGCTGTCGGTCAGCAAATGCAGCTGTCTGAAACTGTACTGTCTCGAGTCTAGAGGAATCAAGCTCCTTTTCGGCCAGATCTAGCTTCTTCTGCAACTGGACTATTTTGGGTGATTTTTCAATAGTTTTTTCCTGGCGAGTAACCTATATATTTTTTATTTTATTTTATTTTATTTTATATGTATGTATGTAAATTTTGATAATGATAATTATGATATCAATATACATATATTATACATATTGATATTAAATAAATAAAGAATTAAGATTAATATTAATATTAATATTGAATGTTGTTTTTATTTTTCTTCTTCCTTTACTTTATTAATAATAACAATAATAATAATTATATATAAATAAATAAATATAGATTTATATGATTTGATTTGATGTGATGTGATTTTTGATATTTGATTTTCAAGGCAATATTATTATTATAGTTATTATTATTTGGCGTGGGTGTGGCGTGGGTGTATTTATATATATATATATATTTTATTTGTTTGTTTGTTTGTTTGTTTGGTTTTATTTATTTATTTATATAAAAAAGAAAAAGAAAAAAAAACTTACGGTCTTTTGGAGCGCGTTGTTCTTTTGGCGTACATCGGCTAGTTCGAGCTCCTTCTCCAAAACGCTTGCCTGCAGCTCCGTCTTCTCTGTCGCAACTGTCTGCAGACTGGCTTCTAGTTTGCGACCTCTGGTTTGCAAGGAGTCGATTTCCTTTTGCATTGCTTGGCGGTACTTTTCGAACTGGTAACTGATATTTGAACCGTGGCGTGATCGATCATCGTTCTTACTACCAGATGAAACAGTCGATAGACTTGAGGGAGAGTTTTCGCCTATGAAGCTGTAATCCGAATATGTAGAGTCAACTAGAAGACATTGTGTAATGTTGCGTATTTGTGGTTGTGGTTGTCGTTGTAGTTGTTCGTACATATTACATATGATTTAATAATCACAATCATAATTATAAAAAAAAATAAGACAGAAAATAATAATGAATAAATTGTACATATTTCTTCTTTTTTTTTAATATTAAATTAAATATATATATATACACCTGTACACCTGTACATCTACAGACTCATATACTTTCGCACATATATATATATGTATGTATGTATGTATGTAAGCATGTGTGTACATATAATGTAGATGTATAGATGTATAGATATATTTTTTTACCTGATAATAAACTTTCTGAAAATCTACCTCCATTATAACTGAATCGGCCCCGCCTGTTCATTTCTTCCGTGGGAACATCATATTCTCCAGGGCCAGGAATATAGTCTTTGGCACCTATAGGGGCGAGGAATAGACTAGATGAGTGAGCAGAGAGTCAGTGCGTTACGATTGGGGTTTGAAGCGGGGGGGTTTACCTTCCTGGAACCGTTTAGATTTTGCAAACATTAAATATTTATAGAAAATATAATACTAATTATGCCGATAATGTTTGATATAAATATGAAATATGAAATATTGGTTATTTAAATAATTATCTAATTAATTAATTAATTGATTGATTGGCTGGTTTAACTGAATATTTATATATATAAATAAGAAGAAGAAGAAGAGAAGAAAAATAATAGAGAGAAATAGTGAATTATATAGAGAATTGAAAATGATTGGTTTATATATATATATATATATATATATATAAATAAATAAATAATTATATGTACACAAAATATATTTATATTTATATTTATATTTATATTATATAAATAAAATAAAGTAAAAAAAAAAAGAGAGAGAAAAATAAGCGAATGATAAAAGCAAGAAGAAGGAAAGAAAGGAAAGAAAGAAAGAAAGAAATAGAATAAGAATTAGAGATCTATAGAAATAAAACCCTTTCTTTTTCTTTTTCTTTTTGAACGGCAGTTACTTTATTTGGTGATCACTTTATGTAGTTGTTAATACAGTTTATTGAACACTGAACACTGCACATTTTTTGCATAGGTTTTGCATTACATCTTGCACACTTTGGACTCGTTTGTAAACAGATTCCTGAACAGATACCTAGCATGTATCGAGAAAAATAAGGACTACAGATCAGTACAAAAGAATGCTGATAATTAAATTAAGGTTTTTATCATTAATGATGTATATATATATCAAACACCTTGTTACATTAATTTGTTAGCATCTTGGTTAAAATGATGAGTGATTAAATGTTGTGAATGTGTCGAAATATTTGGGAATTTCTTTATTTTTAGTGTGAAATAGACTTTGTATGATAATTTTTTTTTGCTGAGCCCTTTTTATTTTATATGTATTTTATATCCATTTCTACATGCCCCCCCTCCCCTCTCTCTCTCCTTACTCCTTCGTTTTCCCTTGCCTCTCTTTCTTTCTTTCTTTCTTTCTTTATCTTGTATCTCCTTTGATCCTAGATTGGGTTTAGTCAAATAATAATAATAATATTTTTTGACACTTTTTATTTATTTTTTGTGTACAATTTTTATAATTAATTATACATATTCCATAATTATTATTATTTTTAAAAGAACTTTTGAGCCTGTTCAAGAGCAAATGGAGCTGTGTAATCATCATTAGCATCATAAACAACCAATAAAATATAGACAGATAGATAAAGAGAGGGAAATATAAGAAACTTTAAAATAAAATTATCAATGTCTACTGACTAAATTGATATTATTAATGCTCTTAGTATTATTATTATAATAACATACCAGCACGGAGAGCAAGTACTACAAGGAAGAAGTTGGAGACTGTACCGATAGTACGCTGTCTAAGGAAGGCCTTTTCTTCAGGAGTGAGGGTGGGTTGCTATTAGATGACTTTAGTAATCGCTTTGGCCATCTTATATATAATCACTTTTATTTTTATTTTTAAATTTCTTCAAAAAGAGCTACAGTTCAACTTTTGCTCTTTATATTGTATGTTGTTATTACCTGAGGCATGAACATTGTGAATGAAGTACTATTGTTATTCTCTTTATTGGTTGAAATGTGTATAAAAATAAATAATTATTTATTTATTCAGTACACCAAAATAGTTGATTGTTTATTATTATTATATAAATAAATAATAAGCCGCCCTTCAACGTCACAGAAATAAGATTTGCCAGCCGATGGATCTCCGGAATATTCGGAGCAACGTCCGAAAAAAAATTAAAAAAAATGATGTTCACTTTCTATACATGTAACTTTTTCTATAACCCATATGTTTCATACCCATAAAAAAAATAATAAAAAATAAATAAAATGCCCTTTATTTATTTATTTTTTTGATTCTCAACCACCTCCTCTTTTGTGTCCAAGTGTAAGAGTATAAGATTCATTCATTCATTCATACATACATACATACATACATACATACATATTCTCTTACTTCTTCCTTTGCTTCTTCTTTATCATTTTTATTAGAATGCTACATCTATTATATATATAAATATATAAATATATACATATTGAAATAGGCACAGTATAGTACAGTACAGTACAGTACAGTACAGTACAGTACAGTACATCACGTCACGCCATGCCATGTCATCATAGCCATACCTACAACCCAATAAACCTACTGCCATATCCATATCCATATCCATATTAATATTGATATCCGTAGCCATAACCTTCTTATTCTTATTCTTCATCATTATCGTTATTGTTATTTCTATTACTCACACTCTACTCCCTGTCTCCGTCTTTTATATATAATATATACACAAAAGAAGAAGATCAAGCAGCAAATCACATGACTAACGCTCGTATTCTTATATCTCTTGGTTTCTTTGATTGCTCAATTCATTTAGCTATGAAATAAATCATAATCTTTACAAATTACTTGTATATACGTTTTTATAAAGAGAAATAAAAGGGACAAATGATAGCAATATGAATAAAAATAAAAATAAAAATGCTGATATACATGTGTAGTGTGCAATGTATGGTGTGTATGCAGTAATAGAGATCATCTATTTATCTATCTATTTTCTAGCAAGATATTAAAACACAAAAGTATCCAATAAGACTGTGACTAATAAATGATCATCATTTTCTCACCTATTAAAACCTTGTAATCGGCAACTCTATTTCCCGAAGCATTCTTTTTTTTTTTTATATAAAAAAAAAATCCCATTTTAAGGTAACCCAAGCCAATGAATCATAATGCTTATTGTTCATATTACATAAAAGCTTTTGAATTGTCATTAATTAATTTAATCATATTTAATAAAAAAAGATACATACATACATTATCAATTAATGCCCTGACCAGTAATCTGAAATAAATCAACAAAAACAGTAACAATAGCAGCAATAGAAATTATAGCAAAAATAGTATATATTTTCTATATTTGATCTACAAAGCTTTTTATATACACACACAACTTTTTTCCAGAATGATGTCGCAAGAAAAAAAAAACAAGACATCGAACTTTTAAACAAATGTCGCATATATTCCTTTATTTATGTTAAAAGGTTATTTTACACATTCAATTCAATTTTTGGAATGAATGAACAAGAACATGGTCTTTATTGGGATTATGAGATAATAGAGAAATAGGCAATCCAAGCCATCACTTGTAAAAACACGAAATATACATTGAAAAGCGTCTTTGGCTGTCCTGCATGCACTGAAAATTGCTATTGGATCCATATCTGTGTCTTTTTCCTCTTTTTGGCACCAATTATTATATTTTAGTAAAACAAAATCAATTTAAAAAAAAACGCGTTTCACATACTACAACTTTTGATATGATAATGCAAATGGAGCCTCTCACTAGAGACCCAAAACCATTGGGCCATAACTATTTCTATTCAATTCTTGTCTCGGAACCAGCACTCAAAAGAACAGCCACAATACTTTAACGAATAGGGTCTCAGTACTATCGATAGTATTGAAGCAATGAATGGCATTAAGAAAACCTCGAATACCAATAGAGACAGTTAACAGCATGATTAGGATTATTGAAGATCCCACCATAGGAGAAGTCGATCGAGACATTGAATTGGTTCACAAGCTACCCCGTGTATTTATTGCAGAGAATACAAGCAAATATGAGCTTAGCACTCGATACATTGATTCTTTCTCATGTAGCTTATTTAACAATCCTGACAAAGGTATATATATATATATATATATATATGTTGGATTAAATGATACTGGGAAGCTCAAGAACACAAAGATTTGTTGATGCATCACCCTGAGAGCTTTGCATATCCAGTTCCAGTTTACAGGAGTGAAATGTAAGGCGTCTTGGGCATATAACATGTAATTGGACAAGCTATTAAGTTTTATAATCACCATTGATGGCTTGAATGGAGTGTTCTCATCATCTAATAATCGCAATAACGATCATGTTCTTGTTCATTCATTCCAAAAATTGAATTGAATGTGTAAAATAACCTTTTAACATAAATAAAGGAATATATGCGACATTTGTTTAAAAGTGCGATGTCTTGTTTTTTTTTCTTGCGATATCATTCTGGCAAAAGGTTGTATTCTTAAATTCAACGGGAAATCGTTTAATTCTAGTCCAATCAAATATACTTTTTTTCTTTCTTTCTTCAGATTTGTTGAGTTTAATAATCTTTTATATACATATATATATATATATTATATTATATTAAACACCCCCACAAAACACATCTAATCCCCCCCCCTCTCTCTCTCTCTCACACACACACACACAAACTCTCTTTTTCTCTCTTTTATTTCTTTAAATATCTTCTTCCTTTCTCTTACTTGCTTTCTCTTCCTTTCATTCATTCAATTAAATATTTTAAATGGCAACAAAACCCGAGGTCGCTGCAGTACAGCCAACAATCAAGCCTGTTAGAACCACAAAGGATACCGTCGTTGGTTTTGCCATTGGAGGATTAGCAGCATGTGGAGCAGTGACATTTACTAATCCCTGGGAGGTAATTACAAGAATCAGCCCTTCAAATAAGACAAAATATAGTATATTGTTTTATGTTATGCTATGCGATAATATAAAGTATTTGATTACCCCTATTATTATAGTTATTGTAGATATTGATTATTCATCATAACGAAAAGAAAAGAAAAGAAAAGAAAAATAACAAACAAATACAAATATATATATATATATATATATGTAGGTGGTCAAGACAAGACTGCAGTTACAGGGTGAGCTGGTCCGTGCAGGTACCCTGTCAGAGGCTTCGAGACCTTATCACAACAGTTTCCAGGCCCTCAAGCTGGTCTTTCAAAAGGAAGGTATTCGAGGCTGCCAGCGTGGTTTGGGTGTGGCCTATGTCTATCAGGTCTGCCTGAACGGAAGTCGGTTGGGACTTTATGAGCCAGTCTACACCTCGACAGTCAATGCACTTGGGTTGAAATCGGATCATGCCCTGGTTGGTGCAGGTGTGTTTGCAGGCGCAACTGCAGGAGTCATTGGTGCAATTCTTGGATCGCCCCTTTATCTCATCAAGACCAGAAGACAATCTTACTCGCCCGTGTTCCGCCAGATCGGATTCCAACACCAGATGGGATCATCGGTCGGTGCTCTGGCCGAGATCTGGAAAAAGGAGGGTATCAGAGGACTCTATCGTGGTGCTGATGCCGCAATGGCCCGTGCTGGTGTCGGTTCGGCCGTCCAGATGCCTTCATACATGTTTGGAAAGCAGTTGTTGATCGACCGCTTCCATTGTGCAGACAGCATCGGCACACACTTTGGTGCATCGATGTTCACAGGTGTCCTGGCCTGTCTGTCGATGAATCCTTTTGATGTCATCTCAACCCGCATGTATAACCAGGGCGTAGATCCCGCAACCGGAAAGGGTCTCCTCTACAAGAACCCTGTCGACTGTCTACTCAAGATTGTTTCTACAGAAGGTGTCGGTGGTCTCTACAAGGGTTTCTTTGCCCACTTTTTACGCATTGGGTAAGTCATTTGTGGATCGAGTGTTTTGGATAGAGATTTTATGTCCAAAGTGTGTGCTTGTGTATATTGGGATTCTTTCTAATCAAATATCCTTTTGTATTTATCTATCATTATTGTAGCCCACACACAATGCTTATGTTCATCTTCATGGAGCAGTTAAAGACAGTTTACGCAAAACATTTCTAGACACTTTATTATCACTATTAATTTGTTATTACCAGTATTATTATTCCTCTTCTTCTTTTACTACCCAAAACCTACACATACACCTTACATACACAAAAAAAAACCCCCCCACCACCATTATATACACACTATATAGATATATATACAGACAAACAGACAGGCAGACAGACACACATACGCATATATATATATATAAAACAATATGTATGAAAATAAGCTATATACACACTGTACACTGTAATTGATGATTTTGTACTTTTTTTTTTGCTTTTAATGTGTATGAATAAATTAAATTGATCAGCAATTTATAGACATAGTAAAATGAAACATAAAAAAAAATGATCTTTTGGTAAGTAGGTAGGTAGGTAGGTAAGGTAGGTAGGTAAATAGTGGCTATAGAAAGAATTGTTTATTTATTTATTTATTTTAGATGCATTGAGTACTTTAAAATTAAATATATAGGTCCAATTGGAATGCGATGATGAATGCGGGATGAAGAATAATAGAAAGAGTGAAAAGTGAAAATGTTATAATATCCCGTCTGAGTCAATGATTGTGGAATAAGAATGCGGGTGTGTAATTGCGCCATTTTGGTGAGCTTTAACTGGACCTTTCTTTTTTTTTATCCCAAGCGATGGATGGCGTGCCCATTTAAAATAATAGAAAAAGGTAAATCATATCCGGAAAGATCTATGATTATTTTCCCTTATTGTTTTGTTTTTTTTTTTGAAAAAAAAAAGAATATAGCCTATAAACTGCCCCCCCTTTTTTCCTGCTTCTCCTTTGCTCCTTCTTTCATTCTCAATACAATTCCAAAATGTTTACTTCTGCTGCACTAGTTGCTGCTCTTGTAAAGTCAAAGGTTTACCCAAGCATCCAGACCAATGAGCCTGTCATTCTGTCCAAGCAGGTCTTGACTACAGTTGCAGATCTGGTTGTTCAAGAAGACGCTGCCTCTACAACAGGCAGCCAGGCAACCATCGTCGACCAGGACATCCTTATCCGTCTCCAGTCAGCCGTCCAGAGCCTTTTTGCCGGATCAGAAGCAGACAACAAGATCCGCATTACAGACGCTAACCATGCAGTCGATTATGTCGCCCACTGTCTGTCTGACATTGTCTTCATCTATCCCGGAATCACCACCGATGCCTACCTCGGCCAGGCTCTTAAGTCCTGGGCATCAAACACCCTCGACACTCCTGCCATTCGCAACGGCCAGGGAGAACTCGTCAAGGTTGTCGAGATGGAGACTCGCACCGGTGCCCTGACAGCTGTCCAGGGTGCCTTGGCTGAAGCCAATTCTTCAAAGACCGTCACTGTCCTGACTTCATCTCAGGCCTTGCTGTCCATGATCCCCAACTTACACGCTCTCGCCATCGCTCGCCAGCCCGTCGTCTTCCATGTTGCCTCCCACTACGTCGACCAGGACCTCGTTGCCCACTCCAACGTCGACGCCGTCTTGGCTGCCCGCAACACCGGTGCGCTTCTCTTGGCTTCTTCTACCGTCCAGGAGGCCCACGACATGTCCCTCGTTGCCCATCTCTTGTCCCGCGCTGTCCAGCTGCCCGTCATCCACTACTTTGACGGCGTATCGGCCTCCAGAGACATCCAAAAGGTCAACCTGTTATCCTATGGCCGCATTGCCGCCCTTGCTGCTGCCCAGTCAGTCGAACAGTCCAAGAAGTCCTACGCCGAAGCTTATGCCACCGCCAAGGCTCTCTTGGCTCAGTTCGACTACAAGCCCTTTGACTACTTTGGCGACGCTGCCGCCGAAACTGTCTTGGTCACCCTTGGCGCCAGCTCCTCCACAATCGCCACTGCCGTCTCCCGTGCCTCCAAGTTCCTCTCTACTCGCGTCGGCTTGGTCTCTGTCCGTCTCTACCGCCCATGGTCCGAGGCTGATCTTATCGCCATCCTGCCCAAGTCTGCCACTCGTCTGGTCGTGCTTGAGGAAGGCGATGGTCTGTTTGCATTCAACGGCCCTCTCTTCCTCGACATCGCTGCCGCAATCCGATTCAGTGGTCTGTCCGTCAAGCCCCGTCTGGTCACCGCTCAGGCAAGCAGCTTCCATCACCTCAATGCCAGTCACATGCCTCTCTTGATCGATCAGGCCAGCCAGGCTACCTTTGTCGATCTGCAGACCGCTCCCTTCATCGTCACCCTTGCTGACCAAACCAGAGAAAAGGAAGAGAAGAAGGAATGGCAGGCATCCATCTGGGACTCCTCCGCTGAGACTGCTCTCCAGATCGTCCACCTGCTCCACCAGGACACCACAAGCGCCGTCCAGGCCGAAATCGTGTCTGATGCGCTCCATGTCGGTGGCCCAGTCATCAACACCCGCCTCACCACTGCCAAGAGCACTGCCGGCAGCCAGGTTGACTACCTCGGTATCCACGACACATCTCTGATCCGCGAGTACGACGTCCTTGCGCTGGCAAAGCCCAAGGCTGTGGTTGTCCTCAACGGCCCCTGGAAGCACGGTGACGACATCGAGGCCCACCTCACCAACGAGTTCAAGCTCAAGGCCACCCAGCTCGACATCAAGCTCTACACCATCGACAGCGCCCGTGTTGCACATGAGCTCGGTCTGCATGCCTCTGCCGTCCACCTGGTGTGGGAGGCCGTGTTTGGCCTGTTGGTCCAGCCTCTCGATCTGGTCAAGCGTCTCACTGCCCTCTACCGCGCTGTTGTGTCTAACGAACAAGACAAGCGTGATCTCAAGACCGTTGTATCCGAGGTTGTCGAAAAGGTCACTGCCGAACTCACTGCTATTGAGTTGCTCGCTCCCTGGACCATTCTGGAGATCAACGACGAGGTTCTTCCCGTTGCTCCCTTGAACCGCCCAGTTGGCTCTGATAACGATGACGATGATAAGAACAAGAAATCCCAGATCCCTGGAGAGGAAGAGTCTACTGGTGGTGTTGCTGAGATCTCAAAGTGGCACAAGGCTGCATGGAACTTGATGTTCAAGGATGCCTTCCAGACCACCGAGTCCGCCCGCCCTGATATCCACGAACCCACCTACGTCGTCCGCCTGACCGAGAACAGACGTCTGACTGCCAACAGCTACGACCGTAATGTCTTCCATCTCGAGTTCGACACCACCGACTCCAACCTGACTTACAGCCTTGGTGATGCTCTTGGTGTCTATGGTCACAACGACTACGATGAGGTACGCACCTTCCTGGAGTGGTATGGTCTCAAGGAGGACGACGTCATTCTTATCGGAGGTGAAGATGGCAAGAAGGAGGCCCGTTCTCTGTTCCAGCTGTTCTCCCAGACCCTCGACTTCTTTGGCCGCCCATCCAAGAAGTTTTACGAGACCCTTGCTGCATTTGCCACTGATCCCAAGGAGCGTGACCAGCTTTTGTTCCTCGTGTCTCCCGAAGGTAAAGAAGACTTTAAGAAGCGTGTGGAAGAGACTGTGACCTACGAGGACCTTTTGCGTGAGTTTGGATCTGCCAGACCCCCTGTCGAGGCTCTTGTCCAGATGGTTGCACCCATCAAGCCCCGTCACTACTCCATTGCCTCGTCGCAGAAGATGCATCCCGGCCAGGTCCACTTGCTTGTCGTTGCTGTCGACTGGGAGACCGCCAAGGGTAAGAAGCGCTTTGGTCAGTGCACTCGCTACATGGCCGACATGAAGATCGGCACCCAGGTCACTGTGTCCATCAAGTCGTCCGTGATGAAGCTGCCTCCTCTCGACACCCAGCCTGTTATCATGGCTGGTCTTGGTACTGGTATGGCTCCCTTCCGTGCTTTCATCCAGGAGCGTTCGGTCGCCAAGGCTGCCGGCAAGGAAGTCGGTCCAGTTGTGCTCTACTTTGGTTCGCGTAACCGTCGCAACGAGTACCTCTATGGTGAAGAGCTCGAGGCTTACTTGGCCGACGGTGTCCTTTCCCACATGGGTCTTGCATTCTCGCGTGATCAGGTCGAAAAGGTCTACATCCAGCATAAGATGAAGGAGGATGCCAAGATGCTCAGTGATTATCTGGTCAACAAGGACGGCCACTTTTACCTCTGCGGTCCCACCTGGCCTGTTCCTGATGTCAAGGATGCTCTTGTCTATGGTCTCGAGCATCACACCAACATTGATGCTGCCAAGGCATCTGCTTTGATTGAAGAATGGAAGGAGAAGGAGAAGTACATCTTGGAAGTCTACTAAAGTAAAGGAAAGGAAAGGAGATCAAATTGAAGTAAAAGCGAGGTTGAACTACATCTATTACCATTTTGTTATTTTCTTTATGTTTTTTTTTTCTATCTGTCGTTCTGTATTTCTCTTTGGTATTTAAACTAGATTCCCAATATATAAATTCATCCCAAAAAAAAAGACAAAGATGATCTATTATATTTCTCTCTCTTTTTTTTTCTTTCTTTCTTTTATCACTGCATACATTTTATACATTAATTAAATAAAATAAAATTATATTTCCAACAACAAAAATTGAAATTGAAATTGAAATTTCATTAATGAAATATAAGCTTAAACAAGTATTGATATTATCACAAAAGAAAATGAAAAGAATGGCAAGTAAGAGTAGAAAGGAGGGGAGTATTTGAGATTTGTATAATTAAACTTTTTGAATTTTCACAGCAAACCTTTGTGAATCAAAAATCAATTGATTTGTCTGTATTTGTACATTTGTACATTTGTACATGTGCACATGTGTAATTGTGAGTAGTGTGTGTGTGTGTGTGTATATATCTTCTTCTTTCTCTGTGAGTGTGCGTGAGCGTACGTATACGTGTTGTGTGTAAAAAAAATAATTATGAGGTGGGAGTGGAAGTGAGCGAACGTCCTTTCAAAGCCGACTGGATAATCAATTTGAGCGTATTGGCGAGTTTTTGTTTGGATTCTTCGCTAAAGTTCAATCGATGTTTAAATGTAAACGTTTCGACCACTTGGGTTGGGTTGTCGTGAGAGTAAACTTCGAGAAGTATCGAAACTCCAGGTCCGATCTCAATGTTGAATGACAAGAGAGGATTCCGTTCGGTCAGACGAATGGTTTGTACTGGGTAACTGGTTAGGCTGACACTCTTTTGAATGGATTGGGATGACATTGTATTATTAAAAGAAAAGAAAAGAGAAGAAAAGGGAGGTATTATTTAGTGGGTTGACGAAATACAATCTTGATTGAAAGCCTCCCTTTTCCTGGTTGACTGGCTTATTCTTCTCTAAATATACTATATATTATATAACATATATAAATTTTTGACTTGTCAAAGAAACAACGTCATGACATTCGATATTCGATATTTACACACACACACACACATATATATATATATTATATTGTATGGTACATTTAACTCATTCAATGATAAAGAAAATCAATATGTACTAATGGTAATGGTAATAAACTCGCTTTATAGAGAATGTTTCAATATCTGCTTAAATCATATCATTGGTTTCAAATATTTCCTTGTGTGTTTGTCTATTTATCTGTCAATTAAAAACTATCTTAATTCAACTGGGTTTGTACGTCTCTGAGGGCTTTTTTTTTTGTTCTTCTTCTCTTTTCTACTTTGCATTCTGTACATTAATTCTGCACCCATACTGTATGTATATGTTTTGTATTATAAAGCCTTTCTTTTAAGAAAAGAGGAAAAACTTGTATATAAAGATGATATGCTTAGATATCTCTGCATGTCTATGTCTCTTAAATTATTCACAAAAATCAGCTAAGGACCAAAGCATTATTGTCAGCATATTATATATAATATCTTTTGTGTATGTATTTATTTATATAAACATATAGTTTAAGTATGTGTGTATGTGTCCGTGTGTCAGTGTGTTTATGTGTAGGTTTGTTTGTTTGTTTGTATGTATATATGTATGTAAAGATATATATACGTCTTAAGCAGATGCCATTCTGAGCTTAACTCTTTCCTTAACCTCGGCCAACTTGGCATCAGAATCGTTCCTAAAGTTAGGAACGGCGTGGGCCCAGACAGTGTCCATCCACTTGTTGTGGTTAAGAACAGGAGGGAGGTCGGTGTGACCCAGGGCTTCAGCATGACTATTCAGCCAGACAACAAGATCTTCGCAACGGAGAAGTTCTGGTTCAGCGCCAAAAGACAATGGGTAACACACAGGCTTGTACTCTTTAGTGTAGCTGAACATGTTTTTCTGAGTGGGTAATAGCGCCTTTCCAGCCCAGACACGGGCAACAGCACGTGCCTGGTAGTCAAAGAATGGAACGGTAGTCAGGTTTGGGGGAGCTCCAATGAAGGTCAGGGTAGGATCAGGAATAAAGAAGAGGTGGCGGTAAGAGTTGAACACGGTCTGGCCATCTGTGGCCGGTACAGAGACGGATTCGTGTCCAAGCTTGACGTATTCGTCGTGATCCTCAATGATCAGATCATCAAGGAAACTGTAGTCGCTCGTGAAACCTGTGCAGAAGACGATGCGATCAATGTTCTCCAGAGTCTGGCCATCAATAAACTTTACGGTTCCGTCAACCAGGCCGTCCGCATTGGACAGACTGGTCAGAGCAGGCATGATGATGGTTGACTCTGGGACACCGGTACGGATCAGACCAAGGATATTGCTCTCGATCTCACGCGGACCACGATAGGAGAGGTACACATTCTTGGAAATGCCTTCCAAGTGTCGGGTGATATCGACAGCAGAGGTATGTCCGCCAACAACGAGGACATTCTGAGGTTCAAAAGAATCGATGATTTTTTTATATTATTATTATTTAGCGCTTCTGGGTTAATGCTACACACATCAGTACGACACGTCTAAATACCCATTTTCATCTCTCTCTCTCTCTCTCTCTCTCTATAGATCTTTTATATACATAAACCTACTTACCAAATCACGGAAAGGTTCTGGGATTCTATATTGCTTTGAGTGAGAGCACTTCTCGGGCCAGCGAGCATCAAACTCTTCGAGAAACTCAAAGGCAGGAATCTTGGGGTTCTGATGGATACCAGTGGCAATTGCTACGGCATCAAAGGTCTCTGTCCAGCGCTTGACATGGATCTTATTACCCTCCACACGCTCCGACTTGCACAGAGTTAAATGCCAACACTCCGATCCTTCTTCATCCTTGGCCTTGTAGACGTGTTCGACGTTGGTGTTGTACTCGATCAGGGAATCAAGACCAAAGTGGGTAAGGTATCTGGAAAGGTAGTCCTGAAACTCCTGATGCCACATGTAAGTTTTGGAGTGGTCTCCGGGAAAGTCAATGTACTCGGTGATCTTGATAGGTGTGTTGGTATAAAGGTCTTTGTAACAAGCTGAAGCAGGGTACTGTTCAAGTAACGATTTCTCAACCTCATTTGTCAACTCCACTGTTTCCTCGTGGATGCCAACAACCGGTGCGACGTTCTTGGACTTTGGTGCTAATTCAGTAGAAGGCATCTTAGGCTTTGCCGAGGGAGCATCGGAGTAAGCCCTATCAAGAAGAACCAAAAGTGATAAAGATGAATAAATAAATCGTACGTGCAGATTGTTGTGTAAGTGTGAATGTGAATGTGAATTTGAGCGAAAGTTTTTTGTGTAATTGTGGGTGGTTTGTGCCCAAAAAGCAATCGTGTACGCACACGCACACAAATGAGTGGGTGTTCTTATCATCTTTACGCCAAAATTAAAGTAAATTAATTTAAAGAAAAAGTAATAATTACCAGATACCACCAGCCTTGGGGTTTCTGTCAAAGGCTCTGACTTCGATTCCCTGGGCGTGAAGGGCTTTGATTGTAGGGACCTAATTGATATGTTATGTTATGTTATTATTATTTTTTAAAACAATATAGATCTTGTCAATGAATAAATCAACATATAGGGAAGCTATATACAGCAAAATTTTCTGTAGATTGTATGTATGGAGCTGTATGTGTGTGATTGTGCTTAATTAAATATATCTAAACTTACGCCTGCGGGACCAGTACCAATAACGGCTGCGCGACGAATAGGCTTTTTGAATTGGAAAGGCTCCTTGACAGCAGAATTGGATTCCTTGACAGCTTGGGAAACAACTTCATCGACTGACAAGGTAGGAACTGAAGGCCACTTGGGAGCCTCTTCCTTGGCAGACAGAGTGGGTTCAATATCCAAGGTTTCAACAATGTCCTTAGAAGTAGGTTGGGCAACCTCAATGGTGGATTTCTCTGTGGGTGACATAATTAAATAGAGCTAATGGTTACTATTTTCTTTAAATAAAATAAAAGTAAATAAAGAAAGAAAGAAAGGCATGGTTGTCGAATATAAAGCCCTTTATATATAATTTACTAGGAACATATAACTCTAAATAGACCCTGTGTACAAATTACCTGAATGAATTATCTGTGCAAAATTTTAAGACACCTCTTTTGGATTTTTTTTTAACTCAATTTTTTTTTCTCTTCTGTGTTCAGGCTGAAAGACAATAATGATAATATAATTAGTGAGTATATATTTTATTGGCTCGATTGAAATAGGAACATAGCTTATATGTATATATGTCTATTAGAACCTTTTTATTTTATTTTTTACAATGAACAGACTCTTAAAGTATATGTAACACTTGTCTCTATTTGCCTTTAGAATTTGAAACAAGAACAGAAATCTTCTTCTTTGCTGTATTACTCAAGTTACACGTAAAGGCACACACGTACTCACACAGGCATATATATATATATATATATATTTACAGAGAACGAGAGTAAGAGCGATAGAGGCACGATACATATTGGCGTTAAGTGTAATACACGTCTCTTTGCATTACCTCTGGAGACCAATTGACTAAATATATTATCTTGTACTCATAACCATTCTAATCCATCAATCCGGACAACCCACTTGACTCGTTGTACGGTCAGGCCAACTAACCTTTTGTACATTTGCTGGGGGAGACAGTTTCGATGTCTGACAAATAATAATAATTCAAAATAAGAATAAGAACAAGAGACATTATTCTTTTGTAACTAGGATGTTGGTCATTGAAACCATTAAATTATAGCGAGGGGCATGATTAAACATTTAAGTAAGTAACCAAGTAACTAATTATTAATATAATAGTATTAACAATAATATAGAAATCCGGGTATTGGTACTTTTATCTGTAAACCAAATAATGCCCTTCTTTTTCTCATCATCAGTCTCTATCACATCCTATACAAAATCATATCTTACCTATCATAATTCTTGCTTTTATTTCTATTTCTAGTGAGATGAGCAAAATATATTGCACTGCATACTGGCGCAACCTTTCAAATGTAGTAGTAATCCAATGATGCCCTAATTCTTGGCTCTATTGTAAGATATGCATGATGGCTTTTATTGATTTATTGGGGTATTTTAAAAATAAAAAAATAAGCACTAATATTGTAATCTTTTTGAAGAATAACAGAAGAAGAATACCAAAGCCTCTTTCACTTTCTCTTTCGACTAATAGCTTATCACACAATTGCCTTGCATTTTCTTCTTTCCAATCTCTCTACCCTTCCGTACCTCCAGCTTCTTAGAATGTTTGTAGCTGTGGATATCTGTTGCAGACTGTAACCAAATCAGTGTTAAAGTCCGCTTAATGCTGTACACCAAATTACATGTGTGTCGTGTCGTGTCATGTCGTGTCGTGCCGTGCGGCTTTGTGCTGTTCATGCAAATGTCTAGAATCTCTTACCAAAGATTGATGATATAGCTAATGTATCTCTTCAAGCCACTTAGTATTGTTATTATATATATATATATATTGATTAGTCTGTTAGTAGTTTTCCTTTCTTAATAGCAACTTGAAAGAAAAAGAAAGAGTTTGTATTTTCTTAGAAATGATTGCTGTAAAGTTATACGTTTCAGAAAAGGTTTCTCTATCTCTCTCTCTCTTAATATATTTCTTCTTGTTTGTAGCACCAGCATATAGAACTATGCTTATAATTATTGGAGCCGTGGTAATTAGAATGTTTATTTTTATACATATCCAATGTTAATTTTGTGTTTTGTGGGCCCAGCATAGACTGCTCCTCATGTGTTTCAATTGAGGAACCGCTTTAGGGAGTAACAATGTCAAACAACCAAGCAAGTGAGCAAAATAGAAATAGAAATAATAATAAAAAAATACACTAGCATTAATGGTGTGGGCCAAGCATTTGTTCTGAACAGATATATTTTGACCTTGTGTCCGAGTGCTACTATCACATTTTTTCTTAAAAAAAAAAAGAAAAGAGGAATTGCTATTATTATTATAAGTAGTAGAAGTAGCAGTAGTATTCTGGCTCAGACTAATGGGACATTTATATATGTATAAAGTTGAATTCCACAAAAATAAAGATATTCATGCTTTTGCAGCTCTGATTGGATAGTGTTACCATATCATTCAGTACGATGGTGAGACAAGTATTATATATATATATATATATTTTTAAAAAAAGGTCTAGAGACGTCTGTGCCAAAGCTATATACACACTTGGTATGGACAGGCTAAGAATTCAAAAAAGGTTCAAAAAAAAAGTAAAACGAATTCATCTTGAGCTTAGCCAATCAGACTAATTTTGATCTTCTTTTTTTTTAAAAAAAAAAGGTACGGTCAGTGATAAATTAGTCTGATTGGCTAAGCTCAAGATGAATTCGTTTTACTTTTTTTTTGAACCTTTTTTTTGAACTTTTAGTCTGCCCACACCAATTATTCATGAACACGAACTCTTTTGCAGGATTTTAAATTCAAAATCAGTGACTTTTCTGAACTGACTGTATATATATATATATAATTTGTGTGTGTGCACTGAAAAGTTTGACTATAAATGTGCAAATGTGATTTTGTGGCGTGTAATTATTTGGGATATACAGACTGAAAGATTCCAAAATAAAGCTCTGAATTAGTTCAAATGCATATTAAATAGAGTCAAGTGTTCATAATACTATTTCTTCCATTAAGAGAAAGAAATATATTTTATTGCAGGTTTTTCTAGGTCTTGCATCCTATGGTTCATACTTTCTACCAAAAGAATGATCTTCTTCTGAATCGAATTGGCAAGGGAAGAAGACTAGCCAGTCAGAGCTATTCGAACTTTTTCTTTTTTTTTTGAACTTTTTATTCTGTCGACACCAAGAGTATATATTATTTACTATTCAAATTCCTTGTAATTAAAGTCCCTGTTGTGTAATGGTTGGTTTATACTATATAAGCGTGTAGTGTACGCGTTGGTGTGTAACAGTTCCGGAGATTGTTAACCTGCCAAATTTATTAACTAGAAGGAGCCAGAGTTTGGTTGTAGTGTATATGTTACAGGTGCAATGCTTTAATTTAGCTCTCTCTCTCTATATATATATATGGATTTTAGGGTCGTTGGTCAAATTGGGAGACTAAAAGGGTATGTCGTAGCACACCTCAAAATAAAGTATTGTTAAATAAACAAGTAATTAAATCCCAAGGTCAATAATGTTCAATAATGGTACCTATAAGTAAATAAAATCTACAGTATATGCTTTTGTCGATATTAAATTAATTAAGCTGTCCCTTTGGATGCAAATACCAGGTAAATCTGCTGTCATACGTTGTGAGGGATAAATGACCATATTATATATAAATTACCTCTCACTGTCTGCCTTGTAGTGTCAAAAAGGAATACTTTAAATCATGATATATGTATGTATTTATTTGTGATTATTGGATTAATGCAAGTATCCAGCTGATGATCCAGTGTGAGTACACACAAGTAAAAATGATCGAGACACCCGACCAAGCATTATTATAGCCCTTTTGATAGTACTTCTTTTTTGTTTTAAAGAAAATGTATTCAAGCATAGTTTCCTTATTTAACCATGTGGTTTATCGATCATGTTCAAGTATGCACCTTTGTCTCTATTTGTACGTACATTCATATGAGCTTTATGAGCCAAGATGATATATGCAAAACTATAATATTGACGATAATCATTTTTTTTTTTGTTTTTAAAAGGGAGGGGGAAGTGAGAGAATAAGGCTTTGTATGTAGATTTGATACATAAATTCAATTCAATATATGCATATTTTATGCGAATGTATGTATGTGGCGTGCTGTGTTGTTAGAGTGCAGAATTTATCTTTACAAGTTATGGAATTCCACTTTGAAATTACAAGACTGATTATCAAAATAAAGAAGAAGAAGAAGAAGAAAAAAGAGAGAAAGGGAAATAACTACAATTACAGAATTTTTGTGATTTCTGTGATTCTACGTGATTTTCCGACTCTTTCTTTTATTCTTTTTTCTTTAGTTGCTAATAATTTTTCCAATTAAAGGTTATCTAAAAATTATTATTATAATATAAATAAAATAAAATAAAGATAAAAGATAATAGTTATACCTCTATAATTTACACTGTAATTATACACTGTAATTTTACATACTGTAGGTACAAACTATAGGTACACAAATACAGACACACACACACACACACACATATAAAAAGTCTTGTATATTAAATGCACTAGATTTATTAGTAGACTATCTGATTTTAGATTCATATCAAATAAAATAAAATAAAAATATTCTATGATTATTTATCCATTTTGCTATTTATTTTTATTCAGGCAACACCACAAATAATAATAAAAGTTTTTTTTTTTTTGTGTGATCAAAGAAAAAAGAAAAAAAACAATTTAAACTCAAAAAAAACAACCAGCCAATCAATTGTGTTCATTTGAAATGATTCATGAATTCTGAGCAGGTTTTTCCCACGTTCAGGTAACATTAAGCTTCCGTAATATTTCTTTTTTTATTTTATTTTCTTTCATGGATGAGATAAGGATATGGAATGTGATTGGTCACTCTTATCAGACAGATATAGTATATTTGGTGATGGTGTGCGATCACAAGTGCGATATTATTTACAGGTGTAATAAAATAAGAAAACAAGAAAAGATAAAAGATAAGAAAGCACGGAAGAAGAAGAAAAAAAATATGGGGAAATAACAATAGTAGTAGTAGGAGGAGGAAATTAAAGAAGAATGCATAAAAAGGTATATATATGGATATGGATATGGATAAAATTATATACTATGAACAATATAAAGTAAAATACGAATACGAATAGTAATAGTAGTAGTAATGAAAGCTTGGCTTAATACAACAAAAGAAAAAGAAGAAGATATATAAAATTATATAAAAGATGGTTTACAATGAAAGGTTCAAAAGAAAGAGGCATGGGGGAAAGATTATTAAGAGACTAAAAACATAGTAAAGAAAGAAAGAAAAAAAAAAGAGTGGATCATGACAGGGAGTGTGAATGGGTAGGCACGACATACCACCGACTGGTATCTCCATTTACTGATACTGCACAGGATAGAGATTTACCGGTAGGATAGACCATTCCATCTTGACGCACCAGAACAAGAGCCAATTCAAGATGTCGCTCTCCATTCGCTTGTCGTTGCAGAATATTGTGGTTGGCCACAAGGAGATCTTGAGTAGGTGGCAATTCGACCCTGACCAAACTTGTCTCGTGAGGAACCTGCTTGAGGGGACCATGATTACCCAACCAAAATTCAAGCAGCCGAGGTGGCATTGTTGACTTTTGGAACAGATGATGGCCAACAACATCAATCGCGTGCAAGGTGTGGTTGTAGCTAACACTAGACAGACTAGGGTATGGTACAATCGTTCGCGGTGGTGAAGGAGGAGGAGAGGGTTGCGCATGTCGACATGTCAGTGAAGACGGAGAGGGAGAATGAGAAGGAGAAGAATACGAGGAAGACGATGCAGAAGAAGGCACAAGTCGAGATTCAGCCATTTTGGAGCAAGGGCTGACATCCATTCCCACCATTATTGGATCTGCAAATGTATATTCAAACTTGGCAATAGAAACAATCGTCCAGCAGAGATAATCATCAACAACTTCAACTTTTGGATCATTGTTGTTCTTGGATGGTTGTGAAGGAGAAATATCAAGCCAAGCATTTGAATTTTGATTAGATGATGGTGATCCTACTGCTGCTGCTGCTGCTGCTGATGATGATGATGATAATGATGTTGTTGTTATTGATGCTGATGATGTGTTGCCGTTATGATCTGAAGATTGGTCTGTTGGTGTAATGATATTTCCGCCTGCACTAAGATATGTTGGCTGACTGTTAACAGAGGATTTAAGTTGGAGTGCAATCTTCTGCATCTGGCTAATGGGCCCTGTTGCAGTGGCCGCAATACAGCCCTTGTCAACCTTACGGACTATAAGAGGTGGAGAACATACTCCACTCTGGGTGTCTTTTAGAATAATTTCAGTTCCGTAAAGTACCGGCACAGGCCCGTCCTCGTTGTCTTCGGCATCTTCTGGTTGGCGGATGATCTGGATATTAAATGCTGACCATGCCGAGCTTTTGGCACACAGTCGATTGGCGTCTGAGGACATATATTTGGTTCGTACAGTCTGGGAGTTGATTCGATTGAAGAGCGAGACTGGTGAATTGGCCAGGATACAGGTCGATACATTTCGTGCCTTTGCCGTCTTTTTAGATGGCTTGGAGATGATTGATACTGGAGATGAGAAGAATGTTGCAAACGGTTGACTGATCTGATGATGTTGGTTTTGCTGTTGTTGGGGAGATGAAGACCCAAGGGGTGGAAATTGGCTGTGGCTGTGGCTGTGGCTGTGGCTGAGACCAACACGTAGACAAAACTGTTTAGCCTTTGCGGTACCGGTTACATGGAGATATTTGAAGCTTCCGGATTGATTGTCATCAAGAGAGGCGCGTTGTTCCACCGGTCGGTCGATGCTTTCACACACAACTGACATCGATACTATGGGCGAGTCTGTGCGTAGCCCGGGGGTTGTTGACTTGAGAGTCACGACTGGTGGAGGGCACAAGAATCGCTTTTCGGATCCATACGATTTCTGGGCAACTGCAGCATGAAGACAAGTGATTGTCGACAGGCGCTGTGGGGGGAGTAAGAGCGAAGAAGACAAAGATAAATGCTGGATTGGTTCTGGACAATGCTCTGTTGGTGGCGAGTGGGTTTCTAGCTGGGATCGGTGAATCTTTGTCTTTGGAGATCTGTCGGTGATGTCGTAGGTCCAGGAGCGTTTTGCGGATGATTTGCTGATGTGTCCATTGGTGTCTAAAAGAGCTTCGATGGACATTGTCTGCTTAGATTGGGTGTATGGCAGGTTAATGCGAGGTGCGCGGTCGACTGCACTGAGAAGAGAGTCCATGGATGATGTGGTTTGGACAAATTGAATCTTTTTACTCGAGCCAAAGACTTCCTCAGAAAGCACGTGTGTAGACGAGTTCATTCGTGGAGAAGGTCAATACAAAAAAAAAATTAATAAAAAAAATGTTTAGATGCATCGTCGGGTGGCATGAGCGGGGCCAGTTATATATATACAGAAAACAAAGGGCGTGTAACAAAGGAGGGGCTGATAAGATGCTCCCTTGATCTTATCACGTGCGATTTAGACCTTTTTCCTATTTCTTACTTTCCCACCCACTCATTTAATTCAAGGAGAAAAATAACAATCAACTAACTCGCTAGTGAAAATGAGCTGCTTTTTTTTTGTTTTTTTTTTCACTATCAATTCCCCTTCTTTTTTTATTTATTTTTTATTTCCTTTGGTTCGATCACATCTTATCTCTGTATTTCACACGATCCCAAATCACTTTCCCTTACTCTTCTACAGCCAAAATGGATGACGTGCTGTGTAGATCTTCCATCTCCACCCAATTATCTGCCTAAAACAACCAACATTCCACAAAAGGTAATGATAAGACAACCCGACTCAATTCGCCATTCGCCATTCATTTGACAGGGACGAAGGTGTGACGGCCAACCAAATACAACCTAATTTTTTTCATGTATACAAATAATTTGACTTCAACTAAATTTGGGTAAGGAAAACACGACAAAAAAAAAGAGCGTGTTCCAAATTCTATACCTCAAGATTTCCTTTTGGGGATCCGTGAGAGTTTTCTCTAAAAACACTAAGATTCTATAGCCCTCAAAATAGATTGACTGATTGGCTGGTTGATTGATTGATCGATTGATTGATCGATTAATTGATTAATTGATTAATTGATTATGTATTTATTTATTTGTCTGTATGTATACATATGCTTATTATCATTCTTATTATAAACCAATGGCTGGTTACCAGTCAGCTGGAGCTCTTGATTGATCTCCTTCCAAAGGTATATTACAAGGGACAAGTCTATCTTTATTTAGTAAAAAAAGAAAAGTCAGTCAAGAAATGCTCGGTCTGAATGAGGACATAGTTAAACTATAAGTCTTGTATCGTTCAGCATCTTGGGTTAATAAATATTCCTGACTCTCCAATTAGACACAATTTGTCCATATCTTGGATTAGAACTATTCAAAAAAAAAAACATATTTATCTTTCTTCGTATATAATTCTACATCATGTCGTTATTTAATGAGAGAGAGAAATAGAGATCGAATCTCCTTTATAATTGTTACCTTTCTAATATCAGCCAGGTAGAACTCATGCATATTGTGAGATTCATTCAAGGAGAGCAAAATAATGGCCAACTGCTTCCATCTGGGCCTCTTCTCCTAGTCCATTTTCACTTAACGGAACCATCGGTGCCTTACAATCATTCAATAAAGCTGCATCAAGATCCACATATCTTTTTTTTTAGAATACACAATCTTCGAATCCTTCTAGCATTACTCAACCCCCTCCGTTCGCGGTGGAACTTTAGCCTCCCCGATCAGTCCAGTAATTGCAGCAATTAATCCATTATGCTAGTTTTTTTTTATGTATATACAACGAGTGCCGCAATCCACTAGATGGTTCATTTCAGGTGTGACTTGTACGTTCATTGCACACCCACGGTCCTCGTGTTCGATTGATGTAGCCAAACAATGGGATAATATTAGTTTTGTATTGTAAGATCGCCTAGTTTACAAATACACAATACATTATATATATATATAGATTAAAGCTTTACTTATTTATTAGTGCAATTATTAGTGTATTTAAAGCCTTTGCTTACCGATGTATCATTATGGCTGAACATGCCTTGTATTGAGCGGAGAATCGATTGCCTTGGTCCTCCTTTTCGAGGCACATCATTATACCCCATGTCCTACAGCAGATAACCGTTATCTATTACTGTGTTTGTCGACTTGCATTCTTTATGAGGCCGTCGCAGTAACCGTTTTCTTTTTCTTTTTTTTTATTGGGTGTTGATCATTCACACTGGGACCCTGTTTATTCTTGGGTCTCCCAGAATATGAAATCTGGGGCTGCTATCTTTAATAATAGTAATCCTAATAATCCTAATAATAAAGAACTCTCTCTCTCATTCTCTTTCTATTGCCTTGTCCATTTCTATTTTTTTTAAAAAAAAAAAACCAAAAATTAGACTCACAACTCCCTGCTGACGCTTAATGGATTTTTGATCGAGTTCTCCCGCTTTAACTTATGCTTTCTGGACCCTATTCGTTGCAATAGAGCAGCCCTTGGTCTTCTTGCTTGTAGCTCTACTGCATATGATTGCAATACTATCTTTTGCGTTACAGAATTATAAGCACTTTATAGAGGGGCTGTACGTATATGTAGCTCCTAAAAAAATAAAAAGAAGAAGTATTCAACTCATCAGTACAAACACCCTCCCAAAAACAAATACAATATTCTCTGTCTTTCCCTTTCTCTATCTTCCCTCTTCTTCCTCTCTTTGTAATGGTAATTTTTTTTTGCGTTTCCTCCTCCTCTTTCTCTCTTATTATTGTTATTGTTATTATTAAAAGAAATGCTTTTAAGCGTTGTTCAATATCTTCTTGCCATTTTACAAAGTCTCCTTGATTACTGTGTATTTCCTGGACATTATCCACATGGTCAAGAATCGTTCGCATCGTGTTTTTTTACAGAAATCCACCCGAGATATTTGTACATGTCCTAAACCCTGGACGATATGTAGATCCGTATTGAGAAGCATCGGATAATACACACTTGTACATACACCATATATTGAAACATTGGTATGATCTGTAAGGTGGTCCATGGATTATTATTAATAGACTTTTTTCTTTTAAAAAAAAAATGTCAATTATAATCATCTAACTGTTTTGCATTCTTTTTCTTCTTCTATATCTATCCATTCCAAAAGGAGCGTACCCATATATACACATGATATATATATATATATATATTTGTGAGAGAGTGAGAGGAATCTGCTTTTATTTTTATTATTATTATTGCCTCCGTAAAATGCATCACTATTGCATAACCAGTACCGAAAAGAGAAAGCTTCTAGGACTCTATCGATCTCCTGAGTCTCGGCTTTGAAATGAAGCTTAGCGCAAAGTTTGCTATGGTGCCAAATGTCAAAAGAACAAAAAGAAATTAACATGGTTAGCTTTTAGACTGTTGTAAATCTGTTCTATATATACTCACGTTCACACACTCACGCAAAAACACACACACACACACACACACACACACACACACCAAAATGGATCATTCACCTTTAAGACGGGAAATAAAATATTAAAGGGTGAGATTTTTTTTTTCATTGAAGCAGTTGGCTAATTCCAAATACACGGCCTTTCTATACTCAAAGAGAGGCTATTGATATTTTGATTGAATGTCTTTATTTTCTCATAGCTTGAAAATAATACTTAGAGGAGTAGTTATAAGGTCAAAAAGTCTTTAGAGATTGTCCCAACAGGTTATATTTTTGAAGTGATTTGCTTTTAAAATTCAAGATTTTGTGACATAAAATTCCAAGAAAAAAACTGGTTAGCCATTCAAAGTATATATATATATATATATATTTAGTTAATCCAAAAACCTAGCCACCTTAACAGGAAAAGCTTGTAACAATCCTTTTCTTTGCATTTATTGGCTAGCCTCGATACAGAGCACTGAGCGACTGGCTTTCTATGCCTGGGAAAGTGAGGTGTTGATATCATGTTAAAGAACTTAAAAGAGAGGGAAATAATGAAAAGCAAAACAAATTGTCTATTCTACGAAACGACATCTCATCACAGGTGCTTTGATAACTATTACGCCGCAAATAAAACCATTTCTCATCCACACCGCAGACCCAGTGCGAAAGTATAAGAGAAAAAAAAAGGGATAGAGTGCCTAGTTAGCTAGGGGTGAAGTCATCTAGTTGTTGGATAACAGCTATTGTTCTCACCATGATAGTGTCAAGAGAAAAGTCGGCACTGTCAAAGGTAGTTAGCCAATTGGGATACCGGATAGTACAGACTATGATGGATATAACAATAATGTGAAGGGAAGGGGATACAGAAAGAGAGCGACGAATGCCAGTAAGTAGCTCGATGGTATTAGAAACGATCCAGGACAAAAACAATTGCTAAAACGTCAAAGTTCGCATTCGAAATTTGCTACAGCTAAAGATATAATATTCAAAAGAGTCTATCTCATAGAGACAGAGAAGATAGCTTGGTAGATGAAGAAAGGAAGAAATGAAGAAGCGCAACGAAAGAAAAGGTTTCTTTTGTAATATAAAACAACCTTACCGACCTAGAATCTACATCTGCGAAAGTTGTTTTTTGAATGTCAATAAATTAGATCGCATCAGGTGAAAAGAAAAAAGAAATATCCAGCAGCTTTAATAAGTATTTGCAAAATCTGTAATAGTAATACTCTTGTTAATACCATCTTTACCAAACACACGAAAAAGAAGCTTAACAACCTATCAAAAGTGGTCAAGGCAATTCAGTACATGTATACCATAAAATGAATACCAAGAGATATAATACAGTACGTACCAAGATGCTTCTAAAAACTTGTGTATACTTTATACACTAGTGCAATGAACACGATATCAGAACCTGTCTATCATTTAGACATTATTCATATTGTCAGCAACTCATTTGCTGAACATCCACTGACAAATAGCTATTGGATAATATAATCAGAAGACTTTTCATTCAAGTTCCATCGTTATAAGCCTTTGTGTATCAATAAATTAGTAACAACTCTTCTTCTTCCTTTTTTTTTACAATTAGAGATCATTTCAACGAACCTTTTATATTCAGAAATGGCAGCAAAAATCCTACGATGTTCAAATATAGTGATAAAAAAAAATAAAGGTCACAATAGCAACTACCCCCCAGCTATAAAACAAATGTATACGGACGAAGCTACTAGTACAAATACACTAATACGCATAAGAAAATAATACCAAATGTCAATATTTTGCTAGCTATGATTTTTAATGGGTCTTACAGGCTCATAATCTTTTGTCAAGACCTAATTGACAAATTCAACTTGAGTAAAGTTTTTTTTTTTTTTGGAATTTAAGGCTGTTTGAAATTGTATCATTCTTTTTTGGCGATATCCCTATCCTTTCCTTGTCCCTTACATTCTTACAGAACTTACTCGACTTTCAATAAAGGCCAGAAAAGAAGATTCCTATAGTTTATATTTAATTGAACACTTGGACAATTTAATCTTCTTCTAATCCGTACACAAGATCGATTGCCTCTCATCAAACCAAAAAACTTCTCTGCGCTAGATTGGTCTACTTAATCGAATATAATATTTGGAAAATGTCAAGGAAAAGATATCATTACGAAAAAAAAAATCCCCACTACTAATTAAACCTGGCTCATTAGGAAGGTCACATATAAATGTGTTTTATATCAAATTTAAGCCATAAAATATTCAATATCATCCTTTAAGCACTGATCAATGCTTTTTTTTGTATTTTTTTTTTGACGCCTTGATAGATTTGCTTTGAGTTACCCGGAATTGTTAATAAGTCGGGATCTTTCAAAAAAAAATGGGAAAGCAAATACTGTGAGTGTTATTTATTAAAGAGAATGAGATTTTGATGTCTATATATAAATATAAGTATATATATATATATACATTACTACTCAAATCCCTGTTTTGTAATGGTTAGTTTAAACTATATAAATGTGAAGTATACATGTGCCTGGTGTGTAACAACGGAGATTGTTAGCTAGCTAGATTTATTAGCAAGAAGGAAACCAGAGTCTAGTTGTGAAGTTTGGATCTCACTCAATTGTGGTGTGTATACCACAATTTCCATTCCAGGAGCGATTCATGGACATCGTCCTCGAATTTTTTCTGTGCCTCTGGGCTCTTAGATATCGAGGTTGACTGAGTGGGGGAATATGATGAGGGTGATGGAGACAAGGACGATGACAAGGTTGGTTGCGGAAACCCAAGATTTGGTTCGGATAATGGCGGGTCAGAGGAAATATTATGGCAATCATCTACAAAAGCAGTAGTTTCGGGGATCTCAAAAGATTTGTTTCGAAATTCATCGGCCGTCTCATAATCTTCTGTGCAGGCACTTGACTCTGATTTAGATGCTTTGAGCGGGCGGATAACGGAATGGGGTTGGAAGCCAGAGGGAGAAGATATTGAGACTGGACTTGGGATGATTTCTACTGGTGATAAAGGCTGTGAATGATAATCGTCTGTGAATTTTGGCATATGGGCGATTGCTGGTGCGGTGAGAGGAGTGTGGAGACCTGCCCTCAGACTAGAAGAGCGAGTGGGCGGGTGGATTTGTGTGACAACGCGTGGAAGAGGATGCGTCGTGTTGGTACGCTTTATCGGGTTACGATCTCGAGCATTCAAAGTTGACTGGAAGGTTTTAAATAATTATTATCATTATTATTGGTCTTACTTTTTTTTTGGAGGTATGTTCATGTTAATGTTAATGTTCATGTTAATTATATCAAAGACAAGAATATTCATTCATTTATGTACTTAAATTTCTATAATTTTATACTGTATCTTATTAAAGGGAGAGAGAAAAGTAATGTAATATTGTTATTTTTACCTTTTGAGTATGTTTTCGCTGTAATGAAGGATCCCAAACATCATTTTTCTTTGGGTTGATATTTGATGTTATCCGTATATTTGATTCAATAAGATTTAATAAAAAAAAAGTATATATGCTATTGCTCGATCATACGCTAGATTTGATTATGTAATCTAACCTTTGAACTAGTATCTCTATCTGTGTCTGGACTGGTAAGATCTGGCGTCGATCGTGAGCCTGCCTCGATTCGTAGGATTTCTAAAGAGGCTGACTGAAGCTGTTGGTTATCTCCTGGGCTAAGAGGGAGAGAAGGAGTCTTTTCGGTTGTGTCAGTGGTGCGAGATCTGGATCGACGGTATGCCAATGACTGGCTGCGTTTTGGAGGTGAGAAAACCATGAAATAAAAAATAAAAAGAACAAAGGAGGGAAGAGAAGAGAAAGAAAGAAAGAAATAAGAAGAAGAAAATAATAATAATAGTCAGAAAGTCAATTAGTACTTTAGTACTAATGTCATTTGTCTATATAAATCACAGGGAATCTCTTGGAGGAAATTGGGGAAACTTTTTAAAATTTTTATTTATATGTTTTTTATTTTATTTATTTATCTCTTGTGTGTGTGTGCCTTGATGTGGTACACCTTCATAATATATACCTATATATCTATTGGTCCATTTTTTTTATTATAGTCTTCTCTTCTCTTGACTTGACGTGAAATGACCATAATTTTCATTTTTAATATTAATATTAATATTAATATTAATACCGTTTCAAACTTCAATTTAATATGATCAATAAACATATGTATATAGACCCAAAATAAAAACCAACCAATTCATTTTAGTCTCTTAATCTCAAGCCGAGGTATTAAAATACACGGAGTCGGAGAGGTGCTGACTCGTGGATTTAAACAGTGCCTTAACTCAGCGAACTTTGGGTCGAGTCTAAAAATGGAAGAAAGTAATTGCCGAGTTATTGGATTCTCATTTTATGTTATATGTGTGTATGGGATATTCTTGTGTCAACGTTAATAATATATTTCACTGTGTCAAGATAAATAAGGACCTGGTGTACATAATAAGTGCACATCAAGAAAAAATATTGTACTGTACCATTAGAAATTTGCCTATCTGATCTTCTTCTTCTAACACACACAGAAACATCTCTTTATATAGCCATAAATGTCAATATCAAAGAAAACAAATATATCTTGGCAGATTGAAAAAAAAAATTGGTGTAGCAAAGACTAGCGGTAATTAAACACATTTCTATTGTCTACAATTGTAGACAAGCGCACAAATTGTTCAAATAGCACCTTCTCTTATCCAACAGGCAATTAAATAAGAGCAGAAATAAACAAGCCACTTTTTATTATAATTACAATTACAATTATTATTCTTTATTTCTCTTCAACAACTCCATTAACATGATAGAATTCTGAGCAAGCAAGATGGTCTCGTTGTGATCCTTGTCGTTTTTGGTGAGGGTCGCGACGGCAATCCTGACATGGAACTGTATTTATATGACCGATCAAATCTGGAGGCAAGTGGTCTTTCGAAGGTTCAAATGTGTCGACGGCATGTTTGGGTGCATCGTGGATTATCTCAATGGGGTTTCCGTATTGTAATGAGAAATGATCGTCTAACAGAATCGGATCGCGCTCTTCAGATGGTGTATGAGGATGTTCCGTGTTTGAAGACGACTCGTTGTGTAAATCGTGAGAGGTTTTTGGTGTGTGCATGACAATGAATCGAATGTACAATGAAAATGAAAGTAAAAAAAAAATGAAAAAAAAAAATTGAAAGCAAAAAATGAGCGTCTATTTAAATAGAAACTGAAACCACTATGATGATATTCATGCAAATTATATATATATTCTCACAGCGATTTGTTATATTCGAAATCAGATTCTTCTCACCCCAAGAAATCCAATTTCATAATGGGTTAGATTCTAGTCTATGAGCTTAAAAGGTGCCATTAAACAAATAAATGTCTTATATGCGCGTGTATAAGATGAATCTAAAAAACAACAACATTTAGTATTTGTATTTGGCTTGTTACTTTAGTCATTATTATTTGATACCTCTTTTAATTAAAGAAAAAATATCAAGTTAAAGCCAGTATTACTCTTCTTTGGAATGGGGTTGAGTTTAACCAAAAAAAATACAGCATGATTGCACTGAAGTTCTGACAATATTTTATAGAGTTAGGAAGCTCAAGATAAACGAAATATTTGTAACGATTCTTAAAAGAAATAAATAAAGGTGCAGCGGCTTCTGTCAGAGCAAAAAAAAATCCAAAACTTTGTGCATCGAGTATAAAAAAGTATAGGAATTGTATAATACAAATATACATGTTTGGTCCAATAAATTAATTGAAATAAAAGTGTGGGATCCTGTGATAGCTGCTGCTTAAAGCTCCGAATCCTTAATAGCACTCGTTTGTGGATATATAGGAAATAACATGAGTGCAGTGTTCCAAAAATACTGTCTGAAGTATTGATTTTACATCTTTAATAAATAATAAATAATAAATAAGAAATAAAATAAAAACCATACGGTACTAAAGCTGTAAAATTACACACAAAGTGCAAAATCATATCAATGATCACCATAAGCTCTATATCATAATGAGAGTACTCTGTACTAAATCACTACAAAATTTGCCATTCACAGGGATACAAATTCTTAGGTCCCACATTTTCCTGCCGAATGTATATAAAAACATTATTTAAAGGCGGTCATAACCCAAAATTTCAATATTAATATTTTTGTTGGATTGAAAAAAAAAATGGCATTTTGATCAATATTTGAGCAATCAATGTCAAACAGCGTCTAAATAATGGATCCTCATGTACTCCACCAGGTTGCTTATGCATATAAAAGAACTTGGCTTAACCAATCTAGATTTATAGCTGATTTTCTACATTTAATTTGCTATTTTGATCAAAATGCTCTTTTTTATTAAACCCCTTTTCATTTCACCAGTAAACTCGATAATATTCAATGTGTAATTATGTAATTAAATAAATATGCATAGAATTGTAATAGCTATAATAATGAAGCCCCAATGTGGATTAATATCATATAAGTTAATCTAACCAACCTCCAAACGATCTGGGCACCATTGGAAACCTCAATTGAGCCACACAATACTCACAAAGCTCATAAAAAATTGACACATTTATTCTGACCATCGCATATACAAACTCTTTTTGTCCCTAAGATGTTTTTGAATAATTATATTTTGAGGATCTGTGAATGCTATTAATGAAATATCTGATCTATTCAGTGCCTATTTGTGTTCTCGGAACCCTGTGCTTTGAAGGTCTGCAAATAATATATATACGGTAATATAAACCAAAGTACTTTCCTGCAAAATGTAATAAACCCCGACTTGAAAATAGCTTGGAGAGATCGAGGCTCAAAAAAAAAAAGAAAATAACTATCAAGCGTGTAAAGCAGGTATCTTGACACAGTAATTTCCTTCTAAAAGTCTTTACTAAATCCTATAAAATAAAGTCACTCTTCTTTAAAAACATTTGCTCTTGTGTTTTTCTGTGTCTTGCATTGTTCACTATTAAAAATTATACACGCTGATTGGTAACATATATAATAATTGAGATATTATCCTTGTAATAGTCAAAACTCTATTATCTTTCTAAGAAAATCAACCAGACATCGACTGTACATATATTTAACAAGTACTTTCAAGAGTTCAACAGTTTTTAAACGCGTGTGCCTTCTGTTTTTTACCTTAAAAACTCTTGCTTTCTATCATGAGTGGCTGTTAAAAGGATGCGCGAATCAACATCGGACGTCAGGCTGAATGAGAAAACTAGGGAATTGATCTTTAATGCGCAATGTTCTGACAAACTCATTTCTGCAAAAATATGATGAGAGTTATATATAAGCTAATGAGCTATTCGCATGAGCAGAATTGTAGTTTCTGATGGTAAATAAGGTTTCGCATCGTTGTCGCTCGTCTTTTTCTGTTTTTTGCGTCCTTTTTTGTTTACTTTTTGCCTTTTTTTTTCATGGTCTTTAGCTCTAGTAGTCACATGCATATGAAAATAGTCACGAATTTTTTTCCTTTAGTTTTTTTTAAAGGGGTACACGCCAGCGATGAAAGGATTCAAGAGATGTGTAAAATAATGGAAGACTCCATTTACTTTAGTCTTCTTCACTGAAAAGAAACTCGCGAAACTCAACTCCGTTAATGTAGTTCAAGTGACGATTGACGTTCTTTCAAAAAAAAAGTGTGTGTGTGTGTTAGGTACCACCACACTCGTCTGTAGTATTTCTTTTTGGAATTGGTTTGAGTTTAATAAAGAAGTGCAGTATGATTGTACTGAAGTTCTGACGATATTTTCTAGAGTTAGAGATCTCAAGAGAAACGAAAGATTCGTAACGGTTCTTAAATGAAGAAAATAAAGGTGTAGTGGTTTCTATCAGAGAAGAACTCTAAGACTTTGTACATCGAAGATAAAAAAGTATGGGAACTGTATAATACAAATAAACATATTTGGCCCAGTAAATTAGTTGAAATAAAAGGGTGAGATCCTGTGGTAGCTGCTGCCTAAAGCTCTGGATCCTTAATAACACCCGTGTGTGGGTGTATAGGAGATAACATTAGTGTCGTGTTCCAGAGATACAAAGGTACCATCGAGTTTATAGCTATATGTATATAATATACTGCTCTATCATGCAAATACTCTATACACTCTTGACAGCATTTTCCACTAATTAATCGCGGAACCTGTCCTCACGCAATAAGAGTAATTTTTGGGACACGACACTTGTAATGTCCGCTATTTAAAAGCATCGTTTAAGGGTGTAAATATCGATATCTCCATCAATATTGGTCTGTTGCTGGTCAAACAAGCACTAAGAATTATGGATCAATTTGATAAATAGCTTTACTTAATAAAAAAACACAATTATTTGATTTTTTTTAGACGTATGTCTTGTGCGAACTTTCCGATTAAACACGCTTAGATGGTGTAAATATCGAAATTGACATTTTTTTATCTATCGATATCTCCACGAATATTGATTTGTTATTGGTCAAATAAGCACTGGGTATCATAGGTCAATTTGGTCAACAGCTTTACTTAATAGCACAAAACATAAATGTTCAATTTGTTTTTAAGTGTATACCCTGAGGGAACTTTTGGATCAAACAAGCTTATGTGGTGTAAATATCCAAAATCGTATTAGTAAATTGTCTTTTAGAGTGAAAAAATGAGATATTTTGCTCAATATTTGAGTAATCATAGTCAAATAACCTTTAAATAGTGGATTATAGTATACCGCATCATGATACTTATATGCGTAAAGATAATTTGCTTAATTGATTTGTATCTATAGCTGACTTTCTGTAGTTAATTGGTCATTTTGATCAAAAATGATCTTTTTTAGTCTACAGTTCTTCAAAGTATATAAGCCAGGATGTGAGAGTTAGAGAGACTTTCTCTTTTTATTATGTTTTTTTTTAGAATATAAAGGGTTATAATGATATTTGATACGAATCTGTATATTATCCCTAAAACAAGAAAGCTAGAGTAGTCAATATGGCGCTCGATGTATTGATATTGATACTGATATGATTCTTACTTCTTTTCTAATATTATTATCTAGAGCTTTGACTGTACATTTAAGGATAAATATAGTTCATTCAAGTATGGTCTACACTCGTACTTGATACTATATTCACTCTATAGATAGATACAGCTTTAGGCCAATTTACTGCTTGAATGATCAATGATAAAGCCAATATGGTGTTTTGCTTAATACTAATCTTAAGAAAAGTGGTCGATGGTTTTCTTTGCAAAAACAGGATATAGGATATGCTGATAGAAATTACACAATCCGCTGTGTGTGTTTTTTAGATAATATCTTTCAGAGAAATTAACCCTTTCTTTATTATGAATAGTACCGGAAGTGCTTCTGTTTGTTTGTTTGCTTGTTTGTTTGGATTTCTACTCGTATATTGTCTAAATTCTTCAAGTCATCTTTAACAATATGCACCATAGCTACTTTAACCATGAATGTCTTGAACATCAATTATTATTATTATTATATTTTCTACAAATATGACTTTGTTGTAATAAAGATATCTAGCCATCTTATTAAAAATTTGTAACATGCTGATAGCATTTGAAAGATTCAAGAATATTATTGAAAAGATCTCCAAACCACAATTCCTTTTTACTTTCGAAAAGTCTGATCGAGTTCTTTAGATTCGTTATTTGAGCCTCTGTTTCTTTGTATTTCTCATGGTGTTAGTCAATAAAATAAGTGAAAAGTCTATTGATTGTCTTTATTTAAAAATATAACAAGTAATCATAAAAAAGTCTGTACACATCTTTAACTCTTTTTTCCTTCTTTTCTTTTCCTTCTCTCTCTCTCTCTCTCTCTCTTCACCCCCCTTTTTTTTCTTATTTTTTTTTAAAGCAACTGCATTACAAAGGAGTATCTCACATGATGGTCATAGATCCCAACTGTATTTATATGTTTTGTGCGCACGAGTTAAACTTTTTTTTTTATGCAGTGCACAAACACAAAGGAACAAAGAATAAAGATTCTTTTTTTAAAAATAATAATCATGTACATATATAACCTTATGTTACGATTATTTTATTTTATTTTGCGTTTTTATTTGTGTTTGTGTTTGTGTCTATGCACGGTCTTTTAAGCAAGACTATTGATTTTGTACACATAGATGACATTTACGTCAAAGAGTACTAAAGAATATATTTTTTTTTCTCTTGGTTTAGAGTCCCTCACATGGAATGTCATAATTTACACTCATGGACATTGGTCTGTGATAGTTATGTAATATATATATCTATATATCTATATAAAAACCAAAAAGAAAGGAAAAAATGATAGTTTAGAAGAAGTATATAGAATATTTGTGTATTTTTTTTAGGGTTTGGTTTTGGTTTTTTATAAATAAAATAAAGAAACGCTCATTTGATGTATCAGGTTCCTTTACTTACGTCATGTTATAACAGCTGTGTATATTACTGTGTTGTTGCTGAGCATGTATACTGTTATTGGTGCAATAATGATGATGATGATAATAATAATAATAATAATAATAATAATAATAATAATAAAAGGGGAGATAAACCGGTAATCTAGTATAGAAGAATAAGAAACAAAAGAAGCAGTATGTTTATGGTTACAAGAAAGCACAGACACAGAAGCGGACAGACGCTTAGACATAGACATAGACATAGATATTGTCATAGTCATAGTCATAGACCGATGTGTTTATTAAATTTTGCTCGAGTTGTCTTATTTGTGTGTCTGACTCCAAGCCTCTGACTTGTATGTGTGATGTAGAATGTGATGTATAGTGTGATGTATGGTGGTGTTATAAATCATCTAAGCCTTTCTCCACTTGGCCTGAAATGAAGTATCCTTTGCACTCTTGTCACTACACCCCTTGACAATTTCCGTTGCCGGATAGACCGGACACTTTGAACGCATACACCTTAATATCGATCCTGCCGTGTCCCGACCCTCAAACCAAGCACCATGTAGATAGCCATAAAAGTCAGCTGACATTGCTTCCCCTGAAAACCACAGCCGAGGAGGACTGGCATTTGATCCATTAAAGCCACGAAGAGGAGCACGCATATTGTCGTGGTGCTGGGTCGACACACCCAGGGGCCAGTTTGAATAAGATCCTCTAAAGAGAGGATTTGTGTGCCAGCGAGGAATCAGAATCTCGGTGGGTTTGGTGATGTTGGCAGACGGGAACATTCTTTTGAGCACCTCGACAATTTCTTGTTCGACCTGCTCGGGATCCAGCTTCTCGATTCTTTCAGACTCCTTGAACGTGGTCGTGACCATAAGTATGTTGTCCTTGGCCGCACTCTTGTTCTTTTTACGCTGAGGATCGGTTGCAAAATATCCTGGTGCATTGAGATTCTGCCAGACTGTGTAATAGCCAGGGCGTTGACTGAAATCTCCAGCGTACAGAGCAAACTAAAATCAATAACAATTTTTGATTATTCATTTTACTCATTCATTCATTCATTCAATCATATATTTTCGCTTTTTTTTTTTACCTGCCAATCACCCCAAAACTTGGTATCGAATTTCAAAAATATTTTTGTGTAAGTAGCCATGTGGAAACTAAGCAGAGCCTCCCGCTTCCAGTCTGGAAAGGCAGGTACAAAGTTGACGCTATCACTTTGCAGTACACCCAACCTAATTCATTCAAAATAAACCCAAGCCATACACACACACACACACATAAAGTAAGTTATTCAGACCTCAACTTGGATCTACATATATATACATATAGTAAAGATTTTTTTTCTACTCACGAAAATGTACAGATGCAATAGTCTGCGATGATTGTATCTCCATCGGCAGTCGTGATAACCACATCTTCAGCACCATATGTGATATCAGTTACCAGAGTATTTAACATCAGACGAGGATCATTTGGTTTGAGGAAAAGTCTAGTCTCTTCTTTGAGGATATGATTAAAGCCACTAAAAAAGACAAAAAGATATCAAGATTTTGTCAGACAAAAGAAAATATCTTTTTTTTATTATTATTATTAAAATAGGCTTACCGTTCATCGACAACAAATCCATCTTCACCAGGATAAGTACCGGCAATCATCTCAGCAGTTCCGGCAGAATAGTCAAGCGAGGCCAGTTCTGCAGGTTCTGCTAATTCCCAATCGACAGAAAAATATTCAACTGCTGCCTTGAGACTAGTATCCGGCTTCCAGCGAACCATACTTAGACCAGTACGAGCAGACACATCCACTTGATTTGATTCCACACGCTGGCCTAATAAATTATATATATATAAAGGTGAATAAATGCATAAGCTGCTTAGAGATAGTAAATAACCAAACCCTTACTTGCATAATTAACTAGATCAACCATATATTCTGCAAATGTGTCATACACCTGTCTACCATATCCATCCTTGATTTGGCCATCATCATCATAAAACTCCACATCGTCCTTTTCATTAGGAGCTGTCTTGAGACCATGTTTGGTAGCGAGATTGTAGATTGGATTGGAACCTTGACCATAAATCTTTATTTATTTGTTTATGAGATATTAGATGTCTAGTATTGAACATTAAGGTCCTTTACTATAGAGTCCGAATTGTAAACCTTTCTATTTCATTCTTACCCAATTTGCACCAATCTCGACCTGGTAATCACCAAACCCTGTGTGCTGTACTCTACCTTTTTTTGAATAAGACAAGAAAATGGTATAAAATGAATATTTGCAATGTATATATATATATATATTGTTATTGAATCATTTGGTATTTGTGGTGGTGAGACAGGAGAGAGAGAGAGAGAAAAGGTGGAGGAAGTACTGTATTATGTCTAGTTATCTGACTCTGCTTCTGATCTAATTCTAAAATTCCTGGGCAGCTTACCTCCTACAAAAGACTGGGCATCAACGATAATAAAATCCTTCATATTTGCAGAGTTGAATCGCTTGGCCGCAGAGATGCCAGCACCACCTGCTCCAAGGATAGCAACCTTTGTACGGTGTACCTTTGGTCTAGCATCTACCGAGAATACCAGACAAGCAACTGCTCCCAAAATAGGGATAAAATTTACCATTAAAGAAAGTCGAGTTAATTAACAAAAGAGAAAAAGAAAAAGAAAAAAAAATAAGAATAAGAATTATAATTATTGTGCACAGTAATTTATTATTTATATATATTTATACACACATATACATGGAACCTGGTTGAGTTTTGATAAGCTTGCAGATTTTTCTTATTTTATATATACACACACACACACACACAAATGGAAAAATGATAATAATAATTAATATTCTTTATATATATATATAATAAGAGGAAGAGGAGGTGTTACATTGTGTGTAGTGTGTGTAGTATCTGTGTGCGTGTGTGTTTAGAATTCTTTAAAATAAATAAATAGATAGATAGATAGATAGATAGCTAGATATAAATCTTCTGGTCTTGGTGTTACAAGTGGAACAAAATATTATAAGAAAGATATTTGGACTCCTTTGTCAGTAAACCTTTTACTTATTTCATTATTATTTCTTGATTTAAACACATTCCTACTCTACTCATCATCTTTTATGCTGCTACTGCTGCTGTTGCTGCTGTTACTACTACTACTACTACTACTACTACTTTTTTTTTTAAAAAAAAAGAAAAAATTAACAGTAGAATTCAATACTTTTAATGTAATATAACAAAAATGGAAATCAAAAGAAGTTGAAAGTTTGATTCTGATTTTCTTGGTTCTCTTAAAATATAGATACACAAAGATCTTGGGTGCTATAAAAAAAAAGAAAAGAGGGGGGGGGGGGGGGGGGGGGAACAGAGAGAATCGCGTGAGGTACGGTAACTAAGAATAATATTAAGAGAAAAAAAATCCCTTTTTTTTAAAAAAAAAATTGAACATCTGCTTATAATTTATAGATTCATGTATTTCTTTATGGTTTCACAACCCTTTATCTTCACACGATATGTCACCACGTTGGTTAGTTTTTTTTTTATTATTTTTATCATTTACTGCCACAGAGCTAAGTAACACACACGACTTTCCGTCCCCTCCGTCTCATCCGTTTGTCCCTCCCGCTCACCCGATTTCCGCAATCAATCACCCACCTGGCTGCTTTTGTGCTTGTTTGTTGTATAATCAGTAGAGATAGAAATATTCATTATACACCGTTTATATGAATATACTAGTTATCCAACTATTGGTACACCTCTCTTTATATATGCATTTGATTCCTTGAAAGGCAGTCAAGGACAACCATTGAATAGAATTAAACAGGCCAAGCTTACTTGTTCCTGGAATAAACTTTTTGTGTAAAGAACAAGGTAAAGAAATTAACTATTTTGCCAAACCAACCAGTCTAAAGAAAATGTGATGTGATATGGGTTTCTTTTTTTTATATATATATATTTCTCTGTGTATCTATGGAAACATATTGGATAATATAATCTGTGAACTAGTCTTCCTTTTTTGGATAAATCTGGTACTCACAAAAAAATAATAATTTAGAAATCCCAACAACGATATAGAAAATAATTCTGTCATTTTTTTTTTGATTTTATTTTATTTTATTGCTAGGTTGTTTCAAAATAACAATAACATTTTGATTTTAATTTTTGAACTAGAAACCAATATATATATATAGACCCCCCCCCTCTACCTTTCCTTACACAAAAAATAAATAAAATCAAATAGACTTTTTTTTTTTTTTTTTTTTTTTTAAAAAAAAACTTTCTTTCTTTTCTTGTACAAGGAAATCAAAACAATGATATTCAGGGCAAGAATCTTTTTTTTTTTTAAGAAAAAAGGATCTATTATAATAGTAATGCTAATGATGATTTCTACAATTTGCGATTATTATCACTATTAATTTTTTGTGATTTCTGTTTTCTTCCTTTTTCTCACACTTTTACTATTTATTCTATTAAATGCTATTTGTCTATATACCATAAAAAGATTATCTAATCAGTCAGTCAGTGGATCAATCACAAATAAAAATAAATAAAAAATAAAAATCCATTTCTTGCTTTATTTCAAATAGAGTGAGTTTTTCATAATAAAAATATAAGAAAAAAATGTATGTATGAATGTATATAGATAGATAGATAGATAGATAGATAGATAGATAGATAGATAGATATTTATATACAAAATAGGTAAACAATGCACTGATGAAGAGAGTGAGAAGAAGAAGAAGAAAAAAAGGTATGAATAAAAAGGAGGAACAAGTGTTTATGGCCAACAAACAATAATTTAAAAAAATCATAAAAAAAAATGAGAAAAATGACATATAGGGGAAAAATGAAGAAAATAAAATGAAGGTATATGAAATATATATATATATATATAAGATTTTTAAAAAAAAGAATAGCGAGTGAGTGAATGGTGAGGAAATAATAGAGGCCACATATAAAAATAATAATAAATCAACACTGAAGAATAAGTAAATAAACAAAGGGAGGGAATAGATATCATAAGATCATAGAAAGTGTGTACACATATAGAATAGATATAGGTAGCTAGGTAGCTAGGTAGCTAGGTATGAATGTATGTATATATGAATGAATGAGTAAATGATTGAATGAATGAAAAAAAAATATGTATATCAAAAGAAATGAACGTTGGGTAGAGAAAATGAATGTAAAGGTGAATAAAGATTCTTCACTGTTGGTATTTGGTATTTGGTATTTGATATTTGGTATTCGTGCCTAGCGAAAGGCCGTTGTGAGATCAAGTGGAGCGTATGAATATAGTTGGCTGGGCATAATGTCTTGGAAGGCTATGGGGTCACAGGTAGAGTGGATATTCATCATCAAAGACGACGGATCAAAACAGGTGTTGTGATCTGGAGGTGGTATTGATTGACCAAAAACTTGGTAATTGTTGCCATAGTATCCACCACCACAATTGTTGTTGTTGCTTAATTGAATCGTCTGCAACTCATCCTGATTCCACTCGGGTTTAAAAGGTGACAGTAGAGTCATTTGTGCTGCCTCTACTGCTGCTGCCGCTGCTGCTTCTGCTGCAGTAACTACTACTACTTCTTCTTCTGCACTGTTTGGCCCGCTAATGTCATGTGGATGATCTGAACTGTAATGGTTTAGATTACAGTCATTGTCATAACTGCTTCCCCCGCTACTACTGCTGTTACTCCTATTACTGCTATTGTAATTGTTGCCGTAATTCATCAAGTGGGGTGGGAATGACAAGGGCGACTGGATCGGCAGAAGTGGTGGGGTATGGTGCGGCTGGTTGGGTGGAGATGATGTTGAGGACAGGCCATCTGCTTCGTATGCCATCGAGAGATCAGCCAGATCTTGGGTGATATTCGGATAAAACATAGACGGGTGGAACACAGATGACTCGTCGTACTGAATCAAATGTGCTGCCTGGTTAGGCTGGACTCCGTTTTGGTATGAAGCGTTATGCTGGTTACTGCTGCTACTGATGATGCTGCTGCTGCTTCGGCTGTTCAGTAGATCTGGAGGGGGTATACAATCTGTCGCATTGCCGCCACTGCTAATACTGCTAATACTCCTGCTATTATTGATAGCGCCGTTATTATAGTAGTAGTAGTGGTGGTGATGATTAATAGGGTGACTAATATCTTGCATATCAAAATCCACATCAAGCTCTGCATCAAGATCGACATCCAACATGGGACTGAGGGTGCTGGAACGACTACTGACACTGCTGACACTCTGTTCTCCTCCCCCTGCTCCAACACCAATATCACCACCAATATCACCACTACCACAATACTGCTGACTCTGATTCTGGTGCTGATAATGTTGCTGATATTGGTACTGATAATGTTGGTACTGTTGGTACTGTTGGTACTGATGGTTATGATTATGATGGTGGTGATAGTTATTGGCATTGTACTGTCCAAATGTATTTCCATCATAATTATCCTGGTGATTCAGTACCGTAGGGGGTGCTCTTTGGTAATTCAGATTGCTGCTGCTGTTACGCTGAAGTCCATTGTTGCGAGGATCATCTGGGGCATCGTCGCCGTCAGTTTCGTCAATGTGGCTGGCTTGTGAACCCTCGATCAAATGTGCCTTGCAATGCTCAGCCAATGAATCCGAGCATCCAAAGCTCCGACCGCACACACCGCAAGTGAATGAAGACGAAGATGAAGATGATGGTGAAGCCATAGGAGACTGATCATCGATATTCACATGCGTATTGCTATTTGAATTTGAATTTGAATTTGAATTGGACCGTGAGTGTGATTGTGAGTGTGAGGATGATGATGATAAGGATAATGATTCTGGCGAAAGAGATGTCGAGGATGATGAGGTGATCGTATTTGAGCTGGGTTTGTGGAGACGAGTGTGGCGTTGAAGGAATTCGATTCGAGCAAAGGCTCGATCACAACCAGGATGAGGGCACTTGAGATCGGATTCATCGGAACGTAGCATCATCATCATCTGAGGCGGGGATTTGAGAGATGATCCGAAGCCGGCCTTTTCGGCTGCCATTGCCAACCGACTGGGTCCACCAGAGATTGACGGATTCGAAGTTGTTCTTAAGTGACAGTTTGTGTGACGACGGACTCTCTTTGCACCACTCTGCTGTTGTTGTTGCTGTTGTTTTTGATTTTGATTTTGATGGCTGTGGTGGTGATGACTATGGAGATGGCTGTTATTATGATGACTCTGTTGATGCGACAGAGCATGATGGCTAGTTGAAGAATAAGGTGATCTTGAAATGCCTTGAATACCAGCACTACTAACATTACCACCACTATTAGTAATACCACCCCCGGCAGCAGCAGCAGCAGCAGCAGCAGTTACAGATGCAGCTCTTCTGCGACGCTGTTTGTACATTGGAGATCCTTCAAAAAGGGACAGGGTTCCGATCAACTTTTTTTTGCGCAGGGTGTTTGGATCCAGCGAACGAGAGGTCATGGTGATCGATGCGGGTTCCATCTGGATTTCTGGTTGGGCTGGGGGGTTTCCAAACGAAAAGGTCTTTGTGTGGGGAATACCTGAATATCCAAAGATTCTTGGGCTTTCGTTTGGGTTTGAGGTATCTCTGGTGTTATCGTCGTCTTCGTCGGCTGAGGAAGAAGAAGAGATCGAGGACCGTTGTCTGCGATGAGGTCTTGTTGAAGAATTGGGGTCATGACAAGCAGAATGGCTCAAACGATGGTAGCTGTGAGCTTGGAGCTGGTGGGGTTGTGATGGAGTTAGTTTAGGAGAGGTTCCTGTTGATTGACTCTGTTGGCTGAGGACGGGTAGTGAATTCACACGGGATCGTCGCGCCTGAGTTGTAGCAGTCGAGGGCGTAGGTTGGACTGTCTGAGAAGGAATCCAGTCGCCGGTCTTTCCGATGCTTGTCTGTGCATAAGATGTGGCCATTCCGAGCCGTGAATGGGCTGGGGATGGTAATCGAGTCTCTAGAGCAATATTAATGATGAATATAACACAATACTTTTTTGTTATTTAGGATTGCTTACGGGTGATTGCACTCATGGATAGACTTGTTGGGGGATTAGGGTTTATTTTCTGAATGTCCTGGGCTACGACTGTTGTTGTGGCTGTGGCTGTAACTGTGGCTGTGGCTGTGGGTAGGGTGGATGAGGAGAGAGAGGTTGACTTTCTGACCTGCTGGAAGAGTTCCTGAGTTGAGTCGAGGGAGAGAGAAGATGCTGGTTCGGCCATTGGTAGGCTTGATGGCTCGAGGCCCATCTTTTCGCGCTTGAGATCTCTTTCGAGGGCGTCGAGGAAGAGACGGTCGTGGGGAACAGAGTACCAAAAGAAGACCTTTTGTTTCTTTTGGGTACGGATGCAGTTGTTTTTGTAGAGCATGTCGAGAAGTTCTGATTTTGGTTCTTCTAGACGGGCATCGGTTCCTGGTTTTAGGTTCCTGAGGTCGCTGAAGATGCCTTCTTCGAACTTCTTTGGGTTTGTGACAGGACGGCCAAAGGCATGGAAGCGGAAGGTGAGAGAGCGAACGATGTCGGTGCCGGTGATGAAAAAAAGGTTGTTCCACAGGATGCAGGAAATGACCTCTCCTGTGGGCAGTTTGAATCGTTTGATGGCTTTGTCCTGAGGCCATTTTTCTGTTGCGGTTCCGAAGAAGTATTTGAGGTCGTCGATGAGGGCTAGACGAGTTGATACGTTTGATGGCGTTGGTACATCCATGGCCAAGGTTGGTCGAAGGGGTTCCCTACTGTGGTAACCCAAGGCGGGGTCTGATTTGTGGATTTCCATTACGGAAGAAAAAGAAGAGGAATACTTTGTTTAAGTATATAAATATATTTGTATAATATAAATAAATAGAATAAGAGAATAAAAGAATAAAAGAAAGAGATAATATATATAAATATTATATATAAGAATAAAATATAAAAAAAAAAAGCAAGAAGAAGAAGAAGAAGAAGAAGAAGTGAAAATAGCTGTAAGAAATAAAATAAAATAAAATAAAATACAATAAATAAATAAATAAATAAATAAATAAAAAAAATAAAAATCAATTAAGAACCCGGAGAAAACGGAATAGCAAAAAAAAAAAAGAAAAAAAAAAAGAGAGAGAGAAAATTGAGTTAACAACGAAAGAATTTATTATATATTTTTATTTATTTATATATAAAGGAGAGTAAATAATAATAATAATAAGAAGAAGAAGAAGAATATAGGGGCTCTATTATTATTATTATTATTATTTGCTGGTGGTGGTGGTGGTATATAAGGTGAGTGTGTAAAGTGTGTGGGGCAATACTAAATTCTGGTAGTAGTAATTTATAATTTATGTATTTAAAATAGTTAAATATACATATATACATTTTATATTATAATATACTTGAAGAAATAAAGGATAACCATAAAAAATAATGTAAGTTTAGTAACCAAGGCAACCTTAAATTATATATATATATATATTTCTTTTACCTATAATAACTACATGCTTCCTAATATAGTATCTAGCTTATATATATAAAAGAAAGAACTGGATAGAAACAATAATACATTTCTTTACTTCTTGCTCAGCAGTATTATACTATATTATTTTATCTTATATTATATTTAATACAAAATATTCAAATATTACTATTTACTATCAAAACCACCATTTATTTTAATTAATTAATTAATTAATAAATAAATAAATAGATTATATAAAATATAACAATAATGCAAGTTGACTGCATGGCGTAGTCGGTCATTTGGGTTGTACCGTAAACATCAAAATAATTATTAATATTTTGATTATTTTGTATATATAAATTCCAAAAAGGCAAAGGGGAATTTCTTTCTTTCTTTACCTTTAGAATCCAATGCACTACTTCAATACACTATACAGATAATACCCATTTTTGTTATTTATTTGTCATTTGCCCATGATCTTTCTTTCTTTTTTGAAAAATGGCGCGTTGAAAATAAGGAAATCAATGATGTATGTTCAAGATATATATATATATATATATAAAGACAAAAAGGGAGATTCAAGGTCATATGTTTTTTAACCTTTTTTTATTTTATTTCTTTTTCTCTGTCACTGATCCCTTATATAATTATATCCAATAAATCTACTTGAATAACAGCAGCACTACTGATTGATTGTAGTAACAAATAAAGAAAAATCTGTGCCTGACCAATAAAGAATGAAACTTAAAAGAAAAAAAAAAGGGTGACAATTGAAACCTTGCTAGAAAGAAATCCTAGAAATACTATATATTTATATAAATTATATATATATAAAAAAAAGGGGGGATTGAATGAACGGAAGACCGGAATAGAAGATCGACCAGGCCACATTTTGATTTTGATTTTTTTTTTGGCGGCAATAATCGAAACCTTTTTTTTTTCATTCTCTCTTTTCATTGGCACAACACAACACAACACAAAATCAAATAAATATAAACATTTTACTCTCTTTCTCTCTTTCTTTCTCTCTTTACATATTAGATATATACATAGTATGCTGTGAGACCATTGATCGTAATTCAAATATGTTTGACTGGAATAATTTTATTTATTTTTCATTGTGCTCTTTAGGTCAAGGTCAAATTAAATTTGTATATACAAAAAATCCAATGAACTTGCTAATAGTGATTTACAAAAGGTAGACCCGTCTAAGGCTTGGGATATCCTAATGGTAAATTTAGCGTATGTCTTATTTTCTCAAGATCAAATAAACATCAATGTCAATGCCAATGTCAATATCACAGCTGCAAAGTGAGGTGAAACTACTGCCAAGAGAGAAAGTGAGCAAAAGAAAAATAAAGGGGGAAAACAATAACAATGAATGCACTACAGCCAGACAGACAGACAAACAACCGATTGATTGACTAGTGAATATGAAACTACTGATACTTCTTATGGTTACTGAATAAACAGATAAATTATAAATTGTTATTGTTATTGTCATACGTAAGACAAGTCAAAAATCATAGTCATTCTTTCACTTATTTTATTTTTTGAAATATCAATAAATAAAAGATGTACATGATGTCCAATCAAGAGACTTCTTGGCAACAACAAAAAGCTAATAAGAGTAACAAGGGTGTAGACAGGGTCTTTTGAACACAAAACAATCTTTATGATTCATATGGTTCAAAAGGATCATCTAGATAAATTACAAGGCCAATATATATATATATATATACATCTTTATGATAACAATGATGACTATTGTTATGGTGTCGTGATCTCATCTATAAAAATCAATCACAATAATTTTATGAAATACATAGGATATAAATCGTCATAGCAACGGTCATCAAACCATGCACTTCATTACTCCAAAATATCTAACAAACCCACAACATACAAAATTCAAGTCAACCACAATTAATCTCGGTACAGCAAAGTCTGCATCAAACCAAAATAAACGGCCTTGATAACATTTCCATATAGTTATCTTGTACTCAACCACATATCCATGTATGTAGATTCACTTGTCTGTGTAAACAATGCACTACACTACACTACACTACACTACACCACATCACAGTGCACTACATTATCATTATCATTATCATTATCATTATCACTTCCTTGTAATAATTGTTCTATACTGCAATGTTTCATCATCATAAATATCGTATACATACTTTTCTTTTATTCTTATAAACCTTATCTGACTCGGCATACCAAAAACAAAAAACAAATTCCCCCAAATATATATATATATATTCTTATCTTCTCATCACATCACAGTAGACTTCCCTCTTGGGCTTAGTGGTCTGCATTGTTGTTCTGTTCTGCTAAAATTCAACAATGTGAGCTTTACTGTAGAGTGTACAATCCCACGTGCAGGAGTCAAACCAATTATCCAAAGCCATCCTTTTAAGATTTAACAAACTCACCATCAATATCCGTACACACCCACACCCACACACACACACACACACACACATATATATATATATACATCTAATCTATTGGTCATTTTCTTATGCTATTTTATTTTATCTTGTTATAATAATTACATTTATATTTATACCCATACAAGAACAAAATATGAAGAATAAAAGAATACTAAAGTGTCCTTCTTTTTCTCTTTTGTATCTTTAATGAAAAACAAAACACTAATATATATATATTCTTTAAGAGAGAGAGATAATAGTGTAACCAAAACTAACAATTATAGTAATGTGGGGGTACTATAGCAAATAGCCAAATGTTCCTTAATATGTATATATTTTGTGCCAATCAAAATATAGAATAAATCCAATGGAAAGATAAATTAGATATTTGTTTGTTTGTTTGTCTGTTTATTTATTTGGTTACTTGTTTGTTGCTATGATGATTGTCATTGCAAAATAAAATAAAGAATATTTAAATAATGTGTGTAATAAATAGATATGCATCATGGAAGCACTCTATTTACTCTATCCAATTCAAGTTACTATCCCGTAACCATCAAATGGTGAAACAAGGAGTTACCCACCCACCCACACACATACATACATACATACATACACACATATATATATATCTTTTTTTTTTAAAAAAATAAAATAAAATACATTATGTATAGAAAAAGAAACCAAGAGAGAAATTGGAGTCAGTTTTTGCCAAGAATTAGTGCCAACGATGGTTAAAATAATATAGTAAAAATATACTTACTATTTGTAGTAATCATAAATAAAATGCACATATATAGTATCTGTAAGTCAAAAACAATAACTGTCAAAAAAGAAAGAAAAGAAAAGAAAAGAAAAGAAAGAAAAGAAGTGTCATGGCAACGGATGTGTGTGGATTTTGAGGCAACTGATGATCGTCATGGAAATAAATTAGCATCCAATCCTCTGTCTCTCTCTCTTTTTATTGACCCCATGATTTATGAATATTTTGGATGTACAAGAAAAAAGAAAAAGAAAAAGAAAACAATTCCAGTCAAAATACAAACACTCTGAACCATCTTTAGTTACAAGCTATTCAACTATCACTACCAGAAATAAAAAAAAATTTAAAAAAAAGCTGATTCTAGGAGTTACTTTTTCTCATTTTTCATTTATACTTGGCTTGAAATGATACACTCACTCAAAAATAACTTTTAACAGTAAAAATCATATTCTCCTTTTTATATATCTTATTTACAAAAACAAAAAAAAAGGCTCACAATTAAAGGACAAGCATTTTAAACTTTACAAGCCTTTATATTTTACTCTTTTAAGTACTCCATTGACTGGTTTGTACAATTTCTGTCAGCTGAATTCTTTTTATACATATATAAAAAAAGCATCATCAAAGCAAACCTTATACCTCTAGTTCTTCATAGATTGGAAAACAATAAGCGAAACTACCCCAAATTTGATACTTTACTGTCAGGGCATTACTATAATCAACCGGGTAAATGTCAAAGTCCCATTTGACCGCAAATTCTAGAAAGGTTAGCCTAATTGCCCTGAAGGATATTATCCATGTCCATGTTCATGTTCATAACAATGATTATTTATTTATATTTCCAGAAAGAAAGAAAAAACAGCAAATAATATTAGGAGCCTTTTCTTTTTCTTTTTTAGATTTACCAATCCGAATTGTTTGGAGGACATGACCTTGTTACACTTTGAGTATCGTTTGTGAAATCAAAATCTTGTCGCTGTCTTGAACTTCAGACACATACCGGACTAAATAAGACACGATTGTATCATTTCTGATAGATCCACCTGTGTCACTCAAGCTGTAAGTGGTATAAGATCACTCTAACCTGTTTATCACTAGGTAATCCCCCCCCCCCCAAATACCGAAGGTAAGCCATTAGATTTGAATAATTTTATATTATCTGTAATTTTTGTACTGGGTTGAAGAAGTTAAGAAAAAAGGTATTTTGCATTGACTGCAAAAGCATGACAGGGTAAAAAGTAGGATATATACACGTAAGAGAAAAATCAGTGCTTAATAAAAGTCCTACTATAAAACACACTTTAAACTTTAGAAAACTTGCAAGAATCTCACTAATGTCGCCCTTTTTTCTATAGGGTAACTAAACGTGTAATGTCCATGTTTCAAATATCAAAATCTTTATAGTCTTGTTCCTGCTACGAAAGCATCGTAGACAGCCATTCCCTCTAGTGTCTGCCTTGAGACCATGAGACTCTGTCACCCTTAACAGATAGTCAACGATTTTACCTCATTAATATAAGACCAAGTCTTCTTAAGCCATATTCTATTTGTATGTTTATTATAATGATACTTTATACAATCAATCTTACCATATGAGACGCAAAACATCCTCATCCCTCATTATATTCTCTAATAATTTTCCAAAAATTCCTTACTCAAACCTTTGGTTTGCTTTTTCTCCTCATTCTTCAACCCAGTTGTAGCGGATTCACCTCACCCTGAAATCTGGTCTTTCTTTTTTCCCTTCTTCTTTATGCTCTTTCACACGTCCTATTAATTACTGACATCCATTTGAAGGAGAGAGGAATGTAGTATTGACAATGATCCATGCTGTATAGTACAACACACGTACGCTTACTATTGCGGGGAATCATACGGGAACGAATATCTCACCACTGCATTTATAATTCACTGTACTTTTCTTTTTCCCTTTGAACCAGTTCAGCTCAATCGATATTACCAAGCGTTGCAATACCATAGCATTTTTGTCGTTTGTTGTTGTAGTTGTTGGTTCCAGAAAATGTCGGATATATGATGTAGTTCCATTCGAGAGAATTAATCCCGTCGCTTTCCACTCATACCGTCTCATTACTCTTCAATTGCGTATGTTTGTCTTTCTCCATTTTTCTCTAGAACCGTCATTGTACTCATTACGGCTCATTCAATTCAGCATGTTCATTAGGCTCAATTTTTTCTTTCTTTCCTTTCTTCCTTCTCTTTTGGACACTTGTTATTGTACTATGGATGTTACACTGAAGTATGTTTGTAGCCTTTTTTTTTCAAAAGAGATTCCCGAATATCATTAGTAACCAAGACAACTTAACCTTCAAGACTCATTACTGGTTTCGTTTTTCTGAATCCCTTGACTTCAAACATTTATGTGCTGTAATTATAGTTTTGCCATTACAAATTGAAGAACTGATATAAAAATAATAATATAAGAAGAAAAAGCAAAGTGGGGAAAAAAAAAATAGGTACTGATTTTTTTCCAAATTGTAACGAGAGTATTTATTGCGTGACTAACATTGTAGGAAATTCCCGCAGTTATAACGCCGACCGAAACCTTTTATTATTTACACTCAATTTAACGTACCGACTTTATAATTCACTTGCGAGTTCGTAACTTTTATAGCCAAAAAAAAAAAAAAAAAAAAAGCAATCAGTCATTACTTTTTTTTTTTTTTTTTTTTTGGTGGCAAAGACTTCTTTAAGTTCAAATTAAAAATAAAATAAAATATAAGTAGTCTTGTAGACCATATTTGTTCCTTGGCCCAATTTTGCAACCTGAGAAGCAGTCCAATATACAATCTTCATCTAAAATTGGCTTTCTGAATTAAAAACCAAAATAATAATGACAATAATTGAATATCATCCTTAGGATACCAAGATAAGTTTAGAGCATCCTAAACTTAGTATAAGTTAGACATGTCAAAGTTACAAGTTCTTCGAATTTGCTATTTTTTTTCTACACATGTAGTTCCTATCTATTTAGCTGCATATATATATTGGTTGAGATAGACTACTTGCTTTTGTAAAAATAAATAGATAAATCATTAAAATATAATTTCATTTAATGATTACTCCGTTTGACAAAAAGCATACGTTTTTTTTTTGTAGATATTGAGCCTCATTCAGATAAAAAGGCAAGTCCTTGATGGAAGGAAGAAAGCGCAGGGAATTATTGACTTTTAAGCATGATATTACTTTTGAACTACAATAATAGTAAAAAACAAATAGAGAGAGAGAAAGATTGAAATTGAAACGTATTTATATATAAGAGAAAAGGAATCAGTGCTTAATTAAAATTCCATTATAAAACAACTTTAAAACCCGGAAAACATGCAAAAATCTTGCTAAAATTTCCCTTTTCTTTTTTTTTAATAGTGCAAAGAATGTTATTCATTGCATATAATAATATAAGCAACCAGGCACTTGTGGTGAAAAGGCGTTTCTTGGAGTAGTTTTTTCTTAGTCTTCTTTTTATCTTTTTTTTCTTCTTCTTCTTCTCATATAAATATTGTAATACAAAACTTCAGGCATATTAAGCCAATCGCTCAGTTCTTTGCCCTGTAGCCGACCAACAAATACAAAAAAAAAATGAAAATGAAAATCTTGAGTGCGCGTTATTTTCTCGAATTATGCGACTTTTATAGTGTAATTTACTGTAAGCGATTATTTCTGCGATTTCTAAAAATAAAACAAACGCAATTTTTGTTGCCTATCTTTGTTGGTTTTTTTGTGACACTGAAAATATCAAACACTTCCTGTTTCTGTTGCTTCTTCTGGTGCTGTTGATATTACCATTATTATTGTGTTGTTGTTATTGTTACTTTTGTGTATATACATGTGTGTGTGTGTGTGTCTTTTTCTTCTTCTTTTATTGCCATTGCTACTGTAAACCCAAGGAGCGTGGGTACTAAACTCAAGAAATTTGTCTAGTGAATGAATGAAACATCTTTTGGGTTTTTTGTCAATTTGTTATCTATCTTCATCTATTTTTTTTTCACCCATCTATATCTACATCTATATCTATACCTATCCTCCACATATCCAATGTCACTTGTAATATTCTGTATGTTAAAGAAAGAAAGAGAGAGAAAGAAACATAACCAAGAGCGTTATTCATTTGGTTTCATTGCTTTGTCTTTGAATAGATTAGATATATATTTGTATAGAATATTTAAAAGAAGGGGAATGAAGGTTGGGAGTAAGAAGGATAAAGATGAAGATGAGGGGAGAAATTAAGTCTTTGGTTTAGTGCAAAAGGTAAATTGACAAAAGGATATAACTATATAAAATAAAACAAATAAAGAGCTCAGCATGCGTGTTGGCTGATAAGAACAATAAGCAATCCTAAAAGAGGTTTAGGAATGGTGTACAGAGCTGTCCTTTTATGACTTTGTGACAGTTTCATTCCATTCGCTTGTATATATGTATAGCACACAAAATATAAATCACATAGACTTGGTCGATTTGAACATAGACCAAGATACCCAGCCCTTGCAATAAGTGATATATAAAATAATATAGAATATAATAGATTGCGTTTATTTTTTTTATTCTTCTTCTTCTTCTTTGCATAGTTTTTGTTCGATCTATATTAAAGATATCATCGAGATCGATTCACACCTCTGTGACGCATCATCTCAAATACGCTTTAAATATACATATACATATTCATAGCTTTATATATACATTCAAATATTTATATATGTGGGACTTTAATAAAGACATTCAACTTACCTTGACTCACTTTCATTTACTTCAATTCAGTTCAATTGACTGTGTACGTCTTTAAAAGGCTGTGTTACAAGATGGTTGGATTTGTAAAGCACAACAACAGTTTGTGTTATTTCTCACAGCTATTTTGGCATCTCTTTCTCCCTCCCTCCCTCCCTCCCTCCCTCTCTCGCACACACACACAATTATATCATTATTGTCCTAGTATTGTCTTTTTTTTTTATATTCACAATTGTATAAAACTTATTGTATTTCTTGATTTTATTTTGCTCCTTTCTTCCACCTTCTCTTTCCCCTAAAAACCCTCCCACCCCTTGCCACTTTATATATATATATATATACATATATAACTCATTTATATTGTAACTGTAACTATAACTATAACTATTACTATTACTATCACCATCATCATCACCATTATCGTATTATATACACATATACATATTTGCATACTTTTTCCTCTTCTTTCTTCTTTTTCTCCTTCTTATCACTATCAGACTTTTCTATACTATTTTGACAATCACTCGCAAGGATTCCACAGATTACGGACATCACCATTACACCACCACCACCACCACCAAAACACACACACACAAAAACAGCACAATAACAATCTGTTACTATGACGGAGATCAAAAAAGATGGTTACTTACAAGTCAAGGAAGATGGACTACGTGCATGGATATGGTCAAAACGATACGTTGTCCTTCGAGAGCAATCATTGACATTCCATCGAAACGAGGTTAATATTCACCCTCCCCCCTCCAATCTACCCTTCATTTTGTTTTTTTCTCTTACCCAAAACAGATATATATATAAAGAGAAAAAATAATAATATTATCACATTAACCCACACACACACAAAAGAAACGTAATATACTATGGTATAATAGTCTTCTTTTATACTTCTTCTTACTTTCACTCACTAATTTTTCATTCTTATATACATACACAACAACAACGATAACATAAATATATATGTATGTATATATAATTATTTTATGTAGCAAATGGGACAGTGCGTGGCCCTGATCTTCCTCAAAGACATCAATGCCGTGACACGCGCTGAATTAAAAACACATTGTTTTGAACTGAGCACGAAACAAAAGACATATTATGTGGCATGTAAGAATGATGAAGAACTCTATTCTTGGATGGACGAAGTGTACAACGTAAGCCAAAAGCAAATAAGTCCAACCAACCCGTCCAACCTAAAAAACCAGCCTACAACCCTACAAATCTACAAATTTACAAATCTACAAACATAAAAACCTAAACACCAATCAACAAACCTAACAACCAGCAAACCTAGCAACAAATCATCAAATCATCAAACAAAACAAAACAAAAAAAAAACCACAAGCTAAAGAACAAAACATACTCACTGTATTTCTCTTGTAAACTTTATTTACATTTTATTTCAATCCACATATACACATAAAAGCGTTCGCCTCTGGGTGCTTCTGGTCCTACAAATTTTGAGCACAAGGTTCATGTGGGCTATGACCCGATCACAGGCGCCTTCACTGTAAGTCACTTAAATAAAATATATATATAAAAAAAAGCAAACTTATCCTTGTGACCAACTCTTTTGTATATTTATAATATATAAATAAATAGGGATTACCTGATCAATGGAACGCCCTTTTAAAGGTGTCAAAAATCACCCCAGAAGATGCGGCAAAGAATCCTCAAGCAGTTCTCGAAGCACTAGAATTCTATGCCGAACAAACCAAACAAGAAAAAGAAGATTTTGCTAGCCATCACCACTCAAAGGAGGAGATCATGATGGTCTGGCCAAACAGCAAGACATTCAGCCAAGACTCTGTACATCTCAAACCAAGTCGATCAACACCTGCACCAAGGTACATTAGAGAACCACCCGTTAGACCCCCTCTTATCTTGGCCGAAACTGACAAGCCAATCGCCAAACCAGTCGAAGAAATCTTTGCGGAAAGACGAAAGAAAGAAGATGTAGGTTTTGTATGTTTTATGTACTTTTTTTTATTAAAAAAAAGAAAGAAAATAAAGAAGAGGAATATATTTGTGTGTGTGTATATATATATATAATAATTATCTAAATTGTATTATGTTTTGGATATTTAATTTTTGTTGTTGCTAGGTAATCTCACCAGTCACCACCACCACTACTACAACAACAATAAAGCCTATGAAAATTATACCCTCAGTATCATCCTCAGAAATACCCATTGTCAACCTACCCTCGCCTAAGCTCTACAAACACCCCTCCCACCAAAAAAATACTACCGCAATTCCACCCACACCACAGCCCTCTGTCTCAATGACCGCACCATCCCGCCTGATCTCACCCGAAAGAGCCCGATTTGAAAGAGAGAAGGAGCGGCTCAAAGAATCAGCTCTGCTTTTACAGCAGACCACTATTGAAAGACGTGCACGCGAACGAAAGGCTCAACCCAAAATATCAACATCAACATCATCCACAACAACAGCAGCAGCAACAGCAGGAGGAGGAAGCGGGAGCAACACCAGCAGCACCAGTACAAGCACTAGTTATAGTTCCAATTCTAGTTCCAACTCTAGTATTAGTTCCGGCTCTGGCTCGAGCTTTGGCTCTAGCACAAACTTTAGTTCACCGATCTCAATTTCGTCTTCGATATCATCCTCGACTGGACTTTATTTGAGACAGTCCAATGAGCGTGATCGAATGCGTGAAAGAGAACGAGAGCACATCATGAATCTGCGGACCAGACCCCACCCACAATTGCATACTCCTCAACCACAGCCACAACAGTCAACACCTGTACCGTCCTCAACCCCCAAGGTTGAGAGAGTAGCGCCACCTAAAAGAAATGAACAGAGAATTAGTACCATGTCCGATTCACAAATTATGGAAAGACTGAGTAAGTTTGGTTTGATTTATTGGTTTAATTAATTGCTTGCTTGACTGATTTATATACATATGAAAAATATAGGGTCTGTGGTTTCAACAGGAAATCCAAGTTTACTTTACCGTAGATCAGAGCGTATTGGACAAGGGTAAAGTATTATTGGGATATTGGCTCTCTTGTTTTCTTGAAGAAGAAGAAAAAGATAAGAGACAAGGAGTAAAGGTTACCATTATTGTTACTATTATCCTGGACTAGAGCTAATAAATTATTATTATATTAGAGCATCTGGATCTGTCTATCTTGCTACACATTTGGTAACCCACTCCAAAGTGGCTATCAAACAAATGAACCTGGCTCGACAGGCTAGACTTGATCTTATTGTAAATGAGATTATGATTATGCGAGAATCTGGCCACGACAATATTGTCAACTTCCTCGATTCGTTCCTGGTACTGGGCGATTTGTGGGTGGTGATGGAGTACATGGAAGGAGGTGCATTGACAGATGTAATTGATCACAATAACATGACAGAGCAGGACATTGCAACCGTTTGCTTTGAGGTAAAATAACAAACAGATATTAATATTAATTATAATTTGCATATTTGCATATATGCATATATGCATGCATACATATATGTAATATAACGTACATGTGTATAATAATAACTTACATTTACATATTAATTATGTATACACTTGTAATTTCGTTTGCTTAGACTGCCAAAGGACTTCATCATCTTCACTCCCAAAACATCATTCACAGAGATATCAAGTCTGATAATGTGCTGATGAATTTCCAGGGGCAAGTCAAGATCAGTAAGTGAAATACCATTATAAATTAAAATTATACAATCATAATAATAACACCCACATTTCATATACATAAAATTATGTAAGGTGATTTTGGTTACTGTGCTAAACTTACTGACCAAAAGAACAAGCGTGCAACCATGGTTGGTACACCGTACTGGGTAAGTTTGAGCCCTCTATTTTATTTTTATTCTATTCTATTGTGAGGCATGGAATCCAATTAAGTCAAAGCAATGTATTATATATTATATATATTAAAAATTAAAACCAAAATTAAATATATATATATACAAATATAGATGGCACCGGAAGTAGTCAAACAAAAAGAATATGGCGCAAAGGTTGACATCTGGTCACTGGGTATTATGGCTATTGAGATGATTGAGAATGAACCACCCTATTTGGACGAAGAGCCTCTTAAGGCTCTCTATCTAATTGCCACAAATGGCACACCGTCGCTAAAGAACCCAGAAAACCTGTCAAGAGAGCTCAAAGGATTCTTGGCAGTCTGTCTGTGTGTGGATGTAAAGTCACGAGCATCATCTTCTGAGCTATTGGAGGTAGGCTGTAATATTAGTACTGGCTATGAAGAGAAAGATAGAGAAATGGGATAATAAGATAGCCTAGAGTAAAGAAGAAGATTGGACTTGAATGTATTGTATTCAACATATATGTCTGTTTACATACTTACCTTCTTACTACTATCTTTAGCATGATTTCATGAAAAAGGCAGGTCAAGTGGATCTCTTGTCTAGGTTATTGAAGTTCAAGCGAAAGCAATAATCGAGCAAGACAACACACACACACACACACATACACATACAAAAAATCAATCAAAAACAAACAATTATATATATATACAAAATACACCCTCCTCCACACACACATTCTCTCTAACATGAATAAGAACGTACAGCTATATTAATACATTGTCCTTTTCCTATCCATCTATATTGTCAATAAATGTAAATTTGCCCTTTAAACTCAAGGATTAAACAAGGGATATTGACAAGATAGTGTCTATTGAGATTTGAAATACGTTATAAAATATATGCCCTGTACACCTTTGGCCTCTTTGTATGAATGTATATATATATGTATAATATACATTACATAAGAGTACAATATTAGCTGTTTTGCATACATATTTTTATTATTAAAATACATGTTCGCTTAAGCGCTTCTGTTATATGTATATTCGCTCAGGCACTAAAACTAGAACTTAATTTCAAGACCAAAAGCTGATAGACACTTTTACTGCGCAATTACTGTGTCTGTCTGTTTTATATGATAATTTTTCAGAATCCATTAGCCCTTTTTTTTTATGTTACTCTTATTTCGCCTTTCTTTCGTTTATTTATCTATTTAGCTTTTAAAAGCAATTCCAAAGTTTTGATATACAGAACATTTTGTTGGAGTAGCCTTGTACAAACATGAACCCACACATTAGTAGCAAAAACACTCTCTGCCATACTCACAAAGGTCCATTGAACATCTTTTATATTCTTAATTATTCAATTATTCAATACAAAGAAAAACATCAGCATTGACATGATACTACCTTGTGAGTACTCCCATATGATAAACGCAGTTATACTCAAGAGAAAGACAAAGATAGGAACCTACTCATTACAATATGTGGAGCTTTACAGACTCAATAAGGCGGCTAATTATATCTATTCATATTGAGTATCTACAGATAAGCAGCGTTGGGTTTGGAATGTACATGATTCGTACGTGCAACAATGTGGCCAACACCAATATAATTCCTCCTAATTCCGTTTTTGCTTCTTATGATTATTTTGATGAGTATATTTCTAAAAGTAGTGCCAAGCGTTGTACATGTACATGTGTATTTGTAACAAGCAAACGTAAACACGGCAAGATTTGTGATCAAATGTAATTTATATACGGTGTAAAGAGTGATATGAATAGCAATCATCATATACCTCGCCAAGAATATGACTACACCAGAAAATAAAGAGTGCCGAGGACTAGAAATAGTGTATATTTACGTCAATACGGGTCATATTTCTGGGAGTCGAGTAGTGTTCCAATGGTCATTTGCTGTGTGTAATATAAGGAACTACTCGTGTTTCAACAACTATCTCAAATCTGGACCCCACTAAGCCAGGTTACTGTTGGAGGCTTTGAGATGAAGTTTAAAGAAAAAAGAATAGGGTAATGAAGTCACTTACTATTACTACTATCATTCTTTTGATGCAAGTATATTAAAAAGTAGATAGGTAATAAGGAAGCCTATAATGATTTCAAAATATTTCTAAGAGTAAAATCAAAATCCCTAGACTTATCTAAACAAGCTCTTTTGATTTTGATTTTGATTTTCTTTTATTTATTTTAAGCCTTTTTTCTTTTTTGTGTTCGTGTCTTTCACTTTAATGTTATATCCGAAACTTAGTAAAAAAACATTCTTTTTTTTTATCAATGATTCGATAGCAACTGATTAATTTGTCCAGGGTTACATCGTTTAATAAAAAAAAAATGACAAGCAGCTTATATAAATTCCGTTTCTTAGCATTTACTTTCTATTCTCCACTTCTTTCTCTCTTTTCACAACATTCTTACCTATTCTTTGAATATTTGATAAATCAATGCTACCTGATTTCCCAGATAAACCTTCAGTACACCAATAGTTCTCTTAATCACCTAGAGATGATTATGTCTTGAATCAATGGCCTAATATCCTTGCACACCTTCCATTGCTTCTCTCCAGTGTCAAATACAACAAGGTAAGTTCTTTATTTGATTTATATTAAAAATAAAGAGGAAAACTACATTTTATTATTTGTACAATTATTCTTAAAAGATTAGCAAGGACATGGCCTTGAGAATCTAGAGATGTATGTATCCCGTATCATGATCTCTTTAAAAGCATATTACAACCCATAGACGTATATTTCTACTCCCGTTATAAAGTATTGTATATAGAGTCGGAACAATAGTTTAAATGAAGGTCGAGTTCTTCTTGGTTGCTAAATTTCTGCTTGCATCCTCTTGTTCCGCACCCCAATGAGACATTTTGTGGGCCTTATTGGTTATAAAAAATATAAAGACAATTAATAAAAAAAACATTCTATTATTTCCTTTGGCACTTTCTTTTTGTTTTTGTTTTTGCCTATACCTCTTCGAAAATAATTCCTTTTTTGTAAGCCGGTGGCAAGATTATGCATTACAGAACCACTGGGACCTGAAACGCTGTGTACTTGTGTGTCTTGGCGAAGGAACTTATTAAAAATCTTTTCAACAAGCGCCCGTTTCTTTGTCTCAACAAATGTGTGGTTGTTAACTGGTTGTTGTTGTGGATTCATGGATAAATGACTTAAGTATATATTGATATGAAAGAAGAGGTCGGATTGTTTTACTGACAAAAATGATTTGAAAAACAAAGAAGAATCATAGAATTATTGCTTTTATTGATTTTAGACTGCTATAAACGGCTGTGTCAAATTATTATTTTTAAATAAAAAAAACGGCTTGTAATATTAAGAATACTTGAATAAACGTATTTACACACGCAAACGAACTTTTATAAATATATGTATTTCTGAATAGCTATACTAATACAAAAGCAAATATCCAATTTCTCCTCCTCCTCTATATAGCATATAGTTAATTATATGATGGGGGATGACCTTATTCCATAGTCAAATCAACCACACAATAGTACATTTTGGTAATAATTATAGCTATATTTAACTGTTTGTCCGAGTGATTGAGTTCCTTAGCTTGTAAACTTTAGATTTAATGTGTAAAGAATACATCCTAAACAACCAATGAGTTTCGAGACTTGAAAGAGACACTCATTACATAAACTTGACTATTAAGCAAAAGAAGTGTTAATTTTGTTTAACTTTTTCTTTGTTCATTTTTTTTTACAAACTATCGTCCTTAAAGATCCTTTAGAAACTTTTATTCTTCTTCTTCTTTATTTTCAAAATCAAATGGAAGATACTGTGTGCTCAAGTATGTTGCGTCAAGTTGCCTAATAATTATATAAATATTCAAGCCCTTGTTATTATCGAAGAAACTATTTTAATATTGCTGGTTATTCATAAAAGGAAGAGGAGCGCAAGAAAGAGAGGTGACAAGAAAAAAGGACAGAGGAGCCATAATAAACAGAGATCAGATGAGTATTATTACAATAAGGAATATAAAATGTAAAAAAAAGCGGCTTGAAAACGTACAAGCTGGTTAGAGAACTTCTGATCCAACGAGTAAAACGGAATAGCAGTTGATTATGGCAATTATGTTGATTAAAATATCACTGGTTTGTACAAGACAGTGTCATATACTAAGCCCTAAACCTTTTAATTATAGAAAAATGAATATGGGTATCTTTTTGTCTCTAAAAAATAAAACAAAAATGTTCAATAAACAGCTTGTAGAAAGGCTCAAAGATGGGAAGAGTACCAAGAAAAACTGACGCGGATCTAAGTGTATAAGATTTCCTTGGTTTACATGGTTAGTTTTAAAGAAGCAATAGCCTCATTATACATAAAATCCACTACATAAGAGAGAGGACTATTAGTCCTTTTTCAGCTTGTTAACCGAAGCAGTAACACAGAGGCGTATATATTTATATATCTATAATAAAAGTATACAGAGGAGTTAAGGTTTATTCATTCATTAGGTTATCGAATTATTCTTATTATTATTAACTGAATATAAATAACCATCAATATATTTTTAATGTTTATTGAGCTGTGTGTGTGTGTGCGGAAGAGTAATATGTAAAAAAAAATAATTAGGGAATTTGATTTTTAAGGAAAGATAAAGAGGTCTTTTTATACATTTTTTAAAATGGATGAGACCACTGTATTGGTCATGCAAGATCTATTGAGTATTAAGCAGAAGCATGCCACAACACATTATTAATGAAACATTCAAGGCTTTAGTAATAAAACTGGTGATATCTCCAATTGTTAATTTTTTCTTTAAAAAAAATGATGCATATAAAAAATTAATCATTGTCAAGTTAATGAACATATCACGGATACACTGAATGATTACTGCTTTACTTGGATACAAATAAAACATACATTCCAGAGCTAATGGGTTCAAACAAGAGTACAATATTTTTTTGTAAGCTAATCAATTGTGTCTATATTTTTCCAGTATTTCACTTATATTTTCTAATTATACCATAGCAGACACACCGGGAACTCATTAACCACAATCCTTTGTTTTTCAGTCACCTTTATTCTCTTATCTAATATGAGTACTCAGCTGAAACATACGCACGATTTTGAAATCTCAAAAAAAAACGAATAAAAATCCTTTTAGTGGCATGAAAATATTGTACACTGAAGGGGACTTGTGAATTTTATACAGAAATGTACATCACTTTGATTAATCAAGTTTTTACTTTGTTATATGTAAGTGGCAATCCTTTCTTATAAAATTTGACATATTAGCTCATTAATTCTATGGCAAATTTGTACTAAAGTTGTAATTTTACATTTTAGTATCCTTAATCCTGAAGCAAATATCACTGTCTAATGAATAGCTTCGGAAACGTACATGCGTTCCGTTTCTGTACCTCTTAATATGCATCGAATGTTGGTTCGACATATGGGACTATAGCAAGTTTCTACCCACCATTTAATTTTTTCAACTCATCAAGCACTTCTATATCCTATTCCGAGATTTGTTTTCTCTTCATTCCAATTCTGGATCTCACAATTTGATGCGCTCATTCTTCTCAATATTCAACAGTATTATTGCTTTCATGGTTGTTGACATAAACTGCGCCAACTGTTTTCTTAAAGGTGAATCCCCAGCTCTTCATGTATCTATTTATACTAGACAAAGACACATTTCCGGATACTCCAAACTTTTCAGGGAAAAGAGTGTGATCAATGTACTCTTTTACATTCGGGGTTGTTATATTCTCAACTTCTTGTTTCCGGATCCAGTTTGACACTGCATTCGCAATCCCTTCGTCTGCGAGCAAAAAAGGTTCTCTTGCGTGTTTGCCTTGCTGGCGAGGAGAGATAAACCCGGTATAAATATACTCTTTTGCCCACTTTCGAATGACTAGTGGAAGGTAAGTGTTTTTTTGGCCATACACAATCTCCATTTCTTTCGTTGAAGCTTCTACTTTCTTAAGACCCTGAATTCTTTGAAGAAGGTAGGTCTTTACGGCCTGATGCTTCATCATTTCATACATGGTTATGCATGAATTAGATGGGAGACTGATTTTTTGCTTAATATAGTCGCAAATATTTTCGTATGAGGATTGAATCTTTTCTCTCTCTCTGCCCTTGACTGTTCTTCTCTTTGAGAGGAACTAGGAATTGTAATATTCTCAACCGTCGAAGTCGTCTGAGGAACTTGATAAAACCCTAAATCTTCGAGTTTGTGGATCTTCTCTGCATTCTGAGCAGAATTAATTGCAGCCTTACGCCTTCTCCACAAAGTTGTTGCTGAATCTTTTCTATAGACTCTACGAATCTTCTTTCCAGCACCCTCTTTCCATTGAAGCGAAATGTCAGGTTGAAGTACAGTCGAACTTTCGTTTTCAAGATTAACGCCTTGAACTTCAATGCTGGATTCACAAATGGGAGCTTTGTTTTCAAGATTAACGTCTTGAACATTAATGTTGGTTTCACAAATGGAAGTTTCGTTTTCAAGATTAACGTCTTGTATATTATTGTTGGTTTCACAAAGGAGAGATTCATTCTGCTTTCTTAAAGCAGCGCGATGCATTCTACTTTTCACCATGCGCATAATGTGTTGTTTACGGCGGCCAGTATATGGCATGTTTAGTAGTAGTAGTAGTAGTAGTAGTAGTAGTAGTAGTAGTAGTAAAGGAAGAATATAATATATATAAAGCAACGTCTTTAAAGCCACTAAAAAGTTTTGCATACATCCCCATGTACCGTTTCGTTCATTCTCCGATTTAAAGTACACTCGATAATTCTTAAGTTTACAGTCTTGACTGAAAAACATGCTTTTAGACAAACGTTTTTCTTTCTATTAAATTCAATGTTACTAGAAGGGACATCATTACAAGCCTCAATAGACGGATAGCATATTATTAATTGCATTTTTCCAAACAAAAACCCATTTATCGGTTTCCCTTACCCCTCTACTTTGCTAAATCTACTAAATAAAATATTTCTTGCTCTTAACAAAAGCATTCTCTCAGAAATTTGTACAGAAACCTCTCCCCACAAAAGAAACAAATGTGTCTTCTCAGGAAATGTAACAAAATCCAGGTGATTAAAGTAGCTGAAAGTATATACATATCTACATATATACATATATACACATATATTTTCTTTTCAAGTTATTTGAGCAAACTTTAGGATTTTTTACTAAAAGAAAAGAAGCGTAAATTGGTCATGTTACTGTCTGAATGGTATATGAAATAAGAAAACATAAATATAAATAACACTATCATTCATTAATCAACAAAGGGCTGCGTTCAATGCACCAAGACATTTGATTCTAAATGGAAATTGACTTGGGGTGATCAGATGCTAAAAAAAAAACTTGGAATTATTTTCACATTTCAGTTTACTCACTACGCTTGTTTCCAAAAAGTCGTGTGATTTTCAATATGAAAAATTCGTTCGCTTTACAAGTCTAGAATAAACTGTCAGCAAAAACATCCTTAAATAAGAAAGAAAGAAAAAACACCATATTCTGGATATTTGGAATTGTCTATCTATTATCTTGGTACGGATTACTTTAGGCTTCTAGCTATTATGTAGTATTAGCCATATATAAAAATAGTCACGAGAGTGGAATGACAGGTTTAACAAGGAAATCTCATTATCATTAATATTCGCAGAGCATTCCTGTGTTCTATTGTGATCTATACATTTTTCCATATAATGGTTATAAATCTGAAAACCTAAAATTAAAATAAAATGATATAAAACCAAGTGATACCCTGCTCTTTTTTTTCTTCATTTAAATCTTTAATACAACATAATCAGCTTTTTATACTTTCCATGAGAGCTTCAATTGCTATCATTGGTTTCTTTTGTCTTATATCTGTCAACAGTGCACCTTTATCCGAACCCCAAGTCAACAACGATATTCTCCCAGAAAGTGTGCCAGTTTTACATGCACCTATTCAATTGAACAATAATGAGGCTCATCCAAGCACAAACAGCTATACACTCAGTCCTCATATCGACCTTATTGGTCCTGCTAAAGCAATAGAGGCTTCTGAAAGCATCGCTCGATTTTTGTCTTCTGATGGTACTACTAAGTCTACCCTAAGTAAAAGTGCAATTTTCAGCACCGCATTTGCTGCCATAGCTGTGGCATGTATGATTGCTCTTTAATACAAATATTTTAATAAACATGTACATACACGCATACTTTAGAAACTTACCTGTCCTAGCTCTTTTACATATGCCTAGTGTTTTGTATATTTCACCGTATTATTATATATTTTCCCTTTATACTTTCTAATGTCTAATAGTTTGTCCTATATAAAATTTTATTTTTGCTCATATATTCTGCTACTGTAAGTTTAAAATTAAAATAAACCTTTTTAATATATCTTACTTTTAACCCACAAAACAAAAGTCCTCTCATAGTATATCTTGTTCTTTGGGTAAGACAAACAAATAACCATTCTAATGATCGTAGGTAATATTCTCCAAATCAATTACGTTAACCTTCCTAGAAGTGTGGTTCAATAAACTCTGTCATCCGCCCTGTTGATTGTATTGATTCCTTGCCAGTAAGAACTAACAATAGGATAGTTTCTTTTATTGTTTTATAGCCCACAAAATATTGGGGATATAAGGTTTGCTTGGATGACGCTTCTGACAGTTCCAGCCGATAGGGGCTACATACTAAGATATCGCGTGAGATAATATGCTATAATTCAGTCAATGGGGTACGTACAAGAGTAAAAAAATAAAAGTAAAGACTTGTAAAGTTTAAAATTCATGTTCTTTAGCTGTACTGTCTTTTATATGATTATACCTTATATAAGTTTGATATAAAGAAGAATGGCTGAAAGATATTGATAATTTTTTAAGTATCTTATCAATATGCCTAAACAAATACTTAGACTCCTGGTATTTGTGCATTACTATTTTATACCCGTTGCTCTAAGTTTTGTATATGTTTAAATGAAATCAAATGTGAGTTTGGTGATGCGAACTTTGAGATAAAATGCATCCCTAGACACACATCTTTTCTCGGTAGTATTATATAGAGTACATTTTGCTGCTATTGATCCCCCCCTTTTTTTTGTAAAAAGGGATAGAATAAACCCATAAAGTATAAGACACTTATAATAATAAATGATAAATGAAATTTAAAAGAGATCGAATTCGGTTTATTTGAATTGGAAATAAAATAAGAATAAATCGAAGGATTTCAAAGGTATTTAACCTCAATAAATAAATAAATGAATAAATAAATGAATGAATGTCAATAGATGACTATTACTCAAGGCACTTCCATAAAATATTTTTTTTTACTTGGAAGGAGCGATTCTGACATTAGGAACCTGCTGATTAAAGACAACGTAGTTGTTCTTAAGGAAGACATCACCAAGAATAGCAAAGGGCAGATCAGCGTAGCCAAAACCGGCAATACAACGACTGCTACTACGGTAATAGATCAAGTCAGCTGGAGGGATACTGAACTTGGCACCGTTGATGGTGAATGACAAAGGGGCAAATTTGGAGGTGTTACAGTTGATGTCATAGGTACCATCACCATTGTCAGTAGCGCCATAGACCTTGGCAACCTTGGTAGCCATTGTGTTGGTAAAGAGCATAAGGGTAGTTCCGGTGTCAAGAATACCGCTGAAAGAACCAAGGCTACTAACAGAGCTGGTAGTACCAGCAGTAGTGCCACTGACGTTAATGCTCCAGAAGCCTATTGTTTAAATGAAAGCCAAACAGTGAGTATTTCTTCATGAACTTTGTTGATATTTTATGACAGTATTACCTTGGGAGCTGTCAATGGGGACAGTTGTCAAAGTACCAGCAATGTGAGCAGAGTTGTAGCCACCAAACATATATTCTATAAGCCCACAAAAAGAGATAGAGGGCAATAATTAGTTTGTTGTATTGGATTGTTTGTTCTCTTTCTAGAATTAATGTATTACCTCCTCCTCCTCCATTTGATTGCTTTCCGAGCCAGACACCAAATACAGGACTATCAATCAGGTTCTGACTCATCATGTTTTCCATAGGAGTCTTGACACCCTTGGCAGTAATAATGGATCCGAAAGCAAGTCCAACGAGACCATCGATAGGATCACTCTGGAAAGAGGAGGACTCTTTCTTGGCAAGCTCGATACCCTGGTTAGGGATAGAAATGCCACCAAGATTGACAGTGTCATAACCAACAACACCACTGGCATTGGATCCATCACCATAGCCGATGGACCAAGTCTTGGTACTAGACTGGTAAGTGGAGGACTTGTTAGGATTGAACTTTGTCTGGGTAGATCCGCAAGAAGTGCAAAGAGTGGAAGCTATAAATATTCAGTATAAGTTAAATAACTGTATCCTAGTGTATTGAAATAATATTCTGCTTACCAAACCAGAGATCCGCGGAACCGGTGTCAAAGTTCAACTTCAATGACTGAGCGGGAGTTCCAATTTTAACGGTGCCATAATATTCAATATCATTGGCGTAGTCAACTACAGGTACAACACCAACACCAGAGGAAAAAGTAACAGGGCCTTCGATGTACTTGAAGTACTTGCTACGAGCCTTGAATACAGAGCGAGTTGCATTAGGCTGGAAGTTAGGGTTCGAGGCCATGGTGAACCGGGCAGTCTTGGAGACAGGAACAGTGGAGACAGGAGGAATGATGTCCTTGGCAGGAGCTGCCTGAACAGATGAAAAGGTGGCAACTGCCAGGAGAGTAAAGATGCTTGCAGTCAATTGCATTGTAGTAGACAATAAATGAAAAAAGGAATATGGAGAAGAGAGTGATGGGATTCTCTTGCTGGATACAAATGCTATCCCTTTTATACAATTTCTTTACAGGCCCAGATCTTTGTGTATTATCTCTGGTTTCTTTGCAATGTTCAATTATGTGCATTGTATATAATACAATCGATTGACCGGAAGGTTCTGTATAGGATTCCTTGAAGATAACGCAAAGAGCACATTTGAACTAGCATATACTATCTAAATGAATCTTTAATGATTTGTATGTATAGAAATATCGTTCGACCATCCCAAATAGACTGATTTCACTTGATATAGAATATAATGTGTGGAATAAAATGATGATTTTAATTAAAGTAATGATAGTAGTAAAAAAAAAAGAATCCTTGTTTGTATCAGTAGGATTAGCATAATCTAATTGTTAAATATGCTAAAATATTCTTTTTTTTAGGATCCCTAGATGGAACATGAGCTATATCTGTAAAGAGTTTCTCAATATAGTAATCCATTGGCACTAAATCACTGGGACTTAAAAAGAATTCAATTTCTTGTTTAATATGTTTAATATGTTTAATATATGTTGGCTGTCGTACACTATGCAATATTGTAGGACAAAATTTGAGTAAACGCAAAGCAAATTCCCGGTAACCTATTCAACAATAATGGAAATAACTTTCTCTACCGCTATTTTCAACACCTCTTTAAGTCTCTGAAAGACATCTATTTTTTTTTTCTTTAGTAAGTACTAAATATGTACTACTGACTTGAGCATAATGATACCGAGATACTTATCAGAGCCAATTAAATGCAAGTGTTATCCTATGTTTAGAGTATTGATACAAATATAGCAATTTAAATTAAATCGCTGCCTTTCATGGGATAAAGACTAATAGAGAGATAATGTATAATTTGCTATCAATATTGAACATTATCGCAAAACCGATCGTACAAACTATTGTACTATAAAAATTCCATTTTAGAAAAAGCATCCTAATCTAGGCGTTTGCTTGTTTTGTAATTCAGAGCAATACACATGTCAATATATCAGGTAGGGACACAATTTTGGTTACTGCATCTATTCTTGCCTCAAATGCTTCATTTTTCTCTTGACAACTTTTACAAGCAATGGATATCAGTAAAAACAATAGCCATACAGTATCAGCAACATACATACACTGTGTCTTTATATATATATATGTGCGTGTGTGTATGTACATTTATTTAAAGAGGTTATTGCAAGTATATATATATATATATATATTCTTGTAATACGTGAATGTTAAAATAAGTCTCAGCATATAATCTTTTTTTTGTAAACTTTTCAAACTTGCCCTTGTGTTTTTTTGACTTGAATTATTAAAAAAAAAAGAACATTAGCTGTGATACCAGAGAAATATCGGATTAATCATATATCGCCGACATATTGGTTCGACAATATCAAAATAGGAAAAATTGGTTCTATATAATTCTACTTTACACAAAGTAGTCAGAGAACTTCCCATTTAAATACTCATTGTAAGTCAAAGAACCTGTTTCTGGTTAAAATATTAAAACATAAGAGGGTACTTAAAAAAAAGGTTGTATAGTATTCTGGTCAAGTATTAGACCTATAGCTGTAAACTATATTTCATAGAACTCTGATTTCCTGAATATACGTAAATACATATTTAAAGAAGCTGTAGAGGTACCAAGTATTTTGATACTAGATATGGCTACTATGGAGGGCATTAATATGAGAAATTTTAGGCTTTATATAGCTTACAAAATACCCAAAGAAATGGAAATGATGGATATGAACAAGTACACTGAAATTATTTGTATAATTTACTAAAGTCTATTTTCAGATTTGTATATATTTGAGTAAAGCAATATTTGTCACAAAATCATAGTAATGGTTGGTTTATCCGACCAGGTCACTGATACCCAAGTTATTAATTTATGAAGATATGTATAGGGTTTAATTTTGACTTGAAGTTGTAAACCCAAAGAGGCGCTTATATCTACAAAAGCTTCTATTGTTATGATTAATCTCAAAAATATCTGATTGGGTGTGTGAGACATGTTAATAAGGTTTCTCAAAATTTAATAATCTACCATTAACAGAAAATGTATCTTATAGAATATACGTAATCTTCATTATAAAGTACTTGAGTAGCATAAGATAAAAGTATTTTACATAATAATAGCTTTGGTATTCAGTGGACCTGTACTTTAGACTTTGAAAGGCAAGTATTAATATATATATATATTGGGCTATGAAGTATAGTATTCTGATGAGACCAATTCATTAGACTTTGTTCAATTATTATCAGTAAAGAAAATGGGCTTTCAAGAGCTATGAAGAGGTTACTTTCAAGAGCATCTCTAGAAGCCAGTTTGCGTAAATCCTACTCTTTTTTATATCTTTCATTCCTATATATAATAATGCTTTACCAGCTGGAATAATAAAAAAAATGGTTTTATTTATTAAGATGGTTTGATACTAATGCTCTAATCTATTATTATTTTTTCATTAAATAAAATATTCTATTGTACTTACCATAGGATGAACAATATGTACTTAAACAACACTATATGTATTATGTCGCCAAAGCTTTAGTTTACAATCATACCCTTACATTATTTTGTACGGCGCAGCTTCCAGAACATCTTGGACATTGTTACTTCAACGGTATCTCGCTTTGTTTATCTTGTCCTCCATCTGACAGATAAATATCATTAGAATGATTTACTATCATAGCACGGAGATATTGTGGAGCTCATTAATGAACAAACTAGACTTGTAGGGACTAGTAATATATTAAACGGGACAATTTTCTGAGATTAATAGAACAATGTTATGATTTCCAGAAGAACAATCCAGATAGGTTGTATTGTAATTGCAATTTGTAAATAACCCCATAACACTACCCAAAGATCTACTTTTAGAGGGCTAGCATTATTGGCCTGAAGGAGATTGGTTATTTTTCTGATTTCTTACCAGAACAATATGAAAAAAATGGATCTTTGCATCATTATACAATTTTAGCTTTGTTAGCTTCTGAAAAAAAAAGATATATATTATAGTACATAAACAAATGCTCAACTGTGACCAAATCAGGATTCTACCTGTATACCTCCAACCTAAAAAAAAATAACTTACAAATGTACATGTTTTAACAGGATTTTTCGTCCCTTCATCTAGATAAACCACTCCTAAATTAACATCTACCTAATAGAAAATACACACCTCAAGGATAGTACAAGTTGTGTCTTGAACACGAAAGGATTTCTTGAGCTGCAATAGCAAAACAAACAAGAACAAATAGAAATAAAACAAAAAGGGACTGAAAATAGTATTTAATTAAGACTCAACCTTAAAACATCCTTTAAAACACAGTAGAAAAAGCTTTCAAAAACCTCTACTAGCGTTGTCAGCTTTTATGACAGCATATAAGAATATTACAAATATCCTTAAGATGTAGTTGTAAATAATAAATATTCTCTAAAGATGTAAGATGTTCAACCCTTTTTATGACACCTTTATTATTAGACTTTCATGAATATACTTTTAAGTCTTTTGTAGACACATTCGCTTTCAAGAGTATAAAATTTCTTAATAAAATCATATAAAACAAGTGAATCACAGAATAGCAGCTAGGTTTGCGTTGACCATAGCCAGTTACACTTTATTAAGATTACAGATAAAGTGAAATTCAAATATAAAGCATATAAGTGAAATGTAATAATGTGGATACAAATTAAGCAGTTGAAATGTTGCACATCTCAAAAATAAATTGGTCCTCCATATCAAGCTGAGAGGGGTCCAAAAGGATCTCAATATCATCCTCGTCCTCTTCCTCACGAGCACAAAACGAAATATTGCATTCGCCAAAAGAGCAGTTTCCAGAGTCAACATCCATAAAGCTGACAGCACAATTTGCCGAGCTTGAGGTAGAGATGGTAATAGATTCTAATTAAATTACGTTAGAAAGCTAATTCTTATTTATATATTCAATCAAACTAAAACTTACCTTGAGAATATGATCTCGATCTTTTAGAAGGAACAGAAGAAGCAGAGCTGGAAATTAAAGAGGTTTGGCCGAACATTATAGAGTGATAACTGGCAGAAAGAGAGATAAAATGCGATAGACCCAATTTTTGACAGCTTATATAGTCTTTTTGACGGGTGACTGTGAAAGGCCATTGAAAGATAATATATAATCTTTGCATAAGAGTGAGATGACTCGGTGATTATTGTCACTATGCAAAGAAGCTTGGTTAGGTCAAAATTGTAAAAACAACCAACTTTCTTTTAAAAAAAAAATTAAATGCTTACCTTTTCTTTAGTAAATAACCTCATCCTAACACCACTGACAAATCTGCATAAAGTGGCAGCTGTTTGATGTATAATATATGTCATTATGTTAAGTGCAATAACACTGTGGACTTGGACTAACATATGTTCTGCTAAAATAGCATACTTGATTCTATCAATGGGAATATAGCTTCTTTCTAGTATACCACCCTGAGCCCCGGTTTGTGGATATGGACGATATAAGTTTCCAAGTATGTATATATATATAGGAAGACCAGCGCTATTAATCGACAAAGGTAAAAGGTTGGTAGGATTGTATTAAATGACAAGATTTTCTTTTTGGAAAAAAAGCATTATGTTACTGTTAAGTAATTATGACATTCTAAATCATGTACAATGTGAACTCTTTGTCTCGGCCCTTTCTTTTTAATTCACTAGTTGTATGCAAGATTATGACAAGGGTTTAATGATCCAATTAAAAGATATTTGTCGCCATATTAGCGTATATACAAAGTGGTAAAATAAAGGCTAGTTTATCAAATATTAAAGTACACCACTAAGACATTTGTTTTGGATCAAATGGTTCATAATTAATAGGCACGGGAAAACGAAATAAGAATCAAGAGCCGACTTTTATAATGTAGATTTTTGAAAGGTCAAGTCATAAAACAGAATATGATAGAACAAACAACAAGCTAGAGTTATATTTAGTGGGGTAGTATCCATATATCATTGAAAGTCAAGATCTTGTAAGTCTAAAAGGCCACTGTACACCATAGGTATATACATATATGTTCATGTACTTAATTGTCATATTGCCATTAAGTACATGCTTTTATTTCTACCGGTAATCGCTCCCGCTCTGTCAAAAAGAAAGACTTTTGTCTTGGTGTCTATGTGAAAGATATACTCTGATAATACGAAAGAAAGAAAGTCGTATAAAAGCATATATATAGCTCTTCAAGAGTATGTTACTTATTATAAACAGTGTTGAAAGATAGTACTTTACTAGATTTAACAGAGCAAAATATATGTTGACCGTAGTCGACTATATTTTATTATGAAGTACAAATGGACTTGAATTAGCACATGAAGTAACACATGAGATAAGCGGTATGAATACAAAGAAGACTTTTGGTTGTTTGTTTGAGCGAAAAGAAATTAAACAGTGGATATGTTGCACATCTCAAAAATAAATTGGTCCTCCATATCAAGCTGAGAGGGGTCCAAAAGGATCTCAATATCATCCTCATCCTCTTCCTCACGAGCACAAAACGAAATATTGCATTCGCCAAAAGAGCAGTTTCCAGAGTCAACATCCATAAAGCTGACAGCACAATTTGCCGAGCTTGAGGTAGAGATGGTAATAGATTCTAATTAAATTACGTTAGAAAGCTAATTCTTATTTATATATTCAATCAAACTAAAACTTACCTTGAGAATATGATCTCGATCTTTTAGAAGGAACAGAAGAAGCAGAGCTGGAAATTAAAGAGGTTTGGCCGAACATTATAGAGTGATAACTGGCAGAAAGAGAGATAAAATGCGATAGACCCAATTTTTGACAGCTTATATAGTCTTTTTGACGGGTGACTGTGAAAGGCCATTGAAAGATAATATGTAATCTTTGCATAAGAGTGAGATGACTCGGTGATTATTGTCACTATGCAAAGAAGCTTGGTTACGTCAAAATTGTAGAAAAAGCCAATTTCTTTTTAAAGAAAGAATTTTATTGCTTTGAACAAATTAATTCATTTCAGATCAACTGGTATATATGCCTAAAGTACTGGCTGCTCAATGTATAATAGAGTGAGTCGTATTGAGTACTATTACACTACACATTTTGAATAAGATTTACCCTATTAGAATGATATATTTAATCCCATAAATGAGGATATTTCTTCTCTAACATATAAAGCCCACAATCAGTGGTTTATGTATAAGGATAATATAAGCTTTTAAGTAGAAACATATACATGTCGGACACCGGTAAAAACAAAGTAATTTTGAAAGTTGTTGGGATTTTATTATAGAATGACTCTATCTATTTATTCTTGAAAGATGTCTTGAGTGCTTGGTAGTTAATGATGGTACCATAAATTATGACCAATGTCAACTCTTTGTCCCAACCTTTTTTTTTCTGGTAGTTATATAAGTGTTTACATAATAATTACCAGGATTAAGTATTGCACTAGATTACTGTCAACTTTCAGCTGTCATTCGGAATTCTTTTAATATTTTTGTTATGTACTATTTTATACCTTTAACAGAATTGAAAAAAAAAATTATAGTGATTGTAAGCTAGCCTATAGAATCTGTATACTTTAAATCATATCATATGAAGGAGAAGAGAAGAAAACAAACATCATTGCAGTATGTAAAATACATGTCAAGATAAATTTAATACTAAGGCAACTCTGTACATTCATAATAATACAATAAGATACAAATTTCTATCTATGTTTTTAAATGTTACAATTGTCTATTGTTAGTCCATAGTTACATATTTGATATGCGTTTTTCCTTTCTTTTCTTTTAGAATACGAGCCATTTTTTTGGCGTGTATATAATAGCGGTTCATGTAAGCCTATAAAAGGGGTGTACAAAGGTCCGGGCCGCTATACATTTGGATTTGTCCGGCTAAGTTGTTTTCTGGAACTAACGTTTTTTAAATGAGACAAAATCTTATTAAATTGCCCAAAAACAGATCTTACTTCATATAAAGGAGAAGTATCTATCTGGAGATATTGATAAAAACATACACGCGTAAGGGGGTAAATTAGTAAGATAATAATAATAATAATATATACAGGAGTAGATAGAGAAAAAATATAGCCATCTGTTCTCCAGTATGTCTTCCAAACAGCAGCAAAAACGCCATCTAAAACATTATATGACACAATATTTGGAAAGGGAAGGAGGAAGTTCGAGGGCATAAAAGGCGCAATAATAATAATAATAATAATAATAATAATAAGGAGTAACAGTCATAATAAACCGGGCGTCTGATCTATACGACATGTGGAAGACAAAGTGTGAAAAGAAAAGGAAAGAAAAGGAAACACATTGAAACTTCTCATTATTTAAATTATCAGTGGGTGCCTTTTATTATTATTATTATTATTATTATTATTAAAAGTGTCACCACTTTACTGCGCTTTACTGATTTGTGTTTTGTGTGCCACTAAGAAAAGGAGAGAAAGAGAAAGTTCAGGGTGTCAAACAATCTTCTTCGCTTCCTAGAGAAATACCACACGCATACTTTTCTTTACTTTAGCTCGCAGGAGTGGCCCCAAGTTTAAAGACATTGGCCTGAGGCTCTCGCTTCCATAAACGTCTCACAAAGGTAACACACAGTGTAGAGGAATGGTTGTTTTAAAATGAAGACAGGGAGAATCTATTGGTCAAGGTAACACACAATCATAGCTAAAAAATGAATTTCCCTGGCTTTCTTTCGGTCAAACTCATAAGACCCAAACAAAACATAGACACAAAAAAGTCTGAATAATTTAGTAAGTTGTTCTTCTCAGGCCATTTTTAATTTTCGCACTTTTTTTTCCTTTTCTTGTTTCTTGTCTAGCTTTATGGCTAACTTACCTTTTGAGATCCTAACTCAGGTTGCTATACACATCAATCAACCAAAAGACCTCAGAGCTTGCACATTGGTCTGCCAATCTTGGTACAGACCTTTTACAGAAAGGCTCTGGTCAAGGCTCTGTATAAATACCATAAGTCAACTCAATGCGGTCAGCGGCACATTTTCATCCCACAAATCTCTTGCACCTTTCTACAGTCGAGTTCGCACCCTACATCTAAAATGTCCGTTCAAAATACACTCCCACAGATTTCATTTAATACAGCAACGGTTCCACGATCTCGAAGCACTTCACATTCACTCAGACTGCCTCACCTCAGCTTGTTTCTCCCAATCAACTGCCAACTGGGGGCTATGGAAGTATCTGACTGTTCTCGAGTTTAGCATGGGACAGCATGAGATATCCCCTGCTGAGTTTATTGCCGTATTACCACTTGTACCCTACTTAAAACAGCTTGTTTATGCTCAGCGCGAAGCACGTCACGGTCTATGTTGGAAAGATATCGAGGCTATCCACACACATCTTCAATTTTTGGAACGACTCTATCTTGGTGCATTTTGTCGTACACCTTCACTCAACGATTTTTTGGGATTACCAAGATTGATTCCGGCCAAGACACTAAAAAATCTTGAGGTGCTTGATTATCAGATTAGTCCATGGTTTATTTATTACTGTGCATGGAAATATCCAAATCTAGAAACATTAGAGCTTTATGAAACATTTCCTGTGAGGCCACACACTACATCAATCATGCTATGGGACTGTCCCAGCTTCAATCCAATCCAGCCTTTCAGAAACTTACTACAATCAAACTGGGGACAAATCGAGGTTCAAGAGCGTTACATGAAACCTTACAGCGAATCATTGCTCAGTCTGCCAGATCCATTGCTCATCTAGAGTATAGCGACATTCTTCAAGGCGCTTTGGATCCTTATTATCAAGCCACTAACGATCCATTGCTCCAAGTCTTTGAAAAGTCGGCAGAATCGCTCAAACTACACTTACCAGATAGTCGGAACAGCTCACCACGAGCCATATTTCAAAGCGTCTCAAAATGGCCGTGTTTAACCCAGCTTGATATTAACGCTCCATATCTAAACCTAGATATCCATCATATACTGGGCTGCTGCTTAGCCTTAAAAAGACTTGTATTGACTTTTAGAACACTGGAATATATATTTTGCTTATCCAAGCCACAACAGACTTATGAGCTTGAGTCCCTCACTCTTCAAAATGGCACGTTCCATTCAGACCTTTTATACTTCATTTCCAAACGATGTCGCCGGCTCAATGAACTAAAACTCATCCGACTTATTATTGACTCACGGGTAGATTCTATATGTTTTCCATTGGGAATTGATATGCGCTATACTACGCTGAATAATTTGGTTCTGGACAAGATACTTTTTGATGGAGTTGATGGATTTGGATCAAGGTATGATGTCCAAAACAATGTGATGCTGGTCTACCAAATGCGGTCTACGTTCGATGATGACACAACTAGTGCCACGTACAACCATATGCCAACCCAGACAGAAAAAATGCAATGGTTTCATTGGCATCGCGCACCACATGCGCCACCACCTTTGGGACAATGCAGAAAATTGAATGAAAAGGAAGCAAGTTTCACAAAATCTGTGTTTCGGACTTATCAGTACCGATATGTATATTCGGTCGATCAAGACAAGAGAAGCCATCGAACAAGGTCTTACAGAGATAGAGAAGATTGGCAGAATGATTTGTACAAGGGCCACACAACATTTATATGTGAAAGTGTTCTTAATCTGGTTATTAGAGATTAGAGCAGTGGTCGTACACCACAAATACTTGGATATCAGCAAGAGTAATGATACCATAGTAAAGAAAAAGAAGAAATAGGCTAAAGGCTAAATCTCAATATGGACAAGATAGCAGATTTATTTATATTTATATTTACTTGATTTCTGAATCTTCATGTCTCATGCCATCAGCAATGTAAAATAAAAATAAATATAAAAGTATCATACGTAGCCCTTATCTCTCCTATGCATATTTGGAAACCATCGATTGTTACACGGTTCAAAGTACAAGACTAGTAGACGAGAATTGCGAGTTTTATGGGGAATAGAAAGAAGAAACCAGCTTAAAAGGGCCTGTCATTGCTTACATTGAATTTTGAATATGGTTCTGGCAAACAGATCTGGAGGGTTTTTTTTTCTTTTTTCTAAAAAAAATGCCCGTTTACGAAGAGCAGTGAAATAGAGTATCGTTGATAGACAGCCAAGATAAGTTTTGACGTATTTAGACTTATGTACTACCTTGGTAGAGATAAGGCTCAGTCAGCTATTCAGACCATATAAAACCCAGGCATTTCTTGCGCTTTGGCACACCTTATTCAACTTTACTCTTTTCTAATAATTACAATCATGCTGGCCACTGAATTACCTTTTGAAATCATTACAAACATAGCCAGACTCTTGCCGGCAAGAGACATATGCAACGGCAGTCTTGTCTGCCAAGCATGGTACCAGCCTTTTTCTGACTCTCTCTGGCACACAGTAAAGATTCAGAGCCGATCAAAACTCGAAGCCCTCTGCAACCACCTTTCTGAACCCAACAGACACAAGGTGGTGCGACAGCTTGAAATCGGCGCTCAGCTTCAGCTAGAGGGCAAACAACTAAGTCTCATTCTTCAATCATTCCACTCTCTACATACTCTTATCCTTGCTACCGGAAGTCTATCAGCGTCTTGTTTTAAGCCAGAAATGGCCTGGAATAAATGGGACTCTCTCCACCGCCTTGATTTTCATGCATACAACAATGACCTTGAACATACCCTTAATATCCTGAGCAGTTTACCGGCACTCCGGCAACTGACCTATCTGACAAATCGAAGTGGAGAGGCATCATTACACGTGTGCGACATGGAACGTATACACTCGTATCTGCCCGGGCTCGAAAAATTAACCCTTTCTGCCAATCTTGCTCTTTTGGGTGCAGACGATATTCAAACAATGTCTGAGTTTACCATGAAGCCAGCCAACAAACTCAAGCATGTGAAATTCGCTTTTGGATGCGTGGATCTTCGCTGGGTCTCCTACTGGGCCCTCAAGTATCCCAACCTTCGCATGCTTGAATGGAATCCTTACTATGACTCTACACGCAATTATAGCTACGTTGATGAAGCAGCTGAGATGCTGTGTTATATTTCAAGACCTTTTAATCGCCTCGAAACAATTCGCTTATTAGAAGCCTCGCGAAATCGATGTTTACATCAACCATTTGTGGGGCTAATGTCCCGCTTTGGTCGTGGATTTCGACGTCTTGAGTACGACATTGCTTTTGATGACCAATATTACGCCACTACAGACGGCATCAAAGAGGTCCTTCGAGACGGACTTTCTAATCGTGTGGAGACATTGGACATGCGTATCTACTATCCTGTACAGGGGCCAAACACTTTAATCCCTCTTGCCTTGGGTGTATGCCCATCTCTTTTGTACCTTAAATTACAAGTATTCGATATTGATTTTGCCATTGACGTGTTGCTGGACAACTGTATGGCTCTCGAAACACTTAATCTTACCTGCCGCGGTATTGCGCTCTCCAAAGGCTCTTCATTAATCACAACCACAAAGCCCCACCCACTACAGTCCTTTGAATTACACGAGGGCACTACTACACCTGCAGTATTCAACTATCTTTCAGACCGCTGTCGAAAACTCACTAATATGCAGCTTAATTGTGTCAAAATTATCGGCAGAGTTTCGGATACCGCCGGAAGCCTGAAAATTGACATGCCTCACACTCATTTTCAACAACTACAGCTTAATCAGATATCCTATTTTTCATCTGTACGCGGCAGCGAGTGCAAGAACAAGATGCACTTTATTTCATTCACACAACAAATTCTTTCACAGCGCAAATGGTATCATTGGAATGGATACTGGTCTTGTCATGAAATGAGTAATCCTTACAGAAGATTGCCAGATAACCAAGTGAAGTACGTAGAAGAATATTATGGTGCCTTTACTAGCAGGCAGACACCATCTCCTTGTCAGCACCATGAATTATATATAGCCCCTTATATTTCCAGTACTGCTTGGAAAAATGACTTGACTCGAGGATATATTGATATGCATTGTGCTTCAATTGATTCTTTAATACTAAAAAATTAACCCACTCTCTATCTCTTTATTGCTATTGCTTTATGCTATTATATGCTACTATATTACTTCATGTTATTTTCATGTTATTCAATGTTATTCTATTTTATGCTATGTTCTGTAATTTTGCTCCTCAATTATGTACCCTTTTTATTTCGTTCTTTTATTATTTTCTTTAATAAATAATCTATGCTGGTAATAATAAGTAAATGTTTAATATCACAAGTAAAACCTCTCTGGATTAACTATCAAATCACTTCAGAAAACATACGGACACATAAAAAAATATCCCGATTTCTCTCTAATAAAATTATAAGGAAATGATTCCTAATCATCGTTGTCTACTAAAAGAGAAAACATTTAAATCTTTTTTGTTTTTTGTTGTGTAGATTGAATTGATTATCTTGTGCTATTAATTCCTGCCAGACAAACAAAAATAAGGTAAGTGATAAGGTAAGATATCTGGATGATGACTTTATCAGCTAAATCAATTAGAATAGGTTTTATTTTTAAATACACCTCTTTATTATCTAGGGTGGATATGTAAGCTATCTCTACTTATCTTTGTGGCCTTTGTTCTTCTATAGAATGGAGTTTGATTAGCTTATCAATTAATACAGTAAAAAGATAATTTAGGGTTTCTTTTATCTATTTAGTAAGGAGAGTTTCATACAAGATATATATATATATAAAGAGTGATTTCTTTACATTCCTTGTCTGGTTATCTATTTGCCATATAAGATTTAAAGACGATCCGAAGACTACAAAAGATTAAATAATATATATATACATATATCTTGATATATGGTTGTATCTTTTAAACAAGTAAAGATAAATAAATGAATATAACACGTTTATACAAAGGACAAATATTTTACGCTAGTCCCAGGACTAGTGGTTGATTACCGGGGCCTCTTTTTTTTTCATCATCTTCTTCTTCTCTATTGCCATTCATTGGTCTAAGTTTTTATCTAATCAACCCAAAGTTGGTTGTTTTATCCAAAACATCTCTCGTCCTACATCATCTGCTAAAATTAAATTCAAATATTCTCACAAAAGAATCTTCTCTGAACTCTCTCCCAGTCCACTAAGAGATAGGTATATCCTGTTGAATTATTTACACAGTTGATAACATCGTGTGGAAATTGATCTTGCACAAGATATCATCATATTTATCTAGACACTCAAAAAGTACAAAACAAGTGGGTAGAAATCAAATCGCCACAGCTACCACCTTCACGTATCTATACAAAAATAGACCTTTAAACAAGTAGCATAGTATACATTTAACTTGTAAAAAGTCTACGTTTACCGGGTAAATAATAAGACTAAAGAAACATACACTGATTTAAAACTCTCCAAGTTATCTTTTTTTTCCTTTGGATGCTCGATCTCCAGACCATCCTCAAAAATAAAATAAAGAGATTTCGATAAATATGTTACCACAATGGAGGGAAATCCGGGTCAAATGTTCATAATTAAAAGCCCAATATTATTCAAAAAAAAAGTAAGAATAAAGAATAATAAAACCGAGTAGGAATATTCCAATGTAAAGGTGTGTAGTATATTTGTGTCTGAACTATGGTAAAAAAGAAAAAGATTTTAGCAAGGTTTTTCAGGGATTTAAGGGTGGATTTAGGGTTATGTTTTAGTCAAGTACTGCTTTTCCTATCTTTGCTAGATTATGACCGCAAATGCAATACTGACTTTTGAGATTCAGTCCATACTTCTTTTATTATTATTTCTAACTTAAATCATCTGTATATCCCACCTTTATACTTCAGCAATAAAGAATAGACGATTAACTGTAGTTGTGCCTGGTTTCCAATCAATGAAGAAAATTCTTGTTTGATTTCATACGACTGGATTATGATTCGCTGAAATTTACAGGCGTTGAAATGTCAATAAAGAATCGAGTCCAAAGGGACCGAATCTTCTCAAATCTAGAGCTAAACGGTTTTTTGACGATATAGTAAAAATAAATAGCCGTTAGACATTGTCATGTATAAATCATTATATGAATTATATAATCAGAGTGTTCGTTTGAGAAGATATCACTAGTAGAATTATGTATGGTATTAGCTACAGCCACTGTGCTATGTAAAAAAAAAGGCTTTTTTCTGTCACATACATATATATATATGTGTGTGTGTGCAATTAAAAAAGATCGATATAATAATAAACCGGGACTAAGAATAGAGAACAGTAATCTGGAGTGACTAAACCAAGCATTGAAAAAGCTTGAAAAGAAGTACCAGATCAACTACCTCTAACCAAAAGCACGAGGAAGTGGATCATTGGTAATATTTTTGGGATGAGTGTGTTGTTTTATATATTTACTTGGAATATAGCATGAAGACAAAGTAATATTACAAGTATTTGAAAGACTAGTTTGAGTCATTTTATAATATACCGCAGCACAAGGGCACTCAACTCTAAATATTCTAAAAATATAATACTCCAACTCATAAAGCAGCCTTGTCAAATGAATATAAGGAAAAACTTGGCCTTAAAGCTCTTGAGTAATCCTAAAAAAAATCAGACTTGAGCCTAAGAGAGTACATGAGGAACATACATGGTGGCTATATGCCTGTGAGGACACAGAAGTCTACAAAATTGAAGCAATTTTCCGAAATTTTGGATGAGGGCCGGTAAATTATAAGCCTAGAAAGATATTTTAACTAGTTTTCTGGTATTCATGAATTATTATTTTTTGGTCAAATAAAATAAAGGCAACTATATTTTATATTAAATAAAGCGCTTATACGCTGAATATAGAGTACATGGAATAAGCTTTATCAGGTTCTTACTATAGAACTATCGTTTAAGTATATCAAAAATAAGAGAAGGGAAAAGAAAATCCAAATTATTCCTATGGTCATTCTGTGTAAATTCTCGTGAAAATTAAAAGAAAAATGAAGTTGACAAAGATACAATTTGAGGAACAATTCTAGAGACATCATTAAATGCACTACTGGACTCGAATTCCTTGCCGTAGTGCTCGTAATATGTTACCAACTTGCAGAAAGCACCATGGTGGAGTTGCTGTATATGTATTTTTATAGCCTTAGGTGTCAATTGTCATCTTTCGGTAAGTAATTTAACCTTTCCCGATACTAGAAAAATGCATTACAAGAATTTCCAGTACGACGCATTTAGCTAAAAAAAACCCCCCAAGTCATTATAAAATCTCAATTCATAATTAACTGTTTGTTTAATCCGCAAACAAGCCCATCTTTTCTTTAACAAATATGTCCGATATTCAATACGCTCGATCAACTGCTCTGTTTGCCAATGGAATATTCGCTGGATTTAGCCTTTGTATGAAAGCGGCCTGCCTACCATCTGCAAAAGCGTCGCTAAACCCCACAACTGCATTCCGCACGCTCTACAAAAACGGAACACCAATAGGAGCTTTGGTAATCCTCGTATCAAGTGCAGCCAACTTCTACATTTATTATAGAACTCGCGAGTCTCGTTCGCTATACCTTGGCCTACTTTCGTTTGCCAGTCTCCCCTATACATTTCTTGTGATGAATCCACTGAATAAAAGGCTTTTTGCTCTCGACGCAACCATTTCTAAAGAGAGCAACCCAGAGATATCTCTCCACAAGAAAGAAGCTTTAGGTATTCTCACCAAATGGAACAAACTCCAGTTGTTTAAAGTAGTTACGAGTGTATCAGCCTTTTTTATCAGTGTAATAAACATTTGATATATAACATTTTACCCATTAATTAAACACAATGTTTCATTATATTATTATTTACTGCTAAGAGTCAGCAAAAGTGTTAATTGTATTCTATGAATGGGAATGAAAAAAGAAAATATATATAGACCAATTTTCTAAAATATTTACAGTTTATGGTCGCTTCTTTTTCTTTCCTTTTTGCACTTCTTCTGCCGCTGCTTGGAACATATTTGGTTTTCCAAATTTATCCATTTGTTTGTTCTTAACCTTCTTCACCTTACCGCGGTCATAGTCCATATCATATAAATCAGTCTTCTTCCGCTTTGACTTGACTGCTCTAAGTGCCTTCTTGCGACCCTCCTCTGTAACAGCAGCACCCAGATCTTCGTCCCATCGACTGACATCCTCAAAGAACTGACTGTTTGACGAAGACACAATAAGCTCTTGTTTAACAGTATCACTTTTTCCAATTGCGTTCTCGCGCTCAATAAGAGCATCCAATTTTTCACGCTTGGATTGTAAGTTATCATTGTGTTGGACCACAATGGCCTCTGTATTTTCCAATTTTGGTTTAGAGGCAGCAGCTTCAATTGCTTCTTGTAATTTCTGTCGCTCTTCCTCTTCCTCTGTAATATGTACTGGCTCCTCCTCCTCTTCCACGACAGGCTCTTTCACAAGTTCTCCTTCACCAAATGCGTTGGCGGCTGATGCTGGCACTGGAGTATTGACTACTCGAGATTTTGATCTCTCGGCAGGATGTGTGTAGAATAGCATATATGCCTGCTGCGCAAAAAGTCGCTTCGTGCTCACCTGCTGAACCTATACGACATATAAATACAAAAAGTCACTTGCGTTAATTATCATGTTGGATATACTAAAAATAAAAATAGGCTTCTACGCATTGTTCTTACCGATTCATTGTTCATACAGTACCAGATTCCATTAGAGCTTTTTACATATGCAACAAATTTCCCAGAAATTCTTGAAGGGCCTTCATGGACAATGACTCCATAAAGATTGTATTTTGTCTTTACAGATCCACGTTCGCTCTCTGTCACATTACGCTCAATATCCAAAGTATCCTCAAATTTTACTGCTTTTCCATTCTTTTGGCCATCTTCGGTAGACTTGTCGAATCTGTCAAGATGAATTGCCAATACAGAAGGTGTGCGGTACAGTGAACGCTTTACTTGACCAGTACAGTCTTTATCACAGCTGGATTACTTAAAATAAGCCTCTTGACTTTTTTTATATGAAAAAATACATATTTATATGTGTATACCTTGTGCAGTTGATTTTTGAGGTTGTTTCCTTCATCATACGGGATACACATCTGTCGACTGTGTTGTTTTGACTAATGTCGAGATCAAAGTAAAGAGTTGCATCATATTTGTTCTCTGTCTTTCCACATTCTCCGCATTTAATATTATTTTGTAAATATCCTCCAAACATCTGATACAGCGCAGTTGTTTCCTGTGTGCGTTTATCTGTTGAGCTATAATGCCCAGGTTATATTAAATATTTGCCTGCGGATATACTCAATTGACACACATACCCTTTCTCTAACAGGAAAAAACTCTGCATCTGTTCCATAAAATAGTTCCAGATAGACGAAGAATCATCGGATGAACCATTATTCATCTCTATAATTAAAGTTAGATTTGTTAACAACTATAACCTTGTTTGCATTGTTTGTCATAGCTTACTTTTAAGCTTTCCGATAAATTCACGGCTAGACACCAAATCGTCACCAGGTCCCAAACATTGCCGAACATGTTTTTCTAATGCGCAAACAAAACAGTAATCCTGAACGGTACCTATAATTTTAGGCACCACATAATCACAGAAAAATATAGAGATATTTGAGTCAGATTTCTTGATCTACATATTGTTTTCCTCCTATGCATCATTTTCTTTTCTCTCTCTCTCTCTCTCTCTCTTTTCGGTATACTCACAGTTAGCACTGTGCTTCCTGGACAGCAGGTAGTTGGCAAGAATTGGTGTATAAGTCAAGATTTGGAGAACAGAATTGAGAGCTGAAACTTTTCCGAGATCGATCAAGCCAGATCCCACAGGTCGGATTTCCTTCCAACCGAGTTCAAGGTTATCTTTGTTGAACAGCGATTTTCCAGGTTGATCAAAACCATTCGCATCGACGCCACCAACGACATTATCCGAGTTTTTTTGGTCCGCATAAGAAAAGTCTGCTTTGTGAACGACTCCGGTTGTTGAATTGATGGGAGCGTATTTACGTTTGAACATCTCAAGTTTGTCGTCTACGTAGCGTGACTTGCGGAACTTGATAGCTCTGCTGAGAAGAGACTCCACATTGTTTTTTTGGACACCATTGGCACCTTTGAGCAGTCTCGAAGCCTTGTCCTGGTGTTTGGCAGTGGTCGCCATGAGAATAATAAAAGAAAAAAAATGTGTGTGCTACTTGAGCATGTGCAGAAAGAGAATGAGAGAGAGAGTAGAGAGCAAACATCTTTTTTCAGCCACCGCTCAAGACTGCTTTTTTTTTGGCAGGTAAGATGTGTGTATGTATATGTGTGTAGGTGTACACTACTTATGAGATGGGAAAGAAAGCTATTTATTGTGTGGGCAATAAATAATAGTAAATAAGGGCAGGAAATTTCTTTAAAGGATTCTTCTATTGTAATGTACTTGAAGAAATACATGAAAAAAAAATAATTCGAGTATATCTTTAAGCAGTATGCCCAATAGTAATTTTCTTCAATTTGTTTTTCTTTTCCTGCGCTGCGGTCAAAGTGCGCGTCTGTGGATAGACCTCTGGAAGAATCACAATGTGTCAATGCAACCAATCAAATCAATCTCCGTCTGGGTTCCTCAATCTTCCACACACACACACACACACGCACACACACGCATACTCTTTAAACACATCCAATATGACAGACCAATCCAGACAGCGATGGAGTATGCAACGTGAAGGTGTGTTTTATTGATTCTGCGCTGAAAACATCTAATCTAACTATCAAAATTGATTAGCTTCTCCTGAAGTTGAAGATGATGATCCAATGATGGAAGACGATGACGAGGATGAAAACAATGAGTTTGAATCGACAGCTCCTTTCAATTACGTACCCAACAGTAGCGCTAATGAGACCGATCATAAAGGTTACTATGCAGATTTCGGTAATCAAGGTCCAAACATCTATCAAGATTCTTCATTAGCTTGGAACGACCTGAGCACCAAACTTGACCCCCTCAATTTTACAATGTCCAAGGGACTTAACAAGGATTTCTTTCATGGTAAGAGTCTATGTTACGGCTTATTTTCTTCTTTGTACCAAAATATTTTGAGGCTTACACCTACAAATCATAGATTTTGGAGACGATTTTGATGATGAGGAAGATTTGAGCTAAGAGCTCCCCCTTTTTTTTTACACGACAAACAAATAATCAATTGATCAATACATATATATGTATAAGCCAATGTAAAACAACGACAACAACAACAACAACAACAACAACAACAACAATAACAATAACAATAGCAAAACAAAACAAAATACACAAGCTTTTGAAGTCAAAGATGTTCTATTTTTCTATAAAGGGTTTAAAAAAAAAAGGTAAAAAGGAAAAAACCTAAAACAAAAAAAAACCTCATAGAAAGAGAGAAACAGTCTGACTGTAAGAAATACACTTCTTTAAAAGACAAAGCAAAGATGCAGAAAAAGTAAAATAAAAGAAAGGGCTTATCCGGGTTCGTATAAAAGAAATAAAATGGACACGTAAGAAAGAACAAAGAGTCAATAGTAAAATAATAATAAAAAAAAACCTTTCCTCTAAACGTATTTACAAGTACAAGCAATCCAAAGTATTGACACAGCGTAAGAAAGGAAAGAAAGAAAGATAATCACATTAGGGTAAAGGATCGGGGATTCGAGATCTGGAATTACCGCCTCCATTTGGTTGTTGTGTACGGAAACGACCACCTCTATTGCTGTTGCTGAAATGATAGTTGTCAGCTTGGCCCTGTTGAGTATCCATACCATTTTGACGTTGTTGGTATTGGTATTGGTTTTGTTGACGTTGCTGTTGCTGTTGATGTTGCTGATGTTGCTGATGTTGCTGGTGTTGCTGGTGTTGCTGGTGTTGCTGGTGTTGGTTTTGGTTCTGCTGGTTGTGGTTGTGGTTGTGGTTGTGGTGGTTGTGCTGATTGTGATGGTAGTTTTGGGGTTGGTGGTAGTTATAATTTTGATGGTGTTGCTGCTGCTGACGCATGGCTGCAGCTGCTTCAAGATCTGGTTGCTGCACCTCAGAATCCTCTAAAGCACTAGGTGCTACATACAAGCGCTTGTCAATGACAGGTGGGATGGGCTGGATCTCGGTACCAAGTTCGCGCTCAATCTTGTAGAGATTGAATCGATCTTCATAGGTGATCAAGTTGATAGCCAGACCAAGATGTCCGAAACGACCGGAACGACCAATGCGATGGAGATATGTCTCGGCATTCTTTGGGAAATCAAAGTTGATTACCACATTGACAGCTTGAATATCAATACCACGAGTAAGCAGATCCGAGCACACCAAGTTACGACACACTCCGTTTCTAAAGTCATGGAACACTCGGTTACGATGGCTCTGAAGCATCTTTGCGTGGGAATAGAAGCATGAATATCCAAGCTCGGTGATCTTCTTGGCCAGCAGTTCAACGCGGTTGGTCGAGTTACAAAAGATGATGGATTGGTTGATTTGAAGCTATTTTTTTTATAAAAAAGAAAGAAAGAAAAGAAATTCCCACACAGTAATACATTAGATCACAAAGCTTCCACAAATCTTGCACTCTTTTATACAGTGTTTCTCCAATTATCCTCTTACCTTAGAAAATAGAGTATTCAAACAATGGACCTTTTGCTTCTCCTCTACGTAGGCATAGTACTGGGTTACACCGCGCAGGGTCAACTCATCCATCAAGTTTATCTCATAAGGCTTCACCAAGTACTTTTCCTTAAAATGCTTTACAATAATGGGGAAGGTGGCACTGAAGAGCATGATCTGTCTGTCTTTGGGGAAGAAACTGATGAGCTGGTCGATGATGGGTGTAAATTCGGGTGAAAGTAGCTTGTCGGCCTCGTCCATTACAAATGTTGACGCTTCACTGAAATCCGCGACTCCTTTGGAAGCCAAATCAAGAATACGTCCAGGAGTACCAACCACAATGTGGACCGATTCGCTTAAACGCATAATATCGTCCTTGAGGGTCGTACCACCTGTGGTCACCATGACCTGTACACCCAAATGTTTGCCTAGATTCTTGCATACCTGCGATGTTTGAAGAGCCAGCTCACGCGTTGGGACAAGCAAGAGAGCCTGAATTTTGGACTTTTTGTTGTTAATCTTTTCAAGTGTAGGAATCACAAATGCAGCTGTCTTTCCCGTTCCATTCTTGGCTCTTGCAAGAATATCACGACCGGTGAGAGCAATGGGGATGGCTTCTTCTTGAATAGGCGAGGGACGTTCAAAGCCGGCTTCAAAGATACCCATCAGGAGTTCACGTTTTAAGAAATAATCTTCAAACTCATTGCCTTTGGTAGCCGTTACGTCCTATATACTCCTTAAGTACCAGATCACCATAATATATGAAAACTTACCTCTGTCTGAGGTCGGGTATCCTTGGGTGGAAGAACCATTGTCTTCTTCCAACTGTCATTCTCATGACTATAGAGTAGATGAGTCAGTCCAAAGTTGTTTTTAATGGATCATTTTTTCAAGAAACAGAAAGTACGTGTGTTTGAATATTTCTTTAATGTTTGTTTGTGTACGAAAATAAAGGCATACCTTAATTGCTGGTTACTACTTGATGGCATGGACATTGTGTATGGAACAAGGTGCGAATAGGAAACGGATGGCCTTGTTTTATTTTCAGGGAAATAATGGGGATGTTTGTATGTAGCTGTTTGATGCGCGTTTTACTGTGTTCTTGGTTAAAAATAAGTTGATGGACCTGGGAAGGTTAAATATTGTGCAAGTAAATAATAAGGCCTGCGTGGAGTAAGATGAGGATGTGTAGTGAGGTGCGTCGAAAAAAAAAGAAAAGGAAAAAGAAATAGCTTCTCTGTATCATGTGACTTTTCGGTGTACTAAGTATGTGACAATGGAGTTTTCTTTTATTTATATTATCTTATTTTATTTTATTTTCTTGCTCAGGCTAAAAAGACCGAATATGTTTCTGATGACAATGGCTGTAAAGTGGTAACTGTTTTGTTTAAGAGAAGACACCCTTTAGATGATATTCTTTAGAAATATATATAAGATGCGGCTTTAATACTTAGATGTTACAGCCTTGTGCGTTTTCCTTTAAATAATATCAGGTGCACTATACCTACAATTGGATACTCCAGACTTGTAAAGAAATAGCTCACTTGACAAATAAAATACAAGGGTTAGCGTTTTGAAATTATTATTTAGCATGATTGTATTAAAATATCCAGCTACCAGCTACTTTACTCATAGCTACATGTAAACAGCCCCACCTTACAAGGGGTATAACTTCAATATATGTGTGTATATACACTATAATGAAAATCAGGTCGCCGCCTCAATAATCGCATGTTTCACTCTTTATTGTTCTTTTTGACAAAGCAAATACCCTCACAGCATTTCAATACACCTGTATACTTCATATTTTCCTGTTTCTTGCAGACGATTGACATCAATGTATTCTAGTAAATTTTTGTTATCTATCTGATGTGCTAGAGCATCCACAGTGGTTTGTGTGATTATAATATTTAAATCAAACCAAAAGCACACATTTAAATGAGATAATTTAGAGCATCCACAGCCGTTTATCTAAACCTGAAGTTACATCTTTTTATTGCTCAAATATTTTAGTGAAGCGCCAAATTTATATATCCGTTAAATAATTGTCTAAAGATTTGATTAAAACATTTATTTAGACAAACCACTGTGGATACAAAAATTTAAATTTTCTAAATCTTACTCTGCATGCTACAAGCACAATTGTCAAGCTTCACCTGTGTTAGTTCTTCATCTATATTAATATCTCATGATACAACCGGGCTCTTAGCAAGACTGTTTGGCGAGATCTAAACAGATTCGACCAACGAACGATGTCTCAAACAGGTAATCATATTTTGAAGGTTAGTTTTTAATACTTCGCTAGACATGTTATGTGGGCTTTTTTTAGAATATCTAAACACCTCAAAGCTATCCATCTTTAACCCTTTTATGGACCTTCCAAACAGACATTGGTAGCTGCCAATATTTTGAGCTAAAAATACTATAAATATAACGCCAACACAAAGTATTAGGTTCTTTTCTTTTCTTTTCTTTTCGCCAGTCAGTCTATGCTTACAGCAATATATACAATCTTTCGCCCAACTCGACGGGATGGGTCCAAGCGTTTTCTTGATCTCTGAGCCTTTAAAACATGTGCACCGTTTTTTGTTGCTAGCTGTGTAAAAGCGGGAGGTTTATTTTTTCTTATAAAGTCACATATTGCACTGTTATGTTAAAAATTGTCCTCTGAAGACACCTCCTTTCGTTCATAGGCCGTCTCGCTACGAGAATCAGTAATAAGAAAAACGCCTTTGGCAAACTCAATGAGTTGGGATTCACAATCTAAAAGTTGCAACATTAGTTAATAAATGTAAATAGTCAGTGAATAAGTAGAGAATTCAAGAGTACTGACGCGTATGTTGGCTGTCTATCGATGTTGATAGTAAATACACCTCTTCACTCCTATCACAGCAGTATACCCTATAGAAAAAAATAGGCGATTTTAGTGAATTGTTGCAAGTTTTCCGGGGTTTAAAGTGTCTTGTACTTGAGTTTTAATTAAGCACCAATTTCTCTCTCGCTCTCTTTTATATTCTACTTTTTTTTTTACCCCACCATGTTTTTTGCAGTCAAAGCAAAACATCTTTTTCTTAGCTTTTTCAACCCATTACAAAACTAAATACCAAGTTATTCAAATCTAATGGCTTACCAGCGGTAGCTTGGGTGGGTCCTAAGCGGTAACCAGGACAAAAATTTCTATCTTCTTTGAATTCTAGTCAGTCTTTGTCTCAAACGACGACCCTCCTGGAGATCTTCTGCTTGTCTTCTGATACGTCCAATCCGAATGACGCGGGTGAACCTTACAGGTATAGTCCCATCATATCTCAGATTGTTAAGTATATGTCGGAAGTTCAGGACAGCAGCAAGATCCCGATTCCACAAACGATGCATAACCTCTGACCCGTCCATGTTCTCCAAACAATTTAGATTGGTACATCTAAAAGGACTTGTTTCTATTTTTTTTCACAAGGTCTAGAATTATTAAATGTCTTTAAAAGAAACATACTTAATAGCTATCAAGGCTAGTATTAATAAAATACGAATCAGTAAAGTTGACAAAAGAAAGCAATCTGAGAAGAATTGACAGAAAAATATATGCATCAAGTACAATTTGGTTGTCAAGATTGCTCGCATACTCATTAGAAATCTCGGTAGATTTAGAGAATTGCAAGGAATCTGTCTTCTTGTTTTTCAAAAGTAGGAATGAGACATGACAATGTTAACACAAAGCAGGTTTATACTCTTTGATAAAGAATTAATTAAGCAATATTCATATCTTCATCAATATCATAGTACTTAGAGAATAGCCTTTTTTTTATATAAAAAATGTAAGAAGTATTACATAGAAATAGATATATGTATATTACTTAATAAATGTATGGCTTAAGCTGCTACTAAATATCATAAAAAAAATAGTACTTCTTCTTTCCATACTTCTTTATATTCAACTTGTATTATTTTGATCAATAAAAACTATAAAATTCCAATATAAAACCGTGTATTTGTTGAACCAATTATAAGAATAGAGATATCTAAAAATGGTATAATTGTGCTACTTTAAACGATTTTATTGGATTAAATAAAAAGTAATTTTAACTCCAATAAATTGTATTCGCTGTAAATACTTTTAATTTACTAAAAGCCAAGATTCTATTGGCAAACATTATAACTCCGTGACCGTAGGAATTATAATGTCTGCCATTTACTACAGTGATAGCTGGTATCTGAATGAAAAAAAAAAAGACTTGATGCGGTTCTTGGTCACCAGAAAAAGTTTTGTAGGTATGTTGTTTATATAGCAAAGCTTAACATCGGGGATTGTGTATATTTTACGTTCGCTCATGAGTTTATTCTCTGGATCCAAATCTTCCTCCAAAAAAGAAAGTGGGCGGGATGTGGACGTAGCCTCCACCACAGCTCATGCCGTTTGGTGTGTTCATTGGGTTACTGTCTTTGACAATACCTATTTCCTTTCAGACAATGTTGCAGCAAAGGCAGTAACTGCCACATGATTAGCTTGTGGACTTACTCTTGGCTAGTCAGGCTTTTTTCTCTTCTTTTCTGCACCCTTCCTTTTGACACGGCAAATTTTATCCACTGATGTTTCTTGTATCGCTCATCACAGTGAACTTCAAAGTAGTGACATAGCGGTGGAAATTTTTCAAGGTAGTTAAATAGGTCTTTTTGTTTGTTCTTTAATAAAGGAATCTTTCTACCCGTATTCATTTTCTTGTCATTGAGTTGGACGTCTACACCACATAGCCGACCCACCATGTGTTACTCTATCTCCTTTTACATTCTATATTTTCAACGCCGCGTATTGTAAGGAAAGAGCTTTAAAAAATCACGATGCTTTTATTATATTATGACCGGTATCTTTTGTTGGCTTTCTATTCTGATATAAAATACACTTCTTTTTTTTTTCTTAATTCAATCCAATTGAAAAGGTGACCTTTGGATTTCACTGTGCTCATATATGCTTCAAAGAATTGAACCTTATTATTTGAAAAGTAAAGTAAAATAAACTTGTGTTTGAATGTAGTAAGATCAACATAATTTTGTGGCTAGACAAAGAAAGCATTGGTGGAAAGTAGTAAGCTTATGATACCCAAGAAATTCACTAGCGTGGTAATTAATATCATTATTACCCATCTGGTGGTTCTATAAGCCCCCTTTTTCTATGGAACACCTGTAAAAATAAGATTTGGTTTGTTCATGCCTAATCTCCTGATTTATACACTCTTCATCCTTTTTTGTTTTTTGTCTTGTTCAAAGATCATCAGGCTTAGAGATGTGTTTGACACATCAAATAAGCCACATTTGATTACCTTTATGGCAGACTAGCATACCGTCAAGTATTGACCTTTGGCTTACCTTCACAAACCTTATTTAATACAGTATTTTTACTTGGTTTTCAGACGTTTTCATAAAAAAATAAATTCAGATCATCACTTTTTCAATCTCGGGAAACCTTATTGTAATCTCAGATGGTTACAAAAGGAAATTTAGCCAATTTCACTTTTTTATTGGACAAGGTTGATTTTATTTTCAGATACTCTCCTTAATAAATTTAAACAAACTCCGTTTTGCAGTGCTTCCACTCTCAAATAGAACATTTATTGAGCTCCGTGGCACATTTTTTTCGAAAAGAAAAATTCTCGCTTATTACCGCTCTCCAGCGTACGAGGGAATCATAGAGGGAATTGCATCACGTGATATAGATCCCGGCTGTTTTTCAGTATATGTTCCTTAATTTTTTCTCTTACTAAAATACCTTGTCCATTTTTATTTTTTTTTGTTAATGATTTGTTTCATAATGGCTATAGAAAACAAGCCTTACAAGTATGGTCGTTTAGTGTATCCTTTTTTGTAACCAGAGTCTTTATTTTAGAACTCTTTTGTCAATTCGGAGTTTAATAAATTGCTATGTAAAGTAATTTTTCTTTCAATTCCCTCAATGCAATCCCCTCGACGATTCCCTCGTACGCTGGAGACCAGCGTCAGCAGTTAAATAGGTGAATTATTGATACAAGTTTGGAGGAGCAAATTTACTTTTGCTGTAGACCAATGGAAATTACGTGTAGCCAGCAGAAAGGGGAGGTATTGACGTGGACAGAAGATCACTTTGGGTCTACCCTCTTTGTTGTATTTTATTGGTACCGCTGGCGCTTACAATCTGACTCCTTAGATTTTATCTGTAATCAATATAATACTATCATGTTTTGCCTATAAAACTAAAAGTAGCTTTTGGAATTTATATCTACGTTTATAATTGCCATTCAGTATACTAATTCGCATAACTTTTTGTAGAGAACTATTCATCTGTATGTATTTTTTTTTGCATGGCCAAACGGCGACTCTTTTAAGGTATCATAAATAGAAAGAGAAGAAGAAAAATATTGGCTTTATACGAAATTTTGTAATATTTAGAAGAGTATATGTATTGTGTTTTGCAATTGGAGTGGATTTCTTAAGCATAGGAATATAATTTTAAGGATTGACGAAAAGGAAAGACAAACATATGTTAAGGATGTAGGTATTGTTTTGTGTAGTAGCTAACGTGATTCTTGTGTGTATTGAAATATTGGTTTTCATAGTCATAGGTAATTAATGATATAGCATATCTCTTGGAATTTATATGGACTTAGTGCTTTTCCGACAACGTTTTAGATGACGCTTCAATGTGTCACTTCTGTAAAAGCGTTTTTCGCAATCGGTACACATAAAGTCATTTTCAATCGAATGTGCTCGCGAATGGCGGGAAAGATCACTTTTTCTTTTGAATCTTTTACCACATCCCTCGGTTATACAGGTAAAATATCGGGCATCTAAATGTGTATCTAGATGAGACTTGAAAGCAGATCGACGGTAAAACTGCTTTGAGCAGCTTTCAAAGTGACAGGTAGCAGGTATATCGAGGCTATACAAAGTAGAAGTTTCCCAGCTTTCGTCAGAGGCGTACAAGTAGTTGAAACTAGTCAAGCTGGGGAAAAATTGATTGTCTTCTTTACACACTACGGGCTGAGAATGGTCTTGTGGGGTAATATAATTTTCATCAAATTTTTTGCGGTAATGGAAGTCGAGAATTTGAAAAGGTGTCTTTTGTATAGTTTCGCCTTTATAGGGCTGAGGATTGACTTCCATTGTTGGTTCCGGGTCGAAGACATTGTGATTTTCATTTTTGTAAATTGTTGTCTTTTTTTCGATATTATCAAATCCTCCAATGTCGTCACCATAGAAACAGGGAAAAGGATTAGAGATGTCAGTTAGAAAGTAGGGAAATTCATATAGGACTGGGAATCGCATATCGATCTCTTCAGGTTCGGTAAAAGAGGGCTGGTCTTTTGGTAAAAATCTAGTACCTAACTGTAAAGGGTTTATTTACAGGACATTTTTAAGAAAAATTCGGTACTTTATTTATTTTTTCCTCCTATATTTTATTGGCAGTTTCTTGCAGATTTTCTTACCCTTCTTTCATCAAGACAAGGTTTCAAGTCATTACTCGTTTTAATATCTTTATCCATGACGGTATCGAAATCTTTTATAATTTGACAAAAATCTGAAGAAGCTAATTCATAGAAGTAACTTTCACTGTCAAGGACTATCAGAGCATCTTGTAGAATAGGTTTTTTGGGGAAAGAACAGAAACCATTCTAGCAATAGAGAGATGAATTTTACTAGTTTTAAAATAAATTAATGCCAAATTAAATGACTATACACTTATGATAGCAAAATTTGGGGCCGATTTTCAAGGGAAATTGCTTACGTACTTCAAGGGCTGAGCAGATCAGTTGAATAGAAGCATAATATTAGTATATATGTGTATACCGCTACTTGCATATAGTAAAACTCTTACATTCCAGATCAAAGTAATCGTCCATTATATTCGTAAAAGCAGAACTGGATCAAAGGGACTTCTTTAATAATCCAATAATTCATAATCACTTATAAATTAATTTTTTTAGGAAAAAAAAAAGTGGCTTGAATTTTTTTAAATAAGTTTATATTGAATAATTATGGCTTGAAATAAAAAAAATATAAAAATAGTATAAATATAGAAGAGAAAAAAAAAAGCCTCGTATAATTATTGTTTAAAATATTTTTCTAAAGATGCTCCAAGTATATAATTAATCATAACTCGTATTAAGTTAGTATTTTGCTTTTGATGGCTATCATTATTTTATTGCAAGTAGTTATTCTAGATGATTCATTAGTGGTAATTATTTCAATATTTTGGTATATGGACCACTAAGATTCGAATTTGCCTTTCTTTATATTTCTCTCTCAAAAAGTATGCAAGCACTAGCTGCTCCCGATTTTCCAAAGTTGAAGCCGACAAAACAATTAAGGGACGACTGCTTCTTCTTTTCATCCTAATATATGGCTGATCTATTTTCTATAATATAACTTCGACCCGAAATTTCTTCTTATATACATTCTTTTCTTCTGATTTTGAATAAACTAAATAGCAATAACTTTATGAGATGTCTTTCAAGAATTTCCGCCAAATAAGCTGAAATATCCTCTCTCTTTTTTTTAAATATATATATATATGAAATGGCCATGTTAATCAAATCTACCATGTTAATCGTCAAGGCATGAGGCTGATTGCACCAGTACCCAGAAGAGAATATAAACTAAAGGCAATATATTAATTGTTGCTTTTGTTCATTTTGATTTATTTTAACTATTTATGAATTTAAATATGTTTTTATCTAATTAATCACTGGGGGATGAAGGCAGAAATTTATTTCGTCTGGACCACTTTAATCTCTTTGGTGCATCTCTTTCATCAGACCCTATAGTAGGATTACACACATGCTTCTTTAGACAGTCTGAACGAGCGTATGAATGCTTGCAGAGATCGCAACTTTGTCTGTATTTAGGATCGTGTTTCTTTTTGTGTCGAGACAAGTCATGGTTACGTGCGGTCGTATAACTACAATCCGGAAAATTGCATAAGAAAGGTCTTTTATCACTGTGACTTATTTCATGAGATTGACATGCATGCTTAGTTTTAAATGTTTTTGTGCATTCAAGATTGGAACAAACAAATTTTCGCTCAGTGGTTATTGATGAACTCTGGCAGATAGATTGTGTAGTGACCAAGAAATAAGTGGGTATATCAGTATTAGACTCATGTGTTGAGCAGGCTGTGTCGGTATTGGACTCATGTGTTGAGCAGGCTGTGTCGGTATTGGACTCATGTGTTGAGTAGGCTGTGTCTACATGTCTGAAGCTTTAATAATATTTTCGGGTACCTTTGTATTTATGTGTGTGTATCCTCTTGTAGGCAGATTACATATATATATTTTTGTTCTTTAATTTTATATCAATCAAAAAGTTTAAATATACACATAGACATACTTGTATTACTGAAAGTATCATTATAACTGTCAAAATCATAGTAATTGATCTCTTGGTTTCCACGAACTGCCAGTGGTGCTGTAGATATATCAAATGAATTTGCATTCTCTAATGTAGAAACGCAATCCTTTTGGAAGGAAAGATCTGGTGTATGAGGCAACACATCTTCAGGTCGTACTTTGTTTGCCAAAAGTGAGAGTTGTATATCATTGGCATGACTGACATTGTGTAATGTATATACGGCATCTATTAGCTGGGCTATTGTTTCTGGAAGAACAAATTTACGCAGTATTTGAACTGCAAATATAAAACGCCCTGGATTGTCAGCGTCTTCTTTGGCGGCGAATAATAAAATTTGTAGTATCTCTGACATATCGATATTGACCGAGACTACTGTACTGTTTACACAAGGAGGGTCACTTTGGGGGCGGTGGTCGGCTTCGAACTGCATTTTTGTAATAAATAACCAAAAAAAAGGAAGGAAGGAAGGGAAATAAACAAGCGTACTGTGATATTTATGAACATTTCAAATTTAGTATAATTACACAAAAACTTCAAGCCGTAAAATAAGGTTTTCAATATAAACATACACATACTATACTCCAAAGTTACTACTTCAACAACAACAGCAACACAACAAAGGGTTTTGTATTTTTTTTACGAGATATTTGTTCTATAATAAAATTTATATGTTAATAATCATAATATTTCAAAACCCAAGCTTGCACACAAAAGGGAAAAAAAAGCTGTATTTATAAATATCTGACAAAAATCTTTTATTCAAAGTATAATCGACTTGCATTGATATTCAAATATTATATATGTACAGACCTTTAAGACATTTTCATGGCAAGCCCGATACAATGTAGATCTTTAGACTTTATTAGATAACGCATACAAGAATAAAAGAAAAATAAGAAGAAATACTGGCTCGAAAATAGTATTACATCCATTCTAAGGTAAGTTGGGCAACTCCTCCATTATCCAATTTAGGCCAAACTCTAAAGTATTAAATATATATAATATTAAGCTATATAAAATGTAAGTTTTTTTTATGTTACAACAAGAATAGTGTCTACCATGAGAGTTTGGTATATTATGTAATTGGGATACTTGACCATTTTGGTGACAGTTCAACCGACATGTATACTGACTAATAAGTATTATTTAGTAAGTCTTTTATTTTATTTTGTTTAAAAAGCAAGTAATTGATGATGGGCTGGTCACAAAATTTATAATTTTGCCTTTTCTTGAAGCATCAAATTATTCTTCTCTCCTTCTCCATAAACTTATTCAAATGTCAAACAAATGATACAAAACGTAAAAATAAAATAAAAAAAATACTCTCACCTCCTACTGGCATAATAAACCTTAAAAAGACAACAGCTAGATTCAGTCATGAGGGACTGAATCATACATCAATGAAAAAAAAGGACGCTATTCATGAAGTTCCTATAACGCTTGGCATTCTGCAAAACACTGTTGGAAATTTTGTGAAAATCCTTCAGAGATAAAGATGCCTCTACATGCTTACCACATATAGACAGGAAATCAAATGTTCCCAAGAGATCCCAAACTGCCTTGAAATGTGAATTTCGTATAGATTCCCATTAGTGTCAATTGATGTCCAGAATCAGATATTGATGTAGGAATCTCCATTTCCCAAGAACATAAATATTTTTGGTCTTAACTATCATTAACCAGCTTATAAACTAGGTTCAATCGAAGAAGAAGAAGAAGAAACGCACATACACTAGGAAATCCGACTAAAATAACGCGTCGACAAAGTGGGTTGAACAGCAATTGAGCAGTGGAAATTGGTTGTTTGGTCTAGATGAGTGTAGATTTCTAGTAGTTGGCAATGATGGGAGGATACGAGCTATCAGCAAGTAGAGTGAGAGATATGGCAAGAGCCACACTTTCAATATGTATATATATATAAGTATTGAAAGGGATTGGTCACGGTTTTAGGGATGTTTGTGGGCTTTAGATGGTCTTGGACCTTTGGTGAGATTAAAAGAGTGCAACTACCAAGACAGGTACATTGATCGTTTGGTCGAATACTTTCTTCCTTGGTCTGGGGAACTGTGGACAGACAATATCATGCAGATTTTTGTCTCAATAAGATTGCGCTCTATACTACAAAATCACTGATGTTATATGACATATAAGAGAGATAGTGTGTGTGTGTGTATGTTGTCTAGTGAGGAACTTCGGCTTTCGACTCGCCCAGAACCTGGATCTCAATCGCATTCAACACATTTTGGCTCATCTTGTGCAGACACTTTGTAAGAATGGAGAAAAAGTAATGTATGAGTTTAAGTCAAAAGGGTTAAAAGAAACATTACAATCCAAATAGCGCCTTTATTATTATTGTATAGACCTTTAGCTAAGAATATCATTTCAACGAATTTTTAAAGTCGACAAAACAACTACAAATACGATCAAAATAGTTTCTTTTTCTTTAATATATATATATATATGTGTGTGTGTGTGTGTATCATAGTGAAATTCAATGCATGAATTAAGAATGTTTAGTCAAGACATATTAAGCGCGGCGTATTATGATTCTCAAAACAATCTCTTGATTTATTTAACTGACAATATTTTTAAAAAAAATTGAAGATGTTGAGAAAAAAGCTGAAGAAGATGAAATATAATGAGAGAGAGAAAAGACGCTGATGAAGAAGGTCAAAAATAAAATACAATACAATAAGAAACTCTCAGCGAAGAGGAGCATAGTGAACTTGGAAAGGCTGACAGAAATCTTCATGTATTATTTTACTAAATTACACTTACCAATGTTATGTCTCTTAAGCTTTACCAGAAGAATATTTAAGTAATATCAAATCAAACGTGCCCTAAGTTACAATATATCAAATTAATCGCTTGGTTGAACTTTATCAGGTATTAAACGAGCAAATAACATATTCGGTAAACTCAAAAACTCTTAAGTCTAAATAAATCTATTGAAGTTTATTCAAAATCCTAAATTACAGTCAAAGTTCGAAACGAAGATTATGGGACTGGCCATCGCAGTGAGATTAATGTTTGGTGCACAAATCCTTTTGCTTGATATTTAAGCAATCAATGTCAAACAACATCTGAATGATGGATCCTAATGTACTCCATCAGGTTGCGTATACATATAAAGTAGCTTGACTTAACCGATATAGAGTTATAGCCGAATTTCAAGATTTGATTTGCCATTTTGATCAAAATGCCCTTTTTTTATTACATTTTTCATTTCACCAGTAAATTCAATAATATTAAATGTGCATTTATATCATATAAACCAACCTAGCCAACCTTTGAACGACCAAACACTATTATAACCTTCAATGGACACACAATACGATCTCGAAGCTCATAAAAAATAGATCCGTTTATTCTGACCATTGCATATACAAACCCTTTTTATATGTAAAGTATTTTTAAAGTATTATACTTTGAGGATCTGTGAACGCTATTACTACAATGTCTGATCTATTCCGTGCCTATGTATGCTCTCTTGGATCTTTGTGCTTTGAAGGTCTGCGAATAATGTATATACTTTAACCTAAATCAACGTACCTTCCTGCAAGATATAATAAACCCCGACGTTCAAACGGCTTGGAGAGATCGAGGCTCAAGAAAGAAAATAGCTATCAAGCGTGTAAAACAGATATCTTGACATAGCGATTTCCTTCCAAAGGTCTTTACTAAATCCTACAAAATAAAAGCAAGCCTTTTTAAAAGACATTTCTCTTGTGTTTTGCTGCATCCTATGTTGTTCAATATTAAAAAGTATACACGCTTTTTTGTGTCATATATAAGAATTAAGATATTATTCTTGTAATAGTCAAAACTCTATTATCTTTCTAAGAAAATCAACCAGACATCGACTGTACGTATATTTACCAAGTACTTTCAAGAGTTTAACAGTTTTTAAACGCGTGTGCCTTCTGTTTTTTACCCTAAAAACTCTTGCTTTCTATCATGAGTGGCTGTTAAAAGGATGCGCGAATCAACATCGGACGTCAGGCTGAATGAGAAAAATAGAAAATTGATCTTTAATGCGCAAGGTCGTGACAAACTCATTTCTGCAAGAACATGATGAGAGTTATATATAAGCTAATGAGCTATTCGCATGAGCAGAATTGTAGTTTCTGATGGTAAATAAGGTTTCGCATCGTTGTCGCTCGTCTTTTTCTGTTTTTTGCGTCCTTTTTTGTTTACTTTTTGCCTTTTTTTTCATGGTCTTTAGCTCTAGTAGTCACATGCATATGAAAATAGTCACGAATTTTTTCCTTTAGTTTTTTTTAAAGGGGTACACGTCAGCGATGAAAGGATTCAAGAGATGTGTAAAATAGATGGAAGACTCCATTTACTTTGGTCCTCTTCACTGAAAAGGAACTCACGAAACTCAACTCCGTTAAAGTAGTTGAATTGACGATTGACGTTCTTTAAAAAAAAAAAGAGTTGTGTGGGTTAGGTATCACCACACTCGTCTGTAATATTATTATTTTTTGGAATGGGCTTGAGTTTAATAAAGAAGTGCAGTATGATTGTACTGAAGTTCTGACGATATTTTCTAGAGTTAGAGATCTCAAGAGAAACGAAAGATTCGTAACGGTTCTTAAATGAAGAAAATAAAGGTGTAGTGGTTTCTATCAGAGAAGAACTCTAAGACTTTGTACATCGAAGATAAAAAAGTATGGGAACTGTATAATACAAATAAACATATTTGGCCCAGTAAATTAGTTGAAATAAAAAGGTGAGATCCTGTGGTAGTTGCTGCCTAAAGCTCTGGATCCTTAATAGCACCCATGTGTGGGTGTATAGGAGATAACATTAGTGCCGTGTTCCAGAGATACAAAGGTACCATCGAGTTTATAGCTATATGTATATAATATACTGCTCTATCATGCAAATACTCTATATACTCTTGACAGCATTTTCCACTAATTAATCACGGAACCTGTCCCCACGCAATAAGAGTAATTTTTGGGACACGACACTTGTAATGTCCGCTATTTAAAAGCATCGTTTAAGGGTGTAAATATCGATATCTCCATCAATATTGGTCTGTTGCTGGTCAAACAAGCACTAAGAATTATGGATCAATTTGATAAACAGCTTTATTTAATAAAAACAAACACAACTATTTAATTTTTTAGACGTATGTCCTGTGCGAACTTTTCGATCAAACATGCTTAAATGGTGTAAATATCGAAATTGCCATTTTTACATCTCTCGATATCTCCATGAATATTGGCCTGTTTCTAGTCAAATAAGCACTGTAAATTATGGATCAATGTGTTGAACAACTTTACTTAGTAGCAAAAAAAATCTCAATATTTTCTTAGGTGTATACCCTGAGGGAACTTTTGGATCAAATATGCTTATATGGTCTAAATATCCAAAATCTTATTAGTAAATTGTTTTTTAGAGTGAAAAAATGGGATATTTTGCTCAACATTTGAGCAAACAATGTCAAACAACGCTTAAATTGTATATTGTAGTATACCGCACTATGATACGTATATAAGTAAAGATACTTTGCGTAATCGATTTGTATCTATAGCTGATTTTCTGTAGTTAATTAGTCATTTTGATAAAAAATGGTCCTTATTAAAATACAATTCTCCCTTTCAGCGGTAAGTTCAATATTATAATGATCTATACAGTGACAGTAATAGCGATATAATTTTCTGCTTTTCTCACAATTGTTTTTATTGCTTACGTTGCCTTTGTTGGGAATGATGCATATATATATATCGCGATTACTCAAAATTAAGGATACCTATATTGTTAATGAAGTTAGTAAAGTGATTATCGTCAAGGATTGATTGTAACTAAAAGTACTGCATGTGTACTCAGTGTAGAAGCATAACCCTATTCCCTCTTGATAAAAAAAATATGGGCTCAAAACACCAATTGTAGAGATTTAAAGATCATGCTGTAAATGTGGATGTTACTGTCCTTTGTCCTTGTCAGTAATTCTCAATATCGATTTCTTTTTTATGCCAGACGTCAATCTTGTTAATTTTTCTTTGTGTAATTTGCTGTCATAGTTTTAAAACGCTCTTCGTACGAAAGGCTACCTATTGGGATATCCTCACGCTTGACAGTTTTTTGGTCTTATGATCTTTTAACCTTTTAATCTTTTGACGTATCTTTCTTTCTTTCTTAAAATATTTACAAACGCTTTGTTTATTGGTAGGTTGCTCTTAAGTGAGGATATAAATTCTAGGAAAAAACTTGCTTTATAGACATACTTAATTAAAATAAACAATGATTGGACTTAAACTATAATCTTTATAAGCTTATATAATTTATTAGAGTAATGAGAATTTATTATAATTTTGCCAAGGTTGTACAGTTCATAATATTAACATGATATGATGTGATTTTTTGCCATGATTGATTTTTCTTTTTTTCTTTTTAAAAAAAAACATATATAAGTAGATAAAAATTGATTAATTGATGAGTAAATAAATGAATGGATGAATATATGAAGAAGGGAATGAAGGAATTAAAGTAGGAAGGAAGGAAGGCACGTATGTATGTATGTATGTATGTATGTGTTGGAATATAGGTGGAATACCAGCTTAGAGTTAAGTTACATTATGGTACAAAGATATATAAGAAAAAAAGGTACATATGTGCATATGTATATACATAAGCATACAGAGAGAGCACTGTAAAGATGTATAGCTCTAATTTCTGTTGCTGCAGGCGTTTCGAGTTCTATAGTGAGATGACAAGGCGTCGCTTCTCGGAAACGACTTGTGGCATCTCTTGCAGGAATAAGGGCGGTAATTCGAATGTATTTTGGCGTGACGAGTTAGATCGTGCTTGCGTTTGAATGCAGAAGTGCAGTGTCTCTCTTGACATACGTGTTTTTTTTCCTTTTTGTGAATGTCCATGTGAGACTTTAGGCCATACTTTCGATTAAATTTGCCCTTGCAACCGGGAAAAGAACATATGTAACCATAATCAGAGAATTGTTCATAACGGTATGATTTATCGGCATACAAAGAAGACGTGGCTGTTGAAAGGCTTGAATCAGAACTAAAAGATTCTTTTCGCCTGTGACAGTGCCCATCACTAAATAACCAGTTGTTTTCTAGAGCAAGGTCTTGTACAGGTGGATATAGAAGAGGTGTTTCGGTGCTAGTCAAGTATCCGTGAACGATTTGTTGTAATTCATTGCCAGATAAGGTCAATTCAAAAGTGTTGTAAGGCCAAGTGCCAGATGCAGATATTTCTGGGTACACAGGGCCATTGTAGATTCCAAAATCATGGTTATTCAATTTGTCTAACCCATTGTTTTCCTCGACTTGCTTGAATTCTTCAAATTGTTCGCCTTGATTGAATTGGCCGGGAGATGATGTAGGAGTCAAAACTGATTGTGTTTGAAGTCCAAGAGGTTGGTATTCAAAGTCGCTAGTGTTCTCAAGGAAGATATTTGTCATAATTTCTCTGGTATTCATATCTTGTGTATATTGAAAGTCTTGCTCAACCATATAGGAAGTGTTCGGAGGGTTTAAGGAACCCGACTGAGGATTCTCATCAAAATTATCCCAGGGCGCCGAGAGATTGTTAAACGCCAAGCCCGGAATCATTGAAGAAGAAATGTATAGGTAAGATAGTCGAAAAACACTAAAGTAACTTAAGAGAGAAGAAGAAAACCGAAGAAGAGATTTCTCTTTATATAGACTCTTTATATAAATCTAAAATAGTGCAAAATGGTGTACTCATCATAACAGTGTTTTATTGTGTGCATGTGTTTAATAAAAATATATATATAGAGCTAAGTTTCTCCTCATCGTCCTCTTCCGGCTCCTCATTATTCATCTTCCGGCTCCTCACTATTCATCTTCCGGCTCCTCACTCATCTTCCAAATTCGTTCTCCTTATTCTGTATGTATTTACTTGCGTTTGACATTGATAAAAGACCCGATTGTCAAATACATATATAGAGGATATTCTGTTTTTGCTATCTGTGGAATGTATGAAATATAATAAATATTACTTTGCTTAATCATACTTTATTACTATCATTTGTCATATTCATTTTACTTGTGTAGAATATGAAATCCACATACAGATGGTGCTATCGGACTTAAGTATCTATGTTTTTGCATTTGTTTCAATTTTTTTGAAAATTTTTATATGTAAAACTTATTAAATCGCCGCTAAATATAGGAAAAAAATAGTGTACCTAAAGCTTGGTTATTTTCTTGCTTACATGACTCTCTATTTTAGGATAAATATTTCAATTTACCGCCAATGGGAGCCATTAAGATGTTCCAACTTCTTGAAAAAGTTAAACTCCGCGAATAAATCTATCAAAACATCCAAACTTTGAAGAGTATCAGTTTTTGAAAAATACGATTATACATCGATACTTAAGTCCGATTGCACCACATAAAGTCACTTTATGTGATAGCTCCTCCTACCTTTTATTAGTTTTATGACGGTAAAATGGAATCAATTTCCGAGAACCAGATATGTTTACATTTTGTACGCTTTTTTTAATATTTTTATCGATAGAATGACTCTATAACACACTTAAACAAGTGGGTGTTTTCTGTAGAAGAAATTATATAACATAGCTCTTAGTAATACAGCTTTTAGACGTATAATTAACTAGCCCTTTTATATATACGTATCGTTTTCTCTTTGATCTTGTTTCTGTAATCAAAATAAAATAATCAATATTTTCACTTTTATTTTTTTTATATGTGTATATATTTTGACACGGTGCTATGGGCATTGTGAAGCTGTAACTAAATCATGTATCTATTGAAAAACTTTCGATAAAGTATTCAGTAACTGAGACCATACCTAAAGCATACTTGTCGTCTTATTACTAATATTATTCTTAGAAAATAAATATATCAATCGAAAGGAAAAGAAGAGAAACCAAAAACACTCCTCTTGCCAAATACTTATGTACATAAAGTTTTATTTTTATTCTTATTTTAGGTCTTGTTTCATATATGGTATCATAACAACAAGTCAATAAGGATTTTTACAATATCTTTCCATAATGTAATATATATATATGCATATAGATAAAACTAAGTACAAGTCATTTTTCTGTAAGCTATAAGCAACATGCTTTCCAAACATTATTATGGCTTGGAGAAACTCATTTACAAGTAATCCTCACCAGAAAGTTTTTTTATATATATATATATTTACTATATTTGACAATAATTAATTAAAGGAAGTCCCTATTATAAATATCTGTCTCTCTTGGTTTAAATACTTTAAATCTCCGAATATATTCCTTTAAATCGCCGAAAATGCCATATATAAACCTTTTTGGAAGCCATATTGACATGTAGGGTACTTGTAAGAGGCCATTTAACTGATTTCGATACTATTGCGAGGAAGAGCATTCAAGTTGGATAGTTTCTACGCCCGAGCTACTAGATAGCACAGGTTTTCTATACTTAATAGAGGTGTGGTAATGAGGGACAATAAACTACTTCAAGATGATACGTTCTTGAGACAATAGATGTGCTCTCCAATAGTTAGGATGAGGCAAATAATATTTAGTTGACTAGGCGTATGGGGATGAAAACCAGCAGTCGAAATAATAAAATGGGTGAGTGCTTTTAACGAGGTAAAAAGAGATCTTTTATTCATCTTAACTAAACTTCCTCTGGTATGGTCTCTACTGCTTCTTCCTCTCGCTCTTTTCTTCTCTGTTGTCATACTCCGAGGAAGGGCAGCCGCCAACCACTATGCACATCGTCCCAATATATCCGGCTTTTATTCTTTGTATAATTTCTATTATAAAAGTGTGGATACCCTTTTTAGGCTATAGAAGATTGTGGCAAATTGATTTGAATTTGCTATAACACACACTTTACCCTCTCTAGTATGTCGAAAAGGTTTTCTTTATTCTATTCTGCATTGTATTATATTTTATCCGACAAATATGCTAATATAATAGAGTAGAGCAGAGTATTCTTGACTTTTAACATACATGTATATTCGTTGTTGGACAATAAGTGTGTGTCTTGGAGGATAATGGTGTTATTTTTGCTGGTATATCAATACATTATTCCCAAGATATCTACAGGAAATAAAAGATTGATGCCTTTAAGAAAGCAGTAGATCTAATAAGTCTACACTTGCATCTAATCTCTCTTTTTCTCTATGTATGTATGTATGTATCTGGATTGCAGACAGCCACATAGAATAACAAGTATAGATATAAAGATAAAATAGTGTTTTCTTTGCTATTTCTTCTTCTTCATCATCTTCTTCTTATGTTTCAAAGTCCAATTTTAAGATATATATATTTACAGAAAAAATAATAATGACAACAATCTTTACGTTCCGTCTATTGTGTGGTCCGGAAGACCTTCTATAGAATACTGGTCCACCGACTTACAACGTAGTGTAATATAGCCCTCTGGAAGATCCTTTTGCCAATATTGCTCAAGTACCAACCCATCCTCATCTCGTTCGATATCCGAGTGAGTGGCTTCCTCTTGGGATTGCGCTTGAAAGGTTTGAAAATATTTGCAAGCCGTCTCAACTTGCTCTTTCTCAAGAACACGAATCTCTTGGCTAGGAGTATTATTATTAATATTATTGCTATTGTCGTTATTATGATTATGGGGGGATCCGAGACAGCGATGAAACCATGTGGTATCTTTGGTTATAGGTGATTGTGATGGTGATTGCGGGTGTGGAGAGGTTGGTGGAGAGGTCGGCAGTACCGCATGACACTGTACAGGACTGTCAGGGATTGGTGGGTTGGTATGAGTTTGTTCGATAACAAACAGTTGTATTTGGTGGTATCTATCCATACTATCGGTACTGTCGTTGTCGTAATAATAGGGATTACTATAATCATCTTTTTCCGAATATAGTACAAGGTCACAGAGTTTCAACGTTTCCAACTGGGTAAATGGCATGTCTAACAGAAGATTCCCAGTCTTTGAGCAAATCTTTTCCGCTATACGTAAGGTGGCGAGCTCGAGATGTCGCAACTGCTGACAACGGTACGAAAGATGTCTGAATATTGCTAGATTGACTCTTACGGAAACCAGTTCAAATGTCTGAAGACCGTGTTGTTGAGGGTATTTTAGTGCCCCATGACTAATGGAACTTGTGCCATTTTGAAGTTTTAATTTTTTAAGATTTATACAATTGTCCAAAATGACATCGAGTTCAAAATGATTGTAGAGAAGGTTGATGGTGAGATTTACCAGGCAGGGGAATGTGCCAAGTGATATTGGTGCCATACAGAGATAGGAATCAGATGTATAGAATTGGAGTTGGAGAGTCTCGAGTGTATCTGAGCAGGTCTGGCTACATTCCCGCAGGATGGTCTGTATTTGGTAAGGAGCAATGACTTCTCCGCGCACATGGTACTCTAGCTGTGCAAGAGATGCACCAGACTGTCGAAGCTTCTTCCAGAACAGAGTGTGTAGTCTTCCTTCATCCGAAATCTCTTCGATGATTGCCTTTTTAAGATGTGGAAAAAAGGAGGGTAGCGAGGAAATCATTTTCATAGCCAGACCCATGGCAGCATACATTGTGTCCGTCATTCTCTCGTGGGCGGTGTCGTAGCCATAGAATATTTTCCACTCGAATGTGTGTATGTTTGGGTATTTGAGGGCGCAGTAGTAAAGCCACTGAGGGTCCATTGTTTCGCCAAACAGGTGGACGGCAGACAAGGATGGGGCGCTTTTAGTGTCTTGAATCTCTAGGACGTCATTTACAAGAATGGGCGCCAATGATACTTTCATCCGTAGATGCTCCAGGCGTGGTAGTTTTTCGTGCAGGGTTTCAAAATCTCGCCAGGTGTAAAGGTATCTGCCGGTACAGACACCTTCGGACATGTCAAGGTATTCAAGACAAGGTAAGGAGCCTACTACGTCGAGAAAATAAGTTTCTAGGTTCTTGTGTTCTAAACTGGGCAAGATAATCTCTAGGCGTGTCAAAGATCCCCAGTGACACCAATCGGTAGCTTTTCCGAAATCGTTGCGACTCAAACTCTTGTCTTGGATCGAAAGAGATTTTAAGTGTGGAAAATAGTACTGAAGTTTGAGGATTTGTTTGCTGTTCAGACGAGTCCATCCTCCTAGGACCATAGACCGGACACGATGACCGTTGGTTTTGAATAGACGTTGATGATAAGGTGATGAATCACAAATCATGTCAATGTTCATGCTGTTGATTTCCACGCTATTCCACAATGAGTCCTGAAATGGACGTCGCCATGCTTTGCATACTGCTGAGCAGTTTAATTTGTCTTCTTGTGAAATTAAAAGAGCAATAGTTGTGAGGATTTCAAATGGGAATCGAGAAAACATGATGGAGATGATGATGGCGTAATGAACGAGGTTGGTTCTTGATCTTGGAATACATTTAGAAGGTCAAGAATGGCTTCTCTCCCAAACTTTATTTATCGGTCCTACTTCTATAAATCCTAAGCCTCCACGAACTCTAAAAGGCGTAAAGCAATGGTTTGAAAGAGAAGTTTAATAAGGAGACAGGTCAGAGAACATTTTGCAGTTATGTGTGTTTGTGTGTATATGTGTGTGTGCGTACACGCACATAGACATGTGTATGTATACACATACAAACATACACTTTGATTTTCTTCTTTTACACACACACACATGTACATGTACACATGTATGTACACAGACAGGCACACACACACGCACACTAATATATATATATATATATATATAAATATTACTTACCACTTACAACTTATACAATATGCACACACACACACACAGACGGCCAAACGCACGTAACCGAAGAGGTATATAGGTAAAGAGGAAGGGGAGATGGACACAAAAGAAAGAAGAAAAAGAAAAAAGAAGCGGGAGGCGAGGGCGAGGGCGAGGGCGAGGGCGGAAGGCGGAAAGGGAAAGGGAAAGGGAAAGGGAAAGGGAAAGGGAAAGGGAAAGGGAAAGGGATGGGGATGGGGAGGGGGAGGAGATGATGAGAAGGGGTATGCTATTTTTTGACAATCATTTTGATTTATACACAGGTTAAATCCTTTTTATAGACAAGTACACTATTAAAAGAGTTGTGTTCAGAAGCAAGGGAACACACGTTTCGCTTTGGTTTGTCACCTTTGTATTTTATTTTATTTTATTTTATTTTATTTTAGTTTTTAAATAGAATATGTATATAAATATTTTTTCTTGTAGCCAAGACTTTGGATATAGAACAGGTAAGATCTTGTGATTATATACCAAATAACAATAATATATTTTATTTTTAATTTTATTTTTAATTTTATTTTTGGTATCCATGGAACCGAAGTTTTACCAAGACTTCTTGTGCTCAAAGCATATAAGGGAAGTAAAAGAAGTAAGAGAAGTAAGAGAAGTAAAGGAATTAAAAGAAGTGTGTAAAATAAATTGGGTTGGATTTATATTTAGATTACAGATGTTTCCTAGATTTAATCTGATCAAAAATGTCGTTTTGTTTCGTTTAATTGCCCTTTCTTTTTTTTTCTTTATTTATCAGATCCATTTTAGTAGCATATTTATCTGCGTATTTATTTATTTATTTTCCTTGCTGCTATCCTTTCTTATCAGATTTTAAAGAAGTAGAATCAAAAAGCAGTGTCTTGTAAAGCACACAATTCAAGAGCCTTTTATTCTTCTAGTCCCGTAGTTTTGTAGCCTTGGCTTGATAGTTGAATAAATTATATTATATTAACTTTGAATATCTGTGTTAAGCCAGTCTTTGTTTAATTTCTAAATAAATAATTATAATAATTATTATAATTATTATAATTATTATAAAAATTCCCTACTCGCCCCCATCTCGTGTATATTCCATTCGAATGTCAGTTAATTGGATTCAAAATTAGAGCTGTGTGTGTGTGTGTGTATGTGTGTATCACAGGCTTTTTGAAGGATGAAGTATTATTTTTATTGACCAATTTTTAATCAAGTGTTTGGTTCATTTTCTGTACCTTTTTTTTTGGAACTCCTATATTTCCGTTATTATCACCATTACTATTACTGTCACTGTCACTATCATTAGCACTGTCATTATTACTATCGATTTCCTTCCTTACATTTTCTTTCAAGTAAAAAAAGCACTTATATATATATATATATCTTTATATTTGAGTTTGCGAGATTTTATAGATAGTGTACTTGGCCAATTACCAACTATATATATATATATTCAAAATTTTGATCTTCAATATGGGGTCATTTTTCTATAGACAACTGCTTGTGTAGCCCTGTCAAAATAATATGAAAATCTAAGATCTTTTTTTTTTGTTTTATTATTTAATGAAATCCTATTAATGTAACGAGCAATGGTAAAAGTAGCATTAAATCGGTACATAGAATATCTCGGGATGTAAACAATGTGAGTCACTTATCTTACTTTCCTTTTTCAACACAACATATCAAATCACATCACATCACATCATATCACGTCGCCTCGCCTCGCCTCGTCTCGCCTTGGCCGATACCTTCAGGGCATTCTGTTTAAGCTCTAATTGTCTTTGCGAGACCCATTCTTTTTGTATATAGATCGGTCTATTAAGAGGGTGTATAATGCCTTTCTTGGTAAAATACCAAAATCTAATGAGGATTTTATATTGAGTCATTATTACTCTTAAAATATTTGAAGTATCAAAAGGATTTGTAATATATACATTTATTCGATGTATATAGAAACTTCTTTTATCTTTATTTTTTTGTGCGGCTATCCAATGTATTAAACAAAAGAGAAACATATTAGATAGTTGGATATATAAAAAAGAGGCTCTTGAAAATCAAGAAGCAGATTTAAACATCTTCTTCTTCTATTATTTTACCATGGCTCCAATCGTAACTGACAATATCATTATCCGTCTTGTGTCCATGGATGACAAGCCGGTTGCAGAGCTAATCCGAGACACAATCAACACTGCCTACAGCTCTCAAAGTAACACCTGTCACATCATTACCTTTTCTTTTTTTCTTCTTCTTTTTCTTTTTACCTGTCTCAACTCTTTAAATATATATACATTTCTATTTTGTTAATAGATAGCTGGACAAGAGAAGGAGATACTATTGCTGGAGATCGTGCCACGACAGAAATGGTTGAGAGACTGATTTTAGAACAAGGCAAACCAAACCATCTTTTGTGTGCGTTTGATGGCTCTATTGTTGTTGGCACAGTTATGGTCCAATTGGAAGATATGAAGCCAAATGAAGCCGAGATTCGTATGGTTGCTGTCCACCCTTCCTACCAATCATGTGGAATGGGCCGTCGGTTGGTTGATGCCTCTACGGAATTTATTCGTTCCTTGGGTCGTGATGTGATGTCCATTCGTGTATTAGAGAACAGAACTGATGTTATGCAGTGGTATGTTCGTCTTGGATTTGTGGCAACTGGCGATCGTATGAATGTATTGGACGAGAGTTTGTTAAAGGTTAAGGGTGTTACATTCCTCAAGCTGTCAAGATCAATCTAAGCCAACCAGCCAACTAAAATAAAATACAAGACTATTGTATGTTGTGTTGAGCCTATGACATATAAATTAGGCGGCGTTCTTTTATTTTTATTATTGAGGAGGCAAACTAAAATTTATACTAAAAAAGTAAACCTTCTTTTATATAGAATTAGGATTAGGATTAGAATTATATATATATATTCTTTGTATCCTGCTTATTACAAGTATACACGTATATTTTCTTTCTTTCTTTCTTTCTTTCTTTCTTTCTTTCTTTCTTTCCTTCTTTCTTTCCTTTCCTTATATTATCTTTAAAGAAACACAAAAATGTCTGTCGGTAAACTAAGCTCAGAAGCTGCCCCTGCCGTACTTGAAGAAGGCAACTGGCCAGCTGGAGATACACTCTTGTCGTCCGACTGGGAAGCAAGTCTAAGAGCTTCTCAGGAAACAAACGATCGTTGGGCCGACGAAAGCTCAGTTCAGGAAGGTTCCTTTATCGACAGCACTTCCACTCTAAACCAGCCAATAACTCAGGTGGTTCTTGACAAAGATACCTCACATCACAAAGCAAGTTTATCATTCAATATATATACACCGGAAGCACTGTATATTACACATAGTTTATTTTGTGTGTGTGTGTGTGTGTATCATTTCTTCATTCCATCAACTTACCTATAAAACAAAACAAATCAAAAAATAACAACAATGACAACAATTCAGGGATTCCACAATGCAGAGGTTTCGCATGACATTCGAGATCTAGAAGTCGTGGGTCAGTTACCAGACTGGTTGACTGGTGAACATTATACAATTGGACCTGGAACGGTGGACGTAAAGTTTAGTCGCAAAGCCGAGGTTGATGGACAGTTACAGAGCGTAACAGCTTTTTTTAGGTTCAACCACTGGTTTGATAGGTAAAGACTATATATATATATATATATAAAAGTAAAAAGTAAAAAGTAAAAAGTGTAGCTAATCTTTAGAGAAATATATGTATTAGTCTTCCATTAGTCAATAGATTTGACTTTAATGCCAAACGAAATACAATCAGTCACCGCCAAAGATTGACCAGCTATCGTATGGAAGAAAAGATTCGAGATCATCATGGATTCACTCCTCGTCACCCAGCAACGTTCTTCAAGACCGATAGTCACCAAACAGTCCTGAGTAAGTTCTTGACTCCTTCACGTGCTGTAAAACCCGACGGAGAGCCGTGTGGTGTCCATATCGTAACCGAGATTCCTGGATTAAGAGGAAGATTGTATTGTCGCAACTATGCAAACCATGTAAGTGAAGCAGTATAATAGAAACGGAATATATATATATAAAAAAGGGGGAAAGGGAGGGGAGAAGCAGGTAGAAAAAGAAAAAGAAGAAGAAGCGTAAAGGGTGTATTGTTTTTCTATATATTATATTATTAGTATTTTAATTAAATATATATATATATATGTTTCAATAAATAAATATCAATTCCAAATCCAAAATCCAATACCCAAAATCCAAAAAAAAAAAAAAAAGTTGCAAGAGCTAGATCCTACAGATCTTAAGCCTATAAAGCTACAGACCTTTGAGGAGATCAATCCGGCATTCAAGGGCCCTATTGCATGCCCAGAGGGCAGAGTGGATAGTACGACAGGAGAGTATATTAATGTGACTATGGATGTTGGATATCAGTCAACCCAATACACATTCATGTCTCTCTCTGAAGAGTATCCCCAAGGAAGAGTTATTGCCACATTGAATGCACCTACTGCCTTTGTCAATACTTTCTGCCTCACACCAAACTATATTATTCTGGTGAGAAAAGAACGATATCTATAAAAAACAAATTTAAGAGTAAAGAAGTGTATATGTAGATAGATAAAGATAAAGATAGAGATGTAGAAAATTAACTGTGCCTATAAAATAATAATGATCCTTGTTAGCCCCTGTTTCCTGTGATTGCAAATTCAAGTAAACTCAACTGGAACGCGAGTATTCTTGACAGTCATCAGTTTGACAAATCCCAACCTACTCGGTTCTATGTGATTTCTCGTGCAAGACAACAAGTGGTTGCTACCTATCAAGCCAGAGCTTGTTTTGCGCAAGTATTATATATACATACAAAAGAAGAGTTTGGTATTCATTCTAATCTTATTTTAATTAATCTAGATTCCACCAGGTGAATGCGTTTGAGGTAGGGGATTCGATAAATTTGGACATGATTGTGTACCAGGACGACACAATTCTGAGACAACTGACCCGTCCTCAACTTCGACAACTGGGTACAATGTTCCCGGAACGCTTGGCATCTTCTCAAGTGTGCCGTTTTACTCTCGGTAACCTTACTGCAGCTGGATCTCAATACCTGATTTATGGACAGCCGGTTGCAAGTCTGAGTAGCCGACTGTCTTCTTTGCTGCTCAAGAGTACTAAATCAAGTTGGGAATGGATGCCGGTAGCCCACGAAGAGGCCAGAGTGCCGCCCTCGCTTGAGTTGCCGAGTATTCACCCCTTGAGATCTGGAAGTAGCTACAGTTTTATGTATGGAGTTGGGTTTTCTGCAAATAGTGCCTTGTTAGATGGCACGATTTGGGACAGTATCATAAAAACCGTAAGTTGTTTGACTATTTAAACTCTTGTTGTTGGTTTTTTGTACGACAAAAGAATTCTTATTATTATTATTATTATTATTATTATATGTTTCTGGATAATAGAATATGGAAACAAGGTCTATTGTTGGGACTTGGTACCAGGCAGGGTGCTACCCAAGTCAGCCTGTATTTGTGCCTAGACCTGATGCAATAGGAGAAGATGACGGTGTACTGATTTCAATAGTCCTGGATTCAGCAAGAGCCAGTTCGTTTGTGCTGGTCCTAGACGCCATCAGTCTCCAGCCACTCGCACGTGCAGATTTGGGGCTGGTCGTTCCTCTTAGTTTTGGATGTGGTGCTACCCGTCTAGTGCGTCATTATTGAACCAACTCCGGCCTGGAAATGAGATCATCCGTTATGCAATAAATAATAATATAATATAATAAAATAATATCATTTTTCTGTCTTTTTTTAACTATAAAAACACCAGTCTCTTTTTTTCTCTTTCCTTTTGAATTTCTTGTTCTTCTTCTTCTTTACATCAGTAAATCAACACATACACATTCATACATACATTCATACATACCAATAAAAATGGCTTTCACTGCATCTGACATCTGTAAAATTGTTCTCGGTAAGTCAACCAACCAAGCCAACTATTCCATACATTCAACTTGAATGAAACTAATGAATGGGCCCTTTGTGATTAAACTCTTCTTTTTTGTTATTGTTCTTTGTTTTTCCTTTTAGCCGTCGTTCTCCCTCCTCTTGGTGTATTCTTTGAGCGCGGTTGCGGTTGTGATCTCTTGATCAACATTGGTTTGACCTGTTTGGGTTACATTCCCGGTATCAGTAAGTACACAAAGTCTTTATATATATATATATAAATAAATAGAGAGTGAAAAGAGGGATAGGTGAAAGGAAGAAGAAGAAAGCGATAGAGAGATAGAATATGTACTGTACTGTACTGTAATGTAATGTAATGTACTGTGTACTATGGACATTTACTAACCAAATATCAAATTTTGCATAGTCCACGCCCTGTACATTATCCTCAAGTATTAAACAATAATGTATAAATATGTATATAAATACATTCACCCACCCACCCACACACACACACACACACACACACACACAAGAGACCTCTGTTCTTTCTTTTTATTTTATAATATTTCCATGGTAAAAACAAAAACAAAATAACAACAACTTCTTTTGTATTGCTCTGTAAACGCTATCTTCCCCTTCAAGTAACTCATATTCTCTATTATAACCTGTAATAAAAAATAATAAAAACACACGTATAATTATCAAGTAAAGGTCTGTTTTGATCACATAACATAAAGCATTAATACATTAAACTTGGTGTGAATAAGTGATCTTGAAACTTTCACGTCTCTTTATTGGTATATTATATTATATAATCCGGACCTATTAATACAAAGCACACAGTGTCACCACCGATCTTTAAAAATAAAATATAAAGTCCATTTTATTGTGTATCATATACAACGGAAGAATAGAATAAAATGGAATGGAATCAAATGATAGAATGATAGAATGGTAGAAACCGAAACACCCAAATAGCTTTGATATCTTACTACCTTTCTGATACTCCTTACTACTTGCTTAAGAGTATAATAGCTATTGGTATTTTTATCATACAAATCTACTATAAAAAAGAATTATGCATATGTACGCACATAAAATATCAGACCAAAAAAAAAAAGAAGTACATGTCACACTCTCTAAGCTCACATGTACAATATTGTATTCCTTTTTAAAAATTATTGGCGTAAAGAAGTAAGGTATAAAAAGACCATTTTATGTTCTATATTTTGATACTGGTATTAAAGAGAGGTCAAACGGTTGGAACTACAGAAAAGAAAGAAAATCCCAGAAATAAAAATCATTTTCCATATAACATTTCCACCAAAACACAAAGGAAAATTTTGAGTTCATAGTCTCCAAACCCTTGGAAAGAAAGAAATGATGTGTATCCCAGGACTGGGTTCAATGCAAGGGACTTTATAGAGATATCTAACATTTGTATGCATTGTGTGCGCAAAGAGTGTGATCAGTAAAAGCTACATAATGTATTTCCTATTTATTTATTTATTTATTTATTTATTTATTACTATGGAAACAATAATATTGCTACAACTACAGATTGGTAGTTTAGTGCTTCTTTTTGGATCAAATAATAAATCTATACCATACTTGTTACTGATCCAAAGTTGCCTTTTAGGCGGTCGAAGAAGAGAAGGGGAACTTATGTCTCGCACTGATTAGGAGCAAGTACAAATACCGCTCTTGACAATGCGTTTAGTCGGTCAAAATGGTGTCGCACTACAGAATAAGCTTATGATTGATAAATGAACCTTTTTGTATACATATTGTGAGCACAAATGATAATATGACATTTTAAAATATTATGAATGGAACCAGGATTTTCTTTTCTTTGTTACAACTGTCCTGAGCCATTGTCGTTTATGAGCAATGAGGGTAACATATGTATTGAGTAACCATAGCTTTACAAGCACTTGGTTATTGGCAATATGGCTTTGGATCCAGAGGCTTTATAGAGTATATTTTGGCGAATAGACTGATTCTTATGACCTATATACAGAAACTAATTGGCTTATATACCAGGCAGTGATGTAATATAATGTATGGTATGACACATATGTATATACAGCGATAGAGATCAGAAATGCAAAAAGAAAATGAAAATGAAAAAGATAATAAATATAATTATAATATATTTGGTGCCAATTATTTATTGTTAATATATAATAAGATATTGGGCTCACAATAAATTCTAAAAGGCAGTGATTTGGGTGCACTGAAATACACTGTATTTAGCTTTATTGAGCTTAATAATGGTGACTTTGACAAGTGAAAAAAAAATGTACATAATAAGCATAATTTTCTTTTTCCATGTTTAAAACTAGTGGTTCGATTACAAGGGTAGGCACAACTGTCTTATAATAAGGGTTGAAGTATGGGTTGCGGACAAGCGTGTCATCAAAGACTTGAAGTTCAAACGCAATACAATTAATGACACACAGTCTATGATAGAAAGCGATAAAAAAATCAGAGCTTAGTTGCGGCGACACAAAAAGAAAAAGAAAAAAAAAATGAATGAAAGAAGAAAAAGATCAGGAAGAAAAGAGTCCTACAGGAATTTTCTTAATTTTATTTTATTTTATTTTATTTTATTTTATATATTACACATATATTTATTTATTTATTTATTTATTTATTTATTAAATAATAATAAACTTTATTAAATGAATCCATTGAACTTCCAGATCCCTCGTCGACGCGGTAATGACACTATCTCACCATTCCCAAAGAGACGCCGCACTGAAGCCAATGATCAACTCTTAAATACAGCAAGTGTCACCTTTATTATCATTGCACCAAATTGTCTTTTTACAATCATTATGCATTTAAACTGATTAAACAAACCAAAAAAAAAAAGTTATTCGACAAACTCAAAAAAGAACCTCTATTGGAAGACGTTTGGGCCAAAGAAGAACGAGCTCTTGAAGAATTGAATGAAAATAGTGAAGAAAGTCAGCCCATCGTAGACGTAGCAAGTCAATTTCTTGACAAGGAAGTGTCAGAGCGCCTAGCAGAGGTATATATATATATATATGCACACAACAGACATAGCACTTTAACAACAACCGTTATAATTAACTAGTACTAATGATAATAATAATTCTTTTCTTTTATATCGCTTATATATTTATACATGTAATAGGCACTCTCAAGGAACGACGTTAGCGATGATTCAGAACCACCTTCTACTCGATACTTCTTTACCTTGCCAACAAAAGTAATTGGGATTTTTAATATTGATATATACATATATATGAGAAAATATATATGGATCCGAAACTACTTGGATAATTGACAGATTTGTATTTGTTTTCAAGACCTCAATCGGGGAATGGCCTATGGACTCAAGAGATGGTGCTGGGGTTGCAAAGGCTGAATTTATTCACAAATTGACACAAAGTAAAGTATATTTGGACCTTGTTTGATTTTGTGCTGTAGCATGAAGCTGAAGGTGACTGATAGGAATATGATAGCTACCCAGGGACGTTCGTTTATGCTGGAAAGCGGTTGCCTAAAACATTGGCACAAAAGAGGATGGGAATGTCCACGGTCATTGTACAAGTACCTCTTTGAGATGGGTAAATATATAAACATATATATATTCATGGGCGTGTTGATGTGTTCTAACATGAGATTTGTGATAGTTGCTTTTGAACCAAACAAGGTGGTAGCTAAACAAGCATATTTCACATTGGTCTCTTTGTGGAGTTATTTTGCAAGTATTTCACATCTTGGACTTATCAAACAAACAAACAAATGAACCAAATAATAATGTTTGTATGTTCTCTTTCTTTTAGAAAATGGAAAGTGATGTCCAATACAGCGATTATCCAGTTGGGTGTATTGAGCCTGAATGGCTTACCAGTATTTTTGAGGCATATGGACGGGCACCTCAATTAATCACTAAATTTGCGTCTAAAACTACACCCACACCTATATCTACACCTATATCTACACCTGCATCTACAGTTAGACCTACACCTGAATTTGAACCCGAACTTATATCCAAATCCAAAGTACCTCAATCATCACTTGGATGGATCATTGAGCTATTCGGAATTTCAATCAAACAATGGCCATCTGCTTATCGTGACAATATTGATCAGCTCTTGGGTCTGCTCCTCGACACTTCTCTTGATCCGACTTCACGGCCAGCTCTTGGAGCTCTTCAGACCACCATCCAAGGCTGCCTTGATTTGCTTGAGCAGACGACATGGAAAAAAACGCTGGCTGAATTTGATATCGATTATAAAAAATACAGCGAGTATCAGCTTCTATATTGTATCCAGGCCATTCCTCCTACAAACAAAAGAGGTGTATTCTTTCAACAATGCCTGGCTGCAAAGGGACTTGGGCTATCAAGGGATCATGATAAACTTGAGGATGTACTCAAGCTTATCAATGATCCCGACGGTATGTTTAGTTCTAGCCAACCAGACTACTCTTTGTTGGCTATAAAGATCCGTTTGTTGGATATATTTATTGGTAGTGATGAAGATGAACTGGATCTTGAAAAGGTAACTATGGTTAAGAAAGTAGACAGATAGGGAGTGATACTGATATGTTTATTGCAGGACACGGTACAGTCATTAATCCAAAGCCTACAGCTATTGAGTAGAAAGATAGGTAGGGTTTGATGAAAAGAATGAAATGACAATACAGAAGTACTTATATGCTTTCTTGTAGGTGGTCGATTGGGAACTCTTAAGCGAACAGTTGTAAGTTACAAATTAGACTTCTTTTATGTGCCTATGTTGGTGTTTAATAATCATCTTTACTATAGGCAAATGAATGTGCTCAACGACTGTGGAATAAATTGGCTTATACTATTGGTAGAGATGAACGGGTTATTGAGGATCACCAAGTATAGACGATGATATATTTTACTTTATTAAAAAAATAAAATATTTATATACTATATGTCTGTAGTTGTGCCTGTGGTTTGGTGGAACATTGGGATGTCAAACCATTCAGGACAATATCTATATAGACATTATTTGTCATATAAAAATAAACCTCTCAGTATTACTTCTTTAAACAAGCTTCTGTTTTAATTCGGTGTTGCAAAAATATATATATATATATAAAAAGGCTCCCAATATTTTCAATATCCGTCTATGCAAGACCATTATATAATTAGATATAAAAATACCTTAATTTTTTTAAAAAAATAATAATAATAAAAATAAAATGGCTTCATTTTGCTATAGCTTCAAGACCAAGTGTTAATAACATAATGACATGAGTCTTTAAAGAGCAAGCAGGTGTCAGAAATGATCAAGTCAATATATTATACGAACACGACTCTACATTAGATACATTAGATAAATCTTATTATTATTATTATTATTATTATTATATATAAGAATCACGCGATCAATAAAGTGGAACACATAATAAGCACTGCACACACTACAGATTTATATATGAGTTTTACTTTAAATATTTTTTCATTTTTTTTTCCATTTTTAAAGCACAAGCAAAATTTCAATTTCTTGCAGGAACCATTACTCTTCTTTCTTTCTTCTTTTACTCTCACAGCTCTTTCAAGCTTCTTACATTACACACCAACACAGAAACTATATACCACTTGTCTTTCTATTATCTAAAATGGTAAAACTTGTCATTCGGTACATCTATCATTCCAATGTCATTACACAAAGCTCACAACCAAAAAAAAAACACTTCCTCTATTCCTCCTCCTCTTTACCATATTGCTCTCTCTCTCTCTCTCTCTCTCTCTATACATATTTTTTGGGGTTTTCCATTTTTCTGTAGAGTGAAGTAAGAGAATACCTATACAAAATCCTCGTAGTTGGTGACCTCGGCACAGGAAAGACATCTATTATCAGACGATATGTTCATAATATATTCTCTTCCAATTACAAATCAACCGTAAGAATCTTAAATTTATTTATTTTTTTGTTATCTTGCCTTGGCTATTTCGAGACTCTTATCTAACCGATATTTTTTTCTACAACCACCACCATTAATACTAACCTCCATATCTATCTAATATAAATATATAATAAATACAGATTGGTGTAGATTTTGCACTCAAGGTTATCCAATGGTCTCCTGAAATTATTGTCCGGCTTCAATTGTGGGATATTGCGGGCCAGGAACGGTTCGGAAACATGACACGGGTCTATTACAAAGAGGCGCTGGGTGCTTTTGTGGTTTATGATGTCACACGGCCACAGACCTTTGAAGGCGTCACCAAATGGAAACATGATATCGACTCAAAGGTCACACTACCTGAAGCATGGGGAGGAGGAAATATTCCAGTAGTCCTGCTAGCCAACAAGGTAATTTCAAGAAGACTGGGTTAGACTGAGTTGGACTGATCGTATGTGTGTGCATGTGTGCGTATATAAATATAGAGTGATCTGATTCATGAAGGACATGGTCAACAAGTCAATGCTGAAGATATGGATCGATTCTGTGCTGAACAAGGCTTCTTGAATTGGTAATTTTATTGCTGTTATTATTAATGGATGGTACTGACAGAGGTTTTATATAAACATTTCTAAACAATCAAATGTATATCTATATATATATATATATATACATCCATGTATGTATGCATACATTAGGTTTGAGACATCAGCAAAAGAAGACACTAATATCGATGAAGCCGCACGACATCTGATGACAGCCGTACTAAAGATCGAAGAAGAACATGGGTCAGATCTTGCTCAAGATGAGGCTGAGCGAATACGATTAGATCAACTCAACAAACAATCCGAAGCTGGCAGTGGAGGATGCTGTTAAAATAAAGAAATACATATAAAACAAAATTAATTTCTTTAATTAAAAAGCATAAAAGAAAAAGGGGGAGAATGAAAGAAAGAAAGAAAGAAAGACATTCAAAGATGTGTTAAAGAAGTGTTATCAGCACTTCTTGACTTTATACTATATTTACTATATGTCTTTTAATCTGTCAGCTTGTATCTTACTGCCTTTCTTATCCAGTTTTGTTGACATCACATCAAAACTCCTCTTGATTTCTTACAAACCAAGCCTTTACGTCTTATAAGATTCAAACTCTTCATTATTGCCCTTTATTTATTTATTTATTTATTAATTTATTTTGGGGGTTCTTTTTTTTTATTACTATTACTATTACTACTTATTATAAGAAAAAGAACTTACAATACACACACACACAACAAAACTCTCCAATAAAATAAAATAATAATAATAAAAAAAGTACAAAGCGAACAAAATAGAATAACTTGTGTGACAGATGCCACCTCTTCCTCTTGCCAGTCTGGGGCTTTCCGAACAGACCCCCTTGTCACCAAATGACTCCAATGCCACTTCTAATGCCACTCTAAATCCAATTCCAGATTCTCCTCAAACCGGAATCTTTGCCAACATCACTTCAAATCCTCTTTTCTCGGCTGGTTTTGGCTTATTAGGTGTAGGTGCCGGTCTAAGCTTACTCAAAAAGGGTACCAATGCCGCTGCATCCTACACACGTCGAAGATTGTTAGTCACACTCGAGATCCCCTCAAAAGACAAATCATATGCCTGGTTCCTACAATGGATGGCACAACAGGCACCAAAACGTCAAGTCCAACACCTGGCGGTCGAAACAAGTTTCAAACAACACGACAATGGCAGTGTGACGACCAAGTTTGGACTAGTACCTGGGCCTGGAAACCACTACTTTAAGTGGAAGGGCATCTGGATGAAAGTTGAACGCCAGCGAGACGGAAAGATGATGGATCTTTCTACCGGAAGTCCCTGGGAGACCATCACGGTCACTACGCTTTCCAGAGACCGTGGTGTGTTCACACACTTGCTAGAGGAGGCCCAGAGTATGGCACTCAAGAAGCAAGAAGGCAAGACGGTAATCTATACGTCCTATGGCCCTGAGTGGAGACCATTTGGCATGCCTCGTCGAAGACGGTTGCTGGATTCGGTCATCCTGGACAATGGAATCACAGAAAGAATCGTCAAGGACGTCAGGGCATTTATCGGTAGTGGCAAGTGGTACAATGAGCGTGGTATTCCTTATAGAAGAGGCTATTTATTACATGGTCCCCCTGGATCAGGAAAAAGTAGTTTCATCCAAGCACTCGCAGTAAGTACACACCAACCTACCCAATTTACCCAACCACAAGAAAGTTTGGATAGTATTCTTTTATTTGTTTATTTGTTTATTTATTTGTTTGTTTGTTTGCTTGCTTGCTTGCTTACTTCTTTACTTGGGTGGGTTTGGTGGTTTTTAATAGGGCGAGTTGGAGTACAATATCTGTATCCTCAATCTGTCCGAGAGAGGATTGACTGACGATAGATTGAACCATTTGTTAAGTAACGTTCCTGAACGGAGTATAATGTTATTGGAGGATATCGATGCCGCTTTCACAAAGAGATCCCAATCAGACAACCAAGGCTATCAGTCCATGATCACCTTTAGTGGGCTTTTGAATGCCCTGGACGGTGTGGCATCTGCTGAAGAGCGTATTATCTTCCTAACGACAAATCATCTGGATAAGCTCGACCCGGCCCTTATCCGACCCGGCCGAGTCGATCTGAAGGAATACTTGGGGAATGCTACTCCTCATCAACTCCGAGGCATGTTCTTACGCTTCTATGGAGACCGGCCAGATCTTGCAGATGCATTCGTAGCACGTCTGGATGGTAAAACCGTCAGTACCGCAAGTCTCCAAGGGCATTTTGTGTACTACAAAGATGATCCTCTTGAAGCTATTGAAAAAGCAGACGAATTATTGAGACAATAATCAACCAATAAAATAAAATAAACTAGAGTAAGAGAATAAGAATAAGAGCCCATACACACACACACACACAATCTATATATATATATATATAAAATTCTTATTAGGATACACAACACATAATACACGTTGAGGCAAAGAAACACAAGCATAAACTACACAAAAAATACCCTGTGCATCTGTCTATCTATACATATTTTATATATATATATATATAATAAGTAGAAACCCTTTTCTCTCTTTCTCTCTCTCCCTCCCTCTTTTATACTTCTCACTCGACGTCATTCTTTTATTTTATTTCTTTACTTTACTTTACTTTACTTTACTTTATATTTTTATTTTATTTTATTTTATTTTATTTTATTTTTGTTCACTGCCATATTGCTTTCTTCCTCTATCGATTCCGAATGACATGGACAGCAGCTACACTTGGATATTTATTGTTGGCATCGTCGTCTTTTTATTTGTAATCGTCATCCTTTTGTGCTTCACTCAGTCAAATGGTGACCGACTCTTTTTGGGAGACGACACAGAAGGCTTGAGTGAGATTCCCGAAACCCCCGCTCTGCTACAAAGCTTATCTGAAGACAGTAGACTTAGCTACCGTCGTGCCAAGGGTAATATATACATATAAATATACATATACATCCGCATACGTTTTATATATGTAGTAAAATAAAAACTAAAGAGAAATCAAAGCAAAGCAAAATAAAGCAAATCAAATCAAATATATATTGAAACTCACTTTGTATATGTAACCTTTGTTATAGTGTTTCAACAGAGATGTCCTCCAGACAGCATCTCGACCGACATAACATTGTCACAGTATGTGTCAATCCAGGAGAAAGGCGTGGCAGCCTTTGAGTTTGAGTGGGATATAGAGACAAACTGCATTGTTTCCTCTCGTACAGAAATCCAATTCTCATTTGGTGAGAGTTGCGTCCAGACCAATCTGCCCTTACCACGCAACCAAGACGTTTATTATTGGGAAGCAAAGATTTTTGAAAAACCTCGTCAGACAGTTATCGCTGTGGGTGTGGCCACAAAACCATACCCTCACTGGCGCTTACCAGGTAATAAAAATAATGATAATAGCAATAAAAAGGAAGTGAGATGTAACAACCATTTCATGCGTGTTGCTTACATGATATTTATATTTTATATTTTATATTTTATATTTTGTGTTTGGATTTGCATTTACATTTACGCTTACGTTTACATTTACATTTGCGTACACTTATACACACATCTACACCTACACCTACACCTACATATATAAATATAAATATACATATACATATAAATATAAACATAAATAAAAAGGGTGGAACCGGCATTCTGTGGGATATTTTAGTGACACTGGCCGCAAACACATCAATAATCCTTTCCAAGGCAAACCGTTTGGCTCTGGATTTTCACAGGGAGATGTGATAGGTGTTGGGTATCGCCACCGAACCGGAACTGTCTTCTTTACTCGAAATGGACGTCGTCTAGAAGATGCATGCACTGGTTTGCGTTGGAACCTTTTCCCAACTATTGGTGCCAATGGTCCTTGTGAAGTGCATGTGAATCTAGGTCAAATGGGGTTTGTGTTTGTGGAAGCCAATGTGAAGAAATGGGGATTGGCACCAATACAAGGCACATTGGCACCACCCCCTGCTTATGGTGCCGAGGCTGGATCCATGTTATTGGAGCGAGGCGGTCGACAGCAACAACATACCATTATTAATACCACTGTTCCACAACATCAACATTATCAAAATCAAAATCAAAATCAAAATCAAAATCAAAATCAAAATCAACAACAAGGCGGTGATATCAACAATAACAATAACCATAACGACGACGACGACGACGACGACGACGACGATGATAATGCGCCATTGATTCGAATTCGACCTACTGAAAATCAACCTATAAGAATTCCACATCAACGCACACCACTCCTGAGCGGACCCCCATCTTATTCTGCCATTTCAAATAACTATGGTGCATACAACAGCAGGCATTAAGAGAGATAAAAAAGAGAGAGAGAAAGACTGATGAAAAATAATAATAACAATAATAATATACGTAGCAGAAATTGAACATTTTTGTATGTAAATAATCCCACCAATTCCCCCCTTTCACACACGCACACACGCACATCAAAACCATTCATCGAAACTCATGGCAAGAAAAAACCATGCGTTTCCTACTCGCTATATATATGTATATATGTATTTTTTTTCCTTCGATATATATATATATACATAAATACATTTATATCATTAATGACAAAAACTATAACCTTTTTCTTTAAAACACAAAAAATAAAAATAAAATACACAACCAAAGCATAACAATTTTTTTTAATTAATTACTTAATAGAGGATAAGGAAGGGGTGTTTCGTTGATATTGGTGCTTTTTTTGTTTTTGTTTTTGTTTGTTTTTTTTTTACTCGACTCTCATAACCTTGTCTCCAACCTTGACCATCTTTTCCCGGACCTGACCTCTCATTTTTTGCTTTGCCTTCATCTCGCTTGCCAACTCCTTGGCTCGATCGGAAGGAGACATGTTCTTTTGCCAAACACCACGATCGAACTGGTTAACCTCTGAGTTTGTCATGAATGCATTTGGGTCAGCCATTGGACGGTTAGCAGAAAGGCGACGTCCATTGGTTGCAGAACTGGCGGTGCTGTAGACAGAAGCACGGTGTAATTCTTGCTCGTATCTTTGTGTTTCTAGAGCGGCCTGTTCACGCATAACTTCGCGAGCAAGTTTGTCTCTTTGGGCTGCAGTAATAGAATCCATTTTTTTTTTCCTTTTGGTTAATTTTTATAAAGCGATACTATGAATAGAAATAGTAGTAAGAATGATTAAAAGGTTAAAGAAATAGAGTAAAAAGGCAAAGTTATTTAAATAGTCTAATTTTTTCTTTTAAAAAAAATGCATGGAAAGAGAACTATACCAACTGAAACACTGGCAATCGCTGTGCTATTAAGTAACAAGACTATTCTTAATAAAAATTTTCATTTCATCACTTTACAATCATACTGAGTTTTGATAATTCTAAAGTATCTGCATTGATGTAGGTAACAAAAGTAGATTCTTTTTATGTATATATATATATATATATATATATGGAGATGATACACACCATATGCACACAAACACAGAGAGAGAAAGATATGTATTTTGAATATTGAACGAATGAAAATACTTCTTTTCATAAAATGGTAGGGTTATTGTCCATACTACTGTAATCTGTCTCAAGTAAATTCACAGAAAAGAAGTTTTGTAGAGTCGATAAGTGTTATAATTTTACGAAATATTGCATACTTTGAATCATAGCCAATCATCGTATGACATAATTGCCAGAATACAGTATGTGAAACCAGCTATACTAATTGTTCATTTGTCAAATGAATCCCATTCTGCGTTTTAGTATTATGTATAATATTCACGCCAACCAATACACACTCATACACACAAGAAGTTCTTATAGATATATATATGTGTGTGTATATAACTTTATTATCATTGTGATTGTAATTGTAACTCTATTTTAATAATTATAATTATTAGAAGCAACTTTTAAAAACCAGTAGATCTATTGTGTCTCTTCATGTGCCTTCTCATGACTCGACGACGATAAGGTCTATCTATAAGAGCAGGCTGTCTCAATCCCATACTACGCAAACATCTTTCGATGTAGTTAGGACTCAATCGCCGTCCGGTAATCACGCTCATCTGCTCGGCCAATTGTCGGTATGTGTTTTGTCGAGGCTCACGTACTTCGATCCGTCTCAGTTGACGCAACTCACGATCTGTCAACTTGTAAACCTCACGCCTGTTCTTGTTCTTTTTGCCAACGTGGCGACGTGAGCTAAGAACATGTCCACGCTTGTGAAACTTGCGGAGAACCTTGTAAAATGTCCGTAGATCAATGTTGGACTCCCGAGCAATTTGGCGAGCTGGAATCCGCCGTTCTTCGTACTGCTTCATCATGTGCACTTGTTTCTTGAAAGGGATTCTGGACCGAGCCGATGACGGAGCCTTTTCCGGAGCATTCTCTGGAGCCTTTTCCGGAGCTGTTAAGGGTACTGGTGATACCGATACCGATGCTGATACCGATGCTGATGCTGATGCTGATGCTGGCGGCAATGGTTCTTTCGGTGTTAATGGTGTCCCCTGTTGGGAGCTATTTGGTGTATCAAGACGGATGTTTGGCGTAAAATTAAAATGAGGCATGGGTGAGGAGGATTTAGATGACGATGAAGGTTCGCATTGCTTCAAATCCGTCGAACCAGAAAGAGGAGCATGTGCCTTAGGCTGAGAGTTGAATATATCGATTGACGAAGAATAGTTATTTGTCCAATCAGATACTTCATTTGTAGGTTGTGGAGCGCTGGATGTATCATTGGAACCTATGCTGGTGGATTCGGCCATTCGATCTACCAGGTCACGGTCTGTCATTGAGAACACCCCAGTAAGGCCCATGCTGTCATAGGCCGAAGCTTGAGCCTTTTCAGCAGACTTTACCGCAGAATTATTGTCAGTTGACATCGTAGTAGTAGTAGTCTCTGATAAAGTTCCCACAACAGAGTGTGGGCCCGTCTCTGCTGATGTAGACTGATTTCCAGTCGAATTAAAGCTTGGCATCGGCACATATTCCTGCTTAGTGTAGTCGGTAGAAGGGGGAGAGTTGGTAGAAGACGAAGCCGAGGAGGACGAATTACCGTCACTCATCATGACTGAATGATTTACTTCAAAGGTGTTGTGCTTGGGATTGTCATTAGAGAATATCATTGGGTTAGAACCCTGTTCTGGCTGATTCATATGATTTCTGTCAGATGGGATGCCCGGTATGTTATAAGATGAATTAAACATATTGAATTGAACAAAGAATGAAAGAAAAGGTGGATATGTGAATTTTTGTACAATTGAATTTTATTAAGAAGATTGAAACCAAGGAAAATATTATATATGTATATACATCACTGTAATAAATAAAGGGCCCATGTATATGAGATATCTCTGTTATTTATTGTCTCTTATTTTCGGAGAGTGAGAATAATGGATCTTAGCTTTTAGGATAACATGTACAAGGGTGACTTTTACTTGTATTCTACTTTTCAACTATCATAGTGACGCATTTGAATATCGGGGTGTTACATTTTGTAGTAATATATACATATATATATATATACATTTAAAGAAGTAGGTATATATGTATAATAGTCAAAAGAAAATCAACGGATTGGCTAGAAGCGTTTTCAAGACTTTAAACTCTCTGTAGGCTTATTTTGGTTTGTCCAGTATGATTCTTTATTTATTTAGATAATTGAAAGTTTCATACTCTTAATTACTGATATGATAGGCACACACACACACACTTACACTTACACACGCGCACATATATATACTGATAATATACTTTGTGTATTTACAAGAAGAAAAATAAGAAGAAAGCTAAACACCACCATAAAATATAGTTCCGTCAATGTTACACACAGCCACCGATTTACATCGCAATTTAATATATCCTCGCAAAAGATCATCCTTCCAAGACGATTTGTCCACCAGTCCAAAACAATCCCTTGCTGTATTTGGATCCTCTACCCTCTGGGAAACACCGGAAGATGCAGATGAAAAATAAAACTCGGCCACTCGGGTCTCTTCTTCCCCGAGCATCCAAACAGCCCGTTCGATGCTTGGGTGAGCATTAACCCTGTATTGATGGAACCATGATGTGGCTGCCATATTTCTTTGGTTGTTTTCATCAGGTAGAGAATCAATTGGCCTGGTAATTGGTCCCGTTTGTTCAATAGTCAGTAGTTGAATACGATTCAGATGGGTGTAATGTAAACATTGTTTATCATAGGTCTGGTGTGACAGCCTAAACCGCACCAAATTCAGCATTTTTAAGCGTGTGTACGGCATGTCCAAGTATATGCTCTTGAATTCTGATGAATCAGTGTCTTCCATGCGTATATTCCTTACTCTCATGCTAGAAAGTTCTCTGCAACAGTTTGAAATGTGCCTATATATATCTGAGTGTACTTCCATTGAATCAAGTTCAATCTCTTGCAATCCGTGTCGAGACACATTCTGTGGGAATATTGTGCTAAATGTGACCTTTCCAGCTTCCAAATAAAGTTTCTTCATGGCTGGGCAATTTTTCAAAAGAAGGTCCAATTCAACGTAGCCAGACAGTAGCTTGACACGTAAATTAACTAGAACCGGCAACATGCCAAAAGATATCCTTTCTTCACTGGAAGAAAATGAACTCTCGGGAAAAGTAAAGAAAAGAGATTTAAGAGAAGCCGCCCAATTCTTTTGGAATCTCGAAGAAAGTGTACTGACTTGCAGTGATTTAACGTTTTTTCCGTTCAAGGTGTAGTGGAAGTGATCAATAGTCCCAGGAAATTTTGAAAACATATTCAAAAACACAGAATCTGGTACTGACAGCCCCGATGCTTCTTCAAAGTCAATCTTCTTTAGACAGGGAAATATACACGAACGTTCCGAAAGCATTTCAGTAACCTTGACCATATCAACCTTTGGTAATATATAATGGTATTTAATTCTCCATCTGAGAGAATCCATGCTTGGATATTTGACTGAAAAGTAATACAGCCATGTAATATCCACATGACGGATCGCAAACATAGTTTTTGTCAAGTGAATTGCTGGAGAAACGCACTCGATCTGATCCATGATGCTCATTGGTATTGGTTCAAGCTTTATACACATGTCCAAACATGTCAGTCGTGGTAAATACGAGTGGATTTGTTCAAGATCTTGAAACGTGTACAATGATCTGTTGTCCCACCCATCGTCTTCAAATTCCAGTCGCCTGAGGCACGGTAGGTTAGGTATGATGCTCATGATTCGCTTTTTTTCACCCGTTCTTATGTAAGGTATATGTATTCTTAGGTCTGTCAGCGATCTCCAAAGCTCCCATTTCGTTGTGCCTCCAAATTCAGTTCTATTCAAGCCACCACAGGGAATATTGAGGTATCTCAAGTTTGTAAAATGGCGTTGCATAGTGAGAAGTTCCTTTTCTTTTACACAAATTGAATTCCCAAGGAGTATTGTCTGAACAAGATGACCATTATCACGATAGATGCTTTGATTGTTGGGTGATCTGCAAATCTCATTGATCTTGTTTGTAGTCTTAACCTCTAATGTTTTCCACAATGATTCTTGGAATGGTCGACACCACGATTTACAAACTAGTGAACATTGCAATTTGTCAATCTGTAACATAAATCTTGCAATGTTGGCAAGAATTTCACAAGGTAATTGAATGAACATGACGATGACGATTATAATAAAGAAAAGGCAGAATATATGATGATGCCTAACTTTGAGCCTATTATTTTAAAGGATGAAGCATTACGTAGACACTTGTAAACATCAAAGATTTGCCCCTTGAACTCTATACTCTTAAAAAAATAGTTTGGGACGTATTCAAATACAATATACAAATATCTATCTAGACACTGAGATTTTCCCATATGTACCAGCTTAGGTTTACAGAATTGGTTTCTTATTTCAGTGAATATATCTTTATTATCTTTTCTGACTTTTCTTCTTCTTCTTTTACTTTAACATACCTTTCTATTACTATATAATACCTTTTGCTACTGGTGCTATTGCTGCTGCTGTAGTCAGCTATGTGTACTATTATATATAATGCAATCCTACTTTAATTTTTTATGATGATAGGATGGATCAAGGTTACAAATACCATGACTTGTCTTGATTTGCGCTCTTTAAAAAACATGATTCATGCCCGAAAGTGCAGGAGTTAGTATTATTATTTTAAAGAAAAAAGCGTTAGTCAATGGTAAGCACTTTAGTATAGTGTTTCTTCCTTTGGTAAAGAAGTATTGTACCGAAGGAAAAACGGTACATATAGGTACAATTTTGTAACGTAAATTTTATCTACTAATGAAACTCATCAAAAAATTGCCTGGTTAACTTAATTCTGTGTAAAATGGATCAAGAGAATGACCCACCCTTCCGAATAGTGTCTCTCACTACCATATCTAAAACCTCGACTGTATGTAATAAAAGCCTAAATATAAATCACATGTTAGACTCTTTACTGATCCTCTTTAGTTATATGTCTTGATTTTTTCTTCTTCTTCAAAATTGATTTGCTCACTTGAAGAAGAAGAAAAGAAAATCAAGTAAATGTGACTTGCGTACGCAAAGTAGTCACTTTTAACAATTTTTGGTGGCACTTGTCATTAAATGTCAAAGAACCATTGACAATCACGAGATACTTTACACTCACTCTATTGCGATTGGAAGGTGCAATTCTTTTAATTCAGTCTTTGGATAGTATTTTATCTTTTGTGGTTAAATATATATCAATACATTAATATATTAATAAATATATGTATGTATGTCTTCTCTATATTGTGCATAATTTATAGCTACTGTAAATATATTTTCATGGAGATACAGACTATTTATTCAATGTACCATAGAGGAAAGATGAACAGAATATGTCAGGAAAACTATGTGAGACATGATTTGTCCTTATTTCTTTTTTTGGGAGAAATAAATTAGAACTTTTAACGACACTATCAAATGTCAAAGTAAACGTCTTTTTTTTTATTGATCGGCGACAGTACAAAACACTGGTCAAAGTAAATGTCCAGAGTCATAGCCTATGTTATATCCAATGGAATTATCTTGATGGAATTATTGTCCCCAAAAGTAAAAAAAAACCCTGTGAAATATTATCAAATTATCCTTTTGATTCAACCGAAGTTTCTCAAAGTGAAATCATATATTTTTTGTAGTGGGGTATTAGTGCTGGAGAGGAGGCTGCTGGAGAGGAGGCTGTCGAAAATGACGATTGATCAGACATATTGTAATGACTTTAGAGGCTGAGTTGGAAAATGGGCTAGTTGTAGAAACTAGTCGATTTGGGATAGGTTTTTGAGCTTGAGAAAGATGCTTTTTATTGATAGAAGAAACAACGAGTATTTATACTCTTTGGCTAAGATAGAGAGAACACATTCAAACACGTATCGTCAACAGAAACGTAATGGAAACAAGGGGAAAGGGTTGAAACGAGGATTCAGATGCAAGCAATAGGGTAGATACAAACAATAACATTGTTAGAGATTTTGTGATTATACAAGTCTAGGCGCCGCTTTACCCTTGGCCACAACAATATATTTGACCTTATATGGTTTTATAATATTTAAACCATCATTCAGGCAGTCAATAGCACGCTTTTTCAAGTTGTTGTTTGGTAAATCTTCAAGCATTTCTTTGCCTTTTTGGAATTTCGATTGAGTATTATCACACAATCCCAAAAGATCATCAACTGTCGTTTCTTCACGGGTAGCCACATGTTCAAAAACGTGTTTGGATATGCCATACAACTGCTGGATAATTGGATCGTCTCTTTGTTCGTGATCAAGAATGGATACTTTTTGAGCAGTTAAAAGTGCACCTAGAGCAACCAGTGGATGTAAGGGTTTGGTATTCAAATGATTGTGAGTGAAATGATCATTGAGGAATAAACATTTTTTAGCTCATGGATAACTTGGCAGTTTGAGTAAGAATTTTTGTTTGCGGTCCTTTGTGGTTTTACTCATTACGCTATCCCTAATTTTGTTGATTACAAAAACAAGGACCACTGGTTCGGTAGAATATTGTTTGTTCACTTCCTCACAATATTGCACAAGCCGATGCAAAAAATTATCATTCGCGTTGTACTGTACTTCAATCAAATGGGTGGAAAGGAGTTCGTATTATCTGAAGCGTATAAAACATCTGATTTTGTTGCATTTGCTCATTCAGTTGGCTGAGGAAAGTATTCGTCTACTGCATTTAGTCCTAAACCAAAAGAAAGAATCAGAAATCGTTATATGTCATAATGAAGTTTAGGTATAAAACTTACCAATTATTCCTTTGACAATAAAGTTCATGACATCAGTGTTTAGTAAAATATGCTTGCTCATCAGATCAGTCCCTGGCCGATTGACGCGGGGCAAGTAAAAAGAATTAACCGTCATTTGTTGCCATTGTCCAGTGTTGCGATATTGGTTGTAGTGTAGTGAGCCAGATTACTAGTTGAATAAAGGTAGCTTCCTCCAGTTCTCAAAGAATCTGACAATCTTTAGAAATGAGGCAAGGGTAAAGTTTAAACAAGAGTAAAAGGATGTCTTTATTGGAACTGTGTTAGACTTCTTTCAAATACTAAAGTTGGAAGTTGTGTTAATAATTTAAATGAAAACTAGCATTTAGCACCTACGCTACGCTTCGGTTAAATCCGTCGCCCTGACATCTCTGACCCTACCCTATCCTCTTGGAGGTTGGGCTCTCACCGCTGCTTCGCTTTGGTGAGAACCCAACAGCCAAGAGGTCCCTGATGTTACCTATGTAATTTGTAAAAGGTTATAAAGTAAATAAAGTAATATATATTTGATGTGTTATAGCATTGGGCAGTTTTGATCACATGACTTACGGTCGGAGAGTGTTTATTGATACATTTTAATACTACACTTTTTCCGGAAAATATTGGTGCAAAATAAAAAATAATTTGGTGCAAAAATGGAATGCACCAAATGCACCAAATGCACCAAAAAAGATGAATTAAGCCGAGAAATGGTAGAGAATTGCACCAAATTTTATCTTTATTTTTGCACCAATAATTTCCGGAAAGAGTATAGATGTGAATGTAAAGAAAAAGAAAAGGTTTTGGCCGACGGCCGACCAAATCTATCACACACGTGACACCATCACTGTGAAATATATATAACCGTTGTCACCAACAAGAAAAAAAAAAAAGTTATCTACAACAAACCCGATCTTTTTTATTTTCTAGCCAATGAGATAGCGGTATAGCGACAACAATCACCACCTTAATTTTCATTTTATTACGATATCAAAAAATAGTAATAATTAGCAGGGAACGGTCAAAAATTCTCAAAGAAATATTACTAAATCGAGTTTTAACTGTAGCTAAATCTTGATGTAGGACTTGTATGACAAAACCCTTTATATGCATTTATCTATTTTTTCTTTATTATACACAATAATGTTACCAATCCCACCTACCCATTAGTTCACTCTCACTATCTAAACACACAAGTTCTTCTTATATTATGCTATTTTTTTTATGCTTATATCTTGATTTACTAGTATCCTTAGTTGTAGCTCTTTGTATACAAAAGCAACCCCTTTTATATTATTTTTTTGCTTTAAAATTCATAAAAGCAAAGTAGAATTTCCCAAAGAAATGTGACGGATATAAACGTCACGCGCTAAATTCATAATTGTCAAACAGTCTTCCTTGTTTCTTTTTTTCTTTTCTTTCTTGTTTGACCTCATTATTAAATCCTTGCCATGGCCAAGAACAGCACCATGGAAGCAGCTACTGTTGACGCATTAAAGAATGTTACTTTGCAGGATGCTGCACCTGCCCAGGATAAGAAGACCGAAAAGACTGAATCAGGTAGATCAAGGCATCCCTACTCAATCAATCTTGTACTCCCCAGATTCTTTTACTCATCCATACTTTCATTAGAAGACCAGGCTAACGGTACCGAGGAAGCCCAGGAAGATGCAGAAGAATGTGAAGCCGGAGAGCCTGGAACTGAAGGAGGTAAGTCGATATTCTATTATGTGGATCGATATGTATGCTTATATCCAAGAACAGCCAAAAAGAAGAAGAAGAAGAACAAGAAGAAGAAGAAGTCTGGACCAAAGGCACAAACTGAGCCACCTACTGTTCCTGTATCTAAGCTTTTCCGTGAAAAGTACCCTGTAGGTGAATGCCATGATTACAGAGATGAGTAAGTTTAAGGCCATCCGGATGCGAAACAAAAGAAAATGAATGGATCGATTGAATTATATATCTGTCTGTCTTGATATTTTACAGCAATCTCTGGAGAACAACAAGTGAAGAGATGCGTGCGGCAGAAAGAATCAAGGAGGATGAATACGATCAATTGAGAAGAGCTGCCGAGGTTCATCGCCAGGTAAGAGAATATATGAGTAGTAAAAGGGAAAATGGGTATTTTTCCCAAGCACAGATATTTTTACTTTATTTTATTTATGCTACTACTATGTATATTCACATTTACACCCCACACACATATAGGTCCGTGCATATGCCCAAAAGGCCATTAAGCCTGGAATGACTATGATTGAGATTTGTGAATTGATCGAGAATGGTACTCGTGCATTGGTAGAGGAAGATGGATTGGAATCCGGTATTGGTTTCCCTACCGGATGTTCCTTGAATCACTGTGCTGCCCATTACACACCTAATGCAGGCGATAAAACTGTTTTGTCTTATGATGATGTTATGAAGATCGATTTCGGTGTCCATGTAAAGGGTGAGAAACTTTAAATACTGTTGGATACCTTATGTAGATGTGAAAGCTTACTCAAGCCAAAAAAAACTCCCAATTACGTTATGCGCTGATAGGACGTATTATTGATTCGGCTTTCACAATGGCTTTCAACCCCAAGTTTGATCCTCTTATTGAAGCTGCCAGGGAAGCTACTTATGCCGGTATTGCTGCAGCTGGTATTGATGTACGCCTTTGCGATATTGGTGCCGCTGTACATGAAGTCTATGACTCATACGAAATTGAGTTGGATGGCAAGAACTATGACATCAAGCCAATCCGTAATCTCAATGGCCACACAATTGAGCCCTATCGTATTCACGCAGGAAAATCTGTGCCTATTGTCAGAGGCTCATCTGACGAGACAAAGTTGGAGGTAAAAAAAGAAAAGAAGATGAATAAAAAAGAGTATTCTCTGTATTAATATTCAAATTTCTATTTAAAATAATAGGAAGGTGAACAATTGGCTATTGAGACTTTCTGCTCAGTAAGTATATATTGGTATATTTGTTCACAATACACCGAATTAATATAATATCTATGATAGACTGGTCGTGGATACGTTGTTGAAGATGGAGAATGTTCTCATTACGCTCGCTCTACCGAGTCACCTTTTGTCCCTCTGAGGTATGTTATCCTGGCACAATAAGCAATTTTCTCATTGTGGATCTTTTAATTGATGCTTTTGTTTTTGTTCTGTAAAAAATAATAATACACGTACACACATAAAAGACTTCCCAAGGCAAAGTCATTGCTGGCAAACATCAACAAGCATTTTGGTACATTACCATTCTGCAGACGTTACTTGGATCGCACTGGTGAAGAGAAGTATTTAATGGGATTGAGACATCTGGTTGACGCCGGTGTCGTCACGGCTTATCCTCCCCTTTGTGATACCAAGGGAAGTTACACAGCTCAGCTAGAACACACCATCCTTCTTAGACCAACCTGTAAAGAGGTAGGTTTTGTTTTTTCTAAAAGCTGCATCAAAATAGTGTGCAAAGTCTGATTAACTGTCATTGATTTAGATTCTGTCCAAGGGTGATGACTATTAACGAAAAGAATTTCTCATTTTATATTAAAACATATATCAAACAATCTGGCAGTCTTTTACCTTTTTGTTTGTTTGAAGAAGTTTTTTTGAAAAATGTCTCTATCAATCCATATAGAATAGGGTGTGTGCTTGTAGCTTATAATATATTTAGGTATTTAGGAAGCATTTTGACAAAAGAAACTATAGCTTCGAACTGGATCTTGGAAGTTCTAGGCCAAAGATACATGTCTTTTTTTTGGTATTAATGTAAAATTATTCGAAAAATTCGAGTTATTTATAATTATATTCTAGTAACATGATCTGGATATGGAATTGATATGCTTATATGACATACTACATACAGAATATTGATGGAACAAATATGAATTTTGCTTTTGTAACCAGGGGGTGTTTCTTTTTCGTTGTAGACAATGTATGATGTGTAGCGATTGTTTATGTGGTCTAAAGTCGAGAATCTACATTAAATTTGGTGTGAAGGGCACTGTAGCACATTTTTTGTTGATCGTCATAAACCCGAACTACAACACTGCCTAACTTATTCCCTAAGCGTAAGAGATCGCATTCAACTCGAGCCGTTATACCCTTGGGGATACTAGAGAGGTAAGAGACGGAGAGGTCGGTTGATACACCAATGCTACGCCATTGCAATTCGCCTAAATATAATGTATTTTAATATCGAACAAAATCAAAAGTCAGAGAAACACAAAACCAAAATAAGGAAAATACCTTCATGAACAAGGACAGCAAAGCTGCTCGCTATATCAATCACAGTCGCAGCACATCCACCATGAACTCTATCGAATCTACAGAAATAAAGATGAATTTATTATTCCTTTCATATACGTCTGGATAGTTTACATGTGGCAATGGCGCTGCTCTACATAGAACTCCCAGATAAGCTGGTTGGGTTTTGCGTCAACGATCGTCATGTTCGAGACTACTGAATTTTCCCAGTAGTGTGTTTTCTCCACTCGGTCATTGTAAAGATCAACACATTGTTTGAGGGAGGGATATTTTTCTGCAATAACGGGATTAATCTTCATTTATTCAAAATTCTAGTAATAAGTAGTAGAATAGTATAAGTATGTAGTAAAGCTGAAAAAAGTGGAGTTGAAGAAAGGGATTGGGGTAATTAAAGGAGGACACGGACATTAAGAATAAATATTTTTGGTCCTACACTCCACAAACCAACTTGTCAGCTTAATTCACCCTCTTTCTCCGCGAACAGAACACAAACTCGAATGCAAGTATTCAGCATAGCCTATCCCTGCGATGTCCATTCATTATGTCGCTTTGTAAAAATAAATAAATTAATACACGGTTATCCCTATAGTGTGTTGCATACGATATCTGCTGAAAGAAGTATATATTTTTTAACCGGGAGATCCAATATTGTCTTTTTAAGTACATTCAAACTAATCCTTTATTCAGAGTGCGCCTCTTGTTTTTCCTTTTTGCTTTTATTTTCAGACACTCAAAACTCTCATTTTCGATTTCCAAGATATGTTGGTAGCACACACACAGTATTCTTTCACCCAATTTTTCTATAAAATAATCATAAGCTGAATCTCTTTTTCAATGATCAAATCATACAAGTTTAAATGAATATTTAGCGCTTGGCATACAATATAGCCCTTTAAACCTCATGTAACAGCCAGTGCCTATTTATTTTATAATAGTAATAAAATATAGAATATACTTTGTGTTTAAAATACTTTAGGTACAACTTTTTTGAAACAAGTTACTTTATGAACAGCGATTATTTGAACATAGCGCTTCCTTTGTCGGGAAAGCTTTTTCTCTAGAACACTGCGTTGTTTTAACATTCTCTTTTATATTTTACCGTATTCGTGTAAAGTGGGGTTTGTCCTGGATCACACCAGCAACATTGAGTACCTTAAGAAAATAAGTCAATTCTCATGAGTGTAGTATATGTCAAGAATCAGTTGTTAAACATAAAAGCAGTGTTCCAGTGAAACATCATGTCTGAAAGACAGCGACATGTTCGAGCCATGGGCGAAATTGACGAGCAATTTTTAATATTACAAGCTGTTAGAAAATGTTTTAATTCTTTCTTATTTAGTAGAAACAAATTGTTACAGCATGTTCCACTACGATTAAGCACGACAACGTCATCTGTCTTCTAATGATCTTCTACTGTGGAAGGTTTATTCTGATAAAGAGACTTTATTGTTATATAATAAACTCTTAAAGAATATGTAAATATATATTTATTATTTTGTTCTATTTAATACACAATGCGTTTGGTGGTGTAGCGACACCGCCAAACTTATTAAGAGGAGCACTAGTGAAGAAATACTCATATACACCATCTTTTGCCGAGTCTTCTGCCAAAGCTTCTAAAAAGAAAAGCTCTCCAATTGGCATACCCCATCCACCTAAAAACATTGAATCTAGAAAACAATAGAAGATTAATGAGTTATAACTTTAATATCTTGTTGGCTTTAGATATTTTTATGCTTACGGCAAGAGTTCGGTGGATCAAATGGCATAGCCTCCAAGGCAACATTATCAGATGCCAATGCAGCAAAGTGGTTGTTCCACACCCAGCTAAATGTTTCTTCGCAAGCCTTAATACCAGCACACTGTGGAAGTTCTTCAGAACTGGTAGCATTTAAAGAAATATCGACCTTAGCTTCCACCATGTTCTCGTAAGCTTTGGTCCATCCTGTACGGATCAGTACGATATCTCCGTGCTCAAGCTTTACATTTTGAGATTTTGCAACAGCTTCTAGCTGTTGAACAGTAATTTCATATCGTTTAAATGGGTCAAACTCGGGAGCATTTTTGACAGCCCAACGGCCAAAATCCAACAAGACGGCGCGGCCAGCAATACCGCGGCGAGCCATATGATGGATACCTAGCCGACCTTCTGTGGATTTTGTTATATCTGATGGAGAAGTATTATTGTAAAAGGTTTTGCTGGATACATGGCAAACGTGACGAAGACCATCCCACTGAGACGAAGCCTGGGTATTAAAGTTATCATAGACATCATCGAATGCGAGGTTTTCAAAAATTGGTTTGACATTATGCTTAGGGGCGAATCGATCAATCATGCCAGAGTTAGGACATTCAAGCTTCCAATTGAGGGGGAAAACTTCTCCCCGTCGAACTAACCTTGCTGCCTACACAATAAGTATATGTGAATTTAAATGGCTTACAGCAAAAATGTTTGGTATTGCATACCTTTTCAACTTTGTCTTTTGTCAGCAAGTTCAATGTTCCCAGATTGTCTTCTTTCCCCCAAACACCCCACGCAGAATGTTCGGGTGCACTGGGGTCAACAGGTAACTGGTCATATGATGGGAGGGAGCCTTTACAGCAAGACATGGAATTTGGAAAAGTTTAAAATATAAGAAACTTGAACAAATTAAAAGGCGTATTTATACTAATTAATCGGCTTTTAGATGAAGAATATAAGGTTAGTATATTAAAGAGTACGCAGTATTAGCATTAACGGAATATCTCTCATCTTTCGGGCTAATATAAGATATATATTAGTCTGAGTTTTCTTACAAGATGTTCCTGTACATCATTGTATTTCTGATATAAATAATAAGTTGGTGCGGAGAGGTTTTAGTTGAGTTTGTGCTGTCTAGTAGAAATACATTGGCTCCTGCACTTGTCGGAAGACCATTAAAGACGTATTAAAGTTTAAATTATATAAACGTTTTTCTCATTAATTATTCAGATATTCTTGGAATACTTTTATATCAAATATACATATCTGTGCTACGTTAGTGTTTAAAGGACTTGTGAATATGTAGATGAAGTCGGAAAAGGCGACAATTTATCTCAACAATCCAAAGCAAAAAAAAAAGTTGGTACTTCCGTCTATGGCCTTGTTCGAGGAAGTAAATATGTCAGCTATTATTCGGGCCCGACGCTTTTTCTCTCGGGCCCGACATTTCTTACACAACCACGTTTGGGACACGACGTTATGCCTCTCGGGCACGACGTTTACAAATTGTATATTTTGTATATACTGCATATAAAAAAAAACTTTTGACAGTTGCTACTTAAGTATGGCTAGAAACTCCAGTATATTAAATAAAGAACTATTCTGTTCATAAATTAAACTATTTATTTTAATAAATTAATTTTACTCATACAAACTACTTTGGATGGTTAAGGATATTGCGGATGATATCAAATTTTATTACAAAAACAATAAAACCACCTAAAATGGTGTGAGCCGAAGTTCAATAAAAAGCTGGCAAAGCTTACCAAAGACTTAATTGGTGGTTTGAAAATAAAATAAAACAGAAAGTAGAGAAATCAACAAAGAAGATAAGAGTGCTGGTTGTGCGAATTTATAGAAACCGAGCAAAGTAAAAGTGAGGTTCATTTTCCCAAAGCACGTGATATGAGAAAAGTGAAAAAAAGATGAAATTGGAACAGGGACCAGATAAAATTGCTGGATCCCGGACAACAAATCACTTTTTATGACAGTAAATGGTAAAGGTCGGAGATTCGATAAACGTAGTGCTCCAGAGAAACGTCGTGACCAAGAGGAAAAGTGTCTGGCCCGAATAATTAGTAAAGAAAAACTGCTTTTGACTTATGAGAATATATGCTGATGCTTGCAACCTAAAGTTAATCTTTGCCATAATGGGGTATAAAAATGATTTCATAAAACTAAGACAATCTTATATAAACGAACGAATGGAAAGGACCATATTTTGTTTTAGTTTGTTTATTTCTAGAAGCACTTATTCCTGGGTAATGTTTGACTGTCGAGTGAAAAGATATATCATTGGCATAGATTTTGATTATATAATTGTAAGGCTTGTCAATATAAAGCAGATTACTAATAATATGAGGAAGGCCGAATGATATATTACTGTATCATTAGTAATATTATTTGAGAGGGTTTAGGAATATTACTTTTTATTAGATGATAGTCTAAAGCATTTGCAGTACAAGTGGTATTGGTATACTGTCTCGAGTGAGACTATTTATACTTATATTATTCTGCTTGTGATTTGGTCCTCAATTACATGCAATACAAAAATGGCTATATCTTATTTTGCTTCTTTTATATAATGTGCGCTATTGAATATGCCCAAATAGACAGAAAAAAAAGCTTACAATTAAACAAAGAACTCTTTTCATGTAATCGTAACAGCTTTGATACGATAAGTCAAAGTCAGAGAGAGAAAATGGTTATATTGTACATTTCGGCCTAGTAATAGATATTTTAATATCAATAGTTAATTTACATATAAAGTAGTAAGATTGGCAGATACCAATAACTCGGAACCCAATAAATCAAAATCTCCACAGAGAATAATTAAGGTGACGTGAATCAATTGATACAGGAGACAGGTTTGCCTTTGATTTTCGATTCTCGATAAGGGGGAATCATGGATTATGGATCATGGATCATTGATTACTATCTTTGGCTGTGGTTTTGTGGATCAGGATTTCTGGCTGTGTTTTCCGATAGATGACAAACATCAGATACGATGGCCCCTTGTCTTTGTTCTAAAAATGGCAATAAAGTGAAGAAGAAGCATGTAAATCTCCACTGATACCTAGAGAGCACGGGCCTTTTGAAATAGTATATAAAGGTTTGACATTTTTGCACTTCTTTCCTTTTTATTACATATTCTCTCAACCACATCTTACCTACCAAGTCTTTCTTTACCTTTACACCTCACAACCCGCACTCTACAATGCAGATCCTCTCTATCCAAAAGCGTATCATCTCAAAGTGCCAGCGCCGCCAATCCTCAACTACCAACACAGCTAGCCGTGTCTCCACATTCACATCATCAATGGGACAATGTATCAAAGGCCTCGCTTCAGTCAAGAAAGCTTTTAGCTGTAACAAAGTCCAAAACACAGTCGCACCTTCTTTGATCTCATCTTCATCGACGATCTCTAATGACTCCTATCTTTCTGACCTTTCTGATGACGAGCACTTTTCAAAATATTGCCCAGTATCCGAAAAATCTATGGCCCTGGATTCACTTATCTTTGATCATCCTTCAGTCACAGTCCGCATTAGTCCAGCTGCCTATCGCTCATCTTAAATCGATTTTGATTTCAACACCCTGTATATACACACTGTAAAACACAAAAAAAAGTGTATAATAGTCAAGTTCATCAAACAAAAACATTTCATTTTCCTTGTACATAAATCCTTATAGAAAAAGACTATCACAAAATATCAAACTCTCTAGAGAAAAACTCTTAAAATAAAATATAATAAAAAGAGAGCCACAAACAATTTTGCAGTGGTTCTTTTTGTTTCAAATACCAATAAATACATTTATCTTATTGAATACCTTTTAAAACATGTATATTTTTCTCAATTGTTTGCATCAGTCTGTATAGCTGACCATTGAATTTATGTAAGCTTTACAAATCTAAAGCTATTTTATATAAATTACCCTTATTTTTTATAATATGAAATGTATGTGTATGTCCATTTAACTCCCTCTCCTTTGACTCCTTGGTTCTGGTAATAATTCTGTAAAAATAAGTCGAGAGTATGATTTGAATATATATATAATACAAATTTATAAAAAGCTTGTAGACACTCTCTTCATTAGTAGTCTCTTTCTCTATCAATACAAAGATCAACCTTTGCTTGTAAATTTGAATAAAATAATGCCTTTTCTTTAAAAGGAAAAGAACAGAAATAACAGAAAGCACAAGATACCAAGCCATACTCAAGCTCATAGTTTTATGTTCTCGTATATCATTAATTGAATCAATATAAGCATATATATGCTTCTCTCTTTTTAATAGTTTTGTGCCCTTTACTGACTTATTTATTTAATTATTTTATATAAAGTCATATAAGGCCACTCAATAATGGTCAACATTTTATTGGTGTTTGACAAAAAAAATTATGTGAAAAACATTTAATTTCTACTTCTAAACTCAAATCAAATTAAAAAAATTAAAAGAACCCTAGATTTATGTTGACCTCTTGACGCAATTACTTATACTGAAATGTCCATTTGTTCTACCAAATTAATTAAACACTTTTGACCACCAAAATTGCTTCCGGGATTTGTGAGCTGTCCTTACTATCAGGAATTTAATAAACATCGTATCATGGTGTAAATATCGAAATTGATATTTTTTCATCTCTCGATATCTCCACGAATATTGGTCTGTTTCTAGTCAAATAAGCACTGAGCATTAGCAATTACTTTGTTTACCAACTTTACTTAATAAATAAAAAGCATATTTTTGATTTGTTTTCGATGTATGTCTTGGGTAACTTTTGGAGCGAACATGCTTACATGGTGTAAATATCGAAATTGTCATTTTTTATCTATTGATATCTCCACGAATATTGATCTGTTTTTGGTCAGATAAGCATTGGATAACATGGATTAATTTGATCAACAACTTTGCTTAGTAGCACAAAGCATAAATGCTCGATTTTTTTTTCAAGTGCATACCCTGAGGGAACTTTTGGATCAAACAAGCTTACATGGTGTAAATATCCAAAATCTTATTAGTAAAATGGCTTTTAGATAGAGAAAATGGAATATTTTGCTCCATATTTAAGCAATCAATGTCAAACAACATCTAAATGATGGATCCTAATGTACTCCACCAGGTTGCTTATATGTATAAATTAGCTTGACTTAACCAATATAGATTTATAGCTAAATTTCAAGATTTGATTTGCCACTTTGATCAAAATGGCCTTTTTTATATTACACTTTTTCATTTCACCGGTAAATTCAATAGTATTCAATATACATTTATATCATATAAGCCAACATAACCAACCTTTGAACAATCCGGACACTATTATAACCTTCAATTGACACACAAAATACGATCTCGAAGCTCATAAAAAACAGATCCGTTTATTCTGACCATCGCATACACAAACTCTTTTTGTACTTAAAATGTTTTTAAATAATTATACTTTGAGGATCTGTGAATGCTATTACTACAATATCTGATCTATTCAGTGTGTATATGTGCTCTCTTGTATCTTTGTGCGTTGAAGGTCTACAAGCTATATATATACGGTAATACAGTGAGGGGCAAAAAGAATCGCCTTTTTTTAAGATCCCGATTGTTCTCCAAAATATATCTATTTTTCATGCTTAAAGAAAAGAAGCAAATACAGCACTTACAGCTCCCAAACTACTTCAGATTAAAGTTGAAAGCACTTGTTCTTATTATTTTATAGAAGAATCTTTATTTTAGTACTTGGTATTATGACCATTTGCATCTATTACAGCTTGACATCTTCTGTTCATGCTCCGGACCAAACTCTGCAAATACTTCTGGGGGATTAACTTCCATTCCCTTATTACGGCATGTCTCAAATGGTAAATGCTATACAGGTTGTATCTGTTCATACGCACTCTACGCCTGAGATATGCCCAGAGATGCTCGATTGGATTCAAGTCTGGACTTTGAGGTGGCCAGCTGCCCAAAAGTTTCACCTTGTTTTTTTTCTTCCATTCTTTTGTCAGCGCACTCACATGGCAGCTAGCGTTATCCTCTTGCAGTCGAAATCTTCTCCAGCTATCTTTCTCTTTGAATGCCTTTAAAGAAGGGAGGTAGGCTCTTTCCAAGGTTGCAACATACTTCTTGGAATCGATATTTCCAGGCACAACGTCTAAAACTCCGACAGCCTTTCCATAGAAGCACCCCCAGACCATAATGGAGCCACCTCCAAACTTCACAGTTGGCGAGACAAAGTTGGGCTTAAAGCCCTTGCCGTTTGGCCTGAGAACGCACCGGCGCCCATCACTTCCGTGGAGCTGGATCTTTGACTCATCAGACTAGATGACGGAATTCCAATCTGTCGTTTTCCAGTGCAGATGTTCCTTAGCCCATTGCAATCGCTTTTTACGATTGATTTCCGAAATCTTTGGTTTCGGAATCATCTTTCGAGAGTATATTCCAGTCTTGCGAAGAAACTTTCTCAAAGTCTTTACAGAAACTGGTGTGGGCAAGGTTCTAGCAATGGTACTCATTGGCTGTGTTGGATCACGGCTAATCTGAAGCATAATTCCTCTTTTGTCTCTCTCATTTAACTTTAAAGGTCTACCAGATCGTGGTGCAGCCATATGCGAGCCAGTTTTTTTGTAGCTCTGAAGAACACGCTTCACCACGTCTTTGCTTACGCCTACTTTTTTGGCAATGTCAACCTGACTAGTGCCATTCTTAACATTCTCATGGACAATGATTGCACGAGTTGTATTATCCGTGTTTTTATGTCCATTGGTGGAAATCTTAGTAATCTTTTTTGTGCATTCGGTTTGATTGTTCATTTCATAAAATGTTAATTTGAGAAAAAGAGAAAGACTATTACGTTTGCTGATTTCGGCATTTTAAAAAAAAGGCGATTCTTTTTGCCCCTCACTGTATAAACCAAAGTACCTTCCTGCAAAATATAACAAGCCCCGACTTGAAAATAGCTTGGAGAGATCGAGGCTCGAAAAAAGAAAATAACTATCAAGCGTGTAAAGCAGGTATCTTGACACAGTAACTTCCTTCTAAAAGTCTTTACTAAATCCTATAAAATAAAGTCACTCTTCTTTAAAAACATTTGCTCTTGTGTTTTAATGTGTCTTGTATTGTTCATTATTAAAAAGTATACACGCTTTTTGGTATCATATAAAGTTTTAGATATTACTCTTGTAACAGTCAAAACTCTATTATCTTTCTAAGAAAATCAACCAGACATCGACTGTAAGTATATTTAACAAGTACTTTCAAGAGTCTAACAGTTTTTAAACGCGTGTGCCTTCTGTTTTTTACCCTAAAAACTCTTGCTTTCTATCATGAGTGGCTGTTAAAAGGATGCGCGAATCAACATCGGGCGTCAAGTTGAATGAGAAAAATAGAAAATTGATCTTTAATGCGCAATGTTCTGACAAACTCATTTCTGCAAGAACATGATGAGAGTTATATATAAGCTAATGAGCTATTCGCATGAGCAGAATTGTAGGTTCTGATGGTAAATAAGGTTTCGCATCGTTGTCGCTCGTCTTTTTCTGTTTTTTGCGTCCTTTTTTGTTTACTTTTTGCCTTTTTTTTTCATGGTCTTTAGCTCTAGTAGTCACATGCATATGAAAATAGTCACGAATTTTTTCCTTTAGTTTTTTTTAAAGGGGTACACGTCAGCGATGAAAGGATTCAAGAGATGTGTAAAATAGATGGAAGACTCCATTTACTTTGGTCCTCTTCACTGAAAAGGAACTCATGAAACTCAACTCCGTTAAAGTAGTTGAATTGACGATTGACGTTCTTTCAAAAAAAAAAAAAGAGTTGTGTGGGTTAGGTATCACCACACTCGTCTGTAATATTATTATTTTTTGGAATGGGCTTGAGTCTGACCAAAAAGTACAATATGACTGTACTGAGGTTCTAACAGTATTTTATAAAGTTAGAAAGCTCAAGAAAAAAAAGAGAGGTTTGTAACGATTCTTGAAAGAAAGAAATAAAGGTGTAGCGGCTTCTATTAGAGAAAAAGAATCTAACAATTTTAAACAGAGCAAAAAAACAGCAGGCCTTTCAAAATATAAGTTGTACGAGCTTTGTTTGCTCAACAAGAGTTTTCTGTTCAGATGAATAATCAATGGGTTTAGGTTTGTGTTTATCTTTTAAATCAGATGAAGTCTATGTAATAAGCTCATATAAGTACATTTTATATTCTGTTAGCATCAGTGATTTAAAATGTCAACTCTTTGCTAATAGAATGGCTGACTTAAATGTATTGTTATATAAGAAATATAGATATTGAAATAAAAAGGTTTAAAAGATAAGATTTGCTCAATATAGCTGCGAGTAATATATGGTGCAGATTTGTATAAGCTTTAAAAGATATTTTCTTTATGTTGTCTATTATTTTTGTACTGTTACATGCGCATTTAATACATTTGTAGCTTTTGACAATGTAACGTATTTATCTAATAAAGAAAACCTTAGCTGTTTACATAAATATTTGGTTCCCTAATTTAACTTCTCCATTTGCTAATGATCGGTTGTCATTGAAGAATTGTTAAGGGCACGAGTACCTGATGTACATGTTACATTACTGAGATATGACCCTGGCAGGTTTATTAGCAACTATATGATCTGTTCTGGACCATTATCTCTAGATTTTACTCGATTATGGCATGTAAAACACAGAGATTAGTCAAATCAATGCACTTAAAATTTCCCTGTTGCGTATAGTTGATGTTGGCAATAATAAAATAACTTCACTTTTCTGCCAATATCTGAACGATACATTCTGGGAAGAGTTAGACAGTCTCAATATTATCATGTTCACAGGAATGCTACTTACTTCAAAAAATCTATACAAAGAAATGCTTGTCAAAGGCACTAACAACGGAAAGCTCGACAAAAACAGGTACGAGCTTCTGCTGTCAAAGAAAAAGCTATAATTGCGGGGATCAAATCATACGGACTCTTTGCAAATATCGGGTATTATTGATATGCTGGCTAAACACTGTTTGTCTGACCCATCCATTTGCCCTAATAATATAGAGGGTGGGCTGACAATTTATTGGAATTTTTTTAAGATACTCGATGAAATTCTGGACGATACTATACTGGACATGTTAGGTTGAGAAATCACTTGCAAAGCATCCAAGTCTATTGCAAAAATCCAGGAGAAAATATATAGCTCTACTATTCCTCTCAATAGTGGATTTGGTCAACGTATTGATTTAATATTTACAACAAAGAATATAAAGCTGTCTACTAGCGAATGGAAGCGTAACAAAACTCCTTTAATCAAGTGCTTGCAATAGCAGGCCAAAAATATTAGAATAAATAAAGCTATTTTGACCTACCTATTGGACCTTCCTTTCAATGAAGCTTGCGGTGATTGTGTATTTACGGCTGGGATAGACTTGACAGGACCTATGAGGTATATTCTTGCCATAAAACAACTAAAAGATATATATGTAGCCAAGCCAGTTTCTACTTTATTTATATCCACCTATCTTGATAAGCTGGAGCTTTTTGAAAAAACAGTGGATTGTCTGTATGCGTGGCAAAACCATTGTTTGAGAATGAAGAAGTTTATATTACCAGCACTTCGTAAATGCAGAAAAGAAGTGCACTTTTCTTCATTTTTTGGGACATATGCACCTGAAGATTCCAACAGCTCGCCAAATACATGTTGGACACCATCTTAACGTCGCCGCAGTCAGGTCCCTATAACAACTGATTTTGATTTTGAAGATTCCGATAATGATGATCAATAAACAAAAATTGCATTCGTCTCAATGAAATATACGACACCGCTTTATCTATTGATCTTTTAAACAAAAAAACTGCTACTTCTCACTGCTTTTTTAAAGAGTAACATTTTAATCTTTTTCCTTGCGACACCGTTTTGAAAAAAAAAAGATGCATATAGAGAAGCTTCCACAAGCGTAGAGTCAAATTGTTTCATAGTAGTGCCACATTTTTTTTTGAAATAAAGTATAGAAATATTTGTCATGTTCATTAACAAGTTCCGTTTCCCCAGATAAATAGCTGATATATACTATAACGCCTAATAAATTGTGTATAAAAAAACGATGCAAATACAAAAGGAAACAATAGTTCTTGTTTATTTTCAAAATACATGTGATAGATCCTTTAAAATAAATGCAAAAGAATGGTTTTCTTATGACCTTGGAAGGGGTATTTTCTACTGCTTGCATTGAGGGACAAGGCCAGAATTGACAAAGTTAATACAAATGTTCTTCTTAGTCTTGGAGTTCTTGGTGATGTTGATGTTGTCTACTGTAACATTCTTGCAAGGAGTCTTTGTGGAGCAATTAATTTCAAGGATAGGATGCTCCTTGGCAGAGACAGTACTACAGATGGTAACAGAAAAGTAAGATATCTATACCGTTAAAGGTACTTGTTCAATCTATAAAAAACTTACCCATAAATGTTATTGATCTTGACACCATCAATACTCAAGGAAGAAGAATCATCTTTGTTACAGCTAGAGATCTTGTTATTGTCACAGTAGTGGGTGGTAATAAGGATAGGGTGTTCAACATTCTGGAGGTTGATGTTGTCAAAGGTAATATCCTTTACGTTTCCCTTTCCTCCGGGCCAGGTCTTAATTCTAATAGAAGTTCTTTATTAGCCTTATTCCATTGTATCTTGAACACTCAAAGACAATTACCTGACACCATTTGAGCAGTTAGTGCATCTGTTGTTGGTAAACTTCAATCCAGTCACCGACTCGGTCTTTCCATCTTTTCCAAGAGAACCGACGCTGAAGCCATGACTACCAGTGCACGAAAGTCCGGTAACCAGTAGGTTTGTGACTCCACCGTTTACAGCAACGCAGTCATCACCATTAACAATGTTGGAGTTGCGGATGATTATATCACTTGCACCCGAAACATCAAATGCATCGGTATTTTTTGCGGGTTTATTGGAGTTCTTCGACACAGTGTTGAGAGTCAAGTTCTCAATGGTCAGATTCTTGCTACCATTGACGCTGAAATGAGCACGAGGAGCCTGCTTGACGTGGAAGCCACCAAAGTAAGAGTTGGTAGCCTTAATCTTGAACAAAGTAGGGGCATTATTGTTGGCAGCATCATACCAGCCTTGACCATTACCGTTGATAGTACCGCTTCCGGAAAAGTTAATGCTGTCACCGGCAATGTACAAGAATGCCTTTTCGTTGACGAGGGAGGTCTTGAATACTGGCATATTAATAATACTATCAAATTTAACGGTAACCTGCTTGAGGTTCTCAATAGAAATGACTCCCTTCAAGTTGTATGTCTGACCAGCAGGGAATACAACAGTTCCACCATTGTTACAGTCCTTGAAAGCTTGTTGGATAGGAGCAACCTCGTTATTCTTGCCAGAATGTTCAACAACACACGTACGACCGGCTTCAACAGCAGTAGATAAGAGGAACAAAGAAACAACTGCGCCGATTCCAAAGATTTGCATAATAAAGAGTCGAAGTTTAAAGGAAAGGGAGGGGAATGAATATGCTATAAGAGTAAAAGTTATCTTTCGTACTGTCTTATATATATATCTTAGTTCTCCCCCAAAAGCATGATTTCTGCGTTTATTAATATTAGATTATAAAATACATTGTTTATTAAGCTGTGTATTGAAAATTACTCTTACTCTTGAAGGTTTCTTCTGTGTATTTAGAATATTCTGAAAGAATTATTATTAATATTATTGGTATTGGTAAAAAAAAAAGATACACAAATAAAATATAGATTATTGCATTATATTGTATTATATTACATTACATTACATTACATTATGTGTCTATTTAATAACATAAAAGGAAATTAGAACGTCAAACCTGACAACGTTTCTTAACAAGCACATCAATTTTACTTGGAAGAGCACTTCGAATTATACTGTAGCACATGCAATGTGTTTCTTATATATCCGAATGAAGGTTTACATTTAAGGAGATTTTTTTTAAGAAAATTTCCGAGAGGAGCCCATTTTTCCACTTCGCAATTTACAGGTCTATTTCTAATTCATTTTAAGATATTGATTAAATACAAGTGAGAATAAGTACATCATGCGAAATAATGTCTATAGAAAAGTGACTGTACACACTATCTCTATAGTTTAATAAATAAGATTTGATAAGTAATTTTCAAAGGAATGAGGAAATCATGTATATCGATTGATATACAGTCTTATAATGTACTTAAGCAACACTAATAGTGCGTACAGCTTAAAAATAAACGAATATACTTCTACATAGCTGTAATGCTAAAGCCATGCTGGCAAATGGTAACTGTAAGAAACAATTGTATGTGAAATAACCATTTATAATAAGCACTCCCGGTATTCGGATATAAATTGCAATACGGGTATTGTCTTCCTCGGATGTAAAGGCAAATGAATATTTAATGAGTATATATTTATCTTTTAGTCTTGAAACAAAGATTCATGTATTACTCCTCTTCGTTTCCTAGTAATTGATGAGTGTAACGAAAGATGATATTAAATAAATGTATTTTGAATATAATAAATTAATCACTACATATACACACAGAACATTTTTATTATCTTTCAAAAAAAACGTGCCTAAAGCAGAGCCTCTACAACAGACAGTATAAGTATCGATATTAATTTATTGTATTTGGTCAATGAGTGACAAAAACTTGTATTCCAAAATAATCTTATTATATTTTACCAAAAATGGCGTTAGAAAGTCGAATGATATAACATTTCCTGAATCTCCCATAGACATAACATATACACCCCTACACTATGATAAAAAAACAGCAATTTTAATAAGAGATTTGACCAAAGTCTTTTCTGGGGGTTTAAGAGTGGGCTTAGAGTATTTTTTTAGCAACAGTGCCTTTTATCATTTTGTTATCTTTAATTTACCAAAAAGGCATATTGTAAATACCTGGTAAAAACGATGTTGAAGAAAGTATATTTTTGTTAGTGGTGCTCTTCAGGAAATATTCTGTCGTTTGGCACTTATCAATTTTGGTTTCACAGGGCGATTCTCCGGAATGTTTTCTTTTGGTACCAAGGTCCTTTCTACTTGATCAAAACGGGTAAACCTGTCTGGAACTGTGTAATCACATTTCAATTAATGAAGTATGTGCGGGAAGGTGAACACGACAACAATATATCGACTCCACAAACAATGTTCAAACTTTGAAAACCCCAATTTCTCCAAACAGCTTGGATTAGCACACTTAGACTATATTATAAGAATAATAATAGATAAATGAAGACTGATTGCACTATAACAGAGTGTTATAATAAGTTACACTTTTCTACAATAAATTTATATACTACAAAAAAGAAATGCTTGTAAAATGTCAAAATATTAAAGCTTGAACCTCAATATAAAGTCTTTGGATTTCCAAACAGAATTACTACAATGTCCACCATGTACGCCACTGAATACGTATTTAATGAGTATTTAATATATATTTATTTTAATATGTCTAATATTTCTTCTCGAAATTTGACTTTTAACAACTTCGTTTATGGATGTGGACCAATAATTAACTTACCAGTAAAAATTCGAGCCTTAAAGTGAATGCATATGTTTTGACCATATTTCTTACGTACAATATCATATATCTAAAGTTTTCTCATAAATGTAAATGCTTTTTGCCTACTTTTCTTGATATCACTAAAGATAAACTTTTGTTTTACTACATAAGCAATATTTGCTGATGAATATTTTGGTAATAGCTTAGTAGGTGCATATCCTGGCTGTAGTGAGTTTTCATGAATTTTATTGGATACGTTAGAATATATTCTACACTTTCATCAATTACGATATCTATCACCGCATTTATTTGACACTTGCAATTTCCGAAAGAAAATTTTAAATTGAACTCAAATCTTAAATTAGTTTACGTCTGTGTAGCACTATGCCGTCCCATTGACTGCCTGCTCTGTGACAGGTTCTCCCTGGTATTGGGGCTCACACTGTATTATTGAGTAGCCTAAGCGTTATTAAAAACCGACTTCAATTTTTTTGGAATTATGTTTCTCATCCAAAGGAATACATAACTTTACAGTGATATCTATAAGACACTAATGTTAATTAATAATCACCCCTAAAGTATCATCCGTAGTATTGAAACAAGAAATAACAATAACAATCTTTAGTAAAGTTATTTTAACATTATTAAATTTTTAAGAAATATAGTTAATATCTTATATTCCTTGAACTCTATTAGAAGTTATGTAGCTTCACATGCAAACAAACCAGGTTAATTAATATGCTTTAGTTTTTGTACCACAGCAATCCACATGGTATGTTAAATCGAGTATTTTTCTATTAACTTACATGTTGCACTGTATAGCACAAAATAAGTCCAATATAATTTTTTCCGAATATTTGTACAGTTTAGCTGCAAAATAAAATAAGATATGCGTGCCACAGTATCTTCATGATGTTACTCGCCAACTTTACTTCATATGCAGTGAACAAATAGGAGAAATTACGTAAATTTTTGTTCGACCAATGGACGCTAATTCATGGTATATTGACAGGTACACAATAGCAGTTGATATTATGACCACGTACAGACATATGCTAATATAGCTGTAATCATTTAATGCAACTTTCAAAGAGCTTCTGGAAATACAATCCAGCACTCTTGACAAATCGTAGGGATAATTATATACAGCTTACACTTAGTGTATTAGTTATAACATTTGCCAGTTGACAATATATAAAGCAGATTATAATTAACGTGCTTTCATTATCTATACCACAGATCTTTTTTTTTTCACCCATTTTTATCGTGAAGTGTATTGGAGTCAATTTAGTCGCTTCGCTTTCACTTCTGTCTAAAATCCCCGAGGCTGGTTGTACATGTGTTGTCGGACACTCTGGAAATAATAACAAAGTTGCTCCTATCATAAAGACATTCCAAGATTGTAACAACGGCGGTACTGTTGTATTCCCTGCTGGGCAGGCATACAACGTCAAGAGTGCGCTCGAACTTCAAGGTCTCAAGAAGATTGTTGTTAAATCTGATTCGATCATCAACTTTCCCAGATTCAACCCCAAGATCTAGAAAGGAAAAGGTTACATGTATTTCAACGGTGACAATATTCATTTCTCTGGTCGTGGTATCATAAACAGAAACGGCCAGGGATGGTTCGATGCTCAGAACAACCAGGGACCAACCATAATTAGAGTCAATGTTAGAAACTCGTATTTTGCTGGGTTTACAGTAAAACATGCACCAAATGACCACTTTAGTATTGTTGGATCCCAGAATAATATACTTGTTAGTGTCTTCTTTCACATAGTTCCCACATATACAAATATACCAGCCAAGTATACATATGTATTTGGCATTTATAACTCTGGTAACTTTATTGCTAGATCCTCTACCATTGTTAATGGTGATGACTGTTTTTCTGTACACAGTGACTTATCTAATATAACTGTCTTTGAGCTATCCTGCGCTAGTGGTTATGGCTTCAGTATTGGATCTCTTGGAAATGATGCTATTAGCTAACATATTTTTGATGTATTGTTTCTGACCAGCAGGGGCAAAGATTTCTTAAACAGCTTAAGGTAAGACTTTATGTCTCTATTGGCCTTATTATACATAATATATTCAAACACCAGAAATAATAGTATATTCTTAAGGTATAAACATGATTAAATTAAGACCTGGCGACAAAAGTAATGTTTAGGATATTCTCCGATAATTTTTCTGTTCAAAATGGCAAGCGTCCCATCCAAATTGGTGCCAAATATTGGGATACAAAACGCGCTCTACAGCGTGTTATATATGATGCAACGTCTGTAGGCTCTAGTAATATAAAAAGTAATAACATTTATGGGTACGACAATTGTTATTTTTACGAAAATGTAGTATAAATATAAACATAAATTTCACTGCTTTGAAAGTTCAACTTATGTCACAATCAACTCTGCTACAAATTACAAGGATTATCCAACCAAGAAAATAAAGCTCTCTACCAAGAATCCATGCAAGAATACTGGAATTTTTAACGGTAATTTCCCGCATGGCACCAAGACAAAGAAGAATGTTTGTGTCAGTTTTACTAATATCGAACTAATATTTATTGGAAGCAAGAGATAACATATTTAATATTTTTGAAGGAAACAAAAGGACCTTTAATTGTGAGTTTCATATATAGAAGAATACTTCCATTATGACTTATTATCCCTTGGTCTCTTTTACCGCATATACCAAGAATATTTATTGATAATATTCATTTTTTTCTTGTTATTCTTTTTCATTTTATATTCTTGTGATTTAATATAGCATCTTCTATATATCACCGATGCACCTATCTACACAAATTGCTTTAGAATATATGATACTGCTTTTATATTTACCTTGTAAAAGCTTACTGCTTTGGTTGATTATGATATTTTTTAAATAAATTAAATCATATTTAGGCTTTGTGCTTCCATGTCACAGTAATCTTATGTTCCTTGCACTGACATTTCATACCGTTGTTGTATACTATATCGCTTAAAATTGTCAATATGTCGTATTATATTTATATACTAACTTATTAATTATGTTGATAACTTGTATAACTTCTATTAACTTGCCTTACAATGATATATATTCTATTTAAATAATATCTTTAAATAAATTACTAAATGTTACACGAATTATCCAAACATAAAATGCAAATGTTCGAGTCATAAATGTCTCTAATAATTGGTCTAAGAAATAAATGTTACAATGCCGGCTTTTAATACTTGCAGCAATGGGAAACGATTGGACTTGTATCTATGGTAATAAATGCTACTATGACTACCTAAAAATAAAGTAGTCTAGATCTACTTTTTTTTTACATTTTTTGAAAATCAAGCGAACCCTTATGTTAATTCGTTCTAAATTTATTGATAGTCTATTACATTTCCATTATTAAATAATTTGATAAAATTATCAATATATATCGACAGAGCACATGAAACAAAAAACAAATCCAGAATAATAATATTAATATCAATATCAATAAAATGTATATATACTATAGTTCAATGCTCAAAATATCTCTCCATTATCCACACCACCCTTCCTTTCATTTCATTTCAATCACTACCACCATGAAGTTTATTGGAGCCAGTGTTGTTGCCTCAGTTTTTCTCTTGTCTACAATCGCCGAAGCTGGTCGCACATGTGTTGTCGGACACTCTGGCAATAATAACGAGGTTGCTCCTATAATGAAGGCATTCAAAGATTGTAACAACGGCGGTACTGTTGTATTCCCTGCTGGGCAGACATACAACGTCAAGAGTGCGCTCGAACTTCAAGGTCTTAAGAATATTGTTGTTAAATTTGATTCGATCATCAACTTTCCCAGATTCAACCCCAAGATCCAGAAAGGAAAAGGTTACATGTATTTCAACGGTGACAATATTCATTTCTCTGGTCGTGGTACCATAAACGGAAACGGCCAGGGATGGTTCGATGCTCAGAACAACCAGGGACCAACCATGGTTAGAGTCAATGCTAGAAACTCGTATTTTGCTGGGTTTACAGTCAAGCAAGCACCAAATGGTCACTTTAGCATTGTTGGATCCCAGAATACTATACTCGAGAATCTGTCCCTTCGTACAGTGTCCACAAATCCAAGTAGACCAGCTAAAAACACAGATGCTTTCGGTATTTCCAGCTCCAGTAATATAATTATCAGAGACTCGACTATTGTAAATGGTGACGACTGTCTTGCTGTTCATGGTGGCGTTACCAATGCAACCATCTCTGGTATTACTTGTACTGGTGGTCATGGATTCAGTGTTGGATCTCTCGGCAAGGATGGTATCACAGAAAGCCTTTCTGGTGTTAGCTTTCTTAACAACAAATGTATCAACTGCACTAGTGGCCTTCGGTAATAACAGTAATAATAATACTAAGAAAAACAGCTTGTATATTGTTGTGTATATCAGAAAGAATCTCTAAAATTACGCTTCATATAGTATCAAAGCATGGCCTGGAGGAAAGGGTAACGTTAATGATATCAGATTTGAGAATACTTCCCTTCAAAACGTCGAGAGTCCTATCGATATTTCTACTCACTACTGCGACAAAGAAAGAGCTTCCCAGTGTGCAAGAGATGATGCAACTTCATTGTCTTTTACCAATATCAAAATAAAAAATGTTTCTGGGTATGTGAAGGGTTTATTTTAATATATGTATACGTCTAACCTATCTTTGCTTATTTGTATACAGAACTGGAAGTACAAACAAGGATTATCCTCTAATTAACATTAATTGTGCTGCGAAGAATCCTTGCAAGAACATTGTACTTAGTGATATTCACTTGACTCCCAGCAACAGCAAGACAAAGAAAAATGTCTGCCTCAATCTTGTGAACTCCGGTGCAATCCCTTACTGCAAGCTTTAAATTAATTCACTATATTCTATCTATATAGAAAGCATATATTCAAGATGCTGTGTTTACCCAATAAATATATTTTTATAACTCTTTTATTATTTTTGTGCGTTTTTATGCTTAATTATCTTCATCCATTTTGTCGTTATTCACCGAGTCTTTAGCCGTAAGGTTTTCCTCGGAAGGGTCTTCTTTTAACTCGCCTATTTCTGAAGTATGTATAATCTTTCCCATTGCCACTTTTCTCAGATATACATAGTCAGCCATCAAAGCAGTTTCTTCTTCCAATATCTTGAATACACTCGACATATCTTCATCTTTTCGTTTCATGAGCATAAGAACCTGTTCTTTGATGCCATTGTCTTCTGCAGTAAGTACTGCTAGGAGTAGACAGACGCGTTGTAATGTGAATAGACCAGCTTCGAGTCTTCGCAAGTAAAAATCTTCCTTAAGTTCTTCTAATTCATCTTCATCTAATCCTTTTTTATCTTCCTCAATCTCGGCAAGTACTCGCTGATCTCTGGCTTCGTAATATTCTTTCATCTCCAAGAGTCTATCAACCTTTTCGTATTCATCTTCGATAAATTTACGGATTACTCTTGCTCGCTGCAACTCATCAGGTGACAAATTTCGTAGCAGAGAAAGAATTATGCACATAATATGCTCTATAAATTTACCAGATTATCTCTTTAACATTCTATGATTGATAAAGTACAAGCGTTCTTAAATATATATTACCTTCGTCTTCTGATTCAACAAAAACCTTGTGAGACTTCTTTAGTTTCTTCAAGCCCTATATATATATATATATATAACATTGAATATTAAAGTTTAAAGATATATTTTTATATTTGTAGCAATATTTTTTTATAGTATAACTTACCTTGCCCATAAAAATAGGGAACATGGTCTTTAGCCCCAAAGCGTCCACAAAGCGAATACAATTTGGTCGTCCTTCCTCTCCCGTCAATGCATAATTCAATACCTTAACTGCTCTGATTCTTGCCAATGTCCTCTCTCTAAATTAAATATTTGATGAGTCTAGAGTTTTCTTTAGGCTTTTATCCATCATACACACTTCATCATAATTAACATCAATTCAACACCTTCGCCTTCTAAGAAAGCACTCTTGCTTTCTGGCTCATTCAACATGGAGCATATGGCATTGAAGAAGTTTTCGACCATCTCAGTCTCATCTTCATCCTGAGGGTCCTTGCGCTTATAAACCTATAATAAAAAGATTGGCTTTAGTAAACTAAATCAATGTATTAATCCAGAAATTCATATAGATATGTTATTTTCCCTGTATTCTTACCGAAAGAACCCTCAAAAGAACATCCATACCGCCCAACTCGCCCAATTTCAGGCGAACGACTAATGAAACGAGTTAATAAGATATAACTTGCTCCATAAAAGAATCCAGACAGAAACCTACCTCTGCTTTCTTGTAGAAGAATTGAAAGAATCTCACTTGCATAACCACGATTAGAATCAAACACTTTAGTTTGAAGACGCTTAAGAGTCCATGATAAAAATTCGGTGTCAAGGGCAATTCTTTCAGCCAATGAAGGTTCCAAAGCCATAAGATTCTCCAAGATACCTTTTATTTTAGCATATTAATGAGCCTTAAAAAATTCTTTATATTTGGATCCTTAAGCCTTACCCAATATTTTAAATACACCTTGTCGATCAGTCTCCTCTTTCTCATCCAAACGCTCAAGGTTTTGGACAAGTAAACTCAAAAGCTCATTTTCCAACTATTCCGCCGAATCCCGTACATACGTGGCATAAGTAAAATGCATAAAATATAATAAATTTAACTTACAAGTGCATCAACAAAGGTTTTTATACCAGTCGCCGCATCTTCAGGACGTTCCAAATCATCTTCTGATGTACCAACATCCTCGTCTGTTAATTCGTTAATCAGGTCAATAGCGTCAATGACAATGTCTGTGTTTTCATGACTCAACAATGACATGAGAGAAGGTACACTGCCGAGTTTAACAAGTTCGGGATACATATGTGGTGCCTGAGTCAAAGCCAAAAGCGATTTTATTTCTTCGTCCAAATCAGCCTCTGATTCCATAAATTTCTCGGGTTCTTCTGCATATCGAACGCGTTGTTCTTGGTTTTTGTTAATTGCTTTTTCAAATTTGAGAATCATTTTCTTGACATTGTGAGAGGTCAAAGCTTCTGGCTAAATCCTGAAGTTAATAACGAGCGTCGTGTTATTTTAATTGATCAATTAATCGTCACCTCATCCACATCGTATTGATCTACGAGATCAAGGAGTCGGCTTTGTTCTTCAGTCAATCCACCACCAAAAAATCGACCCTCATCGTCATCGTCTATATCTTCGTCGAATGTGGCTGCACTAGCTTCTTCTTCGTCTTCAAATGTTACATTACGCTTTTTACTAGCTTTGGCGTTTTCTTCCTCTGCAGCTTCTGCAGCTTCTGCGGCTTCTTTGTATTTGTCTAAGAATTGAATGTCAGGTGTATCTGGCATCTTTCGCTTGTTTCTGCCACTTGGAATGGCAGGGATCTGGAAGATTCGTTGTTGTTTTTAATTTAAGCATTATATCAGCTTGTTTAATGAGTTGATTATACCTTGAAGATATCATCAATGTTCATTTTGTTTGTATTGTAGTTTGTTACAAAAGACGAGAAGTCAAACTGAATACTTTAAATGAAGATCGTGACTTGAATATATACGTCACCTTTTTATTCTTCTTTTGAGAACTTCATTTTTAACGACACAGGATATTAAAAGATGTCTTGATTTATTGTTAGTATCAGCTAATAAATGTACGATCATGTTTGATTAATTTCAAGTTCTTTTTTCTGTTAAGAAGTTGAAATTAAACAGGGATCAAGTAAATCATATCAAACACTGGGATTTTATTGCTTTGTCTTCTTCAAAATTCGGCTAGATTCATTCATTCTGTTTTCTTTTGTTACTTATAAAAAGGATAACATTGTCTTATATTGAACACAGCTAAAAATCTGGAAGCTTAAATTAGGTTAAGTCAGTGTGCGGCAAATACAAATATTACCCGTCTCTTTGGCATTAACAAATAAAATAAAAATAAGATTATTTTCCAGAGTCAGTTGAGCTGTAAATGTGAAATAGACTTCTACCCAGGAACTTGGAATTGTATATTTAACTGGTAAGATATATAAAACTAATTATTAATTAAGGGCAAGGGACACGAAAGACTCAATTGGATTATGGCATATATATATACATACATTTATTTAAAAGAGAAAATACCGTATTAAATGTTCATATATGTGTTACAAAAGATTTGTATACATATATATGAATTGTATCTAATGCATTTCTAAAATTTTTAATTATGTAGCCATTTAATTAAAGCTGATGGTGTACAATGGCATCCTATTGTATACTTCTTTGATTTGGCTTTGTTGTTAGTGCGTAAACATGTAGCTAGACACTTACCACTGGATGTGTACACTAAAGCCGTGTTTTTTGGTAAGGTTAGTAATATACTTTGTCTTTTAGGATATTTGGCGTAAAGACATCCATATGAACAATCGTGATGTTGGTACCTTTTAAAACACCGCATATAATTTTGGCCCTGTCTCTCACGCAAATGCATGAATTTACAGCTTTTTGTTTACATCTTCACGATAGTAATTTCCACATATATTGAATGTAATCAGTATAACAAAAAAACCAATGACATCAGCTTTAGATAAGCCACTTATCAAATGTCTATAAATAAGAGGTGTTTCCTTTTGTCTTTCTCTTTTCTTTTCTTTCATTCTTGCCACACATTCCTATTCTGGAATATGATTGGCTAAAATGTCCTGAGTAGGACATTAAGATACTCCGCTTGGGCTATGCGATACGCCCCTTATAGCGAATTCACGCCAGCATTCTTATTAATTTTCACTTAATACATCCTGATGTACAGCTCCACTATATTGCTTATTTAACAAATGATACTTACGACCAAGTAAATAAAAACAATAAACTACTTGGAATTAAGAGGAGGATCAATTTGATTCATAAAAAATACATAATTGAGATTTTTTTTGTATATAATGCACTTTTCTTTTTTTCTTAAAACTCGTTAACCAGTATATAGGGAGTATATATTACCTAAAAAAAAAAACTTTTTAATTAAATATGTTAGCTTCAAGCACTATATATGCTATTTGGTAGAGGGTTGCTCTCATTATATACAAGTTTATTCCTGTTCTTGTCTAATAACTCAAAAATTATTAAAGCAAACATTTTTTGGAGACTAGAAATGGTTAGAAAGCCAGTAAATGAATAAAGCACATGCTCACAAGAAAGTAATGGACTGTCATGCCTAATTGCATTGTTCTAGTATAAAGCTAAATGAAACAAAAAGAAATTATTGGGTATTAAGACGTTTATACTTTGAATAATATTTGTACTTTCTGGAAGATAAACAATTGAAAACATGATGAATATATGTGAATCTATGAGATATTTAGAGTAAGATACAGATCAAAAATAACCTTTTATTTATTCATTCTCAAAAACGTTTATGCGGGAGCTATTTTTTTATATCTCTAAAAGGTGAATTGAAGATATCGTTTTTGTCAGCATATAAAGTGTGATTTAATTTGAAGATTCTCATGTAATAAATAGCTTGTTAGATGGGTTTACAAATATGTATTTTTCAAAAAAAAAAAAAAAAAAACACACATACACATATGTCAAGAATATGTATTAACTGACTTGTTTTTTTGATACCTATTTAATTTTAATACTGTACATATGATTTTTGGTACAAATAGGTACAAGTAGATGATTATATATTATTTCACGCCTTTTAAATGTGTGTGTGTGTGTGTGGGGGGAAAGAACTTGGAAAGAGTGTGGGGTCATCTACGGAGTCTCAAAATAAGGGCGTGGCATTTTTGTACAGTAAGCCGTTTTACATTTTTCATTGAGACTGGCATTTTATTACCAAATTGGAAAATTAATCTTGATGGTTAGAAAAGATATAATATTTAGGTATTCACTTGGGCCTTGCACACAATATACTTCTTTCTTTTTTTTTATTAGAAAAAGAAAACATATTTACATTTGTTTGAATTATACCTAATATGTCTTCCAACGCCCTTGTCGATTTCTCGCAGTTGTCTCCAAAGTTCCGGGACCTTTACGCCAAGGCAAAGGTCTTTGTCGAGGTGAGTTTTTTTTTCTTTGGTTTTCTTCATTCCTCGATGCAGTCAAATGTAATTCAAAAATTAATCTTTATTACATCTGTTTCTAGGAGGAATGCATTCCTGCAGAGAAGACCTACAATCTGCAAATGGGACAAGGCGACCAACGCTGGAAGGTAATAAAAATGAACAAGAATATAAACTGCGTTGCTTTTATTATTATAGCCTGTATAGACTCACATAAGGTTCTATCGATTTTTTTTTAAAAAATTAGGTTGTTCCTCAGGTTATGGAGGACCTCAAAGTAAAAGCTCGTGCATTGGGTCTGTGGAACTTGTTCCTTGGTCAAGACTATGCCGAAGGCGCTGGTTTGACTAACCTCGAGTATTCCTTGATTGCCGAGTTGACTGGTCGCTCTCCCAAAATTGCTCCCGAGGCAATGAACTGCTCTGCCCCTGATACTGGCAACATGGAAGTCTTTGCCAAGTACGGAACTCCTGCCCAAAAGGCCCGCTGGTTGCAGCCCTTGTTGGATGGAAAGATCCGTTCCGCTTTTGCCATGACCGAGCCTCTGGTCGCCTCTTCTGATGCCACAAACATTGAGACAAACATCCGTCGTGAGAACAACGAATGGGTCGTTAATGGTCGCAAGTGGTGGATATCTGGCGCCGGTGATCCCCGTTGTGCTGTATACCTCCTGATGGGCAAGACTGATTCCGCAAACAAGAACCCTCATCGTCAACAAAGCATTATTGTCATTCCTGCTGATACCAAGGGTATTACCGTCGTCCGCCCCATGCAAGTCTTTGGCTATGATGATGCTCCCGAGGGACATTGCGAGATCGTGTTCAAGGACGTCCGTGTGCCTTTGGAGAACATCATTCTCGGAGAAGGTCGTGGATTTGAAGTTATTCAAGGTCGCCTTGGCCCTGGTCGCATCCACCACTGCATGCGCTGTATTGGCATGTCTGAGCGTGCACTCGATCTGATGCTGACTCGTGTCACTGATCCCTCTCGCAAAACTTTTGGTAAGATGCTGGCTCAGCATGATACTGTCATTGCTGAGATCGCCACCTCTCGTATGGAAATCGAACAGGCCCGTTTCATGGTCCTCAATGCTGCTAAAAAGATTGATGAAGTCAAGGCAAAGGGTGCCATGAAGGAGATTGGAATGGCAAAGGTAAGATGATAAATGTCTTACATTCAGAAAAACCTCCTATACTTTGAATTTCTATACTGTGCATAAATCTGACATGATCTTTTTCTTCTTTTGATATAATAATAATACATTAGGTCATTGCACCTAACATGTTGTTACGTGTATTGGATCGTGCCATGCAGGCCTATGGTGCTGCTGGTATTTCTCAGGATACCCCTCTTGCACACTTTTATGCCTCTGCCCGTACTTTGCGTTATGCCGATGGTCCCGATGAGGTTCACCGTAACCAGTTGGGCAAGATTGAAGTTCGCCGCGCAGCTGCTCTTACTGAGCAACAGAGAATTCAGAAGGATAAGGGCGACCGTCTTGCTGCTAATGTTTCCAAGCTCTAAAAAATGTATATGCTCTTGATTTTTGTTAAAAGGTTTTGTTGTAAAGAATCACTTTTAATTCCTGCTCAGTATATATATATGTATAAATAAGACCATCTCGTTGGGAATACAGATGAAATATTACCATATCTATTTTAAGATACTATCATCATTGCTTCATTTGTGTATTCTGTTATAATATATGCTCATGATCACATCTAATTTCTCTATTGTGCTTATTTTTAAATTGCATGTTATTTTCTGTAAAAGGCTTATGCACATGTCACCACCCTCATCAAATATTTTAAGATGGAGGTTACAAGCACAGTTACGCCAACCCGCAGTTTCATATCATGCCTACAAATCCAGCTAATAATTAGTGCCATTTAGCCTAAACGGACAGCACTTTCTCTTTATTTCTCTGTAGGTGTGGCTGGAGTGTCAAACGGTATACCAACCTAAGCCATTCTTGTGTTTGATCCCTTTCTATGTACTTCTTTTTCATTTCTCTTTTACTGATTTTGGATGGCGGAACGTATAAAGAGCAAAATTATAAAAATAATGTAGGGTTGTGATTGGACCGGGAGGCTTGTCGTTTGGAAACATATTTATTTATTTATTTTTAGAGAGAGAGAAAAGCTATAGAATATACTTGAATATCCAATTACTTCTAAATTGAGCTGTTGCCTAGAAGTTAATTAAATTTAAGTATATATGGACAAGTCCTTTTTTTTTCTATATCAAATTGTGTGATTTTTTTTTCAATTTGGCTCGTCACATTTTAACATTTTATATTCGCTCTTCAAATATTATTGTCGGGAAGTTAATTGTAAACGCAAATGCTTACTTGTCCCTAAAACTGCCCCGTAGAAAAATAAATAAATAAATAAATCAATACAGGGTCAAACAAACAATTTTAAGTAGGTTTTATTGAATTCATTACTCGCATTCATAAACACCGCACCTTACACGATCTAAATTAAACTACAGGACTGATTACACAATCAACCTTTGTAATAAAAAAATAAGAAGACAAATTCCTCAATGGCTTTATCCGTAAAATATTTTCTTACTCAAATCATTTTCTGCTGTAAATTGTTTACTTGATTGGCTGAATTGGCTGTGATTGACGTTACTTTCTATCCAGGGGTCGTGTCACGGACCGAAAAGTTTCTTTTCTACAGAGCATTTTTGGAAATGAATAAAGCAAAATTGCGTTTATGTTTTGAGCGGCGATGCAAATGTCTAAATATCGACATACAAAGTACCAAGAAAAAATGTGACAAACCAAATGCAAGAAAAAAAACCGTTAAGTTGAATAGAGTAATTTGGCCGAGTTGGTCTAAGGCGCCGCACCCCATTTGCTAAATAGAAAATAAATAGAAAAACAAAAAAAAACAAAAAAAAAAAAACAAAAAACGGTACATAGGATTAAAGCCCAGTCAATTTGATATGGAAACACTTGAATCATTTGTTTCCATAGAAACACATTAAAAAAATATAAATATAAATATAAATGTAAATATAAATATAAATATAAAAAATATATAGAGACAGGTCGGGTGCCTTGTTCCTTTTGAGACTTTGCGCGCATTTCTACTCCCTATCTTGGTTTGTGTATGACGCACGTGGTCTCACCACTTCCATTACAACAAAGCCTTGTTTTTTTATCCTCCTCTTCTTTCTTCTTTGCTTCACTTCTCCCTTCCTTCTAATTATTTTCTTTACAGAGAACAAACTCTATAGTATAGCCAAATTTCCCGCCTTTTTCACATATTAATCCTATTTTCCTTTCTCATCCTTCTTCCTTATTTTTTTTTCCTTACCCCTTATACTTCAATTCATATACATCAATACTAGACTAGTGCTTAATTTTTACCCACAATGTCTCTCGCCACCCAACCTCATCAGTCCATACGAGAGTATTACAAGGAATCAGTCCTTGAAGAAAGCAATGAAAAAATCTCCATCACCACCATGACACACACCGAGTTAAATGACAATCACGACAATATTTACACCGGTAGACGAGAACCTCGTCAGTTACCTCAGCCCATGCCGTCCGCCCCCAAACGATCATTCACAACATCTGTGATGCCCCCCAGCAATCCATCTCCTCTGGCAAATGTTCTTATTCCCAGTAACAGTAGCATCAGAAGTCGTATTTTGGAACAGGACACTCTCTCTAAGCGCCATTCAACTCTCAGTCATGATCTCGAAGAAACTACCCCGTCTATTAAAGAGGGACGTGCCTTGGGTCGGCACAATACAACCGGCCACACTCTAAGATCTAGACTGGATAATAAACCTGTGAGAATTTCAGAAGAATTTGAAAAAGAGCTCTCTGCCCGTCGCAAAGCATTCCGTCGCCTGTCTCGTCTTAAGAAACCCAAAGACGGGGAGGATGAAGATAGAGTTATGATGGGCACCAGAATTGCAGAAGGCCACCAAAACTATGTGCTTATGTACAACATGCTCACAGGCATTCGTATTGGTGTCGGACGAGTATCTGCCAAGATGGACAAACCAGTTGAAGATGCTGATTTTACTGCTGCGCATAAGCTAGCCTTTGATGTGTAAGCTTATAATTTATTTATTTTTTAGGAAAAAAATCAATCTTTAAAACAAAAATCAACAATGCTTATCTATTATTATTTATATTTATATTTATCAACGTAGTACAGGTGATGAGCTGACGCCAGGTGCAAAGTATGACTTTAAGTTTAAAGATTACGCCCCTTGGGTATTCCGTCACTTGCGTGAGAAGTTTGGTATTGACCCTGCAGACTACTTGGTATGTAGTAATGCCAAGTCCCGCGGTAATAAATCAACATTTATACTGACACATTGATCCCCCACCCCCTTCTTTACTTCTACACTTTACAATATATATATATATATATATATATATATATAGATTTCCCTTACAAGCAAATATATTTTATCTGAGCTGGGCTCACCCGGAAAGAGTGGAAGTTTCTTTTATTACTCTCGAGATTATCGCTTCATTATCAAGACCATTCACCATACCGAACACAAATTTATGCGTGATATTCTTAAGCAATATTACGAGGTAGATCTAAATACTTTCGACTCCATTGATTTTTTATCTTGATCTCAGTTCACTTGCTAATATGTTTTTTTTGTTTTGTTTTTAGCATGTGGTAGACAATCCCGATACGCTGCTTTGTAGATATTATGGTCTTCATCGTGTCAAATTGCCTCATGGACGCAAGATTCACTTTGTAGTCATGGCTAATGTGTTCCCGCCTAACAAAGATGTTCACGAAACATACGATCTGAAGGGTTCTACAATAGGTCGATTCTTGCCTGAGGAGGAGATTGAAAAGAACCCTCACGCTGTGATGAAAGATTTGAACTGGGAGAAACGTGGACGAAAGCTGCAACTGGGACCCAAGAAGCGCAAGATATTTATCAGCCAGCTAGTTCGTGATGTCAAGCTGCTCATCCAGCTTAACATCATGGACTACAGTCTGTTGATCGGTATTCACGATCTTGTGCGTGGTAATCAGGACGGTATCCGTAACTCAACCCTTCAATTCTTCCAGCCGGACACCAAAAAGGCCGAGCGACGTGCGACGTTGATGAAGCGACGAGAGAGCAAGGCCCAGGTGCATCGAAAGGCCATTGCACAGGCTAACCCCGACCGTCTCGACATCTCGGAGTTGCCAGAAGATCCATTTGGTGAACGCTCAAAGTGTGTGTTTTATGCAGACGAGGGCGGGTTCCAGTCGACAGATGAGCTTAATCGCCCGACCTCTTCACTCTACTTTATGGGTGTAATTGATATATTGACTCCTTACGATATGAAGAAGAAGTCCGAGCACTTCTTCAAGAGTATGACTCAGGACAAGAAAGCCATCTCCGCTGTCAAACCTGCCCACTATGGTGATCGCTTTATGGGCTTTATGGCCAAAACCATTGAACATGACCAAGATATTCCTCAGGAGTATCATTTGAGTAAGCACAAGCAATCCCATCGGTTCCACCATTAAAGATTTTATATTCAATTACAAGGCTAGAATTGAAATTGGTATATAATTTTTCTTTTTCCTATTTTCTCTTATTTTCCTTTTATTTTCCTACACAAAAAATCAAATGTACTTCTTTAACATTATTCCCAGCCTTCCTCTTCTTTACATCTATCAATCTCTTTCATCAATACAAATATATATTTTTCATATTATACAATAATTATGATTTTCTGAATTAATTTTTTAAAATATATATATATATGTTGTACTGTACTATAATGTACGCTGCTGTACTTAACTGTATTGTACTGCTCTGCTCTGCTCTGCACTATATTGAATTGAATTGTTCTGTGTTATAATGTATTGTGTGTATGTGTGTATACACTAAAATCAATCGAAGCTCCGGTAATCCCGAACCCAAACTTAAGATAATCTTTTACTGCTTTTTATATAGTCAGCGCTGGGGTCCATAATCAGCCAATAAAGATTTGTTTTGCTTTAGGTTTCTTGTTTCTTGTGCCAGGTTATCTTTATCTTATCTTCTTTTCTCTTCTTATTTCTTTTCTCTCTCTCTCTCTCTTTCTTATTATTTTTTATTACTTTTTATATTTATTTTTCTATTATTTATTTTCGATTCCCCACACTGTTACCTAAAACAGTTTGCCAATATGGGAGTGCGTACATTTGAGTATAAGATTGATAATGGAGATACAGCTTGGATGATGGTCTGCACGACCTTTATCTTTTTAATGGTAATATATACAAGAGACAATAGTAATTCAAGTAGAATTATGGATCTGTTTATATAAAAAAATATATATTAAACACGATTTTTTTAAACTATAGGCACCAGCATTGGGATTCTTTTATGCTGGTCTCGCTCGAGCTAAAAACGCATTATCATTGATGTACCTGACTGTATTGTCTGTAGCAGTAGTATCAATTCAGGTATATATAAAAATAAATAGAAAAACCAAAAAAATGAAATAAAAAAAAATTCAAGGTTTTGGTTTTGGTCTTTATTATTATTATTATTATTATTGTATTCTTTAATATTCATATTTGGCATATCTAGTGGTATCTTATCGGCTTTTCACTCACCTTCTCCGCGACGGGTGGACCTTTCATTGGTGATTCAGGTAAGGCTCACTATATAAAAATCTATACCAGAAAGAAAGAAAGAAAAAAAAACTCGAAACCAGTCCCAACTAATCATATTTTATTGGTCAAAGTCCATTTTTTGTTACGCAGCGTCGGTGTCCAGCCTCATCTAGAGTCCCAGACCATTCCTCAATCAGTCTTTATGATCTTTCAAGCTATGTTTGCCTGTATAACACCAGGTAATAGAAATAAACAAAATAAAGACAAAGTATTATGTTAATTCATCAATCTAATTGTTAATTATTAATTTTTTCCTTTATAAATATTGAAATTATTGCAGGTCTAGCTTTTGGATCTGCTGCTGAGCGTATGTCTGTAAGGATTTGAAAATGAATAATGAATAATTAAGATATATATATATATAGTATTTTACCGATTGTTAATTAATCACATATAATATATACATAGCTTGGTCCAGCAATTCTATTTATTTTTGTCTGGACAACTTGCGTTTATGGTGAGATAAAATATCACTCCAGAAATCCTTCTAGATCACTCATGCTTTATTGGTAGACATCATCACTTACTGGGTGTGGGGTCCTAATGGTTGGTTAAATGTTATGGGTGTCTTGGACTTTGCAGGGTAACGATATTTTTAGCTTTCAATTATGAGTCAGTTTCACGTGTAATTGACAGGTTGACTAAAAAGCAAATGAATTTTCTGTTTACTATTTAGTGGTACACCTGTCCATATATCTAGTGGTCTTGCAGCAGGTAAAAATAATAGATACAATATAAGATAGAGAATAGAATGGAATAGGATAGAAAATTTCATCACAGAATATGTACAATTTACCCGAACTGCCCTTATCTAATCTTCATCTATTATTTGATCGGTGCAAATAGTTGCCTATGCAATGGTATTAGGAAAGCGTCGCGATTATCATGAAAACGTCAATACTCCTCACAATGTGTCTTTTGTATTTCTCGGTCTAGCCCTTCTATGGTTTGGTAAATTCGATAACAATAGACTAAAAGAGAAAAACATGCAACATTTGATCTTATTCCAAAAATTCTAGGTTGGTTCTGTTTCAATGCCGGAAGTGCTCTTGGAGCCAATGCTCAAAGTGTGCACGCTTTGATCTGTACGCACCTTTCAGCATGCGTGGCTGCCGTGGTTTGGGTATTAATGGACTATCGCCATGCCCGTAAATGGAGTATTATCGGTCTCTGCACTGGTGCAGTCGCTGGTCTTGCCACAATTACACCCGGCTCGGGTTACGTTTCTTATAGCAGTTCACTTGCCTTTGGCGCTCTCGGCTCGTTTGTTTGCAATCTTGCAGTCCAATACAAACATAAATATGGTTTCGACGATGCCCTTGATGTTTTTGCTGTGCACTACATCGGTGGTCTTGTTGGCTTGGTCTTGACAGGAATCTTTGCCCAACGAAACGTCATGGCACTTGCTTTCCCAGAAGGTACTGACATCTCATCAGTTCGTATTGGTGGATGGTTAGATGGAAACTGGATGCAGGTACCTTATCAATTGGCTGCCATTGCTTCTGTATCTGCCTACTCCTTCGTTGTCACGTACGTATATTTTCCTCTTTCTTTCTTTTTTCTGTAGATTGATTTCACATAAGATATATTGCTCTTAACATTCGTACATATGTTTTATCTTGCATGTAGCTACATCATCTTGATTGTTCTCAACATGTTTCCTTTTCTCCGTTTGCGTTTGGCGGACGAAGATGAATTGATCGGGACTGATTGGGCAGAGATGGGCGAGCGTGCATACGCCTATCTGCCTATGGAACAAACCCAACCTGTGGAACCAAGAGATTCTTCCGCAAGCAGTATCGAAGACGCCGCTACTGTCGGATCAAACGGCGTGCGTCCCAATAAAACCCTGGACCGCATCAAACGCCTTCTTCGTGCCGACAACCGTCGGTTGGTTGTCAAGGGTGTCCCTGATCTAGTTGAAGACCCGGTTGTCCTCGACTTTAACCAGCAAAAAGATCTTGGTGGCATTCGACTAAGCGAAATCACCCACAATGCCACAGGCGGAGATCTTTTCCAAAAGACGCCTGCACAAGTACGGCAGGAACAACAGGAGGCAGAATCGGTAGACCTTCAGGATCTACCTATGCAAGTTGTTATTCCTGACCAAGGTCCATCTGCACAAGTTTCATTACATCATAGACCACAACCAAAAGATAAACATAAAGAAGTCGTTTAAAAAAAAAGAAATGAAATGAAATGAAAGGGATCGATCCAGGGAACTGGAGGTTTCTTTATTGAGTTAAAAAAATATTATAGAAAGAGATAGGAGAAATGTTGGAGTGCTTGCTGGTGATAATGATGGTGTTATTTTATCATGCGTGTATATTTTGTCTGTCTGCCTGTCTGCCTGTTTGTGTGTTGGCGTATTTGTGTTTTGTGACATTGAAATAAATGTTGGCAGAGTGAAATTCTTCTGCTTTCTCTTTTTTTAGGGTGCTTTGGTCTAGTATCTTTTTCTCTCTCTTTCTCTCTTTTTGGGTTTTTAGTTGACAAAGTCTTCGTACTGATCCATCATACGCATAGCTTCAAGACTAAGATCATGCTGATCAGGTACATCATCGAGACGGGCTTCTGTCTGATAGAGGCACGAATATTCGGGTTTATGGTCAACGGTCTGTCCGGGTGTGTAGCTATAGTTGTATGTTTGTTCGTGAAGCTCCCATTTTCCACGACGGACCAAGGGATGTGTGGATGTAGATGAATCACCAAAGGTGGTTGGATCAAGTTTGGAAGGATCGGACAATGGAACTGAGTCTCCTACTGTTACCTCAACAAAGATTGTGTAAGATCGAGTATCGTTAACAATACAACGCATCCAGCCATGGATACGCTGGGTGGCATTGACTGCTAGGGGTTCCTTGAACAAGAAACGGACTTGCTGCCAGTGAGTACGTTCGGCCATGGGTCCTGTGGCCAACTCAACAGTAGTTCCGAGTGTTTCCTGGTTTGTGGTGTAAGGAGGAGGACCAAAGACAAGATCAAACCAGCCAGCAATGCCATGCATAAGGCCGGTGTAGTCTGCCTCCCAGTCATAAGGCATTGTGATGTCTTTCAACTCTGATAAAGTTACAGTAGAGAAATCGACGGGGAATGCATCGCACACTGTAGGTGTCGTAATCAAATTGCGTGGATCGAAATGGCCCACCACGGGCATACCGAACATCTCCTCACGAGCGTCTTTATAAAGACAAGTGAGATCAATTCCGTAGAATGATTGTTGCTGCCTTGATTAGCGATACATATTTTGGTTAACTTTGCTGTGTTACAAATCGTATATACATATCCCTATATATTCATATTGCAAATTTACCAGAATCGAGCTTTGCCCATGGTCTCAGTCCACAGCATGGCATCCGTAAAAGGTGCAAGATAGATGTTACCCTTTGAAGGGAACAAGGCTCCTCCGGGCTTCAAGTAGTGGTCTCTTGCGTAGATATAACTCTCAAGCTGCACAAATACACATAATTTTTTTTTAAATCAAGGGTCCATTAAAACTTGTGATTTCGCATATAAAGCCTACCATGCGTTCATGGAACAAAAGAACACCAATAGGTTCGGACACAATAGTATCAACCTTGGGAATAGGTAAATTGGGCTCCTCAATCTTGGCTATTATATTTTTTTTAAAGAGAAACACAAAACAAAATATAAGAATATAAGAATATATATATATATATATCTTTGTATTTGAATAAGTTTAGATCTATACTTTACCATTGATGACTTCTATTTTGCCTTTCATGAACGCGTTCTTTCCATCTTTGCCAGCTGTATCAACCAGCTTCTTCATCTTCTTTGCCATTCCAGAAGCTTCGACAGCATAAACCTTCTTGGCACCTGCCTGGGCAGCAAAGAATGAAAGAATGCCCGAGCCAGCACCAACGTCCATCACAGTTTTTCCTTCAAAGCACTTGGGCTTGTTCAATAAGATTGCAGATTGATAGGTAGAGGTGCGGACGGTATCTTGAAGCATATTTTGCTACCATTTCGTGATGAATAATATTGAAATGATAAATGCGATGTAGCTTACTTGGTGTTGAAGCATAGCATAGTATCCAAAGTATTGGACATCGCGATGCTCTACACCTGGAAGATTAGCTTCGTTTGACATTTTTTTTATACTATAGAAAAATAATAATAAGCTGTAAAAAAAAAAAAAAAAAAAAAAACTTTAGAAAATTATTTCTTATTTCTTATTTTTTATTTTTATTTTTTATTTGCTCAGACGCGTGCTCAAAGATTACAACACTTGTCAGTGATATATAAATATATTATGAACTTTGCCTTATCAGGAGACAAAGCAAAAAAAAAAAAAAGAATTCAAAGCGTCTATATTTGGATATTTGTGAAAATGTTTACTGTGACTGTATTTATACAAGAATGTTTCCTACAAAGGAGATTATTGTTAAATAGTGAATATAAAGAAGTTGTTTTTTTTTGACTTTATACTCAATTATCTATTTATTCACTTCTTTATTTTTGTTTTTATTTTGTGTTGTTTTATTTTATTTTTCAATTTATTATAAATAATATATATATGAAAATAAACATATAAATATATAAATAAAAATATATAGATGATGGAGAGAAATACATAGAGAATTGATGATGAAAAAGGAAGAAGGAAGAAGTAGAAGAGGAGTGGGAAGAGTAGGAAGAGTAGGAATGAATGTTTAGGGCAAGTGAGGATGAGATAAAATGTCGGTTTTTTTTCTTATTGGGCTTTTGCTTTTTTTTTTCTTTTTTTTTTACTGCTGTTGTGCTTCGAATTTGAGTCGTGATTGAGCAAACAAGAGTTCTTGCTGTCGTAACAGCTCTTCTTCAGAAATACCAGTGTTTTCCAATCGTGTGCTCTTCTTGTCTCGATCCTATTAGGTAACGATAGATTAAATATTTATAAATACATAGCTTTTATCACAGATTAAATTCTCCAATTCATTTGCAATAAATACCTTTTGTTGTTTCTTATGTTCTTTGAATACTTCGTCTACTTCTTCTACATAATCTTCAAAACCGAGTGCCTGAAGTGCTGACACGACATGTTCACCTGCAATTGTCTTTTTGGTCTCCTTTTCGCAAATCTCATTAGCTTCAGAAGCAATCAGATGAATAAATTCTACAAGATGAATGTCATGTTTTTTTAAAAATAATAATAATAAGATATCAATTACAAGTTATTTTTTCTTTTCTTTTCTTTATTAAATATATATAGATATATTTGGTGCATATATAAATTCTCACCAACACAGCAATCGATGAGAAGATCGCGTGTATCTTTGGCGCACACAACATCTTCGGGCATCATTTCGTTGATGAGTTTCTGGACGGTGGCTAGTAAAAAAAGTATTATCCAATAAAACAAGATAAGAACAATAATTAGTGTTCTTCTTGTTGTTGTTGGGTTTGTTGATTCGTTGGTGTCTATGTGTGGATTTCGTGTATTTTCTTTTTCTATTCTTTCTTGGTGTTCTTTATCTCTACCTTTTGGCAAAGATAGTTCATCATCGCCTGTGGGTCCAGAACGCTCATTATCGCTCATTTTTGTAAGGCAGATTGATTCAAATACAATGAACTGGTAAAGCTGTGAAAGAGTACTGTGGCATAAGAGAAAAAAAAAATTATATTAGTGACAAGGTTAAATATTTTTTTTTTATTTTTTTATTTTAAAAAAAAAAAAAAAAAAAAAAACTCCTCCTCTTTCCTTCTTTCCTTCCTTCCCTCTCCCTTTCCCTCCTTTCCCTCCTTTCTCTCCTTTCTCTGCTTAGCATGTCTGGGTGGCTTTCATACCTTTTTTTCAAGGAAATTAATTCAGAAAACTGTGCAGCAGCTAAAGCTACTTGAATATATATATAAATATATATAAATATAAATAGAAGAGTATATCTCCTAAGGACAGTCAATATATTGTACATCACCAGGAGAACACAAATAAAGTGAGGACTGTACCAAACCATAACTGTAAAATTTAGTGCTATTCAGACTTCAATATACTCTGACTTTTTTAAATACATATATCTTTAAGCAATTTTATAATAAAACACAATTATCAATAATATAAACCCTTCTACTGTACACAACCAATCCAAGTAAAAAAAAAAGAGCAAGCATTGGATTAATGAGTTAATGAGAAAGGAAAAGTTGGGAATGTGACTGCGCTTTAATACACATAGTTATATTGAAACAACTGCCTACAAAAATGAATAGAGAAATTGAAACAAGCAAAGGACTGCCTATCGAGAACCCTATGCACATTCCAAAAAGAAGACCTCCAGAAACACTATTATTTGTTACTTGACCTTATCTTATTTTATATTGACGCAATAAAGACATATAGATTGTCTTGATTTATTTTCCAAATATGAACCAAAGACGATTGAAATTTTAATTGAATTGTGGATCTATTTGAGTTCTTCAGATCATCTAAATGCTACCTATTTTTCTCAGTCTAATGTTTATCCTTTTGTAATAATAATCGAAAATAAGAGCAAAGAAATGGTTGAAATAACGGTTCTATCTTTTGGAAGCTTGAGATAAATTAACACTGTAAAATATTGTGGAATGGTATTCTTGGTGCGTTGTTATTATTATTACTGATGATGGTGTTGGTGAGAGTGATGATGTTTGTAGTTGTCGTTGTTGTTACAGATGTTATAGATGTTGGATTATTTACTTTTTTCTATTGCGACTGATCTTAATTTTACGCTTTTTCTCTGCCTTTGGAAGTTTGTGTTTTCGCTTCTCTCTTGCTTCTTCTTTGGCTTTCTTCTTACGGTCCTTTTTATCATCCTTATCTTCGTTCTTTTTGCCTCTCAAAGGCTTCTTTCTCCCACCATCATCTTCACTATCATCTTCACTGTCGTCTTCGCTATCATCGTCTTCACTATCATCGTCGTCATTATCCTCACTCTCTTCAACATCCTTCTTGGACTTTTTGACTTCTTTGACTTCTTTGGCCACAACTGGTTCCTCCTCCTTGATCTTTTCTTCGACCTTTTCTTCTTCAGTTACTATTGGCTTCTCAACTTTTTCTTCTACAGTCGTTTTTCCTTTAGCTTCCGACTCTGCCTTAGTCACAGTTTTGTCTTGAAGACTAAGCTTATCCAGAGCAAATGTAAGCTTTTTCTTAGATGGCTTCAATGTGTCTTTTGCGTTGGGATCAAAGTTGGCTTTACCCAAAAGATTGGCGTACACCAACTATAAATAAAAATTAACCACATCCAAATACACAGTCAGTCAGTCTTTAGTTTATATTGATAATCATTTAGGCTGACTTTTATCATTACTACTAAGCCAAGATAATCTAAAGTAAAGTATAATACTTACATCCTTGCCTTCACCTTCGGCAATCAAAAGGGTATCTCTTTCCACATCAATAACTTCCTCCAATGTCTGAGGAATATAGGAGCGCATAAAAATCTCTTCTTCAAGTGTGTTTCGCTCCTTTTCAGGTTCAGAGTTCATCTTGGTTTGGATCTACAATGATATATATATATATATATATATATATATATATATATTAAAACTACATGTCAGTAATGTCTTCTTTGTTTGTATGTGTATTTGATTTTACCTTTTCCAAAACATCATCTACTACTGCATCTTCGTTACTGAAGCTTGGATCTGTTACAAATGAAAATAGATCCATAAGACCCATTACGCGCACACCACGCTTAGAAAAGTAATCTGTCACATTGGAAAGATCCTTTCTTAAGAATTCAGAGGCATGAGGATGATCGTGTTCTACAGATTGGGACACATCGATAATGTACAACAATCCCTTGTGGTAACTATTTTTTTTAAAATAAAATAAATAAATACAAATTCATTCAGCTTTTGGTTGCATGACACATTGGATCGTTTATAACTCACAGTAAATTGTATTCACTCAAATCGGCGTGGACCAGGCGACACACCTGGTACATTGTGCGAACATTCTTGATCAATTGATAATAGAGAGAAGCGTATTTGGATTGTTCGATCTGAGCATCCTTGAGTCTTGGATAAGCCCTGTCAAAAAAGAAAGATCAAAGTAAAATAGATACGCACATGGTTTAGTTATCATACCTTTCCTTGCTCCTAAACAAATTGCCCCTCCCTTTTGATGATCAAAGTATATTTATGTATATGGTTATGTATCTTACCATCCATTTTTATCACCCAAGAACTCCATGACTAACACATGCATACGCAAAACAAGTGCTTCAGGGGAAGGAATACCGGCAGCCTTGATACGACGCAAGTTACGCATCTCCTTCTCAGCCCACACCTTAACCATCTTTCTAGGGTTTGATTTACTGTAACCATGACGGAAACGGTACTCGCCTGTTACGTAACGATCGCGATCCTTAAAAGTCAAAACCGAGGTCTTGTAGACCTTGATAGCTCTGTGTAGTCCATCTTCAGTAGCAGCGTGATAGACGTTGGCCTAAAACATTTGTGCGCATAAGTCTCACTTTTTTTCTTTAATTTTTACCCTCACAAGTTTCTGACAATCAGTTTTTCTCCTACTCCAACAATAAAAGTAACAATTACCTCTTTACCAGTACTGATACAACCGTTAATTTCGTAAAACACACCTCTGTTCAACATCTTGAACAGAATAATACGTGTACGGGGATCCAACACCTGTTCGACTGTAGCACGATCAGACTTATCTTTTTGGGTGTTTCTGAAATTTTACCAATACAAAGAAAAAGTTAAAAAAAATGCATTTCTTTTCTTTCAGGTACAAAGAAAAATTCCACCAATTGATTCACCAATGTGTGTATGTGATATTTACCTTTCACCACTAGCCTTTTTGCTACTCAATTTAATATCACTTGCTACCGAAGATGACATGCGTGGGGGTTCATAGGCACGGACTTGGATACGGCTAGTGAATTTACTGAGACTCTCAATCTGGCTTTCCAGTAACTGCTTCTTGGCAGCAACATCTTCTTTAGCAGTAGAAGCATTTGTTGCAGTCTTGGTTTTTTTGTTAGCAGCAGGAGCAATTGCAGTAGTAGTAGTAGTAGTAGTAGTTATAGTAGTAGTAGTTGAAGCTCCCGAGAAAGAGGGTGCGGCGGGACCAGCACGAGCAACTGGGGCTACCTGTTGGCGCAGACGGTTGTACTGTTTAGTGAAATCTAATAAATAAAAACATTATGTTACTGAGATTGATCTTGGTAGTGAATTGGAGGAGGAAACATTTTTTTATTATTATTGTTATTATTTCTCGGTTGTTTACCTCCCGAAGCACTGTCCCACAGATCGGTGTCATTTAGTTCATCGTCAAGATAATCGTCGTAATCGTCGTCGTCCGAGTCTTCCTGGTATGCGAGTTCAGACTCGTCAATCTCTTCAGCATCAGCAAATGCATCAGCATGTGACTCGGTGGTTGGTTTTGTTGTAATCTCGGAAGACATGATCTTCAAGTGGTCAAGACAATCAGGTAGAAATAGTCAAAGACAATGAATTAACTTTTTTTTTTAATTCAACTCTTTAAATCTTAACTTTCTCTTTCCGGCTCTTATGCCAATTGGTGGCTTGACCAGTGAAATCGGTCATTGTAATTTTTTTCTTTTATTTTTTTACATTTTTTTTTATTACTTTAAAATAAAAACAACAAAAAAATACGATATCTATTATCATTGAATTGTGTTGAAAACCTTTTAATTGTCATACAGTATAACATAAAGTAATAATAATAAAAATAAAAAAAAGTATTTTATTATTGGCACATTGAAACAAAAAGAAAATGCGCTTATATGTTAGCACGAGTTTTTGTGTATGTGCTTGGGTTTGGCAGGAGGAGGATATAATCTGTTGAAGAATGTACAAGAAGGAATAAGCTTTTTTTTTTTAAAAAAAAAAGAAATAAAAAAAAGAGAGTAAATGTTTGCTTACATACAAGAAAAAGGTACAGTAGAAAATAAAGAATAATAATAAGAAGGAAAACAAATATCAATATCAAGATGATGAAAAGAGGGTATGTTGAATACACACAGTCAGTAAAAGAAAGAAGAGGTAAGAAGTAAGTGGGAGAGAGGGAGATATGGAGAGAAGAGGTTGATTTTTGATATTAATTAGCGCATGGCTTGCTGGGTAGGTTCGACAGCAGACTCAATGTCGAAAAGACGCCAGATACCATCCGAGTCTTGGAAGTCGTTGTGGACAATGTTGACAAGATACCAGTTGTCAGCAACTCCCTTCAAGAGCTTGTTAGACACGCTCTCGGCGTCATACAGACGGGCCCATTCGTGCCACAAAGCAAAGGCTTCCTCCTGCAATAAGAAATACTTGTAAATAATAGGACAATCTCAATTATCATGTTTTGCCATTTACCTTCCAGGCCATAAAGGCAGCGGCTTCAACAACTGTAGGTTGGATGATCTCTTTGCTGGGGAATACACCCCATGTGACTGCATTGGGTCCATCACTCTGTGTGTTGGTTCTCAAATCACCCTGCTGGTTGACAGCATAGTAAGTGATGGAGATGTTGGATCCGATCTTGGTTACAAGATCATTGAGCTTCTCGGGAGACAAGAAACACTCCAGATAGGCCTTTTGGTAAATGTAACCGTTCTTGGGACCCCATCCGTGGACCTTGTCTGCGCTCTTGACACCATTGACAGCAGGCTGAGAGTTGATTGTCAAATAGCCAAGGTTGTTCAAGGCGGCCAAGTGAGAACGGATCTTCTCAGACTCGGGATCTAATTCGTGGAAGCACCAGGGAAGGGCTGCTACCTTACCAGCACAGTAGCTGGAGAAGATCTGAGAGATGTCCTGGATGGTAGTAGGAGAGTTCCACATCTTAAGGCACTCGGCAGGAGTATGCTTGAGAGAGATACCGTAACCGTCCAATTCACCAAAGGCAGGCGAGCGAGAATCACCCCAACGACCGTTGGGGAATTCATCCCAGAGTTCGGTACGCTTGATATAGCTCATGGTGCGGTTCTTCCAGAAGATGGGGCGGACATTTTCCTTGATACGCTTGGTGTGCAACGACTAACAAAAAAAATAAAAAAAGAAATTTTATTATTGATTTAGATAAAAGTACTTTTTTTTTTAAGAAACTTACAGGTTTCCATGGCAATGGCTTGACGGTTTCTTGGGAAGCAACATAGTTGAGACGTTCCAAGACAAGTCTGGTACTACGCTCTAAAAAAAAAAAATATTTGAGTAATTATTAGAAAAGGAAAGGACATGCATATATATATAATACGAGGTTTAACAAAGTTAATAGTAAATAAATAACTGAATAAATGTCTCACCAAGGTTGAAGGTGTAAAAGTGAACACCATTAAGGCCAGCAGCAAGCATTTTTTGGATAAATTCGACTGTCAATTGGATCCCGTATTCTTTGACAGCAGCATCATCATCCTTGATGGGTTCCAAGGCATCCCAGATAGCCTGGGGTACATGGTTGTCGTTGAAAGAAATGACACGCTTGAGACCATTGTAGTTTTGGATAGGGAACACACCAGGTAAAATGGGACAGGTGATGCCGGCAGCTCTGCACTTTTCTACAAATGACAAGAAGATATCGACATCAAAGAAGAGTTGGGTGACGACAAGATCGGCACCGGCATCAACCTTGGCCTTCAAGTGGAGGATATCTTGATCGAGTGTAGGACAATCGGCATGCTTTTCGGGATGGCCTATTTAGACATAGTGAAAATGGTGTGAGCTTTAAAACAAAACAAAGAAAAAAAACAAGTGAAAAAAAGCACTTTACCGGCAACAGCAATGCCAAAGTAATCGCCGTACTTAAGACGGATATATTTGACAAGATCGATGGCATTATTGAAACCACCTTCACAGGACTTCCAGGTTTCTTGACCATGAGGAGGATCACCACGGAGGGCAAGAATGTTCTGGCAGCCACACTTCTTTGCTTTCTAAAACAGAGAAAGAAAGAAAAAAATAGTGGGATGAGTCATTGGGAATTTGGTCCAATAGTGAATAAGAGTCAGAGTCAGAGTCAGACTTACTTCCAGGGCAGCATCAATCTTCTCGACTGGCATGTTTGTGCAAGTCAAATGCATCATGGTTTCGATACCATAGACAGTCTGGGCTGTCTGAACAATGTCTGTAGTAAGATCCGAGGTAGTTCCACCAGCACCCCATGTGACATCGATGAACTCTGGGCCAAATTTTTGCATACGTTCGATACGATCATAGAGATTTTGGACACCCTAATTAATTAATTTATTTATTGATTAATTGTTATTATTATTTTTGGTGTCAATAAAAGAAGTGCTGTTTGCTTTGATTGTTATTCGGTTTGCCCTTACTTGAGTGGTCTTTGGAGGGAAATATTCAAAGGACCAGTAAACGCGACCTTCTTCTTCGGCACGCTTGATTTTGTCAATAACTTTCATATTTTAAGAGGAAATCTAAATGTATGTATTGTTGGTTGTCTAAAAGAAGGCAACAGGTAAAAAGAAAAGAAAGAGAGAAGAGGTAGTAAAAGATGGAAATAAATATATATGTATATTTGTATATTTGTATATTTGTATATTTGAAAATACAGTAGAGCAAAGAGAAATTAGATGTGAAAAATAGAAAGAGATCTGTGGGATTAATTCTACTCTAAACCCCACCCTTTCTTTCTCCCCCCCCTCCCTTTTTTCTGTGTGTGTGTGGCGGATCTCATCTATTTTTCTTTTGCCACACCTTAGACCCTATGATATTTCTTGTTTTTTATTATTTTTGTAGATTTCCATCAGTGAGGTGCCTTGAATAGAGATGTCGCAATAACAGTCACATCATGCCTTTATAACCCGTTCAATTAAAATAAAATGCAGACCGTTAAAGATTCTCAAAATATTTATATGTACATGAAGCTTTATTGAGTGCATTCATATGCATATAAGCTATAGTTAAGAAACAGTTCTAGAAATAGGATCTGTCTACAAAAAAGAAATGAGCCGGAATTCCTTAACGAAAATTGGTACGATTAAGCGAACAAAAAAAGAAAATTACATATAAAAGGAAAAGTACAAGGAAAAGTATTAAAACAGAAATTCTGTATTCACAATTATAGTTATTCTTGTAAAATATATATATATACAAAAGAGATTACAGGCGTGTAACGTTGATTGATTTTTGGGTGAATGGAATCTAGCCAATGACAACCAGAAATTGTAACCGTAATTCCCAAAAACATATGAATGTGACAATGCTCTTGCTCACATTTATTATTGGGATACAACAACTAAAATGATTCATGTAATCAGCAGAGATTACTTTATGTATGGTGCACATCAAAGACAACCATATCTATGGACCAAATCAAAATATCAGTAGAAAATTTCATCTCATCAGGCTGTGAATATACAAAAAGAAGTCTATTACACTTATTTGCGTCTTTGAATATCAAAAATAATAATTAAGGCATTTGCTTGTCTTTGTTTAAAATTTAGGTGCCGGGTACCCAAATTTAAAGATCTACAATATAGATCATCTCTCTTTCCCTTTTTCTTTATCTTTTAATCGCTTCTGAATTTTTCTTTTTTGGAGTTGATTTTACTCTTTGACTTCTTCCTTTAATTCACCAGACCAAAATAAGAATAATAACTGTTAAATATCTGTCATTATTCTGTACAAGTACACTCTTTCCGGAAATTATTGGTGCACGAACAAAAATAAATTTGGTGCAAAAATACAAAATTATTTGGTGCAAAAATGGAATGCACCAAATGCACCAAAAAAGATGAATTAAACAGAGAAATGGTAAAAAATTGCACCAAATTTTATCTTTATTTTTGCACCAAATTTATTTTTATTTTTGCACCAATAATTTCCGGAGAGAGTGTATTGTATAGTGCTTCCAGAAAGTGGTGTCACTGGCCAATCAGAATTAATGTCACTAGCCAATGAAAAATGATGTCCCTGGCCAGAGTATATTTTTAGAAACCGTGCCACCATGATTCTTGGCACTGTAAGAGTATAAATACATTGTAGGTATTTTTTTGGGCATTTCTTTTGTTTTTCAATACTTTACTAATTTAATATAAGTACAATATTTTTATATGAAGATTGAAATGAGAATGTTGTTGATGAGGAAGGTGGTCCTGAGCCCATGGATTACATTGTTGTTGAGACACTTGCTACTCATAGTGAATACATGCAAACTGTCTCCTCGAGTGAATCTTCCCTGACTTCTCCTATGTTGATAGAAAAGCCAAAAAACGAAGATCCTCGTACGAAGGAGGCAAACGTACAACAGGATTAAATGCGTTATATTGCCTAGAATAAAGATTGGTTTTTCGAACTGAAGATTGAAAAGTGTATAGTGCATCATCTGCAGCAAGGCAGTTGGGTATTCACATTCGAACAGCGTACAGATGGATAAAGCAGTATTATATATGCCCTGAGAGCATTTTTAACAATACAAAAAAAAATAGGCCAAATATGTATCTTGACCGAAGATCATAAAATGACTGTTATCAACTTCATTGATACTAATCCATCTGCTTCTGTTGTCGAAGTGACTGAGCATTTATTGAGCCAATTCCATTATCAAAGTTTCTCGTAGCATTGTTTATAACTTTATGAGAAGTGAATGTAACCTTTCGTTGAAGAAAGCAGATTTCCACTCTATTGAACGAAACAGTCCGGAAAAGATTGAGGAACGATACAATTAGGCTGGCAAATGGGAAAATACAGACATGAATTTCCTGACGAATTGCGTGTTTCTTGGCAAGTCTGCTATTGTCATAAATATGAAATGTTCAAGAGCTTGGTCCAGAAAAGGCATTCGCGCTATTGTTATCAGACCAACTACGAAAGCAACACAACGTCTATATTGGGTGCTATCTCTGCCGCAGCTTTGATAACAGTCGGCGTAAGGAACCCCAGGCTTGTCAAGAAGAGAAAGGCTGAAGGATACATAAGCTCAGGAACTGTAACGGGTCACTGCATCAGTTTCTTAAAAATTACGCTTGATGAAATGGACAAACATCCACATATGAAAGGTCACTATGTAGTGATGGATAATGCACCTATTCACACGCATAAAAACATAAAAAAGTACATTAAGTATCGAGGGTATAAATGTGTGTATCTTATCTACTCTCCCGAGCTTAAACCAATTGTACAATTCTGGGTCGTGGCAAAGAGTAGGGTAAAGCACCATAATGTTTTGCAGGAAGACACCTTATCAAAAATAATTACTGAAGCCTGCAAAGATGTGGAGAAAAGTCATTTCAGAGGCTTCGTTTCACATTCTTACATGTGTTGGGATAAATGTCGAAATAGAGAGCCCATGTAATAATCACAGGACGCTCCCAAAATCAATGTAAAAAAAAATCTTGAGAGTAAGTGTAAGCGTAAGCGTAAGTGTAAGTTTTTTTTTTTTTTTTTTTTTTTTTTTTTGGTTGGGCAAACCCATGAGGGTAAGTGTAAGTGTAAACGGTTTATTTCCTTTAACGGGCAATAAAATGTTTTGGTTTTTTCCCACTCTTTTACGTTTACTTTTTTTTATCCAACATGTCACATCATAACTTGTTAACCATGACTTTACCGTTGGAATATATACCTGGTTGTGACAAAATGAGTCGAATGGTGCTCAAACACCAGGATGTTGTCGATCTTATCACCAAGGAATTACTAAATTCCCCAAATGGTACTTACACTCTGGCTGATGGCGATTGGAACAATTTAAGATGTGATGTTCTCTATATGTCCAAACTACCTTTGTCATTCCCACCAGTGCTGATCGAAGTTCAAAATACCATCAATAATCTGTTCCTCCAACGTTTGGTTTCCTATTCGTTGACCGTTGTCAAAACTTATCACGCTCTCCCAGTGGTATTGGTATTAGGTGCCAAAAAAATTTCTCCAGTTAGCCTGATTTTGGATTTTAACAAGCAATCCGAGCAAAAGCCATGGTTATTGACGATCCCTTCTTTGATTTGGGCAAGAAGATGCTTAATAATATCCAAAGAAACCATTCCCGACAGTATTTATTACACAAATCCCTTGAACCCCCTGCTTGGTCTGTCACTCTTCCTGTTGGAGCAACAGCCGTCTTTGCATCGTCATACTTATTCTGAAGACCCGACTATTATCCTTCTTTATCAAATCGCGTTCGCGCAATTATACCCTCAGGAAACATACCAACAAAATTTTCAGTCGGCTGTGGAAACGATATGCTCAACGAACAAACGCTTATTTGAAAGTATTCTTGATAAAGTTAACTCAAAGGAACCACTCAACAAGATTCGACGAATTTGTGAAAAAGGTATACATTACAATGATGAAGTAAAGGCCAGAATCGTGGATGATTCAGCATCCTCACAGTCTTCGGATGAACTGGATTTCCCTGAACCTTTACCCATGGGACCACAATCAAAGCGAACACATACAATGGTGGACGAAGACATTTAATTCGTTGAATCATTCAAAAAACAACAAAATGGCCGTATGAACTGGGAGTCTTGCTTAAAAGCGGGTCATTGTCGCGAACTCCTTGTCGCATACACTACTCCGGAAAGCTTACGAGTCACGTATGCTATGATTTCAAAAAAAAAGACAACAAATAATTCTGTATTCTTCTTTTAACATGCTCATATTGAGTCAAAATAATCAATACGTTCACTGTTCCTTGTACATCTTCATCTATAACTAAGGTGCCGCGTCTTGTTCATATTCTATGTCATCTCGACCATATGCATACACATTTTTGTTTGTAAGGAGCCGTAGCTCAGATTTATTGTGGTTTCTTGTCAGCAAGAAAAAAAAAGTCGCTGCATTTGTTTGGGTTTTTTAAGTTTTTAAATTGTTTTAAACTATTTTGTGTTTTTTGCAAGGAGTAAATATACGTGGCTAAGCCAGGAGGTCAATATCAATTTCGGCTTGGAAGCGTGAGACAAGAAGAGAAACAGAAGAGATGAGAGTGTCATGGTGGAAAGGTTTATCGTTAAATACGGAAGCCCAGTCATATTCATACACAAGTTCAAACATCATTATTAATAAATGAAAATAAAGAACAGTCAAATCATTACACTCTCGAGATTTTTTTTTACACTTACGCTTACACTTACGCTTACACTTACGGTTTGACTTACGCTTACACTTACGTTTTGACTTACGGTTTAACTTACGGTTTGACTTACGCTTACACTTACGGTTTGACTTACGGTTTGACTTACGTTTTGACTTATGGTTTAACTTACGGTTTGACTTACGCTTACACTTACGGTTTGACTTACGGTTTGACTTACGTTTTGACTTATGGTTTAACTTACGGTTTGACTTACGCTTACACTTACGCTTACACTTACGGTTTGACTTACGGTTTGACTTACGGTTTGACTTACGCTTACGCTTACACTTACTCTCAAGATTTTTTTTTACATTGATTTTGGGAGCGTCCTGTGATTATTACATGGGCTCTCTATTTCGACATTTATCCCAACACATGTAAGAATGTGAAACGAAGCCTCTGAAATGACTTTTCTCCACATCTTTGCAGGCTTCAGTAATTATTTTTGATAAGGTGTCTTCCTGCAAAACATTATGGTGCTTTACCCTACTCTTTGCCACGACCCAGAATTGTACAATTGGTTTAAGCTCGGGAGAGTAGATAAGATACACACATTTATACCCTCGATACTTAATGTACTTTTTTATGTTTTTATGCGTGTGAATAGGTGCATTATCCATCACTACATAGTGACCTTTCATATGTGGATGTTTGTCCATTTCATCAAGCGTAATTTTTAAGAAACTGATGCAGTGACCCGTTACAGTTCCTGAGCTTATGTATCCTTCAGCCTTTCTCTTCTTGACAAGCCTGGGGTTCCTTACGCCGACTGTTATCAAAGCTGCGGCAGAGATAGCACCCAATATAGACGTTGTGTTGCTTTCGTAGTTGGTCTGATAACAATAGCGCGAATGCCTTTTCTGGACCAAGCTCTTGAACATTTCATATTTATGACAATAGCAGACTTGCCAAGAAACACGCAATTCGTCAGGAAATTCATGTCTGTATTTTCCCATTTGCCAGCCTAATTGTATCGTTCCTCAATCTTTTCCGGACTGTTTCGTTCAATAGAGTGGAAATCTGCTTTCTTCAACGAAAGGTTACATTCACTTCTCATAAAGTTATAAACAATGCTACGAGAAACTTTGATAATGGAATTGGCTCAATAAATGCTCAGTCACTTCGACAACAGAAGCAGATGGATTAGTATCAACGAAGTTGATAACAGTCATTTTATGATCTTCGGTCAAGATACATATTTGGCCTATTTTTTTTGTATTGTTAAAAATGCTCTCAGGGCACATGTAATACTGAGAGGGAATTTAAGGTCTAATCGATTAGACACTCCGTGAGCACCTACTGTTGTTGCGACGGATTTTGAAATTAGAAAAAAAATAAAATCATAGCAACAAAAGAAGACAATTAGTGTAGAACTAAAGACATTAGTAGAGAACTAAGAGATTGAGTGAACCTTAGAAAATAATAAAACAATGATGTAAAAAATAGGATAGAAACAATATAAAAGCAAAGGCAAATAACATGAAATAAAGACCATATTACACCTTGATTCTCAAATTCTATGCAATTGTTTCTATCCCAAAACCCTTATAATCACACTCTCATCGAACACCTGGTTAGTCCTAATTGAATCTCCACTAGTGTAACAAAAAGGCTAACCAGCGCGTTCACACTACTAAATCTCGCTCCTTTTATAGAATATTTAATCGACGACATTTTTTTAAGCTGACGAGTCTTTGTCTACTTTTTTTGAAGTCTTAAAGCACTTAATTATTTACATCATCTGCATATTTCTCTTATTTTTTAGGCATCTCTGATAGAGCAAAGATTATTCTTACAAAAATCAGTAGTAAATGTTTTTTGAAGCCTTTGAACTGACTATTATTGCTGTTATTCGTGTTTGTAAATAGATAGAAAAATAAAAGTTTATTAGGGGACATTCTAGTAAAATACAAATATTCTGTGCAACTAACCTCGCGTGACTGTTATTTTCAATTTCAGAAGTTACTATAAACAGTAAAGAAAATTAAGGCGGTCGACCGTTAAAAATCGGTCGACTACAACTATGTGAACGCCTACTCAGTATACAGCTGTAACTCATACCGAGCCGTATTAGGAATTGATCAGTTCTTTTAAATCAGGTGCACCTAGCTCTTATACACAGATAGAGCAAAAGTATTAAATCCAAATAAAGGCCAAAAAATGACTGGTCTTTTGTGTGTGTATATATATATATATCGAACTCAAATAAGAATATTAATAATAACAATTCATATCTTCTTCTTCTTCTTAAATTAACAACCTTTTCGAGGGTGGGAGGTTATCTTTTCCCCCTTAAAACAGCAGCAATAAGAATAGTAGTAATTGTAGTAGCCAAGAAAACAATAGCTGTGATATCGTTTTCTTCTTCTTTTTCTTCTTTTTTCTATTGCTATGAAAATAAAACCATCAAACAGCCACCTTTAACTTTCTTAGCAGCAACAGCAATAAGAGAAGAAGACAATAAAGATCAAAAACATTACCACAATGGAAACAGTCAGACCAAGAGAAAACCAGACTCAAACAACCGTCCCTGACGATACCAAGAGTGTCGGTCCGGACGGTAAAAAGAAAAGAACAGGACCAAAACGACGCAAAGTGACTCATGGTAATAACAGTAATAGCAACAGCAAGATTAGAAAGGTTAAATCACCAATACATTAAAGACAATGCTAATAAGACCAATGCCATTATTTATTTTCTGTAGCATGTGTATATTGTCGTAGATCGCACATGACATGTGATGATGGTAACTATCACCATTTTGAAGATGGTCTTCCTTTGCTATCTGTCTCTCTCTCTATCTCCCTATCTCTCTTTTTTATAGTATCGTATATAATTACATATAATTAGTTATTCTGGTTTAGTGTTTTCTTTACGTGTATGAAGTGATATGATAATCTTTGCCTAATTATGTTCAATATGTATATAAATAATAATAATGATAATAGTAATAATAAATGTATATACATGTATATTTATATGAAATGATAATAAAGGGCGGCCGTGTCAACGCTGTATTAAGCGAAGCATTGGACATATGTGCCATGATGAACCAAAAGAATCTGCCTCTTCTTCTGGATCTACTACCAATAGTGCTGCTCCAAAAGGCAGTCGAGAATCGTCTATTACGAGCGATTCAGATTACAAATCTTCTGTCAAGAGAGTGATTCCCCCAACAAAGTACCAAAGCAAGTATATCATACACTATACACTCTAACAACAACAACAACAACAACAAAAATACAGCTAGATATATATACGTCAAATAAACTAATTGTTATTATTATTCTTACTTTGTAAAACTCATGATTATAATAATAATAATCATTTTCCGTAGATCATGGATCTGCCAGTAATCTTGGTGGTCTACCTCTTCAATTTTTTGGTCAAGTAGGAACTGGACAATTGACATTTGCAAGTGAACACATGGGAAATGAGATTTCTGTTATAAGGTAAATACTACAGCAAAAAAATGTATTAAAGGCAATTAATCAATCAATCAATCAATCCTTTATCTATTATCAATATTTTATTGACCTTTTTTCTTTCTTTCCAGTGATTTTTTGGATTCTATGGGAAATGTCAACCTTTTACTCGGAAACCAGCATAACAACAGCAATGTCAACAGTAGTAGCAATAGCAGTAGAGGAGGAGGAGGAAGAGGAGGAGGAACACCTGTGACAGAATCACCGATTGTCAATACAACTGAAAAGTTCTTTTTGACAGCTGCTGATCCCTCTGACGGTCGATTGGAAGATAGACTGACAGAAGTCATCAATGCCAAATATGAAGCTGGTTTCTTGAAACCATACAACTATGTAAATGGATATGCACGGCTTCAAAAGTATATGGACCGACAGTAAGTACAGGAATTATATATATACATATATACATAAAAGAAAAAATAAGATTATTATTATTATTTTTGGCTTGTTTAATAAACATATATATGTATGTATATATAATAGCGCACACAGTATGTCAGCTTCAAGCAGGCAACGCATTTTGAATGTTATGGGTACATTTCGCCCGGCATTTAGATCCGTAGCCCAATCATTAACAGACATCGACTTGATTCTTGTGGAAGAAGCCTTTGAAAGACTTTTGTTGGTAATATATACAGACATATATATATATATACAAAAATTAATCAATATTTTTTGGTTTGTTTTGGTTTGTTTTGTTTAAGGATTATGATCGCGTGTTTAGCTCAATGGGTATTCCTGCATGTTTGTGGCGTCGTACTGGTGAGATCTACAAAGGAAACAAGGAATTTGCATCCCTCGTAAATGTTCCCATGGAGACCCTACGCGAGGTATATATAAATATAGATATGTAGAATTATAATCATTATCATGAGGAGTAGGAGGAGTAGGAGGGGCGGTATGTTTAATATAACTATTAGTTTCTAACTGCATTCTTTGTTTTGTTTGTGCGTGTGTATAATATATAAAGGGGCGTCTTTGTATCTATGAATTAATGGCAGAGGAATCGTCTGTTAATTATTGGGAGAAATATGGAAATATTGCATTCGACCCCGGCCAAAAGGCTGTATTGACCTCTTGCTTGTTGAGGAATCCGGACCGAGAAGAAACCAGTGTCATATCTTGTTGTTTCTCATTTACGATCCGCAGAGACAAATACAATATACCGGTAAGTATTACACATTTACAATATTTTTTGTTTGTTTGTTTGTTTGTTTGAAATCTGAAGAAGAAGAAGAAGAAGAAGAAGAAAAAAAAACATGTATTGATCGGTACTTTGGATCTACAAAATTACTCTATAGACTGTAATTGTAGGTAACTTCTTACCTGTTCAACTCCAGTAAAATAAAAATGAATATATATATATATATTTTAAAAGAAGGAAAGAGTAAATGTATGTGTATGTAAGTATGAATGCGCGTGTGCGTGTGAAACTGTACGTAAAGGTGAGAGAAATGGAGTGAATGAAAGAGAAGAGAGAAAAACGTAAAAAAGAGAATCCAATTTCCTAGATTATATTATTCTTCCAAAGTATAATATATATATATATATATGTATATGTATATAAGTATTTGTGTGTGTATGTATGTGTATGTGTACGTGTGCGCACGCGTGTGTGTGTGTGTGTGTTTGTGTATGTGTGTTTGTGTGTAAGTATGATTTATGTCTTTCTATACAATCCTAATGGCAAATCATCCTCATCTGGATGTACTTGTTCTTTTGGTGTTCGGTATTTTTTCGATTGACTTTCTGGAGGGGTTGGCATCTCATCATCACCAGAAGAATCACTTGAATTTCTATCATCCGATTCTTCATCTTGCGAATGGTGTTGACGATGTTGCTGCTGTTGCTGCTGTTGGCGTTGGTTTGGATTTAAGTAGTTGTCAGGTACAACAAACCCAGTTGACTCCTTGGACTGTACATGCATAAAGGTCTGAAGCGACCCAGAATCCTTGGGTCGCTGTTTAGGCTCTTTGCGTACCAACCTCTTCTTTTTTTTGCTTGCAACAAGCATTCTACGTGCTTTTAGTGCTTGTTCTGCTTCGTATGCTTCTTCATCCACAATATCATGCGGTTGCATCTCCTGTTGTTGGGCACTGATAATAGAAAGATACCAAAACATGAGATTGGAAATCAAGACCTGTTCTTTCAGTGGACGACGTGGGTTGGCGAGTTTGATATGCGAGAGACGATAGACGGCTCGTTCGATATGAATCGGGAGACGACTTTGATTGATTTTGTTGAGCTGGAAATCTTTGGGTGGTCGTCCCTGCTGGGTGGCAAAAGAGGCTGTGTCTGCACCAGCACCAGAAGAAGAAGAAGAGGCATGTTTAGATGTGGATTTTTTGGAAAATAAGGACGAGAGCCCAAATCTTTTGCTGGAGGCAACAACTTCAGCTGGAACTGGTGGTAGTGACAATGTAGATGCCGGTTTGTCATGCTCATAAGGATGGTTATTAGTAGATGTATTCAGGGGTTTAGTAGATTCGGTTGTTTTTGACTTCTTGGCCTTGTCGTCGGACCAGAATGCCCAAGACCAGGTGGATTTGCGCTCTCGAGTGGCGGCACTCTGGGTACGACTCATCTTGGACGATTCAGGAGATCCAACGGAGAATGCCTGCACTTCCGTAGCATTTTCATGTGCCAGAGAGCGTGGTTTTGTTGACGACAATGAGGATAATGATGAAGATGAAGATGTTGTGGATGTGGCTGTGTCTGTGGCTGTGGCTGTTGATGATGATGATGGCGGTGGTAATACTGGCTGTTGTAGCGGATGTGTAGAGGGAGTAAGATCAAGGGAACGAGAGTGCGAGTGCGAGTAAGTTGTTGTGGGCGGCTCGAATGAGACTGGCCTGTCCTGTAATATCACACCTTCATCCAGGGGTGCTTCCAGAAGTTCTGTTGGAGTGGTTGGATAGACAGGTTCGCTCCGGCGATAATTGTGCCACGGCTTTGGATGTTCCATGCGTGTGGGGGTAGAGAGGGAGAGAGAGGCGAGAGAGGAATTGCGTTGGAACCTTGTCCGAGCACCCCTTCGAAACAAAGGCCGGTCTGCTTTGGGCACCAGAACAGGTGAGTCGTCCAAAGAAGACGAATTCCGATCAAAGACAAGAAAGAGAGGTAATTCTATAAAATCAACATTGAGTTGGTTTTTTTAAAAGAAGAAGTAAAAAGAGAGTTAGGTTTCTGAGGAGAAAGATAGAAATATAGGAAAAGAGGGGTCTGTTATTCTTTTCTTTTTTTATTATTATCATTATTATCTGCTTTTGTTTTTGTGCATCTTTGTAAATATACACCCCTCCATCCCCCCCAATATTCTTGACAAGTCTTTACAATTATCTATGTATGTTATACTGAATTGTATTTTATTTTACCTGAAGTGCTTGGTAGCTGCAGACTCACACTTCGTCGCAATCTTACTCGTCTTTGCGCAGCTAAAAGTGTTTCTGCAGGTGACTGTTCGTCCAGTAGATCATGATCAGTCGATAATCGTGCATGACTTGACTGAGTGCGTGTCATCTTTTCCATCGAACCTTCCCCTTCGGTCTCGCCCTTGTCAAGATCTTCAAGTGCAGTAAAGGACATGGATAGAATAGATTTTCGACGCTTCATCTGTGACTGGGTCCTGTTTGCAAATCCATGGCCTTGGAGGTATTTCTCAAACTCTGCAGGTGCAATCTCTGGGTGTTGTGATGCTGGCACCCTATATATACATATAGTTATAAAACGATATATATATATAAAGATAGGCAGAGAAGGAATTAGTTGTTATTATTATTATTTTGCATTTTTCTTTGCGTTTTTTCTTTTAATATATATATATATATATGTGTGTGTGTGTGTATACGTATGCATGTATACATGTAAAGTATGTTATTTACCAGAATAAATGAGATGGATTGACAGTTTCGATGCTAATGACCTTTGTGCGTGTTTCGCCTACAATGTCGTCAAGGAGAGATTTCGAGAGAGAGAGGGCGCGTGTTAATCCAGCAGTTGTCATTGGACTCAGACGAGTATTTTCGTCGTCAGCATTGTCTTCTTCATCATTCTTTATGGTCTTTTGAGGCTCGGCTGTCAATGTGGTTGGTGATGTATCGAGGTGAAGGGATTTTCGGGCAGAATCGGTCGTGAGAGGGTTATCGGTGGGCTGATAAAACGATGTATAAGCAAGATCGAGGTCTTTTGAGAAAAATGCAAACGGGTCATCTTGGTCGTTCATGACTGAAAGTTAATAATAATGAAACAGCTGTTGAATAATGTAAGACTAGAAGGGAGAATAAAAATAATAATAAAATAAAATAAAGAAATTAAAAAGAAACAATATATAAAATATAAAATAAAAAGAAGTTTAATAAAAAGGAAATATAAGCGTGTGTTTGAATGTATGTAATAAAGAAGAATAAGGAAAATAAAGTAAGCTAAACTAAACTAAAAAGAAATAGAAACAAAAGCTGGAATCTGCTAATTCACAAAAGGATGAATAGATGTTCTGGATTCCCTTTTTTGTAATTGTCTTTTGTGAGCTTCTTTAAGAAAGAAAGAGAGGAAAAGAGAAAGAGAGGAAAAGAAGATATATGCTTATATATATATAAAGATATATTTATATACATATATAGATATATATTAGTGATGATGAATAGGGACCATAAGATCGACAATGAGGGCCAAAGCGTAAGAGTAATGAAAGAAAGGAGGTTTGGTTTTCATGGTTACCACTGATGGGTTGTCAGGGAGGCCGGACTGGGATTTATTATTATTTTCTCTCTTTCTCTCTCTTTTACTATTCAAACATAACATGCGGTGTCACCATCAAATATGGCTTGATTCGTCATGAAACTGTTACAGAAGACAAGGAAAATTGAAACTGATGAACATACACAAATATATAAATATATATTTCTAAAATTGACAGTTAAATCATTGGATTTCAAACGCACACATGTCATTTAACCAATCATAAATTAATTTGGTAACATATTTGAGGTATCGTTATTTTTCTTTTAAAAAAAAACCCTATATTATTGGAGAGATTTAGACTGTAATTACCTATATATATTCTTCCTAATGTGTGTACTAGCCTTTTTGAGAAGACAAGGCAGACAAGATCATCGCAAGTTTATATTTGTTGTTCTTTACGTATATATATTTATACTGGTAAGAGAAAATATTAGTTTTTTTTTGGACAAGTACGATAGAATTATTTTATCCAATAATATTGCATTTAAACACACGTTATTATTTATCTATCTTGAATAGTCTTTAAAGTATATAAATAATTATACACACAAGAATAACAGAAAAGAAAGGTAATGAATCAAATGAGATCAAATAGCTTATAATTTACTCGAGTTTCTTCACAACAAATTGATCTTAGTACAATTATTTTTTCGTCTTCTTTAAATAACACGCTTGAATTTAATGGATTAGCGTGGAATAAATATTTCTCTTAAAAGCCAATAAGATTCGCTCGGTTAAACGTAATCATTACTATATTGTTTTGGGGGTTGATGTTTTTTGGGCGACGTCAGACATTTGGCTTCCCTCTTTTTTTTTTTTTTTTTTTTTTACCTAAAACCCATATTGACATTCCAGCTCACCATTAAACCAAACCTCTTTATTTACCTTTGCTTCCTTCCCTTACTTTAATTGACACCTTTAAACACTTATTTTTTTTCTCTTTAAAAGATGGATATGGATGTTGAAGCAATGCTGGATGCTCCTTTCCAGGAAAATAAAGTGAGCCTCATTAACCATTGTATTTTTATTATTTTTATTATGTGCTAGTGAATTTATAAACTATATTGAACCAAAGCCAATCAAAAAAATCTCTCTCTCTCCTTGCCTCTCTATTTATAATTACCATTATCATTGCCTTTATCATTATATTTATATCTCTTTATGTTTTTTTCTTGAATTTCATTTATTTATTTTACTAATAAAACTACGACCAGACTGCACCTGTAGAGCCTGAACGCCATCATGAAGTTGTTGTAAAAGACGATCGCCACCGAGAAGAAAGAAGGTTTGAGAATATTCTTTTAGCTGACAACAAAATAAAAGGAATATAAATGATTTAAACAATTTCATTGTTGCACTCTTTAAAGATCTAGACGGTCATCACGTTCACCTTCTCGATCACACGGATCCCGCTCTAGACATAGCAGACGCCATCGCAGCCGTTCGCGTGAGTACCGTCGTTCAGGTTCGCGATCTACTAGCAGAGATAGACGTAGAAGGCCATCCAGAGAACGTAGAAGACGTAGTCCTAGTCCACGTATGCCACCAAGTCGTGGTTTTGACAGAAATCAGTATGTAAATTATTATTGTCATTATATATATATATATTATTTAAATTTTTCTTTTTTTGGGCAACAAACCATTTCTCCTTTTTCTTTCTTTTACAAAAGCGAGCAATAATATATAGATATATAGATATATATAAGATAGAAATATGCATAGAAATATCAGCTCTTATAAAATGTAATATTTTTATCAATAGACGTAGAAGAGGACGTGCCAGATCTCCTTCACCTCCACTGCCAGAAGAAGAAAGAGATAGACGTACAGTGTTTGTGACACAATTGGCACAACGTCTTAAATCTCGAGAACTTGAAGATTTTTTCACACAGGCAGGTCGGGTTCGTGATGCAAAGATCATTTTCGATCGACATTCTGGACGATCAAAAGGGTAAGTCAATTGATGAAAATTTGGTTTGATCTATAAAGTTTCTTGTTAGAAATATTGTTATTTTTATTATTTTCTTTAAAAAAGACAGCTATTTACTTTACTTTACTTTAATTTACTTTAATTTTTTCATTTATTCATTTATTTATTTATTGTAAATCTTTAGAGTTGGGTATGTCGAATTTTATGACGAGGACTCGGTTCAAAGTGCATTGGCAATGTCAGGCCAAAAACTTTTAGGTATTCCAGTCGTTGTCCAACTTACAGAAGCTGAAAAGAACCGTCTTGCTATGCAAGCAGCAAAGAACGCGTATGTGATCAGGTTATTTTTTTTGACAATTTTATTCTTATTTGGGGAGGATTATAGTTTCTATATCTCTGTGTGTGTTTGCATTAAAAACAGATATTTATTTATTTATTTATTTATTTTTTGGGTTGATTAGTCAGATGGCCGCACAAGATCAAGAATTGTTTTATCAACGTCTGTATGTGGGATCGATTCATTTTAGCCTCACTGAAGATGATATTCGCCAGATATTCGAACCCTTTGGTCCCCTTGATTTCGTTAATCTCCACAAAGGTTAGTGGCATGTTGATTAGAGAGATATAAGTAAAGAAAAAGAAAAGCTTATATTAAAGTTGATTAATTAATTAATAATTCAATCACTCATTTCAATCATTTCAATTATTTAATTAATCAATTAATCAATTACTTCTAATCTTATTTTATTATATACATATATAAAAGACCCTGAAACTGGCAAGTCAAAAGGTTATGCTTTTATTCAGTAAGTAAAATTAACTGGTGCTATCAAATTACAATACCATATGCTTATCTCTAATCTATGTATTGCTTTTCAATAGATACAAAAATGCCGAAGATTCAAAACAAGCCCTTGAAAAGATGAATGGCTTTGAATTGGCTGGAAGAAATGTAAGACTTGTCGCTATTGATCACAAAATGATGAAAAAAAATTAAGGTCAAAGTAAACTGATGTTGAAACTGTCTAGTTGAAAGTAGGATTGGTGACTGAAAAGACATCCGTGATGAGCTCCAGTCTAGACGACGATGGTAAGTTTAAAGTTTTAGCTTTCATTACTGTCGCTATTATTGGAGAAAAGGGTGTAAAATGTTTTATTAATTGTTTGATTTGATTAATTAGCTGGTCTCGCGCTCAATTCGCTATCACGTACAGAGTTGATGAAGAAACTGGCTGCTCGTCAGACAGATTTGATGGAAGAACTTGAACCCTCGACTCCTTTTATGCCGTGAGTAATACAAATAAGACAAACATGTCAATTTATTTCATTAACATCTATATAATTTACTACTATTACTATTTTCATCAGACCAAAGCCTATTATTCCAGTTAGTGCATCTCGTACAGTAATGTTGAACAATATGTTCAACCCTTCAGAGTAAGTTTCTTGGGCTGTTTAAGTGAATCGGTATATTGATTGAATTGGCTTTAATTTCTTTCTTTATTTGATGATTTTTTTAGAGAGAGTGAGCCAGATTGGATGCAGGATTTAGAAACTGATGTAAAAGATGAATGCTTGCACTTTGGGCAGGTTACCCACATCCATGTTAATGAAGACTCTTTGGTAAAAAAAAACACTAACAAAAATGGGGGTTTAATAGCAGGGCATCAGAATGTAAATATTTACTGATATGTGTACCGTTTTATGTAGGGAGAGATCTTTGTAAAGTTTGGTACAGTTGATGCTGCCGAGAGAGCTGTAAAGGCACTCAATGGTAGATGGTTTGGAGGAAGACAGGTAATTAGATATATAGCAAAAGAAAGATATGGTTGAAAGAAAAATAGTGATTTTGACATATTATTGTGTAGATCACGGCTGCATTTGTCTCAGAGGCTATCTATAATGCCAAATTTTCGCTCTAAAAAATATGAAAAAATGAAAGATGTGAATTACTAGGAAACTCTATTCACGTGAAATTCGACCAGAAAGCAAAAGCAAGAGCAAAAACAGAAGAAGAAGAAGAAGAAGAAGAAGAAGAAGAAGAAAAACACCAAAAACACTAAAAAGATCAAAAAGGACATCTCACGCTCACCATTACTGACAACATACAACCTCTCTTACATCACATCTCACCGGAAATATCTTCCTTTCCCACAAACACACAAACACACAAACACAACCTCCTTGGTCAACAAAAATGAAAGAGAAAGAGGAAAAAAAATAACAAGAAACGCTAGCTGGTGAAACTTGCGCAATGAAAGAGAGAATATGCTGATAAACGCTTCATTCTTTCTCAACATAGGTTTACAAGTTGCGATAATAAAAACTCTACCCCTCACTACACTCCAAAAAAATCACTTTGATTCATTATGGCCATAATTATCTTTATTTTCTATCATAGTTGCGTTTCCATCCAAGGAAGAAGTCTATTCATTCGTACGTTGGAATTGCCACACACTGTGGCTAAATCAGGTTCTATTCCTTTTTGGAACTCACAATAATGTACAATACTCTTAAAAATATTTTGTGAAAGCAGGTCAAACTCCAAAGAAATTGGCACGCTACAATACAATACAATACACTATACTACAATACACTACACTACACTGCACATAATCATATACATGTATTGTTACTTAAGCAAAAGAGAGAGAGAGAGAGACAAAGAGACAAAGAGACAAAGAAAAAGAAAAAGAACCCTCTGGTTATGTATGTAATAGCTTTGTATTTAGAATAAACATCTGTTGTATTTACTAAATGTGTACATGACAGCGTGAGTCTTTTTCTTTCTTTCTTTCTTTCTTTCTTCTTTATTTTTACTTTTAACTTTAGCTATTATAAAATGTGTATATTCTATCTGTTTGTAGTCAAAAAGCTATTAGCTTCAATAAGTAAATTAGCCTTGACTAAACCTGTATGGTGAGGATTCTAGTCAGATCAAGTAATTATAAACATGAGCTCAGAATTAACCTTTAAATATTCAAGCGTGATGTATTCAAAACTTATATATGTTTTTTAAATACGCGTTTCATTTTCTGTACTGAATAAGTAATGCTTATTCTGCGTCACGAATTTTACCTAAAATAAAATAAGAATAAATTCTGTAGCACTTTGAACCACTCTCATATACAGATCTATATACAGTGATATCTAATACACCAAAAAAAGAAAGAAAGAAAGAAAGAAAGAAAGAAAAGAAAAAGGTTTATACATCATGTGTATAGGTGTATAAAGTAACGCTTAGTAAAATCCAAAATTTATGTATAATTCTATCTTGTTTCTTTTTTATTCTTTTTTACTTTCTGGTGTTCTGAAAAACGATTGGCCGATGTCGTACACAAACTGTGCCAAGTTTATGTAGACGCCTGATTTCCATAAATGTCACTTTTAAAAGCAAAAACGATAAATCAGGAGCCAAGTATGGCGAAAGAATAACATGGCATTGAATTCCGATGAAATAAGGAAAATACATGACTGAAGTTAATAATCAATAGTGTGAAATGTCTAATAGATCAATACATGTATGCGTGTATGAATATATATATATATATATACATATATACATATAAAAATGCTTATGTACAAGTATTAAGAGAATTCAAAGCAAAGAAGTATAGACCTGAAGAGAGAGAGAGAGAGAGAGCTAAAGAAGCAGAGATAATGAGAGAAAGAAGAATGTAGTGTTCAGTTATCAAAGTACTACTTTAATACCTCCTTTTTTACCTTTTTTGTTCTTCTTGTTTTCTTTTCTCTTCTTCTTCTTCTTTTTTATCTATTTATTTTTATTTTTATTTTTATTTTTATTTTTATTTTTTACTATTACTATTACTATTACTATCGTTATTATTACTATCTGCTCTCTTACTTTGCTTTGCCTTTATACTCGTTACCTCTTTATAAATCTTTATTGAAACATTAAAATAGTAAAAGAAAAAGATACGCATTTCTTTCTCTTTTTATTATCAATATTGCGTGCATTTATACATATACATTTTTCTCGTTCTACGTACAGCCTTGCATATACGGACGCAATCACATACACAAAGAGAAAGAGATTCAATTCATCATGTCCGCACCATTCGACAATCAAGTCAACCTTAGAATGTTTGCAACATTAAGGCTTTCGGAAGAAGATTCAGCAATGTCGGATGATTCCCAAGTAACCTTGACTGAATCAAGATCCCCAGCATCCAGAACTCATTCACTTAGCTCTAGAAACCGTTCGCTCAGCTCTAGAAGTCTTTCACTTGGCTCTAGAAACAGTCTCCGTCGACTAAGGCCTCAGCGAAGCTACAACTCCGGACGCAACCTCCTTTCCAATACGTCTTCGACAATAACGACTCCAGAGCCAGTAATATTACCCAAAAAGATTGGTGTGTAAATTAAGAATATAATAGACGCACATTTATAGTATTTTTTTTAATATGTGAATTGATTTACATTGTATTATACGATACTTGCTTCAAGCTTTTTTAAATGATTATAATTATAATAATTATAATAACTATTTACTTAATCTATTTTATTTTATTCTATTTTTATTCTTTAGACTTTCTTAGGCGTTTACCATTCGAACTAGGAGCTTACATTGTGTCTCTTTTGGACTTCCAAAGCCTATTGGCCGTTTCATGTGTATCAAAGATCTGGCGCCAACACTACCTTTCAAAAGATCAATGGAGGTTTCGGATCTTGGAAAGAAACTGGAAACTAAAGGCTCCGTCTAGTCTCAATGTCGAGGAATACCAAGTGGACTGGTACTATTGGTTCAAACAACGGTACCAGCTCGAGACTCGTTGGCGGCTGGGTAAAGTTGCGGCTCACTATTTAGATGGTCACCTCCAAGGTGTGTACTGTGTCCAGTTTGATGACCAAAAGATCGTTACCGGTAGTCGAGACACTACGATCAAGATCTGGGATGCCCGGTCATACCAGTGTATCAGAACTCTTGCTGGCCACGAGGGCAGTGTGTTGTGCCTGAATTATGATGACCGGACGATGGTCTCGGGTTCATCCGATACAACTCTCATCGTGTGGAATTTACATAACCTGAAGAATATAATGAGACTTAGAGTAAGGTCTCTACTAATTATTAGCTTATAGTATTATAAACTATAGTACTACTACTCTAATATATATATACATATACATACAAAATAATATAGAAAACCAAGAATAATAAGAATAAGAGAAAACAAGAGAAAAAAGCTGTATTGAAAACAAAACAAAAAAAATATTAGTCTTTATTTTCTTATTTTATTTTTAATTTATTTATTTTTTGTAGGGTCATACAGCAGGCATTTCTGGAGTGTGCTTTGATGACCGATGTATAATCAGCAGTTCAAAGGACAATACGATACGGATATGGAATTTTGCGGATGGTGCGCCGATTAGAGTCATTACAGGACATTCAGGACCAGTGAATTCGATTCAACTGAAAGGAAATCATCTTGTATCTGTGTCCGGCGACGGTCTAATTAAACTGTGGAATATACTTAGTGGAAACTGTATAAGGATGTTTTCTGGACATACTGGAGGATTGACCTGTGTGCAATTTGATGGTCGAAGAATAGTGAGTGGAGCCAGCGATCACACAATCAAAGTATGGGATGCAGAGGTAAAATAAAATAAAATACATGATGTCTTGATATTTAAATACAATTAATACCAATTAATTTTATATTTATAATTTAGACTGGAAAATGCTTATTGACTTGTGAAGGTAAATAAGAAAGTAAAGAAACATATATATATATATATCTATTAGATATAAAAAAATATATATAGAGAGAAAAAACTGTAGATGATCTTATTGTTTCTTTGTTTTATTTAATAGGACACACAAATCTGGTACGATCTTTGCACGTACAAGATAATACAATTATAAGTGCTAGCTACGATGAGACCATGCGTGTGTGGGATCTAAGGTAAAGGAATAAAGATTTGAAACCAAGATTGATAAGAATTTTGGTAATTTCTGCTATTTATTTCTATTCTTTTTTGGAATGAATAAGTAACCCTGAATTTTCTACACGTTTAATAGGACGGGTGAATGTCTCTTATGTTATCAAAGTGGACACACAAGCTGGATCTTTGATGTCTATTTTGATCAAAAGAAGATTGTGAGGTAAAACAAGAAAAAAAAAGCGCAAAAAAAAAACGCCCTGTGTTCCATTAATGAGTACTGATCGATTATATGTAGTGTTAGTCAAGACAAGAGAATACTTGTAATGGATTTTTCAGAGGGATTAGACACACGCTTCTTTGCCTGATTAATTTGAAGTTTCTAGTGCTTAATTTTCTGCTCAGATAACTTGTATGATTATTTTATAGTAAATAGTAAATAGTAATAATAATAATAATAGTAATAATTTTAATAATAATTTTAATAATGATAATTTTAACAATTTTTACGATTTTTATGGTTTTTATGATGATAATCATAGTGATAGGAATGGAAAGAAGAAGAAAAACAAAGAATAATCATACACATGCCTTACACACCTTTAGCTTCATAAATGATTTCATTTTCAATACGACAACCACACTACACCACGCAAAAACCAACCAAAACAATCCCTTTTTTTTTTATACTTTTTTTTGTGGTGTAACCATTTTGATTTTGATTTTACAGCTTGTACTAAATAATTGTCTTGTCCGACAAACCTTATTTAGTCTGTACCCTTTACTTGGACCCATGAAGTCAACCCAATAAAAAAAGCTCCTAAAGACCAAGAGAACAAGAGAACAAAAGGCAAACAAAGGGGGGTTAGGTTAGCATGGCAACAAATAAAGCTTGAAAATCTCTATATTGCCACTCCATATTTTTATATATATTATATATATTTTTGCAGATCCAATGCATAGGGTGGTTACCAAAAATACATATATACACACATATATATATAGATATAGATATGTATATATACTATATATATACTATATATATATATATATAAAATGAAATAAAATATTTAGACTTGACTTGCTCTTTATTTTGTATTTTATTCCATTTTTTATGTATATCATTATTAACTCTCTCTCTCTCACAGAAAACATGCTGCTTATAATACACGCCTGTAGTCTGAATACGCAGAACTATGCGATACAATACAATATCCGATATCCACCTCACCAACAGATGACGGGCCTAGACCCTCCCCAAAAAAATATTATTATTATCGATGAGATGCGGAGCCTTTTGTGGCTGTGAGACGATGCCGTGGCTCAAGTTTTGGTTGGCCCACTTGTAAAGCGCATGTTGATGTTGAACAACAAGTATGTCTGTGCATTTTTGTGCGACAAGAAACAATGTGCGTTATCCATTGCGCTCACATTTCTACAAGAGCCATATTTATTAGCCAGGAATGGAGAATGGGAAGCTCCCAAAATATTAGATTAGCTTGTTCTTCTTTTTCCCTTTTTTTTGTATGTGTATTTTGTTTAGTACAATAGTGTGTAAACAGCATGGAACATGGGTTGAGTTTTTTTTTTCTTTTTTTTCCCTTTTTCCTTTTTCCTTTCTCCTTTTTTCTTTTACCCATGAACTTAGAGTATTCAACAATTCAGGCGAAATTTGTTATGAAACTTTGTAATTATTATTGTTATTGTTGTTATTAACAAAATGTACTATTTACTAAGCTTAACAGTAGCAATAGTTATTTTCATAATATTTTACATGTAATATTTCTTGTGAATGTATTGGCTGGTGGAACAATTTATATAGGCCCAATAAAAAATAAAAAAATAAAAAATAAGAAAAGGAAAAGGAAAAGGAAAGAGTTTTTTTTTTGTAAATCCATGGAGATTATTGCTGTTCAAAAAAAATTATTATTAAAATAAAATAAAATAAAATCCTAAATTGAAGCGGTCTGTGGCCGTCCATTTTGAAGTCTGTGGTTATAAATTATAGTTGGGTACATAAATTTCGTTGTAAATCAATCAGTCAATCAATCAATCAAAAAGAGAAAGAAAAAGAAGATTATTCTGACCAATGTAGATTCTTGTTCGATACAACCAATAAAGATTGGCTATTTATGTCGCGTTAGAAAACTAGCCCAGAGATCGAGTAAAAGATGTTGGTGTATCCTGTTACCCTGGTCACACTGACCACATGCCGTGTAAACGATTAGAATTTTATTATTTATTTTATTTTATTTTATTTTATTATTATATATATTATTACTTTTTTAAACTCTCTGGGAAAATTTTGCTCAATTCATTCCTCCTTTTACTTGTTTCTCCTTCATTTTCCAGAGTAAGTAGCTCCAAAGAAGTACTTTGCCTTGCCTTGCTCCATTAAACAATTCCTCTCACTACTTCTTCTGCTTCTTTCTTAGCCATGAATAGCCTTGGGCATACTAATTACCAAGACCTTCAGTTGTCCAAAGTCTTACCATTCATTAATACTCTCAATTACCTACCACCAGCCCACGCGCGTTCAGATGAACACACCACAATCGACAATTCTTACCAGAAATATCCACCCTTTACACCTCAGGCTCAGACCACCCTTCCAATAACGAACCAACTACCACTATACACTTACCTGAATGATTATGAATTAAACCCCCAGAAACACCACATCAGTCTTGACTACCTATACGCAAACACTCATACATTATCCATGAATAATTCGGTTGAAAGTAAACCAATACCCAATGAACACAATCAAACAGGTAATAAAAAAAATTATTAATTGAAGATTAAGATTATTATTATCGTCATTTAGCAAATATATATGTACGTATGTATGTATGTATGTATATATATATATATATATATTGTTTGTTTGTTTTTTTCTTTGCTGTTATCTTCTGTTGTTGTTGTTGTTGTTGTTGTGAATATTTGAAACACTTTTCTTCTTTTTCTTTTCAAAATAAATATTTTCATATTCATATTCAAGGTCATAGTCATATTCACATTCACATTCACATTCGTATTCATACTTACTATCCTTATTATTTCTTATTTGTATTTCAATTCTTAAACATACACATACATATACACATACACATACATATACATATACATATACATATATTTATATTTATACACAATACCCTTGTTTTGTGCACATTATTCTAAGATGTTCTTTCAGATGCTCATCCCTTAATTGTCATGCCTCAAGATGGCCCAGGTACTCCAATACCAATTATCGCCGCAAGCCAGTTGGTCCCTACCTATGCTCAGTTTTGTCCCGTTACTGACACACCAGACATATACCCACCTCAGTTTTCCCAAAGCAAGATTCAGGCTGCGTTTAATTATACAGATCCTACACCCTGTGATTCTCAATGTGTGTATCAAAGTATGTACGACACCAGCGGAACAGGGGCGGAAACAGAGACGTCTTTCTACCAGCTTAACTGTGAGCAGCGAACTACTCCGTGTCTGGACTACACCACAAGCGAATTAGGCTCACTGTCGCCAGATCTTTGCGTAGTTTCTACCGGAAAAAGACGCCTCACATGGCAACAGAGTATCGTAACATCACAGTCTAATCTTCCTTGCCCTGAAAATGACTATCAGACCACAAGACCCCTTGGGGTTTCGACATCATTGTCATTATTACAAGATCCTCTAGCCCAGAAAGATCAAGAACAAATCACAGGCATGTTCTCAAATCGAAAGCAGTCATTGGCTGCTAATGACTCGTGGTCTTACACTACGCAGAATATCACAGAAGCGGCAATATTTCCGCTGCAACAAGAACATCACAAGCAGAACCAGCATCAAAATCAGCATCAAAATCAGCATCAAAATCAGCATCAACATCAGCATCAGAATCAGAATCAGAATCAGAATCAGAATCAAAATCAAAATCAGAATTATAATCACAATCACAATCACAATCACAATAATCATAAGCACACACACACACACAAGCATAATAATCTCAATCAGGAAAACCCTTTGTCACTAGGGCAACCAGGTTCTCCTGGTTTAGATGAGTTTGTGGACTCTTCGAAAAATAATGTGCCATTAGTATCATCTCTGTGGGATAACCAAAACAGTGGAATAGCACAAGGGTGCTTGGACCCGGCAGAAAATTCGAATCGCAAGGCCAATGTCTATCAGTCGCGGGTACTCTCTCCGGCCAATAGTAAAAACAGCAATAAATCTGCAATGGCCAGTCCATCATATACTACCGCACCAACCACCTTAACCCGAGATCTCTATTCGTCCAGTACTCCGCGGCAACAGAGTACCCGTTACAAAGGTGACAGCTACAAACCAGAGTGGGTGCGGTACGCTGGGCATATGAAAGAAGGATATTGTGACCTGTGCAAACCCGGAAAGTGGTTACAGCTTAAGAACAGCGCGTACTGGTTAGTTAATGAAAACAGCAATAAAAAAAACAACAACAACAAAAAAAAAAGAAAAGAAAAGAAAAAGACTAAAATCAGAATTTTCTTCACTGCTATTATTATTTCTATATTCTAACTAATCTAACAATTTTGATAATTATTATAATTATAATTATTATTATTTATTATTATCACTATACTAGGTATCATAAACAATTTCTTCATGGCATTTCTTCGGTTTCACGAAAGCCATTTATCGAACCACTCAAGCAAAGAAGAGGCGTTAATGGAATGATTGAAGGTTTATGCCACCAGTGTTACTCCTATGTTCCGATCTCTAGCCGAAAAAGAAAAAACCATCTATTGTGGTACAGGCACGCACACAAGGTAAGCACGATGTTTCCACATTGTTGGCATTATTGAAATTAGATACAGTTATACACACATAATATATATATATACATCTATATATATATAGTTTGCTTCTCAAAGCAAATAAGAAAAATACTAATATTGTATATACCTGTGTGCTTTAACTAGTGTCACGTCTACACAAAAACATCAAGCAGTACCTTTGAGAAATAAGCTTTATTTCACTAAAGGGAGCTAAAGTATGTTTAAGAGCTAAAAGACGCGAATTCTAAAAGATTACTACTAATACTAATACCAATAATATTATTCTTATTTTCTCTCTATTTTATATACATATATCTATTTATCTAAAAAAAATATTTAGTGTTTTCTCTACCCCTCCGTTCCTTCATGTCCTGTTTCTTTTCCTTTCTTTCTATACAAACTATCTAATCAAAACAAGTATATACTACTCTTGTGATGTGAAAATTATGAACATTATTCTTCTTCTTTTATTTATCTTGTGATGTACAAGCTAATATGTTGATTTTCTACTTTAATACTTTACTTTATTTTACTTTATTTTTTACTCTATTTTAATACCAAAAAAGAAACCAATACTGATACCAATACTAATACTAATAGTACGGTTTTTATTTTATTTTATTTTTTTTATTTTTCACTATTTTGGCTTGTACACTAAAATATGCCAATGTCGGTATGATAGTATATTCTCCTTTTGTATGTTTATTTCATGTGAAACTATGCTCTTTGATTTTCCCTCCTTTTTATACCTTTACAAAATAACGAAATGTCCAGACCTTAAATAAAGAGAAATAAACATTTAACCTTTTTATTATTATTATATATCTGTATATATATATTCTGGATGGTCCGTGTATTTTATATAAGCTCCTAGACCGCATAAGAGTATATTATAATTACAATTATAATTACAATTATATAAAAATATAATCGCGTCTTTATATTATTAATAGTATATTATCCTTAATTAATCTGCGAATAAAAATAATAATTTTTGCGAGATTGAAATGCTTATACGTTTATACGTTTATACGTTTATACGTTTATACGTTCATTCGGATATACGGCTATACCTATACTATCTGTATGTGTATTGAGGATAGTAAATACATATATATCTATATATCTATTTTCTGTGTATATAAAAGGTTATTCCAGGCATTTCTGGAAGTATCGAGGGACCCTAACTTTTCAGTGATCAATGCGGAATAAGAGATTAGGTTTTATTTTGATGTTATTATTTCCAAGAAAGATAATGTCTGTGGCTGCTACACACATATATTTAGATATACATATTTCTATTTCCCTCCCTTTCTCTCTTTCGTTCCATGTATTTGTGTTTACTCGGAATATTCTGGGTTCCTTGCCGCGCTACACATATGTATTACTCTTACACTCACAAACTCTCACACTTACTCCTTCACACGTGTATATATGTATATATATTCTTTACAAAAATTCGATATTCTTTTTAGTCTAATACAAATATATATATAATAATAACAACAACAACAACAATAATAATAATAATAATAATAATAATAATAATAATAATAACAATATTTATCGGGTGAGAGTTAAAAAGCATGTAGTATTTCTATCACAGGGCTACTACACAATTAAGAATACGGAAAGAACGAGAAGAAAGATGGAGAAAAAGGAAAGTCAACTGGGTTGGTACCAAGACACAATTACATAATCTTTAAGTTACCTGTACGCTTTCTATACAGCCCACGTCTAGGTCTCTGTAACCGTGGACGTGCTTCATCCCAAGGTCCATGGATCTCACTAAAATAACAACAAATTAATTTTTGAAACGTTGGAGTTATAATAATAATTATTCAATCTTTTTAGCTTTTTCTTTCAGTATTTTTTTTCTTTTTTTAAAAAAAAATACGTACTTTTTATATTTTTGTATAAAAATAAGCCAGTAGGGGCAGATAAAGGTAAGGAAGCAAAACCCAAGTATGTAAAGAGAAACCACCGCTTTTGATATGTGAGAAAACATCACGATGCACATAAGAAGCATCACAACCGTTAAAACCGTTTGGATATTCGAATTTAACTCCTAAACACACAAACCAAAATATTGGAAAAACGATATAAAATAATAATAATAATAAATAAATAAATAAAATCATTGATACCAGAACACCCCCCTCCCCCCCCAAAAAAAAAGAGAAAAAAAAGAAGAAAAAAAGAACTTCAATACACATGTGTATACATCATGTCCCAATGTGAGTACAAGAAGCACTAACCTGCAAGTGTCTACGGAATATAGGAAACAAAGCAAACCATTGGACCGCGAAAGACAGGAGTCCAAACACATCCAGATTTGTATCCAGTCGAGAGGCCAGCAAGACAGAGGCAAATATAGCCGCATTTGTGGAGAGGGATCCAAGAATCCTTTGTAATATGTATGTCAAATTTCCAGAAATATTTGTCAGTTATATATACATATACATATACATATACATATACATATACATACACATATACATATACATATACATATACATATACATATACATATACATATACATATACATATACATATACATATACATATACATATACATATAC